GAGAAAAAACTCCGGTCAGGAACATGCCAAACCCACCGCTAAACGACCAGCCAAGCATGGAGTTTCCAGTGCGGAAACGTCGGTCAGCGTCAAACAAGGATGGACTTTTCTGGACTCAAAACATGGTTCCTGACCGAGTAGGCAGGTGGATAATCCCATGACATCAACGCCCGCATGGAGCTAGTACTAGATTGAAAAACCAAAAAACCCACCAAAAATCAGAACAAAGGACACTAAAAAAATCTAAAAGGAAGCGGTGTAAAAATAAATGTGCTGCGCCTCGATCCGGTCATGGAGGCATTAGCGCACGTGGGATCTTCCAATTGAAGGGCGGGAAGATCCGCGCTCTGACATGCGATAGGCTCTTGGAGTGTGGCTCATTCAAGGGTGTGGCGCTAATTCCGTCTTCCTCACCGACTTACCCTGCTTTTTTTATTTTGGTTTTTACACTTTCCCTTAACACCTGTGTATGCAGATACGCCGCACGGCGGCGTAGGTGCTTACGGTAGTGGCGGTAAAGCCCGTACGGTAGTCCGTTTCGTACCTACAGGATCACCTTTTTCTCTCGTCAATCTCCGTCGGGCTAGTTCTGCGATTGGCATGAATTGATCGCCCTGAGGGCCAACAGCGTCTAACCGGCGCTCTTTCTCTGTTTTAGCGTTTACATCATTCCCCCGTGTTCGGTAATCTATCTGGATCAGATTCTTGTCCGTGGATCCCGGACTTTTTGCATGCTGCTTTTTTGTTCCATCATTCTACCAAGCCCGCGCTTGCATCTCGGTCTAACGCAAATGCGCCGTACGTCGCGCTCTTGCCTGTATTATTAGTGGTGGTGTTATTTTTCTTGGTGTTCGACACCACGCCCGAGCAATCCTTCTGTCGTGATTTGGTCGAGAATGGTCGCTGCTAAACATGTGTGTGTGTGTGTGGCACATATCTGGATGTGTCATGGCGCATCTTTCTAGTTCATGTCCGTGTTGCCCATTAATTGGATTTTTCTTTTCTTTTCTTTTTTCTTTTTTCTTTTCTTTTTTTTTCTTTTCTTTTCTTTTTTTTTTTTTAATTTATTTTATCTTATTTTTGTTACTCCCTACTCGTTCCGGGACACAGGGTACCCCCCGGGCTTACCAACCGCAATATTTTCCTTTTTGGGCCTCTTAGTAGGGTTTTGTAATTTTTGCTTCGTACTCGGGATACCACCTCGTCTTTCTACCTGCTAGGTAGTCCAAGCAGACTCAGTACCGTAACTACTCAGCCTTGAATGAGCCACAGTCGACCCACTGAATCCGGTCGTGGCTACAATCTGGCTCCAATAACGACATGACCTTCCACGTTTATGTACAGATGATGCGTTTTGTACGGCGAATAATGTGAATAATCATATTGGGTTTACGCGCTCGGTCTTACCGAAACCACCAGCCACCACCGAGGTCCCGAAGTTCAATCCATCCATCAATTCATCCGACGAAGTATTTGTCTACCTGCTCTGTAAAGATTCATCTCAGGGGTGGATGGATCGGATCATCGCACTATCCACACAATAGGGGACCATGGAATCGCATCCCAGACGGTTTCCTATTCCAGTAAATGAAGGGTTCGAAAAGGGAAATAATTCGATCGCAACTACTACTCGGCACAGATAAAAGTATCATCATGATTAATTAATAATTACCAGACCTGGTGAGTGCGGCTCTTGAAGAAAAAAAAAAAAAAAAAACCACTCCGTGCCTAGACTCCGTACGGACAGAATCTGTGAGTTCAGGTTCGTCCGTCCACAACTCGGGCAGAATGATTGTCCCCCGTCGGGCGCCCTAAATGAGAATCGTCTTCCCGTCCGGTACCATCTGCGGCCGCTGATTGGGAGAAGCTCTTATGACGCTTCATTTCGCCTGTCAAGTCCTTTGGGCCAATCAAGCCTGTAGGAACCGGATGCACGTTTCTGAAAGGGGGGTGTGTGTGGACTGTGGGGCGGGCAACTTTTCCCTCGCTCGCTCTGTTTTCGATCGACTTTTTTTTCGTCTCCCCTGCTAAGCTGCTAAGATCGTCAGTACTCCGTAGGCTCCATGGTGGAAAAAAAACTTGGGTGCTTCGCTCGGAACTGCCGGCCATGTTTTCCGGTGGCCCATCTGTTTACTATGGAGAAGGTATCTGGCTAGTTAGATCCGATGGGTTTTCTACTCCGCTGCTAAAGAGTTCGATGCACTTCTTAGCTTTTCCGTCGTTTGGGTGGGCGGAAATTCAAAATGATGAATGGTGTTGGTGTTGGTGATCTGAACCGGATTGACGGGACGGGAGGATGATACAGGGTGCTGGGTACTGTAACGAATGGTACATCATCATATCCGATGTACGGGGAAACCAAGACATGACGGGAGTCCTGCAAATTGCCAAGATATGGCTCATATGCCTAATATTGACGGGGAAGGGGACTGGAGAAGATGAAGGAGGGGGCTAGACGGTTTGACAGCCTGTCGTCTTTGACGATCATTGATTCCTAATGTCCATTATCACTGTGATTGAATGGGATTCTTCTGCATCGACTATTGGAATCATGGCAGCCAGTACGGAGGACTAGATAGGAAAGGGATAGAAAAAAAAAATAATAAAAACGAAAAAATTGGAGTTGAGATTGAAATGAGGACCATCCGCTAGTCTACAAACAGCCTTAGCCGGTCGATTCCAAATACACGCCTTAGTGACGCTCGCGTGCAGGTCTGGTTGCTTATGCAGTTTGAGAAAGATGAGCAGGAAGAGTTTTTCGCCACCATCTTATCAGCGAACAATGTTGCAGACGGATCTGGAGACGCTCGACTGTTAGCCACGGTTGAAATTAATCGGCAAGGTTGGATCAATAGTCAAATGGGCTACTGACAGCCATGGTCCATGTACCCCCGGACTTGCCGATGACACCTGCGGATACGAATGCCTGGAATGTATATGTAGGTACGGAGAACGGCGACCCCGTCCGTGTGTACGACGATTTGATCTTGCGTTTCTGCGGAGTCTGTTATTAAGGACTATTAGAGATGGCCTTTTAATATTGCGCAATTTAATTTAGTCTGACTGGTTTTTAAACAAGCTTAAAGGGAAATCATGGATATTAAGGGTGTTGAGTTTCTACGGACTGCTGTGCTGGTAAGCCATGTTTGTAATGAAAGAAAAGTAAGCAGGATTACCATCGCTCTCTTCTTTTTTTTTTTTTTTTTTTTTTTTTTTCCCTTTCTTTTCCGCGCGTCCTTGAATCAAACCGGACTGGAATAATCTTCATAAAAGAAAAAGAAAGCGAAAAATGCAGGAACCATGAATAAAAATTCTCATAGGCCCGGGGCCTTCAGAGACAATTGTACTTTGTGGAGGCTTTGGCAAAGGGATTGGCCGAGGCCAAGTGGATCACTTAGTTTCTTTTTCTTTTATTTATTTTTATTTTTTTATTTTGGGGGGCAGCGGAAGATGATGGATGAACTTAGTCTGACATTTTCTGTATTGCGCATTTATTACATTACTCCGTACGATTGACGCCGGACATGGTTTCTGGAGAATAAATAGACATCGGAGCATTAAAAATATCGGATTTCTCGACGCGACCGACTGGCAAGGTTCGGACTCATTCGCATGTTCCCTACTGGTATACATGCCCAGGCCGCCGGCCTGGGCTGGCTGCAGGGCAGGCGCGAAAGCCCCGGGCCACAGCAAAAGATATAAATATCACCAATAGAACGTAATTACTTGGGATTAGGGAAGACGGCAAAGCGGGCTAAATGGAGAAAAATAGAACCCTCTGCTCGGCCGCCTGGCAGTGCATGATGCAGGGCTAGCGTGGTATTGCCCATGGCTAGTGCCTGCTAATAATACAGTCGAGTTCACGGCAGCCCCTGCTCTGCTCGCCCGACGGCTCCACCCCGCCCTCCCCTGTTCGTTCGTTCCCTCATCCCTTCCCCCCTCCACCATCCATCACCATCATCGACGACATCATCCACCCACCCACCCACACCACCCCAGTCGTTTCGAGTATTTCGATTTTCGACGCGCGCTAATGACTTACCCCTGTCCACCCCCAGTAGTCTGGATGGCCATTCTTAGCGTCTACTTAGTTCCTCGTAGTGTTAGTCAATCCCCGTCTGCGGCGAGTTCAGATGGGACACTGCACTCATAGGGCCAGCAATCACATATCAATCCATTGCTCCCACTTCCTCCTCGCCCTCTTTCTTTCTCTACTCCGTCTTCCGCATGCCTTGGATTCCCACTTGAGGCACGGGTCGGGCTTTCGCGAATACTTCCTGTCGGAGAGAAACAGATCATCATAAAGAAAGACCCACGCACCTTTTTTTTTTTTACCCTTCTTAAATCTCTCACTTGTTTTCGCACCGCATCGCATCGGATCGTGTTGCACGTTCCAAGTCCTATATCTTCTTTGGCTCCTGTCCCCTCCGATAGATTATCTTCCTATTTATTCTTGCTTCGGCTCTCTCTCGTATACTCTTTGTCTTGTTCTGCTCCCACAGTACACGTTCTATACTCTTTCTCCGTCCTACTACTTTATCCTTCTGCCGCCACGAGCGATCTGGGATATCCTCCGACGCCTGTCGCTCCACGTCCCAGCCATTCCCAAGCTTGGAAGTATCCTCCGATCGAGTCGCAGGAAAGCCCACTTGCATCCCCGATACATATTCTTTGGGAAATCCAATCGTACGGAGTAGTATGTCCTCCCGCGCGGCCCGTCCCTTGCGTGGAACCCGATCCCATTGCCTATATACCACCGAGGTCTTCCGAGAAGAAGTGATCGAGGGTGGCTGACACTTGATGAATGTATTGCAGATCTGTTGCCTTTCCGTCAATAGCCTTTTTCGCTTTCGTCTTTTGACATCAACCCTCGCATCGCGACCTCCACCCACCACAGGGGAGCACAGCCGACCACTATTGGACGAAAAGTGGGCATGCAAAGCGAAACAGATCATCCTGATTTTCTCCTGTTTCCTGCGCAATCCGCCGACAAAGCCACCATGTTGGCATTGGATTCGTCACGACAGCAGCAAAACCCATACTTCCAGCAACAGTTCACAATGGATCCTGCAATGATGGAGACCTTCGGGTTTCACATGGACAACCTGAACGGATTCGGGCAGGCCCCTGCTTCGTCCGCAATCCCTCAGCCCTCGTACTATGATACGCCCCCGGTATATGCCGAGTCTTTCCCCGAGATCCATAAACAAGCCAGCTTTCCTCCCATGCCTGCGACTCCCCCGTCCATCCCAACTTCGCGGACCTCCGAACCCTACATGCCGGGTCTCTCCACTGCATCCGGACCTTCAATTGCAAGCGCCTCGTCCTCTGCCATCGGCTCTCCCTACTCGGGAAATGCGCACGTCGTCCAAGAGAACTGGATCGATACCAACCACGGCCTGGGGCTTCCCGCTGCAGTTATGAACGATATGTTTCCCAACGATTACATGGGGAACACGCTGGAGTCGGACGCATTCTATGCGAAAAAGTACCCTGACAACTTTGTCGGTGAGTCTCATGGCATCCAACCGACTCGATGCATGGGAGGCACAAAGCTGACAAATGGTGTTTCCATAGACCCTTCCTTGATTCAGCCGATGCAGCAACAGCAGCAGCAGCAGTCGCATCTTTCCCCTGGACTCTCATATGCCGAGCAGCCTGATTTCTCCCTAGCTCAGACCGCATTCCTCCCTCAATCCCCTGACCCGTCTCAACTTGCAATCCCCGAAACCTATCCTTCCATGCCAACCTCGTCCCCTTCTTTGATGCCTTCTCACTCGCGTCCCGTGTCTATCTACGATAGAAGATCCTCCATCTCTTCCATCCAATCCCGCCGATCGCAACCAAGCCCTGCCGCCAGCAGCCCCGGCTTCGACGAAGATGGCAAAGAAAAAGATCGCTGTCCCCATCCCGACTGCGGCCGGATCTTCAAGGACCTCAAGGCTCACATGTTGACTCACCAGTCAGAAAGACCGGAAAAATGTCCGATTGTTACGTGCGAATACCATGTCAAAGGGTTCGCCCGTAAATACGACAAGAACCGGCACACCCTCACCCACTACAAGGGAACCATGGTCTGCGGCTTCTGTCCGGGATCCGGCTCGCCCGCCGAGAAGAGCTTTAACCGGGCAGACGTCTTCAAGCGTCATTTGACTTCCGTTCACGGGGTCGAGCAGACTCCCCCTAACTGCCGGAAGAGAAGCCCAGCCAGCTCAACCAACAAGGGTGTCACTGGATATTGCCACGATGCCACTGGCAAGTGCTCCACTTGCTCGGCTACCTTCAGCAATGCTCAGGACTTCTATGAGCATTTGGACGACTGTGTTCTCCGGGTGGTTCAACAGGAGGAGCCCAGCGAGGCCATCAACCAGCAGCGCCTCGCCGAAGTTGAGTCTGACGAGGAAGTGAAAAAGACCATGGAGAGGCACATGCTACTCGACACGGCTGGTACCGTTGATCGATACGACGATGAAAATGATGATGACGACGATGACTATAACGACCTTTCATCCGCCCGACGGTCCGCCAAGGGTTTCTCCAAGGCGGCCAAGGGGAATCCAAGTGCCGGATCCCGCTCCATCCTGGGAAACAATGCCGTTAGCAAGCGTGCGACCGGATCAAAGCGACGGAATAATCGTGACCGCTACCCCCAGTCTTGGGGTTGCCCTAGCAGCAACATCAAGACGAAGAAGCGTGTGTTGTGTGTTTTTGACGGCCAACGCCGTCTCTGGAAGGATGAGATGATGCTTGACAACGAATTTGAAGTTCGACTCAAGCTCCCCGGTGGTGCGGGAGATGGCACCAACCGTGAGGCATATGTCACCGACCTGGATGTTGAAACCCTCAAGCGCGCCGAGGGTGTGCTGAGTGCCAACGACGAGGAACGTGGCCCTTGGTTGAATGGCCTTTCCACTCACCTCATCGGCCAGCCGGCCATGATACTCCCCGATCTGTCTCAGCCTCGCGAGGTTGATGTGGACATCGAAGAATTGATGTCCTAAGACTGTCCTTTTGCGTTCTCCTTGACGAAGCCGTCATTTTGCATGTGTGGCATGATAGCGTTTTTGTTGTGTTTGCGTTGTACCTTGATACCAATAACCTGTTCTCTATATCCCCCTCTTCATTGTGTGTGATCTTTTTCATTTTCTCTCTTTGAGTTTCTTTATATCTGTGGTGTTGTACTTATACTTCCTTTCTCCTATTCCTTAGTGGGCTGTGCCATTTGGAGTTCAGGAACAAAAAAAGGTTGGAAAGGAGCATTCTGAACGGAGAAATTCTTGGCCTTGATGACAACCCATTTTATTCAAATGAATTTTATTCTTCTTTTTGGAACACAAGCTACTGGGCTGCTGTCGATGAACACCGTAAGCCTCGAATCGTAACACTAGGGCCCGTGCAAAACGGGTTTAGTGGGGGACCCGTGACCGCTCAGCTGGCCGCGTTTCCCCCCGCATTCCGCCTTCTCTCCCGCGACTCTGTTTCAACTTCCATCTCCTCTGCTTTCGCGTTGCTGTACTACTAGTACATCATGCAATTGGGCCTCTCCGAGAACCTGTCGGCCCTGGTGGCTCGGCGCTTTGTAGCGGCCAAAGATGGGGGTCACCTCTTGTTCTCCCAAACTCAACTTACTACCGTTAGCGCCTCGGGGGTTCCGGTACCGTGCTTGCTTCTTATCTCTTGGTTCCGATGCCCACTTTGCTAACGATAGCCTTTCTGTGCCTCAAGTTTCAACTTCGATATTGCCCCGCCCTTGCAAAGAAGCCAACCGCCACTCCCAAGTCCGACCAAGGCCCCAAGGCACCAAAGCCAGATCCTTTTCAAGACCCGTCCTCCGAACTTCTGATCGCCCAGATCCCGCGAGAGAACCCGTCGCATTTCCTAGTGTTGAACAAATTCCCCGTTATTCCGAACCACTTCATCCTCGCCACGAAGCCATGGAAGGCGCAGACAGACCTATTAGAAAAGGATGACTTGGAGGCAGCATTTTCCTGCATTAAGGAATGGGGGTCACAACCAGATGGCACGGAGTCTAGGCGACTGTTCGCCTTCTTCAATTCCGGAGACGAAAGTGGTGCGAGTCAACCCCACAGACATCTGCAATTTCTACCAGTGGAAGCAATGGCACAGGGAGAATCGGGTGGTTGGCAGCCCTTGATTGACGTCGTGTCGTCGCAGCCGCCCCCCTCGGGCTCTGAGTATCGGTGCTTGAGCCATTTCCCGTTCGCGCACTTTGCGCTTCCGTTGCCATCGAACCCATCTGCCGATACACTCCACGCGATCTACCTTTCTCTCTACCGTACAGCGTTGGCAACCGCAAAGGAGAGACCGAGTGCATATGACGCTAAGGCAAGCAGTGGTCCGGCGGCGATCAGCTATAACCTGGCCATGACTGATTCGGTGATGATGATATGCCCCAGGAGGAATGAAAGTAGCCGAATTCCTGTGGATCCTGCCGTGTCTCAGGAAATTGCCGAGGCAGGGGTCGTTTCTCTGAATGGCACACTGCTTGCCGGCACCCTTATGGTGAAAGCTGAAGCCGAATGGGACCAATTACGTCGCAATCCAGAAACTTTGGTCAAGGTACTGACTGAAATTGGTTACTCTCAGCCTGATCTGCGGGAACTCTCTCTATTATGAAGCCCCCTGCAACTGACGGGGAGGCTGAGAAGCGGTTCAAGCCGACTCTAAGATGTACAGATCCTTAGTCTGTGATGAAGACTGAGGAAGGTCTTCTGCGGCTCAGTCCAGAAGATAGATCTCACTGACATGATCTTTTATGAGCTTCGCATTGCCATGGTTCAAGAAAATAGATATGAGAAATGTCCAGAAATTCATTGTTCCCGCGCTCATGATTCAGCGTTTTGTTTAATTGAATCAACCTTTCATTTTTGTCAGTTCTCTCGATTTAGAATTTCTTTCGGTGGATGATTCCTCAGCACAGATGAGCTCTGCAGTTTCGACACAGCTGCTGAGAGAGATGTCTCATTCTTGAACTATCTTAACTCGGTTTTATCTTACTTGATGCTCCGAAAACTGCTCGAAATTCCCACGGTAGATAGCGATTTGTTCGAATTTGGTTTCTTGCCCAGTTCATACAGGTTTTTATTCCATGAATGACTAACATCAGACCTAATGAGTCTAGGGATCACCGAAAAGATACATCTGAAAGGAGAAGCTTTATGCGATAATGAAACTGTCAGATTAGGAGATCACCAAGGATTCGTCCGTCAAAAGCTCTGCGCCTCGGCAACATACGTCAAGCTTTCACGTTATGAACTTCACACCATTTTTTCTTGCAAGTGGCATTGCCAAAGTGATATGATCCACCATGGGCCCAGATATATTGAGCCACCTTTTTCCACGGAACCTTTGGTGGCTCTTTTGTCACACTGGGTCGACGACAAGAGCTGTGTGGGTGGCGGCAATACTTTCCGTTTTCCGAGCACACGTTCACTGCTTCGCAGAGGAGTCTTATCTGACCAGACATTAGCTCTGGCGCCAGCTATGCGAGACGAGCACTTCACAAAGGTAAAAAAAAAAAGACTCACATCGTTGTCATGCCAGAATGGCTTTCTTACTCGCTGGTCTTTGGATTTGGTAAGTGTCCGGTACCTACCACGCAGCGTCGACTCGGCTTCTTTGAATCCACCAAGCCTTTTGATATCCTTGTAGGACAAACCGCGGCGTTTACATTCTATCAAGAAGGCATTTCGTGTTTCTTCAGGGCAGCTGAACGTTCTATTACCCAGGAATTGCTGACGAAGGTGGTGGTTCGTCTCGACTGCAATCCTCTGGTGTGTCAGTTGATTGAGTCGAAGCAAGCTTTCATGATATGCAAATGTTTCTGCAGCAAAACGAAAGGGGTCGTGGTCTTTGTTAACCATCACTGTGTCTCGGTTGGTATAGTCGGGTCTGCAGGGGCTCAAGGGTACCGATGGCTGGAGATACGAGTGGCTGTCATTGCTCAAGAGCGTCAAGCAATTGAGGTCACTGGTCGCCGTTGTCTGGTCAAATCCTGCGCTGACATGGCCATACTGGCCATCGATGCTGAAGAGCTCCGGGCCGCTCGAACAAAAGACTTCGTTTTGGCTGACACCTTGGTGCTGTATGTCACAACTAGTCTGGTAGCCAACGGGCGACCACGACAGTGACGAATCAGGGCTGCATGTTTCGTTCATTGGGGTGAAGCTGGTGCCGACAAAGGTGTCTATTGGTCTTCCCAGTGGTGCTTCATTGAACAACGGCGCGGTTTCCAAGTCGTCAATTGACCATTCTGACTTGGGGACGATGTCGTGGTCGGACGAATACTCATGCGATGTTGTAGGGGAGCTGAAGAGTGGTGTCGGTTCAAATCCTATCTGTGAATCCGCGAATAATGCCATGTTCCTGCTGGCGATATAGAGGCTCGATGGTCTAGGGATGGGATGAACCAAAGCGAGGGTGGGATCCTCGATGTCAAAGCTTTCTTCTTTGATCGGCGTGCCTGGCTCGGAAGCAGCTGGGACCATGAGGTTCTGTGGATACTCGGGGATAAAGCCTGGGCTCTCGTGGATTGACGGGGTTTTGCCTTGTAGGGCTGAAGGGCTCTGGGCACCACCATGAGGCTCAAAGGCATCACACTGAGAGAGGGAGGGAAGCGTATGAGACCAATGTTGAATGTCCCTTTCCATGACATCACACTGCGACGCTGGGTTTCGGGTCGGCACGTTGTCGACGTCGTTCGCGGGGGGCGTGTTTCCTCTATCCAACCACTGTGGCTTTTGTAAAAATTCACCAGTGGCATCTTGAGGAGGGGAGGGGGAGGCGGCTCTTGAGTCGCAGACAGCAGAGTGAGGTGCCACTGCTTGGGACATGGGAAGTAGATGAACGGCGGCCATATCTGGGGAAACGCAGTGCTTTTCGACGATCAACTTGGATCTTGGACTACCTGGATCGACGAGAACGCAGGTCATAGCCCTTAAATTGGGACAAGTCGCCCGTGTCTTGATCCAGTTCACCGCTACTATGATCCAGGGTCTGTAACGTGTGCTTAGAAAGGCCTGGTCATTTAAACTTTTGGATGCTGGATCATGCACGTTGTTGGGCTTGACTGGGCGCCTGCAGAGACTCTTCCACTCAGTATATGGAGCCGGTCTCACTTGGAGAAAGGTGGTCGATCCCGTCCACTGACTGACTCACTTGAATGCTTTCTCTCTTTTCGGTTTAAACCAGAAAAGGCGTCTCAACGTGAGAGCCTGTCGGATTTCAGCTGGCAATGTCTCAACCCGTGTGGAGGCGTCGCAGATCCAAGACCTTCTTGCGCAGCGGCGAGGCAAAGCCGGCAACAAAGAAAACGAAAAGAAGAGTGAAGAATATTCTGCGGAAGGAAATATCGGCGGCAAATAATCAAAACCGCGAGCAAGAGAGACAAATTGATGTTTCTGGCGGTCTGGTTTGACTATCGCTATTGTTGGAGACGGCTTTCTCAAGTTGGGCACGATCAACCGGCTTTTTTGTCTGCCTTTCCATCAGCCACAGGCCGAAGAGCGCCCTGATGTCTCACACGTTGCTCACCTTCCTAAGGCAAGTTCGCTATGATTTGTGAAGAATCGGAACAGGGCTCTCGGGGAATGTTCTGGTGTGGTTTTCCCTTTGTTCCAGATGCTCGTATCGTGCAATTGATCTGGAAGGGGGTGGAGAGGGACTGATACAGTTGGAGCAGTTCCAGGAAAAGAAGAAACGAGAACAGAAAAGAAACGAGAAACTAGAGACGAAGCAAGCTGACTTCCAGCGAACTGCTCTTCTCACTAAGCTCGGCAGCTGAACTTTCCATCTTGACTGCAGTCCACGAGAAACCCCCCTTTCTTTTAAGGGCACCGCGCGGTTCTCAATCTCACACCATATAACCACCCCTGCCACTCAACGGCGTCAATTTAATTATTATTTTTTTTTCTCTCTTATTATTTTTTCATTGATCACAAACTACCAGGACTCACTAACGGGAACAGATTTCTTATTCTTCCCGTACAAAGCGATATTGTTTCCCTACCCCAGACGGCACCACGGGGGATGAGAGACAGGAGACTAGCATGGATGTTCCCGATTCTAGACGCCGCCCTAGTCTATTACCTTATTCTGTCTGCAACATCCGATGAAGATCAATTGACGAGTCTCAAAGACCCCGGGCAAGGGGGGTCCTGTCAGGCTGTCAGCCCTCCCGACATCCAATCGTATTGCTCTCGGACCTTTTCCCGGGGTGGCGTGGGAAACGCGCGGGAGGGAGAGAGAGAAGAGAGATAGGAAGGAAAACTACGAAGCAGTTACATGACATGCTCAGCCCTGGAATCAGGAGGGTACGAGGGCAGGGAAGTCTAAGTAACTAGGTGAGTAGATGATGAACTCCGCCACAAGGATGATATTGAAAATCTCGTAAACCCCCTCTGGATGAATGGATAGATGGTGGCCTCACGAAATAAAATAAAATAACCCAAACCTAAAGGAACAGCCTGTTCCAAAACCTGCCAAAGCCTCCGCCTCCGCCATGTCTTTTCTCGCGGTCCCATGAGTGGTGGGCATCAACGGGTAGCCACATAGGGCTTTGTTCGCGTCCTCACCTCTCGTTCGCCTGTTCTCCCCTCCATCTCCGTGAATAGGATGGCGGTGGCGGTGGGATCCATTGGAAATGGAATCCAAAATTGATAGAAGTTTATTCCGCACTGGGTTTAGGGGAGAAGGGGAGGGTTGTTTGGTTGCTGTCGGAGAATTATCTGTGGCGCTTGGGATCTATCGACTTTTCCCTATCGATTCTGTACGGATGGGGGTTTGTTCGTTGAGGGCTGTAATTCAGGACTGCTTGAGTGGTTGTACATACTCTGTTCTTTCTTTATTTTATTGTTATTTATCTTGTTTTATTTTATATTTTTTTCTGGGGAGGGTTTCTTTGATGCATTTTTTGCCGGACGGATTCGTCGAACTGCAGCATTGCGCCGCGTTGCATCCCCATGCATGTCATTTTCCTGTTTCTTTCTGCTATCGTCTGCTCCCGTGCTGCTCGTTCGAGGGGGGTGGGGGTAGGGGTTGGAGGTAGATGATATGATCCTTTGGATCTCAGCATGTCTATACAGGTGCATAGTAAATGGTAGTATAAACCAACATAGAAGAAAGAACCCATCAACAGAACATAGACAGCTACCAAGCTAAACTCGACTCAGTCTAGACCAGACCATATTCCAACGAACTCGGAGAAAAAAGAAAGAAAGAATTAGGTTGTTCCCGTCCTGCTTGGTCGATCCTCTAACTTCTTTTTTTTCTTTATCTGCTCGCTGCCCCTCGCTGTCGATCTGCCTGCTTGGCTTGGCTTGGTCTGATTTCTAATCTGGCTCAATCGTGTTGTTTATGGTACTGTGTCTGGTCTAGGTTACAATGTCTTTGGTAGACAGGAAAGTAGTAGAGGTAGATAGATAGGTAATCATCGTTCTCTAGGTGGTCTCGATCTCTGTCTTGAGCCTCAAGGGGAAATGCGAAAGGCTAATCAAATGACTGAAACGGAGCTATTGAGGATGGTTTGCGCATGACGTAGATTCCGATGTCTTCTTTTTTTTGTTTTTTTTTTTTTTTTTTTTCTTGATGCCTACACCTCCACCAGCATCCCGTGGTAAGTCAAGATGTGACTCGTTCGACAGATAGGAAGATGGTATGCGTTGTCCCGTCCCTCATTTTATTTCTTCCTCCCTTTATTTATTTTATTTTATTTTATTTTTTCTATTTTCAAAAAAGAAAAGAAAAAGAAAGAAAAAGAAATTCTTCACCTTCCCCGCACACCATCCCCATCCTCACCCGTTCAGCAAACCTAACCTAACCTACCCCTGTCCTCTAGTCTTGTACTCTGTACTCTGTACTCTGTACATGCCTACGTGCATGTCCATCCCCGCCCAAGAGGGGGCAGGAGTGGGAGTGACGAACAAAGTACGGTGTAGATACGCATCCGGACTGGAGTTCGAGGGTCGTGGGACATCGAGTAGGCATTCCGGACCAGGGACTTGACGTTCGGGTTTTCGTTCGGCCTGGGCTGGGGATGGAAGGGGTTGCAGTTTGAGCCTGTTGGATTTGGACCTGAGGGGTTGGATGGGGATGGATGAGGGGACACAGAATAAAAATAAAAAGGAAAATAAATGAGCCAGACAGAAGACACGGAGCAGATGGAAAGGAGGGTGACACTGCGGTGTTGGGACATCCAGTTAGGGTTGTCGTGGTTCTGCCCTACCTGCATTATTCTGCTTGGATTTTCATTTCTCGGGTGCTCCTATGTATGTAATATGATGGGCTCACTGGTTTGATTTTGCGTTGCGTTTTCTCATTCTATCTGATCTATCCATTTGGGGTTGTTTTGTTGCTATTTCCACTGTTCATTTGGCGATGTGTCTGATGCCCGCTTGTCATTCATGCCTCTTCCCGATACTTGCCTCTCCGGTTTGTTGACGCTGGCGGGAAATGAGAGAAAGACAGAACCAAAATAAATAAATAAAAAATAACAACCACAAAGAAAACACCCAAAGTGTCGGATCAACCGTTTTCAATTTGTATCATCTACCATATATTAAACTTAAACTTCCCGATTCCATCCCGCAGACGTTTCACCCCTAGAGGCAGAGACCATGAGCACAAAACTCGCTCTCCACGGTAAGCAGACTGCATTTGTTACATGTCTTAAGCACAGACCCCATCTTATTGTGTCTCAGCGCATGCTGGAATCCTTCGAGGCTGGTCAGAAGAGGACAGTCAACCCAAACCGGAAGACGCTGCCGATTGCTGCGGCGGCGTGTCGCCTCCATGCTCATGCAATGCAATGTGCTTGTCGCCGTCTTTATTACCTAGAGCCAGTGGATCCTGCTTCTCGTTCATGGATCCGCAAAACGAATGGGCGTCGATGATCACGCCGGGACTGGTATCCAATATTTTCACGTCGCTTTCCTGCGTCCGTCGGAATCCTGCTTCGCCTCCATAGTGAGCCAAAAGTCGGTCAACCAAAAGGACTATTTTTCATTTCCAACCCAATCAGAAAATTTGTTTCATCGGATAACAGCGATTGGTGGCGATGGGCCGGATGGAAACAAAAAAAAGCTTACCTGTCAGCAAGGTGAAGGTAAATGCGTATAGGATCGCCGGAGACGTCATGAAAGAATACACCAGTGAGAAGTCTCGAACAAAAGATACCAGACCGGCCAAGAACACCCCCAGGACAACCCGGGCCGCTGCTCCAATACCGATGCAGAAGCGACTCTGGTGGCGACGCGCTAGCAGGAGGAAAGCGGCGAAGAGGAACATCACGAGCGATGCAACGACAAAGAAATACACATAAACGAATCCCAGGACCTCCACATACGTTCTCAACAGCTGGGGTCCACTGAGATGGTTGAATTTCGAGCCCTCTGAGGGAACAATACCCATACTGGAGAACAGAGCGGCCGTTACATTTCCAACCAGGTCGCCCAGGTGATTGCGAGTTACGTGATAGCTGGGGGTCTGGCCCATGGGACATAAGGGATGGTTGGGCAAGTCTTCTAGAATGTCTGATATTGCTATTCTTGCCTTGGTTGAGCCGCGGCTGTAATTGATCTCCATATCAGCAATGGTGGTGCGAAGGAGGTGGATGGCAACGTCGGGTGGTGGCCGTGGCTCCTCACAGGCAAACATGATAGTTTCCAGAAGATAGGTCAATTTCAGGGCAATGTCGAGCGTCAGGGCTAGAATCTGCGACCCCTCAAGAAGGAGGATGAGAGCCACGTGGAATGGAAAATGCAACTGGGCCCAGGCCAGTTGTGCGTACTTCCCAAGCATGCATTTCGGGGAAAGGTCGTAGTACACCTGCCACAGAAGATACTGAAAACAGATTGGAGGATCAGCAGATTGAATCCTGGCGAGCAAAACTCTAAGCGCAATAACACCGAAAAGGGAAAAGGATAGAGAGGGAGGGAAAGCCACATACCACATTGGTTGTAACACCCAGGATATGCACAAACGACCATTTGGTCCAGCCCCCTGGCCGCACCGTTTTGTTGACAATTCTTGTAATTGCTATGACGCCTTCCCCGATGATGATCAGGGTAAGGAGCCCCATTCGCACATTCAGGTGAGTGTCTTGAAGCCCAATCCCTGGTGTAACACAGGAAACTCCCATGACAATCCACATTTCCAGGCCGAACAAAACAAACCAAACGGTCCATATATAGGGGTAGATACCAAGCTGCGCCTTGAACATGAAAAACATCTAGCAAGCGTCCTGGGTCAGAGGCTGTAAACCGTAGTCTCTATAGCTGTTTTTGATGGTCTTCAGGGTATAAGATGGGTTTTACTCACCCCCAGATACACCAAGCTGGTCACAAATAATGCAGTAGCAATGAGAGATACCCCCCGAGCAGCATGTCTCATGTGCTGGCGGATGAAAAGAATATTGACGGTGTACTGAAGGGCCAGTAAGATTCGACTTCCACCCAGGAGCAGGCTCAATGACTGGAAAGCCCAAACGTTCTCATCCCGAACATGCGTGGTAAACCGCGTGCCCGCAGATGCAAAACCAACCATTGCAGCCAATTGCACAGCCTTGCAAAACCGTTCAAAGACCGAGTCTCGAGCAAATCGGACGTCATATAGTGTCACTTGGAGCCAGGTAAACCAGATTACGCCGAGAAATCCCGTGTACGCTCCTAAAGCTGGAAATATCAAGTCAATAGATTGCCCCGACTAGGCTTAGAGGAGGCGTATTCCAACACCTTCTACATTGTGGATCTCATGTGTAGCCGTAAAAGTAGACAGGTTCGCCACGAAAAACAGGTCAAAGAACAGTTCTATCGGAGTGGCATCCGCATGCCGGTTGAGGCGTACAGAAGCCCCATCTGTCCCGCCAATAGATGGTTCAATGGGTGTTTCGATGAACGGGATGCTGCCACGCTGCCTTCACACAAGGAGGTCTAGGTTACTAAAGTACGCAGAAAGGTTGTGTGGCCTTGACTCACAGGGAAGAGCCTCCAACCGGTAAGGTCCTGCGCAGAGGCCGACGAAAAGAGAAAAAAGGTGCTCGCACCATGGCAGAGAATATTGAATTGAACAAGCTAATTGAAGGGTATCGTCGGTGAAAGTCAAGTGGGTTTGTCTAGGTATCATAACATGTGTCTCGAATTGAGGCCATCCTGGCCCGGGGCTGCCGTGGGAAGAAGCATTTTGGGCCCGAGTTATCGGAAGGAGCGTCTGTCGCTCTTTCTATGCTTTCAGTAAGTGTGTGAACGCCTGAAGGGTTGATTATCGCAATTATCATGATTCAATCTCGGAATTCGCTGACGACTCGGCCATAGGAGTGCCAAAGCTCTCTAGTCCTCGCGAATTCTGGATATCTCCATCGGCTGTCCCGTCCTCGATGGCCGCAGGAGCACGACCAGCCTCTTGTTTGAGTTTCTCATAATTATCGCCCGCCTCTTTGATCAAAGCTTGAATCTCTACCTCCCGGACGGCGATGTCGGCTTTCTCCTTTCTCAGCTCTTCCATCCGACCGATCATCTGCGTTTTCGACTGCTCCATAACAGCGAGATTGGTGCGCAGACGATCCAGACAAGTTGAGAGTCGGGGGAGCGAGGTCATCTTGGGGGGTGTCTTCGGTCGCTCAAAAGGATCCCGGCCGCTCTTGCCCATCGCAGCCCTCGTTTGAGTAGCCTCATACGCGGCCCTTTCTTCGATGTCGGAGTCGTCCTCATCTGATGACCCCTCGGCATCGTTGATGAGTTCTTTCATCTGTTCGCGTTGTCTTCGCTGCTGTTCGCGCTCGGCCTTTTTTCCAAGGGATATACGACCATCCTCCACAAACTCGTCGAACCCTTCGGCAAAATCTTCGTCGTCTCTGATGAGTCGCGTATCTCTGTGATCCTCCCGTGCGCCTTCTTCCCATTCAGCATCGCCCGCATTATCCTCCAGAGAGATATAATCTTGCTCGGTCACGGTGGCACCATGTTCCTTTGCTAATCGTGCCCTTCTAGCCTTCTTTTCCCTGATTTCCGCTTCGCTTGGAATTGCGGCTGGCGCGGACGCTTTCATTACCTCCCCGAACTTTGCAGCAACATCGACCGTCTTTTCCTTCTCCTCATCGGTGGCGGGCGTTTTCGGTGTCGAGGGCGTCGAATCTCGAAGTTCCTTCAGGTAATCGTTGTTGTAACTGGGCCGATCTTGTTCGGGGCCGACCCTTAAAGGAATGTTCCTCCCCGATGTCGACTTGGACGCAGTATTCTCAAGCGCTCGTCTTCCCAACCCAGGCCGTTTGGGTATTACAACCTCGCTGTCCTGTCCTTCATCATCTGCCATAGAGGTCTCGCCGGGACCGAACGAAACACGTAGTTTTGACTTTTGCTTTGCTTTGGAACTGACGGGCTTCTTGACAACGGGTCCTGTATCTTTAAATACATTTTATTAGCATATTTCGATCTATTGCCTCCCAAGTACCAAGTGACTTGGATTGTAGTAACGCACCTTGTTCGTCTCCTTCATCTTCATCATCTCCGCCGATCTTGCGCGGCTTTTTCCGATTGGCGAATTTGGTGCTCATTTTTAGAGGGTTGTCGCAATGAACGTGCCGGAAGTCGCAGGATCGAAGGTCTACTTGGGAGCTCCGCGAGAAGCCCGCCGCAAAGCTCCCGGGAACATCATTTCTCCGAGGCCAGCTTATCCCACGGCGACCCTCTCAAAAGTTCCGCCGCGCGACTGCTTCTCGACCATTCACGGAGGGAAAGTTCACAACAAAGGCCAGCCAAGATGCCTCAAGCTCAGCCGGAATTGAAGAAGGTATTGTTTCTTTTTCTCTTCCTTTCCCTTCCTCCTTTCTCCGCCTGGTCTGATAACTAACCACGCTTCGAACTCCCACAGTACATGGAAAAGCGGATCTTTTGCCAATTGAACGGCAACCGCAAAGTCATTGGTATCCTGCGAGGCTACGATGTACGTCCTTCCCCGTCCCTACTATGCCGCGGCTTTGGATTCGCGCTTTCTTCGTCTTCCGAACGAATGTGTACGCCATATCCCGCGCGGAACAAAGGTCTGACTTGGTTGGGTTGCAGGTATTCATGAACATCGTTCTCGACGAGGCTTTTGAGGAGAAGACCGGTGGTGAGAAGGTTGCTATTGGCATGGTGGTATGTGATAGCGCGATATATCGAGGGCTGCGGTTCTCGAATTCGCTGGGCGCGGCTAATCAGTTTCTCTACCAGGTCATCCGGGGTAACTCTGTCGTCATGCTTGAGGTGAGCCAATTTTCTACCGGGTATCGCGCATTCCATGGACTTTGCAGATCGCTAACGCAATCTCTCTCAACAGGCTCTGGAGCGGATAAGCGACAAATAAATAGACGTCGGGTCGGAAATGCGCCCTCGCTGCCGGGATGGACAAGGCGGGCTAATTGTTTGTTTGTTTTAAATAAAGTACTGGAGTTTTAAGGGTCGGTTGTTGCTTTTTCATGGTCTGGTCGAAGAAATACCAATTTCGGTCTCCTCACATCCTTTTATTAACGACGAAAGAAAAAAATGGCACTCCAATGTTCGGAGCTTAAGGGTTCTAGGAGCTTGCTTCCCTTTGTCTGTCTGCCCTTTTCCGAAGAAGAAAATTATCTCTTGATAGACTATCTGATGATTGAATTGCTATGCAAGACATCGACATTCATGGCAAAAGCAAAATCCGATACCGCATCAAATGAACCGGGGTAAAGAAGCCGGCGGAGGTTTTTAGAAGCAGAAGTCCCCAAAACTGATCAAGCAAACGCAACATAAAAATGATTTAAACGGGGAATTGAGAGAAAAAGAAAACAAAAATCGATTCCACCATCGCGCCATGAAATTTCCCCTGCCAACCTGCCTCCGTGGTTTTAAGAGAGAAGATAGAAAAAGAAAAGATCAGAAGTATAAGTTACATGAATAAAGTAGAGGCCCTGTTTGAATTAGTAAGAACTTATTTCGGCTTCTGGCCGAACTTCAGCTTTAACTTGAACCCGCCACCAGGGGTGGATGGCGTGGACGGAGTAGCTGGATTGCGAGGTGACGCTTGGGGCGCAGGGGAGGGAAGTTTTGGAATATGCAGTTTGGGTGTGGACTGCGGTGCTGGAGTCGGGGGTTGGGACGAGGTCTTGGGGACGACCTTCGACTGCTTGAATGTGATACGAGGTCCAGGGGGTGGCATTCCCTGTTCTTCTCGTTTGCGCTTCGTGGGAGCGGCAGTTGAATCCTTTGAGGGGCCGAGGGTGGTGCGTACACGGTTGGATCGGAAAAAATGCATTCGGCCCTGGAACAGGTGAGCAATGATGTCAAGGGGAATAGATAAGCTAAGTCACATACCTTTCCGAGGTGTTTCACCTTCCAGTACCGCGGGTACTTCAGAGAGACCTTCACTGAGGTTACTGGGTTATATATGATTCGACAGAGGTCGGCGAATTCAGAGAGCTCTAAAATGCCAATGCAGGGGGAGTTGCACGCAGCCCAAAGCGCTTCCTTCAGAACCTGATCGCCGGAGACTTCGAGTTTGAGCGCCTCCATGGCGCCAGTGACGGTCTGCTTTCGTGCCAAAGTTGCCTGACGGACTTCAGTTGATGACTCCTGTTCAATGATGAGACCGTCGCCAGAGGCTGGCGCCTGGTTGTCTGATTCGCGGCCAAAAGCCACGGGAGCGAGGGCCTTGCCAAACAGGCTATGAAGCCGTCGTCGAAGCCAGGCAGAAGAGTCGTTGGACATGGTGAAGATGAACCATTTGAGAAGTTCTGGGCTCTTGAAAACATCCATTTCCACAAGGCACTCGAACGCATCCAGGCGAAGGAGGTCGTACGTGCCAGCCCTAGTGTAAGGCAGGAATTGCATAATATCCATGTCCACTATGTTGGCCTGCATGAGCTGCATCTGGCAACGGATGGCTGCACGAGAATAGACGTTCTGGAACGAGCTTGACCACTCGTCCATTCGTCTGTAGCGATCGATTTCGGCTAAAGCGTCTTTTTCCAACTCTTCTTCTTGCCGTACCTCAATCATTCCTTCCATATCGAAGTCTTCAACGGGCGCCGACTCGACTTTGCCCAGCATGGCGTGACACAAAGACTGCATTAACATCGCGACGTAGAAATTATCGGAGTACTATGAGAAGAATGAGTAACAATTATACCATAGTCGAAGCATCACAGTTACTCACCTCGTTATTGGAGTTGTCATTGAATTTCAGCTTGTCATGCAAAAACCGCTTGACCCGCATTGGAGTCTTGCCTCCATTGTCACGCACTTTTGATATGGCTTCCGGGATTATCAACTGTAGCGCATACGCTGCCCGGTCAGAAAAGTCGTTTGAGCGGGTCATCGGCGAGTTTGGGAGGCAGAACAGCTCCTGGAACGCTCGTTCTAGATGGAACAAGCCTAGCCAGTTGATTTCTTCCTTCGCATGCTTGACAAGAGCTCGAACTGCAGCAGCACGGATTCCGTGAAAGTATCTCCGATCCATCAAGGTTCGAACAAAAATTGTAGAGATTAGCGGATGCTCTCGCTGGGCGGCCATGTACTGTAAGGACTAATAATTGGGTCAGAATCTTTGCTCAAGAGTAATCAAGGGAAGGAAAATGCGAACCTCTAACTGGGCAACAACATCTCGGTCTTGTTGAAGCTGAGAGAGGTACATGTAGCCCGGCATTACCAATGAGAGTTTGCAGATCCATTCGAAATCCGCGTCCATGCGAATCCACTCGTAAGACTCTTGGCCCATTCTTTCCTCGTCCTCTTTGCTCCAATCGGCCAGTTTCCACTCTTGCATCTCCTCTTCACTCTGCAGCACATCCCCTAAACAGTAAAGCAAGACATCTTCCTGCGCCTCCGCGTTGGGATCGCCAGAGACGAGGGCAGCACGCTCCTTTTGCCTCTTGTTCCGCTTGAGTCGCTTGTACTTGGTGTTATAAGGAATATCAAATTTGGTGACACCTTCCTTGATCTCAACAATGTGCTCGTATGGCGTGCCATCGGCTTCGTGAATTCTTATCGTCATGGAACCCGTAAAGACCGGCTGAACGGCGCCTGCATAAACCCCGCGGATTTCCTCCTTGACATCACGCATGAAAGAGTTCTTTTCTAGGTCACGAGTACTCGGCTGTTCCGATTGAACTTGCTTGATCATCATCTCGACGACCAACTTCTTCTTGTTGAACCTCTGTGTGGCTTGGAACCGCGGACAGCCAGCACCATATACCCATTGGGTGAAGAAGGCGTCTAGCCTTGCATGACCAAGTTTCTCGCATGTCTTCTGAAAAGAAGCTGTGGTGATGGCACCATTGGACATGTCGCCCGTTCGTGACGTAAGGAAGAGTCGAGATATAATACGGGGCATTGTCGCCTTTCCACTCGCCTTCATGAGTCGTCGGTCCAGGATGAATAGAACAAGGGGCGCCTTCAGTGCGATAAACTGAATTTCAGATGCATCCAACTTCAGGTAGTTGCCCATGTCGTGTATCGATGGACGTTCATAATCTAGGTCACAAACTCGGTCGGACATTTGCTTCATTCGAAATCGATATTCGTTATTCCCGCAGAGTTTCCTCATGAATGTATCGGTGATGTACCAAGCCACTCCGACGGTAACCCAGGTGTCAGCATGTGTCTGTGGCACGATGTTGACCCCGATCCACTGACACGACAAAGCGTGAACCAGCGTGCGCGTGGAATCATACATCGTGTCGATGATGTCTTCGGGAAACAAGAGATGGTTGCTGCAAATCGACAAGCACGCTGTCGGCAAGGTTTCCTCGGGCGTGTCATCAACAAAACACATCTTGTAGCTTGAGAACGGATAGGACCCGTAGTTCAGCGAAAAGAAATCGATGGCCTTTGCCATGGGGAAGCACGTATTCCTAAGCTCATCGCCTCTCCCCGGCAGGCAAAAGCCATGAAGCGGAATTGCGTTCAGGCCAAGCTGTTCATCCTGGTCACTTTCTCGAAAATCAGAAAGGTTGACATATTCAAAGGGACCAACAGCGAATCCCACTTGCTGGGCCGATAATTGAGTAATGCACGCGAACGATACGGTTTTCTTGCTCGAATCCTTCGGGTCAATAATTTCATCGGTCATGTCTCCAGAGCAAACCACCGACATATCTAAACCCTCATCGTCCGGGGAGATATATCGCCCATGGCCCGACGAAGACTTGTTGCGACTAGATGGGCCGGCTGCGGATGGGTCCCGGGATTTGCGATCAAATACGTCCCCCAGCGAGCATGGCGTTTTTATCGAGAGCTCCCATGTGCAACGAGACAAAGGGTCGTCAACGCAGGGAAACAGAGGACATCCGACGCCATACCCCAGTGAATTTGTTGTGTAGACGTGCGGATAGCGCCTGTCACCGTTTTCCATGCCGACAAACTGCAGTCCCTCCCGGATAGTATCAATGACAAACTCGATATTCACCGTCACCGCCGTAAACCGAGGGAGCGAAGTGTCGGCCGCTTTCGAGCTTGTAAGCCCTTCAGCATCATCGCCAGCGCCGGTCGCTCGCAGGGCCATCTGGTCCTGGGCTTCAATAGAGGATGGGTCGAGCTCATCGATTTTGACGCTTTTCGGGACGGTCACAAACAACTCGGCTTCCGGCGGTGACTTCACGAGGGTGTCTATTCGAGACGACAGTCGCTGATGATAATGAGGACCGTACAGTTGAAGAGTATCGTATGAGTTCGTATGCTTAAAGGGTGTGGTCTTTCCACCAACAGTAATGCGCTTGATCTCGCCCTGTCGGAAACTCAATCGGATAACGCGAAAGTCCTTTTGCTGCGGATGGATGGTGATTTCTGTTTTCCCCTTCAGGCTCTTGTTCGCAAAGTCTATCTCCAGTTCGACCTTCTGATGCGCAACGGTAAAGCCCAGCCCCGACCAGTCAGGGCTGGCGCCGGCCTCAACGACGCCTGGCATTGCGCAAAATACTCAGTCGTGCACTGCGCCGCGAGCGCCTGGCTGACCAGCCACCGTCATGTCCAAGCCCAGAAAACAACAGGCAGAGTTGTCAGTTATCGGTCTCCGATGATGCTGATCTGGGCAGAGAGGCCGGAAATCGGTGGGGGCGAGGGTATATGGACGGTCCTAAAAGTTGAAGCTGTAACGGCGGGCGGGGAACAGCAGTTGTAGAAGGAAGGGTAAGAAAAGTCGTGAAGAAAAGGTTCGCCTGGGAGAAACCGAACAGACACCAGACAATAAAGAATGACAAAGGTTCGCAGAGAAGACAAGTTGGTAGGTGAAAAGCAGGAGACGCTGAAAAGAAAGGCTTTTCCCTCGACCTGAAGCATTCACTCGCTCACCTTCCGCTCATGTCGCGTTTGTTGCTTCGAAGCTGCGGAGCTTCAGACCGCCGGGCACGTGATGCCCGCCCGAGGACAGAACGTTCGCCGATCCTCTCCTTCTCCGTCCGCCGGTCCCTTTTTTTCTCCTTTTACGGTCCTTTTGGACGGATATCTGCCTTTCGTTGACTCGCGGCTTTCTCTTGTTCGCGTTGCTTTTGCCTGACCGGGTGTTTGATAGCGCTTGACTTATCTCTCAAAAGCAATTTACCGTTCCTGCGCCATTTACCCTGTCTAGTCGCATTCCGCGCCATGAACTATTGAAGTCGATCATAGCACCCATTCGGCCTCTTTTGTTCTTTTTTTTTTTCTTTTTTTTTGTCTTCTTTAGAATATATCAATTGCTTTCTTTGTGCGAAAATGAGTGGAATTTTTAGAAAGGTCCAAGGTTAGTCGTCATAACGCAGTCAATTTGCATAAATTATCGATGGTCAGATATTAATCGCCCTTCTTATCACAGCGATCCAAGACTCGCTTTCCGACGATGTGCTCCTACCGCTCAAAAGTTACAAGTACTCGAGTGTGGACAAGTCATTTATATCCAGATATATATTAAAGCATTATGTGCGGCACCTTGACACCATTGCTTTGTACCCTCCCATCTCTGACAACCAGCCGGTGGAAACAGTGGAATGCGTTCGTGGAAGTTTTACCACTATGGTTGGCTCCTAATATGGTGACGCTTCTGGGATTCATGTTCATCGTGGGCAATGTGATGCTCATTGAGGTCTACATGCCAGACCTCATTGGACCGGTAAGGGCGATTGTCCGGTAATACTTGGGTTTGCTGGTACTGAGACGCTTTCTTGAAGGGACCCTCTTGGTTATATTACAGTTTCGCTTTTGGCATGTGGATGTAAGAGGGCTGCATAACTTACTGTCGATCTCCTGGGCCTAACAAAGATCTAGGTATTCGACTCTGGACAACGTCGATGGCAAACAGGCCCGAAGAACCGGAACATCAAGTGGACTGGGAGAGTTATTTGAGTTAGTACTCCTTTTCGGACCGGATCAGAAGGGCGCTGATGATTTGCAGTCATGGAATTGATTCATTGAACTGCACTCTTGCGAGTCTTCTGGAGACTGCGGCGATGGGTCTCGGCTCCACCCAACTCGGCGCATACACGGCTATTGTCCCGTGCCTTGCGATGTATTTCTCGACCTGGGAGACTTATCACACGCACACACTTTACCTCGGGTACTTCAATGGTCCTACAGAGGGCTTATTGGTTGCCATTGGCTTGATGATTGCATCCGGTTACTATGGACCTCAGATATGGTCCCGACCCATCGTCGAATTCTTGAACTACCCTCAAATCTTTGGAAACAACTCCGTGAAGGATATTTGGATTCCGTTCCTCCTTCTCTCGTTCTTCGTGGGACACCTGCCGGGGTGCGTTTACAACGTGATTGTTGCTCGGAGACAGCAGAACCTTCCGTTGACCCCGGTCTTCAAGGAGTGGGTTCCAATGATCGTGTTCACCGGCTGCAACCTGGCCTGGCTTCTTTCGCCCTACTCGATCATCTTGGCCGATGACCGACTGGTCCTATACTGCTGGGTGATTTCTTTCGTCTTTGGACGGATGACTACCAAGATCATTCTTGCTCATCTCCTCCGACAGCCGTTCCCCCACTGGACCGTTCTGCAGATTCCTCTTGTTCTTGGCGCTGTGCTGGTCAACCTTCCGCGAATTGGCCTTCCCGGGATCAGTGGATGGGTGGAGCTGCTGTACCTCCGGCTTTACCTCGTCGTTGCATTTGTTGCCTACATGCACTGGGCCTTTTTGGTGATCAACCGGATCACCACGTTCTTGGGAATCAACTGTCTCACGATTCGAAAGGACAAATCTACGGCCCGGGACCGGGCCTACCGCGAATTTGGAGAGGCAAACCAGGAGGATCCCAACGGCAACGCCGATCCCAACAAGGGAGCCCTCAAAAGCCATTGACTCGCTCGCTCGGAGAGCACTCCCTTTGAGAGGCCAAGCAAATGGTATACATTTGGTCCCCCCGGAGCAGATCAACCCAACGGGGAACCTCTTCTTCGGTGAATTCTTTCCGGTGTAACTGACGCCACTCCGATGCCACATGCCCCGTTCATTTTCCGGGTATATATGTTTCTGTCCATACTTATGTTTCTAATGCCCCCTTTGGATATGCCGCCACTGCATGGACTGATGAACTGAATGACTTCTGTTGATGGCTGACGCAAATGTTTCCTCTAGTGAAACCTTTTTGTTTTATTTGCAGTACATAGATGCATTGGTATGCTATTATATTAATATGAATAGATCTGTATTTAATTTACTCAGTGGTTTGCTACGATACATAATAATGCAGAGAGTGTGCATGCAGCGTTTGGCCATGCCGTGGTTAAGCCTCCCGCAAGCTACTAGTTGCCCTGACGGATCTGCAGTGGCGTTGGAGCTTGTAGGACGGAGTCGCTGTCAGTGAAACGCCGCCGTCGGAGATCTACCGGCGAACCGGCCAACAGGGCAGAAGTCCGCCAGAAATGCGATAAGAACGACGTAGGACTGATATGCCTGATCAGGCAGGGCCCCCGGCGCATTTCCCCTGCAGAGTTGCTCCGGTTATAAGCCCTTGCTGATCCAGTCTACTAGGGGGGTACAAACCCCCGCTTCTTCATCCCACAACCCCTCTGCAGATCTGCCTTCAATTCAACACGATGGGCACTTCCGACGACGTTGTGACTCCTGTCGCGACTTCCCTCGACAATAATGGCTCCGATATTATTCAGGTCCAGAATGCCGATGAATTGCGATTGGCCCAAATGGGTGCGTTTCTGCAAGCCAAAGCTTCTTTTCATTCGAGGTGATGGTTTCTAGATAGCGACAACTGCTAATCTCCTTGATCAGGCCATAAGCAAGAATTGAAAAGACATTTCTCGGTATGGAGCTTGATCGGCTTGGCTGCAAACTGTACCATTTCCTGGACTGGTAAGTTGATCACTTCAGATACTCGGTATGATGTGGTGATGAGTCTAACACATCTATTCACAGGTCTAGGTCTCGGTCTGATTACATCCATCGATGCGGGCGGTCCTGGTGCCTGTAAAGTCGACGCCTACACACTATAAGCGAGATCATACATTGACTGATCTAGTGATTTACGGGTTCATCCTGGTCTTCATCCTCCAATGCTTTCTGGGAGCTTCCCTGGCGGAATTCGTCTCGGCATACCCTGTTGAAGGTGGGATGTATCACTGGATTGCAGCGATCGCTCCCAAGCGTTACAATAGTCTTCTGAGCTTTGCAACTGGTTGGAGCACGGTGTTTGGATGTAATGGCCCGGAAGCCTCTGGTTTTCTGTATCATGGGAAAGCTGATCCAATTAGGGATTTTCACGACGGCCTCAACGAACCTCATCTATGCCTCTACTTTCATCGCTCTTATCGCGCTATACAAGACTGATATGGTGCTCCAGCCCTGGATGACCTTTGTGGCTTATCAGGGCCTCAACATCCTCACCGCGAGTGTGGTCATGTTCGGTAATCGCTTCATTCCAATGATTAACAAATTTTCGTGTAAGTCAAGTACCTACCAATGGCTTGGGCAGCAGGATCCCGAGCTAAACGCTGAAAGTGGTTTATCTCCAACTTGCATGGTTTGTCACTATGGTCACAGTGGCTGCGGCAGCTCCGAGCCATAACCATGAAAAGTTTGTTTTCCGGACTTGGATGAACAATACTGGCTGGGACAATAATGTGATATGCTTCATTACTGGTCTTGTGAATCCGCTGTACGCCCTCGGCGGACTGGATGGAATCACTGTATGCTCTGTTTCTCACCAACCGCCATTATTCGTTGCTGATATTAATTACAGCATATCACTGAGGAGATGCCAAATGTGAGTCATGATCTCACTGTGCCCTAAACTAGCTGTAGCTAAGATCTTCCAGCCCGGAAAGAATGCCCCTTTAGCCCTAGGTTTGTTCCAAAACAGCTGATTTGCAGTACTTAAGCTATGGCTCAGCTAACATATATATCTAGCCTGCACTCTGAGCATCGCTTTCGTGACCGGTCTATCTTACATGCTCAGCCTCATGTTCTCTGTACAAGACTATGGAAGTTTGGCAGATACTCCAACCGGCCTACCGTTGGCAGAAATCTTTCGGCAAGCAACTCAAACACGAGGGGGTGCATTTGGCCTAGTCTTCCTAGTGTGGGTGGCTCTAGGACCATGCATGCTTGGAGCTCAGCTCAGTAGGTCTATTAAGTACCTTACCATTGCAGTCATCTAAACTTGCCGCAGGTACCGGAAGAATTTTCTGGGCATTTGCTCGAGATGGCGGTCTTCCCTTCTCAGGAGTGTGAGTAGCGTGCCGGTCAATGACCGTCTGTGGATTCTGTTAACTCTTTCCAGTTGGGCCAAGGTTAACGTGCGGCTGGGCTCTCCGTTCAATGCGCAGCTGTGTGTGACTGTCATCGTATCACTGCTGGGTTGTATCTACCTTGGCTCGAGTACGGCCTTCAATGCTATGATGAGTTCCGCAGTGTACGTAACCCGTTCTGTTTCTCATTGGCCTCTTTGACATGCTTTCAAAACTGACGGATCGATTCAGAACGATTAACAACATTGCATACCTGGTTCCAATCCTGACGAACGTAATCCTTGGCCGCAAGACAATGCATAAAGGGCCCTTTTTCATGGGTTCTATTGGCGGCATGACGGTCAACATCATAACCATTGCGTGGCTGGTGTTTGCCATCGTGTTCTTTTCGTTCCCGTACTATATGCCAGTGACAAGTATGTTTCTCCGAGTTTATTAATAGGACAGCAGTTCTCCACATTGGACCAGGAACTAATGCGTCACTTAGAATCCAACATGAATTACACCTGTGCATGCGTCGGGGGTTTCCTTGTCCTCGAGCTGATGTGGTGGATAGTTGCTGGAAAGCGGTACTCTAAGAGCATGCAGAAGGCAAGGGAGGAAGAGCACAATGCTGCCCGAGCTGTGATTGTCAACCCACAGGACAAGACCTAGATGTATCGGCTACTCTGTACGATTGAGATGGATTGGTCAATCGGTCAATCTCTCTGTGCCATGGATGGCCACTAGCTGTGTGATTCCGAGGCTTTGACAATGAAGCGTTTCTTCTAAATTGATGTTTTCCCGTAACATAAGATCTGCCGGCGGAGTATTTCATCATTCACCTACTCCGTGGCTATTTTATATATAGTAAGATCATAAAATTCTCGCTTCCCAGGCGCAGCCAATTTAGCCGTTTCAGGCGTCTCTTTCATTCGTGTGGATTATTTGGATCGTTTCAATTGGTATTCAATCCTTTTAGGTCACCGCGATAGCCCTCGACTCCCGAATTCCATAATCAGGACTAGAGAGCACATCAATGTCTCAAGAACATGTCAATTTCCAATGATAGGCATTGCAAACAAGCAGATCAACTGCCTGGTTAAAATATATAATCGCCACACGGGCCTATGCAAGAATGATAAAAGGAAACAAAACATAAGCACCTCTACTCCGAGCACTCCGATGCAGCAATATGAATAACCGACATAACATCATAGTAATAAAAATCACAAGAATCAACAATAATTTCACAGCTGACTATTAACACATTCTGCCAAAAAGGAAGTCCTTGACGATTGGCGAGCTAGAGAATTCGGGGTTCAAAAGTATACAGCTGTAGGAAAGCAGGATGGTCAGGATTGCTTCTCGTGGAATAGGAGAGGCTGGGCGGTTGGCAATACTCACTTCAAAAAATATTCTAATCCAACTCGTCTGGATTCGAGGAAAGAGGGGCGGAATTTGTCTAGTGAAGTTGGTTAGACGTGTTTGTGTTTTGGGCGGATTGTCCAGTACGCACAGAGAACGCTCTTTGGGGGGAGAGCCGGGAGGGCGTTCTTTGCGTGTGGGAATGATGCGACAAGCTGCTTTCGTAGATCATCGAATTCGGAGTACCTAGTGGGGTCAAAGGGCAAGGTCAATGAAGGTCCAGTGAGGTAAAAAAAAAAGGGATGGCTGGCGTCGTGCAGGTGTATACATACCTCATACGAATGGTGATGGGGCCACCCTGACAAAGGAAGTTAGCAAGCTATCCTGTGCAGCGAAGTCCGTGGTTTCGGGTCCAAGCTGGGAACCGTCATACCTCCAGTGTCTGGATTGTGCAATTCCAGACCACATAGGACCCAATGCCAGTTTTGCCTTGCACCACGACATGATCGTTAACCGATACACTTCGAGCCCAGAGGCCCCGGCTCGTCTCCGAATTCGGGTCCTCCGTATGATCTTCTAGTGTGATGGCTGGGAACCGATCGAGCGAGGCCTGGGATGCACGGGACGCATTCCGATGGTGAGTCCAGTATGGCGGAACTATGCCGGACACGGGGCGATCTTTGGACGAAGTGTGAGGCGGATTATTGCGGGCCTGGGGCAGCGCTGACCCATTGCTGGCGCTGACCCCATCCGAGGACGATGCAGCCGTCGGGGATTCGGGACGGTGAGGGCTCGAGACAGAAGATCGGGAGGGGGAGGATGGCCGAGGCACCAGACCAGTCTCCTCATTCGCTGGCTCCATCCATTTAGGTCTTCCGAGGGAGTACAATTGACGAAGGGAGTGGGCGATTTCTGGCGGCAACTAAGAATAAGTTTCGATGCAACCAGGCTGGTCGGGTGGAAGGCGTGCGAGAACCGGTGGCGGGGAATAAACCAAACCGGTAAAATTCACAGATAAAAATACGACCAAACTCAAAATAAAAATAAAAAGAAACAAAAGGATACAAAAAAGAGAGAGGGAGAGAGGCAAGGGCAAGAGTGGCGTTTGATATCACTCACGGCGAGGTAACTAGTTGAAGCTTGCTAGGGGTCTGGGTCAGCAGGTCGGGTTTGGACCGCTTTGACAGGTGGAAAGTGCGGGGACAAAAAGAGGAGAAGAAAAACAAAAAAAAGACCCGACAGGACAATTGATAAGATCGGAGGTTTCAGATGGCAGAGGAAGCCGGACAAGGATCAGAGTGACAATCAATACCGCAGAGGCAGAGACTCGCCAGGTCGACACAAAGAACGGCCGGTCGCCTTCCCGCGTAGGAAATGCTGGGGAGCATCACGGGACTGCCAAGACCCCCGGCCCCGACCGCCGCCACATGACCAGAACTGCGAAGGTCTTGGATTTCGCATGGAAAAACCACCCACTCCTGCGTCCTCCCACTGGCCAGACTCATCAGACTCAGCGTTGGCTGCCATCGTTGACTCACGTATCTGACTCTCCATGACTACTGCGTACGAGAAACGAGCATGCCCCCTCCCTATCTCTCCCGCAAGACGGGCCATGATTTGGCCCGGTGAGCCAACGCTCTTCGGATCAGTCCATTGCAGAACTACCACCTAGCCGTGCTACCCTTTCCTGCTAGCGACATTACTAGGGCCCGCGCTAGAAAAAGCCAAGCGTCGTTGGACCCAATCAGTCCGCCACAATCTCGGGTAATCATCAACCCCAAGTGAGACATCCTGGGCCCGTCCTTGCCGGAGGAAAGCAGCCATCAATCACAATGGCTCCGACTTATCGGTTGGCTCTTCTGTTTCCAAGACATTCCAGGGCCATGTGAGGGTTGGATTTTGCCTCAAGTGGCCGGAAGAGGACGCGTCGTCGCCATCAAACTCCTAAAGATAGAACGGCCAGAGAGGGGGAAAAGAGTCATGTCACTCATCGGACGCTCTATGGCTCCATGCAGACCAGGGTATGCCTCCCGGCTAGCTGCCCCGGATCGACATGGCTCCTTCTTTTTTTTTTTTTTTTTCTTCCTTTCCCTTTCCCTCGGCCAAATTCTTTGTCTTGCGTGTTTCTGTGCTGCAGCTCTAGCTGGTTTCATTATTCCTTTCTGGGTACATTTTCCTGGGTATATGGAGTATGGAGTCTGTGTATGTATGTAATTAATGTGAAATGGGTCCTCCTCGTGTTTCCTAATGAAATGGTCCGGTTAACTGACCGATTGTCTAAGACCGTCTGTTTTCTTAGCCCCGACTAATGGGCCCCTAAATTACTGGAACTCTACATGAAGCTCTAGGAGGTCGGTAACGCCAAATGGTCTGGAGCTTAGGGAAGATAGCGCCGCCACCCCAACCTCGTTTGGGAGGGCCAAAGTAGTACGGTGTGGTAGTCTGACTACATATATATGGGCCTGGCGGAACGGGGTCTGTCGCTAGTATGAATTCTCTTTTCCTCCATCCATTCACCTGGCCCCCTCTCAGTCCCTTTCTCAATCTCCTCACTTCGATTTCCCTCGTCTTCTTTTATTCTCTACATCCACCGCGGGCGTTCCATTCTAGGCGTCAATAAATCTCACTTCTATTGATTACCCGCAGTCGGGCTTTTTGCCTTGATCCCCTAATTCGGTTGGTATACCTGTATGAGGTTCTCCTTTTGAGACCTGTCATTCTGCGGTTCTTCAGGCTTACGATTTGGATCACGGACCAGACCGAAGGCTATCTAGACCTCCTTCTTTCATCAACAGCCATTTTATCATACAAAATGCTTTTTCTACATTCTCTCGCTCTTCTCGCCTCCGTCGCTGGACTGGTGAACGGCCAAACCATTGATCCAAGCACCGTTGCGGAATCCACCAGAGGTATGTTTCCGGACAGAACCCTCCCGGATCCTCGATCCTGTATTGTGCTTACGCTCTTGGTAATGATAGAACAATGGTGTCAATCGCAGACCTCCGCCTGTCCACTTCTGTGCCTCCAGGTGCCTGGAGCGTCGAACAAGCCCAAGGACAACGACTGCAGCGCGGTAAGGCCGTTTTACCTGTCGATTTGGACAACATTCTGGTCAAGTTCTATTGCTGACAGCTTTGGTCGAACATAGAAAACTTTGGACTATTCTTGCGTCTGCAGTAACGGCGTTTCTCCCAATGCTTCGGAATACTCCGAGACGATGCCCTACTTCATTTGCACGGAGCAGAACAACAAATGTGTGAATGCCTGCGACAACGGCGATTCTAGCTGCCAGTCGGACTGCCGCAATGACCATCCCTGCGGAGCTCAGAACCCCAAGCGCGTCAACAAGACCACTGCCACTAGCACTATTAGCACTCCGGCTGCCACCACCTCTCTGGCTCCTTTCACCGGAGAGGCCGATGGAAAGGAGGGTCTTGCTCCCAGACAATCGGTTGAGATGGGACAGGTCTACGGCATGGTTGCGTTGGTTGGCGCTTTCCTCGCGGGCTTTACAACCTTGCTCTAACTGCCTTTCCAATGGCCACTTCTCGGTATCTGGTTTGAGATTTTCCTGGCTCTGAAATCATAGGACGGTCATCTCTCGATCCCGCTCCTTGTTTCTTTCCGGTAATAGCATATTTGCCTACATTGCACTTGTCTTTTCAGCGTTACGTGGAGCGTTTCATTTCTTCTCCTTTCGATTCTATGGTTTATCGTCCACGCATGTCATAATGGTTCTGTCCCATAATAATATTCGCGTGTTCCTTGATGCGCTTAACTAGAAAGAACAGAATTTCTAGAAACTTTAAAAATCAGCGAAGTAAACGGACTTTTATCAAATAGCCCTTGACATCTGCACATGATATTCACTTGGACAGAGGGCTTGCATTAACTTAATATGCAATTATACTGCGTGGTCGGTAGGTGAAACTGTTGCCTTGCACATACTTCAATGTAATCGGTGATGGACAGGCACAAGGCGGTGACCGAGGCGGTGAACACTGGGGTCGGAATGGTTGTTGATATCGAATCATCGATCATCGATGGCCGTCCGATAGATCATCTCGCCCACTCCCCCTCCGTTCTCCAGATCCGCCTCGCTTGCTCCCACTCTTCACCATCAACTTCGCCCTTGAGCAAAGTTCGTTCCGCAACACCTAATCATACTCATCTGCGTGTTTTTCCATCCCTTATCGCCTGGTTCTTTCTCCACCTTGACGTACCGCACACCCCTCCGCACTGTGAGGTTCGGAAGGCCACCATACCAACCGCCCGGGACCTGGTCTTAGACAGATCTCAGGCATATCTCGTTTATTCGTTTGGAAATCGCGTCATTTCTGCTTGGTGGTCTTGCTACAAGCGCACGTGCTACCCCCTCGCAAGTAGCCGGAGATGGATTACATACCGCCGGACACCTTCGACGCTCCGTCATCGACCTTATTCCCAAGACAAATATCGGGTCTGGGAGCCGCAGATTTGGAAAGCTTGAACGGGAACGTCGCTGCTATAGGGCCATTTGTGAAAGTCGATGGTATGTCTTTGAGTATCTCTCAGATGATGTGATGGGCATACGGCGCTTGGAGTTGAGCGGAATGGCTGCTGACCTTCTAGACCCACCCAAATTCGAATTGGAGTCATACATCGCCAATTACACTGGTAAGTCACCATTTGCTCTAACAAAGATTTCGACTAATGAAGTCTCTTTGTTTCAGGCCGGACCAGATTCAATCGCCTGTATTTAATAGGCACGTGTTCAACATACCTTTCCACCGAAGCGCTTAAGACCGCGGTCGCCGAAGCCAAATCGAGCAAAGATGTCCCGAGATATGAACTCGCTGTGCGAGCGCTTGCTGAGGTTGCACCGAACGAACCTGAGGCAGTTCTAGACAAGGAATTTGTGGAGCGCACGACCAAGGTCGTCAAGGCTGAGAGCGACCGATTAGAGCACGAGCTCCGAGGCTATAAGAACAATTTGATCAAAGAAAGTATAAGGGTAAGTCATCCTTGCCTTCCACTATTGCGTGACATCGTTTGACATGTTTTCGTGTCGCAGATGGGAAATGAGGACCTCGGACAACACTATCATCATGTCGGCGACCTGGTGGCAGCATCCAAAGCTTATTCTCGCATGAGGGACTACTGCACCACCCCAAGTCACATCGCATCCATGCTGTTCAAGATCATCAACGTGGCCATCGAGCGAGGGGATTGGCTCAGCGTCCAGTCTAATGTCCAGCGACTGCGCAACCTTCAATCCAAACCGGAAGAACAAGCCAAGAATCAGCCCAAAATGGCCGCCGCCCTGGGTCTCTCCCAGCTCCACTCCGGCTCCTATCTAGATGCAGCGAACAGCTTCCTCAGCACGACTCCCACCCTCGGCGACTCGTACAACGAGACCCTCACCTCCAACGACGTCGCAGTCTACGGCGGCCTCTGCGCCCTCGCCTCCATGGACCGCCACGAGCTCCAGCGCCGTGTCCTTGACAACAGCTCCTTCCGCAACTTCCTCGAACTCGAACCCCACATCCGCCGCGCCATCTCGTTCTTCTGCACCTCCAAATTCCGTCCCTGCCTCGACATCCTCGACTCCTACCGCGCCGACTACCTCCTGGACATCCACCTCCAGCGTCACGTCGACACCCTCTACACCCGCATCCGCACCAAGTCCATCCAGCAATACCTCGTCCCCTTCAACCGCGTCACCCTCGACTCCATGGCCCGCATCTTCGCCCCCAACCCCACCAATGGCCAACCCCCCGCCACCGACCTCAACTCCCCCTTCGTCCAGGAGCTGATCTCCCTGATCCAAGACGGCACCCTGGACACCCGCATTGATCTGGAGAAAATGGTCCTGGTCTCCAACGAGGTCGACAAGCGCACCGAGGTCCAAGAATCCATCCTGAACAACCTCTCCGAGTTCACTCGCGAGGCCCACATCCGACTATTACGGACGGAAATCATCCGCTCCGGCCTGGAGGTCCGGAATACCGAGGATCGGTCGAAGACGGCACAGCACGGCCATGGACCCGGGGGGAAGGATGCCAGAGGCGCAGCGGGGCTGTTTTAATCAAAAAAACGTTGAGGTTTTGCTCCACTATCGTGGGTTTTGGAAGCCAGGGACAAGCAGTATGAATGGAACTGAAATGGGATGTGATGGAATTAGAGATTCGAAACGGGGGCCGTAACTAGTTGATTTGAAGATGAGCGAAAACGTCGCATTTACTTTATGGGGGATGATGCATGCATAGATACCAATTGAAGATGGTTTACACGCTTTACTAATTTCTATCGCTTTGACTCATATTGTTGTCGGAATGAATGTATTCGGATCTCCGTAGGGTGTATTAATCATATTACATCAGAATAAAGCATAGGCATCAAAGGTAATCATCTGGGGGGCATCAGAAACCTGAAGTGAGCTGAATTACGCAAGCAGATGGAAAGAAAAGAAAAGAACAAGATCCAACCCCATTATTCGTCATGATGAAAACAGCCAACCCTCTACGCCATCGCCAATGCCAGCGCCATCGCGGCACCGCCGGCAACCCACCCAGCGTGGCCGGTGGCTTGGGCCAGGGCAGCGTTGCTGCTGTCCGTCGCAGACGCGGAGGCATCGGAACCGGTAGCGCTGGCCGAGGCACCAGAGGTGGCAGAGGCAGTGGTCGCCAGGGTGGACTTGGCCGAGGCGGTCGCCGACGCGGTGGCCTTGTTAGAGGCGCCGGTCTCGGTGGCGGTGATGGTGACGGGGAGATAGGGCATGTCGGTGGTGGTCAGGACGGCGGAGTCTTCTCTAGTAGTGGTCGCGTCGTGCATCTTGACCTCACAGGTGATGACGGATTTGTTGCCGAGCTTGCATCCTTGGCTTTGGACGCTGTGGAGTTGGGATGGTTAGAAGCTTTTCCTTTTTTGTGTTGTTTTCCATGCTTGTTTTGCTTGGCTTGGATCTCACCCAGATGTCGGGTTTACATCTGGGCTGGGACAGTGACAACTTACTAGTCCTGGTAGCTGTAAATCATATGGTAGGTGGAGGGGCCTTGGGCGACGGTGTAACCACTGGAGGGGAGTCCACATTCGTCGTCATCGGTGCCAGGGGCACAGTAGAGGACATAGGAAGTGACAGGGCCGTCCTGCAAATCAGCATTAGTATGGTTGAATAAAAAAGATGGTATCCAGAAGGGGAGCTTACAACACCGATAACCTTTCCGACGATCGGCTGAGGATCAGCCTCTGGAAGAAAGATCGAAACTACATCGTTGGCGACAACGGATGTGACGGAAGCCAGGAAGGCGAGATAGAGCGACTGAAGATGCATGCTGCAGGTGGTGGAATTAAATTAAACGAAAGGCAGTCAACGGCCGTGGATCAAAGGAATGTATGTGTAAGGCAGGCCGATCGTCTCGAGACTAAAGGAAAGACTGGATGGGGAACAGAGGCAGCAGCAGGAACAAAAAACAGGGCGCTTGGTCTTTTAAAAGAAGAATAAGCAGCCCAGTTACATTTTTTTAATCTCGCTACTCCAGAGTAGGAAAATCGTCAGGGACGTGAAGAGGGATGATTGGGTCGGTGGCGGCAGCTAAGGAACTCCTAGTCGCTGGTAGTCTCGACTTTGGGCCTGGAATTTCCCTTTCTCTCTAAGTTTGGGGGCCACCTCGGTGCCACTCCGTGTTTTTGCATTTGCCCTTGTCCAATTTCGACATCCATCAAGCACAGTCCCCTCGTTTAGAATTGAATTAAGCGCCATGTGTCGGTACCCGTGCCTTGGACCGGCTCACCAGTCCGCTCACAACCCCAGCCATCAACAGCGCGCCGTTGAATCCGGCCATGATATAGAAAGGTGCACCGGGGGAGACGGCGTCAAATAAGGACCCGCCTACTTTGGTGAGAAGCAAGATGCCCGCTCCGCCATACAGAGAGTATACTCCGGCAATTGAGCCTTTGAGGCGCGCAAGTGGCTGCCTCTTCTGATCCTCCGTGCCACCCAGCAATGGTCGCTGCTCATCGGAGTCGGGATTCCGGTCAGACTCCGTATGCGGGGAATTTCCTGAGTCATGGGCTTCCGCGCGAGATTCGTCGCTGACGTTCAGAATCCCGCCGCTGAGCACCGCCAAACTGCAGACAATGGCTCCGATCTGGCTGATCCCGAGCAGAGCCATCACTAGGAACACGCCCGCATTTCCGTCGGGACCTTTAAACTGTGGACTGGGCAGCAACCCAAATGCCGTATAGCCGATAACGCCCGCGAGGCAGGCAAAAAGCAGAGGGAGATGATACCATCTGGACTTTTCGGATAGAAAACCGAACGCAGGCGCTGCGATCAGTGCTATTAGCTGCGAAACGCCCGTTAAAATTGAGGCCAACACGTAGGCCTCGCGACAAGATTCCTTGATCCCGCTAGGTCCGGTGTCCCTGTTGCCGCCGCAAAGACCGGACGCTCGGTAGTAATGGTTAACAAAAAGCGGAACGAACAATGAAATGCCCACGGACGAGGCTCGGGCCACAAAGCCCCCTAGATATCCTATGAAAATGTCCCGCTGGCGGAATCCCAAAGTTATCGCGGCATTAAGCTGTCGTAGGTAAGGGAATCGCGATTTGCCATCAACGGGACAGGATGGCCCGGTGCATGTAGTGCCCGAGTCCTCCGGATGTGGCAACCAAATTGAGCTCCACGTTTTGTCTTCCTCGCCAGGGAGATTCCTCAAGCCGATCCAGCAGCAAGCACTCACCAGCAGCGCCACGAGCGCAACTAGATAGTAGCTGTACTGAATTGCCTGCGGCGGAGACAGCCCCCAGGTTTGGAAACGGGCAGGGAGTGGTAGAAAAGCCACTAGAGATACAAGGGCACCGCACCCAGCACACATGCCCACGAATCCAGCTAATCTAGAAGATGGTGATCTTCTTTCGGCCTTGGACCCGGCACCATGGGACGATGGAGGATGGGTAAAGTCATCCTGGGTGTCGGGCGCATTGGAAGCCAGGGATGATGAATGTTCATGTCCACTGGCGTTTCCTGTCACTACAGGCAGAACAGCTGTCACCATAGTCGAGACTGCAGAGCCTCCCACACTGAAGAGTAGTCTTCCAAGCAGAAGCTGGGGATAGACATTCTTGGCTTGAACAAACAAAGCCAGGGCCAGGGCCACAACCCCGTATCCAGCAACACAGACCTGAATAGAGAAGATTACAGTTGAGCCATCCGAGCGACTTCGTATTGTGATAAGTCAAGTGGGAAAGGGACACATACATTGCGGACACCTATACGATCTGACAGAACTCCCCACAGCGGACAAGCGGCCAGTGCAAGCAGCTCATCAGCGAAACCCAGGGTTCCCACCGCATCACCCTCTCCTTCGTGCAATCCTATCAAGTCGGTCACCACGAAGGACACCGAGGAATTAATAAAAACCAAAAATGCAATTGAAAAAGGGCAAACGGCAAGTAGGTAAGTTAGTGTCTGGGTGCGACTGGCGGTAAACAAAGAGCCTTGAAATGCCATTGTATGTGTATATAGATGGTTAAATCCCGTTCATATGACAATTAATAGTATACCCATACACAAATTCCATGTCCGTGTTGTTAAACCAGGGCAGGAACAGGATAATGCATCCTCAGTCCAGAGAGATGGAGATGATACGGAGTCAGGAAGGAGGCAATGATCTTCCCCTCCAGAGATCCCCGGAGTCACATGATTACGCGTCATGGCTCGGCGAAGCTGGCACTGCATGGTCGCTGTGCACGAAGAAACATCCGCTGTTGTTGTCTTATTCAATTGTTTTCAACTTTCTAGGCAGCTTTTTCGAAGATGATTCTGTTTGATCGGATCCCTTGTTTTAGGGGTTCTGTCGGCAGTTATGAGATCATTTAATGATGGAACTCTCCGGAATATATACAACCAAGATACTTCAGATATTCAACTCAATGAGATTGACTAGGTCCTGGACTGTGCCTTCTTTCTACTTGCTCACTTTTCAGCCCCCCAATATCATCTACTGAAATCATTTTCACATCATTCTCACCACAACCTTTGTTCTTCCTGCATGCTCCATTCCATTCCTCCCGTCCACGGAGATAAGTCACATGCTCCGGCCGAAGTACCGCTGACGTAAGAAGCCACCGCCCGTACAATACCGATACCGTACAGTATAGCTGTCCAGAACGCCTCCGCCCAAGCCAAGTGCGCCGGACTCGCTGCGATCCCCCTCTCTCTATCCCATTGTTTCCTCCTCCCCAGTCGAGTGCTGCCAATGTCCTTCTGAGAGGGAAGTTACCTTCGATCTCCCGTTTTCGTCCATGCCCCCGGGCTTTTTGCCCACCTCTGTCTCCTTGCTGCCATGAGATTAGCCGCCTACGCCGGGGTAAGTAACTGCTCTGGAGAGCTGCCGTCGCGGATTCACCTCGTGCTGACCTCGTTGCTTCACAGGCGTCTGTGGCCCTGGCCACGGGTGTATTTCTGAAAGCGCTGCATCAACGGGCGAATTTCTATTCCGCCTGCGTATACCTATCTCAGAGCAGCGCGAATCTTATGGTGAGTCCTTGCCGCAGCGTGCTTGGTGCTCCTTGTGGAGGATGTTGGACTCACACCCCCCAGATCCTGACGAATGTATGCCTATTGGCGGTGGGCTTCTTCCTCTTCTGGCTCCAGCGACTTCTATACGGACCCCTCCGACCCATCGAAACCGAGCAGCTATACGAGAAGGCATGGTTCGCCGTGACGGAAACATGTCTCGCGATGACAATATTTCGGGGAGAGCTGGGTGGGTGGTTTCTGGTCATGTTCGTCTGCCTGCTCGTGGGCAAGGTTTGGGGCTGGATTGGCGAAGGCCGTGTGGAGTTCTTGGAACAGCAGCCTCCGGCCAATCCTCGCCTGTTCCATACTCGGCTGGCTGCCTCGTTGCTCCTCTCGGTTCTATTCAACGCCTTCATGCTGAGATATTGCATCACCACCGTCCTGGAGCAAGCGCGCCCGGACATGATGGTTATGTTCGGCTTCGAGTTCGCCGTTCTCACCATCCTGTCTAGCTCCACGGCAGCACGATACTCGATCTCTCTGGTCGAAATCTACATCAACCACCAACAGACAAAAGCAAAACTCGAGGAACGTCGTCAAGAGATCCGAGCTGCTAGGACAGAGGCTATACAAGAGCATGCGCGCCGGGGCGAAGCGGAACCACCTACCAATCTACCCGATGAGAACGACGTGAACGAGATGGAACTCGACGTTCCGGGCTGGGAAGAAAAAAGCCGATGGATCTTCTATCTCGACCTTGTCACCGACTTTCTGAAACTGACCGTGTACCTGAGCTTCTTTGCCATCCTCTTCACATTCTACGGATTGCCTATTCACATCCTGCGCGACGTGGTTGTTACCATTCGCTCCTTCGGTCGACGAATCATGGATTTCCTTCGTTTCCGCAATGCCACCCGTGACATGAACGAGCGATATCCCGATGCCACCGCCGAAGAAGTCGCAAGAGAGGAGGTCTGCATCATTTGCCGCGAGGAAATGACTCATTGGCAGCAGCCTGCCCCTGGGCAGCCGCTCCAAGCCCGAGTTTCAGACCGTCTTCGTCCGAAAAAGCTTCCGTGTGGCCACATCTTGCATTTTGCTTGCCTCCGAAGTTGGCTGGAAAGACAGCAAAACTGCCCTACGTGCCGTCGTCCGGTGATCGCACCCGCTCGCCCTCGCGGAGAGGCAGGGAACGTTGCGAATAACGCACAGGGTAACGCGGGTGTTGGCGGCCAACAGAACTTCCCCGCTGGGAACCAACCCCCAGGCAGAAACGCCGACGGGTTGCCCAGGGCTCGTGTTTACCAGTTTGGACCCTTCCGGATCGGCTTCGGCGCCGGCCGAGGCGATCTCTTCCACAATCTCCATCAGCAGATCCACCAAGGAAACGTTCCACTGCAACCGGCAAACAATGCCAACCTTCCGGGCGCTCGACAGATCGGCTTTGGCTTCGGATTCGGACGGCCTCCGCCAGCCGCGGCGCAGCAGCCTGCACCCACCCCTACCACCGCCGGCGTTCCTGACATGCGCAGTCAATTGCAACAAATGGAGCAGCAGATCATGCAGGAAATCCATGATCTTCGTGTCACAGCGGATCAGCTCCACTTGGTACGACAGCTACAGACAGAATTGCAGAGACTCCGAACTCTACAAACCAACCCTACTGAGCCGTTGACCAATGCATTCACGAACTCCTCCGTTCCTTCATCATCAACCGCAGCATCGACGATATTCGCCCGCCACCATCACCTCGGGGACAATCCTGCTCCTGCCATGGCTGCAGACAATTCTCAGCTGCCGGAAGGGCTTACCCTTCCGCCGGGCTGGTCCCTTGTTCCCCTTAACACCACGGCTCATCGAGCACAAGAGGTTTCCAGTTCAAGTGCAAGCCCGGCGGTTCCGGCGACGCCACCAGCCCCGACGACCGACCATGCGTCCAGTGTCCACCCTTCTACGGAAAGTCACGTCGAGAACGAAGATCGGAGTCGTGACGATGCTACTACATCTGCCCCTGCTTCTCAGGGCTTGCCGGACTGGGGACGTGACGGGGCCGAATCCCCGTCTCAGCAATGGACCGACGTGGCATCGGAAACGCAGCCGGAGAAGGTTGGATTATCATCTGCAACAGATGCGGAGGGAGAGAACGAGGACGGCCAGTCAACGTCATCAAAGGGCAAGGCAAGAGCGGCGACGGTAGAAGATGCAGCAGACGAGGAGAGCTGAACTTTTATTTTTTTTTTGTTTATCATCGTTGCGCCCCTCGACTTCTTTCCCTCTGGCTTGCCTTGGTGTAACCTTTTATTGGCGTTCTTTTCTTTTCTTTTTAGCGAGGCAGACACATCATACCCGGGGTGTATGTTTGAATTGTAGTGCTGTGGCCCTGTTACCCACCGCTTTATTTATCTCACGACGTTGGAAAGAAGCCCTGGAAATTAGAAGTATGTACATAGTTAGTTTTATGGCCAATTTGACGCAGGGACCTGTGATCAATCGATCGACTGGACTCGTCCGAGGAATCCACGGCAGACGCTTGGGAAACCCAAAAAAGAAATGACCCGGAGGCGCATCCCACCGCCGTACTTGCCGCTTTGCAACGAGGTTTATAGAGTACCATTTAATGATTTAAATGATCGAAATGCCGGCAGAATACGGGTAGATACACGATATTACGGATTCTGTCGACTTCTCCGCAGGGTCTGCCACAGACTCGAGTAAACTCGATACGGAGTAGTGGTGTTTCATCGTCCAGAGATCGACACTTGTGGGTGTGAATTCCGCCGAGAAGATGGATACCTGGAATTGACAGGAATGATCTGATTTGACAAGAAGAAGAGACGATTCGAACGGTGGAAATGACCGGGAGTCGTACGCCATCCAGGTTACATGGATGATTTCATGACGGGGAATTTGTCTGTCTGGTCGTCATGCAGTGCTGACGCCAGCTCCGCCTCCGCCCGCCTCCCGTCTCGCGGTAATCTCTGGCTCTCTTCATCGCATCTCCTCTTGCTGTCGTGTGCGTTCCTCTTTTTCTTTCCTTCTTCCTCTTCTCTTCCTTCCTTTGCATCCTTTTGTCTGCCCTTTCTTTTTCATGCGCCCCCGCCTCCCACAATCCCTCCCCTGTGCCGTCTGATGTCACCCGCCGACGCCGCACATGGTTGACAGACAACGTAAGTTTGGTCCCCTGGCGCTGATCAGTTCCAGGACGCTCTGCCTGCAAGCCACGTTTCTTGTTGCCTCCCATCCAGGGTCTTTCGTCGCCTCCTTCCCCTCCACCCCCTTTTTGATGACAAAAAGGATTTTCTTCTGTGAATTCTGGTCGCTAAGCGCATGACTTCGGTCAATTGTTTTGCTGCAGACTCCCCTATTCTTTTGCGACAACCACATCTTCCACACGATATCACTCCCTCACACCGGGTCCGATGATTCCAACGCGGCGGGCTATCCCGCTTCTTGGCCTGGCCTTTTGCGTCTTCCTCCTATACTCGTTCTCCAGGCTCTCACAATGGCGCCAGATGCCGCAAGCTGTTGGCAAGACCGCCGCGACGCCGTCTCCTACGCCGTTTGCTCGCTGGAACATCAGCGGAGTCGGATTTGACGAACCACAGGGCCGAGAGCCGTACGCTCCTCTGCCGCAGTATGTCCCTGGCACGCCCAAACCTCCCGGCTCGACCTACTCGAAAATGATCGTGGTCCCGCAGACCAGCGAAGAAGACACGACGTGGATGGAGTACGAGCTCCCCGGCTGGGAGTCCGCCGTTTACGTGGTCGATGATCCCTCGGCGCCTCTGCACCCGCCCCGGAATAAAGGCCACGAGGTGATGGTTTATCTGAGCTTCATCATCGACCACTACGACCAGCTTCCCGACATCGTGGCTTTCATGCACTCTCACCAGTATGCCTGGCACAATGACGAGATCTTCGGCGGGAATGCGGCCGAGATGCTGGACCGACTCAACCCCGCGCGAGTGATCCGCGAAGGCTACATGAACCTGCGCTGCACCTGGGCCCCCGGCTGCCCCGACTGGTTGCACCCCGGAACGGTGGAGGAGGACGAGACGAAGCAGGAGGAGACTATGCTGGCTCGGTCCTGGGGCGAAATATTCCCCGACGATCCCATCCCGGACGTGTTGGCGCAGCCCTGCTGCGCTCAGTTTGCGGTCTCCCGCGAGCGAATCCTGTCCATCCCCAAAGCGCGCTTCGTGTACTACCGCGACTGGATTCTCCGGACGGAGTTGAGTGACTACATTTCGGGCCGTGTCTGGGAATACCTATGGCATGTGGTCTTCACCGGAGAAAATGTGGTCTGCCCCAAGGAGAACGTCTGTTACTGCGACGGGTATGGAGTCTGCTTTGGCGGCGAAGACGGGTACGACGAGTTCCGCAGCGTTGGTCAGCAGAAGCAGGAGCTGGAGGAGGACCTGAAGCATTGGTACGGCCAAGCCGAAGTGATTGAGATCGCTCGGTTGCGCGGAAACCTGGGGGAGAGCAGCCGTATCACGGTTCCCGAGCCCGGGAAGGATCTTTCGCTCCAGGACCAAATCTATGCAAAGGAGCTATTGCTGGACGACATACTCTTCAATGCTACGGAACGGGGCAAAGACCCACGAGCTAGAGCCGTGGAGGCCGGAAGACCTTGGAAGGAGGGAGATGGGTTTTAGCCCATATGGACTTATCTTTCGTCCTCATGACAGTCAGCTCGGCCTCACTAAAAGCGATATCTGCTTTAGAATCTGGCAATCTCCAGAAGGACATTCACCATCGCCTTCTTGTCTATATTTGCAAGATCTGATTTGGGCTACGGCTCCTTTCCTATATTTCCTGGAATCTACCCTTGAGTTATTTGATTTTTCCTCGGAGCGTTGAGGACTTTGTTTGCACGAATCGTGGGAGTTATGTTTGTTTGGATGGCATTTCGTCAAAATTTGTTGACATCAGGCGCAGTTTAAGTTTGGCAGGCTCCAAACCTACGGAGTTTAATAGGGTTCTGAAACAGTTGTGAAACGTTAAATTGATCAATAAACCATTCAAGTATCGAAGATCGGTCACTAAGAACTGCGTTCCTGAATATCAGACCCAAGAATATATGAGCAACTGACATCCCCTCACAACTTCGCCGAGAAATGACCCCCCATAACCCTCTCAATCACCTTCGCCACCGCAACACACATCTCATCCCCATACCGACCTCCAACAACCTGCACGCCCACCGGCATCCCCTCGACAAGCTCAATATCATCTACTCAATCAGCCAACCACACCAACCAGCCAAACGAACCCAAACCAAACCCAGAGCGAGAGGGGCAAAAAAAAGGGGAGGAGGAAAACTTACACTGCTCCCTTGTAAACCGATCACTCTCGTTCCTGGGCACATGCGCCCTCCAGTCCTCATCCGGCTGGTCCTTGGCCCTCGACGCAGTCGTCACCGGCACCGCCAGCGCCGCATACCCCAGCAGGTTCCAGATGCTCGTGTACCCGACGTATTGGGCGCCGCTGGTCCAGGTCCCCGGCGCGTAGCCGACCCATGTGCTGGTGGGCATGATGAGCGCGTCGATCCCGCTGGTGACCCATTGGCTGAGGTAGCTTGTTTCGTAGGCGTATTTGTCGGCGTGGAGCTGGGTGGGGGTGTTAGTGGAACCTGTTTGGTTGTTGGGAAGATGGGTTGGGTTGGATTGTATGGTAGGGACTGGATCTAGACAAGGGAAGGGAGGGAAGATTACTTGATGCGTCTGCGACGTCGTCAGCAGATCCGCTTCGCTCCCGACCAACATCCCCGGGATCAGGGGCTCGCCGCTCAACTCCGTCTTCTTGCGACATCCCTCGCCGCCGTCCGAGCAGACGGCCTTCAGCCAGAGGGAGTAGGCGTGGCCGTGTGAAGAAGCGTCCCACTCGAAGACTGCGCGCGAATAGCGTTAGCAAGCTGGGACGGGGCTAGCAGTATCAACAGGGATGTGGCCTGTGGCTCGTGGGTATGATATAGTGTAAGGGCAAGGGCAAGGGCAAGGGTATAAGGAAAACCCACCCTCATGACCCGCGGCCTTCAACGCATCCACGACCTCTCGCACGGCCCTCGCTATCGGAGGCTGCACCTTCACCACCCCGTCGTCGACCAGGAACCCGATCTTCAGCCGCCTGGCCCCGACGGAGGCGAGATGCGAGCGCCACGGCACAGCCGCGACATGCGGATCGATCATCCAGGGCTCGACGGCCGGCAAGGCCTGCATGTAGCGCTCGATGCTGGCCAGGTTATTCGTCATGGGGCCGGCGACAGAGCGCACGATATCTTGTCCGGGACTAGGTAGGTAAAGCAGGTAAGACACACGTATGCATGCATGCATGGCAATCACGAAATCTGACGGGAACAAAGAAACTGCCCAGAAAAAGAAAAGAGACTCACTTCCCCCTCTCATACGGATGCCTCCCCGGGCTCGGCGAAAGGCCATACATCCCGCACACGCCCGCCGGGATGCGAATCGAGCCGCCCAGATCCGTGCCGATGCCCAGCACGCTGCCTCGGGCGCTGACGAGCGAGGACTCGCCGCCTGAGCTGCCGCCTGAGATGAGCCCGCGGTTGAGCGGGTTCACGCACTGTCCGAACACGTGGTTGTACGAGTCCGACATCATCATCGACTGCGGGAGGTTGGTCTTCACGTAGAGCACGGCGCCGAGGCGGCGGAGCGTCGTTGCGACGGTCTTGTCGGCGTGGGCGGGCTTGTTTGTGAGCCCGACCCAGCCTGGGATGGGATGGCTTGGTTAGATGTTTGGGTTTGGACGGAGGAGAGGGCTGAGGGGTAGGGATTTGGGGGATCTTACCGATGGATGTGTCGACGCCTTCCACGGAGAAGAGGTCCTTGATGGAGACGGGGAGGCCGTGGAGGGGGCCGACGAGGCGGCCGGTGGTTGCGAGGTGCTGGTCTAGTTGGGTCGCTGTGTCGAAGGCTTCGTTGAAGAAGATCTCCGTGCAGCAGGTGGTCAGCTGGTGAGCGAGGGCGGCGCGCTTGGCGAATGCCTTCGTTAGTTCCAGGGACGAGAGCTGTCTTGTGTGCAGCTTCTGGAGCAGAATGTTGATGTCGGTCTCCTCGGTGAGAGAGAGTTCGGTGGGTGTCAACATGCGTCGGAGGTATGGTAGGGCGTTGGGGGTTGATTCGATCGATGTGATGGGATCGAGGCGCCATTCGTCTGGGATTAGGGATAGCTGGTCCCTGCGTTTCTGCGCGGCGAGGTCTTTGTATGAAGATGTCATTGTGTCTTGCTGGGGAATGGGATTGAGGGTGGGATTAAAGATGGGCGACAAGGGCTGCGTTTCGACGAGGTTTATATAGCTATTCCTGCGATGCGGAGATACTAATTCGAAATCAAAGTACTTCATTATTGGTGGATACGATGTGATAAAGGGAGTCTGACTCGCAGTTCTGACGCTGGTCGATTAGGGCTGCTGCATAGATAGCTTTCCTCTTTGGGAAAGGAGCGTTTCTTAGTGATTCTCCATCGTGGGGAATCCAACTGACGGGTTTAATGCCCAAACATGAGACACAAGCCCACTGTATCTACACTATTACCCGATTATTCCTCCATCTCCGCTCACACTGCGCCTGTCCATCCGGATACCGTGGAAAGTCACCCAGCTGGCAGTTCCGCCAGTACGTGCGAAACACGGCGCACTGCGCCTCGGTCGTCGCGTTCATCCCCGCCAAATAAACAGGCGTCGCCATGTGGATGTAGAATTTCGACCTCACGTTCATCGCGGCTACGCTCTCGCACACCTTATCCACCATCGACGACAGGACGCGCGAAGGTAGTGCTGTCGATACGTCTTGACTACAACCCGCGCGGGCGAGAGCCACAATGGCCCCGGTATATCGGTACACTACGGCCGCGAGGCCTCGGTCGGTTGTCCAGTCGCCCGACTGCGACTGGAGCATCTGGTCCATCGCGCGCCAGGTCAGATCCCCTGCGTCCAGGGCATCCGGATCCTGAAATTCTTTGACTAGATGCACGAACAGCTCAAACGTCGCTGGCGGACAGCCAACGGAGTCATAGAAGCTTGTCTGCAGCGTCTCGCGGTGCCAGTCGTCGAAGATGAGCTGCCCCCCGCGCACCAGAGCCCCCGTGGCGTCAAACCATACCAAGTAGCTCAGCACATCGGTGAGACCGGTGATTCTGCGACTGAGGGCTTCAAACTCAGCCCGGTTGCGACAGTGGAGATCCAGTAGAGACCGCGCACCGCGGAGATGGCAGTGCCAGCGTCCGAAGGAGCCGCTGCAGACTTCGAAGATGGCGAAGGTGGCGATGCCGAAGAGGGCGAGCGGGTGGGCCGATTCGACGAGCTGGCTGAGGCCCATGAGGACCGCTACGTTGAGCTGGATGGAGGCGAGGGTGGATGAGGTCGGCGTGGTGGTGTCGTGGTGCTTGGCCCCGTTGATGCGCGAGCGTGCGAATTCGAGGGTTCGCGCTACCAGCTCGATGGCTTCGGCGGGGAAGCGGCGCTGAGAGGAACGGATGCGGTGGTGGCAGTCTGCTAGGAGGTCGACGAAGCTGTAGAGGCCGATGGAGGTGTGGGATCGTGGCTCGTTACTCCCTGGGATCTCTGGGGATGGTAGTGTGGGCGAAAGTGAGCTTGGGGAGCTCTTTTCTTCCATCCACACCACTCTTCTGGGATACGTACACGGCCGTCTGTCTTGTGCGCAGGAGCGACATCGAGGTCGGTTCAGGTCGCATTTGATGCCGCGTGCTCGACAAGCATGACAGTGACGGTCCCGTCGGATGCCTCGAGGCTTCTTCCCTTGATGCATTCTTTCTGGACTAGGAAGGCAGTCATCTTGGATTCCACCTCGCCTTCCGGTCAGAGCGGGGACTAAATTGGTTTTTAATCCCCCTCTCTCGCAGTGCTTGATAACCTGCCTGGTTGGGATTAGGGCATCGCCATCTCGGTGATAAGCGTCACACGCGAGCGGGGAAACTGGCCGACTTATCGGGCATTTGCCTATCATTCTACCGTTAGTGCTCCGTTAAGATGGTCTTATCGTCATTGGTGGCATAATCCTTAACGGAATGGGTTATGTAACTGGACTCGGTGGTCACGGTGAATTACTGAGCGTGATTTATTCAGGCCACAGTATAGCCACTGCAGTCCAAAGCTAAAGTCAAGTCTTGAATACTTCTACTAACAGAAGTGTGGACAGTCATGGATCGAAGCAAAAGAACATGATATTAGCAAGACCTGTCTATAAAAGCTTCCCAAGAAAACGACGAAGATCAAGTATTCTATTTCGAAACTGCCCGGAACTCTTCACAGATGCCCTTCATTTTCATAACCTCCGCAACTGGTATGCTATGCTCCGGATCGATTTCGTCGAGACAAGCCTTCAGACGGGCAAATGCCGCCTGTTCCCCGGGAAGCATCACACTTTCGGCCTGAAATCTTTGCATAAGTCTGCAATCTGCGGCGACATCAACGACCTTAAGCACGTCGGTCATTTGATCAGTTTCTATCGCAGTCAGCGAGATTGCATAGTCTTAGATGAATGAGGGACAATACATACGGAGACGCTGCGCAACCGACACTGAACAGGAGTAAATTTCATTGAAGAGCTCACATTCCTTGAGACCAGTCACTTTGAGCATCTGAGCGTCTGCGACAACATCTGCACCGAGACCAAGCACGCTCAGATCAGAGAGGTTCTTGTCTGCTGCACTTGGATTGTGATTCTGATCCGCCCAGGATAGAAATGCAAAGAGTCTGATCTTGGTTTCTCTTCGTCGCGTCTCAACTTCCTTCCGGAGCTCGTCAAGTTCTCGGTCAATATTGTGGCTTGCAGATTTTATTTCGGTTATTAGAGATTCTTGTATGGGCGTGTGTCCTTCTTGTACGGAATTGAGCTCTTCGTGCAACTCGTTCAGCTTTTGTTGGAGTTCGATGAGTCGTGGTGGGACGTCCTGGAGTCTCAGAGGACGGGGATATTCGTTTCGGACCACCTTGCGATCCATGCTGTTAGGCCGCTATGAAGGTGTCCAAGGGGAGCAAAATATGAAGTCGATGTAAATAGTATCTCACAGATGAGAGACGGGAGATCGGAGTCTTGTCAAGAACGCAACTTGTGGTGGTTGGAAGACGTAAATCAGAGCGGATGACAAGAAGTCTGGATATGAACGGAACAACCAACCTCACTCTGACGTGATGTGCGAGGAATTTAAGTTTTCACTGTGAGTCAGAATATCTTCTCTATCTCATGATTACGATAGCATAGACGGCATTGATGAGGAAAATAGAAGACCGCATGGACGACTGAAGTATACTGACTGATCTTGGGACGCATCGCGGGACTCTCGAAGATAACCCCCACGCGAACTATGACAGCGCTATTGCAAAAGATTTGAAGACACAGCAGACTGGGGGCCTAGGCTCTGTTTACATACCTCCCCGATATCGACACTTTGATACCTAATTAGCCTTGTGCTGCAAACCAAGACGGATAGTACACAGCGCCGTATGGCCACCATAGAGAGATACGATCGATTCCAAACGCGGCCACGCCGGCTCCGATCGATCATCCTTAACCAGGGGGTCACCAAGGCCAGATGTAGTGGGAAGTAATCTCCTTGAGTTAGGTCTGATCGTAGGTCGTGTAGCCAACCCTCCCCTGAGTAGAACGTCGAATCCACCGCTGCAGAGCTTCCCGACTGGTCTGCAGGCCTCTTCCCAGTAGCCAGCTACCACTCCAATTATCACGTCGATCTGTATGGCTCCAGACATAGGTAATTTGATGCCACAAGGCAATGATTCGCAGTGTGGAAAGGACATACTAAAATCAAAGACCATGCCCATCCAGGGTGAATTCACTGTCATTCACCGCTACTCCATGTTATCGACGGAACTACTCGAATCACCTTCTACTTCGATGGCATGCATGCTGCCAGATAGCAGTCAGCAGAGCACTGTACTGTGATTTAATTGAAAACTCCGTGATATTCACCAAGGTCTGTCGGGTAGTTTGGAAATATAATTACCCAACTACAGGGGCAGCTGAGGAGGTAGCAGGAACATTGCCCAGAGCTTCTGTTTCAGTTGTCTTTTTGAAAGAAGCTTTTCTTCATTCGGCGCTTATATTAATTTCAACATAGGTAGATATCCCAGCAATTTTGACATCGAATACAACTAATATTAGAAGATTACTATCAGCCCGGTAGTAACCCCCCCCTGGAAAGTCGGACACTGCCAGACTAACACAGGACGGTTAGTACCATGTTTCTCTAATGAAGCATCTTGAAAATCCTCACCCAGAAGATGAAAAGGTCCCATTACCCTCCGAAAGGTTTGTCCCCACTGTCTTGTCTAAACACCCGCATTTGCCGGCGTTCTGGTATATGCGACGTACTTCAGAGCACCGGTCGATCCCCAGGCCTCTGCCCCAATCCTTTTGTCCGAAGGCAATGAAAATGTTGATTTTGGCGTGCTTAGAAATATGCGTATCTTGAGGCACACTGCGGATTTTGCAACGATTCTGCATTCGAAGCCCTTTGTTGTTTGAACACTGTGGGAACCTCTCGGTAGGATACCGGCAGTTCCACCATAGTTTTTTGGGTATATAATAATTATACAAATCCGGATTGGAAAAGGAAAAAAATTGAAAGACAGTTGGTTTATTTTCTCGTCTCCATTGAGCCATGTCTCCCTCCTTCGCAGAAAAAATGGCCCGCGCTGAAGTGGAAGCGGATTTCTTTGGACAACAACCTCCCCCGGATAGCCTGGCTGAACACGAAACACTCGTGCGCAACTTCATCGATTACCACCGGGAAACCTCCCGACGTGTGGCGCTTGTGACCTCTGGAGGCACGACTGTTCCAATCGAGGCTCAGACCGTCCGCTTTCTCGATAATTTTTCCGGCGGTACGCGAGGCGCTCGTTCCGCGGAGTACTTTCTGCAGAGAGGATATGCGGTGATCTTCTTGCATCGGCAGAACAGCCTGTTGCCATACGATCGGCATTACAGCAACTCGAAGAACTGTCTTCTGGATCTTCTGGACGTTGTGCAGGGTGCTTCTGGCGATAGCGGTAGCGACGGCCACAGAATCACGGTACGCAGAGAACACGAGGATCAACTGTGTCATGTCCTCCAGCAGTATCGCTCCGCCAGGGAAAACAACCTCTTGCTTCTGCTGCCGTTCGAAACCGTCACGGACTACCTGTTCCACTTGCGATCTGTCACCATTCTCATGTGGCCTCTGCGTGCTACCGGCCTTGTGTACCTCGCGGCAGCTGTGAGCGACTTTTTCATTCCTCACAGCGAGATGGCCGAGCATAAAATTCAGTCTTCGGTGCCATCCTCCCACCCAAGGAAGGATGGTGTCGATCTGTCATGTGTGAAGTCCGAGAACCTGAGTTTAGACCTCAAGCCGGTGCCCAAGTTTCTCAAAAGCTTGGTTGACGATTGGGCTCCAGTCGGAAGTATGATCATCTCCTTCAAGCTGGAGACTGATTCGAATATTCTGCTTGACAAGGCGCACGGTTCTCTGCAGCGTTATGGCCAGCATCTTGTGATCGGCAATTTGCTCTCTACTCGGCAGAGTGAGGTTGTCTTTGTTGAGCCGGATCAGCCGCGTGAACGATGGATTCGGGTCCCTTCTGATGAAGATGGTCTTAAGATGGAGATCGAGAGTCTCATCGTCGACGAGGTGGCCAAAATGCACTCGGAGATGATTGGGGAGGAACGTTGAAATCGCGTCTCTCTGATAGAACCTTTTGTTCTTGGTTTCTGCTATGTTACTTGAATTATTGTTTTTCTTTTGTCTTTTTTGACTGTGTTTTTATTCCATTTTTCTTTATCTCTCGGTGTATTTTGATGTAATAGACCTGATTTGGCGTGAAGAATAAGACAGTTGGAAATCGTCGATTTCCTGCCACCATTGATGGATCATGTAGACCATCTCTCAACAACACGATGTAGAATTCCGACCAGGCAGCTTGCACCGTAGGATCAGCTGTACGCAAAAGGCGGAGGCACATTGGGCCGAATCCGGGCAGACAAGGCTCACAAGTCCAGAACACTATCTTACCCCGCTACTTGCCGCCATGGAACGACTTCTATCGAAAGTCAAGAGATCAGCCCGCAGATCGACCTCATTTATAAAGAAGCAACCCCGGGATTCAGCTCCAATATTCGCACCTCATATAGCTGACCCGCCAGACGCAAACAGAGATGCTCCTCTGGAAAATCTCCCATCGGAGCTTCGACTCCATCTTCTCTCAACCCTGATGCTCGAAGAACTGCGGGCCCTGGTCCATGCATCCCCCGTATATCACCAGCAGTATATCGTCGATCGCAAGCGTATACTCAGTCAGTGTTTCGACACGACATTGCGAAGCATCACCGTCGATGCCTACGCGGTATATCAGTCAGGTCTTCCTGAGTTTGCTCGCCAGCGCTCCCGTGAAAAGGTCATGCAGTGTCTTGAGACTTACCAGAGTCGGCGATCTTTGTCTGGGGATGTGGATTCCAGGAAATACTTCTCTTTGGACGAGGCCACCGGCATTGTATCGTTCCATTTTAGAATTATTTTGCCTCTATCGCAATTCTATGTTTCGTGGGCTTTTGATGATATCGCGAAACAGACAGAGACCCCTCAGAACTCAGAGCTCCTGAGTAGAGCAGAGGAGACCAGACTGCTGCGTGCACTCTATCGCTTCCAACTGTGCTGCAATCTGTTCGGTGTTGGCTCGCATGAACCCCCTCGAGACCTGCCGTTGCAGTTTGACTCGATTGAGATATTAAACGTTTTCTTTCGCTTGTTCGAGCCTTGGGAGGTGGAAGAGATTGTCTGTATTTATTGTTTCGCCAAGGAGCGTTACGCAGACATCTTTGATAGGATCAGTTGGGACGTGGACGAGAAGAATCCCAAGTTCGATGGTCAGCGGCCGCCGACCCCGGATGGCGCATTTGACCTTGGGAATAGCTGTAAATTTGTATTAATTTTATCTTATCGTTACTGACCCCTAACTAATGCGACATGTTTTAACAGGGGTTAGAGACACTCTCTTGAAGGGAGCAATATCTCGCGGACTAGAGCTGCTGTACACGGTTCTTTTTAAGATGAACAACCATGATCACCTGGTATCAACGATGCAGGAGCGCATTGCGTGGCCGGCGGGTTATTTCCTAGGGAACGAAGCTATGGGGCAAACGGCGCAAACTCTTCGTCGTCGACGGCGGCCCTCAGCTCGTGATCTGAAACAGGAACGACGTGACCCGTTGCTATTCCATGGCGATAGTCTTCTGGATGTCGAGAAGGGACATCCACCCCAAGCTTGGACGTTGATATGGGGTGGAACATATAGCAACCTGTACGGATACTATGTGCATGATACGCTTCATCGTTGGGGCTACGTTATGTGGGATGCTGCACGACTTGAGAGTATAGGCGCGTCTGAGGTCTTGATGCGTCAGTGGGAGGAGGACTGGGGAGATAGTGACCCAAGAGATAGTTTGTAGATGACTTTCTGCGTTCCGCGTTATTTCATAATGACCCTCTGACAGCTCTACATGCTCGGGATTCAATGGCTTCACTATGGGAAAACACAAGTAGCAGATACGTGTCGAGAGTGTTAAAAAGATGTTGAAAGTTTGATTGGGAAAGTGGAAGCGCCGACAGTATGAATATTACTAGGTGGGTGCAAGGTTTCTGATCACTTTCAGCATAACCAACGGCCCTGATCTCAAGCAGACCTGTGTGGATCCTAGAGCCTGCTAGGAAGGTATCCTGGTTCCATTCCGCAAAAATCCCCACTCCAACCAGCAACAGCTTTTGAAGCCGGTACTCATATGCGACAACAGGGGCTTACTTTCAAACTAATGCACCTGAATACAGGGGTTGAAACCCTGGGCTTGTACTCCGTATTTGGGAATCTGCTTCTCCTGTGAGGAGAATCTCGCCCAGTGATGAAGAGAATTGCTGGAAAACCCTGCAGCCTATTCTGGTCCAGAACTGATTTGATCATGAGAATAGAAACAGCGCTTCTAACCGAAATTAATAGCCATATTGGCAATTTCAAGACGAAGGTATCCTCTGGTGATAGTGGATTGGCGACATGAGATAGTAAGGGGTATCTTCAGAAGCAGGATTGTGATGAGGTTCTAGAATACTGTTACTTCTTGATCCAAATCCACAGACCCGCTTACTCAAGAGGGAATGTCTCAGACTGGGAAGACTAAGGCTGCTGGTTGAATATACGGAGTAGAGACCCTCGGAGGCCGGAGACTCTGAGCAGCGAAGACCTCTACTCGTAGGAATCTTCAGATGTCAAGTGGGTAAGAGGCTGTCAACGTGCAATGGGAAAATCTCGGATAAATTATTTTGATTCGGGGATTGCGGCATTCTTCCGTATTGCTAAAGATCCAGGTCGCTTTCTTTAGCATCGCACGAGGTGAGTGGTAACCGATCCAATGGTTTGATACCACCCAGACTGGGAGAATTGCAAGACAATCTCAAACACGAGGCCATTCTAGGGGTCAAAAAATAAATGAAGCAGGCGAATGTCTCGGTCAAGGCCGGATCGAGGGATTTCCGGCGAAGCTTTTCGGGACCAAGTGGGGAGGCGCTAACGATGGCTTAACCGGAGCGTTTCTCTGCTGCCTGCGAACCGTTCGGCAAATCAGCCCTAAATCGACTAAGGCCTCATCCGCAACGCATATTGGCTGCCGGCTCTCGTGGAAATGAATGGGCGTCTACACTAGTCCGGAGGGTTCTAGTCCAGGTCCTGACCTCATTTCCACTTTGCCCCTGTCGAGTCTCGAGCTGCTCGGACTGGTTGGCCCATCCTGTGCCTGGGAATGGATGGATCCATGCTCCACTGCAACCACAGGATGCAGAATATAAGGATCCTGCAGGGTCCTGCAAGCTGCTGGATTTCTCATCACCATCATTCTTTTATTCTCTTTTTCTGTTCTTTCCCACGGGCTTGATTGATCGATTCATTCTCGTCCCATTCATTCATTCCTTAACATACTTCCATTCTTTTTCATCATGCATTTCTTTCAGTCCGGCTTCATTGCCGCTGCCCTGGGCGCTTTGCTGGTCTCTGCCGCCCCGGTGAACGACCTTGAGGCTCGTGGATCGTCCTGTACTTTCACCTCCGCTGCGAAGGCGAAGTCCGGCAAGGGCTCCTGCTCTACCATCGTCCTGAAGAACATCAACGTTCCTGCCGGCGAGACTCTTGACCTGACTGGCCTCAAGACTGGCGCTACTGTACGACTCCTCCCATGTTCATGTTCAGGGTAAGCAGATGCTGACCATACCCTCTTACAGGTCATCTTCGAGGGCGAGACCACCTTCGGCTACAAGGAATGGAAGGGACCCCTGATCTCCATGTCCGGAAACGACATCACCGTGAAGCAGTCGTCTGGTGCTAAGATCAACTGCGACGGTGCTCGTTGGTGGGACGGCAAGGGCGGTAACGGTGGAAAAACCAAGCCCAAGTTCTTCAAGGCTCACAAGCTCAACAAGTCCACCATCAAGGGCCTGAAGGTCTACAACACCCCTGTGCAGGGATTCAGCATCCAGTCCGACCACCTGACCATCCAGGACGTCCTCATCGACAACTCCTCCGGCACCAACAAGGGCCACAACACCGACGCTTTCGATGTTGGCTCCAGCACCTACATCGTCATTGACCGCGCTACCGTCTACAACCAGGATGACTGCCTTGCTGTCAACTCCGGAAAGGTAATTGCTCTCTATTGATCCCCTAGTCTTGCACAACTGTCAAAGCTAAACGTCTCCAGCACATCACCTTCTCCAACGGCCACTGCGAGGGCGGCCACGGTCTCTCCATCGGTTCCATTGGCGGCCGCAAGGACAACACCGTCGACACCGTGAACATCATCAACTCCAAGATCATCAACTCCCAGAACGGTGCCCGCATCAAGACTGTCTACGGTGCCACTGGTTCCGTCACCGGCGTCCGCTTCGAGGATATCACCCTCTCTGGAATCTCCAAGTACGGCATCGTCGTCCAGCAGGACTACAAGAACGGCAGCCCCACCGGCAAGCCCACCAACGGCGTCAAGGTCGATAACATCACCTTCAAGAAGGTCACCGGTAGCGTCAAGAGCTCTGCCACCGATGTCCAGATCCTCTGCGGTTCCGGAAGCTGCAAGAACTGGACCTGGAGCGGCAACAGCATCTCCGGCGGAAAGAAGAGCAGCAAGTGCAAGAACGTTCCCTCCGGCGCTTCTTGCTAAGCGTGTCGCTGATATCTACGAGATGAAGCGGTTCCTGAGCTGAACTGAGATTCTGTTCGTGTGTATCATAATTATTTGACAGGATTGCTACCTGCCACCTGCCGTATACTATATTTAGTGCCACTTGCTTATATAGACTTTAATATAACTGGCCAAGCGCCCCATCCACCAGGGTTTAATCATCTAGAGCTTCCTTAAATAGAATCTATCTGATCATCTCCCGAAATCTGGCGCTGCGTGATTTGCAACTGGACTCTCCTGGCCCTCTGCCTGAGGCCCGCCAGGATCTTCGCACTGACGGAAGCGCGCACCTGATCCGGCCATCGCGTGACCGCGTCTTCGACGACTTTCCACGCGTGATCCACCGCTTCACATTCCTGTCGATAGCACAGCTCGTTCAACAAGAAGGCCAGGGGGCGATACTGTTGATACCCTGTAAGTAGCCAGCTCCATTGCTGTGCGTGGGGCTCGGCTTTCAAGCGCGCAGAAACGTCGACAATGTCGATTGCGAGCAGAAAAAGGCGGTCCTGGACATTCTGAGACCAACTGCTGATGGGAACAGTATCGGCGCTGTAAAGCTCAAACCACATCTCCATTATGAGGACGTGCGCCACATGCTGCGTTAGCCACTGGATCGGTTCGTTGTTGGTGCTGTGTCTCAGATACTGCGAGTGGATCCTGGTCTCGCATGCTTGTATGAGACGCTCGCTTTGTTTTATGTCGTGCTGACTTTGCAGCTGGCGTCGAGTTCGTGCGATGTCGAAGCGTACAAGAGAAAATGTCACTTCGGTCCAGCCTTCTCGGGGAGCTGGAGCCTCTGTGGCGCCTGGATCGAGGCCGGCGTCGTTGATGTTCAATGGGGATTCCGGAAAGGTGTCTTTGTCGGATACATCCTCTTCGCCGAGATCCTTGACTGCTCGATGATCTAGATACCAGAGGTTCCACCACAATCGGGCTCTCATCTCCCGTTCAAAGATTGTCAAATTGGCTCTGCGAAACACTTCCGACCGCTTTGCCAGTCCTGTCAGCTTCCATGCAACGCTCGGCCTACCGGACAGTCGATTGATGGTGAGAAACAGAACAAGCGCTTGCAGTGTGCTAAGTTCATCGTCAAGGAGAAATGCTGCGCGTGCCAGAGACTGCTCTACCAGGTGAGCATGGGCCGTGAAGGCTGTGTCCTTGTTTGCGTGGAAATATTCCCGCACTTCGTCCGACGTCATGCTTGCCATACTAGCAAAGTAGATCGCATAGACCAGAGCCTCTTCGCTGCTGCGCAGTGACTCCGGCTGACAGACCGATGCCACAAGGACCCTTTCTGCGCTAGTGCGATGCAATACTTTCACCACCGGATCCACCCTCTCGACAAATATCTGCCAGCAGGCTCGCGCTCGAGACAGCGAAGGGGAGGAAACCGCCGGTGGCTTGCATATCCGGATGGATATGTCCAGGTCCCACAGTTCGGGACTGGGGGTGCGTATCGCATCTTGTGGATTTGGCTCCGTTTGAAACAGCTTTTTGGATGGCCGATTGCAGGTCCTCACTGGCGACGGATACGTGCACGCCACCGACCACCGAATACAGTTGCCGCAGGGTGTTTCCCTGTCGCATTTTACTTTTCGGGCGCGACAGCCAACGCAGGCTTTGGGCTTGACAATCAGGGGCGCTTTCATTGGTAGTGCTCCGGCCGGCTGAATCGCTTTTTTCATTAGGTGTGGTGTGACCTTCAGGTCTAAACTGATCGACAGAGGAACTCGATTTCGCGCCGACAAATTTGCTAGACACGTTAAATCTCGGTGATCTCGGAATATGGAAGCCTGAACCCCTCTCGACTTGCCAGACGGTGGTGATGTTGGCAATACGAGGTGTGGCTATGCTGCCAATGCAACGGCTTTTTCGCGGTTCTCGCATTTCTCGGTGTCCTGGGTGATGGTGACGTTTGATTGGTCCAAGCAGGTCTATACGGATGACCTCATTCCGGGCCTTAGATATTGGAATAGTTGCATATAAAGTGCGATGGTTGACGGTTGCAGTATCATTGATAGTTTCTGTATACTCGAGATTAAAGATCCAACTGAAATCTGCCGGATCAAACAGCACCAAAGGAATTAATCTTCAGAATTGAGCAACGATTCTCGGTCTCATTTTGCATGTTAGTATACCTAGTCACCTCAAAGGACATGATATTGACGTTCAGAGCAGACTTCTGCTTTTTCCTCCATGTCTCAAATTATCTACGAAGATCTTCATCTCGTTCCGAAATATGCCAAGGCTCATGGAATTGTCATGAGCCTGGCTTTCACAGTTATGATGCCTCTCGGTGTCTTCGCCATTCGATTTCTCCGCGTTAAAGGAACAATCTGGATACACGTTGTGTGGCAGCTACTCAGCTGGATACTGATGCTTGCGGGATTGGCCACTGGCATTCGTGTTGGGAAGATTCTCGATCGAGTGAGTGCACTTTCTTTTGGATTCAAAGAGAAAAGATATTCAAAATGCTGCATTGAGAGAGACCTGACGTTTTCTTAGTTGCACAATAATGCGCACACCATTCTCGGCACCATCGTGGTTGTCCTCCTGCTTTTCCAGCCTTTCATTGGGCTGATCCATCATTTCCGATTCCGAAAGACGCAGAAGCCCGGGAAGTGGACGCGTCTGCATGTTTGGTATGGACGTGTTCTGATTCTTCTTGGTATTATCAATGGTGGACTAGGGCTAGAGCTCGCGGCAAATACGACTGGTGGGGAGATTGCGTACGGAGTCGTTGGCGGTATCTTTGGGGCTGGTCTTTTGCTGGTGGCGATTTTGGTCGAGACGAAGAAGTTGCCGTTCTGGAAGGAGAGGTCTGTTCCTCAGATGGAGGAGAGAGCTTTGTAGAGGATGCCGTGGATATTCCAAAGAAACGCCGGTGATATTGGTTAGATTGACGATTACTATACGAACAGGTGGAATCAGAAATTAATTGGAACATTTGGACATGCATTCCCAAGTTCAAAGTAGACTTTGATCCATCCCTAGATCCCCATTCTCTCCAAAAACCCCAAAACCAACCCCCCAATCTCCTCCGTATCCGTCTCCACCGCAAAATGCCCAGCATCGAGCAAATGCACCTCCGCGTCTGGCAAATCCCGCTTAAAAGCCTCCGCCCCGGCGGACACAAAAATCGGATCATTACGACCCCAGACCGCCAGTACCGGGACCTGCGACTTGCGAAAATACTCCTGAAACCGAGGATACAGGGCGATATTGTTCTGGTAATCCCAGAAGAGATCAACCTGGGCGTCTGCGTTCCCGGGACGCTGCAGAAGGGCATAGTCCAGGGTGTAGGACTCCGGGGCGATGGTTCGCGTGGGGCACGTCCCGTGCTCGTATTGCCATTTTGTAGCCTCTAGGCTGAGCATGTTCTTTGCGAGATCGGCTCGCGCAGAGGGCGTGTTATTGCCGAGCCAGAAGGCGCGGATCGGGGCCCAGAAGTCGCTCAGGCCTTCGGTGTAAGCGTTGCCGTTTTGGGTAATGACTGCTGTGATGCGGGTTGGTGGTTTGAGGGCAATTCGGAGGGCTGTTGGTGCGCCGTAGTCGAAGATGTAGACGGTGAATGTCTGGATGGAGAGAGCATCTAGGAATTCGAGGACTGTGTTGGCGAGGTTGTCGAAGGTGTAGTGGAATGTTTCTGGGGCTTCAGTGAATCCGAATCCTGGGAGGCCTGGGGCAAGGATGTGGTATTTTGTGGCTAGCAGGGGGACCAGGTTGCGGTATTGATGTGAGGACGCAGGGAAGCCATGGAGGAGGAGTATCACCGGGGCGTCTTGAGGCCCGGATTCGCGGTAGAAGAGCCGGGTCTGGGAGGTGGGAAGATGCAGGTACTTAATCTGGGTAAGAGGACTGCTAGCCATGATGGTGGTCTGAGAGAAATGGCCTGACAAAGGATACTCAGAGATGAATTTAGATAGAGCCAAGAAGGTGTCTTATAGCCATGTAGAGACGGATTTGTCATGAAGCCGAAGATGGCAGTCGTTAGGGCTTGTTTCTTGGCGTTTCTTTAGCGTTCTGGCGGCCTTCCAATCATCGACCACCACAACCCTGCCTGTTCCGGCTTATAAGCCGCCACGCATCCCCGGGAGAGAAGACCTTTTTGTCTTTCCTTTCAAATATCTCATATGGACGGGCCATTGACTGATATCCTCCCTTGTGACTCGACATTATGGAGTCCGAACCAGGTCCGTTCCTCTTCGTCCACGGTCCAACCATGAGATCCCGCGATGGCGAGCACCTCCGCTCCCGATTCATGAAGCAGCGATATGCTGCGCGACGGCATCGCTTACAGACCATTCCGATTACCAAGAGGAATTTTGTCTTCCTAAAAAGGAATCCCGAGGAGATATCGCGTCAGGAATCCCATCTTGGTGCGATGAATGGAAGGGCCCAGACTCGAATCCTGGCTCCGTGTTGGAGTCCGTTGCATTCGACTGTGTCGACTAGACTAGATCCCTTTGCTCCGGATATACCGGGATCGGGGGAATTGTCTGATTGTCTGTTGTATCATTGTGGGTGGAATTAACCCGTCGTTGGTATTTAGTGACCGACATGGTTACTGACCTCGGTAGGTGTTCATGTTCTATGGCCCTGTGCGCGGCCCGTTGATTTCGCACAGGGAAGCTACCATGCGTATCTGCTCTCCGGGAGAAAGTCTATTGTCATGCAAGCGGTGTTCTATAGCTCTTCCTTGCACCTTGATGCTTTATCAACGTTTCATGGCGTGGAGAACTACCGGCGCCATACCGCCGCGCAGTTATTCTGGAAAGGACAGGTCCTACAACAGATTCGACTGGAATTAGCGCAGATCAACGACAAAACGGCCAGTGATGAGCTGACAGATGACATTCTGCTATGTATCCTGTATCTTGCGGCGAACGAGAATCTCAATAGCATCCCTCCGCCAGAACAGGGGCCTTTTAACCCGCCATTTAAAAGCCAACAGTTACTAGAGTACTATGGGAATTGTCAATTCCACCCATTGCATTGGGAAGCCGTTGAGAAGATTGTATTGAGTCGAGGCGGCATACGCACTGTGAAACTCTACGGTCTGGGCTGGCTGATATCTCTGTACGCTTCTCCCCTTGCCTCTCGAATGCTTACCTTGTGACCATTTCGATTCTCTAGCTCGGCCTTGATCGGTGCAGTCAATAGTAACACTAAGCCTGTGTTTCCGCTGGTGTATCCGGACGGAAAGCCGTACATTTATCGTGCGCCCCTTCGTGCTCTTAGAGTCCCTGAGGTCTCGCGGTACAGTGCACTCCGTAACCACGGATTCCAGCAACTCGCTCTTCTGAGCCCTCCGATCAAAGGGAACCTGATCCGTGCGTTTCTGGATCTGGGCGAGCTCACACAAGGGATTGAGTTTCTTGCCTCTCGTTCGTGTGATCCCAATACACTGACACTCGTCGGAAACTCTCGCGCACTTATCCAGCATCGGCTATCGAATCTTCCGGACTCGAATGACCAGTCAACCGCAATACTTCATCGCAGAACCGACTGCACCTACGCATACTGCGAAAAACCACGAACCATTTACCTGGTCTGTCGCACAGCAGCCGTTCTGTATAGTCTCAACGTGGCATTCCCGCTGCCACGAACGGCTCGGCAGCGAGCCACAATGTCCGGTGAGATACAAAACTTAGCTATGCAGCTGCAGGGGAAACAGGAAGATGCAGTCGTAGAGCTTCTTCTCTGGTGCGCTATGATTGCTGGGATCTGCGCACATGGTGATTTACGGGAGTGGTTTGTGCGTCAGGCGGGCGATTGCATTTGTGCATTAGGCATCTGCTCTTGGGATGAGATGGTTGTCTTCTTGAGATCGTTCGCGTGGTTGGGCTGCGCGTCTGATGAGGCAGGAAAGACGTTTTGGGATGAGGTTCGTATGCTCATGACTTCTGGGCCGTAGTCAAATAGAAATATTGCGTGATTAAAGACGAGGTTTCCAATCGATTCCGATATCGAGAGGTTTGCCTTTGATAGACAGTGCTTACTGCCACTGATTTCTAGTTACATTCACCAGAGCCAAAGCCGATTAGGAAACTGGTCAGCGCATGAAATAGTCGAAGAAAGCCAATTAGCACAGGGAGGACTATCTCGCCATAGCCGGTCAGCATCATCCCGTCTTTAATATTAAACCATATTAATTATCCATATGAGGCTTGGCTCTCTGAACTAAATTCCATTATACTCTTCTCCCTCAATGTTCAGACTATAAAGCTCTCTCACCCGCCATGTCTTCCATCTCACCTGGCTCAACCTTCATATACTAACCCTAACCAAATCCCCTTCTACCTACTTGCTCACAATGCCTCATTCCTCCTCCTCAACCTCTACCTCTATCTTACAAAAGCCCTTCCCCTCCCCAACCCTCTCCCTCTCCCACCGCATCGTCCTAGCCCCCATGACCCGCATGCGCGCCTGCAACACCACCGCCCTCCCAAACCCCACCGCAGCCCCCTACTACGCCGAACGCACCACCCCCGGCGCCCTCCTCATCTCCGAAGGCATCGTCATCCACCCGCGCGGGAAAGGCTTCCCACGCACCCCAGGCCTCTGGACCCCCGCGCACGCAGAGGCCTGGAAACCCATCACCGACGCGGTGCACGCGCGCGGAGGGACCTTCTTCGCGCAGATCTGGCACGTCGGGCGCGTCTCCGTCCCCTCCCAAACAGGGGGGTTGAGGCCCCTAAGTTCGACGAGCGGGTGTTTGCCCGGGAGGCATGTTTTATTCGGGCAGAGCGAGGACGCAGACGGGGATGGGGATGTGAGCGAGGCGTATGGACCCTCTCATGCGCTGAGCATCCCCAAGATCCAAGACGTGGTGGGCCAGTTTGCCCGCGCGGCGAGGCTGGCGGTCCATGGGGGTGGGTTCGACGGGGTGGAGATTCACGGTGGGAATGGGTATTTGGTCGATTGCTTCACGCACGATAGTATCAATACCCGGGGCGATGAGTACGGCGGGTCGATTGGGAATCGGATCCGGTTTGCGTTGGAGGTCGTGGATGCGGTGGTGAGGGCTGTTGGGAGGGAGAGGACCGCGATTCGTCTGGCGCCGTATCATGTGCTGCAGGGCACGAATGATAGTATGCGCTTGGAGACGTTCTCGGAGTTGGTGCGTGAGTTGGAGATGAGGGGACTGGCGTATGTCCATATCGTCGAGCCACGGTATGATCGGTTTAGTCGCGAGGGGGCGTTTTCGGGAGATATTCGACGAGATGGGGATGGGAGGGAGGATGCCGATGAGGCGTCTATCTGGTCGTTTCGCAGGATTCTGAAGACGACGCCGGTGATTGGGGCTGGGGGGTATGATGCTGAGTCGGCGGCACGGGCGATTGAGGAAGGTGAGTTCTGGTTTCTTGATATGTGGTGTATAGGATGCTGACGATATTCAGGACGCGTGGATCTGGTGGCTTTCGGACGGTATTTCACCTCCAATCCGGATCTGCCTGAACGCCTGTTCAAGGGTCTTCCTCTGACCAAGTATCATCGGCCTACGTTCTATACTTCGGGGGAGAAGGGGTACCTGGGTTGGCCACGATGGGAAGACGAAGTTCACAAGATGGATTTGTGAGGATAGATCCTGAACTTTAGACTCATGGATTGTCTTTTTGGATCGCTTAGGCCGAGTTGAAAGACGGATGGAAGAAAGGTAAAGCAATGCATAAATCGTTGCCTGCATTATATCTTGAAGCTAGTCTATCCATCTATCCAGCATGTTTATCATCGCAAATCATGCCATCTAACTTGTAGCACTGGCTGACAGACCAAGCCAAACAGCACCATTTTTATCTCGTTAAAAACCATCACACTTAAGAAAAGAACTTGGCCTCGCCCTCCTTCAGCTTCTTGCCGGCCTCCTCGGTCCAGGCGGCCTTGACGGCGGCGGCATCCTTGCCGGCAGCGGTAAGACGCTCGGCGAGAGAAGCCAGCTCCTCGGCGTCGATCTTGCCCATGATGTTCTCGACATCGGTGAGCACGCCGTCGATCTGGGCGGCAGAGGCGTCACCGGACTCGGCGAAGTAGTTGACGTCCTTGACGGAAGCCTTGAGCACACGCTTGTTCTTCTTGGAGGCGTTCTTGGCGGCCTCCTTGGCCTTCTTCGACTTCTCGCGGTCAGCCTTGGCGGCCTCCTCGGCCTCCTTCTTGCGCTGCTCCTCCTCTAGGCGAGCCTTCTCCTTCTCCTCAACCAGACGCTTGGCCTCGGCCTCACGCTCGAGACGCTTCTTGTCCTTGTCGGCACGAGCGGCCTTGCGGAACTTCTTGATACGCTCGTCCTGGGCGGCCAGGTCGTCGACCAGGTGGCGCAAACGGGCAGTGTCCTCGGTCTTGCGCTTGCGGCGGGCGTTGGCGTTCTTCTTCTCGACGTGACGCTTCTGGTCACGGTTCTCGTTGTCATCGGGAACGTCCTCGTCCAGGTACTCGAAAGTACGCCAGCTGTCGAAGTTGTACCAGAAGTTGTAGAAGTTGTCGACCTCCTCGAAGGTGCTGTTGTCGTCACCCAGCTTAGGCACGGGCTGGATCTTGGAGAAACGGCCCTCAGCCTCGAGCACGGGGCGCCAGAGCTTGAAGAAGTTGCCCTTGGCGGTCTCCTTCTTGCTGGGGGGGTCGACCTCGGCGGCCTCATCAACGGAGTCGAACTGGCGACGACGGACGGGGTCCGAAAGCACCTCGGTGGCCTTCTGGATACACTTGAAGAACTGGTCGTTCTCGTCGCTCTGGCCCATGGCGGCCTTCTTGTCGGGGTGGTGACGCAGAACCTTCTTGCGGTGGGCCCGCTTGATCTGCTCGGGGGTTGCGCGCCAGCGGTACTTGGTAAGACCGAGCACGGCGTAGTGATCTTGGCTCTGTGAAGGATTAGTGATGTGCTAGATTGTAGGATCGCTGAATTTATGTACCTTCCAGTCCTTGGCCTCACGAGCCAGGAGCATGCCGTCCTCGGGCTCGGAGATGTCATCATCCTCATCGTCTTCGGTCTTCTTGACGTTGTTCTGGGCCTGGATTCTCTCGTCCTCAGAGAAGGTGCGGTGGTGACGCTTCTAGAGGGTTGTTAGTTATTGAACCAAGTCATGCATTTCTTTCACCATATGCTCAATTGCAAAGCAAAGGCACAGGTGAATCAGGAGAACGTACTCTGCGGGCGTGGGCGAGGAAGTGAGGGCCAACGGGCTCCAGAGTGCGCTGGGTGGCGGCAGACAGGGAGCCAACGGCCTTGAAGTCCTTATCGGCGCTCCAGCCCTGAGGCAGAGCCGGGAGAGAGACGGAAACGGAAGTCATTTCGACAGGGATCGAAGCCAACTGTACTTTGCGGCGTTCGAATGTACAAAGAAAAAAGACCCGAAGGGAAGTGGATGCTGACGAGAAAGACGACGGCAGAAAAAAAAGTGCGGTGCTTTTTTCGCGGCGATTTTTTCTGCCCCGACATTCCGCCCCACGCCACGCCAATCAGCCGCCGGTCGTTTCGGAGATCAATTGAAGGCTCGACCAGACGGCCTGAAGAAGAGGTCGCAGACACAGTTTTCTGGTGAGTTGGAATGCTTTTTACTGTTGGAGCCTGTCGATGCCCTGTCAGGATTTGCTGAACTAACAATCACCCCGAAAGTCTCGATAAACAACATTTTCAAGCCTACAACACGCCACGTCCCGCAAAGGTCCGCGACTACTTTGACGAAGACATTCGTCGAAAGATTCCCTGAAGGCTATATAATCTATTCAAGCCTATCCAAAGCATAATCTCGCTCTTACAAAATGGCCGTTTCCGCCCGAAGTGCCTATCGTCAAATTCTCCGCGCCACCCGTGTTGCTTTCCAAAGTCAGTCACTTCTGTTATTCCTCGCAATCGCACGATCCTAACATGTTTTGACGATAGATGACACCCGTGTGATGCTCGCTGCCCGTCAAGAGGCCCGTCGGAATTTCGATGACCATCCTCGTGTCGGAATCGACACCCCCATGAAGATCAACCATGCCGTGGAGGTGGCCAACATCCTGAAGCATAACCTTGTGCAAGGGTCTCGATCGGCCGAGGACGACGCTGCGAAATGGGGTATGGGTTCTTTCTCGGGGTATAAGTGGATGATACTAACAGCCTGGAATAGAACTTAATATTCACGACGATATCGAACGCGGCGACAACGATTCGGTCAAGATTGGGGGCAAGAATGTCAAGGTTGACAAGCCATGCTCTGCATAGATGGAACCTGTCTACGAGTGCTGGTCTGCATGCTCTACTACTTGGGATGAGATTGCAGAATAGTTGCATTTGTGCTTTGTATTATAGTATACCCGAACTTTTCTCTCCTTCCGGCGTCTTCTGGGGTATTTTGGATTGATAACAGCAATGTAAAAAGAATAGACAAAACGCCCGCTTTGAATGTACATGTGATTGTCTCCATAGTCCCAATATTTCAACAAGTCAAGAATTTATCAAGATTTCAACCGTATGCTTAATCTCCAGACAAGCTGGTGTACTGGATCTCGCCGCTTCCCGGGGGCGGAGCGACGATGTTTCGGGGTCTTTCAGGCTTGTCGACAGCTTCCTCGCCAGCGGCGGTGATAGACTTGTTGCCGGAGCCAGGTCCCCTAGAGGTCCCAACAGCCGATCGTCCCTCGCGAGCATGTTTCATCCGTTCCTCCCGATCCATATTGTCCAGCGGCTTAGGCTTACCCCATCGAATCCGCAGCGGACAACCCTTAATGACGGCCTTTCCTTGGCACTGTTTGGCGGCGGCTTCGGCGCCCTCGCGGGTGGCAAAGTTCACGAACGCAGAGTGAGCGCGGTGGGAGCAGACGAGCGACCGGAGCTGGCCGAACTCGGAGAAGAAAGACCGCAGAGTGTGTTCGGGAAGATCGTCCTCGACACCTGTGATGAAGAGAGACGTAACATTCGGGTCCGCGGGCGGAAGAATATCATCTTGCGACGGCGGCAGCTGAGCAGTTCCGGGGAACGGGCGACCACCACGGCCGCCACGCGCACCACCCCTCCCTCTGCCAGGCAGGGCAGTCCCTCTTCTGCTATCGCTCGTTCGAATAGGTCCCGGTCCGTTGCCGTACCGACTGTGTACCGGACCTTCCGAGGACGGCGCCTCGCCCTCCTCGTCGCGCGCGGCCTCGATCTGTCGAGGTTTTCTGTAGTAGGGCTCACTGTGCGCAAGTCGCCGCAGCAGGTCGCGCGCCTTCTCATCCGTCTTTTCATATTCCTCGACCGCCCCGCGTCCTTCCTCGATTTCCTTCTCGTGTCCTTGGGCGTAGTATTCGCGGTTGATCGTGCTCTCGGGGCCAGGAGCCACCATCTTCAGAGCGGCATCACGAACGACGATGGGAAGACCGAAGGACAAATCGAGCATACAGCATTGGCAGCAGTTCTTCAACCGAGCACACGTCAAGCAGATGGCGGTGCGCTTGGTACGCGCGGTGCGGTCGGCCTTCCAGCGGAAGATAGTGAAGGGACGAGTGCACTATACAAAGTTAGATTAAATCAATATTCGAACAGAGGGGAGAGGAAAGACATACGATTTTGCATTCTGCGCCGTAATCTTCCTTGAGCATCTGCACGTAGGGATTTTCAGGAAGGCAATTTTCGCAGACGGAGGGGAAGTCGGTGGTTTCCCATCCTGACCGATTAAGGTCCTGTTTGATTTGGGGCTGAGGCATAGTACACCAGGTTGTTCCAGCAAAGGGGGATGAGGAGCAGGTGGAAGCTCGCGTTACTCAAGCAAGTTGCGCGGCGGCGAAAGAATCACGATTATCGATAGAGTTCCCTCTGTGGCTGCGCTGTGGCGGGAGGGTGTGGCTGACCAGCTGATATAATCAGGATCACGTGTCAGTGGTTCTTCAGCGGATGTTTGTTATGGTGGGGACAGTCCGTGATAAGATCAGGGCTCATGATATTAATTTGACTGTCGGGAATATCTCATTACCGAAAACTGTGTCATATTCCATCTGACATGACTATTACTTAGCTACTTAGGGGTAGGTGAGAACTAAGATGTCCTGAAGAGCAAGTCCACCACGAAGGGATCGTCTAGACCGTCGTGTTTGCGTATTCACAGCGTATTTGCGTATTCACAGCCCCCCTGTCCGGCCTATCAGAAGCCACCTTCTCCGGCTCGAACCCCGGACGGCCCTTTTGGGTCTAGCCTTGCGTCCGGTCGGTTGGCTGGCCAGACCGCCGCCCGTGATTGGCTGGGTGCCTTGTCAAAGTCAGTCGCATTTCCGCCTCCTTTCTTTTGGCCGATCTGCTTGCTTCCCGCCTATCTTGACCTGCTGTTCACTATTTTTTTTTCTTCCCCTTCTTGTCTTCTATCTCCCACCTCTCTTTTTCCTGTTGCCTGATTTGTTTCTGCGACTCGTGGTCTGCGAAATACAAATTGCCCTCCGAGTCCCTCCACTCCTTCGCTTCTTTCCGACATTCTTTTTCACCACATCCACCGCCCCTTTTCACATCACCAATCGCTCTTCACAATGGCCCCTACCGCTTTGGAAAAGGAAGACCACGCGCGTGATGCGCAGTTCAACAAGGCCATGCACGGCAAGTCCTCTCAGGCGCAGGGTGGTTTCGCCGCCATGCGTGGAAAGGACGCTGCCGCGCAGAAGGCTGCTGTCGATGAATACTTCAAGCACTGGGACAACCAGGATGCTGCCGACGAGACCGAGGAAACTCGCGCTGTAAGCACTGCATTCTTCAATTGAGATTCGGAGGGGACATTGACCAATTGCTTTTTTACCCACAGGCCCGTCGTGCCGAATATGCCACCTTGACCAGACAGTATGTTCACCGCACTTGCGCATCGACGCTTCCATTCGAAAAACACTGACCAGATTTCCTCGTAGCTACTACAACCTTGCCACCGACTTCTACGAATACGGATGGGGTACCTCGTTCCACTTCTGCCGATTCGCCTACGGCGAGCCTTTCTACCAGGCCATCGCTCGCCACGAACACTACCTCGCTCACCAGATGGGCATCAAGTCCGGCATGAAGGTGCTTGATGTCGGCTGCGGTGTTGGCGGTCCCGCTCGTGAGATCGTCAAATTCTCCGACGCCAACGTCGTTGGTCTGAACAACAACGACTACCAGATCGAGCGTGCCACCCGCTACGCCGAGCGCGAGGGTCTCAGCGACAAGCTGAGCTTCGTCAAGGGTGATTTCATGCAGATGAGCTTCCCCGACAACTCGTTCGACGCCGTCTACGCTATCGAGGCTACTGTTCACGCTCCCGAGCTCGTTGGCGTCTACAAGGAGATCATGCGTGTGCTGAAGCCCGGCGGTATCTTCGGCGTGTACGAGTGGCTCATGACCGACGAGTACAACAACGACAACCCTGAGCACCGCAAGATCCGTCTCGGTATCGAGCAGGGCGATGGTATCTCCAACATGGTCCGTGTCTCCGAGGGACTGGACGCCATCAAGAACGCCGGCTTCGAGCTGCTCCACCACGAGGATCTGGCGGACCGTGACGACTCCATCCCCTGGTACTTCCCTCTGGCCGGATCCTTCAAGCACATGTCCTCGCCCTGGGATTTCCTCACCATCGCTCGCATGACCTGGTGGGGCCGTGGTATCGCTCACCGCTTCGTCGGCGCCATGGAGAAGGTCGGTCTCTTCCCCAAGGGCTCGCAGAAGACTGCCGACAGTCTGGCCCTGGCCGGTGACTGCCTGGTCGCCGGTGGTGAGAAGAAGCTCTTCACTCCCATGTACCTCATGGTGGGCCGCAAGCCCGAGTAAATTCATTTCATCTCCACCTCATATCCTAACCTCAAAATCCTCATGTGAAACGCCCTGTCCTGTACAAAAACCACGGTTTCCTCTGATTTGTACCAGCATCCTCTTCATCCTCCTTATTATAGATTTGGCGGTCTAAATTCTTTAATCTCGTGTCTCTTTTCTTCTCTTCTTTTTTTCTTTCTTCGATCTCGCTCTGGGCGATTCATCTTCTGGTTCTCAACTGTTGTTATTATTTGCATACCGCCATCGGATGCTATGCTTGTATGCTTTGTGTTTCATTTGCGATTTTCCTTTTGTCCAATATCCTACGAATCACTGCTGTGTATGTACATGTGCCCACGGTGATGATTGACTTGCGTTATCTTTCTGTTTCTCTACCGTTCTTCGGTAAAGATAGTCTGTAATGTGAGTGAGTCATGAACGAAAGCTTTTATTCATTTCATCTTCAACTATGCGTAGTATTACTATAGGAGTATCGTTTCCATCATCCCGTATCTAGACATTTTCGCGGGGATTGCGTGAGAATACATCATTCTATTGCGTGATGTGAGTCTCGATCGTGCCGTTCTATCAACCAGTAAGTTAGTAACCCTAGTCTTGATATTCCAGGGGAGACAAGGAAATTGCATCACGTACCAGTTCTCGGCTGTACTTAACTCCAACGTTGTTCCCGCTGACCGCGTCATACGGAACAGGGCTTGTATAGTTAAACGTGGCAGTAAGGTTCTTCCACGTCTTCTGAACAACATTCAGGATCCCGTGGCCACCGGAGCAGCGTCCCTGCGTCAACGGAACAGGCCACTTGGGCGAATAGTTGTCACTGGCCATGGGTCCGGGATGAGTCTCATTGAGATACAGATTGCTCGTCTCAACCTCATAGTTCTTGTACCCAACCTTTTCAGCCAGGAAGCTGAGCAGATTAGCACCACAGTCCCAGCGACCCAGGGAGGGGAGACCCCAGTTGGCAGACAGCGACGCAATAATAGAGTAGTGGGTGTAGAAGGTGTCGTCCTGTTTGCCGCGGAGGTGTTCCGGGACGGCGCCACCCAGCAAAAAGCTGTAGATCTTGTTCCCGATCTCGTAGGTGTCGTTCTCGTCGAAGGTGAGCAGGATGAGGGTGTCTTTGGTGAAGTAGTCGTTTTCGAGCAGCTCGGCGAGGAAGCGGTAGGTCCAGGAGCCGGCGAAGGTGATGTTGGTGTCGTGTGCGTCGTTGGTCATGTTCGGCGTGATGAAGCTGTACTGCGGGAGGCGGTGGCTCTCGAGGTCTTCGTAGAAGGTGGTGAAGTTCTTGATCTGCCGCAGACGCGTCGCGTCCTCCGTCACCGAGTTGAAGAGGATCTTGGGGTTGTGCTTGCGCACGTAGTCGTTCGCTCCCGTCTCCGGGTATCGGTACCCCTGGTACCCCGGGTAGGGCATGTGCTCTTGGTACTCGCCCCAGGCGATGTTCTTGACGTCGAGCATGTCGGCGATGGTGGACACGTTGGACGGGATCTGGTTGAAGTCGTCGTTGTCCATGCCAAAGGTGTCTCCGCCGGCTGAGGCGCAGTAGTTGGGCTCGGAGGGGTGGGTGATGGCCCAGTAGTTGCTCAGGAGGAGACCCTTCTCGGCCAGCTTGGATAGGCTAGGGTCGTTGGCTGCATCTTCGAAGTCCTGCGGAGTTTGGTTAGGTTTGTACAGTGTCAATTCAGCTTGAAATGTGGTGTGGACTTACGGTGTTCTCCAACCAGATGTTAACAAAGCGATTGAATGATAGACCCTTGACATTGGAGACGGGGGAGTGAGGCAGCACTGTAGCCTGTGCAGCTTCGATCTCCGCACGAGAAGGCAATTCCTTCGTAGCAGTTTTGGCAAGGGCCAGGGAGATGCCTCCAAGGAGGGTCACGAGGGTCTGTTGGGGAAGCATGGCGTCCTCCGTATCTCAATTGAACTGACACTGCAATTGATGCTTGGATGAGAGCTGGATTGAACAGAAACAGATGGCAGGAGCACACTCTGCGCCCTTATATATGTTTTCCGACCCCATCCTGAAGACAGAATTCGACCAGACATCCATCTTAGTGAATGGATCTCAATCCGACTACCACCTACCCCTCTTGACAGAAGCATCTCGCTTCCAGCTTTCCCCCACTCTGCACCTTGTGAGTGCATCGTGTTGTGCATCGCATTGTCGCACGTTGCAAGTCGATGATCGCTGAGTGGCCCAGTGCTTGGCAATGGGTCCCGGGCACGTGCGGTCGCTGGCTCACCCGAGCGGTTGAGCTTGGCCGGGTGGACCCAATCAGCATGACCCGGCCTGCTATAGATCGGCTGCTCGGCAACTGATGGCTGAATTGGATGGACGGCGTAGATATGAAGCCACAAATCACAGTCTAGTGATTACCACCGCAGTTATGTCTAGCGAGTAAGGCTGGAGCTTGGTGATTCTCCGGCATCCGGGCATTACCTATATTCTACTCTTCTTGGCATGGCGTTTTGAGTAGGCGAAGAAAAAAGACGAAAACAGAAATAAAATAACTAGAGCTAGCTTCGTTGGCAAAAGAAAGCATGAGTGAGATTCCGTTTAATATAACAAGGAAAGGCTCCGGATGTTTCTTCTCGTTCTTTTTTATTGCTTTTCGTAAACAGCATTGGAGGCTGTGATATTTTATTTCATTTTGACTAATTTCAATTTCCGTTTCTTCTCTATTCAATGGGAAAACAGGAAATAATATGCAGAAAGGAATAGAGGATATGGCGATTGTCTCCGTCTAGGTAATATGAAAATTATCAGGGTTAGCAGAATGTCAGTTATAGAATTTATTCCACTGGAAGTTAGAATGCCAGAAAAATGAATAGAAGAGAGACTTCTGGTGACGTTTTGAGTAATTTAATCTCAGTGCCCGACTATTTGGACCTGAATATGTATAACTAATGTGTTCAAACAATTTTTACATTTGGTGGAAACAAACCTTATTATGTTGATATCAGCAGCTGCTTTCATATAACCAGTATAGGAATAAATAAATTGATTAATCGGTATGGTTCAAATGCGAATGTATGGAAGCTAATAAGATAATCCTTAAATATATTGCTCTAGATAGGTTGTTTGACTATATGATGTAAGTATAAAAGCAATCTGCATACCTAGCAGAAAGCCAAGTGCCGGGTCATGAGGAATAGAATATTAAAGATAAGCTTCGCGGTTATGACAGTGCTTGAAGCTAATATATATTTAAAATAATAAGCTATGCTGAGTATGGCCAATTGAACATTAGAAGAGATCTGTAGGGTAGAATAACTCAAACCACATATGAACGCTTCCCAAGAAGTAGGTCCAGATGTTCCTAGATTGTCAGGTAAAGAAAGTGAGGGTATTGAGTCGGGAAAGGAAGACATAAGCTGCCTGGAAGTTCCCCACAAAACAAGTAGCAAAGCATTACCTCAGAAGTTACCAAAGGATATCCCCGTTGGAAGTCAGGAGACACGTGCTCGAGGCCGGAGAATGCACCGTAACAACCGGTAGATCCCTGACATTCAAAGGAGCAGATTAATTCCTCCGAAGTAACTACATCATGCTATAAAATGCTTAGTTCGAATGCTGTGACAGGCCACTACTGCAAGCACCCGTTCAAACAGAACCTCTTTCCCCAGCACATCTGAAGATCAAAAAACAAAGCAAAGTCTTCGTTCATTCACCGTTGAGGAGGTATACCCCCCGGAACCAATCAAGCCCGGTGACGTGTGTAGGGAGGTCTCGGAAAAGCAGCCGTGAAGCCCCGAGAGTCTCCGTGAACCCCCAGACGCGTCCTAAGGCCTCGCAGTCACTTCTACTGTTGTCTTCTGACCCAGGCGCGTGCAAGTCACCTCACTTAAGCGAAGGAACCTCCTCCACCCCATCTCTCCTGTAGAGATACTGCAGGGACCGTTGTTGATATCATTCTTGCCATACATACCCTTTGTGCCTCTCTTGACCCTGTACCTCTCCTGCCATAATGTTCAGCTACAATCAGTTCCAGAGTCACCTTGACGTGGCTCGTGCACGCTGGGAAAAGGTGCAGACAGACACCCAAGTGGGAAATGTCACCATTGATGGAAACAGCCTGACTATTGCCGACGTCGTTGCAGTTGCCAAGTAAGTTCAAGATTCCCTTCTCCCTTGTTGAAACAAGTATAGTTTGCTTACAAACGGTGTGACTAGATCTGGTTGCCGACCTCATCTCACAAAAGATCCTGAAAGAATCGAAAGCATTAACCGAAGCATTACTGTCCTGACAGACTGCTTGGCTAAGGGGCATGCGATTTATGGTAAGATCTGACACCATTCCATTGAAACACCTAGAATGTTACTGACAGCCATAGGCGTCAACACAGGATTCGGAGGCAGTGCAGACTCACGGACCACCCAAGTTTACTCGTTGCAGAGGTCCCTATTGCAATTCCTTCAGAGTGGCATCCTGACTGAAGGCGATATCGGTGATGAGGGGTCCGCACTTGAGAGCCATTCGATGCCGCCCGAGTGGGTCAAAGCAACTATGCTGGTCCGTTGCAATTCCGTTGCCAGAGGACACTCCGCAGTATCGGTGGCTTCTATAAATGCAATCCTGAGGTTGATTCGCCATAGAATCGTCCCGGTAGTGCCTCTTCGTGGAACCATTTCGGCTTCTGGGGACCTCATGCCTCTGGCATATATTGTTGGAGCTGCAGAAGGAAGCCCTGGAATACACGTTCAGGTTGGCAAAAGACATGAGCGTCGGATTGTCACTGCTCAACAAGCCTTAAAAGCACACCAGATCCCGGGTATTAGTCTTGGCCCGAAGGAGGCTCTTGGTCTTGTGAATGGAACTGCAGCAGCCGCTGGCTTAGCTAGTCTTGCCATGTATGAGGCCCATCAGCTTGCCATCCTGTCTCAGGTTGTGACTGCCCTTACCGTGGAGGCTCTCTCTGGCTCAAAGGACAGTTTTCATCCGTTCATCAACTTGACCCGTCCCCACGAAGGCCAGATGGAGGCTGCTACAAATATTCTTGCCGTGCTTCAGGGCTCTCATCTTGCGAAGGGAGGTGACGCATGGCAGTCGAAAACCTCAGGTCTCGTTCAGGATCGTTATTCGATCAGAACATCAGCTCAATGGATTGGCCCTCAGCTCGAAGACCTTGCACTCGCCGATCGTCAAATCGATATTGAACTCAACTCAACCACTGACAATCCATTGATTGACAACTCAGCTTCAAAATTCTATTGCGGCGGTAACTTTCAAGCTACAACCGTGACATCGGCTATGGAGAAGACTCGTTTGGCACTGCAGATGTTGGGTAAGCTGCTCTTTACACAGTGCACCGAGTTGATAGACCCCGGACTTAGCAATGGTCTGCCGACGAACCTGGCTGCCGACGAACCCAGCTTGTCCTTCACAATGAAGGGTGTTGACATCAACATGGCTGCATATATGTCTGAGTTGGCCTACCTTGCGAACCCGGTCAGCTCACATGTCCAAACAGCCGAAATGCACAACCAAGCCATCAATTCCCTGGCCTTTGTGACCGCACGATACACCATGAAAGCAGTTGATCTCGTATCCATGATAGGCGCGTGTTCTTTGTATGTGGTCTGCCAGGCCCTTGACCTGCGCGTTATCCAGTTGAGGTTTTACGACAAAATCGATTCTGTTATCCACCAAGCTATGACCTTTGCTTTCAATAACTTCCTCAGCGCAGACGAGATCGAAGAATTGGTGGAAAAGGTTACCAGTGCCATTAAATCTGCTTGGCCGCTGACCTCCCGCCTAGACATCGAGCAGCGCAACAGCTATGTAGTCGATCGCTCCTTATCCATCGTGGTGAGAGAGGTAGCAAAAGTCAACTCAGCTCGTTGCCCAAAGGTGAATTATCTCGCCAAGATCGACCAGTGGAGAGAACTGGCTGTCCACAATCTCACCCTTGCGTATAAACGAGGGGTCGAAGAGTTCTGCGATCAGCCGATTACCCCTGACTACCTGGGCCTTGGATCCAAGCTTGTTTATGTGTATATCCGGCGTCAACTGGGTATCCCATTCCATCAAGGCTTTGCCGAGCATCTGTCGCCACAGCAGAGCGAGGCCAACACCATCGGCGGCAGAGAGAAGAAATCAATCGGTGCCTGGATTTCCATCATCTATGAGGCGTTGCGCGAAGATAAGATGACTGGTATTCTTCTTGGAGCACTGCTGGCTCGCGTGGAGGATTGATTAGGCGTCGCTCGCTTCAAGTTGACATGGGGCTTATTTTGTTGATTGCAATCTCACCTGCGGTGATTGTTATTGATGCCACACCTTTTCTTCTTTTTCTTTCTATCCATGTAATTTAACATGAGATCTGTTATGGGTGGATAAGTCCATGAAACCAACTAGCTTTAGCTTTGAATGTGCACGGATTCCTTGTAGTTGCTGAGTAGATGAAAAGATAGACAGAATGAGGACCGTCAGTCACTCGCTGATTCCCAGTTTAGGAAAGTTGGCAGCACTGCCCAGATGACACTAGAACGACTAACCCTTATTACTAGTAATCAGAAATGTTCGATTTCAAACAATCGTAGTTCTTATATCCAGAATTGTTTCAAATTGCAGTTGATGGAAGAAAATGCGGGGAAGTTTTTCCCACTCCAGATCTTTCTTCCTTTTCCACCAACCGCTTCTCTTCATTCCTGCAGTTGCAGACAACCATACTTCTTGTCAAGTGGGGTAGCCGAACAGGCGAGAGGGATTACAGAGCCTACCGCTGTGCCAGTGGGATTCAAAAGATGCCAGTCTCAAGTTCTTCTCTTACCTAGGTCAAGTCGAACATCCAACAGAATATCACCGGAGCTCCACACCTTAAAAATGACATTTCCAGTTACAATTTCGCTTCAGAGCGACGCTCTGCAAGTTAAAGTGCACATCAGTGCCGATGGAATCGCCTTCCTCCAGGAAGTTATCCCTATTCCGGGCTCTACTCGCCCATCAGCGTCTAGATACTTCCCAAACTCATTCACTCCCCTGTTGGAAGCGCGTCTCGCGGGCGAAGGCACGGCGAAACACAAATCCTCCAAGTCGCTCATTGGAACTTACCTGGGAACGCGGTTGAAGTACCAGTCACATCACACCAGCACGCAGGCTGATACCAAAGTTCTAGATGTTGTTCTAGCAGACGATATCTCCAAGGTCACCGTGATATGCCATCTCAGAATATACCGATCTATCCCAGTTCTCTCGTCAACGGCCACTATTCGAAACGACGGCGACCAGGACATCGTGGTAACCCAACTCAGCTCCCTTGTGCTTGGGGGATTGACTACGGGGTCGGAAAAATGGTGGTCGGATTATACCCTGTCGGTACCAAATAATTCATGGTTCAGAGAAGCACAATGGATTGAACATGACCTACCAAGTCTCGGGGTTGACGACTACGGAGTCTACGGTCGTCCCGAAGAGCACGCGGCTAGTATAGCACATTATGCTGTCTCCAATCGTGGAAGTTTCTCTACAGAAGGGCACTTACCCATGGGTCTGTTGAAACGGACCGACGGTGCGGAAACGTGGCTATGGCAGGTGGAAAACAACGGGTCATGGCGGTGGGAAATTGGAGACTGGAAAGACAGCGTTTATGTGGCAGCCGGAGGACCGGTAGAGGCTGACCATGACTGGAGGGAGAAATTATCTCCAGGAAAAGAATTCACAACTGTACCAGTTGCGATCTGTCATGTCTTTGACAATTACGAGAAGGCATTCGCTGAGATGACGCGATACCGACGACAAATGAGACGGCAGCATGAAGACCACAAGCGACTGCCGATCATATTCAACGATTACATGAATTGTCTCATGGGTGACCCGACAGATGAGAAGATCCTAGCACTCGTTGATCCGGTCGTCGAAGCTGGAGCCGAATATTTTGTGATTGACGCGGGCTGGTATGCGGACGACTCAGGATGGTGGGACGACGTCGGGCTGTGGGAGCCTTCAAAGAAAAGATTCCCCATGGGATTCAAGGAGCTTCTAGCCCAGCTCCAAGCACGGGGACTAGCTCCAGGCCTCTGGATAGAGCCAGAGGTTGTTGGAATCCGAAGCGTTGTTGCGCAGCAGCTCCCAGAAGACGCGTTTTTCCAACGAGATGGCCGGCGCATCGTCGAAAAGGGACGATACCAACTCGACTACCGTCATCAAGCTGTACGCGATCGCATGCATGGGATTATTCACCGTCTAATAACGGACTACGGTGTCGGCTACTTCAAGTTCGATTACAACATCGAAGTCACCCAGGGCACTGATATCAGTTGCTCGAGCGCTGGGTCGGGCCAGCTAGATCACAATAGGGCATACTTGCGCTGGGTTAGCGAATTACACGACAAATATCCCGCACTTGTTATTGAAAACTGTTCCAGCGGTGCCCAGCGAATGGACTACGCCATGTTAGCCGTTCACGCCCTCCAATCTACCAGTGACCAGCAGGACCCCGATCGTTATGCTGCCATTGCCGCGGCCCTTCCAACGGCTGTGACCCCCGAACAAGGAGCTGTGTGGGCGTATCCTCAGCCCGAATGGGACGATGAAATCAATGCAATGACTGTGACTAACAGTTTACTCGGGCGTATACATCTCAGTGGACGACTCGATAACCTCCAGCCCCATCAGTTTGATCTAATTAAACAAGGAATGGACGTGTATCGAAGCATCTGCTTGGACCTGGCAACTGCAACTGCATTTTGGCCCCTTGGCCTTCCTCACTGGCACGATGACTGGATCGCACTCGGGATGGCGGCTCAAACAGCGGAAGGAAGAGACACTGGACATTATTATATCTCCATCTGGAGACGTGGAGGTGCCGAGTCAATCGAACTCCCCCTTTTGACGTTCCGTGACCACGCAGTCAATGCGCAAATTCTCTATCCTGCCTCGTTCCCTGTCAATATATCATGGAAACCTGAAGGGCTGCTCAAAGTCCATATCCCTTCGAAGATGGCTGCTCGACTGCTGAAGGTTACTGTGTCTTGATCTTGGTTTTGGTTTCGCACGGACATCAAAGCACCGGCCACGTCTAATCCAAGAGACAAACATCCAAATAATTCAAGCGAAACCCAACAGTGCTTCAACTCAAGAAGGAGCTATTAGCCTTCATCTCTGCCAATAAAGACATTTCCCCCGCACTTTTTGTTACACAGAGCATTCCAACTAGCTATCCCTTACTTCTAGGCTTCCGGCTCAGCTCCCAGCCTTCGCCTTCCACCAGTCAGGGTGCGTCAAACCCGCTGTCTAGGCCTTCTTTCCCCCGGATTTACCTTACCTTGTCCACAAATTTAATCTACTGGCGTCGAGTGTCTTTCCTTCAAAGACGTTAAATGGTGAGGGTGTCATTTTTGATCATGTGCTTTAGTTGTCCCTTGCAGGGGTCAGGGATGGAAGAGATAGGCATTCATTATAGGGATATTTTGCGGGAAAGTTGAATTGACATATCATGTTTTCCATTGGTTGTTATCTGTTACACTGAGCGGTGTGCTCATTGGTATATAATCCAGCAGGGGTCCATGAAGCTTTGACAGTTGGTTGTTCTTCTAAAATATGATTCATGTACTGCGATGATCGAACAGTTTTGTACCTGGTGGGAGCTCAATAAACCGATAGAAAATGGAGAAGACATCTGTTGTTGATTCTCCATCATCTGCAGACTCGGAGACGCAACACTGCGATGAAGAGAAGAATACTGCATGGCAAATGAGCGTGGACGAGGCCCAAGCAGCCAACATCAACGAGCATACCATGACTGTTCGGCAGGCCCTACGATCTTACCCGTGGGCTGTGATCTGGTCACTCATCATCTCCATGTCAATCATCATGGAGGGATATGATACCAATCTCATTGGCAGCTTCTACGGATACCCAGCCTTCCAGAAAGAATTCGGCATCGAACATGGCGATGGGTACCAGGTACCTCAGGCGTGGCAGTCTGCTCTCGGGGTCGGTGGGAATGCAGGCTGCATCGTTGGTGCATTTTTGAACGGGTACCTGATTAAGCATTATGGGTTCAGGAAAGTTTTTATGGGAGCGCTGGTGCTCATGTGTGGCTTCATATTTGTGTCCTTCTTTGGCAAGTCCCTGGGCGTCCAAGTGGCTGGACAGGTTCTTTGTGGGTAGGTCTGATCTGGACACTTGATCTTGATAGAAATTGCTGACAGCTTGCAGAATTCCGTGGGGAATATTCGCCACAATCGGGCCAGCATACTCGTCGGAGCTGTTGCCAATGGCGCTTCGCTCATACCTGACTGCTTACACGAATATGTGTTTCGCTATCGGTCAATTTATCAGTGCCGGCGTGCTTCAAAGCCTCTTGAGCCGGGATGACCAGTGGTCGTACCGTATTCCATATGCCATACAGTGGATCTGGCCCGCACCGCTATTTTTCATAGCGATATTTATGCCGGAGTCGCCCTGGTGGCAGGTGCGCCATGGCAAATACGAAGCCGCCCAAAAGACCGTCCATCGCCTAACAAGCAGGCCAGAAAGGACCAAGTCTCGAGAAATAGTCGCCATGATGATCCATACCGACAGCATCGAACGGGAATTAGAGGCTGGAGGCTCGTACTGGGATTGCTTTCGAGGAAGCAATCTGCGACGCACGGAAATTGCCTGCGTGACGTTTGCCGGGCAGGTGTTTGCCGGCAGCCAGTTCGCATACACAGGCACATATTTTTTCGAGCAAGCAGGAATGAGTCCATCGAATGCTTATAAGGTCGGATTGGGTGGCACTGCGGTTGCATTCGTCAGTACAATTCTCTCCTGGTTCCTCATGAAGGGACTTGGCCGCCGGACCATGTATTTAAGTGGCATGGGACTGATGTCAATATATCTTCTCATTATCGGATTTCTGACTCTCCCAAAGCATAACAACAATCTTGTCTGGGCACAGTCTGCATTGTGTATCGTTTGGCTGTTCACTTTCTCATTGACCGTGGGACCGATGGGCTGGAGCATCGCCCCAGAGGTCTCGTCAACACGGCTGAGATCAAAGACAATCTGCCTAGCCCGCAATGCCTATTATATTGCCATTGTTGTTGCCAATGCCATTGAGCCATACATGATGAATCCGGTCGCATGGAATTGGAGAGGAAAAACCGGCTTTTTTTGGTTCGCGTTCGCTTTCCTCACATTTGTCTGGGGCTACTTCCGTCTCGCAGAGACCAAAGGGCGTACGTTCGAGGAACTGGATATTATGTTCGCGGCTGGTGTGCCAACAAGGAAGTTTAAGAAGTGTCACGTCGACGCGTACGCAGAGAATGTGGCGATCAAAGATCGGGCAAAGGAGGGTCCACATGAGAAAACAGCTATAGCCATGTGATTTTTTGGCGGTTTTTCTCGTTGATCCAAGCCAAATATGGCCAACGATTGAGTTTCGAGATTATTCTTCCAAATTTCTATCATAGGGAGAGTCTCTCATCCCAGCTTTTGATGTGGAGTTGCGACTTTGTGGATTGTCGGATCCGATCTTGGCTGATAGGCCACGGTTGAATTGCACCAGCTGCAAATCTGTCCTTTGAATTGAAGAGATTCGTGAGTCCCGGTTGAACGGAAAGTTTTTCTGATAAAGCTGCCAGCAAAAGTCCTTAGGGCTTTGGTTGATCGACAGGGTCCAATGTTTTAGGGCAGTATGGGTAACTCTGGGCGACCATCCAATAAGGATTGCGCACACAATACAGACCTTGGATGATTCCATTTCTCCCCCACCACCCTTCATTCATCCTCCCATTTTCATAATCGCGTCAATCCCCGCAGGGTCCTGACATTCAAATTTGCATCTTTCTTTTCTTTTATTTCTCTTTTCCATCTTGAAAATGAATGGTATCGACCTGGAAAGAACCTCATCTCGGCAAGGCAATGATCCCTTCCAAACTCCAACTTCCGAGCAAGATGAGACCAACGCTGCGACAAACCAAGCAGATGCTTTTGAAGACATCCCTCCTAATGGCGGGTATGGCTGGGTGTGCACGTTTTGTGCGTTTATGATCACCGTGCACACCTGGGGTATCAACAGCGCGTGGGGAGTGATCCTCGCCTATTTCCTGTCCAATTCAACATTCCCCGGTGCTGGCCATCTGGATTATGCGTTTATCGGCGGGCTGTCTATCTCCCAATGCTTGCTGATTGGGCCCATTGTCACCAAGACGTACAAAGCTGTGGGAACCACGGTGACCTTGCTCTTCGGTACAGCCTTGGTCTTTGTGTCCCTGTTTAGTGCATCATATTCGACAAAGATATGGCACTTGTTTTTGTCCCAAGGAGTATGCTTTGGCTTCGGCATGGGTTTCCTCTACCTCACCACCATGGCGATTCTCCCTCCATGGTTCTCAACTAAGAGAAGCCTTTCTATCGGGCTCGCCGCTTCGGGCTCTGGGATCGGCGGTCTTGTCTATAATTTGGCGTCAGGTCATACGATCGAAACTATGGGCTGGCAGATGACCTACAAAATTCTGGCATTCTGCGCTCTAGGATCCAATTTGATCTGCTCGCTGTTGCTGAGAGACCGCAAACAATCTCGGACTGCTATCGCCCAACGCACGTTCAATCACCGCGATCTCAGCAGCTTCCAGGTCCTCCTGATGATCGTGTGGGGAGTCAGCACGGAGCTAGGGTTCATCGCTTTGATTTACTCCCTGCCGCATTACGCATCGTCGATTGGGTTGAATGCACAGCAAGGATCGGTCGCAGGTGCAATCCTGAATCTTGGACTAGCCATTGGACGGCCCCTGACCGGGTGGGTTAGCGACGTTTTTGGCAGAATCACAGTTTCGATGCTTATGACAGCCTTTTGCGCCGTTGTATGCTTTGCCATCTGGATCCCTGCGCAGTCTTATGCGCCCCTTTTGGTGTTCGCCATTTTATCGGGAATGGTTAGTGGCACCTTCTGGGGAACGATAACCCCGGTGACTGCTGAGGTAGTCGGGCTGAGCCGTCTTCCGTCGACATTTGCCATGATCTGCCTTACTCTAGTCATTCCAACGACCGTTGCTGAGCCAGTGGCACTCAGCTTGGTGGCCAGCTCTGGCTACTTGAATACTCAAGTGTACATTGCATGCATGTTCATTTTGGGCGCACTTAGCCTTTGGGTCTTGCGTTCCTGGAAGTTCTATGAGATTGAAAAAAAGGCGGCAAAAGAACAAGAGGGTGTATATGGATCAGAAAACGCCTTGGCCAGCTTTCCGAGCTACTTTGGATGGCTTCAGCCTCGGAAATTGTTTTTGTACGGTCGTGTGTAATGAAATAGTAGGTAAGGCATTGCAAGGTAGAGAGTGGGTATATGGAGCAAATAGAATGGTGGATGTCTCTTGTATCTGGATAAGAGACTTTATAGATGAACTGATCGAGGCAATCGATGATGATGATGATGATGATGATGATGAATGTTAATGGTCAATGAATGGATGATTGGGAAAGGAGAAAGAAAGGAACGCAACTGATAAGAGACGGGCACTTATCACCCGTGATCGGCTCCACCGCACTGCCTTCTCCCCCGTTCGTCTTCCCGGTGGCAACGCTTGTAGTCCTGGTCTTCAGCCCGTTTGTTCAAATGCCTCCGGTTCGAAGGCTACGTACAGAACCCATTGTTCGGGTAAGGACCGGCTGCTGGTCCTGCAGGCGTCGCAAGAAAAAGTGCGACGAAGTCAGACCGGCCTGTGGAGGATGTGTCCGCAATAAACTCTCCTGTCAATGGCCATCCAATCTACCCCAAAACCCATCGTCAACGGCTTCAAATGCTCCGGATACAAACCAACCACTAGGGCTCGAGGGTCAGCCATCCAGCCCAGTATCGGATAAAGAACGTCGTGTATCAGTTGGTTCAGTGGGCTCTTCCTCTGCCGCATCGTCAGCCCAAGTCTCGTGCACCGACTCTGCCGAGCCTGCTGCCTTAGCGAACGAAGAACATGTTTCACCTCAGCAAATTGCTCTAAGGGGCAGCCCAGAGTCCGATCTTACTAGCTTGGCCGTAGGGGGCCTTGTGCCTCGAAGTCTATCGATGCTTCCAGGTTACAGTCAAGAGTCTTTTCAGCTACTGAGCCACTATCTGGCGACAACGGCTGACTGTATGGCCAACGGCTCAACTCCTGTGAATCCGTTTTTGGTCCAGATAGTACCTCTTGCTTTCACCAGTGACCTTCTTCTCCAGCTAGTTCTCACGCAAAGTGCTGCGCATCGGGCATTCAGAAGCCGAAACGATTCCGATGAAATCGCTCAGAGTCACTATACGAAAGCTTTGCAGTTGTTCCGCAAAGGAGTCACCGAATTTATCAACGGGAAGGAGTCCAACTCACTGATGCTTACTGTTGGAGCTCTCGTGATGTGCTTTACAGAGGTATGCACCGTCTACGATCGGCAAAGTATCTCAGCTGACTATGTAGAGTAGACTGCCAAAGGAGACATCAATGGCACGATCTTTGACCATCTATCCGCAGCCAACACGCTATTGACGCGTCTGTTGTCGCTGAGTGATACAACAGTTCCGAAGGAACTGAAAGACTTTGTCATTGAATATTACACTTATACCGCAGCAGTGAGCATGATATCTATCGATGCCAGGGTTAGCCCTCAACTCTTGCTGAATTTCGAGTTGGAGAACCGAGCTCGTCAGCTCCTCGACTCTCAGTACATTGGCAATCTCTGTGGTTGTTGGTTGGAACTATTGCTATTAATACCTTGCATATTTGATTTAGGGAGACAGTGGATGATGCACAATGCCCAACCCACCATGCCATCCGCTGACGAAATCGCCATGTACGGCTCGCTACAAACCCAGATACTACAGTGGTCACCCTTCCCCAGCGTTACCCCGGAGGTATTTCTGGCCGGTCGCATCTTTCAACAGGCCATGCTTCTCTACTTATACACAGCTTTGGGCTCTTTCTCGCGGACCGAAAACGGAATGCACCAGGGACTGATCAATACGGCCATCGTCGAAGGAATGGCATACCTCAACCAGCTTTCCGCGACAGTCCGGATCAATTCTGGGCTCTGCTGGCCGATCGCCGTGATAGGATCCTGTCTTTGCCAGACAGAGCATCAGGATCAGCTACGCAACCGACTGACTACAATGGTAAATACATTTGGTATCGGGAACATGCACCGCACGCTTCTATTGCTCGAGCACATGTGGGAGATGCCTCTCGAGGAAGCCGGGCCATGGAACATATGTCGTGCGATGCAAAAGTATCAAATATGGATTTCATTTGCATAAGATAAATCAGGGTTGTTCTATTCATACAATACGGTCATCATTCGTGCCTCGCCCTTGCATCTCATGGCAAGTATTGCAAGGAAACCTATTGGCCCAGGTTCTTGGGGGCCTCAGTGGCAGGACCCTCCGGGGTCACGTATGCTTTGGTCAAGCCACCGTCAACCACGAAGTCGGTGGCGTTGACGAAACTGCTCTCATCGCTGGCCAGGAAGACGACGGCGTGGGCTTGTTCGATGGCTTCGCCGAAGCGACCGGTGGGGAAGTGAACCTCACGGCGGAATCGCTTCTCCTTGTCATCTCCAAGCCAATCCTGCAACAGGGGGGTGCTGTCACGGTTAGATGGGCAGCAATCAATTGAGGCAGTCGAACTTACTTGAGAGGTGCAGGGCACAGAGAGTTGAAGCGGAAACCTGCTCGTTTTAGCTATGGTCGCGACAGACACAACATGTAACTCACCTTCGCGCGCATGCACAATTGCCAGTTCGCGAGTCATGGCCAACACCGCACCCTTGCTGGCAGTGTAGGCCAACTGCGGAGTCGCGGCACCCACCAGAGCAACCATACTGGCCGTGTTGATCACACTTCCCTTCTTCTTGCCGTGTCTCCGCAAGCTCTTCACGGCATGCTTGGATCCATACCACACACCCTTCACATTGATGTCCATGGTCAAGTTCCAGATGCTCTCGGGAGTTTCCTCCGAATCACCGTCCTTCGCGTGCATGATGCCAGCGTTGTTGAAGATCACATCCAGGCCACCCCATGCGTCCAGGTGCGCAACTGCCGCTTCCACCTCTGTTTCCTTGGACACGTCGACCACGCGGTATTCGACCTTTCCATCGTGTGTGGGGACTACCTGGTTCACTTTTGCCAGGGCTTTCTCGAGGCCGGGGGCACTGATATCGGTCATGAGGACGGAGGCGCCTTCGCGGAGCATGAGGATGGTGGTTTCGAGGCCGATGCCGCTGGTTCCGTTAGCTAAACTGCTTGGTCGTGGGAGTCGGAGATACATACCCGGCGGCACCGGTGACAAGGGCGTTCTTTCCAGCGAGTCTTCCAACCATTGTCAAGTGTTTGGTTTGTTAATGAAATGTTTTAACTGATTTGTTGGCACTTTGAAATGCAGGTTGTCAATAAGGATGATATACTGGTCAGAATGAAGACGACAGAAATGCGTTTTATAACCCCACCATTACCTCCCACTCATTCAGATGACCACACATCTCCAACACCCCGCCGCGCGGTTAAGCTGCACCGCTTGACCAGCCCTGGCAATTGAGTTCCACTCTGATCCAATGTGAAACCGACCTCGGCTTCGTAGCGCGGGCGATAAGGGACGATCGCGATAAGAGACGCCCGCGGTCCCGGACCGCGCAGTGGGGCGTGGGGAGGTTGAGGACAGCTTGAGCTCTCCGCGGGGCAACTCAGGTCCTTGTGGAAAGCTGACGAAAGTGTTGGAATAGCTTTACGTTTCTGAATCTTTGTTGTTGGGGTACTCTGGACACTTCTGAGTGGCAACTTTCGCGATTGTGGGTAGTGCATCATTTTACTGGGCTTAACCCGGAGAACGAAGCAGTGAGAGAAGTCGAACTGTACAGATTCTCAATTAACACTTTACAGCGAGATCAATAAAATAGAGGTTCATAATTTATTGCAGAAGGTTAAGAAGTAAAAAAGGAGGAAGTCCAGTGACCTCGGCATAGCATGTATGCCTAATGCCTGAGGCCATCAAGAATCGGGCGACAAACGCCAGAACTCTCACACTTCAGCGGCTCGAAGAAATGTCGGGATCGCTCTGGAATAGAATCAAACCCACCTCGAGGTGCTCCTCACCGCGGATGTGATGGTTATTCGCGGGTTCAACTCAATCCATCCACCGACCCACTCAACCTCCGAGCGCGGTCCCTGATCCGAAGTATTCGGAGCTATAACTACTTCTTATCGGCCCTACGTACCTCTAACTGAACAATTTCTATACCCCAACTACAACACAACATGTCCAACGCAATCCGCACCCTCTCCCCTTCCACCAACAAGCTCATCTACGAGCACCCCGGCACTTCCCTGGAGGAAGCCCGCCAGCTCGCCATCTCCGCCCAGGATGCCCACAAATCGTGGAAACAGGTCCCTCTTTCCGAGCGAAAGTCCATTATCCTCAAGGCACTAGAACTCATCAAGGCTAACAAGGAGACTCTCGCCGAAGAGCTGACGTCTCAAATGGGTCGTCCGATCGCCTTCGCTACCAAGGAAATCGACACCATGCGCAAACGCGCCGACTACCTCCTTGACATCGTCGATGACAGCCTGAAGAATCTCCCCGGTCAGCCGGAAGACGGGTTCAGGCGGTTCTTGAAAAAGGAGCCCATCGGAGTGGTGTTTATCGCGACGGCGTGGAACGTATGTCTCCTACACTTAGTCCTTCAAAGACCCATAAACCAGTTCCTAACCCACGTCCGCGAAAATATAGTTCCCCTACCTCATCACAATCAGCACCATCCTCCCCGCCCTACTCGCCGGAAACGCCGTCCTCCTCAGACCCTCCCCCCAGACGCCTCTCATCGGCGAACGCTTCCTCTCCTTCTTCACCGAGGCCGGCCTCCCGCCTCACCTCTTCCAGCTGATCCACTGCGGCTCGCTCGACGTGCTCGACCAGATCGTCGCCCTCCCGCAGATCAACCTCGTTTCGTTCACGGGGTCAACGGCAGGCGGCATGCGCATCCGCGAAGCCACCGCCCGCCGCGTCGTCCCGGTTAATCTGGAGCTCGGCGGGAATGATCCCGCGTATGTGCGTCCGGACGCGGACCTCGCGTACGTCGCCGCGCAGCTGGTCGACGGCGCGGTGTTCAACTCCGGTCAGAGTTGCTGCTCCGTCGAGAGGGTGTATGTGCATGCGGACGTGCATGATGCGTTTGTGCACGAGGTGCAGAAGGAGCTCGCGACGTAAGTGTCCTGCTCTTCCCTGGGCCATTCTTTATAGCCTGGACTAATGGATGGAAAATGAATAGGTACAAGCTCGGCGACCCCGCCGATCAATCCACCACCACCGGCCCCGTCATCTCCCAGCAAGCCGTGAAGACGATTAACGCGCACATCGCCGACGCGCTCGCCAAGGGCGCCGTCGATGCCACCCCCGATAACGCAACCTTCTCGGCTCCCCCGCCTGACGGCAACTATGTCGCGCCGAAGGTCCTGGTCAACGTCTCGCATGACATGCGGACCATGCGCGAGGAGACCTTCGGGCCGGTGATGCCGATCATGAAGGTGGCGTCGGACGACGAGGCCGTGGCCTTGATGAATGATACGGACTTCGGGCTGACGGCGAGTGTGTGGACGAAGGACGTGAGTGCCGCAGAGGGGTTGATGGATCGGTTGGAGGCGGGGACGGTGTTTGTGAATCGGTGTGATTATCCGAGTCCGGTAGGTTTTGTCTGTCCTATTTCTGACTATTGGGGTTGGGAAGTGCTAATTAAGTTTTGTATAGGATCTGGCGTGGATTGGATGGAAGAACTCGGGATTGGGATGCACGTTGGGACCGCATGGGTTCGATGCGTTTTATAAGCTGAAGAGCTTCCATATTAAGGAGCAGCAGGCTTGATTTGTTTCTCCCTTGGTTGAATGATTCGTAAAATATGACATGCTATCGTCTATTTTCATACATACATGACTTCCATCCTATCCATCCTCCTTCTATCAATCCATCTACCTCCTCACCAACCGCCAGTTTCCACCCTCCAAACCACTAACCTTACCACTCCTCAACCTCACCGTCGTCCCATTCCCACTCACCAACTCCCCCTCGACACCCGGCAACCTCACCGTCCCGACCGTCCCGCGCGGCGTCCTCAACTCCAAACTCCGATATCCCGCCTCCGTCGCATTACTCTCCCTCTCGAATCTAACAGCAAACTGCCCCTTCACCGTCTCAAACCCAGCATGCACGCTCTTCAAATCCCCCGGCTGCGGCGCAACCTCCCACTCCTGTCCCGCATCCTTCGTGATCCTCAGCCCCGCCGCGTAGTGCGTCAGGGCGCTCGTCGGCCCCGTCGCCCAGCCATGCGCATGCGATACGCGCGGGTCGTTTGCGTACGGCTCATAATGCAGGGATCCGTTGGTGCTGAACCCTTCGATGAAGGTGGAGTTAGTCATGCGCGGGTCGTCGAGCATGAAGCCCCACGAGCGACGCATGAGGTCGAGCGCCGACTGCGCGTCCGAGGCCATGAAGTGCGCTTGCAGCTCCAGGCTGCTGATGAATGGGGATACGGTGGCGCCGGCTTCTGGGGCTGGTGCGCCGTAGGGTCCCCATCGGGAGCGTAGGGCGCGGGTCAGTTGTGTGGATTGAGTGGTCGAGTTGGTGAGGTTCGCCTTGATGGCCCAGACGTTGCCGTCTTGGGGGTGCATGGTGGTCGTTTGGTTGTCGATGTACAGGCCGGCGGAGGCGTCCCAGAGGAGGTGGTTTGCGGAGGACTTGATGCGGGAGGCTGTTCGGGTCCAGTTTTGTTGGGGGGTGGTGTCGTTGAGGAGGCTGGAGAGGGTCAGGCCTTGGTTGAGGGTGTAGTAGAGGATGGCGTTGGCTTCGATGTTCTGGTTGAATGGGTTAGTTTGGTGGTTGGTTGGGGAGAGGTGATGGAAGAGAAGGCACTTACATGTCCGCCCATTCCGAAGCGCAACCAGTCCGAGCTGGCGGTGATGTTTGCCAGACCAGAGTCGTCCACGCTGCCCAGGGCCCAGTCGACTCCCAGCTTGAACTGAGTCCAGTGACGCGCCAGCCAGGCTCGGTCGCCCGAGTACAGGTAGTAGAAGTAAATGCCGACCAGGCTCTGGCAGTGGTATGTGAAGCTGACAGTGTCGGCATACGGCGGACTGGCGTACGGGAGTCGGCCGTCTGCTTTCTGCAGTACGAGAAGCCGCTCCAGCGCGTTGCGCATGCTATACAGGTCGTACGTGCTCACGCCCACGACTTCCAGCTGGACGGACATATCGCCCGGCCAGACCAGGCGATCCCGCTTCGCACCGTCCGTGAGCACGCTGGATCCGTTGGAGATGGTGTAGTTGCTCCACCAGTCGACCGTCTCGGGTAGCTCGATGGTCTGCGTCTTGTTGATGATCTGGTACCAGACGAGCGAGTTGCCCATCTCCGGGTCGATGGTGCAGAGCTGGTTGGTGTATGCGCCGGCGTACCAGATCCGGTTGAGCAGTTCATCGTCGCAGTGGAAATACCCAGTGTACGCCGTCAGGTCCTGTTTGGGCGCCGCAGTGAAGTTGACAGTGACGCTGTTCAAAGACACGTCGGCAGTCGTGTTGCTCACGATCGTCATATAGCGAAAGCCACCGCGGACGTGCTTTTCCTCGGCTGTGTAGACGCCTGATCCTGCACCGACGTTGAACCAGAGGGGGCTGTCCAGCCCGGCGTCGGCGGTGGCATCGCAGGCCTCGCTGCTCACGTAGAGGCTGGACTCGGAAAAGGTCACGCCGATGAAGGCGTCGGACGCGGAGGAATCGGAAACATCGAGGGAGACAAGACCGGCGATGTTCTTTTGGAAGTCGAAGGTGATGGAGGATTTTCCGTGGAGGGTCGTCGGAGTGGTGCTGTTCTCGTGCAGCAAAGAGGACGCATTGGACACTGAACCCTCGGTGCGATAGATGGAGGGAGGAGTGAGGGTTCTAGACGAGGGTGCCAGAATATACTCGGAATAAGGAATCGCCAGAGCGGCGGTCGCGAGGAGTGGGAGCGAATATAGCCTCATCTTGAGAACTGGTCGATATTCTCCGACTGCCTACTCGATGACTTGTGCCGGCTTCTGGCCAAGTCTCTACGTTTAAATACTTCTACATTGGCCCCTCGCAATTGGCATCGACATCATCATTCCCACAGACAGATTCCCTCATCCTCATTCCCTGGTTTTGAAGAACCATCTCGGTGTCGGATACCCCGAGCACCTTTTGCCGAAGACCCCCACAGGATTTAACGGACGAGTAATCAATATTCACGGCCTCGTTCAACCCCAGCCAAGACGGCTTGTCGTCATAGTCGGAATCTTGCCGAGGGGATTTTTGGGTCTGCGGAGGATGTCCCCACGGGGATGCCGATCCTGACTGGCTCTGTCCTGTTCGGCTCGTCTAATGCACCCACTTCCTGCTGGCCGAAACTCCAGTTGATATTGAGGGAATTCTTCGGATTCCGGAGCCGACCGGGTTATTCTGAGGCCGAATTGGGGCTATACTCGTTAGTCAATGCCAGGCGGCATCGCATGATCGGGCCGTTGCCGAATTGCTCCCGGGATGGTGAACTCTTCCTACCCGAGAAACACCCGTGGATTTCGTGTGGAGATGTGATGTCTAGTCTTTCCATCTCCGCCGTGAAATCTCTGCCGACATCATGTTAGCTGTCTCGGTCGGTTCGTGGGGGGATTCTCGGGTTTTCCGAGTCTAACATCGTTGATGCTCCGCGGAATTAGCCAGGTATATCTTTGCTGTTGTTTTTTTTTTTTTTTTTTTTTTTTTTTCTCCTCCCTTTGTGTCTGTGTATATGTGAGTGCAGAATATAGAATATCAGTAGACCTGATCTTGTGTGACCAATTTGCCTCCTGACACGATAATGGAATTATATATAGCGTGGTGAGTTCCAGATTGATTCCTAGGGAGATTGTATGCAAGAAAAGTCTCGTTTGAATATTACCTATTATACCAGTAGTTTGAACGTAAAAACGGTAGATATTCAAACCTCAGACAAAATAAGCCTCCAGGCAGCCTGCGCAAACGATATTCCGTCATGCTCCTTTGCAGCTCGCGAGATCCCACTACGGAAGAGTTCATCCCCGAAAATCCCCATCCGATGACGGGCCTCCAACAGACTTGTGATGACAAACTCATCGTACTCGGGATGTCCCTGGACCGTAAGAATGCGACCCGGCATATATAATCCTTGAACCTCGCAGATAGGCGTCGAGCCGAGATTGATACATCCTTCGGGGACTTCGTGGGCGATATCGCGGTGCATCTGATGCAGTGACTTCACAGGTGTATTAGCATTTATCTGATGATGGTGGTCATCTGACGTACGAAGGTGTCTTTGGAAAAAAGCTGCTTTCCTACATCGCTCAGAGAAATCGGCTCCACCGATACCTCCCATCCGACGTCACTGCGACCGACTCGAGCACCCAATGCGCGCGCAATTATCTGATGACCAAAGCAGATGCCGATTATGGGTTTCTTTTGCAGGTGTCCGCGCTGCACGTAGTTGGTGAGTTCGACTATCCACGGTGTGTCTGCAAAGGCGTCGTGTTCTGCAAGGTTAGTGGAATTCGTCGGACAGGGGTTGGGGACTTACTGCTTCCTGTTAAGAGGATTGCATCAACATTCTCTGGATCTGGGTAAAATGAACTGTCTACCACGTTCCATTTGGTCAATTCCAGTGTAGTAGCTGTGTCTTCAAGGGAAGCAAGAGAGGCGCTGAGAAGCCTCTCGAACATGTCCCCATATGTCCCATACTGATCTTTGACGGGGCCAATGGGGGTGTCGCATTCAAGAATGGCGATGCGTGTCATGGCTGTTGAATATATATTTGGAATATTTAGAATATGAATTGATAAATGCCCAAGACTCGAATGACAGAATAGAACTCATTATGTGAACTGTTGACCATATCCTTATCGGCTTATCTCTTATCGATAAGCGCGGTCTCTCCCCGCGCGGTCTTTCTCCAACGCGGTAAACATCCATCGTCCACTTTTCCCCAATTCCAATTACTTCGCCATCGCTTCGCAATGCTTCATGGCCCCAGAAATCCACAAGATCTCTCTCCAAGACCGCGATGCCGATCCGTCGTATCATGGCTAGCTGCGATCCACCTCGGCATCTTTAAAGCAGATTCCGCAATCTCACTCTTCTCTCCTCTCTCTCTCCAATCAAACAAATCCTCAATCATAACACAATGGCTTCGCAAAATATCACAGTCGAGGAGCTCCCCAACCTCCTCGCCGATGACATCAAGGTCAAGGTGGCCGGCGTCGACTGCGACGGCATCCTGCGCGGCAAGGTGATGTCCAAAGAGAAGTTCCTGGGCATTGCGCAGAAAGGCTTCGGCTTCAGTTCCGCAGTCTTTGGTTGGGACATGCAGGACATGCTCTACACGACTGATGCGAAGATCGCGCCCGCCGATTCGGGGTACGTCGACTTTCTCGCGGTGCCGGACTTGAACACCTTCCGGAGGATACCGTGGGAGGACGACATTCCGTTTTTCTTGGTGCGGTTTGTGCAGAATGAGAAGCCCGTGTCGGCAGATGGTCGCAGTATGCTGAAGGCGGTTTGCGATGAACTTGCGGCGGCCAATTGCAAGGGGATGGCTGGAGGTACGTCTTCCTTGGTAGATCCCACAGAAGGCAATGCTGATGGATAGAGGTTAGTTGAGCTGGAGTTTATCAATTTTCAGACCCCTTCGCAGGACGGATACGGCGTTCCTGGGTTGACGCACGATATCGCCGCCTTTCTCGAGAAAAATGCCCCGGGTGCACTCCGCCCATTGACTGCCGGAAGCTTTTCGTATAGCTCGACACGACCTGTTGCGCACAAGAAGTATTTCTATGACATCTTCAACACAAGCGCACAATTCAACTGCGGGATTGAGGGGTGGCACACCGAGGGCGGTCCGGGGGTATATGAAGCGGTAAGTCTGTTGGGTATTCTTCGTGAGATCATTGCTCATTAATCAGGCCCTCAAAGTATGCGACGTCGCGGAAATGGCCGACAAGGCTTCCCTGTTCAAGTAGGTCTTCCCATTCCTACAGTAACGCCAGGACTAACAACCTAGACTCCTGGCAAAATCAGTAGGAATGGAGCACGGGATCACGCCCTGCTTCATGGCAAAGCCCATTCAAGGCCAACCCGGCAGCTCTGGTCACATTCACGTTTCCCTCTGCGATCTCGACGGAAAGAACCTTTTTGCCCGGGAAACACAAGACCCCAACGCCCCGTGGCCCGATGCAGCTGGACTGTCGGACCTGGGTCGTCAATTCCTTGCCGGCATTCTCGAGGCCCTACCAGACATCATGCCCCTATTCGCCCCGACAATCAACTCTTACAAACGCCTCGTGGAGAACTTCTGGGCCCCCGTGAACATCACCTGGGGACTAGAGGACCGCATGGCGTCCGTTCGCATCATCACTCCGCCAGTGTGCAAACCCGGCGCCACGCGGTTCGAGGTGCGCATTCCCGGCGCGGACCTGCATCCTCACTATGCGCTGAGCGCGATCCTCGCCGCGGGGTGGCGCGGTGTGCAGAAGAAGCTGGAGATTCCAGTGCCTCCTGTTTCGGCACTGAAGCCCGATAGTCCTCGACCGGAGCTGTTGCCGAATACGTTGGACGCTGCGGTCCAGCGGTTTAGCGCCCCGAACAGCATTGCGCGGCAGATTCTCGCGGACGAGTTCGTGGACTTCTTTACCGCTACGCGCGAGCATGAATTGCGACTGTGGAGGGAGGCCGTGACTGATTGGTGAGTTCTCTGGTTTATGGTTATGCACGAGGATACTAACTGGCATAGGGAATTCAAACGGTATATCGAGACTGTATAGCCATTGGCCGGTGCATGAATCTCTCTTAGTCTTGTTCTATAGACACGTGTAAATAGTATAAATAGAATTTGATCTCCTACCACAACCTGACCAAGTCCACCCTTGCCATGTCCAACCGTGGTATTCCATTGTGGAGCACCGATAGTTAAAGCGCCCTACCATGTTTACTACGTGTTTAATGAGGAGGTAGTACACGAGGGGTGGTGATGATGATTAGCGGTGTAGAGCATGCAAGAGAACAGAAGAAAGATGAATTATATACCCAAACACGAACTCCGTCGGCCAAAAGGACATGCAATTTAGAAAACATGGAAGCAGAGAACCAACACGCTGAATATTTACCGTTAACCCATCACTCTCCATCATCCTGGGCGTCTTCCACAGAGGCCATTCCCTTCTTCTCATTCGAGTGTCCATTCTGCTCGCCATTTTGTGCCTCCTCCTCACCATTTTCCTCTTCAGCCTCAGTATCCGGCTGAGGCCCAGCCTGGCGCGACTCCTGCTGCACCGCCTTGCCCTTCCCCTTCGGCTCCTTCAGCGGCGTATCCAGCTCACTCTTACCCTCGGCTCCAGACTCCTCGACCGCCGGCGTCTGCGGTTCGCCGTCCTTGCCCTTCGCCTTGGCTCGCGCCCTGCGAATCAGCCGGTTGTGGAAATCCTTGCCGTCAAGCTCCGGGTCTTCCTGCAGCATGCGGCGCGCTGCTTCCCGGCCCACGACGGGCAGTCGGTCGACGGACGGCGACGCGCCCTGCGGAACGAGCTTCGGATCCAGCAGGCCCACCTGGACCAGCACGCTGGCCTGGTCCCAGTACACATGCTCGGAGTAGAGTCTCCCCGCGCGCAGACTCACGATGCTGACGAGGACGATCTCCACGTGCTTGTCTGTCGGGGGCACGCCGGGCAGCATCCACGGGATCTCGTGTGTGTGCTGGAAACTGACGAAGAGCTCGTCCACGACACGGTCGGTGCCCTGCGTGCGGGAGATCAGGCGCAGCCGCATCGACGGCGGCAGCTTCTGCAGGAAATGGTGCTCGTAGAACCGGCGGAGCGCGTGCGTGCCGATCCCCCCGCTCACCGTCGGCGTGAAGGTCACCGTGGGAGCGACGTGGTTGGTATACGGGGCCATAGTGTCGGAGAGGTTCATGGAGAAGAATCTCGCTAGAGGGTTCCAAGTTAGTACCTGTCTTTATACTCTGACAGACGAATCAGGAAGAACAGGCGGGGAAAGCATACCCTCCAAATGCTCCTCCCATTTCTCCTCGATGTCCGGATCCTTGCCGAACCCCTTCCGCAGCATCTGCAACGAGCGACTCCAGGCCAACTCGCTCGCCAGTCGATCATACTCATCGAGATCCGTCTCCGCGAACCCTGGCTGCGCGTGCTCGTACGTATACGCTAGGTGGCCGATGTTCAGGCGCTCGCCGGAGCCCAGGCCCGGGTTGATCTGTCGCGTGTTCGTGCGTCGCTTGCCCTGGAGCCCCAGCATCGTCGGCGTGGTGGTCACGTCAACGGTGCTGCCGGCCAGATGCGTCATGACCCGCAGCGTCGGGGGGAAGCGCATGCGCGGGTCGGGGATGTTAGTGGGATAGTATGCGATCAGCGCGCAGAGGCGACTGGAGGTGGTGGGTTTGATGTAGTAGTCCAGACAGAAGGAGGCGGCGTCGCCAAATGCTAGGCTGTATTAGATGCGACATCGAATTTACTTGCAACGGCACAAGTATACACAGAAGGGACGGAAAAGAACGTACCAACAACCGCGTAGTTCTCGCCAACCCCCAAGCCCTCCTTCACCGACTTCAATCGCAGGATGTATTCCTTTCCTCCGCCATTAAACGGCACGTACTGCACATCGAGGCCCTCATCCTGCCAGCGTCGCAGCAGCGAGGTATCGAAGTCTGGCGTCTCAGCCGTCACGCACAGCCGAGCGGTGTTGTGGCCGGAATTATACAGAAAACCACCTGCGCCGGGGGCGGAGATGGAAATGGTGGCCATTGTTTTGCGCTGCGTTTTGTGGTTGAATTAGATTTGAGTCCAGTCGATTAGATTAGAGAAAGAAAAAGGATTTCACTGGAATGAGGACGATCGAGTTGTCTTGACTTGGGCGGATGCACGGAATACGTCATCGGCCTTGTCACTCGGCAGCCCTACGTCATCGCCTCATCTGACGGTCGCGTTGGATTAATTAACTGGGAGTGTCTGGTGGAGTTTTTTGTTTCTATTGTCCACTGAGCGCAATGGATCTGCAGGTTTGTTATCCTTTCCAGGGCGGGGAGACTGGAATTTGGATGTCAGTGCGAAGTTCCATGGGTCGGGGGGTCGTGCCTGGTTTTGACATGCGATTCAACGGACATCCATGGTTACCCTGGACTTGATACTAAAAATATTCCAAAAACATCTTATTACTACATAAATTGATTGTATTTATTTCTTTCATATCAATAACCAATTCATAAGACTTCTTCATTTAAAATGCCGCCCATGCGATTCAATTAACTCCTCTACCGTACCAGACGCCTATATCTTCGAACCATACTCTTATAAATCGCAGCATTTCCATCTTAAGATGTACAAAAATGTCATTAAAATAATCCTTTTGACTTCTTACTGTTTAGCCAGAATAATAAGGGGAGAAAATACTCAAAAATATAGCCGCTCGTCCTTTCGAAAGACCATTAGATGACCTATCAGGCATCCCAGGAGCCACTCAATCAATCCTATCAAATCAAATCAGAACTATTGAGCTTCCCCAACTTCTTTCTTCCTTCTGAAAGCTTCCCCGCACTACTCGACCGGCTCATCGCCGACGCCAACGGCTTTCTCTCCGGTGTCGACCAGCATCATCGCTCATTAAGACGGACTATCATCACCATCTCAACCCCCGATCCCCCAACATCCAAAATGCCCAACCCAATTATCCTCCATCTCGGCGACCCCATCAAATACAACCATGACTTCTACAACGGCCCCTTCTCCGACCGCTACGACATCGTCCCCAACGATGCTCCAGACCGAGGATCCTTCATCCACGCCTTGAAGACAAACCGATACGGCTCCTTCTCCGCCATCTTCCGTCCGCACTTCCAATCCGGGGGTGAAATGGGCCAGTGGGACGACGAGCTCATCGCCCTGCTGCCGTCCTCCGTCCGCATCTTCGCCTCCGCCGGCGCCGGCTTCAACTGGGCCGACGTCGACGCCCTCGGCGCGCGCGGGATCTGGTACGCCAACGGTGCAGGGGCCTCGGATGAAGCGGTCTCCGACACAACCCTGTACATGATCCTGTCGGTGTTTCGGAACTTCACGAGGGCGCAGATCGCCGCGCGCACGGCCGATCCGGCACGCTTTACGGCCACGCATAAGCTTCTTGCGATGATTTCGAGGAATCCGCGCGGTCATGTCCTGGGGCTGGTGGGGTTGGGGAATATTAGCAAAAGAGTGGCGGAGAAGGCGCGGGCGCTGGGGATGGAGGTGATGTATTTTGATGTGGTGAGGGCGGAGAGGGAGGAGGAGGAGCGGTTGGGGGTGCGGTTTGAGGGGTCGTTGGAGGCGTTGCTGGAGAAGGCGGATTGTGTGTCGTTGCATACGCCGCTGAATGAACATACGAGGCATTTAATCAATGAGAGGACAATTGCGGTGATGAAGGATGGGGCGAGACTGGTGAATACGGCCAGAGGGGAGGTGGTGGACGAGGAGGCGCTGGTCGCGGCGTTGGAGACGGGGAAGCTGTCCGCTGCTGGGCTCGATGTGCATTATCATGAACCGCAGGTCTCGAAGAGGTTGGCGGCGATGGAGAATGTGACGCTGACGACGCATGTTGGCGGAGGGGCGCTGGAGACGAGGATCAATTTCGAGCTGAATGCGATGAGGAATATTCTGGCGGTGGTGGGCGAGGATGGGCAGGTTATCGGGGAGCCGTTGACTCCGGTCAATGCGAAGGCTGTCAGGGATAGTCACTCCGGATAGGAGTATAGGGGTTGTCGACTATACAGTACTCTAGACCATGACATGAGCATTTACCTCAATTACATTATCAGGCCCAAACCTTACTCTCACCTCTTGAAATCTAGAGACTCCGCATTTCCCCAGATTCCGGCATACCCCCGACCGTCGATCCCCCGGATATCGGACTGTTTGCCGCATACTCAACAGCTTGATTACAGGCTTCAAATGCATAAGATTATCCTGCTGCAGCTGTCACCCCGCAATTGCAATTCTGCATCTTGTTGAGCCCACAGCTGGCATTCCACAATGAACAACGGCATTGACACCAGGACACAGATGAAGGGCGACGTCGAGACCATCGAGCATGTCAAACCAGGTCCCTTGCAGCAGCTTCCGTTACCGATAGAGCTGGCGAGTCTAGACCCTGAGCAGATCAAAGCTCTGGAAAAAGACCTGGTGAAGAGGTTGGATTGCTGCTTGCTGCCTGCGGTGATCATTTTGTTCTTGATGAACATCCTGGATCGGTACGTTCTCTTGTCCTTCAAAGACTCGCGTCCATGTGTTGGGCTGATTAAAGCAGGAATAACATCGCCAACGCAAAGATCGCGGGCTTGCCTACCACACTCGGCATCTCCAACACGCAGTATAACACCTGCTTGATGATATTCTACGTCGGATGTATGCTCCCTATCTCACGTCCACCTTCTCTTCCGACTTGCTGATTGAACAGATATAATAACCCAACTCCCCTCCAACGTCATCATCACAAAGGTCAAACCGTCCCTATACATCGGCCTCGTCACGGCCGCCTGGGGTCTCGTGTCCCTGTGCCAGGCCTTTACGCGCAACTTCGCCGGCCTGTTCATCTGCCGCATTGTGTTGGGTCTCGTCGAAGGCCCTTTCCTGCCCGGCGTCTTCTTCCTTATGTCCTGCTGGTATAAGCGCTCGGAGCTGCCGCCGCGAATTGCCTTCCTCTACGGGGCCAACATGCTGGCGAGCGCGTTTGGAGGACTGATTGCGGCGGGTATTGTGGCGAGGATGGAGGGGAAGCTGGGCAGACCGGCTTGGGTGGGTTTCATCTTGCTCTTTCGACCCGATGAAGCTGGCTCTAACCTGGGATAGGAATGGCTGTTCATCATCGAAGGATCAATGACCATCGCCATCGCCTTGCTCGTCATCCCATTCATCCCAGATTATCCTGGCTCGACGAACCGATGGTGGCTGACTCCCAACCATCAAGTACTCGCGGTACAGCCTCTTCATCATACTCAAGACCATCTCAACTGACACAGTCAGGACTGGCGTCTGCGCAACGAAAACGCCGGCATCGTCGACGACGACCCCGAATCCCTCCTCTGGGGCGTCAAACAGGCCTTCCTCGATCCGAAGCTCTACATGTTCATCGTCCTGCAGATGTCGCTGCTCACCGCGCAGTCGTTCAATAACTTCTTTCCCTCCATCGTCGGCACCCTGGGCTACAACGAGACCATCACGCTGCTGCTCACCGCGCCGCCCTACTTCTTCGCTTTCCTCTGCTCCCTCTGCATCTCGTTCCACGGCGCCCGCGTCAACGAGAGAGGTCTGCACATCGCCGTGCCGCTGGCATTCGCCTTACTAGGGAATCTTCTGGTCAGTCCTCGCATCTTCCCTCTCTTCCTTCTATCTGGTACACAACTGACCGGAGGAAAAGGCAATGTTTATCCGCTCCCTCGGCGCCCGCTACTTCAGCATGTTCCTCATGACCGCCGGCTCCTACAGCCCCTACAACCTCGTCGTCTCATGGCTCAGCTCGACGCTCCCCCGGCCCAAAACCAAGCGCGCCGCGGCCTTTGCCGTCGTGAACCTCATGGGCGCCGGGGTCGCGCATTTCTACACCTCGTACATGTTTCCGGATTCGCAGAAGCCGCGGTACTATGCGGGTGGGGGCGTCATGAGCGGGGCGTGTTTGGTCTGCGCGTGCACGGCGATGGCGATCAAGTGGCATTTGAAGAGAGAGAATCGGCGTATTGAGAGGGTGGAGGTCGAGGAGGGAGTGGTGGGAGGGGGTGCTATTCAGGGAGGGGCGGTGGTTGCGTTTCGGTTTGTTCATTAGGAGTGGTGGTGGGAAGTAAGAGGCCAATGCGACATGGAATGAGATCCCTGTAGCTGTCATCATCAGTCATGCCATTTAAGCTTGCAGTCCGCTTTTTCTGGACTTTTCTCTTTGATATTTTTCTCCAGTTCCATCTATTTTCTTCCTCCATACCTACAAAAATATACCTACCATATTGCTTCCCACAAAACCAACCCAATGTCCCTCCCTCCCAACTTCTGCTTCCCCGTCCCCGACCTCTCCAGCGACAAGGTCAAACTGACTCCATTCGACGTATCCTCCCTCATCCCCATCCCCAATCCACCCTCATCCCATCGCTAACAACCCCAGATAACCAAACACTCCGCCCCCCTGATCGCCTCCACGGCCCCCCACCCCTCACTCTTCAACTACCTATCCTGGGACCCCTTCCCCACCGCCGACGCCTTCAACACCCACTTCTTCGACGCCTACATGACCCCATCCGACGATCGCACCTGTTTCGCGGTCCTCGACAAGACAGCCTCGCCCTCGTCCCCATCCACAGACCCACAAAATGAAGACTATGCCTTGGCAGGAATGATCACCCTAATGAACGCCTCGCCCGTCCACCGCTCCGCTGAAATCGGCTGGGTCCTCACCCTGCCAAACTACCAGCGCACGCACGTCACGACCCACGCCATCGGGCTGCTGCTGCGCTATGCGCTGGAGAGTCCGGCGCAGGGGGGTCTGGGGCTGCGGCGCGTGCAGTGGATTGCGCATAGTGAGAATGAGGCGTCGGTGCGGGCGGCGAAGAGGATGGGGTTGAGGGTTGAGGGCGTGTTGAGGTGGCATCGCGTGATTGTGGGGGCGGAGGAGAGGGGGAAGGTTGGCGGGAGGGAGGTTGGTGGGGATGGGTATGGGAGGGTGGAGGATCGGGGGAGGGATTCGGTGGTGCTGAGCGTTTGTTGGGATGATTGGGTTGGTGTTGGTGGGGAGGATGGAAATGGGGTTAGGGAGAGGGTGAGGGGGTTGATGGAGAGGTAGGCTTATCTTTCTACGGGGTTAGATAGAGGAGGTGGATGAAGCGGTTGGTGGTGGATTGTTCATTACCTAGGTTTCTTTCTGGTTTATTTGGAAGTTAGAATAATCTAGGGTCATCCGGGTAAAGCCCTGCTTGCATCTCATCATTGCATCGTATCGTCACGATCACAAAGTGTATCGGAAGTTTGGATCTTGCTCGATCACCCTCTTGCCCTCATCCGCCTGCTTGTTGGAATGCCGGAACCACAGACTCATCACACCCACGATCACCAGGATCAACAAGTTACACCTGTCTCGCATTAGCACGGCAAAACCCCCGAGCTGGAAGAAACTTACGCAATCGTCGTCCACATGCCCGGTCGATAGTTCGGCGCGTCCTGCGTCCGGAAAACCAAACTACTAACGATGCCGCCGATGCCGCCGAATCCCACCAGCGTCGCGCTGGACAGCGCGCGAGTCCACTGCCCACGCACGTTGTTCGCCTGGTACGCCATCACGGCCGGAACGTTGGAGTTGGATCCGGCCACGCTGAAGAAGACTCCCACGTAGCGGGCGGCGTTGCCCTTGGCGAATCCCATGATCGGAAGGCCGATGATGCAGAGACACGCGTTGAAGACCACGATGGCGCCACGCACGCGGTACCGATCGCCGACCCAGGCGGTGGCGTACATGACTAGACCGGCGAGAGCGAAGGGGGGTGCCACGAGGCATTGGGCGGCGCCGACGTCGTAACCCATGCCTTGCTGCAGGATGATGGGGAGGAAGTACGCGATGGCGTAGGTGACGGTGGTCGAGCAGCTGGATGGGTGTTAGTATTGATCCGAAGAGCACCCGTCGTGGTCTTACAAGAAAATCATGGCGAATCCCCAGATCTTCATGTCCAAGGCAGGACTGAGGAAGCGCTTGAGGTTGAAGGGCTCCTCGTCGGCATCGGATCGGTCCCGGTTGATGCGTCGCACAATGAAGGAGCTTTCCCTCTGGCTGAGGAACCTCCAGGATTTGTGGGCCCTGTCGGGGAAATCGACCAGGAAGATCAGGGTCAAGATTCCGATGATACCGGTGATCTGGCAAGCTTAGTATTGCGAACGCAGACAGCGCGGATGACAACATACCACTCCCTCCATGATGAAGATCCAGCGCCAGCCCTCAAGACCTTGGATCCCTTTCATCTGCATCAAACCGAAGGCTAGGATACCGGCAAAGGCGGATGCAACGCAGCCGATGAGATAGAAGACCGAGAATCGTTTTTGCACGTCGACTAGGAACGTCAGCAGGTGCAGTACAAGGGCGGGTGTTACGGTGGAACTCACAGCGAGTGTACCAACTCGAGAGAAGATACACACAGCCGGGAAAGTAACCTAGAAACATCAGTTGGTGTTCGGCAGCACGTTAGACACAGTAAACGGACCTGCTTCCAGGAGGCCGAGTAGCACACGACATCCAACCATTTGCTCCCAATTCTTTGTGAAACCCATGCCCTGTGGATATTTGTCAGAAAGTCCAAAAGGTGCCGTACCACGCTGGCTTACGATCAGAATTGCGCCCCAAGAGACAACAATGGACCCCAGGAAGAAGGTCGGACCCATCTTACGGGTGATCACGGTCATAGGGGGCTGAAAGATGACATAAGGCACGAAGAAGATGAGCACGATGATAGACTATCGATTCTTGTTAGTATTTAACGGTTGATTGACCGCGCGATGCTCACATAACGCTGGCCAATGTACAATTGCAGGTCCTCGGTCATTCTATTCTCACATTAGCATCTGAATTCCAGGGCCGGCATTGACGCGACCTACCCAGCCACTGCGGCCATACTGAGGTTGGTTCGGTCCATGAGCGACACGCAGTACGCCAGACCAGTCATAGTCACCAGGCGACGGTCAATGCGATGAATGATCTTGCGCTGCTCGGGGTACGAGTAATCCTCGTCATAGTCCACATCGTTCAGAGCAGGCTGGTTGACATCCTCGATCTTGTCGATGCTGGGAACCGCCTTCTCGCTATTTGAGCGCGACATGGCTGGATGTTTCAAACGCAATGAGTGAAAAAAAGTTCAGTGGTAGGGGCTGACCGGTGGAAGAGGGAAAAGATCACCGGTGTGCAGGGCCAGCAGTATAAGTACTGCTCACAGGAGATAGTAATAGACCAGATGTGCAGGGGTGGCACGCGTAGGGTTTACAGCGAAACCCATCTCGAACAAACCAGGGTAACCCCTCCACGCTAGAGTGAGTGAATGATTCGCTCACAGAGCACGGAAAGTGCCGACAGAGCCAAACTTGCCAATAGCCGATTGGAAGGTAGCAACTTACCTCGGCCTGGGGAGGAGGTGAAGAGTAACAAAGAATCCGCCGTCATTCACTGGTTTCCGGCCATATTTCCCCGGCTTTTGTGGGGGAGGCGAAGGATGCGGGGAAGGCCAGTTTGCGACGAAACTGACATCAAGACCTCCCCTTGGCAGCTTGGCGACTCACGGCCATTCGCTACGACGATGGATGCATCTAGCCATGGCCCTCCGTTGTCTCGTGGTCTCATCTCTCGGAAGGTCACTCGAAACTCGGAGCCAGTCTTTCCCTTCTTGATCGTGCATCCGGCGGAACCTTAGTTAGGGCTCCCTCAGACCCTTGGCCAACCCGACAGACCAACAGTTTCCCTCGCCACCGTTCCACAGCTCAGCACGAGGCCCGTCTTTTCCCGTGCCAATGCGCGTATTCCACCCCGGTGGCTTGACCCCCTTTGATGACTCTTGGCTGCTCGTGTCCCCGTCGGTAGATTCTCGAAATGTCCCCAGCTGCCTCGGATGGTTCTTCCTTTCTCGCCGTGTCATTGGAACCTGTCAAGTCCCGAGAGATCGGTACCTAGCTTTGGACCGACTATCGTTCTTGGTCTTTGTTTTCCGGGGGTTTTCGCGAGAGAAAGATGCGCCCTACGCTCTCTGTGCTTCTTGGCGGGTTGGGTACCGACGATGGAGATCCAGGCCTGCCGGTGGCCTTTGCTGATGCTGGGGCGGCGATCTCCCCTCAGTTTTCTGTGGGGTTGGGTGGATTTGGAACTTTTGATGGGACGGAGTTTTTGTCTGTCTTCGGCCGATGGGGAAGTTGCTGGTCGAAGTGGGAGTGGCTGGTCCGCAGACGTCCGAACTTCCCTCTTGAGCTTGCTTGAGGCATGATGACACACATAAGCCTTGCCCAGTGCATCTCAACAGGTCCATGAAACAGTCAGAAACAGTCAGGGAACAGAAAGCTCCCCGCACAATTCATCGATCGACACACCATCCCGCTTAGAAACCAGCTTCCCCACCATCCTTGTCTATCATGTTGCCTTCCCCTCTGCATATCAACGGCCCTCTTTCCTTTCTCCGCCTAGCGCTGCTTCGTAGGCGAGGATCGCTTGCAAGATGCGTAGCAAGACATCATCGCCTCGTAAGCTGGTCTCGCGAAAAGCTTAATCTCCGTTGTTGAACTCGGACATTTTGGTTTTAGTCCCGGTGTTGTGGTGTGGGTGTTTTTTCTGGGATGCAGCTTTCCTAGTTGTCCGTGTCCGTTGGTTGAGCTTAATAGAGCTTGCTGGTTCCGGTGGCGTGGAAGCACGGAAACTCCGTATGGCAGGAGTTCAGAGACAAAGAAAGTCTCACGGACTGCGAAAGCTGTGTTGTACAGGGCATGGACCATGGATCATGGAACTCTGGCCTCGGAGATAAGCGAGATGGACGACCACGTGCTCCCTGACCTTACTAGGAGTACGGCGTTTTCATTAGAACTCCTTCATTGTCCCTGGTAAGACTGGCTGGTCTTCTATCTCTCCTATCAATATTTGCAAGAATAATCGTAAATTAAACCTCATCTTCGTCTTCCTCATCTTCCTCCTGGATCAGTCGCTGCCGCTCCTCCTCGTCGGCCTCCTCCAGCTGCTTCTCCGTCAACCGCCGTCCGGCAAAATACACAAATCCCACCAAGGCCGTTCCGATCACGAATCCTGCGCAGGCAAAGAAGATGTTGATTGGAATTGGGTTCCCATGGAGGGGCCCGTGGGTGAGCGAATCCAGTCCGTACTGGGAGAAGTTTACCAGGCCAGACAGGCAGATGATCGTTCCATAAACACGACCGAACGTTGCAAACCCGAATACTTTGGTAGCATAGTCGCTGCGAAGCCATTAGCAGAGAGAGTGCTTTGTGGGAACGCAAATACTTACGACATCGCAGAATAATACAGCGGCCGGAGGAGCACAAACAGCATAATGGTCACATAGCCAGTCCATAGCGCCGGCACGGAATTCAGGATCCCAATGGCCGTGGTGAAAATGACGATCGTGGCAAGCGTGGCCGCAACGCTGAAATGATCCAGGATCAGTCCGATAAAAGGAGTCGAGATGATGCCGCCGACTGGCAGGGCGATATCAAAGAAACGGTTGATCCACTCGGCCTGAAGCTCCGAGTGCAACATGTATTCGTACTGCGATCGAATTGTGGCGATGAAATAATTCATCCGCAGCATTTGAAGCACCGTCATCAGGGTGATCAAGATAAACCACGGCGTTGCCATTTGCTTGTGGGCAGGCTGGCCGTGAAGAACCCCCCATACGGTGCTCACGGTGTGGCGCTCCTCCTCTTGTTGCTCGCGCTGTTTCCGCTCGTCTTCGTCGCCCAGCACCCCGTTGATCTTGTCAATCTTATCGCGTCGGCGGGCGGCACGCTCCTGTCGGATGCGCCGAAGCTCGGACTCACTCTCGATGTCTTCGTCCGACTCGTGTACATCCCGCCTTGCGTCCTCGGCCTTCTCGATCTTCGAATGGAGCAAGCGGGAGCTCTGGTAATCGTGGGCCGGCATAATCGTGAGCAGAGAAACGAAGATCATCGCCGGGACAACGAGGTACGCCAGAAAGAACTTTTTCGGGCTGAACTTCTGACGATCGACTTCGTAGATGAGGTGGTAGAATAAGTAAATCGCCGCCGAAGCATCGAAGGCGCCGGTGACCAGGGCGACAATGGTCCCGGCATACCGCGGAAAGGCGTTGGCGATCTGGAACGAGGGGACGAAAATAAAGGTTCCCCCCAGAGCAAGGAACAGGTTCCCGATTATGTAGCCATCAAACTCGGGCCATGAAAAGGAGGCCGCCATGAAGACACATCCCGTGGCCAATGCGAAGCAACCGGCAAAGCCACAAACGCGCGAGCCGTAACGGTCCAGGATGGTTCCGACCGGAAGAGCCGACATGTTCGCCGTAATCGATCCGACCGTGAAAAACAGGTTCAGCCTGACCAAGTTAGAGTTATCGAATGAAAACACGGAATATCATCCAAGACCAACTTCAAATCCTGTTTATAGCAAAGCTCCACATTGCGTTGCAATTCTTCCGTGGTACACAGGCTGCGATAGACCCCCTCTTCGACCAGGACGGGCTTCAAAGCCGCAAAGCCGAACACAATGCCCGAGGCAAACCAACACGCAAGGACGGTGACAATTACCTGGGCTGAGGAAATCAGCAGTGTTCAACCCCTCGCATCAAATTCTAAAAAACCTCAGCTCCGTGGACTAACCCAGACGCCGGATGTTTGACACCTTGTACGCGGCCGTCGCGTGTTTATCGTCGGTCTCCGGGGGAGGCACAGGGAATACATCGTAGCTAATTTTGCGGCGGATCGGAGCGAGCGAATCCAGATTGGCCGTGACCGCTGTAGTGTCGGTGATATCGTCATCTGGCTCGGGTTCACGATCGACACCATCAATGGCAGAAACATGTTGTACCAGGGACATGATATAGATTCACAGCTAGCATTGAGAGGAATTGGATAACATAGAGACAATCTAAGACGGGAATCAACGGAAGCACCACTCGCGACTCCGATGGAAGGGAATGAACTGGAAAGGAGGGGACGGGGAAGAAAGAAAAAATCAAGGCGGGCGAGAGCGGTTGCCAACTTCAGCTGCTTTAAAGCTCCAGCAGGGAAATCCAGGCCATCCGGGCTGCACGCTGCGGTGCCTGCCAAGTTGCGGAAGTGCGATAACAGAATCTGCGCGCGCTGACTGGCAGATGGGCTCATCTAGTGAACGGTCTAAACCATGGCTGAGAGGGCTGATGGATAACGGTGACGGAGTGATCCACGTTCCCAGCCAAAGATTTCAAAGCTTCTCGCGCTAAAGGAGGTACACAGACCGCAGAATCTTCCTGCAACTTCCCGGCCGACGCTGTAAGGCATTTCTTTCCCCACTTGGCTCTTATGATCGAGGGAATATTGGGCATTCAAAGTGGGATCTCTCGCTGACATTTCTCCATCGCGCCGACTTCGGTTCAGAAGATCCCAAAATATGGGATCTGGGCTCTACAGTGTCAAAAAAATGACCATGGGGGTTGGTCAATGGCACAAAATGTGGACGGTACCGCTCTTGCCGTGGAGCATGTCAAGAAGACAGACGGACCGTCAGACGAGTCTCCTGTCTATCGTGCAGTCCATTCCTGAATCAGTCTGAAACGTCGTGGACTAAGGGATGCATCGATTCGTCTGGATTCGCCAAGGACAATGGCTCATGAGAGATTGACCCCTCATTGCCACCAAAAATGGGAGATCGCTGATAAGAGTCGTGTGTTCCAAAATCAGATCGACGTGGTACAAGGTTGGGACAAAGCTTCGGAGATACACAGGCTAGTCAACTGATCAAGGTGCATGTGGGCAGGTAAGCAATTTCCCGGTTATTGGAGGAAAAAGTTCCGGTTTCTGCGGTTGATGCATGGGCGCTTTGGGATTATAAGAGGGGGTGGTGAGAATCATTCCTATCGGTGGTTGTGGTTGAGGGGAGGGAGAGAGAGAAGACAGAGGGAGAGAGAAAAAGAAAAGGGAATCTAGATCCGCGCTCGGACCAGGTCCCGTGACACGGAGACTTCGCCGACTTTCCCTCCCCGCACCGTCCTCAGTAGAGGTCTTAACTCTTAAGTGGTGAGTGCAGAGTGCTACTCAAGCAGTGCGACGATGGCATCATTCCGACCCGTTCACGATCTCCCCGGTCAAATGAGATGCGGTCGCGGATTCCGAGCGCGGAGGAGGAATACCACGTTACCGAAGTCATTATCGCGAGCACTGCGCAATTATTGACTTCGCGACAGGAACACCGCGACCGACTTTCCCGCGGGAAACGCGGTCTTATCAGTCGCGGGGAGCTGCCATGGGCGGGTCCCGGCAGGGGCTGCGGAGGGGGTTTCGCCCTCCTGATTGGCCCGGACGGCAGTGTTATCGCAGTTTCCCGTATCGCCCGCGGTTTACCTCCCCGCCAGACGATAATCCGATCCTCGTCGCACTCGTGGATCTCGGAGAGCTTTGGTTCTCGTCTTTTTTTTTATCGGCTCTTTTCCCTCTCTTCTTCCTTTCTCTTTCTACATCCCTGTTGCCTCATTTGATTCCCTCGCATGAATTGAAGGTGTGGTAGTTGAGAGACCGTGTCCTATCTCCTCCATACTTCCTATCTCCATTCCTTCTTTCCGCATATCCTTGCGCCTGGCCAAATCATCACCACTGCGGTCTCTCGGTGTCTTTTCTTCTCTGACCATGGCTGCGACCTGGTGCGCCCTTCGAGGCGCTCGCCAGCTGGCTCTCCGCACCCGATTGCATTCTTCCCCCTCTCCTGTGGCTGTCCGCAGATCCTCGCCCTTACTCTCCGCTCGCCGCACCCTGCACACGACCTCGCAACAGTCGGCAACCGCCCGACGAGCCGTCTACACCAGCTCGGTGACGGACCATGGCGATCCTCACCCCCGTGATGCTTTCCAGCCCCTCGACACCTTCCCCAGAAGGCACATTGGCCCGTCTCCGGACGCCGCCAAAGACATGCTGGCGACGCTGGACCCTCCGGTGGCCTCGCTCGACGAGTTCGTGAAGCAGGTCCTCCCCGCGGATATCCTGTCAAAGAAAGACCTGAACGTCAGCGCTCCTCATACCAATGCCAAGTTGGCTCGGGACAATGTGCATGGTGGTCTGGGAGAGACGGACATGCTGAAGCTGTTGGATACCTACCGGAAACAGATCGACGTGTCGGGGAAGACGTACCTGGGAACGGGCTACTACCCCACCATTGTTCCCCCCGTGATTCTCCGCAACGTCCTGGAGAACCCGGCCTGGTACACCAGCTACACTCCCTATCAGCCCGAAATCAGTCAGGGTCGTTTGGAGTCGCTCCTGAACTTCCAGACCTTGACCGCCGATCTGACGGGTCTGCCGTTTGCCAATGCCTCTGTCCTCGATGAGGCCACCGCCGCTGCGGAGGCCATGACCATGTCTTTCGCGACTCTCCCCATGGCAAAGCAGAAGAAGCCCGGCAAGACGTACGTGATCTCTCATCTCTGCCACCCTCAGACTCTGGAGGTGATGCGGTCCCGTGCCGAAGGTTTCGGTATCAATCTGGTCGTGGGCGACATCCTGGCGAACGATTTCCAGCTGGTCAAGGAGCAGGGCGACAACCTCATCGGTGTGCTTGCCCAATACCCTGACACCGAGGGTGGTCTCTACGATTTCCAGTCTCTCAGCGACGCCATCCACGCTACGGGCGGTACCTTCAGCGTTGCTACGGACCTGCTGGCCCTGACCCTCTTGAAGGCACCCGGCGAGTTTGGTGCCGACATTGCCTTTGGTAGCGCCCAGCGACTGGGTGTGCCGATGGGCTACGGTGGTCCCCATGCTGCCTTCTTCGCCTGCGCGGATAAGTACAAGCGCAAGGTCCCCGGCCGTGTTGTTGGTGTGTCGAAGGATCGGTTGGGCAACCGTGCCTTGAGATTGGCTCTGCAGACGCGAGAACAGCACATTCGTCGTGAAAAGGCGACCAGCAACATCTGCACGGCTCAGGCTCTCTTGGCGAACATGAGCGCCATGTACGCCGTCTACCACGGTCCGACCGGTCTGAAGGCCATTGCGCAGCGCATCATGTCCATGACCACGACTCTGCAGGCCAGGCTTGCCGCTCTGGGCTTCAACGTCCCTGTCAAAACCAACGCTGCCGATGGCGGTGTTGTGTTCGATACGTTGACTGTGGAGCTTCCCAGCAGCGAGGAGGCCCAGGCCCTCGTTGCCGCCGCTCGCTCGCAGCACATCTTCCTCCGCCAGGTTGCCCCAACGAAGATCGGTATCTCGCTGGACGAAACCGTTGGACGCGAGGAGGTGAAATCGATCCTGCAGGTCTTCGCCACCCACGCGAACAAGGGCGAAGTCACCCTGGACGAGAACCTCGGTCTCGCCCGCGTTCCGGCCAGCTTGGAGCGTACCTCGTCTTATCTGACCCATCCCGTGTTCAACACTCACCACTCGGAGACGGAAATGCTCCGATACATCCGTCATCTGGAGTCTAAAGACCTGTCGCTGGCCCACTCCATGATCCCGCTCGGCTCGTGCACCATGAAGCTGAACGCCACCTCCGAGATGATCCCCATCTCGTGGCCTGAATTCTCCCAGATGCACCCCTTCATGCCTTCCGACGTCGCCAAGGGTTATACTCAGATGATCGACGATCTGGAACAGCAGCTGGCGGACATCACCGGCATGGCCGAAGTCACCGTTCAGCCCAACTCCGGCGCCCAGGGCGAGTTTGCCGGTCTGCGCGTGATCAAGAAGTACCAGGAGGCCCACGGAGGCTCTAAGCGCAGCATCTGCCTGATCCCCGTGTCGGCGCACGGAACCAACCCTGCCAGTGCCGCTATGGCTGGCATGCGGGTTGTCACCATCAAGTGCGACACCAAGACGGGTAACCTGGACCTCGAGGATCTCAAGGCCAAGTGCGAGAAGCACAAGGACGAACTTGCCGCCGTCATGATCACATACCCGAGCACCTTTGGTGTCTACGAGCCCGGCATCAAGCAGGCTTGCGAGATCGTGCACCAGCACGGCGGACAGGTCTACATGGACGGAGCCAACATGAACGCCCAGATTGGCCTGTGCTCTCCCGGTGAGATTGGTGCCGACGTCTGCCATCTGAACCTGCACAAGACCTTCTGTATCCCCCACGGCGGTGGTGGACCCGGTGTCGGCCCCATCGGCGTTGCCGAACATCTCCGCGCCTTCCTCCCCTCCCACCCTGCCAGCGAATACCTCGTGTCTAAGCGCTCGGAGTCCTCCTCGCCCCCAATCAGCGCGGCCCCCTGGGGTAGTGCCAGCATCCTGCCCATCACCTTCAACTACATCAACATGATGGGCGCAAAGGGCCTCACGCATGCGACCAAGATCACCTTGCTCAACGCAAACTACATCCTCTCCCGGCTCAAGGAGCACTACCCGATCCTGTACACCAACGAGAGCGGCCGCTGCGCGCACGAGTTCATCCTCGACGTGCGCAAGTTCAAGGAGACCTGCGGCGTCGAGGCGATCGACATCGCCAAGCGTCTGCAAGACTACGGATTCCACGCCCCCACGATGTCGTGGCCCGTGGCCAACACCCTGATGATCGAACCCACGGAGTCGGAGAACAAGGCCGAACTGGACCGGTTCTGCGACGCCCTGATTTCCATCCGCCAGGAAATTGCCGCCGTGGAGAGCGGCGCCCAGCCCCGCGAGGGCAACGTGCTGAAGCTGGCACCGCACACGCAGCGTGACCTTCTGGCCAGCGAGTGGAACCGCCCGTACACGCGGGAGGCCGCCGCGTACCCAGTGCCGTGGCTTCTGGAGAAGAAGTTCTGGCCGTCGGTCACGCGAGTGGACGATGGTAAGGGATCCCTCTTTCTATTGCCAATTGTTGTCTTTGATTGAAACTAACGATTGTACAGCCTACGGTGACCAGAACCTGTTCTGCACGTGCGGACCCGTCGAAGATACCGACTAGATATGATACCCATGTTTGTCTACGAATCGTTTTGATTTCTTTTCTTGTTCTCTTCAACATTTACTCGGAATATTTGGTTGGACTTGGGGTAGCATAGTCGCGCCGTGGCGACACGCAAGATTCAACATAATCACGATAGATACTGGGATGCGGGCGTTTGATTGATTTAGGCATAGCATGATACAGGAGCTCTTCGCGAGCTGAAGCCGTACAGTGCAATAGAGAAGACGAGTATTGAGTATCTCCACCCCCCAATAACTATAGATCACGTGCACTCGTATCTTATCGGACGTATCTGATCCACGGATTATTCCACGCTAAACCCCTTGTGGCATCGGAGCCGGCCGTCCTCCGAGTCCAGGCGCAGATATCCGCGCTGTTATTGGCGGAGTTCGCCTGAGGCTTCCCTGCAGCTCGGCCTGAGGCTGTATCTCGGCGCTTGCACGTGCATTGTAAACTGATACCCCAACGGTTCCCCGCCCTTTTTGAGTCCCTCGTGTCCACCTTTCGGTCGATCATTGCATTTACTATCTACGTCTCTGATCTATCACGTCCCTGGTCCGCTTGAATTGATAGTCCGATCGTAACACTCCCCTGTATTTAAGGTAGGTGATCCCCTGGTTTGCATGTCCTGCTCGTGTACCTGATGCTTCTACAGTCGGACCGGTTTCTTCTGCATATCATTTCACTACACAACACGTCTGATATTCATAGTAGCTGGAACCAACATGGCATCACCGCCTTATACCCTCTACTTTGGGACATTTGTTCACCTGCCCCGGGAAAAATCCGGGCTTCATCACGAACTCGCCATCCACCGTGGCGCCCTCTGGGTGTCCAATGATGATGGCCGCATTCAGGGAGTTGATTGGAGTGTTGAAGGTCATGGAGGCCTGCTGGCTCTTGTAAAGAGCAAGGGGTGGGTTGTCGCCGGGACGAATACGTCTGAATATGGGTTCTCGAAAAAGCCAAGGGTACGCATTGTCACGGCTGATGAGGAGAAGAACGAGTTCTTTTTTCCTGGGTTTATTGGTATGTTACAGACATTTCTTTCTTCTTCTGTTCCACTTGGGGATAGACATTCAACCCACGAAAACAAACACCAATCTAATTGAAATCAAGACACCCACATCCACGCCCCCCAATACCCCAACTCCGGCCTCTTCGGCACTCTCACCCTCCTTGAATGGCTTCAAACATACACCTTCCCCATGGAGAAATCCTTCCAGGACGTACACCGCGCCCGCACCGTCTACAAGCAAGTCATATCGCGCACGCTCGCCAACGGCACCACCTGCGCCTCGTACTTCGCGACCATCCACGTCCCCGCCACGAACCTGCTCGCCACGCTCTGCAAGCAAGCCGGCCAGCGCGCCCTCATCGGCCGCGTCTGCATGGACCGCGTCGACGAGGCCACCGACTACCGGGACCCATCCACCGAGGCCTCCGTGGCGCTCAACCGCGACGTGATTCGACACATCCACGCCATCGACCCCCACGGCGACCACGTGCAGCCGATCCTGACGCCGCGGTTTGCGCTCGCCTGCACGGAAGACGCCATGGACGGGCTGGCCGCGCTGGCAGCCGACTACGACCCCCCGCTGCACATCCAGACGCATATCTCGGAGAACAAGAACGAGGTGGCCGCCGTGGAGGCGATCTACGGGATGAGCTATGCGGATGTCTACGCGACGCATGGGCTGCTGACGCCGCGCACGATCCTCGCGCATGCGGTGCATCTGTCCGATACGGAGAAGGCGACGATCGCAGCCCGCGGCGCCAAGGTCTCGCATTGTCCGGCGTCGAACTCGGCGCTGGGGTCCGGGCTTTGTCCTGTGCGGAGCCTCCTGGATGCGGGCATTCAGGTCGGTCTGGGGACGGATGTCAGCGGCGGGTATGATGCCAGTGTGTTGGAGAATGTGCGCCAGGCTTGTCTAGTCTCGAGGCTGTATCGGCATACGGATGCGAGTATCACGGACGACGAGGCGCAGAGGCTGGTGCTGAGTGTTGGCGATGCGCTGTATTTGGCGACGAGGGGTGGTGCGGCAGTTGTGGATCTGGCGGACCAGGTCGGTGGGTTTGATGTTGGGATGAGCTGGGATGCGCAGTTGATTTCATTAGGGGAGAAGGTCTCGGGGGAGACGAAGGGAGGGGAGGAGAATCGGGTGGATGTTTTTGGCACAGAGGATTGGGGCGAGAAGGTCGAGAAGTGGGTGTGGAATGGAGATGATCGGAATGTCAGTGCTGTGTGGGTGCACGGCAAATTGGTGCATCGACGGGAGGGTCTGGAGAGGTATACGACTTGTGGCTCGTCCTGGGGCTGGATCTGGGGCGTTGGAGCTGTGAGCATTGGGGCGTTTGTTGCGCTGCGCAGATTGAGGGGGTAATGTATAGACTATAGAGGTATATACTTAGATCGGTGGGTTAGATTGTATTATAGATGTACAATAGATCGAGTTTCAAAATACGAGTGGAGTCGAATATTGAGTGTAAGAAGCAAAACATCGTGGATTGAACTCAAGTTCCACGAAGTATCAGGTAATAATTTACTATAGAAAGAGAAACAAACTTGTCGACGTCGACTACTCAGCTCTTCAGAGACAACCGAGCTCACACCTCACGTAGATCTCAGATCCACTCTCCACTACTATCCAACAGATCGTGATCTACTGAAAAAGCTCAACGCAGTCGAACACCTGCACATATAATGTCAGCAAATCAGCTCTCCAGACGGTAAGCTAACAAGGTACTCACAAAGTTGGGACTGAGGAAATCCGCTCCCGAGCTTCCGGAGATAACAGAGATGGTAATCTAATCATGGTTAGCCTCAGTTCTAGCTAATGCTAACAGAGAACAAAATACGAACCGTGTTGGAGCCTTCGACAATAGTTCCGGCGGGGATGCTAACGTCGTAGACTTCTCCATTGCCTCGGTACGCACCGCGGGTGACGCCTCGGGAGTTGAGGTTCGTGGGTGCAGACGGAGCAGAGCCGGTCCAGCTGTTGACCTGATGGTTTCTATCAGCATGACATATCTATGTGTTCAGACTGTATGGATATACCTTTGCCTGGGGACGGCCGCCCGCAAAAGCAAGGGTGGTTCCAATGCGCAGAGTAGTAGCCTTGCCGGTCTGGGCGGCGGTGGCGGTGAACTTGATCGTGAGAGGGTCGTTGACGGACTTGAAAAGAGCCATGGGGAAATCGGTCAGCTGCGAGCTGCCCACCGTGTAGGTGAGAGGGCCCCAGCTGCTCATTCGGGAGTCGGAGGGATGCATGCGGAGTTGGTTCTCTGCGTTCCGGAAACCAGTAGGTCTAGAAGCTGTTAGCTTGTTCGTTCATATGAAAAGCTCAGGTTGACGAGAAAACTCACGTTCCATCCCATTCACCAATCTTGAAGATGGTGGTGCCAGTAGAAACAGAGCCAGATATATTCTTAGTAGTCTTCGATCCCGCAGTCACGGTCACAGACTGTTCGGCAACCTTGAACTCGCCCTGGTAGTACACCATCGTGTAAGTACCGGGCTTCATCGCCGGGGAGGTAAAGGCACCACCCGACCCGGTGTAGGCCCAGTACTGAGCATCCTTGTTGTACCTTTTCCCTTTAGTATTTTCTGTCCATCATAAGAAGGGGGTGCATATCCTACCAATGAATAACCCATTTAAAGTTCGAATTAGCGCCCGATGCAGTACCACTAACGGTTCCTCGGCCGCTCGCAGGGACGTAACCTTTAATGTCGAGGTTCCCGAAGAAGGAGGTATCGATATTGGTACTGGGGGTTCCGCTACGGCTAAAGTACATGGAGTAGGGGCCGTGAAGACCCATGCGCCAGTCCTCAGTCTGAACGTGGCCCGAGTTCTATACAATATCAGTATGAGCTATTAAATCATGTTGGGATAAATGAAATACCATGTACCAGTAGAGAGCGTTGTAGCTGCCGCCGTTGTTGGTGTTGATGTCACTAGAACTCATCAGTAGGCCCACCAGTGTCTAGTAACCGATTTTATCACTTACCGGAAGAAAGGACCGCCAGAGGAACCCTCGTACTGGTTGAGGATCATGCACACGCGGTGAGCGCTTCCCGAAATACCTGGTCATGGTGAGTGTCACGCGTTGCGAAACGACTTTCCTTGTTCTCTTACAGTGTCTCTGGTCGTCGATAAACCGTTGGCTGGAGTAGAACTTGCTGCGCGTCTGGCCATTGACGAGGAACTAAATTGAAATCAGAAACCAGTATCACCTCGAGGGCTAGCAGTACCTACCACGTCCGATCCCTCGATAGCACTACCGCCGCTGGTGGTAGAGACATCGCCAAAGGGCTCCTCGTTAGGAAGCAGGTTCGAGTTAAGCCGGGCGATGAAGCGTAGCTCGCCAATTGAGGGCTCTGTTTGTCAAATTCTGTCAGATCTAGGCCATCACAATTCTTCCAAAGAGAATACTAACGCGCAGTGATATGGGTTGCCATGTGGATGATAGGATCTCCATTGTGAACGACGAAATAATGCGTCAAGGTGCCGGCCTCACAAGTCACCTTGATATAGTCACCTATACAAAGTCAGAAGCCAATTTTATAATCCCATTAGGATGGATGAATTCTCCCACCATCTTGGACCGCAGACACATCAGCGCTGCCGAGACCAGAGCCAATGTGGCTACCCTGGCTAGAATATTGAAATTCGGAACCGTAGAACTTGATAGACGTAATATCGCAGCTCGAGCGGCTCACAGTAAACACCAGCGGGTTTGGTGACCCGGCGTCAATCACATAAGAGTTGGAGTTGGTGGTGAGTCCAAAAGCCGCATTGGCGACTCTGGCACAGAGAGATAGCGATGACAGAAATAGAGCTTTCGTTCGCATTTTGAATGGATGACAACTGCCCAGCATTCAGACATTTCTGCCGGGCAGGGCTCACATTTATGTCTCTCGCGGACAGAAGTTTCTTCGTAGGGAAGGGGGACAGGAGAAAAAAAAAAAAAAAAAAAAAAAAAAAAAAAAGAGTACTCCATAGTAGGTACGGAGTAAATGTGCCCAGCCCTGCTAGTATGAACAGCATACAGCGAACCCTTCGCATCATCCTACAGCCCCTGATCCATTTAACAGCCTGATCATGACTCGGTTCCACCAATCTGAGGAGCGACAGCTTACTTGCACGCCATAACAGTGTTCACCTTGACCGCAAGGCTAGGGCTTACCGAGCGTAGGTCACCAGCACTAAAGCCATAGCGCCGCCCACTATTAATATCGATATTTCTTTTAATATCCAGTGATTGCGGAGAAAGCTGCGGGTGCCGTTGTCGAAGTGGAATTCATCGAACACACACCGGCTTGGGCCAAGAACCCCCTGTTCAACTCAGTACTCCTTTAATCCGACGGCGCAAATGGTCGTTTCATATCCTTCTAAACCCACTTATTGCCGTTAGCTTCGGTAGACGAGTCCGAGTAATAACAACACCCTGGTGTGCATAGCTATACAATGGGATTCCATAACCATCTGGGACCGATGTGTAGACATAAGAACCTAAGCATTGGATTTGCATTGCTTGAGCGGATTATCCTCGCGATATCACATTGCGATCGACAATCGGATTTCTTTACAGCGAAAATCCGAGTTCGTGACTGCGGATCACCCACCTAGATACAACTTTGGCATGCTGAAGAAAGGCTATTCTGTCAGAAATCGTCTTTCAATGGTGGACAAATATCTTTAGTTGACCGCGATCGAAGCGAAGTTGAGCCCGATCGGTAATTGGATTCCTCGGTTTTGAACAGGACTCCTTTCCTTCCACGCCACGGATCTAATCCCTCAATCGTCATGGGAACACCAAGCAATTCATGCCCTATCCCAGATGTAGCTTGGTGGCATGCCCAAAAAGAGTAACTGATCGGAGTCTCTATATGAGAAAGGGTCCGTGGCCTGCTCGGCTACTGCTAGGAAGCATGCTGTTCAGGGGCATCGGTTGGCAGAAAGCATACATAGGTCCAGTATTGAGGTTCACAGGGAGAAATTAATAATGTGATGTCGCCCATGCAGTCTAGAATATCCATCAATCACTTGGTGCTCCCGGGATGTCACATCGGCCAACTTGGCCTGTGTTCACTGTTTAGCAATGACAGCCCCGCCGGAGGTGGAAATGGGCTCAGGATGGACCTTGATTTCCTGGTTATGCCATGTGCCCAGTCCTGCAGCCCGTTCTGTGCCGATGTTATTGCGGGCCTAAGCTGCCAAGATAGGCGAGTTGTTTTAGGTCGCGCCTATGGGGTACTCCATAGAATTGATGAAACGCTTCGAGTGGGCCCGGCTGTTGCTGACTGGGTGACTGGACCCAAACTTTTTTTTAGCCATCCGTGGTGAAATGGAAATGTCCAACTGCCTTCGCGAGGGAAACAATTCACTGCTGTCTTGACCATCTGATTTCTTCCGACGGAGTCCGGTTTACCTTGGGTGTGTGATTCAATGGCAGATGCAAGACATCAAATCAACTGAGCACCCAATCGGATTTGTGGCAAGCATTGGAGAAGAACCGGCTCTTGATGGACCAAACCTGATGGTAGATGGAAATGCAAACCTGAAAGATGGAAAGATTTGAGGCCGCAAAGAAAGTAGCACAAAGCGGATCATGTGTTGCCTGCACGTGCCTGAGGCGTGCCTGAGGCTGACCGAGTCCGTCGTTATCCTCGCCTGTTGTACGACTACAACTGGACGGACACTTCGTCCGTTCGACTCGTTTCGAAGAATCGATTACACCACTTACAGGACTCGGTTACAGTGGAATCTATAGACTGGCAGCAACAGTCAACATTGAATTGCGCTAGTCAAACTCGGATTCTACACTCCGGATAATGCATCCGATAATATGACACGCAAACTACAATTCGATCAACATGCGTGGGTCTGTACAGGTCCTGGTATGTCTGAAGCAGCCAGCGACCCGGCATGGCAACAGTGTACACAAATACTGCATTTTCGGTTCTTTGGTCAGCATTCTTCTATATTGGCTCCTCGATATCAACACCGTCTTGATTCAATTCGATGTCGACAGACTGCATGTGTTTGTGTGGACATTTCACTTCCCCGTTGGATGATTTGGCGACGGCCACATGTCCCTCCAAATAGGTCAAACATTTTGACATATTGTTTGTTTTCATCCAAGTCATGCTATGTGGAGGCTGGGTCTTACCCCTTGGAAGCATTCCGATCGTCGTTGCGGACAGCGCCACCCGGCTCTGTCGAACCTTGCCCAAAGACGTCAAACCCTCACCCGCATCAAGTAACCTATCGTCCTGCATACTTGTCTCTGCCGCATACGATTCGCCCGTGTCTCTGGTGTGATGGAGTCCACTTCCTGGCATCCAGATCAGGGAGATCTTTATCGGCAGAATGATTGGGGTTCTTGTCATGCCGTTGTCCGGGAGCAGCGACATTGTCCGCCTGATATATAACGCAGACAGATCTTCTGCACTGGGTGATTACTTTCTATTGACAATTCATTTTATCAGGGTGGAGTCATCACTCCCTTCAAACCACCTCGCATCATGTTTACATTCACCTATTTAAGCCTTTTTCCAATGGTGCTTTTTTCTAGCCCTACATTTGGATTAGGGTTGCACAATCTAAAGTTCATGCGAGAACTTGAGCTCGCTGCTGAATTGGGTGTTGATCCAGGGCAGTATTTGTCTGACCAGTCAAGCTTTCACAATTCTTTGGTTTCTCACGGTCCGAACCAAGCACCTGCGATCCCAGCAGAATATGTCGAGGTACGGCCAGTATGTCACCTAGTTGTTATACTCTTTCCTAACATCGCCTCTCAGATCCCTATTGACCATTCCAACGTATCGGTTGGGACCTATAAGAATCGATTTTGGGTGAATGAGGATTTCTATGTCCCTGGAAATCCGATCATCCTGTATGATGCCGGGGAGTCCAGCGCAGAAGGGACAGCCCAATCCCGATTAACGTCGGATTTCTCTTTTTTTCGGAAAATGCTGCAGGAACTCAATGCGATAGGAATTGTCTGGGAACACCGGTTTGTCCACCATTCCCGCGATGCAGATCTTTACAGCGAATTAACAAGAGTCAGATATTTCGGACACTCTCTTCCTTTCCCCGTCAACATTGACACACCCGCAGAACATTTACAGTATCTCACCACCAGACAAGCCCTGCAAGACATTCCCCACTTTGCGAAAACATTTAGTCGCGACAGCTACCCCGATTTAGATCTGACCCCCAAGTCCACGCCATGGGTTATGGTCGGTGGGTCATATGCCGGTTCGCGGGCCGCTTTTACTCGCAATGAATACCCAGACACCATTTTCGCTGCCTTTTCCTCGTCTGCTCCCGTGCAAGCTCAAGTTAATATGAGCATATACTTCGACCAGGTTCACCGGGGAATGGTCGCCAACGGGCTCGAGAACTGCACCAAAGACATCCATGCGGCTCTCGACTATATCGATGAGCAGTTATCGGAGCCTCAGACGTCAGCCTCTATCAAGAAGCTTTTTCTCGGCGATGAAGCCGACAAGAACAGCAACGAGGACTTCACCACGGCCCTCAGCAGCATATATAATTTCTTCCAGAGCTACGGGACCGCAGGTACTTCTGTGGGGAGCCTGGAGGACTTCTGTAACTACCTGGAAGTTGACCCGGAGACCAACCAGACGGCAGGCCCAGAGGGATTGGCCCCAACTCACGGCAACAAATACTTGGCCGAGCGCTGGGCTTCGTGGCCTGTGTTCACGCCCTTGGTCAATATCAACTCGGGGACCAACTGCAGGCAAGACAACGATTCACTGCCCCTAGATTGCGAACTGAGCTCTTTCATCACCGACCCCGACTCCATCAGCTGGACCTGGCAATATTGTACGGAATGGGGATTCTACCAGAGCAACAATTTCGGGCGCCACGGACTCCTTTCTCGGTATCAAACCTTGGAGTACCAGCAATGGATCTGCGACCAGCAGTTTCCGGGGATAATCCCACCACGTCCGCAGACCGATGCACTGAATGCGGAGCTCGGAGGGTGGGATATCCGGCCTTCCAATGTGTATTTTAGTGGCGGGGAGTTCGACCCTTGGCGCACGTTGTCCATTGTCTCAACCGAAGAAATTGCGCCACAAGACATCACTTGGACGAACGAGATCCCAGAATGTGGGGTGACACGAGCGAACACAATATTTGGACAAGTCCTCGAAAACTCGATGCACTGCTATGACTTCCAGGCACTGTCTACGCCCGGCAAGGCGTCACGGGAGCTGTTCCAGACGGCGCTAAAGGAGTGGCTGAAGTGTTATAAGCCTGCAGAGGGAGGCGGATCCTAGAGCGGAATATGTACATACGGTAGCACCCAGTTGTCAATAGCTAGAGTCGGTATGATGTAGAATATGGAGATCCTCGGAATTAGCGCCCCCTTTGTCAGGCACGCCACTAGCCCCTTTGGGACATGCTTGCGATCTACCCGTTCCGAGGTGGAATCGCCTGCTGCTCGCTTTTCCAATCATCTCCCTTGTCTTTGCTTTTGGTCATCTTCGCCAAATCCTGACTTCCTGGTCTTTCGTTCCTCCGTCGGGCCATCGGCGCAATTCCAGTCATCGCCTACCTCACATGCGTTTCCTCCGAGGCGGCCCCAGAGACGAGCAAACCCACATATAATTAGCAAGGCCCGCCACCGGGGAGGAATGCTTTTAACTACGGATTCTCTGCGTCTTCCCCCTTGAAATTCTGAGTTTCGTCCTGAACCTTCATTTCCCTCTCTTATTGTCCGGCTGGTTGCTCATTCCCCACTGTAACCATGTTGGCTCCCGTGGTGGTCTTCGGTGGCGCCTTGTACGTGACCTTCCTGGTCCTACAGTACATTCAACAACTATACAAGCATCGCAAACAGGCGCAATCCTTACGATGTCAACCCGCTGCCCCAGGCTCTCCCGGTCTCTTCGGATTCCGGACCTTTTACCGACTGTCCCGCGCAGTCAAGGAAAAGCGATGGGTCGAATATCTGGCTAACCAGTACGACCTATATGGGAACACTTTCACCCAGATAGTAATGGGCCGAAGAATGATTTCCACCATTGACCCAGAAAACATCAAAGCTTTGTTGGCGACTCAATTCACCGACTTCAGTTTGGGGACCCGACATCGCGAATTTTATCCCTTGCTTGGCGACGGCATTTTCACCCTCGACGGGGCCGGCTGGTCTCATGCGCGCGGGCTCTTGCGGCCTCAATTCACGAGAGACCAGGTAGCAGACCTGGACCTCATGGATGGTCACGTCTCCCGCATGATTGATCTCATCCCGAAAGATGGCTCGAGCTTTGATATCCAGCGCCTTTTCTTCCTTCTGACCATCGACTCCGCGACACACTTCCTTTTCGGCGAGTCTGTGGGCTCGATGCACTCTTCCGCCGATACGGGTCTTTTGGAGAAGTCATCGGTTGGCAATGCGCAGGGCTTTGCGGAGGCGTTCAACACGGCCCAAGATTATCTCGCGTCACGATCCCGAGCGGTGAGCTTCTACTGGATGGTGAATCCGAAAGAATTCCAGGACGCCACCAAGCGCGTACACGAGGTGGTAGACCATTACGTGCATCTCGCGATCGAATCTAGGAAACACCCTGAAAAGAAGGAGCCGGGAAGATACATCTTCGCCGAGGCCCTGGCCGCAGACAACGACGATCCCAAGGTTCTTCGTGACAACATGCTTAATATCCTTCTAGCCGGCCGTGATACCACGGCAAGTCTGCTCAGTTCAGCCTTTTTCTTTCTATCACGCAACCCCGCCGTTTGGGAAAAGCTTCGAGGGTTAATTGTGGAGGAATTTGGAGATGCTGAACACCCAAAGGGAGATATCACCCAGACTAAGCTGAAGGACATCCCGTACCTACGATACGTCCTGAACGAAGTCCTTCGATTGATGCCACCTGTGCCTCTGAATTTCCGTGTCGCTACGAAAGATACCTCTCTTCCTGTGGGAGGTGGACCGGATCGCAAATCGCCAATCTACGTCGAAAAAGGCATGATTGTTGCTTACAGCGTTTACGCGATGCATCGACGGACGGACTTCTACGGTCCTGATGCGCGTGTCTTTCGTCCAGAACGTTGGCAGGAAAACGCACGCCGCGGCTGGGACTATCTTCCATTTAACGGCGGGCCTCGCATCTGCCTTGGTCGTGAGTTATCCCCCGCCTTTCCGTAACATCTTAGACAAGGACATATCAGGATTGCTAACCTTTTCATTTTTTAATAGAGCAATATGCCCTTACCGAAGCCAGCTATACTTTGGTGAAGCTAGCCCAGAAATTCCGAGTCGTCGAATGCGGCGATCCGGAAATCCAGGTGCCCAAGATTCATTCGACTCTTACCATGTCACATGACCGAGGAGTGAAAGTCCGACTATCTAATTAATATGGGTTCAATGATAGCGCCTAGTTGCAAATTGCTTGTGGTTTCATTACTAGCGGCTTCTATGAGAAATACATAAAAAGTTAAAGCATGCCAGACTATTAAGTAGTACCATTGTAGGGACACTCATAGTTAACAACATACCCAACTACCAACCAAAAAGACTTGCTTTATGCCCCAATAACTTTCGCGGAGTCATCATAACGTTAGATTCGTGTAACTCGTCGCATTGTACTCCGTAAGGCCGCAAGGACAAAACTCCGAGACCTGCCAAGCCACGTGGCGCAGGCCGTGGCGTTCCCCGTGACCGGAGTCTCGCCCAATTAATCCGCCGCTTTGTGCAGGCGCAGTTCATCCTGCAGCGTCGACGATTCGACGCCTTTGACATCGCGGACTCTGGAGCGCTGGTCCATTCATCTTTGCTCATTCTGTCTTGACTGACCTCGGTCTATGGCAACTGATTTCACACGAGACTCCGCGATTGGAAACTCCGGACCCTCTCCTGCAACCTGAAACTCTGAACAAAGTGCTGCTCCCCTGTGAAATCGCATCCCCAATTTGTCCATCCAGAAAATCACCCCGACAAAGAAAACATGCCCAATCCCCCCAAGCCCAACCCCAGGCAGTTTCCTACAGTAGCAGTCGTCGTGCCCAGAATGCAGGTCCCGTCTACCGCGGCCCCACCCCAAGGCTCCGATCCCTCGAAATCGAAAAATGTGAAACCGGATCCTGTCAATAATAATAACCCAAGTACTACTGCCCCTGCTGCTATCGGCGCCATGAGCAATCCGGTCAACCTGGTCGGCGACGCGACGAGTGCCGCTCGGCCTCCACCTCAGACTCTGGCCGAGACTAAGGAGAATGTCGCTGCGGTCCTTGTCGACAATGGTGCTTCCAGCGCCGAGATCTCCGAATCCGAAATGCAGCTTGTTTCTTCTTTGGCGAAACTCCAGAAATTGGAAGCCATGGTAAGCGTTTTCTGTCCTCCTCTCCTTTAAATGCCAATGCTCTAGAAAGTGTGTGGTTTAACAATTGCAGGTACACCAACTCCGGACTCTCCTTCCGGACCGTCTCCTGGAGCCCATGCGGCCAGCTTTGAACCCCAAGGCCGCCCCTGGGTCGGTGGCGGGATCACCGGAGATCATGCTCCAGCAGGCTTCTCACATCTTCCGGGGCGGCGTTGCTGAAGTCCAGGAGTTCCAGAGTATGTGGCGCGGCCCGGAAATGAAAGCCGTCTGGGAGCGTGTCGATGCGCAAATCAAGGAGAACGGCGGCAATCTGCTGCAGCCTACTGGGGTTTGGGAGCAGGATTACGACACGATTCTTGAAGAGCTAGTCAAGGAGCAGGAGAAGAAGAACGAGAAACAGCGCAAAGCCGACGAGGAGCAGGAACGCTCGAACATCCGATCCACTGAGGGTGGGTGGAGAGCGATCGTGGATGGTTTCGCCCAGAGGAATGTGCCCGGCATGCGTTTGATTCCGAGTAAGCGTGAGGCTTCCGTTACTGTTGCTCTTGCCAAGGCTGGGATGGTCTTTAATGTCCACACTGTGGGTGGAACGGAAGGGAATGGTGTGCCTGAATGGCAAGTCTCAAGTAAGACAGCTCCAGGGCAATCCCAGACGAAGGTTGAGAGGTCGATCACCGACTGCTTGAATGCGCGACCTCAGCAATGGAATCTTGCTCATCTACTTGTAAGTTCACACCGCCGACTTCATGGCCTGCTCAAACTCAAAACTCATACCATTACTAGGACATGATATCTTCCTACTCCAGCATCAAGCAAACCCCATGCATGAAATGCGGCAAAATGACCGACGCAGCAACCCAACTACCGACAATCCGCCAGCACAAACTCACACCCTCACCAACGGACGGACAGCCGCCATCTTCAACGTGGGAAGCCTATCATGCCAGCTGCATTTGATCAATTCCCAAGCACATCGCACTACCCCAGAGCCAGATCAAACCAAACAAAACCACGTCTCACAACCCTCACAACCACCTTCTCTTCCTATACACCAGATCATGTTGCCGATCAGCCGGATACTCCGCCCCATACCGATCCCAAAACCGCAACGGAACCACATGTCCCTCACACCCACAACGCTGCACCTTCGACCAGGTGCCCACATCGGGAACCTGATACTTCCTCGTCCGAAAATCATACCTCTCCCCGGGTGACCGCCTCGCCCATGGAAACGGCGTATCATCTCCGTCCCTCTCGTCATCTTCTTCGTAATAATACCCACCCCCTCCATCCCTCCCAGCACCCGCACCCGCACACCTGCCTTTCCCTTTCTCGGCGCTCTCTCCCTCGCGCTGTCGCCACCGCGACCAATTCGTCTCGTCTGGCGCAGCGGCGCCGATCCTGCCGACGAAGATATCCGGTCCGTGGTTCGTGAGGACATCCTTGAGTCGCCATCGTCTGCGCCAGTGGGTTGGGTTTCCGCGGCGGGGGTCTTTGGGCCAGATCCAGCCTAGTTGGGAGGGCATTTTTTGTCTGTGGTGGTGGAAGGATAGGATGGGTTCGTTTAGGGCAGGACAGTGATAGTGGACACGAAGTTTCAAAAGTCAATATGTGGTATCGACATCAATCTGACAGACCATACGATGATTGAACCTTCTGTTTTCTGGACCCCGGGAGAGTGGTCTGAAGATCAAATGATGAGAAGATTTAAAGTCAGAAATATGGGAATACCTGGGGTTTATATCTCTTTCTCAATAATATATCTGCGCATATAAAGCAATGATGGTCCGTTTCTTCAGTTGTTTGTGTTTGTGGTAATAGCCAGTAGTGGTTTGTCTGCACATACCGATTTCCATCGAGTAGGTGATTGCTCACCCTCTATTTGTCTGCTGACCTCAATCAACAAAGATCATCGGGATCAGACTGTCAGGCAAATTGTATACATCGGACCAAACTATCTAGCTATCCGTTTACCTGTGAGGGAGGAGGCCATGGTTTGGTCTAGTTGGTTTATTTGCTAAAGGTAGTTCTTTGCGTAGGAATCAGGTTGAATATGGCATCAAATGCAAATACAGTTCTGTTTGGTCCCTATGATTTGCCACTCATAATCTAAGGAGGTCCATGTACATATTCATCAGAATTAATCCTATGTATCAAATCAACTAGCTCATTATACAGACAAAAACAAACGAGGCAAATCATCCGCAAAATGATAATTATACTCAAAATCCCGCTGGTGCTGTAGGGCAAGACAATGAACGATGGCAACAAGATAATAAAAAGTCCCAAGCAATATACCGCATGAACGCCAGGCCAAGTTCCTTTGCTGAGAGTAACGCTATCGTCATGACTGAAAACGAAAATCCGCTCAGTTCGATGCAATCAGTATTTTTTGTTTTTGATGGTGTATGTAGAAGTGCTGTGTGTTTATGTTCATCGCCTGTGTTTGACTCCGGAGAGGAAAGTAGATCATGTTGAGAAGACGCCAAAGTCTCCCGCAAACCAAGTGAAGGATGCAATGGTTATCAATGTCATGCCGACGGCAAACTTGAGGGCCTGGCGTTCCATGTCGGATAGGGCGCCGCTGCAGGTTACACAGTGGTATTCTGGATCAAGTTAGATGTTTGCCATTTGATATCTAGAATCCGGATGGGAGGTGTAGACTTACCATTCAAGGGAGTGTATGATTGGGGCACATACATCCCGAAGTTGAGTTGGTTCTGCGAGCTCAGCTCACCGGGGCCGGCCGTGTCTCCGATCTCGCTGTCCACATCGTAGATGACCAAGGTGTAAGTCGCAGTCAGGAGCGGAACGGTCGCGTTCGCCTGGTACTTCTTGGTATCCCACACCACCTTTCCGGTCTCCTCAACACTCATGTTGCTCGAAATCGTGTAGGTGGCGCTGTTGAGACTGCAGGACGCAATAACATTGACGGCGGAGGGGGTCACCAGCAGCGAGGTGTAGTTCCAGACGAAAGTGACGTGTTCACCGATCTTGTAGTAGCTCGAGGCACCGGTTGACGGAGTGAGCATCTTGACACCGCCAGGGGGGGAGCGAGGATCGATCGAGGTCGAGGTGGTTTTCTTATCATCTTTCGTCTTGGTGGCTTTGCCCGTCTTGGTTCCAGTCTCTTTGCCAGTCTCTTTGCCAGTCTCCTTGCCGGTTTTGGTGTCGGTTTCTTTTCCAGTTTCCTTTCCAGTCTGGGTGCCCGTGCTGGTAGAGTCGTCGGTCGCTGTTTTCGTGGCGGTCTGTTCGGTGGTCGCCTTGGCGCCAGTGGTCGCCTTGTCAGCAGCGGTGGTAGTTTCATCTGAAGGCCCGAGAGGATTAGCCGGAGTCGATCAAGTGAGAATTGGATAGTTTTCGATGATACTAACCAGCTCGAGCGACCAGAGCACCATGGCCCAGGTCTAACCCATTTGACCAGGCCGAGACCAAGCCGAGGAAAAGGTAGACGACGGAAAGAAAGGTGGTTGCCCGCATGGTGACAGAAAGCTGGATGGCTTTGCTAGGTGTGGTCTAACGAATCGAATGAGAAAAACGGAGACTCCGTGGCAGAATCAGATTCCGATCGGTGGTCCAATCTTCCTTCCCCAATGTTCCCCAATGTTGACAGCAAACGAGTGTGAGTGGGAACGACAATCCGGGAAAATTCGAGAGAGGGATCAACAGAAGATATCGGAGGTGCTTTTTCTTGACCGACCCAGATGGACGGAGGACAAAATTGCTCAGGAGACGGCAAGTCAAGTGGGATGCAAAGCAGACCAATTATTCTTCCAACGCGGTGGGCCCTGAAACCTGCAGATCGGGTGATAAGGAGCCCGGGAGGAGACTGAGAGCGGGCGGGTGGGTAAACAATGTACGGAGTAAAGCGAGTGACTGGGGAGCCGAGCAACCCGACGGGAATTCAAGCAAACGAAACAGCAGAGAGAATCCAAGAGAGACGAGGAGATGAAGAGTAGCAGAAAAACGACACAGACGAGGGCCGTGAGCGATGAAGAGCAGAAGGCGAAAAGGCAAACGACTGAAAGAAGCCAACCGCGCTAAACCCCTTCGGGCGCCGCATGTGAGACAGCCGTCTATTTTTGGACTGTTGGCCTGAGGCACACACCGCCTTGATTGGCCTCGACGGTTCGTCGAAGCGTCAGACTGTGCGACGGTCTGACTCTCGGATGGTCTGGCAATTGTGGGATGCACCGTGTCTTGCATCGACTCGTCCCGGCCAGTGATCCAATCGTCCCATCGCTCGATCACTCCGTCGCCGGGTCCGAGGGCATGAGGTCGCCTCCGAGGCATCTCCACGGTCGGCAGTCCGGCCGAGCCAACCCGCATGGGTTATTGCCAATTATTGGCAGCGAACCTTGGATGAACATGGGCCGGTAAAGTATATCGTCCTGTCGCATTGCTACCAATCGAGGTACATACAGACAATGGTTATTATCAGACATCAGAAGAAAACCCTCATTATCCATCGTGTCAACCCAAACCCAAATATGCCTTCCACCAAATCAGTCGTCGAATTATTTCCATTGCCATCGCAGTCATTACAAAGAAAGTATCATTATCCGGATGTCCGCACGGCACCTCCCCGCAAGCCTATCAAATATACTTTCATTGACTCTGGTACGGATCTGGGAGAAGCGAGCGGTACGCCGGTACATCGCCAGTATGAATCATCAACTTGCGCCACGCGCGTCATGAACCATTAACTCCGTCGGGTGGCACTCGTTCTCAGGAAGTGTGCTCGACTTCCAGGGTGACTTTGCTGCAGGACGAGGGCAGAGTGGCGTCGTAAGGGCGGTACAGGTAGAAAAGCTGGGGTGCGTTGTGGTACCAGTCGCAAACTAGATTGGTTGCCGGGTCAGTGGCAAGCTCGCCAGGGATGCCTCCTCCAGGCCCCTTCTAACAGGTACCGGAAGTCTGATGTCTGATGCATGCGTTACGGGAGAAAACGTACCCAACCAGCCTCCGAAGATTTGATTTGACCACTGCAATCCGGTGCCGTTGATGGTGAACCCCTCGGTCCCGTATCCGGTGTTAATCTCGACCGGTACCCATGCTGCACGCACAAAGCAAACTATCGTCAACTTCGGTTCAACCGAACCCAACCCCGGGCGGAAAGGACTCACCGGCATAGTTGTTCTGCGGGGGCATGTTGAGTCCCCAAGGGAAAGGAGTGTCCAGGGCAAACTGGGCGTGCGTGTTGTTCAGGAAGACCGTGTTGGCCGTGTCGGCGTCCGAGGTCAGGACGGCGTCGTTGAACCCGGCGCCAGTGTGATAGCCATACACGTAGAGATCGTTGTGCTTCGTCTCGGAGGCTCCGGCAGTCTTCAGATGAAAGGTGTCGGAGGCGCTGTTCGCCCGCGTGACCGGGTTGGCGGCCACGGCGGAGACCAGCAGGGCGAGAGAAGAGAGCAGCTTCATGGTGAAAGAATGGTGTGTCGTAGAAAGTACAGACAGGTGAAGAAGTAGCGAGAGTTGGCAGGGACAGAACGAAGGGAGCCTGCTTGATGGATGAGGAGAGAAAGAGAGAGGGATGGAGAGAAAGGGATGTGGCCAGCAGGGCGGATGGGAGGCTCTATATAGGTTTTTGGTTCTCTGGTCAGGGCAGGGCAACTTTCCGCTCTCGACTTTTCCTCCCCGCGGATCGGATGTAAGGCTCTGTAATCGTATGGGTTTCCACCGGAAATTAAGTGGACAAAGGGTTTTGCAAAGTTAGCGGTCGAGAGTTCAGGGCCTCAAGGTACAGCAACTCTGACGGTGACTTGGCACGCAAGGACGATCTCCACCAGTCTGCGGTGGAAACGCAAGTGGGCCAGTAACCATGGGCGGCGAATTTCAGACGACGATCATCGCTGCGCCGGAGAATGGAGGCGGGGAACTGAGACATCCAACCTGCCTGGGAATGTGACAAGGCGAGGAAAACGAGAGTTGATGAAGCGACATGCAAGAACTGATGCGGTCGTAGAGTAGGGAGAGGTCAACATCCAGGACAAGTCGAGAGACTCTCTTTCCGTGTAACGACATACGAAATCAGAGTCCGGAGCAGGTATTTTGTTGCTATTTCGGTCGTCGCCGTCGATCCTCAAACAAACGGTTGTCAGGGGAAGATCGCAGGTACCGAATGAATCTGTGGTTCAAGCCAATTCCCCCGGTGAATCGGGGATGACGATCTGCAACATTCTCCATCGGCTCTTCTTCCACTCGGGCGGAGATTCTTTGATTCATGCGCATTCGAGGATCAGATTGAAGAGTCGGATTAGCCCCGGACAGTGCGTCTTACATCAACTGTCAGTGTCACTCGACAGGCGACAGTCAATCATTAAGGTTGACTTGACAATTCATGGCTTCGATCTAGCAGACTAACACAAGCTACTCGGTAGACGTCGGATATCAGGATCGTCGGTTCCATGGACTCTCGCCATTTGGTCCTCGCCCCGATTGACATCACTTCCAGGGGTAAACAAAATGTAGATGGGAAATGAGTAGATCACCACGTCAATCGCAGGGCTTACAATCCAACAGCCTCGGTTTAATTAGGGTCATTATCGGAGATTATCATACACATGCATTACAGAGTATATCCGGTCCATCGGATTAACGCCAGGATCCACCTCTATTCCCCGGTCCTAAACCCAAATTGCGAGAATGCGTTCTCTAAATAACTGGAAAACAAAAAGCAAAAGTCTCCCATAACATGGGCAAATGGCTATAAATAAATCTCCATTGGTCCGGGGCACGTCATAGCCTGTCGGATCCAGAAGGCTGTTGAGGAGTTGAAGAAGAAATCAGGATCGTTTCGGGGCGTACTCGGGCTTCAGAGACCATTTCCCCCGTCCGTTGCGACCGCCCTTTTCCAGGACCGCGATCGTTTTGAGCATTTCTTTGAACTCTGCCGACCGCTGAGGCGTGGTGCAGAGACGGTTGAAATGGTCAATCAACATTTGCGTATAGACCGACCCGCCCTGGGACGTGATGTAATCTCGGATCCTGGTGATGAAGTCAATCCCACCGGTAGCCCTGGCCGGCGCAGGGCTGTTGCTACTGCTGCGAGACGGAGGCGTGCGAGCCGAGAGATTGGCTAAGATACTGGCCGACGACGGACCGGCGGGGCCTCGTCTGGCCGAGCTGCTTCGTCCCCCGAACGCTGGCTCTGCAGGCTTTCCGGCCAGGCCAAACTGGCCCGTCCAAGTGGGCATTCCAATTGGCACGGATCGAGCAGCTTCGCCTGCTCGGCGCAGCTCCTCGGCGGCCTCGGCGGCCACTTTCTTGGCTTCGGCCTCGATGATCTGGGGATCGGCTCGGACAACGCGTTTGCCATTCACGATCTGGTCGTGCTCCAGGGCAGAATGCACCCCGGAACGGGCGAAAATGCCTTCCATGAGACGGGATTCTGATTTGGGAGCAGATGGCCCTTCCTGATCGCTCGGCTTTTCAGGATCGCCCTGGAATTCCTCGACCGCTGCGATGCCCTCCACCTTGTCGACTTCGTTGTTGTCGTCCTTGCCACTATTTCCTCCATGTCGCGACTTGCCGGTCCGTCGAGCAGGGCTATTACCACCCTCCTCGTACGTAACGTCGGCATCTTGAAATATCTTGCTTGTTTCCGTCGGACCTTGCATCTCGTCTCCGAGAGAAAACAGATCGTGTAAATCGCTGAGCTGAAATGTCTGCCGTTGTTTCGGATCCTTCAGGATCTTGTTGGTGAGGAACTGCTTGAAGATCTGTCGGTGATAGATCTTTTCTTCGATCGTCCCAGCCGTCATGAGTCGGTACACCGTGACCTCCCGCTTCTGTCCAAGCCTCCATGCTCGCTCACGGGCCTGCATGTCGGTGGACGGGTTCCAATCTGGGTCGTAGATAATGACTCGATCCGCTCCAGTGAGGTTCACACCTAGACCTCCCACCTTCGTCGTGAGAAGAAACACGTGCAGTTCTGGGTCATTGTTGAATTCGTCGACCATGGCTTGCCGGCGAGCTATGGGTGTGCTTCCATCCATTCGCCGATACTTGAACCCGGAAAGCGAGTTCATGAATTTCTCCAGGATGTCCAGCATGATGCGATGCTGCGTAAATAGAAGAGTCTTGTGGCCCGTGTCCTTCCATAGTTCTAACAGCGATTTCACCACTTGCATTTTACCAGACTGGGAGGCATCGCCATACCCTGCTTGGTGGGAATTGAACTTGTGACTCTGCAAGTCCGGGTGGTTGCAAATCTTGCGCAGGATATCGACTCCGTACAAGACCTGTCGTCGCCCTCTGAGGATGGACTGCATCTCTCCCGAGCCGAGGAATGCCTCATATGCTTGTCGCTGAAGTTTCGTCAGCTTGCAAAACAAGACTTGTTCGCTCTTTTTAGGAAGGTCGGCAGCCACGTCGATCTTGAATCGCTGCAAAAGGTACGGACTCATGGCATCCTTGAGGGTTTCGGCACACCTAGTGGCCGTTTGAACTTGTAGATTGGAAGCATTGGCGTAACCACCTTGGCGAATTGGAAACTCAAACTGATTCCGGAAATTAACCAACGTCCCTAGGCGCATGGGAAAAACGAAATCGAACAACGACCAAAGCTCCGTGAGATTGTTTTGCATCGGGGTGCCGGACAGAATGATGCGGTGCGGGGTTCGAAGTTCCTTGCAATGGATAGTAATCGATGTGTTCGGATTCCGAATCTTGTGGCCTTCGTCGAGAATCGCACACCCCCATTCTATCGGGATCAAGAGAGGTGCGTACGTCTGTAGACCAGAGTACGTAGTCACCAGCACATGGCCCTCTTCTAGAACGCGTTTGACCACTTTCCTGCCAGCCTTCAAGCCGCCGGAAACGCCGCGAGAATCTCGTGTCTGCGTTAAGAGAGCATCTTCTCTGCTGGTTTCATTGCGGATGTTGACCATCCCACTGCCGGAGGTGTGTAGAATAGACACTCGGAACGGGGGCCACCATCGATGGAACTCATTGACCCATTGTTTCATGACCGTGGCGGGGCATACAACGATGACCGGTTTAGTTAGCTTTTTGCTATAGTGAAGCCCAGCCAGAAAGGCAATAACTTGAATCGTCTTCCCCAGTCCCATCTCATCACCAATGATGCCTCCTACTTGCTGTTGCTGCAGTTCCCACAGCCACTGAACTCCGGTTTTTTGATAATCGAATAGAAGGGGATGAACATCGCCAGGCACACGATACGAATTATCGTACGGCATATCTGGCACAGTGGGGTGTGGCTTAAACCACTCTTCATCCTGTTCGTCTTGGCCATCGTCAGGCTCCGTGTCTGTTCCTCGGGCCTGCAGAGTGCGCCTTCGAGCAGCACTCCTACGATCAACCCAGCTCTGAAGTCTAGATTGATAGATCTTCTCGTTCCCGTCGTCAACCCCGCTAAAGTCTTCCATGTCTTCTGTTGTCTTTGATTTGCCTGAAGCTGCCGGTCGTGCAAATTTATCATCGGTGGTGAAGTCTTCGTCGTCGGATTCTGCCCCTTCAGAAGCCACATAGCTCCCCGAACCATCATCGGACGGAACCTCCTCCGGCGGACTTTCTGCTGTTATTTCTGGGCCTTCTGATTGCGCAGTGTCTGTCGTGTGATCCTCTTTCTCCAGCTTTCGTTTCTTCTTAGGGCGCTCGGCTCTCTCCTCGGTAGACTTTTCACTGCTTTCATCAAACCCAAAACCGGGACGCACAAGATTCCGGTGAGACACGGCCGAGCGCTGCTTGACTTGTTCTAGTGCCTCTCTCTCATCGCGTTCGTCTTCGGCATCAATCAGCGTGTCATGGAGGCTATATAGGGGCCCTTCGGTTGGGCCAGAGCCCATGGTTGAGAAGGGCGTGATTTTCCCGGTTCGGATGAGATAATCTCTCCGAGACTCGTGAGGCAACCTTCCTGTCCCGTTCCCTTGCTCGTCAGGTTCTTTCTCCTGCTGCCTCTCGTCCATGCGCTGCCTGATTTCTTTCAAATCGTTTGCCAAGGAAGCATTACGAGACTCTAATTTTTGCAAGTCATTCTGGGCCCGAACGCGGGCTGCAGTGCCAACTGGCTGTGACAGGCGTTGGTGTAGTTTTAAAATCTGTGATTCCAACTTCCTAGTAGCAGCGTAAGCACGTGCGCTAACAGCAGGAGACAACTGAGGCCATACTCTTTTTCCTGGCTAGTCTTCTCTAGCCGCTTGTTATCGCGTTCATCGGCCTGTTCCAAGAGCAACTTATCGGCCTAGAATTTCGGTTAGAGGGAAGTGAAACTTGTTTGGATACCTATCTCATGGCTTGGATATACCTGACGTGTGATGTCCCTCTCGAGGTCATCCTGATCTCGCACATCGGCCTGGAGCTCTCGGAGGCGACTAGCTTCGTCTACACCCGACGACGGGGCCGGGTTAGGAGTACTGGGAATCTCAGGATTGGACGAGTGCTCCGGCCGATCTTCTTCATGAGGGGTCTGGGCAAGCCCGTCCTGGACTGTCGCAGCGACATCACTCTCCCCGTTGTGAGCCATGTTTGAGGGGATAGTGAAGGATCCTGGGCAAATGTTTAGTGGAGTGTTGGTGATTGTTTGAGCGCGTTGTTTGGTTCTTTATAATTTGCACGGATCATTCCACAATGTCAAAGAAAAAGTACAGATATATAGATACAGCATATAAGAGGAAGATAAAGAAAGGTCCAGGTTGTCGCTCTTGCCACAGAGCAGATGACACGGTCAGCAATTCCGACGGGTTCAATAACCGGAAGAACACATTGAAGGGATCGAGGACGTCGGGACCTAGACTCTAGACTTTATCCCAGCGCATGCGCGATATGTTCGGCACTGTGCGCACCCGCTTCTCTGATGCGACAGGCTCGAAGAGGAGGATCCGGAGCCTGGAAAGCAGAACTAGGCATAAATCCCGGCAGAATCGACTCACCGACGGCTGCCTTAAGCCCACCGCCTTCAGGCCACGACCGGCGATGAGTCATCCCGCTTCCGTTCGCCTCCCACGTCACTCACTCACTTGGATTCCGGCCCAGATTGGGCTGACTTGACGACTCGAGTTTCATGGTCATGCTTCTCCTGAACGGATTCCGGCTCTCGCTCTTCCCACGGAGTACTCTGACGACTGCGTTCTGACTCCCGGTGGGGTCCTTTTCTTCGTCAGGGTTTGCCGCCGGTAAGGATGGCAGACAGGCTGGCCAGGTAGACCCGCGTGTCTAAGAATATCACGATACAGTGTCGGGCAATTTCCCAGTAGTCGCAACCCTGGAGATTGGATCAACAAAAAAGTCGAACCCGATGGTCGCTGCTCGCCTCTAGGGGGCCGGCGTGGCTCCACTACGCGATTGATCGTCCAAGAGGTTGGTCAAGAGGCAGGCCGTGGGAAGGACTAGGTCAAGACTAGAAGAGATCCATTCCTCTTAACACCTGGCTTGCGCATGCACGTAAAATTAGGACCTGTAGGCAAAGACATCGTAGCATCCCCAGGTATTGAAATTACGGCGTAGAAGTCCAGGGTGTTGGTGCTGGTTACTTGATTGATGATTGATTGTTTGCTGCCTGCTTGCGCTGCTGACTACTGGCTGGTCCCCGTCGGAGTCGATCCATACTTTAACACATTATTGATCCCTTGAGCATATCATAACATCATTACTCCCAGGCTGCCTGTCGACGAAATACTGCGTGCGCGTAATACGGGGAAGTGGTGACATCCAGCGGGCCCCAACCGCGGCCTCAGGCGCCCACCGCAGCGACTTCCACATCGTCGCCCCCTCCTCCCTCCGCATTAGCCTCTCCCAACTCTCTTCCTTTGGGCGCTCGTCTGGGCGTCGCTTTTCGTCCTGCTTTTCCCCCTCCCCTGAATTTTTTATTTCCCACCGTCGTGGTTCTTATCATTTTCCGTCCGGTCCTTTCTTGTTTTGCATTGTGCTTTTTTGCCCCCTCTGCCCGGATCTCCCGCGCTTCTCCGGGTGTGCAGCAAGTCGTCCCTCGACTTTCTGCCCTGCCCCCCAGCCTCCTTGGCGTGTCGATACCCATTCCCACTGTGCATTGCGACCGCCGCCTCCCCCGTTCTCTGCAACCCTCGCCCTTCGGACCACCCTCGTCCAGTCACCGTGCCCTTACCCTGACGAAGCAATCGTGCGGATAATGAGGTGCCACACAACTCGGAATTAGCATCAATTCCCTCTTCTCACTCCCACCTCTCGAATTGCACCGGCGCTCGCTCGTGTTTCGCGTCTCCGCCTGGCTGCGTCGGCCGTCCCCGCTGCTATCTACCTCCCGGTCGCAGTGCATGTGCGCTGTCCACGGCAACAGACGATCGATCTTCCTGTCCAATTCCCATTCCGAACGCTCGCTCTTTCCCACATCCCCCGACCGGAGATTCATCGCGAGAGAGGTCCGCGGAGGAGCGAATGAACGATGGACTCGCAGTGGCAGCCCTATCAGGATCCCTTAATGGGCCGTCCCGCGCAGTTCAATAATGGGCAGCCGCTCGCTGCTAAATATGGGGGTCAGCCACAACAAGCACAGCAGGCTCCTGTTGGCTATACCTATGAGGCTTTTCAAACGCCTGCCCTGACAGCCAAGCCTCCAACCATGACCACCAACTCGAAATCGGTTTCTATGGCATCATCCCCGGCCGCGACGCCACGTAGCCGCGATTATGTCACCGATGCCGACACCACCATGGAGGACGCGGACCCGTATAATCGAGCGAAATACTCGGCGGCCAGGCAAAGTCATCACAGTCGCCCGTCTTCCCAGTACTTTCCCCATGAAGAGTCCTCGGCTGCTCGCAGGTACTCCCCGATGAATGTCCTGCCACCCGCCATGCCGTACAATTCGAGTCCCGGAAAGGGCCCCGGCCCCGGCCCCTACGTCCATCCTCCCAGTGCCAACCAGACTCGACGATCGCCGACGAGGATGCCGAATTACTCTTCGCCGCCTCAGTCGTATCAGTCGCCTCCCTGTGAGCCCCCTGCCCTCGTTATCTTATGCTGTTTTGTGTGCGTGGCTATCTTGGATCGCTCCGAGTAACTAACACCTGCGTAGCGACTGGATCGCGACCCCCTAGGCTCCCTCCTTTGCAATCCACCGACCTGGGTCTCGACCAGTATTACCCTCCCTCGGCAGGATCTCAACTGGGTGCAGCGTTCGGGCAAGATGGGAGGTCCCCCCGCCCCACGTCCATGTCCGGCCCCAGTCAACAACCAGGCCGCGGACCGGTGCCCAAGTTCCAGAAAATCAAATCGGTCCAGGAGCTCCAGCCTCGTATCAACGTGCAACCCCCCTACAGACGAGCTAATCCAGAAGGTGGCTTCATTAGTGTAAGTCCTTTGCGAGTCGCTCGAAGCCGTTGTAACTTTCCCTAATATCCGCGCAGCCCCTTCAAGCTCTGACGATGCATCTGCCCGCCACCTATCGGATCTGCAACCCGGGCTTCAACTACGAGTCGTCGAGGAACCCGAGACGAGTACTCACGAAACCGAGCAAAGGTGTCAAGAATGATGGATACGATAACGAAGAGAGCGACTACATCTTATACGTGAATGATATCCTGGGGAGCGAGGAAGCCGGTCACAAGTCAGTCCAAACCGCGGCATCCCTTGCCCAGTCTAGCCGTCGTTATAGATACTAACCACCATCCCAGAAACCGCTATCTTATCCTTGATGTTCTTGGTCAAGGCACTTTCGGGCAAGTTGTGAAATGCCAGAATTTGAAAACCCAGGAAGTGGTGGCTGTCAAGGTCATCAAGAATAAGACCGCCTACTTCAATCAAAGTATGATGGAGGTCTCTGTGTTAGACCTAGTATGTTTCCCTGCGTTCTTCTTTTCTTGTGGATCCTGGCTTACCTTGTCGCACCGCAGCTCAACAGCAGATACGACAAGAATGACGACCACCACCTACTTCGTTTGAAGGACACCTTTATCCACAGGCAGCATCTCTGTTTGACTTTCGAACTGCTCAGTGTCAACCTTTACGAACTCATCAAACAAAACCAATTCCGAGGGTTAAGCACGACGCTGGTACGGGTATTTGCTCAACAATTGCTAAATGCATTGAGCCTTCTGAACAAGGCGCACTTGATCCACTGCGACTTGAAGCCGGAGAACATACTTCTGAAAAAGTTAGCTGCTCCTTCACCAAGTAATATGCTATACCAACTAACCTCCTCACCCTTTTTAGCCTGGAGAGTCCCATCATTAAAGTCATTGATTTCGGTTCTGCTTGTGACGAACGGCAAACGGTTTACACGTACATTCAGTCGCGGTTCTACCGCTCCCCCGAGGTTTTGCTTGGCTTGCCGTAAGTGGATTACCCATTCCAGCACCCGCACACATCTCCTAACCCACTATAGTTACTCCTCTGCGATTGATATGTGGTCATTGGGCTGCATTGTTGTCGAGCTCTTCCTCGGTCTGCCGCTGTTTCCAGGATCTTCCGAATACAATCAGGTGTGTCGTATCGTGGACATGATGGGCTTGCCTCCTTCCTGGATGTTGGAAATGGGCAAACAGTCGGGCGAATTCTTCGAAAAAACCCACGATGAATTTGGAAGGAAAACGTATAGGTTGAAGAGCCTGGAGCAGTATTCTCGAGAACACAACACGAAAGAGCAGCCAAGCAAGAAATATTTCCAGGCGACAACGCTGGAAGAGATCATCCGAAGCTATCCGATGCCGCGGAAAAATATGAAGCAGGCGGAAATCGAGAGAGGTACGTCTTGTTTCAACCCACTGCGCCAAGTACCTGCTAATGCTTTTGATCAGAAATCAATAACCGAACTGCTTTTATCGATTTCGTCCGCGGTCTGTTGACTATCAACCCGCTTGAACGGTGGTCGCCACAACAGGCCAAGCTACACCCCTTCATCACCCAACAAAAGTTTACGGGGCCGTTTGTACCGCCGATGAACCTGAAATACTCGGCGCTCAGCAAACCGGTGGCTCCTGGGATCCAGCAACAACAGCAGGCCGAAGCGACAAGTAAGCAGAGGGCGGCACAGGCGGCGCAGGCGCAGACCGCCGCGGCGCAGAATGCGTACTCGATGCAGATGAACCAGTTTCATACACCTTCTCATGCGCAGCCGCCGCCCATGTACAACGGCATGTTTACTGGTCACCAGCAGGGTGCTCCCCCACCATACCCAACTCAGCCTCCCGGTTATGGCCACCAGATGAACATGATGCCGGGTCAAATGCCGCAGGCTCAATACGCACCATCGCAGAGTCTGTACGCGCAGGCAACGACGAGGGCCGGTCGCCAACGTGCTTCTACAATGGACCCACAGGGCGGAGGAATTCCGCCTACTATTCAGCGCGTTGCCAGCCATCTCGACCCCAACGCACCCATTCGGTTGCAACCAAGTCCGGCCTATTACCCTCCGCCTCCCGAGGGGTACGTTGACCCTAACGCTGCTAACCAGCGTCGACGAGGAAGCCGTGCCGGTGGCACCCGTAACCGGGATTTCATTCGGACCCTCGAGGACGGCGTGTTAGGAGGTGACGGCTACGTCGCGCCAAACCAATGGCATTGAACGCACAGATGCTAGGCCAGGTTTTAAGGGCACCGACGCGAAGGTGCATCAACATTGTATTATAGTCAGCACACACTCCTGATCAAGAGTGTGCCGAACGCGTTTTTCGTGGGTGATTAGCGCGGGGCTGCTCCAAAATGTCGTCGGCTTCTCGTGGTGATTGGAACCTAGCTTGAACTCTTTAACAGACTTCTATGCTATCAAGTCCCTAACCTCCAGTGTATGGCCCACGGAGGAGTCGATGGTTGTACATCTGTCTGTCGAGATGCATCCGTCCTTTTGTCCTAGGGCGCACGGGATAGCTTCAGATGAAATTACATTGAAGCACCAGGTCAATTTGTCCCTCTCACGGTGCTGCATGACGTGAAATCCGCCCACGGTGACTATTCATCGATTGCCGTGGTCCCTCTCGACGATTACTGCCGGTCTCTTGTTTCTATACTTGAGCTTTCAGAATTTCAGGTGCTCACCTCTAGCTTTACAGCTTTCCCCCATCAACTCCTTTATATTCGCGTATGTGTCTGTTTTCGGCATAGCTTGGAGTCCTTGGAAAGACCGCGATTCAATTCATTTTTATACTCTTCTTAAACCTCCCCCCTTTTTTCTCTTTGTGTTAGTTGTTGCCACTGCATTACGACGTCAAATCTCATGTTATCTGTTTCTCTTTTCTTCAATAGGGCACCGACTGGTATTGCCACTCCGTTTATAACCACCTTCTGTTCTTCTGTTTTGCTTTCTAGCCTCGTATAAATGAAAAAGAGCATTCGTGTAGTAGTTTGGATACCTCGAAGAAATATGGAGACAATGGATAGAATCCTCTAGCTTTTGGGACACTGGGCGCGCTGGACTTGCAGCCCGATAGAAAACATGTCACTCAGCTCCGTAGACCCCAGAGTCCTTTTGTGTATTCCATCGAGTCCCTGACGAGGGATGAAATCTCCACATTTCACCCGATGGAGGCGGAGTCTCGATGACTCTGCCGTGTGGCGCCTCAGGCATCACCTTCCCCATGCGGTTAGGCGCCCACTCGCTTAAATTTCGTGTGTGGCTCGCGCAGACCAATCTGCGGCTCCCGAACCTCACAACTTGATTTTCCTTCCCCAGCGAACAGGCAACCGACTGGTTTAAGGGAATCGCCTAGACCATCTCCATTCGACTGTGCGTCACGCTCGCGTCCCAGGGGCCCGATTATTTCAATTTCGCGACGTTTCTCGATCCGATCACCCGAAAACCCAGCCAAAATGTCGCGTTTCTTCTACGGCGGCGGTAGCGACAGCGACAGCAGCTCCTCCGACGAGGAGGAGCTTTACAGCGATCGTGAGGAGGAAAAGCAGTCGGAGGAAGAGTCCAGCGAGGAGGAAGACTCGTCGGAGGCCGAGTCCGAGGATGAGGCCGGTGGTGAAACCGGTGCCAACCGTTTCTTGAGGAACGTCTCGGAGAGCGAGGAAAGTGAGGATGAGGAGAAAGTGACGGTCGTCAAGAGTGCCAAGGACAAGCGACTGGAGGAACTTGAGGGCACCGTCAAGTTGATCGAAAATGCCGAGAAGATCAACGACTGGGCCGTGATCTCCGCCGGTGCGTTTTTTTGCAGGGAACAATGAAAACAATGGGATTCGTGTACTGACCTGGAATTCTCAGAGTTTGACAAGTTGAACCGCCAGATCGTCAAGGTTCTTCAGTCCGGCCCGACCCCCAAGATCTACATCAAGACCGTTGCGGACCTGGAGGATCTCGTCAACGAGACTATCGTCAAGCAGAAGTCCTCGAACAAGAAGATGAACACGAGCAACGCCAAGGGATTCAACGCCGTCAAGCAACGTATCAAGAAGAACAACAAGGAATACGCCACCCAGGTTGAGAAGTACCGTGAGAACAAGGATGCCTACATGGACAGTGATGAGGAGGCCACCAAGCCCGCTGCTGCCGCCCCCCGGCCGGTCAAGGCCAAGGTTGAGCGTGTCGAGGCGCCCGCCGCCGTTTCTGCTGCTGACGATGATGGCTTCGCTACCGTTGGCCGCGGCGGCAAGACTCTCCAGTACACCCCCGAGAGTATTCTCAAGCACCTCCGCGTGATTGTCGAATCCCGCGGAAAGAAGAACACAGACCGCCTTGAGCAGATCCGAACGATGGAGAAGCTTTTGGAAGTCTCCCAGTCTCCCTACCAGCGTATCCGTGTCTACCTCACCCTCATCTCGACCCGTTTCGACCTTACCTCTTCATCCTCCGCGAACTACATGAGCATCGACCAGTGGAAATTTGCTGAACAGGAATTCACCACTCTTCTTTCCGTCCTCGAGGGCAACCCCGACTACGTCGTCGCCGAAGGTGCCGAAGAATGGGAGGATGATGAGAAGCAGCCCCAGCCCAGCAACGGCGAGAAGGTCTACATCCCCGGCAGCATGGTTTCCTACGTTGAACGACTTGATGACGAGCTCACCCGGTCTTTGCAACATATTGACCCTCACACCTCTGAGTACATCGAGCGACTGAGCGATGAAAAGCAGCTTTACACCTCCATCGTCCGCGCCCAGGCCTACGTTGAAGGTCTCACCAAGTCCGACAAGAGCGACCCCCGACAGGACAGCCTGAACCGCGTGGTCATGAGGAGATTGGAACACATCTACTTCAAGCCTTCTCAGGTTGTTACGATTCTGGAGGAGGGCACCTGGAAGACGCTGCACTCCGGCCTGGACTCCGCCATCACCCCTCGCAACCAGACGGGCGATGTGACGAGCCTTGTTCAAACTCTCTGCAGCTACCTCTTCAAGTTCAGCGATGGCATCATCAGAGCGCGTGCCATGCTGTCCCAGATCTACTTCCTTGCCCTGCACGACCAGTACTACCGCTCGCGTGACCTGATGCTCATGTCTCACCTTACGGAGAGCATCTCGAACTTCGATGTCAGCACCCAGATTCTTTTCAACCGCACTCTGGTCCAGATCGGTCTCTGCGCTTTCCGGGCCGGCCTTATTTACGAGGCTCAGAACACTCTGTCCGAAGTCTGCGGTAGCGGCCGCCAGAAAGAGCTCCTTGCCCAGGGCATCATCCTCCAGCGTTACTCGACTGTGTCGCCGGAGCAAGAGCGTCTTGAGCGTCAGCGCCAGCTGCCCTTCCACATGCATATCAACCTGGAACTCCTCGAGTGCATCTACCTGACATCCAGCATGTTCCTCGAGGTTCCTCTGATGGCCCAGACTTCTTCTTCCCCCGAGATGAAGCGCCGTGTCATCTCCAAGACTTTCCGCCGTATGTTGGACTACAACGAGCGACAGGTCTTCACCGGCCCTGCCGAGAACACTCGTGATGGTGTCATCATGAGTGCCAAGTTCCTTGCCGCTGGTGACTGGAAGAAGGCCGCCGAGATGCTTGGCTCTATCAAGATCTGGGACCTGATGCCCCAGCCTGACAAGATCAAGGAGATGCTGTCCCAGCAAATCCAGGAGGAGGGTCTGCGCACCTACCTGTTCACCTACGCTCCCTTCTACGACAGCGTGGCTATCGGCACTCTGGCCAACATGTTCGAACTCCCCGAGAAGAAGATTGCTGCTATCATCAGCCGTATGATCTCCCACGAAGAGCTGGCTGCTGCCCTTGACCAGGTCAACGGCGCCATTGTTTTCCGCAAGGGTGTCGAGCTGTCTCGTCTCCAGTCCCAGATCGTCACTCTTGCCGACAAGTCTATGAACCTCCTGGAGGCCAACGAGAAGACGCTCGAGCAGCGCACTCAAGGCATGGCCAACGCCTTCCAGCGCGATCAGGGCGCCGGCGCCCGTGGTGGCCGCGGTCCTGGGCGCGGTGGTCAGGCCCGTGGTGGCCCCCGACTACCTGGCGGTCAACAAGGCCGTCGCCCTGGCGGACAGCAGTTCGGTGGTGGTGCATTGGGTGGAGCTATCAAGGCATAAAAAATGTTAGTAATGGCATTCATATCTTTTCATGGTTTTAATGCTCCTCTTGGAATTTAACTGCGTATGATCCCATGTGCTTTTATTATGGCTTTATTTTCATCTTTCTTTTTTTTTTCACTTACGGCAGAGGATGTCCTCATCTCTTTTCTTTTCTTTCCGTCTTGCATACAGTCTTGCTACAATTTACAGATGAGTCTTATTGAATTATATGAGGGAATGAAAAGAACGTGGGAATAAAAATTTCAAATACATTTCGAGAAATTTGCCCAAAGCTGTAGTGCAGTGTAGCTGAAGGTGTCCATTTGCGATGTGTCTTTCTAAATTAATAACTAGAATTCTTTGTTTGATGGGGTATATTCTGTAGAAATGCAAAGCTCCGGATCTTCGACCGGATCTTAAGGTCGTAGAGTCCCGGTGCTGCATCAAGGCTTGGAAGTATAATGATGAACCATTCTTTTCCAGCATTTTCACACGGATCGGTGCACTAGCGTTAAGTTACGCCGAGTCTTGGGACAAACACTGACGAGGTGGGTCGTGATACATTATATATCTAACCCACTCGCGTTACTGTCGGTTGAATCTGAGGAAGCACTTGGAGAATGTCGACCCAAAATATTCAACAGTTCATCAATAGAGTAAGCAGGTTCAACCACTATCATCAAGCAGATTCTGTGGTGACCAGTATTCATTCTCTTCGGCCTGGGCATCGAGCCAGACTAATCCATCGGCCAACAGATCATCAATGACGGTCTGGGCCCGCGCTTTCTCCCAGTTCAAATTCAGCCGCAACATAGATATGCTCACGTATCCTAGAACTTGTATAGCCTCCAGCACGGTGGCTTGATCTGTGTTGAGCTCCTTGGGAACCGATCGGATATATTGCTTGCTGCCAACTCGGACAATAGAGAAGCCAGAGCCCAGAGGCTCAAGCGATTTCACAGCACGGAGGACATCATCACTAGATCACGGAAATATTAATCACGGCCCACTTACTTACTTCTACCCGGGTGGGGGAAGAGGGGGTTCGAGATGCGCATACTCCGTAACTTCAAGACCACTCCCGATAGCTTTCCCTTTGCCTACTCGTTTTCGACACTCCTCGACGCCGAGTAGCCCACCGTTCTCACTGCGCGTGTCCCGACACAGTCCCACGACTCGAACTGCAACCTCGAAGTAGAAATCGTTCATGTCCCCGCCCATGATCTGCGTCCAGAAGCTGCCCGAGTCGCCCAGCGCTTTGCGTGCATTTTTCCCCTTTACGTTACTTGCAGCGAGCGGGTCGACTCCGATTGTGTTGCACATTCGTGCGAACTCAGCCCGGAATGTGGGGTTTGACTTGATGGTTGAGCTGTGCTCCAGCGCGAAGCTATGAAGGAGGGACTGGAACACGGAGAGCTGTGTTTGGAGGGAGGAGAGGTGGGTGGAGCGAAGGGTGGCACCATGGTTGGCGTAGGACTGGCTGGCTTGGGTTCGATTGGCAAAGGCCCCTAGGCCGACACCTCGGCGGGAGGACATGGTTTAGATGGTGATGGCAGATTATCTGGACGACGGAGGACTACACGGGCCTTCTGGGGATGCGGTGATATCAGTCCCGGTTCTTATCGGCGTCGGTCAGCTGACGGACCATACCCTAAGCAGAAGATAAGGGCATAGCTTACCTAAGCATGCGTTTGCCAAGATATGCTGGTCCCATCAGGCTAGCCGCAGATGGACTAGGGCCACCCGACCGCCCACAACCGATTTTCTCTCTTAAAGCAGATTTCCTTTTGAATTCTCTTCACCACGACAGCCCTCGCCAACCGCCCAACTCGCGAACTCTTACGGACCGTCGCAATGGCCTCGACTGCTACGTATGCTTCCCTTATATGATCCCTTCCGCTCGATTCGTCGCACGAGTCTGTAAGGATTGGGGTCATAGTCGTCCTTCTCGCTGGAGATGCTGCGGTTGAAAAAAACTGCTAAGCACCAGCTCGATATTTCCCGCGACCATCGTCTCGCTCCATGAGCTCGCATCTACACACTGTTAGACGCAAAGAATTGGAATTGAGAATGGGTCTGGGGTATTGGGGTTGAAAGCCATGCTGCCTTCTCTCTAAAAAACATTGTTGTCGGCTATCGCTTCCTTTCTCTGGTCTGGGTCATCCGGACTTGTAGAGATGGGGACGAACAGCGTCAGCACTTATTCCCGAACGTTATGTTTGGGGTTTTGTCGGCTGAGGATAAAGAAAGTGCTCGTGTCTATGATGGATTGCAATGCCAAATGCTGGAATATGCTTGGCCGCGATCGTGACCAGCCTTTTGCCTCACCGATTAAATTGATGTCGTCGAGTGCTTTCTTTTAGCCTTCAGTTTGAGAATGTGGCACTATGGCTGCAGTTCTTACACTCGGCGAAGTTTTGGCCTTGTCTGATTGCCATGGACGGACTCAACTGACCTCCAACAGCACCGTCCCCACCAACAACCAGGTGCTGGTCCCCGAGACCCTCCTGAAGAAGCGCAAGAGCCAGGAGCAGGCTCGCGCTGTTGCCCGTGAGGAGGCCCAGAAGAAGAAGGAGGTTAGTATATCCAAATTCTTTCAGTTTTCACTTTTATTTTTTTCGATGATTACAACACACCACTACGCGACTAGACCAAAAGGTCGATGCTGTCGCTTCGTTAACCATCTTTCGGGGCTGAGACACATTACTTTACCACTTGTTTTGCATCAAGTTGATGAAATGTTCTTCTTGCTAACGGAGAACTCCAGGCCAACAAGCAGAAGCGTGCTACCATCTTCAAGCGCGCCGAGTCCTACGTCAAGGAGTACCGCGATGCTGAGCGTGAGAAGATCCGTCTCGGCCGTGTTGCCCGCAAGGACGGTAACTTCCAGGTCGAGGACGAGGCCAAGCTGGTCTTTGTTATCCGTATCAAGGGGTATGTCATCTTCGATCTCACCGCATGGATCTTTTCCAGTACTAACTATCATCCAGTATCAACAAGATCCCTCCCCAGCCCCGTAAGATCTTGCAGCTGCTCCGTCTGCTCCAGATCAACAACGGTACCTTCATCCGTCTCTCCAAGGCCACCCAGGAGATGTTGACCATCATCAACCCCTACATCGCCTACGGATACCCCAACCTCAAGTCCATCCGTGAGCTTGTCTACAAGCGCGGTTACGGCAAGGTTGACAAGCAGCGTGTTGCCCTCACCGACAACCAGATCATCGAGGAGAACCTCGGCAAGTACGGCATCGTCTGTATGGAGGATCTGATCCACGAGATCTACACCGTCGGCCCCAACTTCAAGCAGGCCAACAACTTCCTGTGGCCCTTCAAGCTCTCCAACCCCACCGGTGGCTTCCACACCCGCAAGTTCAAGCACTTCATCGAGGGTGGTGACTACGGTAACCGTGAGGAGAACATCAACGCTCTCATCCGCCAGATGAACTAGATTTCTTTCTGTTCGTTGGGCGATGGCAGTTCTCTAGGTTGTCTGGGTTATGGGCTCATTTTCTCGGTTAGCGGTATAATGGTCTGGATCCAGGTACTCAAAAATTAAAAAGCTTAGGCAACCTTACTTTGTTTCTTATTGTAAATCTTGTAGATATTTACCATTGTTCTAATAGCGATATACTTTGATCATTCAGTGTTGACTACATGAAAATTTTTAAAAGTCGGTCTCGGCCAAGGCGTCCATGTGCATGGACCAACAAACATAGCACATTGAATGCTTAAGAGCTTCACCAAGTTGATGTTTTACATTAGCATTATTTCACCTGATGAGAACATTTTGCTGTTCTGTTCGTGTCTTCCAAGGTATATTTTGTAAAAAATGCATAGTTGAGTTAATGAATCAGTCGGTCCTAAGTAAATATATTTCCGCATATCTGAAGGCGGATATATACATCTATAGAGCTATCTACAAGAAGGCCCCCCCCCCCCAATTTAATAACCCTTCTATCATCAGCACCTTAAAGCTAAATTCTAATAACCTCTTGGACTCGCCTATTTCGATCAACCACCAAACGAAGCTGTCTTCCCTGCCAGGGTGCAGACGAAGTGCTGGCGGTCGTTGCGTGGGGAGTCGGCTTGAAGACGCCTTCGCGGAGGGTTTCGGTGAAGAGTTCGTAGGAGGGATAATCTGGCCGAGTGGTTAGGGCGTGCCTGGTTCTGTATTTTATCAGGTGCATGCTTACAGCCGTCAACGAAATGAGTGACTTGTTCTGGTGTCATTCCTGTTCCTTTCGCGGCACGGAGAGTCCTCTCTTGTTCCTGGCGCCAGTCATAGACGTAATGGGAGTCGTGAGCGTCGCTTTGACATGGTTAGCCCGAGTTCAGTCTCATGGGAGTATCCCGGGGTCGAACATACATGTGAATCAGCGCATCTAATTGACTACGCACATCACTATCGTCAGTAGACAGAGCTGTAGGCTGCAAGGCGAGTCTGAAACTTACTCAGTGATGAGATCGTACGCGCGCAAGGCATCATTGACAGTCTTGACATCTTCAAATCGCACATGTCCTAGACGTCCGTTATACTCCCCTTGCTCCTTCTGCCGGACGGCAGCCTCCCATTTCTCGCGCAGGGTTGCGTCATCCCATGCGCGGAACCCGACACACCAACCCTCGAAGATGACCACTTTGACTTCATCCTGCCCCGGTTGATTGACGACCTCCCACTGCGACTGCGGGACCCGATCGCCTTGACCGGAGAATGCGGACTTGTCGTACTGCGGGATGGCGGTGGGGCGACCGGCGCGAAGGGATTCAAATACCTGGGTCGCCAAAGGCAGATCATGAGTCGCGGGCTGACCGCGATGCTGGAGAAGGGGGTTTGAAGGGAATGATTGCGCTAGGGTGCGCTGGCCGTCGTGCGTGAGGTACAGATCATCGAGGGAGAGAGTCACGACGGGGAGAGAGTATGGCGGGGACCGCAACGTCGATTGGAGAGTGGAAACCTGGCGATGGGATGTACGGTGGTTAGTCAGACGGGGCTGATCTATTGAATGTTATATCGCCGTGAGGGAACCGACATACTAGCACTGTTTTGCCGGCTCCTTGGACGCCGTTCAGGCCCAGGAAGAACGGAGGGGTGGGGTCGTTCCCATATCGGGCCTGGTGGGCTTTTAATCGCTCGAGTAGGAAAGGAATACAGTGTTCAGATTTGTCGTCGATGATTTCGGGCATGGTGCGCGACGAGCAGCGTTGGAAATCTCTAGTTGATCTGGAGTGTTTGATAAAGTAACAAGAACACTGTTGATGGGGAGACCGATGGATGATGTATATGTCGGAGTAAAGCCGAGCGGGCGGAATCTGGAGAAGGTTCTGCCACGGCGTTTACCCACTCCGCCGGACTTGTTCTCGTCCGAGACGCTGCACCTCCTCCAGGTCGGACTATGTCAGGCCGAAGACGACTGCGGATTGGTATTTCTATCGATTGAATGGCCACTCAATAGAAGTAATCCGTACTGATGAATGAATTCCGTTGGGTTGGACTCAAGAGGCGCTCAGGGCCCATCGCATGGTCGCTTTTATAACCAGCTGATTGGCTCCGTCCTTGGATATCAGCATGAAAATGGGCAAACGAAACGGACAGAATGTCAGTCGCATTGACCCACGGAGTATACCAAGGTTTCATGCCATAATGAAGAGAAGAAAAGCAAGCGACTGGGATATAGATACATACGCTAAACCCAATCCAGCCCTAGCGCCAGAGGGACCTGCTTATGTCACCGCGGGCAAGCAATCTTTTTCTAGATACCCCGCCAGATGCCCGTCGCTGTTATAGCGGTTGTATAGTCTCCTGTCTCCTGCCAATCGATATTACCCCTACACCTGTCACCCCTATCACCATGGCTGCCACTCTCCCCGCCTACAAGACCGCTTTCCTGGAGTCCTGCCTCTCCGCCAATGTCCTGACCTTTGGCACCTTCACCCTCAAGTCCGGTCGTCGTATGTGCTACACTACAGCCTGCCCAACTTTTAAATTCCGGTCGTACTCTGCTAATCGGCGTCATAAGACTCTCCCTACTTCTTCAACGCCGGAACCTTCCACACCTCTGCGCTCCTCTCCGCCCTCTCCACCGCCTATGCCCACACCATCGTCTCTTTCCTCGCCGCGAACCCCTCCATCCCGAAACCCGATGTGATCTTCGGGTAAGCCCATAGATTCCTCCCGTGCTATAATAATCATGGACACGTAAATTGACTGGAATCCACTCAGTCCCGCTTACAAGGGCATCCCTCTTGCCTGTGCAACCCTCCTCGAACTCCACCGCCTGGACCCCGAAACCTGGGCGAACGTCTCCTACAGCTACAACCGCAAGGAGGCCAAGGACCACGGCGAGGGCGGCAACATCGTCGGCGCCGCATTGAAGGACAAGAACGTCCTGGTCATTGACGACGTCATCACCGCGGGTACCGCCATGCGGGAAACGCTGGACCTCGTGGCCAAGCAGGGCGGCACCGTCGTGGGCTTTGCCGTCGCGCTGGACCGACTGGAGAAGATGCCCGGACCCAAGGAGAAGGAGGGCATCGATGACGGCGAGCCTCGCATGAGTGCTATGGGACAGATCCGACGCGAGTACGGCGTGCCGACGACGAGCATCGTCACCCTGGAGGATCTGATCGTGCTGTTGAAGAACAAGGGAGACGAGGGTGATTTCACGAAACTGGAGGAGTACCGCAAGAGATACCAGGCCAGTGATTAGATTCCGGTCTACAGAATATATATGGAATAGTGGAGAAATTGACTCGATCAACATGATGCCATGGATTGTGTATTCGATATCACTGCCGGCCGAGAGTAGGAGTAGGTCGTGGTTGGCTTTTAGAGTGTTTATTCCCCGTAATTGGCTGAGAGTTCTACATCCTTATATCTCTCTTTGTACTGTGATTTGCTAGGTCAGTTAGTATTAAGATCGTTACTAGCACTCCTTACTGCTACTAATGGCTGATGCATATTATGTATGCACGATAAATGACTAATACAACCAATATCAATGCACAAGAATAATGCCGACACCGGCACATGGCGCATCGCGGAACCCCGGAGATCGAGTCTTCAGTGCGGGTCCTGCAGGATTTGGGGAGTGGCTCTACTCTGTACGTGGCAGGACAGTTGTCTGCAATGGACGAAAACGAAGACTTTCGTAGCACATTATTTTCATTATGTACCGAGTATATAATAATAGAAAATATTCTGTTTCTGTTTATTGTGCGATCACCAGATGATCTCTACCAAATTGGTCGTCGTGGTTGCGATCGTTAGTGCCTGTTGGGACCTTGTATCCGCTGGTTACGGAGTACTACTAGTACGGACTGAGTCGAGGAGCACCTGAGGTCGACAGTCACGGACTGGAGGCATACCAGGTTAACCTCGGGGGTCCTGGTCACTCCGCAAGACGTAAGAATCAGGTAATCACAAATTCCGGGGAATCGCTGGCTGGCCATGATTCTCAGGCAGCGCATCGGCATGTGAAGGCGGATCATCTGCCCGGCCAGATTCGGCTTGGCGCGTGGGTCCCAAACCTCCGAGCTTCACCTGCGAAGATGCCGAGGTTCAGCTTGCCGAGCCCTGCGACCGTCCGTTGTGTCTCCTCAGATCCCAAGGTCTTCTTCAACTCTGCTCTCCCCCAGACTTTCCCCCGTCTTTGTAATTTCCCCTTCTCCCTCACATTATAATCTTCTCTAGCCTTGTCTCTTTTTACTATTCGCTTTCCCTCTCTTTAATCTTCATCCCCTTTTCTCCGATACCGACTGAACTTGAACCTCCCCTCCTCTCCCTCCTTTAAATCTTGTCCAGAATGTCTGAGCTTCGCTTTGACAATCAGACCGTCGTTGTGACGGGTGCCGGCGGTGGTCTGGGAAAGGCATATGCTCTTTTCTTTGCGTCGAGGGGTGCGAATGTCGTCGTGAACGACTTGGGCGGATCTCATGCCGGCGACGGCAAGTCGTCAAAGGTAACGTCCCCACCCTTGAGGTCACACATGCGCTTGCAACTCCAGACGAACTAACGTGTGAGTTTGAATTAGGCTGCGGACGTGGTAGTTGACGAGATCCGAGCCGCCGGCGGCAAGGCCGTTGCCAACTATGACAGCGTTGAGAATGGTGACGCTATCATCGATACCGCCATCAAGGCCTTTGGCCGCATCGATGTCCTCCTCAACAATGCCGGTATCCTGCGTGATGTCAGCTTCAAGAACATGAAAGACCAGGACTGGGATCTCATCAACCGGGTCCACACGTATGGTGCCTACAAGGTAAAGATTTCCGCGCCTTCCTACATGCACCTTCATGGGTTGACACGTATATCCTCTATAGTGCGCAAGAGCTGCATGGCCCCACTTCCGGAAACAAAAGTATGGTCGCGTTATCAACACTGCCTCTGCAGCCGGCCTCTTCGGCAGTTTCGGTCAGGCCAACTACTCCGGTGAGTGTCTTTCAGAGCCTGCGAGCACCAGTCATGGGAGCTAACAAAAGCAGCGGCCAAACTTGGCCAGGTCGGTTTCACCGAGACCCTCGCTAAGGAGGGCGCCAAGTACAACATCATCGCCAACGTCATTGCTCCTATTGGTATGTTGAGAATAAGTCATTCGTGGCGCACAACATGCGATGGCTGACCGGATAAATAGCCGCTAGCCGTATGACGGCCACCGTTATGCCCCCCGATGTTCTGGAAAACCTCAAGCCCGACTGGGTTGTGCCGCTGGTGGCTGCCTTGGTCCACTCTTCTAACACTACCGAATCTGGCGGAATCTACGAAGTCGGTGGTGGTCATGTGGCCAAGCTACGCTGGGAACGGGCCAAGGGCGCTCTGCTGAAGGCCGATGCGTCGTTGACCCCCGGTGCTATTGCTCGCAAGTGGAACGACGTCAACAACTTCTCGCAGCCCGAATATCCCACGGGCCCCGCTGACTTCATGTCTTTCTTGGAGGATGGTCTGAAGCTTCCCAGTGCCCAGGCAGGACAGGAGCCTGATTTTAAGGGCAAGGTTGCCCTCGTCACCGGTGGTGGTGCCGGGTATGTATTAAGCAAACCGGTTTTAATCGAAGTGAAGCATGGATGCTAACGTGTGCTAGTCTCGGCCGTGCATACTGCTTGCTGTTTGCCAAGCTCGGCGCTGCCGTGGTGGTGAACGACCTTGTCGACCCTGAGCCCGTCGTTAAGGAGATTAAGCAGCTTGGTGGACAGGCCGTTGGTAACAAGGCCTCGTGCGAGGACGGCGATGGCGTCGTCAAGTCTGCCATCGATGCTTTTGGACGAATCGACATCCTGGTCAACAACGCCGGTATCCTGCGCGACAAGGCCTTCACCAACATGAACGATGACCTGTGGAACTCCGTAGTCAACGTTCATCTGCGTGGTACCTACAAGGTTACCAAGGCCGCTTGGCCCCATATGCTCAAGCAGAAGTATGGCCGTATCGTCAACACTGCGAGCACCAGCGGTATCTACGGTAACTTTGGACAGGCCAACTACGCTGCGGCGGTATGACTCCTTGTCTTGTTATCCTATTGTTGAACCTTTGCTAATGGTTTGTTCTCATGCAGAAACTTGGTATCCTCGGCTTCTCCCGGACTCTCGCCCTTGAGGGAGCCAAATACAACATCAAGGTCAACACGATCGCTCCTAACGCGGGTACCAACATGACCCGTACTATCATGCCCGAGGAGATGGTCCAGGCCTTCAAGCCCGACTACGTTGCCCCTCTTGTGGTGCTTCTTTGCTCCGACATCGTGCCCGAGCCTTCCACCAAGGGTCTGTACGAGTGCGGCAGCGGTTGGTTCACTCGCACCCGCTGGCAGCGTACCGGTGGTCACGGATTCCCCGTGGACGTCAAGCTGACCCCCGAGGAGGTTGTCAAGCACTGGAAGGAGATTGCCAACTTCGACGACGGCCGTGCCGACCACCCCGAAGACGGCCAGGCCGGCGCCGAAAAGATCATGGCCAACATGAGCAACCGTGCTTCCGAGGGTGGTAATAACATCCTGCAGGCAATCGAGAAGGCCAAGCAGAGCTCCAGCGAGGGATCCCCCTTCAACTATGTCGACCGCGACATCATTCTCTACAACCTCAGCTTGGGTGCGAAGCGCACCGACCTTCCCTTGGTGTACGAGAACAACGAGCATTTCCAGGCTCTTCCCACCTACGGTGTGATCCCCTGGTTCAACACTGCCACCCCCTGGAACACGGAGGACATCGTTGCCAACTACTCTCCGATGATGCTGCTGCACGGCGAGCAGTACATGGAAGTCCGCAAATTCCCCATCCCGACCGCGGCCGACACCTTGACCTACCCCAAGCTCATCGACGTGGTTGACAAGGGCAACGCCGCTTTGGTTGTCGCCGGCTTCACGACCAAGGACGCGAAGTCTGGTGAGGACCTCTTCTACAACGAGTCCACCGTCTTTATCCGCGGCAGCGGTGGCTTTGGCGGATCGCCCAAGCCTACGGCCGCCCGCCCCAAGGCAGCTACTGCGGCCTACAAGCCTCCCCAGCGCAAGGCGGATGTGGTTGTCGAGGAGAAGACTTCCGAGGACCAGGCTGCGCTGTACCGCCTTAACGGTGACCGCAACCCTCTCCACATCGACCCTGAGTTCAGCAAGGTGGGTGGCTTCAAGACCCCCATCCTGCACGGACTTTGCTCCCTGGGTGTCGCCGGCAAGCACGTCTTCAGCAAGTTCGGCGCCTTCAAGAACCTGAAGGTCCGGTTTGCCGGCGTGGTCCTGCCGGGCCAGACCCTCAAGACTGAGATGTGGAAGGAGGGCAACGTTGTCCTCTTCCAGGCCACCGTCGTGGAGACCGGCAAGCCGGCCATCACCGGTGCCGGAGCTGAGTTGCTGGAGGGAGCCAAGGCCAAATTGTAAAATAATCACGTCCCACTACGCGCATGGGCAGAGTGATCAAATTGTGTATATAGATTATGACGGTTATTTGACCTGGTTTGTTGTTTCATGATTCAAATGAGTACTTGTGTGACTAGGCTACCAGAATGGTATATTTCTTCTGCATCTGAATAAGGAGATAGACTAGAGATCGTAGCAATTGCATGATCTCGACAGATATCGACTCGTATGACCACTGGACCAGCAGTTCCTGTCAGCCGGAGGATCTCGTGCCCTCTGCGTATTGTCATGTAACGTAACGCAGGCGTACTGGAACCCTCCGGCATTCCATCTCGCTTTCTCTCCCTTCATCCTCATCCTCATCGTCACTTTTCTCCTCAAATCTTTCTGCCCTCTCAGAGTGCTCCCTGTCCATTTTCTTCTTCTTTTTTTTTTTCTTCTGCAGACCGATCATGTAGCAACGTCTTTCCCTCGACGCAACGATGGTGCTCTCACTACCTGTCCCTAGCTTTAGATCCTCGACCACCTCCCCCCCGCTTCCTGCGGGCGACAACCATCAATCCGCCACCATCACCGAAGCCTTGCGCAATAATCCGTTCGGAATAACCTTACGATCTCGCTCTGCCACCGCGGCCACAGCTTCCCCCGCCCCCGACAAGACGCAAGACCAAAAAGAGCTCAACGATGCGCTGGAAACGTTGGCTCGAATATTCCCCGACGTGAAGATCGAAGTGTTTCGGGAACTTCTGGTGCGGTTCGACGGGCTCAGTCGGCTGCAGGTGTGTGTGGAACAACTGCTGCGTCATAAAGAGGAATGGGTAGCAGGGCGATGGAATGTGCCGACGGCGTCTGCGGGGAGCGGGGATGATGCCGTCGTTCCTTCCCCCCTGGACGCGGGCGGCGAGGAGGGAGGAGTTCCTCGTAACGAGCTGTTCCGAACAGACGAATACAAAGCATCTGTGAAATCCGCCCTGTCCAAGGAATTCAGCAGCCTCAGCAAGAGCGCCGTGGACGCGGTGCTGGCCGAAGTGAACTTCTGCTACATTCGAGCGCGACCGACTCTACGTGACCTGGCGAGCAAGACCTGGCGAGCGACTTTCAACAGCATGTTTCCGTTCAAAAACAAGAAAGACAAGCAAGATCATCCTCTCGTTCTCTGGAAGCGCCAGCCCGACGGTGAACTGGGCCCTATTCTTAAAGACACCGGGTGCGGGGAGCTGAATCGAGAATTACATGAAGCATTGGTAGCACCCATGCTCCGAACAAGACGCGAGGAACGGGAAGCTAGAGATCTTTCCCTGGCGGAGAAACTGAATGAACTCGAAGCTACGGCCGCGAATGCGATTTACGAATGCGAATGCTGTTTGATGGAGGTTACTTTCGAGCGCATTTCGACCTGTTCGGACAATTCGCATGTTATCTGCTATGGCTGCATCCAGCGTACGGTGCAGGAAGCTGTATTTGGTCAGGGCTGGAGTAAATCCGTGGATGTTGGAAGGGCGACCCTGAAATGCATCGCACCATTTGGCCATGAGGCTTGCCATGGGAACCTGAATTCGGAGATTGTCAAGCGAGCCGTCTTCCTAGATAAGGCGGGATCCGAGACCTACCTCAAATTCGAAGGTCGGCTTGCCTCGGAGGCTCTTCTCAAGTCCCAGTTGAAATTAATCCGCTGCCCCTGTTGCTCGTACGCTGAAGTTGACTCCGCCTACCATTGCCCCCCCGAAGGAATTAAATGGCACTTTCGCCGTCAGAATGTCGGCGATACGATCATTTTGATTCTAATATTACTCGATTTGATACCACTGCTCCTGATACCAGTGCTGGTCCTGTTCTTGATCGACCCTGCCCTTGTTCCCATGATCCTACGCAATGCTGTGCTCAGCTTGTGCTTGAAAGCTCGCCGCAAGACGTTCAACTGCTCAAACCCGGCCTGTCGACGGATCAGCTGCATCGACTGCCAGAAGCCCTGGCGTGATCCGCATGTTTGCCACGAACCATTATTACTCGACTTGCGCGCCACCGTGGAGGCTGCTCGGACAGCTGCGGTGAAGCGTACCTGCCCTCGATGTGGACTGTCATTCGTCAAATCTTCGGGCTGCAACAAACTGACTTGCGTGTGTGGCTATTCGATGTGCTATCTTTGTCGTAAGGGCCTGAGCCCTCCATTGAATGCCGCAGACCGGCGAGGTCGTGCTCGACGGCGTCGGGAGGGAGGGATGTTCAACCAGGAAAATATCTTCCCCGTAGGAAGAGCATTGCCGATGCTTGAAGCGGAGAATGAAGAACCAGATTCGGATGAGGACGAATCCGAAATACTTGAAGGATATCGACATTTCTGTGAACATTTCCGCCTGACCCCGGGATCTCGGTGCTCGGAATGCACAAAATGCGAACTATACCAAGACGTGGACGAAGAAGCCGTGGCACGCCGTGCTGGTGAGAAAGCGGAGCGCGAATGGAATATGCGACAAGGCACCTCCGAGGCCGGCGTCGGTGCGTTGCACGTCAACAATGACTTTTCAATGATAGAAGGCAAGGGCCGAGGTCGAAAACTGCACGGCAAGGGTTGCAGCTACTGGCTGAATGAAGTGTGGCTCGAAGGGCGATGGAAGACTGAAGGGCAGGCTTTTGTCAACTGGCTCGTGGAGCAAACAATTGTTATCGAAGACATTTGAGATTTCTTCGTTAGAACCTCTCAATATCGTGTGGGTTTCTGTTTCTGCTTTTAGCTTTTGGGACACTCTTGATTCTGATTTCCCCACTCAGCTCTTTTGCTCATGTTTTATCATAGTATTGGCGTTGCTTGGTGGCCGGGGTAAACAAAAGGGTTTTGGATGTTTTTCTACTTTCTTTTTTGGGTTGACTTGGGATCAACATTGACGATGTGATGAGATACGACATTCCTTTCTATAATGACCTGGCTTCAGCTCTGAATTAATATGATCAGTTTATTGCTTCCGTTAGTTTCTGGTTTCCTCCTCGTCTGAGCCCTCTCCCTTGATCCTCTTTCTTCCCTCCTGCTTCAGTTTCTCGTCATCGTCCCGGTTTAACGACACTTGCGGCATTAACCAAACAGCCAAGAAAAAGGCCAGTGTCGACAAAGCTGCGCCGATAATGAAGATGATGCGAAATCCTTTTTGATACGCCGGGATCAACAAGGAGCGAGCGTGATCCGCTTCATCGGCAGGGAGCTGGGACAGGTAGTTCTGGGGACTCGACAGGAAGGATCGTTTTTCGGAATCGCTCAGTCCCAGAGACGACACCGCGGAGGAAATGAGGTTGTTTCTGGATTCCGTAAGTGTTTGAGACCTGTGGGCTGGGTGTCCGGCACTTACATGATTGTTCCAGCAATAGCGAGGCCAAGTGTACCGCCGAGATTTCGGATGAAGCTGTCGAAAGTCAGCCTTGTGTGATCTCAGAGTAGTGGGAGAAGACATACTTTCGGAATGACGTGACAACGGCCATTTCTCGACGGTCAACTCCAGCCTGTACTGCTATGAGGGCACTATTGGACCCGGTCAGCCATGTTTCAGCGGATCTTGAGGTCGGGGATTTACGGTTGCAAGGTATTTCCCACTCCAACACCGGTCAATATACCATATCCAATCTGCTTCCCTAGTCCTGAAGATTTGTCCAAAGTCGAAAAGAGACCCAGGCCTACGGCCCAGATCATCCAACCAAAGAGAATGCACTCCCTATACCGGCCTACCCAGTGGACTACAAGGCCGGAGACCGTACTACTAACGGCTTGAGAATGTCAGCTTCATGAATTATAGCACAGGGTAGAAAGGGGAGTAAAGGTACTTTGCATAAGAGTGATAGGAAGGAGCATCGTTCCCGCCTTCACGGTGGAGTACTCGAAGACAAGTTGATAGAAGGTGGGGATATAATAGACCTGGACGAGGAAATTCCACCCGTTCACAAACATGGTAAGACACGCGCCGTTGACAATGCGCGATGTGAAAATCCGCATTGGCACCAGGGGAACTGACGTGCCCTTCCACTGCCAGAGGACGAATGCAACACAAATGGCGAAACCCACCACGAGAGTGGCGATTACATGTGCCGACTGCCATGGATACTCACCTCCACCCCAGGTTAAACCCAGCAGCAGGACGGCCGTGCCACCGAGGGCGAGAACCACGCCAAAGAAGTCGATCGCCTTAAGCTTGACCTTCCAGTCACCCGTGACCTTGCGCAGTGGCATGAAGAAGAGCACACTCAGTGTGGTGATTGCAGTGAGGGGAAGGTTGAGACGGAAAATCCAGCGCCATGAATCTTCGCTGATCGAGGCCAGGGCACCTCCAATTACTGGACCGATGCCGTTGGCGAGGGCGACGACCGCACCTAGGATTCCCTGGTATTTGCCTCGCTCACGCAGCGGAACCACGTCGCTGACAATCATCTGCGCAACGGTCATGAGGCCACCACCACCGACACCAGTGAAGGCTCGGAAGATGATGAGTTGTGTCGCGGTTTGAGCCAACGAGGCGGCCAGGGACCCGAAAAAGAAGATGCCCAGGCCAGCGAAGAGAACCAGCTTGCGCGACCAGACGTCGGAGAGTCGGCCATACAAGAGTTGGAAGCAGGTAGACGTGCTGGGAAGCGGGTCAGATAACATATTCCACAAAAGGATGTGACTTACACAAAGTAACCACCGGATATCCACGAGGTCTGGTCACTAGCATGCAAGGCATTCCCGATGATGGACAAACTGGCTGCGAGGGTAGTTTGATCCATCAGTGCTATGAGGTCAACCGTCGAGCAGGCCAGAAATATCTGGAATGTTAGTATGGTGCTGTGCAGGGAACCACGATTACCTACCGTGATGATGGTGCTTTTTGGCACATAGTTGGTCTGCTCATTGAAGACATGTCCGGAAGGCTTGGACTCGCCATCTGTGTCAACAGTTGCAGAAGAATCTGACGGATTCGTCGGATTCATCTTGGACTCGAGCACAGTTCCAGCCATTGCTTTTGCTCTGTGACCTCTCGAGGCTCGCGAGTGATCAGCTTCTGAATGCCGAGGGCCATTTCATTTAAGACCATGGGGAAGCAGTGAGGACCGCCAGCCGGTGGGAACATGCTTGGCAGTTCTAAGCGAGGATATTCATGAAGATCAAATCAACCCTGAAGAATCTGTCAAGAGAAAGAGGGTCCTGACTAAAGTGGTGATACATCCGGTTAGGGTTCTGGAAGGGATCAGCATCCCGGCCGCAAATCTGCTCAAAAACACTCAACAAGGTACTCGTGCTACATGGCTTGCCAAGAAAGTACGCTGACATGGCTCTGTGGATTTTACGAGGACCTGCGTTGTGAAAGTTTGTTTGGAGTGTTTCCAAGGACCTTGCGAGGCATGACTGGCCGTAGATCTTTCTTGTCCCGGCCGGGCTGGCTGGCTATACAAGGCCAGACAGTGAAGATCCTCCCTGACTTGACACCCTGAGGACATGGAAGCTGAGTTTGCCTTCCCTTATTGGCCATTTTGGCTCGGCTACGGTCTCCATTGAGCAACATCCCACCTAGGTGCCCTGTCCCCCCTTGTCAGGTGGGATATTACGCTTCTTGCCTGCGTAGGGGAATTTGACAATAGGGTGCAGGTGCCTCCTGGCGCGTGGGTCAAAATTGCATGCAGCCCGTCAAGAAGGAACAATATGCACTATGAGGGGTTGCTGCAGAACTATAACTTGGGCCATTGCCCCTCCATGTTGCTTTATTGATCTGTCACCGGAGCCCTTGCAGATATCCCCTCCCCTGCGTCCAGTGCATTTGTGCCACGATGTCTCATTCCAACGAGCGCAACGTGTATTTTGGTCCAGACTCTCTGAAGAAATACTTTGATCCCGACTCACAGCCCCCTCTGCCATTGGTTGAGCTGCCGGGGCATCTGAACCCTTACCATCAAGATGGTGTACGCATTTACGCTAAGATGATGACCATGCACCCGGCCAATAATGTCAAAGCCATGCCAGGTATGTACATGTCCGAGGCTTCGATGGAATCCCTATACTTATCTTGCGGGCCATAGCTATGAACATGCTCGAGTCGAGTGTGGTGCCTGGACAAACGAAAACCATCATTGAGTACAGCTCGGGATCCACAGTGATCTCGATGTCAATGATTGCTCGAGTCATGCATGGCATCAGCGACACCCGTGCCTTTCTCAGTAACAAGACCAGCGAGGCCAAGCTGAGACTCATGCAGTTCTTTGGCCTCAACATCACCCTCTTTGGCGGCCCCTCGCAGCCCGAGCCCTTCGACGAACGAGGTGGCATTCAGAGTGCCCGGAACCAAGCCTTGCAGTCCGGACCAATCCTCAACCCCAACCAGTACGAGAATGACGACAACTGGCGGTCCCATGTCCGGTGGACTGGACCACAGATATACAAGCAGCTGCCAGAAATCACCGTGCTCTGCGCGGGTATGGGCACCTCCGGCACGATGACGGGTCTCGGGACATATTTCAAGGATACCAAGCCGTCGGTGCTACGACTGGGGGTCTGCACTGCTCCTGGGGACCGTGTGCCTGGCCCGAGGTCATTTGCTCTCATGAAACCGGTTGAGTTTCCGTGGAAGTCGGCAGTCGACGTGATCGAAGAGGTGAACTCCTTTGACTCGTTCTCGCTATCCCTGGATCTGTGTCGGGAGGGCATCGTATGTGGGCCTTCTTCGGGATTCAACCTGAAGGGGCTATTCCAGATGATCGAAAAGCGTAAGGCTGCGGGCACACTGTCAGAGCTGGCTGGGGCCGATGGCACTGTCCATTGCGTGTTTCTGTGCTGCGATCTGCCATATCAGTACATTGGCGAGTACTTCAATAATCTTGGAGCGGAAAAGTTCCACCCCATTCAGAACGAGGTAAGTTCCAGATGTGCAGTATGGCATGGCTTTGTATACTGACTTGTTTCCAGCACCTCACCAAGGTGGATCTCTACCGATATGATGAAAGCTGGGAACGAAGCCCGGTGGTTCTTTTCACTCATTTCTACGAGACCCCTAAGGCGCTGACCCAGAGTCTACTGAGCAGCATTGCCCTTCGGCCAGCCTGCTGCGTCCTCGACCTCAGGACTGCGGTCGATTTCTCCGCCTGGCATCTGCCAGGATCGGTGAACATCCCGTTGCAGAGTTTAGACTCCCACAGCCCTAAGCCATTTTCCGACCCAAGCGTGCTAGAGAAGCAATGGCGAGAACTCGAGACGCTGTTCACGGACGCCCAGGCCAATGTGATCAGCACGCTGCAGGGGCATCATGTGTTGGTGATTTGCTACAACGGGGACACGGCCCGGGTGGCCACCAGCGTGCTGCGGGCCAAGGGCATCGAGGCGGACAGTCTCCGGGGAGGACACCAGGCGCTACAAGATCATGGCATATGGGGTGATGGTGGAGAGGGATTGGAGCAGGCGTCGTATCCGGTGCCGGTGTCGGCCATGGTGTCCCTGCAGAGCAACTAAGAGCCGTTGCACGGACGAATAACGAGTTCATCTGTTTCCATCCTATAAGTTTCTACCCTCTGAGATTGTAGTACACTAGAATGGCCATGCGGGCTATGACCCCTGGCCCCTGCAGAATCCACGCAAATGTGCTCATCTCTCTGTTCATCACACACACTAAACTGCTGGCTCTGTTTAGCTCGTCGGAAATCTGCTCAATTGTGAGCAGCCCTCGGCCAATCAGCGCCAGGGTCAATCACGATGACACGCTTCGATCAACTGTCTATCTTGTCTTTAATTCTCCATGATCCGCGTCAAATGCCCTGGATGGCCTGTCATCCAAATCTCACGGGCGACCAACCGTCAAGCGCAGGACAATGCATATGGACCATATGGACGATTCGGGGTCCGGCCTGCCATGGCTGGATCAACCGGTCTGGTTACACTCGTCGCGGGCGGACGAGTGCGAATTGACCCCAGACCAGTGTGCATATCGAGCAGGACATTGGCGATACTGGTAATGTATCCCTGGAGTCCTGATAGAGACAGTAAAACTAACGCAGACATGAGGACGACAGGTACGAAGCAGATCACGTCTACGCCCTCAACACCGTTTACTTCCTGATCGCCACGGTCGGCCTCTTCACCATCCTGCATTTCTTCTCTCTCTACGCGCCGAGTTCCCTCAAAGGAAGCACACCGTGGCGGAAGGTCTCTGCAGCGGGTCGCTATCTCTCGTACAAGTCTTTTCGAGTCCCGGTTCTGCGGTACTGGTCGCCCTCGCTGGGCGTCATCCTGCTGGGATGTGCCGGATTCGTCTTTTTCTTCGGTCTGTCTATCCGTTAGGGTCTGTCTGTCTCTGCGAGGTTGCATACTGACTGAAGCAGCGATGACGCTGGGCCCGAAGCCTTACTACTGGCCTAATACGCGAGAGCTTTCGTACGGCAGTAGCCCTCCGATTGCGACGAGGACGGGGTGGATGGCACTGGCCTTGTTGCCGTTTGTCTTGTGCGTTGATCCGGAAGAGAAGTTGAGGTGCATGCTAATGGATGTGTCCAGGGCTCTGAGTACGAAAGCGAATCTCATCTCGGCGTTGACAGGCGTGTCGCATGAGAGACTCCAGGTCTTCCATCACTGGACCAGCTACGCCATGTTCGTGCTGGCTCTCATCCACACATTCCCCTTTATCATCTTCCATATCTGGAAGGGAGACATGGTGAAGCAGTATAACACGAGCATTGCCTACTGGACGGGGGTGGTGGCGTTGATCTTCCAGACGTATTTGACGCTCATGTCGTTGCCTTCGATTCGGTATGATCCCTCCTTCTATCGATTCGTATACAAGCCCACAGGACATGTGGCTGATCAGGATAGAAACCGCTACTACGAGTTCTTCAAAGCCACTCACCTCCTCGCCGCTCTCATCTTCATCCTCTTCTTCTTCCTCCACTGCGACTTCCGTCTCTCCTCATGGTCGGTCCCCTACCCTACCCTCCCTACCAGGCCCATCTAACCAGACCAACAGGGACTACTTCATCGCCACCGGTGCCATCTACCTCTTCTCCCTCCTCGCCGCCCAAATCCGCACCTATCTCATCCACGGCCGCCATATCGCCACCATCGACCGTCTCCCCTGCGGTCTCCTGCGCATCACCATCCCCACCGTCACCACCACCTGGCGCCCAGCCCAGCACCTCTTCCTGCGCTTCCTACACCCCAAACTCGGCCTACACACCCTAACCGCGCACCCCTTCACCGTCGCCTCGCTAGCCCACGACCCCGACGCCCTCGCCAAACCCTCCCAGCTCGTCTTCTTCATCCGGCCGCACGCCGGCGTCACCGCGCGCCTGGACACCCTGGCTCAACACGCCCCCGGCGGCTTCCTGCGCTGCACCGTCACCCTGGAAGGTCCGTACGGCGGGGTCGAGGAGATGCAGCCGCCGACGGTCGATAGCGTGGTCATCGTGGCGGGGGGTTCGGGCGGCGGGTTCGCGTTGGGGGTATTTGCCGAGGCATTGAGGGTTTTGGAGTCATCCGGGATGGATATTCAGGTGGTGTTTGCGTGTCGTTCAGCGCTGATGGCGCGGTGGTTTCGTGACGAAAGCGATGCTTTGATGTCGAGGTCTGGTCTGGGGCAGGGGGGTCGGGGTCGGGGTCGTGTAAGAGTGGATATTCATGATACTTCCTCTTCGTCGGGATATTCGGGGCAACAGAGCCAAGCGCAGAATGATGCTGATGGAGAGGGAAGGTCTGTCGCGCACGATAAAGAACTGGAACCGGGCATCGAGCTCCTCCCGCATGACAGCGACACCAACACCAACAACGTCGAAGGAAAGACCCAGACCGGGTTCTATGCCGGACGACCGGACCTGCCGTCGCGGATTGCAGAGGCAGCGAGAGCCGCGGAGGGAAAGAAGCTGGCGATGTATGCGTGCGGACCGGCGTCGATGCTGTTCGACGTGCGGAATGCGGCGGCGGACGCGCAGAGAGGGAGGGAAGGGGAGGTTTCTTTGCATACGGAGACGTTTTCGTGGTGACTCCACTTTAGTCGTTAATCATAGGGTGTTGTATGTATATGGGTAAGAGATACTCTGAATGTGTGATGTTTTCATTCGATTGACGCTTCGTAAGTATGATATGATATGATTGATCTATGAGATCTCGTCTAGATTCTATGCGATCCATCTCCCGACTAATTACCTGCACTCTAAGTGAGACTGTACTATATAAAGCACTGAACCGAATGGGGGATGAAGAAAAGACCAAATGAAGAACGGAATATATGCACCCACCAACTCCAAACCATGTCAAGTCATGTCCAAACGCCATTCCGAAATCCAGTCCCTAGGCCAAAATATATGAAACGAAATGGAAAAATAGAGTAGAGAGTGTCATCACCAACTCACCGACCACCTACCACCTACCATTGCTTCCCCAACCCAACCTAACCAACCCATCCTGGGAGAATGTAGAAATCATTTCCCCTCCAACAGCTTCATCCCCCACTCCCGCAGCCGCACATTCGCCACCCCGCCGACACCATACGCCGGCACGATCTTGCCCATGCGCGCAAAGCAGCTCGGCACGTAGTCGCGGCGGATGCGCAGCGCGCGCTCGCGCCAGCCCAGCCGCGCGTCCTGCCGATTGTACAGGTCCAGACCGAGCAGGTGCATGGGGGTGCTGGCGAACTGCATCAGCGCGGGACAGGCGAACTGCGCCATGGTGGCTTTGGCGCGCGCCGAGGACGCCACGACGTCGGGGATCCAGGGGCTCACGAGCGCCGGCACGTTGAAGGACGCGAAGATCGTGATGCTGTCGCGGAGGCAGAACAGCGCGAAGGATGTCCGCGGGACCTTTGTGGCGCTGTTGGCGGGTGGGTGGCAGGATGCGGGCGATTGTTGGGGGTGTGGGATGCGTGGTTGTGATGAGGATTGGCCAGAGGAGGGGGAGGATGGAGGAGGATTGGCGCCAAAGATGCGAGCGAATCGCGCGTCTTTGTACACGCAGATGCCCATGTTGACGGTCGTGGTGGTGATGAACTTGGCGGTGCCCGGGAACACGGTGGAGAAGGACTCGTTGCGCAGGGTGGAGGTGACGGTGTCAATGGCATTGGCGGTCAGGTAGGTCGAGGTGTAGAGGGTGTAGATGAGCAGGAAAGGCGTGCTGAGGAAGAAGCCCCCCGGATGGGAGACCATGGATCGGAAGCATGAGGTGATGGTCTGACGGATGGGGAGGCCTTTGGCAGCTTTCTCGATGATGGCACTAGAAGAGAGCGATTAGTTGATTTCAATGACAGGTTCTCAAGGTCAGGATACCGGTCGATGACGGTGATGGCTGGACACGTCAAAGCGCCAGCCGTGGCGGCGCTGGCGATGTCGACGCCGAAGCGCGTTCCCAACTGCCGAGTGTTCCAGCTGGAGGCGAGGGCTGGGACAACGGGGGTATCGGAGAGGGCATTTTGCGGCATGCTTTATGTGCAAGAGAACAAACAAACGACCAACAATCTAAAGAAACAGAAGAGAGAACAAAGAACAAAGAATGACTGCGATGAAGAAGATGAGATCACAAAAGGCGGACGAGAATAAGCCGGAGTTGCTCCGATGCCGGATCAATCAGCCGCCGCTGATTGGCTGCGGCTGTACGAATATCCCTCTAAACATTTATCTGTTTTAAGGGTTTAAGATATACAGATTTAATGTTTAAGAGTTCAGAACCAGAATAGTATTTACGAGAGTATATCATGTCTTTTGTTCATTCGCCCAACGCCAATTTCCCAGTCATCTATACACCTTCAGGCGCTCGTGTTCGCCTGGAAATCATTCAGCGTCACGTTGACGGCCCCGGCTTGCACCAGCTGTCAACTCGTTAGCCTAATTCACAATTCAAAGATACTCTTAAGACTTACCGCTCGTTGCAGATCGTCAATCAGGTCATCCACATCCTCAATGCCCACGCAGAGTCGAATGAGATCCTCCGGCATCGCGCGCTCCGCCCGCGTCTTCGCGTCGATGCTGGCATGACTCATGCGGCAGGGCATACTGATCAAGCTGTTCACACACCCGAAACTGACACTGATCGCCCAGAGTTTGGCACTCTCGACGATGCGCTCGCTGACGCCCACGTCGCCCGTCTCGAACGAGAGAACCGCGCCGGATCCCCGCGCCATCGAGTGGTGCAGGTCATACTGCGGGTGCGACCGCAGGCCCGGGTACCGCACCTTGAAGCCGTGCGCCTCGAGGAACTCGGCAATGCGCTGCGCGTTGGATTGCTGCTGGTCCATGCGCACCTTGAGGGTCTTCACGCCGCGCATCAGCAGCCACGAGTCGAACGGCGACAGTCCGCAGCCGGACGCGTTGATGGGGAAGTACAGTCGCTCGCCCAACTTCTGATCGTTCACGGCGATCACACCCGCCATCAGGTCGTGGTGACCCGACAGGTATTTGGTGCCACTCTCGTACACGATGTCCGCACCCAGCTCCAGCGGGTTGAGAAGGAGGGGCGACATCATGGTGTTGTCCACTGCGACCAGGCAGTTGGGGTTGGCCTCGTGGGCGGCGGCGGCAATCTGCGGGATATCGACCACCTTGATGAGCGGGTTGGTCGGCGTCTCCAGCAGGACCATGGTGGTCTTCTCGCTCAAGACCTCGCGCACCTTCTCCGGCTGGGTGGTGTCGATGTGGTGCACAATGATGCCCCCGTTCGTGGCCAGGTACTTGAGGAGACGGTTCGTGCCGCCGTAGAGATCGTCGCCGGTCACCACCTCGTCGCCGGGACGCAGGAGTCGCGTGATCACATCCAAGGCAGCCATACCGGAGGAGACGACCAGAGCCCGCTGTGCCGACATGACCTTGGCTAGGTGTCGTTCGAGATGCGTTCTCGTGGGATTTCCGGAGCGAGTGTAGTCATATTCACCGCCGCCGTCGCCGGACGTCTGCTTAAAGGTGGCGCTCTAATCATGACGATCATCAACATACCGAATTCAACCCATTGGCCGACCGAGATGGAGAGGAAACAAATATCCCGGCGAACCGTTGTATAGCTTGACGGCGGCACATACCTGGTAGATAGGAACGCTGCTGGCGTTGTATTGGTCATTGCTGTCTGTGTAGACCAGCTCTGTGGCAATGTTATAGCGTCGGCCACCATGCGGGCTGGAGGGAGCCGGCGAGGGAGGAAGATTGTGGCCCTCGAGGTCGACCGAGGGAAAAGCCTTCTTCAGAGGCGCACCGGATCCTGAGGCCGACATCGCTGCGGGGACGGGATGGCAGTGAGTCAGAGGCGAGAGAAGAGGCAGCGGTTTGAGGGGAGGGATGGCAACACCAATGCAGACAGGACAAGGGACAATGGCCAGCCTAAAGTCAATCAAGGAGACGATGAAGAATGATGCGAGAGAACGAAGAATGAAGAATGAAGAACAATTCCTGCTCTTCCCCAGAATCAAATCAAGTGACTCCGTTGCGCCTCAGGCTCGGGTTCCACCGGCCGCGATCTGATTGGCGGAGAGGCCCAGGGGGCGATGTCGTCATCCGCTAGTGCTGCTTCGGGTAAGACCTACACACCTGAGGCAGACATTTGCCTGAGGCATATCATGCTCTATTCGTCCATCAACAAACAGCAAACACACACTGCTCTGCCACCAAGAGGCTCCTACTAGAGTCTCATCTTGGTTGTGGATAACACAAGGAATTCCCTCTTCTTTGAACTCACCATTGTCTATCAACATGCGGAAATTCCCGTGATAAGCCAAGCCCTTGTCCAATGAAAGCACTAAGAAATAAATATACTTACCACTAACAGCCTCGAGAGCCATGACAACCTCCCCAAACCCGATTGTGTTGACCATCAGCAGAGCAATATATCGTATTACCCCATCGTCCAGCTTTATTCTTGCCGGATGATTTCGGGAAATGCACCAGTTTGCAGTGTATGGCTTGCTGCCGTGGAGTATAAAAGGCAAAGCCATCCTTCTCGCTTCATACACCACAAAGTCCAGATCTGCTACAACCTGACAGCCTGACATTTTTCCCTGTGCCGAAAGCCTTCTGTATTCTATCATCAACATGGCTTCTGCTGGTGAAATGCAGATGAAAGAAATGAAGATGAAAGAAGTGGCCCCGAATCGGGTGTCAATCTTGAAATTCAACGTCAAATCCAAGGAGGAATCTAACGGGAAATCCAACGGGGAGCCCAAGGAGGAATTCAATGCCGTGGGGATTTCTAGCCTCAGTGGCGGCACTGCAGTCGCCATCGTCTCCGGTCAGGCCGCCATTCTCCTCCACATCGCGCGTCTTCCCGATGGGACTGGGGATGGCGAGGCCGAGTTGGCTCATTTTCGACTGAGGTTGGAAGACATGATGGACTGCTACACCAATAGCTCTAAACACTTTCCTTCGGACAGCACTAGCGTTTACGTGGCAGAGCGCCGGAAGGAGGACCTAGACGGACGACCGCATCCCATGAACGAAATTGGTTACATTCTGAATGCGCTTTGCCTCGGGCGACCTTTGGTCGCGCATTATGCCGTCAGGCCAGCTGGAGAAGGTCCTGCATTTGTCATTGATGCTAGAAATTTGGAGGACGTTCAGATTCTTGTTGATGAAGACGAATCTAGGATGTCCGCTTCAGACTGAGCTGTATATAGGGAGCTCTCAGGTGGGTCGAGACTTTCCTTTTGTTTCTTTTTCATTGTTATTTTCATTTATCAATTTTCATCTCAGGTTATAGATCAGGTTGATTGAATTTGAATAGATCGCTTTTATGCACTGAATCATTCCTCATAAGTATATGCTTAGTAGTCAACGTAGAGAGACCGTAAAAGATCATGCCAGATCCAGCCGAATGGCATCATCTGACGAGGGTTAGGGCTGGGGCCACGCATGATCTCGCACGGATCCTGGACTTCCCCGGACTCCCCGCAAACGAAAGATCGACTTCCACGTCAACAACCGGCAGGGCAATCTATTTCCCGGGAAGGGCTTCACGCCAGCGCCATCTCGGTTAGCTTGGTGCTTCATCGCACCCCATGGCGCCAAACATGCTAGGCGAGATGCAACACCGACTGCCCCAAAAGTTGCGGGGGAATTTTCATGTCGACCGTTCATTGGCACTGCACGCGATGGCTGTGTCATAGAAACCCAGAAATAACCAGCGTCCCGGTGGAGAGCCGAAGGAAGCCGTTCTGGATCGCCTCCCGCCACCTCCGTCCTCTCGGTCAGACTGCCGACTCTGCAGATCTGGATATCAAGAGACCGGGTGCGAACCCGATATGTCCTGGGCGTCCAGTCTGCTGATAACTGGCTCCAACGATGCTGACTGGGACGATGGAGCACGCATCAAGTTACTCAATTGAATCTAGGACGGATCCTATCTAATCTGCAGGCCAGCCCGGTGAGAGGAAAGGGATATGCGAGGGAGAACCCCTGGTCCAGTCCACAGTTACAAACGGCGACAGTCAAGATAGCAAAGCCACGACAACAGCAAAGCAACACGAGATAAGACCACAAGGCATCGCCCAATCACGGCGCAACAGACCCACTGCGGAGACGACCATCTCCAACCCCGCATTTTCCATTGTCGCCAGTCAATGGCTTCGGAATCCGGTCATTCTAGCTGCTACCGGGTTCTCTGTCACTGCAATGACTCTCACTCACCGTTCCAGAGGCATGGAGGCGTCACGGAGGATCAAGAAACGCTCGTCCAATGCGTACGTCCGGTTCTCATGTTTTGTTCCCCTCACCGCTGATAATCCGGATCCAGCTGCCAAAGATGCCGCCGACAAAAGATCAAATGCTCGGGTTCGCAGCCCTGCAACACGTGCAACAAACGCAAGTTGACCTGCACCTTCGATGATCGCGAGCAGAAAGTCTTGGTAACCAGGGGGTACGTATGTCGTTGGTCTGTTGGATTCGTCGACTGATCAGTCAATCTGCAGGTACATCGAAGACCTCCAGGCTCGCGTCGCCCAGTTAGAACGCGGCGATGAGATTTTCAGTCCGCAAAGCCACGAAGCTGACCCCATTCCGGATGACGGTACGTCCATCTCTTTATTGACCATTGGTTGACTGACATGCTGACTCTGTAGAAACCATCCTGACCGAACCTCCAAACATCGAAACCACTGACCTGACCAACCCCCTATCCACCGGTCCTTCGACATTCATGACTTCTGTCACGGGGCGGGTCTGTAAGTGTCTACTGTCCGGAAGCCTATCCGAGCGTAACTCACCGTCCAGTCTACCTAGGAACCTCGTCGAACTGGTCCTTTGCCCGCAAGATCCTCAGCATGACCCACGAGCACCTCTACCAGTCCCCGCTGCCCACGGGGAGTCTGCGCTTCGATGCGGCCACGTATGACCTGGGGTGGGATGGGATGCGACTGAGCATGCCCGAGCTGCCGATGGCGCCCACCCTGGACTTCTCGCTGTACCTCATCACGGCTGTCAAGTTCCACGCCGGCCAGCTGTTCCACCTGTTCGACGAGGAGAGCTTCATGGGCGGGCTGTATGCCTTTCACGAGGACCCACACCAGCAGATGGCCACGTCGGGGCTCTGGTACATCCACTACCTCCTCATCCTGGCCTTTGGAAAGGCCTTTGTCGTGCAAAAGGCCCAGGACGGTCGACCGCCGGGGTATGAGTTCTTCATCAAGGCGCTGCAGCTGCTGCCCGATACGACGCGGCTGTCTCGCGATCCCATCATCGCCACGGAGATTCTCTGCTGCATCGCACTGTATCTGCACTCGATGGACTACCGGAATTCGGCCTATGATTTTGTATGTAGACGAGGTTGGAAATCACCATCAGTGGCTAACGGAATCAGATCGGACAAGCCCTTCGAATCGCCCTGGCGCAGGGCATGCACACGAATATGCCGGAAGACCTCGGATACGCCTGCGTGCAGCGATGTCGACGCATCTGGTGGACAATATACGTGCTGGACCGCCAGATGACGTCGCTGATGGGGCTGCCGCAGTCGATCCAAGACGACCAGGTGTACGATCTGATGCCGTCGTACCCGGGGTCGCCGCAGCGGGCGGCGGCGCTGAGCATGCAGATCAAGATGTGTCAGATCATCGCGGAGATCAACCGCAGTAAGTGCGCTGGCCTGTATGGACAGAAGTTGCATATCTAACGTTACCAGCGGTATACGGCCCCGACGGTCGATTGAATCGGAAATTCCTGGTGCGCACCAAAGCGGCGCTGGCCAGCACGGCGGATCTGGCGAACGAACTGCGGCAGTCGCACGATCTCCGTCTGGAGGAGGCGTCCATCAGTGGCGTGTCTCGGCTGTCGGCCCATCTCCATTTGCTCTATCATCAGGTATGAAATCGACCGTGATGGTCCGACATGATCTAACAGCTTAGTGCATCGTCCTGGCGACGCGGCCGTTGCTTTTCTGTTCTCTCAAAATCCGCCTCCAATCCCCCGACCGGTGCATGGCGCTGCAATCGTCGCCGACGGTGCGCCGACTGCTGCAAGTGTGTCTGGACTCGGCGCAGCAGATGCTGAATATCCTGGCCAGTCTACATGAACAGAACCTCCTCGGTACCCTCCCTCCGTTCTGTCCGAATGAAAGAAAGGATATGAACTGACAAGAACACAGACAGTTTCCTCCCCTTCGACCTCGAATCCACCTTCGTCTCCAGCGTCATCCTGCTGGCCGCCGGCCCTGCCACGGCCGGTCTTCTGGACCCCGGGCCCAGCTGGGTGGAGCGCGGGACGCCGATCCTGGACGAGATGGTGACGCGCGGCAACCGCATCGCAGCGTACAACCGCAGCGAGCTGGAGCAGCTGCGCGGGATGCTGGGGCAGCTGGACGACAAGACGATCAGCCAGGGGGGCATGCCGTCGCCGCAGATCGAGTGTGGCATGCCGGAGGGATTAACGACGGCGGAGATCCTGGCGGTGGCAGAGTCGATCGACACGGGGGATGTGGATTGGATCGCGCATGCGGTGACGGAGAATAGTATCTGGTAGAGGGAATTGATGAGTTATGTCAGTTACGTGGTATGTCATGATCGGGTCTAGAGTATAGTATATGATAGTATAGTAGAGCATAGAGGGAAATTGCATGTATTCATCATCAATCAATCATCCAACCAACCAACTCTAACACATAACACATAGTAAATAAAACAGATAAAACAAACAAACCTACAACTTCGCCTTACTCTCCTGCCCCTTCAAATCCCTCAACTCCATCGAACTGCCCAACCGCCAACTACTCTCGCCCTTCCAGTCCTTCCCGTCGTTCTCCTTCCACGCCCATCTTTCCACCTTCTTTCCCCCCAGCAGATCAACCACCCACCCCCCGACCAACGGAAACATCTTAAACCCATGCCCCGAGTCCCCGGACACAATGACCACACTCTCCCCCGACCCAGGGACATAATCGACAATGAAATCAGAGTCCTCGGTGTCCGCGAACCAGCACAGCGAGGGACGCACGAACGGCCGGTCCGCGCACCAGGGGAGGGTCTGGCGCAGCAACGCCCGCATCTTCGCCTGGTCCTCGCGCGGCAGATACGGCATGAAGTCTGGGGTGGAGAATCCCGTGCGCAAGTCCGTGTTCACGATCCCCCCGCCCATCGGACACAGCTTCAAAAGGTGGTTGTCCGTGTCCGGCTCGAAGAAGAAGCCCAGGTCGCGCGCGTAGGTGACGGGGATCCCGCGCAACGACGCCGCCTCATCCGCCGTCAGTTGGATGTGTGCCACCGACCACGCCTTTGCGGTGATTTGGCGGTTCAGGGCCGGGAGGAGCGGTGAGACGCCGGCGCCGGCGGTGACGATGACCTGGCGGGCGGGCAGGATAGCGCCCGAGGCGAGTCGCACGCCGGTGCATTTCTTCTGTCCGGCTGCGGCCGGGGTGTAGATGAGTTCGGCGACGCGCGTGTTCAGGCGGAATTGGACGCCGGCCTGGCGTGCGGCTTCGTATACCGCGACGAGGGCTTTGGCGGAGTGCGCCCAGCCGTCGAGTTTGTTGAGGTAGCCGTGCCAGCCGGGCATGGACCCCGGGTAGGGGCCCATCTGGTGCGGTTTCACGAGGGAGGATTTGTCTAGGGGCACGACGTGAGGCTGGATGTCGGCGTGCGAGTTGGCGGAGGCGTGGAAGCGGTTCAGCGTGGCGATGGCGGGCGCCGGGGCCTCGGAGGACACGCAGTGCAGGAAGCCGGTCTGGTGGAAGTGCCCGGCGAAGGGACCGGAGGACCAGGCGTTGATTGCTTTCTGTAGCAGTCAGGTAAGTAGCTGCTCTAAGACGGTTCTGCTGACAGTGGAGAGGGAGGGGGGAAAGACATACCAAGGTCAGATCGGTATAGAACGGATCCTCGTACTCCGCACGCACGATCTTGTTCAGGTCATTGGCAGCCGACGAGCGCGGAGGCATCTGCGTGTCCTGCTCCAGCACGAGGATCTCGTCGGGCTTGACATTCTGCGAGAGATGCAGCGCCGTGGAGAGGCCGAAAGCGCCGGCGCCGACGATGACGATGGGGGGAGACATGATGAATTGCTGTGGAAAGGTGATTTACTGTCTATCGCTTAGGAGGACATCTCTTTACTTATACTTCTCTCCGACAGCTCTACTCAACCCGCCTTACTGTTTAGTGGAACCTGGGGATCGGATGGTCCTCCGCACCGGCAGGCCTCCCGACTCTACAGCTTAGCTTACGGGTAGCTTAGCTCTAGCTGGAGATAGCTCGAGATAAGGACGTGGCATAACATGACATGACATATACATTGCGGGTAAAAATGGATCATCTACTGGTTGCTGGGGTACTCGAAGCCGTCCAGCTCGAAGAACTCCTCCTTGATCAGCCTCGGGCTGGTGAACCGACGCAGCAGATCCGAGCTGCCTGCCCGGTCGTTGGTGCCGCTGTTGCGCGCGCCGCCGAACGATTGCTGGCCGATCAGGGCGGCGGTGGTCTTGCAGTCTGCTCTTGTTAGCTTCCACTCTCTCAGATGGTCTATGGTCTCGGTGCAGGGAAGGGAAGGGGACCTACTCAGGTACAGGTTTCCCGCGGAATACCGCAGCGTATCCTCGGCCTCACGCAGCGCCTTCCGGTCCTGCGCAAAGATAGCGCCCGTCAAGGCGAATCCGCCGCCGGACTGGTCGACCGTCTTCAGCAGCGAGCTCCACTCCTGGTCCGGGTAGACGTAGACGGCCAGCACGGGGCCGAAGATCTCCTTCTCGAAGAGCGCGTGGTCCGGCGACGAGGCGCGGTACACCGTCGGCTTGACGTAGAAGCCCACGGAGTCGTCGTAGGTGCCGCCGGCCACCGTCGTGAGGGTGGGATCGGCGTTGCTCTCGTCGATGACCTGGCGGATGCGCTCGAACGAGCCGCGGTGGATGACGGGGCCCATGAAGGCGCCCATGTCCTTGTCCGGGCTGCCGATGGTGATGCTCTCGACGCCGGTCTTCAGCTGGGCCAGGAACTCGTCGGCCTTGGAGGCGGGCAGGTACAGACGCGAGGTGGCGCTGCACTTCTGGCCCTGGTACTCGAAGGCGCCGCGCAGGGTGTGGTTGACGGCGTTGGAGACGTCGGCGGAGGGATGCACCAGGTGGAAGTTCTTGCCGCTGGTCTCGCCGACGACGCGCGGGAACTCGCGGTACGTGTTGGCTGCGATGCCCTGCGCCACGCGGCCGTACAGCTGGCGGAAGACGGCCGACGAGCCGATGAAGTTGAGGCCGGCGAACTCGCGGTGCGCCAGCGCCACGGAGGTCACTTCTTCAGCGTCACCGGGCACCAGCTGGATGACGTCGGCGGGCAGGCCGGCCTCGCGCAGGATGCGATGCACGATGGTGCTGGCGTAGATGCCGGCAGGCGAGGGCTTCCACAGCACGACGTTGCCCATCAGCGCGGGTCCGGAGACCAGACTGCCGCCCAGGGCCGTGAAGTTGAAGGGCGAGACGGCGTAGACGAAGCCCTCGAGGGGGCGGTAGTCGACGCGACTGTAGTAATTAGCGTCCTATCCTCATATCAAAGAAATCGCAGAAAGAATACCTCCACATCCCATCCGTCCCCCGGTCCGGCTGCTTCTCCAGAATCTCCGCCGCATAGTGGCAGTTCAGACGAAAGAAATCCGCCAGCTCCGCCGCAGCGTCGATCTCGCCCTGCCAGACGTTCTTGCCCTGGCCCAGCATCGTGGCGGCGATCAGCTCGTAGCGGTACTTGGTGGTGGCCAGCTCGGCGGCGCGCATGAAGATGGCCGCACGGTCGACGAACGGCGTGTCCTGCCAGCTCTGCTTGGCCTGCAGCGCCGCCTCGATGGCCGACGAGACCTGCTCGCGCGACGCCAGGGGGTAGTTTGTGAACTGCACCGCGTGCTCTGCCGGCAAGGGCTGCGAGGTGGATTGCGTCGTCGCCTGCACCTGGTTGTGGTAGACTACGTCGCTGGTCACCGGCAGACGCGCGCGCAGGGCCTTCAGGGCGGATTCGACCTTGGCGCGCTCGGGCGACCCGCGGGGGTATGTGGGCTTTTGCATTCAGTCAATTGCTGTCTTCAATGGAGGAGTAAGAAGACTCACGTTGGGCTCATTGCGCGCGGCGGGCAGACGAAACGGCGCCGTCACTTTGCTGCGAGTCTGCAGCGCGCGGGCGGGGAGGAGTCGCGGACGAGAAATGAATCGAGCAGACATGATGGAAAAAGGTATGTGTGAATGAAGAGAAAGAAAGAAAGAAGGAAGTGAAGCTCTGAGCTGCGGGCGCCTTTTATCCTGCAGCAGCAGCTACACTAGTGAATCGCTTCGAGTACAACCGCACGGCTGTCCTCCCGAGTCGGATGGCCAGCCGATGGCCAAATACCGACAAAAGATCCACCGAGAGTCTGACCAGAGGACCGATGCAGATAAAACCAAGACCGTCATGCAAAGGACCCATTCAGCAAAAGAACGCCCGTCATGTCTGTCTGGCCCGATCTCGCCGCCGCCTCCATTTCCGCCTCGTTGATTTCGCCCGTCATCGCGCTGATCGGTACTCTCCATATCCCCATATTTCGAGTATACCATAGTATAGAAAGCTGATGATCACAGACAAGTCCCTCATCCCCTCCAATCATGCCGCCAAATCCCTCCCCAAACCCGCCGTCTCGTTCGCCCGGCCCCTCGGCATCGTCTGGACCCTCTACGCCACCACCTACAGCGTCGCCAACACCGGCGACTCGCTGTCCTCGAGTCTGCAGTATCCGCACGCCGGACTGCTGGCCAGCGCCGTCACCGTCGCCGTGAACGTGCCGCTGGGGATCTGGAAGGATCTGCGGTTTGCGCAGTTGTTCGCGGGGACGGCCGGGGCCGCTGCGACGACGACGGCGCAAAAGGCCGTATGCCAGGTCTCCACGCAGGTCGCGAAGGAGGTATCCAAGATGAAGAGCGCGGCGAAGGCGAAAGGATCGGGGGGAGGACGACTGGCCACCGGGGCGTTTCTCATGCGCGACGTCATCACCATCGTGGCGTCGTTTACCCTGGCGCCGCGATGCGCCGAGTACCTGACGACGTCGGGGATGGTCGATTCTACGAGCCATAACGATAGTCATGGAGAGAAGATGCTGACTGCACAGCATCCGGAAATCTCCCAGAAAGCCACGATCATCGCGCAGCTGGTCGTCCCCGTGCTGTCGCAGGTGGTCGCGACGCCGGTGCATCTGGTCGGGCTGGACAGTTTCTCGCGGCCGGGGGTCTCCTGGGCCGACAGGATGGTGTACGTCAAGAAGCATATCCTGTCGACGACGGTGGGCCGGTGTTTCAGGATCATTCCGGCGTTTGGGGTGGGTTGTCTGGTGAATACGGAGTTACGGTTGATGTTTGCATAGCACTTACTTAGTTCTACGATGGTATATGAGTCCTTGTATATAGAGAATCCATTCATTAGACCCTAATCTATGAACACAAGTACAATCACCGATCTCCCATCCCCCTGGCCCTGCCCACCGCCTCGCGCAATCCCCTGCCCAACACCCCCCGGACGCTGCCCTCCTCCAGCGCCATGACGCCGGCCATCGTGCACCCCGCCGGCGAGGTGCCCTGGTCGCGCAGATCCGCCGGACTCAGCCCGCCCTGCTGCATCATCACCGCACTGCCCTTCATGGCCTGGACGATGGCGACGTTGGCCACGTCGCGCGGCACCCCCGTCGCCACCGCCGCATCGATCAGGGCGTCGCAGATGATGGCGAAGAAGGCCGGCGTGGACCCGCCCACCGCCGTCAGCGCGTCCATCTGCGACGCCTCGACGCGGATCGTCCGCCCGACGAGGTTGAAGATGCGGTCGACGAGCTGCAGCCGCTCTTCCTCCTCGGGCGCCGGCGACGCGGGGGCCTCGACGGCGGTGAGGGACTCCGAGACCTGCGCGGCAATGTTGGGCAGCGTGCGCACGATGCCGAGGGTGCTGTTAGCCAGCGAGGGGACGGTGCTGGTCAGCGTCGAACGCAGTTGCGAGACCGTCCACCCGGCGGCGACGCTGATGAGGAGTTTCTGTGCCAGAGCCTGCGCCAGAGCTGGTTGTGACAGGGCGGATTGGATGTCGGCCGGGTCGATGGCCAGGATGATCACGTCGGCGTCGGTGACGGCGGCGACGGCGTCCTGGGCGACGGACAGGTTGGCGTGGTGGGCGAATCGCTGGGACAGACGCTGCGAGGAGCTGGCACTGCGCACGCAGGCGATGTATTTGGTGAAGGGCAGCGCATCGGGACCGGCGTTCAGCAGGCTGGTCAGGATGGAGGTGCCCAGGTTGCCTGAGAGATGAGGTCATTTGGTCGGGTCTTGATGAAGCGAGGAGGGACTTACCGCAGCCGAGAATGCAGAGGGAGGGAGGCATGACGTGAGGAGTGAGAAGTGAGGAGAGAGTGATGGTAAGAGATGAGTGAGAGGTGAGTTGGAGTGCATGAAGTAAGGAGGAGGAAGAAGAATAAGTCGGAAGAGCATCCGGTGGAGACGCAACGGACGGCGATCCGAAGTGGATATACACTTGAAAGTTGAAATTCATATCTCGTGTCGCATTCACTACTTCATACCACTAGTTCATGAAGATCCATCCCCACTAATTCCTCCACCCCAGTCGCCGCCACGCCTCCTTCTTGAGCGCCAGAAACTCCTCGCCCGTGCGGCCCACCGCGTCTCGGTTCTCAATCGCCCGTCGCAGGAGATACGCCAGACACTCGCCCATCTTCCCCCACGTCGAGCACTTGTACACCTCCGGCGTGCCATCCGACCCCTTCAGTTTCAACAGTCCGAAGCTGACCGCGTCCGACATGCCGTGCAGCTGCGCGAACCCCACCGGCACCGTGGGCAGGCCGTCCTGCACGCGCTGGCGATGCAGCTGGTGCGCCGCCACCACGCTGGCCTGGTTGTGACTGGCCAGGAAGAGATTGACCGAGGGGAACGGCTTCCCCGCGGGGGACGAGGCCCCGAAGGCGCCGATCTCCTGGCGGAGGGCGCCCTGGGCGATGGCGTCAAAGGCGGCGTCCGTGTCGGCCTTGGTGTCGTGGATCAGCGACCGCTGGTCCGACGCGATGTAGGCGCCGCGCACCAGCTTCAGGCCCAGCGTGAAGCCCTCGCGCTGCGCCGCCTCCAGGTGCCGTGCCAGCGTCGCCGGCGTGCTCTTCAGATACGCCTGGTACGTGTTGTACACCAGCGCCGATCCCTCGCGGTTGTACCGCCGCATCAGGTCCATCGTCACGCGCAGGATCCCCTGCTGGAAGTGCTGCGACTCGCCGTCCACCAGGATGCGCACGCGGCGGTCGCGGCACTTGGATCCGATCTCCTCCAGCGCCGCCAGCATCTGCGCCGGGGGGAGCTCGCCGGCCGCGAAGGCGTCGTTGACGGCGGGTCCTGCTCCGGAGAGCCTGTGGTGTCGTAGTTAGCATCATATAGACATAAATGAAAGAGGAAGGCATACTTCACGGCCAGATAGTCCCCGTCGCCCAGGAGATCAATCGTCTCGAGCGTCCCCTTGCGCCAGGCCTCGATGGTCGGGCAATGCTGCGTCTTCTCCTGCGCCAGGTCGGTGGTGATCCCCAGCCCATGCGACTTGTTCGTCTTATGGTCGAACACCGTCTCCTTGGCGTAGGTCAGGATGGTGCCGCGGAATCCGAGATCCTTCATGTGTCGCAGCGTCTGCTGCGTCTCGCTGCCCGTCTCGCCGGCGCAGAATTGCTTGTAGAAGGTGAGCTTCAGCAGCCGATGCAGCAGCACGTTGCGGTCGACGTCCAGCAGCAGTCCGTGCCCAGGCTGCGTCAACTTCGACAGGATGCGCAGCGACGGGCCCAGCAAGTAGGGCTTGGAGGAGATGGCGGCGATGAGCAGAGATCGCAGCAGGACACCGTTGGGGAGAGCGGCCAGTGGGGGAGTAGAGGAAGAAGAGGAAGAGGAAGAGACAGCAGAATTCGTGTGCGTTGAACCGACCTCCAGCGTCGAGTCCACTCGCACATGTTGCCAGCGTCTAAGAGCAGGACTACTCGTGCGAGCCAGTCCCACGAGTCCCGGCCGCGGAGTTGCTTTTGCCAGTATGCGAGTCATCTTGGTTTGTGTAGAGAAGTCTGGATGGACCGACAGAAGGGGGAATGCAATCGACTCTATAAAGCCGCGACTCTGCTCGTATCCCTCCTGCTAGTGATCGGTTCCTCTCCCGGCCTGAGTTCACGATATCTGACCGAGTGGAAACTCTCCCGACTGCCTAGATCCATGGCTCAGGGATCGCATGCCTGCATGGAGATAACAAATCCCCAGAATGATCTCCGCCGTGGGGTTGCACATCGGCTGCCATGCCGATGTCTGTCCGCCGGTCCTACATCTGCCTCCTGATCTCCCTCCAGTGAGACGACGCCAGCTCAACATGCAGTCCGTGATCTCTGCTGCTTCTTCCTCCCCCCTGGTCCAGTCCTCCGGTTCCGGCATCTCGCCGGCCTCGAAGGAGATCGTCGTGGGAGCCGCCGGCGGCGTCACGCAGGTTCTCATTGGCAAGTCCCTGGGTCTTTGTCTGCTTTCTGCGTTCTGATTGGACTTGCTAACTGGATCTCGTACAGGTCAGCCGTTTGGTTCGTTTTATCCAATTAATGTAAACCCTCCCCAGTCCTCTAACCCTACCAGATATCGTCAAAGTCCGCATGCAAAACCGCGTCGACGGCGGTGCATTCCATATCGCCAGTACCCTGTGGAAACAGGAAGGTCCGAGGAGTTTCTATAAAGTATGCTCTATTGCTTCTGTCACTTACGAACTAAAACTAACCGCCTAGGGCTCTCTCGCACCCTTCATAGGAGTTGGTGCCTGCGTAAGTCCATCATCCACCCACACCCTACACCCTATACACCTTATATCCCAACCCAACTCAACCCAACCTAACAAACCAAAGATAAGCATCGTCTACGGCTCCTTCCACCTCGCCTCCACAGCCCTGCAAACATGGCATGACCAACCCCTCTCGACCCCCCAGACCTACCTCGCCGGCGGCCTGGCCGGCCTGTCCAACAGCCTCGTCTCCGGGCCCATGGAGCACATCCGCATCCGTCTACAGATGCAGTCGTCACGGCCGGAGGAGCGCATCTACGCCGGCACCGCCGACTGCGTTCGCCAGATCCTGCGCCGCGGCGGTCTGTCGGCGCTGTACCGCGGCCAGACGGCCACCATGCTTCGCGAGTTTCACAGCTACGGCATCTGGTTCTCCGTGTATGGGGCGTTGATGGCGATGGTGGTCGAGGATGAGACGAGGATGAGGACGGCTGCTGCTGCTGCTGCTGCTGCTGGGCAGCCTGAAGACGGCGAGATCTCCGTTCCTCCCTGGAAAGTGGCGGCGTGCGGCGCCGTCACGGGCGAGGTCCTCTGGGCCCTGAATTACCCCTTCGACGTCGTCAAGAGTACGATGCAGGCGGATGGCTTCGGGGCCGAGAGACGCTATCGTACTATGCGCCATGCGGTGCGGCATATCTGGTGCGTCGATGGCTGGCGAGGCTTCTTTCGTGGGTTGGGCCCGACGCTGGGCAGAGCTTTGCCGGTGTCGGCGGGCACGTTTCTGGTGTAGGTTCTTTCTTATGTTCTCCTGGGTTTTAGTTGCCAGAGCTGACGTTCCTAGGGTGGATGCCGTGCGGAAGGCACTGTAAAGATCTGTAGAGATCCGTGAATGACAGACGGTGGATACAACGCCAGTGCGAAATCAATTCCAGTAGGCTGATCGGTTCGACGACCGGTCTCCTCTATATACAAAGCCTCCCAACCGTATGCACAATCACCTCCGGACGCCATAAGCCACTTGCCCCGGCAGTTCATCCCCTCGTCAAAACAGAACCAAACATCTCCATCGTCAGAGCCACTGACCCTCCGATCCAGTCAATCATCACAAAACCCAACCAGGTATACAGCAGTGAACCACAATATCCAAACGCCTTCCTCCGGACAGGACTGAACAGCGTGATCGTATCAATGGGGAATAAGAATAGAACTCAATAAGAATTGTTGTACAGCCGTGAGATTCGCTTCCGACCCGAGTCTGCTCAAGTCGGCATTTCAAAGGTGCCGTTGATGCCGAAGAATTGGAACCTGAAGTAGCGGTTAGCAAGTGTGACAACCATGTCCTGAAGATCTATGAATACATACCAATCTTCCACGTTCAAAGTAGTCGGCGCCGTAGGCCCGCTGCGAGAGCTGCTGCTCCAGTTATCATCCTGGCTCGCCGCGTCGATCGGCGCCCCGCTGATCGGAGCATCGAGCCCCTGCATCGGCCACGTTTGCTGGTTCTCCAGCCCGAACATCTGCGGTGGTTGCTGGCCCTGCAGGCTGATCCCGGCCGGCATGCTAGACAGGATCTCCGGACTTCCCTGGGCCCCGGACAGGCTCCGCGACGGCAGCGGTGGTTGGGACATCATGGAGCGCTGGTCCATGCCTTGGGGTTGCTGCAGTTGCGACTGCATATGGAGCTGCGGTTCGACGGTGTTGGTCTGCGGCGACGTCAACTCCGGGAAGATGGCCGTGCCGTCAGGGAACAGTTGGTCCGGCTGGAAGTTCTCCCAGAGCGACGGCGACAGGTTGGGCGAAGTTCGCGTGACAAGGAAGAGGTCGGGTGGCGTGGCAGGCAGGGAGAATTGTGCGTTGAACGGCGTCGTCGGTCGCGTGTTGCTCCGAGAGTTGCCTTCGCGCACCGGGGGAGACCCCTGGGGCACGCTCAATCCAGGCTGTCCCATCTCTCGGGACGGAGTGAGCGCCGGAGTCTGCGGACGAGATCGCTCGTACGAGACCGGAGGCGTGGGTCCTCCATTCGGCAGTCCCAGGTCCATATCGTCGAATTTGCGCTTGGGGGGATCGGGCCGTCTCGCGGGCTGCGGTTGAACCCCGTCGGGTCTCACTCTCTGGTGTCTTCGGCCGGCAGCCTTCTGAAGACGTTCCTCCAGCACCTTGTTGCCCAGAATGGACTCGAACAGGGTGTGGACCATCTTGGCCACGAGCCAGACCTTGGAGACGTCCTTCAGTGCTTGCATGCAGATATTGATTCGCTCTTGGCAGGTTGCCACCACGGAGGGGACGGAGGATCGCATTTGATAGACGTGCATAATCAGAGCCGAGAACAAACTATAGACACTGTTGGACTGTTAGTAGACGTTCGATCAGAAATTGAGGCATTCGAAACTCACATGAAGGCCGGGGTATATCGGATCTCTCGGTGATTCTGCAGGTTTTCGACGATCGAGGTGATCATCCCGGCAGCTTGGAAGGCGATGGTCCGCGACGGGTACGCCATCTCTTCGACCCGATAACTGCTGGGAACCGAAGAAGCCGGCGGCATGTGTGCTCGATGTAACAGACAGAGCGTCGTGCTGGTACCGGTCAGCAGGCATCGAGACATCTCCACGTTCTCAACTTACTAATAGTTCGCATGAAGAAGACCAGCCCAGAAGTGATGTCGCTGTCTCTGCCAACACACTTCCTTGGGACAATTCTGCAGCCAATCCGCCAGCGCCATGTCGGAATGGGTCAGATCCATGGCGTTCATGCGTCTCGATTTCGAGGCCACCGAGTACTGCTGCGACAGAACGAGACCCATGATCTCGCACAGCTTGACGTATTGCAGGAAGAACTGCACGTGAACGGGCTCGGGCGGATATTCGGCGGCGATATCAATCTCGTCTTCAATAAAGTCATCCTCCGTCAACATTCCGACGTCCGAGTCGTCCGTGTTGATGCCGATGGGCCGTCCCAGGGCCACGGCCACGGAGCGGTCGCGAGTGAACAATGTCCACCAAATTCGCTTCCATAGCCTCTTGTCCGGCTTCGTGAGTTGCGAGGATTCCACGCTGTGACCCTGTCAGATTCGATTTCCCAGATAGGTCTCGGCGAGATCATACCTTCGGTGCATTCCCGATCCCTGCGCGACCACCATTGCCACTCGAGTCCAGTAGAAGACGTTTTTGGTAACATCTACATAGCATCAGCACATTGTGACTCGGCAGGACTGCACTAGACGGAACTCACCTTCGGGGCCTTCCCAGTACCAGCCCAGGAGCACCAGAGCCTGAACGATCGTAACGCGGTCGTCTTCGTAATTGGCGTCGTACAGCGCCTTGGCCCGCTTGTAGAAGGTCATGGCGGCCGGGGTCGTCGAGCCGTTCGCATCCATCAACTGAGGATTCGTGCAGACTCGGGAACCTGCGAGGAGGATGGCCTGCAGAAGCAGTAGTGAAGGCGGGTTCTTGGGATCCCGGTAATGGCGCATGAAGCGACTGCGGTTGACGATGGGAACCACGGGGGCCACCCATTGGAAGTAGGCGTCCACCAGCTCGTCGCACAGCGGTTTGGGCGGCAGCAAGAAGGCACCGCGTTGATGGAGAATATCCAGCTCCAGGTTGTCCAGCTCGGTGACTCGCGATCGCGACCCGCGGATGTTGGGCGGCAGAGGATAATGCACGACGTCCGTGGTGCCGTGGCGATCCTGCACCAGGAGCGACAGGTTCGACGACTCGCCCAGGTAGGCGACGCGACCGGCCTCCTTGATGGGGGCGCGCGCGAACTTGGGCTTCATAAACTGGGCGTAGGCATTGTTCAGGTGAGCCTCTTGCACGGCCTCCGTTTCTGAGATGGCTTGAGCTTGAGCAGGCATGCCGTCGACGATCTGATTGTTCCGGTAGCCAAAGGCATCCTTGCCATCTCTTGCCGGGGTTTCCTGTTTCGGTTCGGGCTGCTCGCTGCGCTCTTCGCTTCTATACGCAGACGGACGGCGTTAGCAGGGAGAGTTCGAGCGGTCGCAGGCAGATCGCAAGACATACCCGTCAGCTTCCTTCGGTTTGGTTTGATTCTTCTTGCGTTTCGGCGTAGGGATCTTGCACTCGATCGAAAAGGCTACGCAGTTGGTGCAGGGAACACCCAAACTGGCAGCGTCGCAGCGCACCTAGGTGGACGAGAAGAAAAGCGGTTAGTTATGGTGGGTGTTGCGACCGGTGGGATAGCCTCGGGAGCGATCAGGGGGTGGCATGATGACACCAAAATGAAAATATACATGTGTACGGGCCTCGAGCTTACTTTTCGAGCATGGCAGGTCTTCACAAGCACGCCAAAAATGCCAGTTAGCTAATCATCCATGTTCAACGGGGGTGGTGGTTGCGCGAGGAGCATCGCATCCGCCCAGTCGAGGAGCTGATGGAATGAACCGAGGTGCCGAGGCTTCTCGAGTCGCGTCCGCTGCAGCCAAAAAAAAAAAGAAAGAGAAGCGTACCTCACAAGCGCGCGACGCACGTTGTCTAGATTAGATCCAAACCGATTAGCATTTATAAGTTGACCCTTAAATCCCGATTGAATTTGTTTTGGTCCCGAACTGCCTTTCCGGGCTGGCGAGAGCAGCAGTCCAGGAGTGCACCTCAGGGCCTCCACCACCCCGCGACCACCGACACCACCTCCTGGCGGCGCACTCAACTCGTTGGGAATGGAATGTTCACACACCTTCTGAAACTCATCTGTCCGTTGGCCCCGGTGCGCACGGTAATGCCCGAAGTGCCCGTCGAGCCGGCAGCACTGGGCGCCGGGCTGGGTCTGGAATTCGTAGAGTCGGTGTGAATGTCGCCTGCTGTGCTCATGGCCAAAAGGTATCCATCCAGAGAACCGCGATCTGAGAGAACGTGGGAGAGGCGAAAAGATCCGGAGATTTAAGCGGTGGGGGAGAGCGAGGGGCAGTTCCAACCCAGAAAAACGCAAGGGAAAAAGGATGTAGGAATAAGGGAATGACCAGCCAAATGACGGGCGGAGAATGGACGACGCCACTCGGGGTCACCAGGGAAGAGAGAGGCCCAGGAACCGGCGATGGCAGGGCAAAAGGAGTGAGTGGCAATAGTCGAGAATTCGAATCCCAGTCCGGAGTCGTTAGTGAGATGGTGAGATGGGGAGTTGGGGAGTTGGTGGATGGACCAGAAAGTGGACGATGGAGGATTGAGAAGACCAGAGATCGCCGTGGTGGAGACAAGTCGAGGTGAATGCGAAGGGCCCAGGGTCCAACGGTTGATTTACAGCGTACATCGAGAGGTGCAGCCTTCTGGTTCTGTTTATCGATTTAATTTGAATTGCTGGATTTTCTGAGATGATTTTCGATCGTATTCTACGGTGCCTCATGGATTATTACTCTATGCTTCTACTGAGCACATTCTCCCAACACTATCCATGGATAGATACACTCCGAAGACTCGAATCCTGCACGGCGTCCTCATCCCGGCAGCGTCCATTGCTTGCTTCCCTGCACTCGCGGCACTTTGGTCCTTAATATCTGTCGTCCTGACTCGAGGTCCGGTCGGTCGTCCCCCTGGCCACTCCATCTCCACCGGTGGGCCCAGTTGGTCCGAATCCACTGTTTCGTGCCCCCAATGATGTTGCCGTTATTTGCATCGGGAATGTGCTCCGTGTCGACAGATGCCATCTCTTCTATCCCCGACGCGGAGAGGCATACAGAGGAAGGAGACTCCCCCGAACTGAAACTCGCTGCGATCGAGATCCGCAAGAGCGTCCAAAAGGACCGGTCTAGTTTTTAGGTCGGACTTTCGTCCCCAAAACCGTGGGCGGGCGAGCCTTGCGACGGATCCAGTTAGCCTCGAAGGTCCTCTTGAGCCATGACTCCTCTCGACTCCTGATCGACTGGTCCCGCACGAGAAGGAAAGATGATCCTCGGGCTTCTCGCGGTCTCCGGGACCCCGACTCCCCTCGAGCTTCTCTGGATGATCTGCCTCGTTGGTGCCACGCGGGGGCTTACGGGACACGCCCGTGGAGAGCCGGAAGGAGTGGCAGTCCGGGGATGCTTCAATCATTTCAATATGAATGGCTCCCAGGGAGAAAGACGGTCGCAGTCCATTCCCGTCCGGGATTAGACAGGCTTTCCCCGCACTGGCGGTTCCTGGACGCTGAAATGTCGCGCTCAGCAAAGCTTGGTGGCTCGTGATGCCTCGGTTCACTCGTCTAGAATGCGTCTGCTTATTATTATTCCAATGCAGCTAAGCGGTCTATATCACACATATACATTTCATTATGACGCGCCTCCCCCGGCAACTGATACGCAGTACGATCCTTCGCTCCCCACGCCTACCGCGTCTTTTTCGCCTCCGCTCCCTCGGTTTTCTCGGGAGAAGCACCGTCCGTGGCAGCTCTGGCGCCGGGGCCAAACTGAACCCCGCTGATGAATGCCTCGCTCAAGAACTCCAGCCCCGCCACGAACGTGCACAGGAAACTGGCAATGCAGAAGTGACTGATCGTCGTGCCGATGTCCAGCCACGACCCCTCGTCGCGCACCATGTAGAAGAAGTTCAGCGTCATGACGTCCGAGATGGACATCACCACCATGAACAGCGCGCTGGGCGCCACTTCCAGCCGGCGGTTCAGGATCCCCAGGTTGGCACTGATGATCGCAAACGGAATCAGAAGCTTCAGGATGAGCAGGGCGCCCTGGCTGAACGGGTTGAAGATCGGGATGAGCCGGTTGACGCTGTCCAGCGAGAACGAGGAGATCGACGCGATGTTGCCGGTGCTGAAGAAGGCGGATTGGAGCAGGAAGAAGAAAAAGAGGGCCACACGTGCGTCCGAAAGACTCAGCGCCCGGTACTGGTACGCTTGGCCCTGCACGATAGCCGTGGACTCCCGACTAGCTTTCTTGGGCACCTCTGGCTCCGTGCCTGCGCCTGGATTCTCCGCCGCTGGAGGCGCAGCGGTGTGCACGTAAACGGCATGTTCCAGCCGAACCCATGTGATCAGCGTCATGCAGAAGACGAAGTAGAACAGGCCCTCGTAGGAGATGGTGAGGATGATAAACGTCGGGGAGAAGGTCAGGAAGATGACCATCAGCCGGTGCAGGTAATGGCTGTTGGGGTATAGTCGGTGAAAGAATGGTAGCAGAAGCGAGGAAACTACAGGACACGAGGTGTTAGCTCCACCGTCGAAAGCGCGACGAGTCACGCCTGGACTTACCCAAGACAACCCATCCAACCACCTGGTTCCCGAATGGAAGACCCTGCTTGGCCTGGAGAGAGGTGGCGCTAGACCGGGTAACGATCAGGGCCAGCAAGACCATGCCGAGCTATGGAAAGGGGTCAGCACTTGGTCCGTCGTTCCCCCGCAGTATTTTAGTTCCAACTAGTAGTTTATTCGTACCTGAGTCCCCATGATTGTCCGGGAGCCACAGCTGACGGCGGACTGTGCGGGGGTTTTGCTTTGTCGCAAGATACTGTCTTCAAATAGAAGATACAGCAGGCCGGTGAAAAACATCAACAGGGCCCCGTAGGTTATCGTGCTAATGTCCTCCTCCTTGTTGGCTGGCAGCAGAGTGAAAGTACTCATCAAGCCACAGCCAATAGCCCACGAGGCAGAAAGAAATTTGTTTGCCTTGACAACCTTGGTCCCGTAGAACAGGGGCCAAAAGGCTCCCAGCAGAAAGCAGACCGTGTAAATTTCGCGGTGGAAATAAGATTGCACCTATAAAAGCCCTGGAGTCAGCCCGATATTCATTCGGTTTGGGTTGGACGGCTCGACTTACCAGGGCCTCCAACACGCCCACATACACCAGAGACTGCAAGACGAGTCCCAAAACCCCGGTGGCAGAATGGATATGACCCAGGAGAATCTGACGACCTGCGACGAGAGCTTTGCGACGAGCAAAGACTTCTTCCCAGAAATAGACGGGGAAGAACCCGTAGAAGTAGTAACGCCAGGAGGATCCCTGGTACAGAAAGACTGAAAAGAGAGCGACAAGAATAGACGAGAAGAAAATAGTGCTCGCCAGGGTCCGATTCGCATCGGCGGTCCCATGCAGCACATGGAGATCTATGACCGTCGTCAAGGCATACGCGATCCAGCCCAGGTAGCCGAACGAGATGATTGTCCGCAGGAAGAGCCAGTCATACGTCTGTAAATAGCGCAGGCCTTCCAAGGCCGTGACCAACAGCGAAGAGGACAAGTCGATCGACTCCTTGTACAGGCCATTTGCATTCAAAGTCTTAATCTGCTCGAGATAGTCCTCGACGGAAGTCTCGCCGTCATCCGCGAGGGGTTCAAATTGCACGTAGCGCAACACCGCGGCCCTCTTCTGCTCCTCCTTCACGCGATACATCTCCAACACCTCTTGCGTGTTTGCAAGAGAAGCAAGTGCCTTCTCTTTGGGGCTTGCATCCAGGTAATCCAACGGCAACTGGCCGACGGAATTGGTGGGGAAATCCAGTCCAACCAAGTAGGCCATGAGAGCGGCGACATCAGCCTGCGCGACGTCGTTGCGCTGAATCTCATCAAGACCCCAGTCGAACGAAACGCCGTCCTCGTGTCCAGTCGGGATACCGTCCCGAGTATATCTCGGGCTCGCGACGCCGGAACCCCAAGCAACTAGAGGTGTCCGCGTGTTATCGGGATGACCGTCCCCGTGGCTACCCCAATCGCTCATGCCATGATCAGCAGTGAAGATAAACGCCGTCTTATCGTCCGCGTAGAACTCCTCCACCAGTTTGGTGATTTCCTGTACCCCCTTGTCCACCACCTTGACATTATGCAGGTATTCCTTCGAGTAGGGACGGAAACCGTGGCCGGTGGTATCGAGACCGAGGAGATGTAAGAAAAACACAAGCTTGTCGTCGCGAAGCTGTGCATCTAATTCCGGATCGGTCTTGGCGGATTCAAAAAGCTCCTTGACCTTCTCAAAAACCCAGATATCCAGCTGTGTCGCATCCGACGTAAAGTCCTCGACCGATTCACTGTACATGTCCGCATCAATTCTTCCCGGAACGCCCCCCTCCTGGAACATGGCCAGAATGTCCGGACTGCCCCAGCTCCACGTATGCCGGCTTCGGTTGAAGACACTGTCAAAATTGACCGGGTTCAGCTTCCACCCGGTGGTCACGGCAGACACATCTTCGTATAGGCCGGCGATAAGCGCAACGTGCCCGGGTCTCGATTCGGTGGGCACTCGGGTGTGCGAAATACCGAAGGTTCCGTGGGAAAGCACGCGGGAGCGAATATAAGGCGCCAGGTAGATCGGGTCATCGTTCTCGGCCTCCGGGGAGGCATCTGGGTCAGGGAATGCTTGGAATGCTTTATCAGCGCGCAAGCCATCTGCAACGAAGAGGAAGAGACGTTGAGCCGGGGCGGCGGTATTGGGTTCTCGCTCCACCCGGTATGATCTCATGCCACTCACGATCGGGCTGACGAAATAAATGTCAAAGATCGAATAAGCATATATGAGATGGAATACTACCGCGAGGGTAAGAAACCCAACGCGGCCGAGACGCGCCATGACTTCCTTGGGAGGAAATCCAGTTCCAGAGAGAAAGGAGGACTGGATTGCTGGAAGACAGGTCAATGCTGGAACAGACAGTACCCCCAAGCGAGCAATTGCATCGATAGGATTCAAAAGGGGAGGGGAAAAGAACAGATGGGCAGGCAGGCAGGATTGTCCCACCGCTTCGAGTCGCAAGATGGCACTATTGCGCGTTCCTGAGTGGCTCCGGGGGGGACCTGCCGAGACTCCGGCGGGCGGCGCGGCCACAGAGCGCAACTCCCAAGGTACTATAGAATTATGGAGCACGAGGTGTCCAGTCGCTTTGCATACTCCTATTGCTTCAATTACTCCAAATTACTCAATATACCCAAGTTATTAGTCCAGCACCATACGCCTCCGTGTCCAATGTAAATATGCAATGACTCAAACGCCGTTTGACCAGACTCCTGCCAATGCGCTGACGAAGAAGTATTGGCAGATCGAGCTGGGTCCAATTTGACAAACTCAGGAAGCAAGAAAGAAGGCTAAAGAAAGTGGAGTGCCAGGATGGCTGCAAAGGTCACAGGAAATTCAGGCCACTCATTAGCGAGTGGAACTGTTTCGCCGCTTCGTGAGTGCGTCGATGACTCGAGTGTAGAATTTCGACGCCTGCTGGCGAACAAACGTGATATCCACCGTGAGGTATTCAGGAAGAATATCAACTAGCTCGCGGTCTCGGTTCTCGTCCAACAACGGAATGTACTGGAATTCGGCGGTCTCAAAACTGGCAGCGGTCTCGTCCAGAGGAACGGCCAACTTGAAATGAAGAGCTGGAGGTCAATTAGTAAATAATCCTCGGTAGATCATACTGTTATAGGGAGACAAATTGGTATTTAAATCGAGATTCAGAGCACTTACTTCCGTTGATACCGGTCTGGATGCAATCATACAGATTGTCGGCGTCCCTCCTCTTAACATCGCGGATGATGAGACCTGTGAGATCACTATACAGATCCTCTTTCAATTGTGCGAACTGAGCAGCGTGCGCAGCCTCGGCATTCGCCGCGGCATTGGCACGGTTCGCACCGCCGCCCTTAATAGCACTACCAGGGACCTTGATCGCGGCGTTCTCCAGGCTTGCGGCGGTATTCCGGGCAGCGGCAAGCTTAGTCTTAAGAGCCTTGGCTTCTGTTTGGGCCGATGTCACTTGAGACGATGCTTCTTCGGCCTGCGACTTAAGCTGCGCAATCTCGGCGTCACGTTCCTTGAGTTCTTTCTGTAGCGTCCGACTTTGCTGGCCGAGCACTTTCTGAGCTCCCAGTTCTTCTTTCAACGACGCAATTACATTGTCCGATGCTGTAAGTGGTTAGGCACGAGGTCAGAATTCCGAGGGAAATAATACACACCAGTTTTCATCGATTCACACTGTTTCCGTAACTTGTCCATGTTGGCATTTGCCTCCACTATTCCGATCTCCTTGAGGGTGCGATATCGGCTCTCCAGGGTATCGCATTTTCGTGTAAGCTCACCAATCTTCCGTCGTAATTCCGGCTCTCCGCCGTTTTTATCGTCCTCTCCGATAGTTGCACTTCTGCGCTTGGCCGGGGAGCTTAGCAGGTTTCGCTGGGTCGATTGCCTACGCTTGGTGGGCGAGGCCGAAGCAGCACGTGGCAGCACAGGCTCTTCCTGCAGCATTGTCTCTTCAACCACTTCGGGCACATCAGGTGCCTCGTTCTCGGTCTCGGGCGCTTCATTATCGGCCTCGGTTTGCATGCGAGTTTTCCGTTGCTGTCTCTTCGGCTGCTCCGACTGCTCGGGCTGCTCTGACGGCTCCTTCGCCTTTCCAGGGGATTTGGTCTGTCGCGCCGCACTTGGGGTATACTCAAATTCGCCGTCGGTCTTGAGCTGGTTCCCCGTACTTCCCTTCTTCCGGCCACGTGTACCTGCAGACTTTGCAGCTCTGGTGGGCTTTTTTGACTTGGGAGCCTCCTGCGCGTCATCGACCTGGCCATTGGCAGTCGGAGCATTCTCCACTGTCTGCGGACCTGCATCCTCTGCCGCTGCCGTGCCTGGTCCTGGTTGATTTGTCGTCTCCTGCGCCTCTGCTGCCTGCACCGAGGTTCTCGAACCCTTCGGTCGACCTCTTCGCGTCGTTCTCTTCGTCGTGGGTTCCGCGGGCGGGGCGGGGACATCCGAGTTCCTCTTCGTCTGCGCAGATGGTTTGGGCTCCGTGGACTTCGAGCGAGGTCTCCCTCTAACTTTCTTCGCGGGCCGTTCCTCCTGCGTTTCGTTGATCTGCATCACATCCTCGTCATCGGACCCGGGGGCCACGCCAGAGAACCTGGTGGCTCCCTTTCGTTTAGGCATGCTGAGCCTATGTATGCCAATAGAGGAATACGCGCGTATATATGAGGTATATATAAAGTATATAGATAAAAAAGTGTGGCACGATGCGTACCAACGCAGCAATAACAGCACGACGGAGCGGCGCGTCAACTCCGCCAAACAACACAGGCGGTGAGCATGTGACCGAGGCAAGCCACGGCGCCACACCTGTTCTCGCCGACGTCCGGTCCTTCTACTTACTCCCCCCAGTCTCCCTCTTCGATCCTCTCCTGTTGCTGGTCTCGGGAAATTTCAGTCCGGTTTTCTTATTTTGATCGCTTTTCGCTGTCTACTCTACTGTGCTATTTATCTCCAAGGCTTATCTCCTCACGTATTCTCTCTTTCGCTGACCCTCCGTCATGGCTTCCGCGCGCGGTCCACGATGGCAGCAATTCCTGCAAGAGCTGGTAATGGTTGCCGGCACGGTATGTCTTCCTGCGCTGCGACCAGTCGCCAGGGGCTAATGATATCGTCTCAGTCGGCTTCGGCCTATTTTCTCATTCGCTATCTCCTCTCCCGCCTTGATTTTGACCCCGAAAGTCAGAAGAAAGAGGAACAACGTCGCAAGTCCGCCGCTATTCTGCGCAAGTTAGACGGAGGAGAAGAGTCGGAGGAAGAGACGCCGCGCGGTGAAGGAAAGAAGGGCCGCCGACCAAAGCGAGGCGACCTGGTTCTCAACCAGTATGAGCAGGCGATTGCGATGGATGTGGTGGCTCCCGACGACATTCCCGTTTCCTTCGAGGATATCGGTGGCTTGAGCGAGATCATCGAGGAACTGAAAGAGTCCGTGATCTATCCCCTGACCATGCCTCATCTATACACGTCCACCTCGTCGCTCCTCACGGCCCCGTCGGGTGTTCTGCTATACGGCCCGCCTGGATGCGGGAAGACCATGCTGGCGAAGGCTCTTGCGCATGAGAGCGGGGCATGCTTTATCAACCTACATATCTCAACCCTGACCGAAAAGTGGTATGGCGATTCGAACAAGCTTGTCAATGCGGTCTTTTCGCTGGCCCGAAAGCTGCAGCCCTCCATTGTCTTTATTGACGAGATCGACGCCGTCCTGGGAACCAGACGCAGCGGGGAACACGAGGCGAGCGGCATGGTCAAGGCAGAATTCATGACTCACTGGGACGGTCTTACCTCGGCCAATTCCTCCGGTGAACCTCAGCGTGTTGTCGTGCTGGGTGCGACCAACCGAATTCAGGATATCGACGAGGCGATTCTCCGGCGAATGCCCAAGAAATTCCCGGTGGTTCTGCCTCCGGCGCCGCAGCGTCTCCGGATCCTGAGTCTCATCCTCAAGGACACCAAGGTGGATCGGGAGAATTTCGATCTTCACTATTTAGTCAAAGCCATGGCAGGCATGTCGGGTAGTGACATCAAGGAGGCTTGTCGTGATGCCGCCATGGTCCCGGTCCGGGAGCTCATTCGTCAGAAAAAGGCCGACGGTCAGCAAATGACGTCCGTCGACCCTAGCGAGGTTCGCGGTCTTCGGACCGAGGACTTCTTTACTCGTGCTGGGGGTGTTCGAGTCATTCCACCACCTGCCCAAATACAGACACAATCCAGCAAAGCTAACTCCGAGAAGGAATGGGTTTCCGAGTCAGAGGGCGCCTCCGAAGCGGACGCACGGCCGTCTGCAGAGATGGTCGAACCTCCGGAGTGATTTCCTTGTTTATGTGCGATGATACTATATTTGACTCTTTGCTATTCTGCCACTTCTACGCATCTCAGGACCTGGCATCCACCCTCCTCTTCGTTATGCTGCGCTCTTCTTTCTATTTACTGAACATAATAACCGATCTTCACCCGCCAGCTTTTTGGGGTACACGACTGGGTTCTAGTACGGCCACGAGAAATGTTTTTTTTTTTTCTATAGAGCACCCGATCTTGCTTTTTCACTTCCGTGTATTATCATTAGATGGGCTATTCAATGAATGATATTGCCTTCCATTACGCCTAAGTTAACTGTACAGTTGATGGACACCGAACACCCGACCCTGGTCCCGAACTCCCTTGGCATGGTTGGGTACAATTTAGCCAATCATGCCGGGCTCAATTTCATAATCTGGAGGGCATTACGGGCCACCATGCGCAAAGATTCAATACTCAGTTGGAACACATCGTTGGGGTCTCTCCCCGGGGTGTCGACCTCCCCGAACAACTCGCCACGGGTCAGGTGAAGACTTGCAGCGGCTTCTTCTTCGGTCCCGGCAGGAAACACGACCTGTCATCGTTGTTAATACTGCGGCAGACAATGAGGAATATAAAGAGACAAGGGGGACTACACGAACCTCGCTCTGTCGCTTTGCCGGAATGCCGGTCAAGTCGCGGCTATAGACCTCGATCGACCCTTTGACCTTGGAGTCCGAGGTTCGGGTCCATTTCAGCAGCATCACGACCTTGACATAGGGTCTTCCACCGAGCAACCACAGATCGACATCGTTGCGCAGACGAGGATAAGCCTCCTCCCATCCGGTTTCCACCACGACGGAGGGCAGTCGCTGGGTTCCGGGTCGGATGAAGAGGTCCGGTTCTTTACACGATTTATCGTAAGGGGGCTTGAACGTCCGAATGGCTAGATGCAAATAAGCGACGAGTTCATCGGCGGATGGAGGGGATTCACTTACGCATTCCCACCTTGGTGCGCAGTTTCTTCAGTTCTTCGAGCGTCAACTGCCCCGACACCATCCAGTTGTAGTTCTCGTTGCGCACCCAGAGTTGATGGCACGCGTGGATTTCCGTGGGCATCAGCCGCACCCACAGGACCTTGGTAACGGAGTTATAGTGTAACCTGGTCAGACGGTTAGGAAGAGCTGCTCATCGGGGGGTGCGATTCGGCCGGCGACCTACCGAGAACAGGCGCTTTCCTCGTCCTCGTGGACATTTAACGACTGGACGATATGGGAGCCCCAGGCGGGCTCGACGTCGGTATAGACCAGCTCTTTATGGCGAGCTCTTTGGATCACCCCCGAGAGAATCTGCGACAAGAGGTCACTTTCCGTGCGAAAGGCCAATGCCGACGTCGTGATCTGCTCTTGCGCCGGGCTTAACATGTAGGAAACACTGGCCATAGTAGCGAGGATCAATCCGCGATGCGAGAGGAGAAAACCATGCACGAGCAGCACATCATGACATTTTAATATAGTTTTAATTCGGGAGGACGAGGCCGCATAGTAATAGCTGTCGGTCATGTCACGCATGAAGGCAAATGACGTATACCAACCTGGCGAGGCTACTACCTACTTAGGCAATACCTGCGATGGGCCGGCCGTCGATGCCGCCGTGACCCTGACGGCCTTTCCATGGATGCTCTCGTCTGACTGTCCCTTTTTATAGTATTCTGGCGCTCGGCTTCCGGTCATCCCGTCCACCTGGCTCGGACAGGCTCGGACAGGCTCGGCGGGTAGCTGGAGATTGTATGCGGCGACTGTTTCCCCTTCCACCTCCACGGGACCCGAGGCGTCCATTTAGGAAGCAGAAATGTTGCCAATTCCGCTCGTGTCCAAATCATCGCCCTTCTATCTTGCAGAAGACCCTGGTCGAGTGTTCTGCAGGGGGGGAGCTCTTGATAGCTCCGGGCGCCCTCCTGCCACATCCTTCAACAGTCGCTCGTATTCCTCGACGGGCAATGCCTCGAGGCTCGAGGTCGAAGCTACACGAAATCCAGGAACACGACTCCTGACCGAACGAGAACTAGTCACTCGCTTACTGACTATGTACTCCTCCGTAAGTTGCCTAAGGATTCTCCTTTCTGACAGCGTGACTAATGCCAATGGAACCCCCGTTAAAGCGGCCCGCGCAACCTTCCGGAAAAGGAAGGAGCATCGAGACGTGGCGGGCGATACCTCGACGGTACGCAGGGCTGGGGGGGATTCTCCGCCAGCGCCAAGTACCGGCAAGTACTGCTCCATACCATCATCAGATACCTCCTTCCTTTTCGCCCTCTTGCTCAATCGATCCGATCTACTTAATCCTTAATCCATGTATGGGTAGAGTCCGAATGCCATAACATCTTGTTTACTCGTTAGGAAAGATACATTAGTTAGTACTACGGATTAGATATTTGCCTTTGCTGGCCGTATGGATTTCTATCGCCAGGTTGACGGAGGGATCGGGTCAAGGGTGGATGCTCAATATCTGCCGGGGGAGAAGAACTCAGCCTACCTACACTATCTATACTATCTATACTATCTACACTTGACGAAGATTGAATTGGATGACCCTCATGATAATTGAACGAAAGAACCCCGCCGGTCATGGCCGTCGTCATCAGTGCGGCTAACACCCGCCATCCCGCCCCATCCACAATCCCTCGTCTGTCCTCTCGCTTTCTCTCTCCCTCTCCTTCCTGCTGGTCTGACTACTCCATTCATCCCCCCCTAATCCATCCAGCGCCACTTGATCCAATCTCTCCTTGACCTCTCGGATTTTTCCCTCGTTTGCCCCCCGCCATCCACATTCTCCCTGCGAATTCACCGCCCCCCGTCGAAAGGACACGGATGCGATCTGGAGGCTGGATGCCGCATGGTCTGCTATTGAGACCCTCCAATGGCTCTTTGCCTAGGCGATCGCACACCCTGAGTTGAATCTCCTCCACCCCCCTTTCGGAGGAGTTTAGTACTCTCTCCCCTCCATTCCTCCCCGAGCAGATCGATTCCTCCTTTCATCTCCTTCGTCGCCAGGGATGAGTTTCCAGAGCGGGTTCGTCGATACCTTGAACCCTGGGACGACCAGTACAAATACCAGCCGCCGATCGACCTCCACCGTCCGATCTCGTACACGCCGCTTCGTGCCCTCCACCGACGATGACGACGAGGAGAATGGCCGACAGCTGCAGTCCACCAGTCTGTCGGCCATGCCGTCCCGCGACCCGTCGACGATCCGCTCCCGCGGCAACACGCCGTCCCCTTTCCCATCTCGAGGCGTGTCGCCGATTCCCAAAAGCCATCCATCCCGTGCCACCCAGTCTCCCAGCCGCAACGGTCTGAATAGCTCGCTGGGAGGTTTCTACCCGTCGGGCAAGGGTCCGGTCAATTTCGCCGACTCGTCCCGGGCGGCAGTGGACTTTCTGGACTCCTCGTGGTCGTCGCTGCAGAGCTTGGCCTCGTCGGTGCTAGGGAGTGACATCGCCCGACCGGCTACGAATGGATCCGCTCGAACGCATGTCCGGAAACCCTCGCGGCCGGATCCGTACACGAGGACGGCATCGCGGACGGCGGCTCCCGCAGCCTGGGGTCCCGCCGTGTCATCCGGGCCGGAAATCGGCGCCGGCACCCAGGAAGAACGGCAGGCTTTTGTGCAGGCGAAGAAACGGGAGGCGTTGCTGCTGGCAGATGCGGCCGAACCCGGGAACCCCAGTCTGCGCCACAAACGACGAGATTCCAGCGATCAGACGGGTCACTCCGCCATTGACCCGGAGCGGGATGAGGAGGCGCTGGCATATATTCATCATGTTCAGGCGACGGACTCGATCACGGGGGTGACGATACGATATGGCTGTCAGCCTGCAATATTTCGAAAAGCGAATGGATTCTGGCCCATGGACAACATCCAAAGCCGCAAAACCGTTCTGCTGCCGGTCGATTCTTGCTCGGTCAAGGGTCGGCCTGTCGATCCTCGGGGGCAGGATAATCTACTGGATGACGACGATGCCAGACGGAAGTCATTGGAGGATCCGAACGGCAGCTCGATCGCCCCGGTGCCTGACCCGGACTCCCCTCGCCCGTTTGAAGGAGGCAAGACACCGGATACGACGGAGGAGGCGGAGGGCGATCGCATCTGGAAGCACGAGTCGTGGGTGCAAATCGACGGATTTCCAGCGCCCGTGGAAATTGGTCGGGTGCCTCGCCGGGCATTGGGGTTTTTCCCACGCACCCGACGAAAATCAGTGTCCTATACGGATTCCGGATCCCCGTCAGTGTCAGGACGGGACCGGACCGCTCCTCCGTCGGCTTCGTCGTCACCTATTGAACCTGCCTTGTCACCGGCCATCTCTACACGACCGCACGCGGATTCGTCGGCATCGAGAGGCTCCTCTCAGTACAAGCCTAAAATTCGCCATCAGCGCCAGCGCAGTAACATGCAGCTCTCGGCGCCCGGTGTCGGGACCCTGGACCGCGATGTTATGGCGCCGGGCCCGGCTCAAGATGGTCTTAGCAAATGGTTTGCTCAGCATCTTCCCAACCTCGCCCCGGCCCCGGCTCCGCCAAATTTCGAAAACACGTCGGAGAACGCGTCGACGGCGAACTCCAACACGCCGACGACTAGTCTTGACAACATCGGCGGTGCCGTCGAAGGCTGGGTCAGAAAGATGACTACCCGGGCGAAGACGAGCTTCAACGAGCTGCAGCAAGGCGCATCGTCTCCTGGCACCGGCATGAGCCCGGGAATCAGCCGCCGGGGAACGGGCGACTTGATTGAGCTCAACGACGGGCTGGAATCCAGGAGCACCTCAGGGCTGCTCGGCGAGACGCGCTTAAGACCCGAATTCAATCGATCCGGATCCAGTCTCCATGCCGGAGCATCTGTGAGAGAGCGGTTTCCCAGCCCTGCATCCGGAACGAGCGGGACTCGTTCCTTTGGAGACCGTTACAAAGACGATTGACGGCATTGCTTATCCATAATGCGAACACTCTTCCATACCCACTTTTTTTTTTTTTTTTTTTTTTTCAATTTATTGTTCATCATATCCTTGAATCCAGATTCCCCTTTGACCATCCATTCGGATAGCAGCATGGTGCTGAGTCCGCTTGATACGACATCTTCGAAAGCCCTTGTTCGATATACAATACCTTGTACGCTTGCAGCATAGCGTGGCGCGACAGAACACAAGCCGTCGGTAGAAGGCTGGTGTCAGTAATTGGTGGTTGGTCTAATCTATATTCCCGGGTGCTTGGGAGGCCTCTGCATCTCTTTCTTATCTCTTGTCTCTTATTTTTCTTGTATGTACGTACCCAGCGTTGCTTTTGAGGAGCGGTATACGGAGATATACCGACGACCGGGATGTGTTTAGAGAGCCAAGTATAGCGGCAAGTCATCCGATAGATTAATTGTGATTGTTTATACCGAGGGACTCCCATCGACCGGCCTATCAGTTGGTGCCTTCGTCTCGTCACGGAGAAATTCCAGCTTCGTTCCCCACCGATGCCTAGCCTCTAGTCCGTGCCGGCGTCGTCGTGCACTATTTCCTCCACCTATAACGGGCCCATCTGCGGGTTATACATCAGGGAGACGCTCTTCAGTCTATGTCATGCTTCCCCACACTGCACCCCATACCCCATATTCATTTTTAATTACTCCTGCGGAGAAAGCCAATATCCAGAAGGTTGAGATAAATGCCTATATATGTCTACCCTGGTCCCCATCCCATTCCATCCCATCTTATCAGATCAATTGATAATGACCTCTGTCTTCGTACCTAATTCCCAGTCGACACCTTAACCATGCCCACCAATCATCCCCGCCTCCGCAGTATACTAGCAGCCTCTCCCCTCTTCGGGCTATTAGCATCCCTCTCCTCCGCGGCCGCTGCACTACCTTCTTCTTCATCTACAGCCCATCCCTCCCTCCCGAAAGTCACCTTAACACCGGCGGACTCTGACGCCCACCCCGTCGTCTTCCAGGGCCGCTCGATCCCAGAGTTCCGACAGGATGTTTTCCTGGGGATCAAATTCGCGGACGAGCCGGTGCGGTTCACCCCGTCGGAAGTGAAGAGGGCGTATGGTGAGATTCTTCCCCTTGGCTTTATAATCGCCTATGATATGTTCTATAAACGAGTTACTAGAGGGAAGGGTAAGCGGAAGCTAACAGATAACACCGGCTAGAAACCAAGACCTACAACGCAACCGCCTACGGCTTCGAATGTCCCGGCTATGGATCGGACGAGACGAAGCTGATTAATGCCGGCACCATCCAGTTGAGTGAGGATTGTTTGAATTTGAATATTATTCGGCCGTGGACAAACTCAGGGAATTCGTCTGGCACTGCTGGTTCTCGGACTTCGAAGGAGAAGACCGATGGTGAGCTGCTGCCGGTTCTCTTGTGGATCTATGGTGGTGGATGGCAGCAGGGGGCGACGGCGGATCCGAGGTATGTCTCTGTTCGTTTATTTTTTGATTTTATTTTTTTCCCTTCTCGCTGCTTTTGCTGGGGGAGTCGGGTGTTGTCTTGTGGAGATGCATTAGGGTGTGATCGTTGGCTGATCGGAAATAAATCGGAATAGGTACAACATGAGCTACATCGTCCAGCAAGGCGCTGAGAGCGGAACTCCCGTGCTCGGAGTGTCGATTAATTATCGATTAGCGGCGTTTGGTCTGCTAGACTCAGAGGAGATTAGGGTATGCTGCTTATATGTCCCTTTGAAACCTTTGAAGAAGAAGAGCATTAACCGGCGGATGACGCAGGAATCCGGGAACAATAACCTCGGACTGCGTGACCAGCGCGTCGCCATGAAATGGGTCCAGGAGAATATCCGCGCCTTTGGTGGTGATCCGGAGCGGGTGACTATCTGGGGGGAGTCAGCGTAAGTGATATTTGATCTCGTGTTCTTGGGCAGAGCTTGAAGGCGAATACTAATAAATGCCATGCGTGTAGAGGTGCGTATAGTGTGGGAGCGCATCTGGTCGCCAACGGAGGAGACCACGAGGATCTTTTCCGAGCCGGTGAGTCGAACTTGGATTTCTTTGCCCTGATATCTGCATCTGTTGATCTCCAAACTTCAGCTATCATGGAATCCGGAAACGCAGTGGGCCCGCCCTGGAACGGTACGGATTGGTACCAGCCCATGTATGACCGAATCGTCAACAAGACTGGGTAAGTGATCTCCCTCATTTCACGTCCAAGAGGCGTCCAAGAGGCAAAGAAAGAGGAAGAAGAAGAAAAGCTCACAACCCTAGCTGTACCGGCTCATCCGACACCCTGCAATGCCTGCGAGATGTGCCCTATAAAACTCTATACGACAACGCCTTCGAAGGACTTGAATGGTTCGCCGCAGTCGACGGTACTTTTATCCGCGAATACCCCCAGATCAGTTTCTCGGAGGGCCGATTCGCATCGGTACCAATCCTACTGGGGACGAATACCGACGAAGGGACAAGTTTCGGCACGACGGGCACGGATACGGATGAGGAGTGTGTGGAGCAGTTGATTTGTAGGTTCCTGTCTTCCCCTTGACAATGGCTTCCGCAGAAGACGGGAAAAACAAAAAGACTGACTCAAATAGCTTCTAAACGATGGGTGCTCGATCGCAACCAAGCCACCAAGCTTTTGACATACTACCCAGACGACCCGGCCGTCGGGTGTCCCTACGGATGGGGCAACACGACCTGGCCGCAGCTGGGAGCCATGTATAAGCGGTACGAGTCGATGGCAGGAGACATCAGCATGGTGGCGCCGCGACGACTGCTGGCCGAGACGATGGCGAAGGCCGGCAAGGACGTGTACAGTTATCGGTGGGACGTGGCAGCTTTGAACTCATCAAGTACCATTGGCGTGGGACATTTTGCCGAGGTAGGCACCTCTCCCACAATCTACTCGTAGAACATGAGGGAGACGGTAGACTGACAGGATTCGGACAGATTCCGTTCGTCTTCGCCAACCCCGACCAGACCATGACGCCCCTGGGAGACGACCCGGCGCGCCTGGAACTGGGCAAGCTAGCGGCTCGCATGTGGACGTCATTCGCGACGGATTTGAATCCCAATGGTCACGACGGTATGTGTTCTCTTCCCCGCATGACGGTGGAGTTCACTAGGCCCCCTGGAGCAGTGAACTAAAGCAGGATGAGCTAACGAGTGGAGTTCTGTCGAACCTGTAGTGCCTCAGATCGCGCCATGGCCGCAGTATGCGCTGCAGGACCCGTCGAATTTCGTCTTCCGACTGCCCCGCCAACAGAGCTATGTCGAGGCCGACACGTATCGAAAGGAGGGGATGGCCTATCTCAACGGGATTGCGCGGTAACCGCGACGAAAGATGGGGGTTGAATGGATCATCGGATGTGGATTGGTGGCGAGGAAGACACTAGCGTGAGACTCCAGAGCTGACAGGCCGACAGGATGCAGTGCAGTGCATGATGTGATATGCAGCCATCCACGACAGGAACCTTCGTCTGACCCGTTCTGTTCCCCCCTCAGGGATTTCCTGCATGGGAGTTTATTGTTTTCAATGTACATACAACCTTTCTCAACAGGTCACAATCATAAAAAAGAAAGAACAAAGGGCAGAGGGCCGCCGATTCCGTTACATTTGGTTAAACAAGGAGTAATCCACCAAAATCAAACCAGAAATACCTGAATACCGCAACCTAGACCTAGTTCATCCAATTTAGAGGGCCTTGTTGTTGATGCCGATCAACTGGACCTCGCTGCAGACAAGACAATTAGCACGTCATGTATGTACATACCTCGGCAATGAAGACGCCAGGGAGAGGACTCAGAACTTACAAAACAAGGGTGGCATTGGGGGGGATAAGACCGGGGAAGCCCCTAAGATTGAATCATTGTTAGCATCACCACTCCACCTATCTCCATCTCAGGAGATCAGGAATGATAGATCGGGACGTGAACATACGAAGCACCGTAGCCGTAGTCGCTGTCCACACGTTAGCTTTTTCCAGGACATGTATATGCGGGGCATTGTTGATGGGAAATACTCACCCGGTGATGGTCAGGATGGCCTTCTCGCCGAGGCTCATGGTAGGGACACCCTCATCCCAACCTGGTGAATCGGTCAATCTCCCGAATCGTTCGTCGAGAATGTTAATGATGTGGGGGAAACTCACCCTGGATGAGACGGCCGACACCGATGGCGGTCTTGAAGGGACCGCGGCCGACGGAGCTGTCGAACCTGATGAATGGGTGAGCACTCATTGCACGAGACATCGACCACAGCAGAGAGGCCTGGCAGAAAATGACAAGAAAACATACTTGGTGCCCATCTTGTTGGGCGCGTTCTCATCATACAGACATCCGGTGTAGTGCATGGAGATCTGGTCGCCCTTCTGAGGGTAATCCTGCTTGTTACCCTCCTGGAGAATCTGCTTGGTGACACCCATGATGAAAGATATGCGATACGAGAATTCGACACGATACTAGAGAAAAGACGGAGATGATGAAAAAGATGAAGACGAGGAGGGGCAGAAGACGAGAAAAACCGAAGAAATTCGAGCCAAGTGGGGTTGTATTGTATCGCCCGTACGGTAACTTTGTTCGGGTGCCTGAGTTCCCTGGCAGAAACTCTAATATACTCTCATTGCCAAAAGCTCGCCTGCTTCACTTCCTCCAATGCCATCGACTGAACCTGAGTCCCAGGGAATCGCTCATCTACCGCCGTCCCCTCGCCCAAGTCGAGATAATGCAGCGTCGAAATGCCCACACGCTCCATAAACGCCAACACCCGATGGAAGTTCAATCCCACCTGATCCAATCCGTGGCTGTCATCGGACAGACAGAACCGACCACCTCTCGTGAGGAATTCCTACAGATTGAAACTCGTTAATCGTGCCCGCTCCTCCACCACTTCAATTTTGTACGCACCTGACAGATTTCCGCCTTGGGATACGGCTCGCTCATTCCCTTGCGCAGCGCCGCCGAGTTCAACTCCAGGATGCCTCCGTACGACGCCACAAAGTCGAGGTTGCGGAGAATACGCTGCCATACTCCGGGCCATTGCTGGAAGCTGCGCTCGGGGTCGTCGCTCTTCAACCGGATCAGATCGAAATGCCCCACGACCGGCGGCTTTAACTGCCGCAGCATGTCCAGCTGCTCGTCGAAATACACCTCGAACAAGCGCTCGTCCGTGCCGCCAGCCAGATCCCGCGCCTTCTCGTACATCGGCCGATCATAGTCAATCGGCACTGTCAGGGTGTGATGCACCGAGCCCATGAAGAACTCGAACGGATGCCGGCTCAGCGACTCCTCGATCAGCGTGCGCGATTCGGGTCGGATCCAGTCGATCTCGAACCCTATCAGGATAGTGATCTGACCGGCGTACTTCTCTCGTAGTCGCTGCGCCTCGCGGAAGTAGGCAGCTTCGTTGGCGACCATGCTGTCCATGGTCTGGTTGGCTTCGACCTGAAGGGGGTTAGTTAGAGGGGAGAAGCATTGAATAAAGATGAAATGCGCACCTCCTCTGGGTAGTAGTCTTCGGATCCTCGAGGCATATGCTCGGTCAAGCAGAAGACCTTGAACTTCTTGGAGATAGCCAGCTGGATTACCTCCTCGAGGGAGTCTTTGGCATGGCCGGGGCAGAACTGGCCCGAGTGGCTGTGATGGGAGAAAGGCATTTGTCTGGAGAGTCAGCCCTTGAGATTCCGGTGGGTTTCGAGCAGAATGAGCTGAAAAACTTCTGTCTTCTAATATGATATGATGGTATCGCCGACAAGAAGACACGAACGGCGTACTTACTACAGATGCCCCGCAATGACTCAAGATAAGACCGATACAAGCCGGTGACTCGGTTACAATTACGGCAAGAAAGAGTCAAGACCAAAATCTCTTAATAGTACTTCGTTCAGATGAGGCGATGCGTTCTGAATTAAGGGCGGCTCCCGGTTAAACGCAGAGAAACCGGTGGGAGAAAACGGGCGAAGTTGATGATGGATTAGCGGGCACTTCCGCCTGAACTCTGCTTGACCCATAATAATCCATCAACGCTTCATATGCAACGCAAGGCCAGAACCGCAGTCCCCTTGCTACGTGGTCCACTGATACCACATCCCAACATCCATTTGATGTATACATCAGTCGAAATCCAAATTCTTCCGAGTTCGTAGTTTGACCTCCTCTCTGCTCCTGCCCGCGTCCGGTGTGCACATGGAGAAATCACGGAACCATCGCGCATTGGTAGCATTCGATATTCGAGAGCAATAGAGTAGTTTCCGTCATCTTCTCGTGCACGGTCTGGCTTGTATACCAATTATCCGTCGAGACCTCCATCCGTAGACCAGGCCACGACGCATCGTATGCGGAAGCCCGCGGAAGAGAGGAGCTGTCGCGCCCCAGACCCGACAGCGAATGCCGTATGAAAGCGTGAGAAACTCCCTCTCACGGTTGGAATTCCCAGGATTCTTCCCCCAAGCTTGTGTAGTCCATGATATCCTATTCCATCGCGTGTAGGATTGAAAATACCTCCCAATCATCCCGCCGCAAGAACCGTCGCAACCACATACTCTCCGTCATGCGAAATTGACAATTTGCCCACCTTCCCCCCGTGCGGGCCCAGGTATACGATCTCCGGTCGGCCTTCCTGGTCGCCCTCGCCCACGCGGATCATCACGTCTTTCCATCCCGTCGTCGCGGCTCCCGTGGGCGCGGCTTTCCGGGCGGCCTCTTTGGCGGCGAATCGGCCGGCGAGCCAACGCGTCATGTCGGCGGAAATGATAGAAGGAGGTTGGCGGGGAGGAGTTGATTCGGTGGGGGAGGGAGGCAGGGCAAATCGCGTGCGGAAATCGCGCTGTTCTTGTTCGCAGAGGATGCGGCGCGTGAAGCGGTCGAAGTAGCCTCCACGGTGGTTGAGTAGACGGGTAATCCGGGGCAGGTGGACAATATCCGTGCCGATGTTGAGGGCGAATGGGAATGGAAGGGGCTTCATGATGGACTTGGAGGTGGAAAATGGGTGAGATGAGAATGGGAAGATGAGACGGATGGAGATGCACCGGAAATGAGATGGACAACCAAACACACCTCAACATGTGACTAAGCAGTTTTATCAGATGAAATCAATACTTTCGAGTATAGCTACGGGACTCACGTCTCATGGCGACGATTGTATATTCCTTCTAGTGCCAGCGAAGGATCGTTGTCCGTGGGATGTTTCTTCACTACACCACACCCCAACCAACAACATCGGGTCCGACAGATTCTACGGAGCTCTCTACAGTCCGACCGGAAAATCTCGAGTCTCAAATCCAACACAGGTTACCAGCAATAGAAAGCATAAACTTCAATGCGGTGTATACCTCTATATGTACAGATCACACACCTCACCATCACTGGCACCGCCGCAGCCGTTCCAGTGAGTCCAATACATGCATCACTCCGCCAGGATTCCAGTCCCGGTTCCCCTTCGATAGTTGCTTCCTCGTCACATAGTCGACAGTTGCGTCTCGGATGGGTGGATAAATCTCATGTCCGGGGCTCGTTTGCACCGGGATGGTCCTCGGCTCATTCCTCATTATAGACGGAGTTTATTTAATGGCTGCTTTTCTTCTCGTCCCCGTTGACACTCTTCAAGAAGTCCCTGTAGCGAGGCTTGTTAGCGTACGGGCCTTGGCCGATATGGATCAAGCTTTGGAAGCATTCTTTCGTCCGCCCCTAGATGCGGGTTTGGTCTTCGTCCGAGCTCACGGTGTGCACAAATCACGGTTGTGTACTTGGCCAGTGGCTGGCCGGTGGGCAACAGGGTCCAAAGTCAAGCATCATCCCTTGACCAGCTCTCATGGAGCAGGGAATACGTACTGGATGAAAGTCTCCTCGTCCTTGGAAGAGGCCTGGATGGGAGGAGTAGCCTCCTTCTTGGCACCACCGCCGCGGGTAGCGAGGTAGACACCACCGAAGAGAGAGCCCAAGACGCCCATGGCGAGCTAAACCGGGTGAAGAAAGACGTCAGTGATATCCGGTCTCCGGTCGTGGTCGGCGGCAGGTGCTAGGTGCTAGCCGCGGAGAAGAGTTTTGGATCAGGGGAACAGAGACGGGCGGGCACGGGGAACACGTACGTGGTGGGAGCCGACCTTCCTGCCGGCGATCTGGTAGTAGACAACCATTGTGACGGATTGGAGGAGGAGAAGTGATAAGACGAGGGAGGAGGGTCAGTGGGATGAAGCGGTGCGAATGAGAGGTCGGCGGGAGCACAACTCGTTCGGCTTGCGATGGAAGTTGCGGCTACGGCGCGCCTTGCCTGTTCTGGTATGGTCGCGGAGAGCTGAGTCACGCCTGACTCAGCGGACGGCCGAGATCACCTGACTGCGATGACATCAGCCGGGCAGAGACCACGTGATGGCCCGACTGGAACCGACGGCGCGGGGGAAATCGGAATGACGCCGGCAACAACATCGGCAGCGAATCACGTCGCCGTCATTCGCTGTCTTTGCATCGACATACATAATAATTAAGAATGCCTTCTCGTCCAGACCGACAGAGGGAAATCAAGTCGCAAGTGAATCTGTGCAGGTGCGCGAGAGAATCAGATGAGCATCATGTGGCGGTGTCGCCCAATAGTCACCCTCGGGGGAAATGAACTCATCCCTGGGACTCGCTGGGAATTCCCCCGGCTAACGATGCGCGCTGTCGGTTAGTCGCAATTCTTACTAGGTAATGGAATAGCACCGGCGGAACTGGTCTCGATCATATTAATATCGGGGGCTGACGCGCGCAGCTCCATGGCTGTGCTTTTTCTTCGTCTGGTAGCTCGGTAGCTCTTCTTCCTCTTCTCCTTCACCCTCTTCGTCACTACTCTCTTCCCCCTACATACTTGGTAAGCTGATCCTTTTACACTTCCCTCACCCTCCACTGGTCGGTTTGGACTCACCCAGTTAATTTCTCCAGCTCCGTTGCACACCATGTTTTGGGGATCCAGCAAGCAAGAAGAGACGCCCGAGGTGGCTCATAAACCCATTCCTCGCAGCAAGCTTCCTCCTCAGCTCCAGCAGCTGGTGGATCGCGACGATGCATTCTACGATGACATCTACTCCTCCTAGTACGTGGTGTGTTGTGTGTCGCGTGCCCGTTGGGCGTTGAGGTGCCCGAGGAGGGACGGTCGACTTTCTCCGCCTCTCCCCCGCAAGGCCGATGCGAATCCCCGCAAGATGATGATCGCCTTCAGGGCAGGCCGCGTCGGCCGCCTCAACGCTCACGCACACGGCCATTCTATTGTCAGACAATCCCAATAAAGCTAACCAGATCGACTTCCAGCTCCGTCGACTCCACGGAAACACCCTACCGGTACGCCGGTTACGCCAACCGCCTGCGGACGGTACTTCTCTCCGCCCATCGCTATGTCGCCTACACCTCCGACATTGGCGAGTCCTTCCGCCCCGTCGCCCATCCCTACTTGGTGCGCACGGCCTACGGTATCTCCTGGACCTATCTGATCGGCGACGTTGTCCACGAAGGCTACAAGGCCTACCTGCGCAACCGGCGCGTGCTGGCCCCGCCCTGCGAGGCCTACAAGGACGCCAAGGACCTGTCGCAGGAGGAAGTCGTCAAGGGCATGGCCACGGGCAAGATCGCCGGCTCCCTGAACTCCGCTAAATCGTCGTCGCCCAATTCCCAGGCCGGCAGCTCGTCTGACACCCTGACGCCCTGGCCCGCGACCGAGATCCCGCTCATCGAGGACTACCGCATGGTGATGGCCAAGCGCGCCGTGTTCCAGAGCATCGCGAGTATGGGACTTCCGGCATTCACGATCCACTCGGTGGTCAAGTATTCCGGACGCATGTTGAAGAATTCCAAGATGGTGTTTTTCCGCACCTGGGCGCCCATCGGGGTAAGTGAATTGAACTCCACGCCAGCACACCGGTTCCTCGTTCTGCGGGTTTCGTCCCGTCAGGACTGGTAAAACGTCTCAGAACTAACCCCCCTCGGTTCCTCTAGCTTGGTCTCGCCGTCGTCCCCTTCCTCCCTTACATCTTCGATGAAGCCGTCGACGAAGCCGTCGAGTGGTCCTTCCGCACCGCTCTGCGCGCCTATGCCGGCGAAGACGCCGTCCGCCCCTTGCCTACCACCGCGCATATCCCCGCCGACGACGCCACCTCGCTCAGCCACTTCCTGAAAGTCCGCGAAGAACAGAACGCCAACGTAGCCATGGAAACCGATGCCCGCACCTCCGCGGCGACCAACCTCTCCTGGGACGACTACAAGGAGCAGCGCCTGCAGGCGAAGGAGCAACGGAAGCGAGACCGGGAAGAGCGCGGTGAAAAGGGGGTGCTGGCGATGCTGGGATGGAATGGTGATTCGAAGGAGAAGAACGAGTAAAGGCCGTTCTTGGTTCTTTCTGTCCAACGCTTCTTTTCTTTTCTTTCGACGTTCCTTATCATTTTTTTTTCTTTTTTTTTCTCCCCTTGCTCTTTTGCATACTTGACTCTGTACATATTATACTCTCTGGTTTTAGCGCCTCTTTTATTTTTTTTTCTTCCTTCTCTCTCCCTCTATATTGCATCGTTTTATTTCGACGATCCTTTCATTTCGCATTCGGTGCCGGCGTGGATAACAGGTGTAACGGAGACCGGTCTCCTTAGCCATGACAGTAGACACGGTGACACAAATAAACCACATAGCTTAGAAGGCTACAAGATTAATTCTCGTACCACCCCGTCTGAGATGACACAAGACGAAACCCGATCAAAGAACCGAATCAAGAGCCATGATAGGTAGGCTACGGAATACAAGGCCGGGATAAAGCACAATATTTCACATTCATTCAATCTCCGTGCCACAAAACACGGCTCATTCGCTGCTCTACTTGCAATATACATCTGTACACAAAAAATATCGACAAGGACGGACAGGAGGGGAAAAAGGGAAAAAAAAGGGCAGTGCAGTATAGGACATCACTCGTCACAGATACCTACCGCCCTACCATTAGGGCATAGTAAGAAAGAGGTCCGAAAAGACGTTAAAAGTGGAAGTAATGATTGCGGTGCGCACGAGGTGTTTCGGCTCCAAATCACCATCAAGGAAAGTAAGAAAAAGAAAGATCGAGGGAAGGAAATGGTAAACAGAGAAAAATGTAAAGCAAAAAAAGGCCAAAACAGATGGGGAATAAGAAGAGAATATGTTAGGACATGGTAAAAGAAACAACAGGCGTCCCCGAGGGACGGCAGGCAATCCAAATTGAATACAATCAGAAGATAAATCAGACACGTAGATAGATCCCTGAGCAAGGTGGGAGAGGAACTGCTGGAAGAGCCATTCTTCGATCGATTTAGCCTGCTCTTTCCTTTATAATTTTACCCCATCACCCTCACTGATTCAAGCACGTGGAGTCCACCTTCTATCTTTTTTTTTTCTTATTTGCGGCATTTTTTTAAAAAAAAATATACCCGGCGTAGGCTTAGTTCCATCCAAGCGAGTTCTCTGCCATCACGGGTGCACTGATCATCTGCGTACGGGCGCTTCCTCCACGGCTGACCTGGCTGTTGCGAGACATGCGGCCACCGGCAGCGAAGACCGATCCGCCACCAGGACCCTCACTCATCTGTTCGACGGTCGAGCTGGATCTCTGGTGCAATTGACGCTTCTTGCGGTACCGGCGAGCGACCCAGAACATACCCGCACCATAGGCAGCGGCACCAGCAACAACGCCGACACCAATTCCAACGGAGCTAGGGCGAGCGCTTGAGCTGCTGCTAGCACCCCCATCGCCGTTGCCATCAGAGTCGCTACCGTCGTCATTGCCATTGCCGCCATTCGACCCATTGCCTTCGGGTTCTCCGTTTGCACCTGGACGGCCGTCGGGCCAAATACTGATGGTAGGATCGATCATAGAGAACAACGTGACCACCGAGTCGTCAGGCTGGCGGTAAACCTTGGAGACAGGGTTTTTAATATCAACCTCGAATTGCGATTCGGTCTCCGTCTTGTTGCTGTTTGCCTTGTGGTTTTCGTTGTAAGCGTCCTGATCCCAAAGGTAGTTGGTCTTTGAGACATAGGCCAAAACGGTCGTGGCAAGGTAGCCCTTCATCTCTAAAGGCTGGATGGAGACCATAGTAATCTGATCACTGGAGAGTCCCATAGCGTACATGAGACCCTTCGGCACATAATGGAAGATCTGGGAGGACGACAGGGAAGTAGTGGCAACGAAACTGTATCGCAGTCTTTCGTCGAAACCAATTCGAATCATCATTGCATCTTCAGGCGGAGTAATGTCGGCTCCGTTGGGAGAAATAGCGCCAGGGAGTTGCGTTTGCGTGCTCGTGGCAGTCGCCGTCGCAAAAGTGGCCGTGTCGTGAGTCGTGGGCGTTGGGGGTTCCACAAGGATAGTGGAAGGCACCCAATCATTGGTGTCGCTACTGGTGCTGGGCTGTGCGGTGGGCTCGGGTGTTGGCTCTGGCACAGGTTCTGGTGTAGGGGTTGTCTCAATAGCTGGTTGCGTCGTGCTGGGCTGCGGCGGCGGCTGCGAAATCGGCTGCGTCGTGCTTGGCTGAGGCGGTGGCTGAGTGCTGGGCTGCGGCGGCTGTTGCGTGCTGGGCTGCGTCGTACCCGGCTGCGTCGTGCCCGGTTGCGACGGTTGTTGCGTGCTTGTAGGAACCGGGGGAGCAGTCGAGAGAGGGGTTGCCGGGTTTGTAGAGCCCGCCGAGGGCGCCTTGGAGCTAATCAGAGCAGTCGAAGAGAAGCCGGCAGATGCAGACTTTGTGCCAGTGGGGATGACTGCTTCGCTAGTGGATGCGGAGGATCCAGACGGGGCAAGCGAACCCGATGAGCTCAGACTAGCAGTCGCACTTTGAGATCCAGTAGCGCTCGGAGCAACAGTGGCGTTAGCACTCTGGGATTCGGTAGCGCTCTGAGATTCAGTGGAACCCTGCGTTCCCGTCTTACTATCGGAAGTCGATCCTCCAGGAACAATAAGAGCACTAGTGGCTGAAGATCCAGACGGTCCAGGTTGGGTGCTGCCGACTGGAGTGCCCGAAGGCTGCGACGTGAGGCCTAGAGCTGTGCTCAAAGCGTCCGACACATCAAGAGAGCCGCTCGATGCCGAGGGGGTCACGGCGGGCACGCTGACGGGGATTGTGGTCAAGAGACCGCTGGAACTCGTGGCTTCGGGGCCAGTGCTGCTGGGGCCACCACTGCTGCTTGCCTCGGCGCTGGAAGATGACTCAGGTTGGTTCGGGATGATAGATCCTGTCGAGCTGGGGAGGCTAGACGACTCGGGTTGGGGTGTCGCAGAGATCGATTCAGTCGAGCTTGCGGTGCCCAGAAGATCCGACAGAACGCCATTGATAAGGCCCGACGAAGAAGTAGGCGACGGCGTCGCCTCCCTGGAGCTCGTCTGACCGGTTGAACGGGTTGCAGCATCTTCGGAGCTCTGCGAAGGCAATACCGTGCTAGAAGTCGCCCCGGAATCAATGATGGGGATAGAGCTAGAACCCGACTGGCTGGGGATCGACGAAACATCGGTCGAGCTCGGAATGATCGAGGAATCAGACTGGCTCGGAGTGAAAGATGAATCCGAGGAGCTCGAGACGGTTGATGAATCAGACTGACTTTGGGTGAGAGGCAGACCCGTAGAGCTGGGAATGATCGATGACTCCGATTGACTCGGGGTGTAAGAAACATCGGTCGAGCTCGGAATGATCGAGGAATCGGACTGGCTTGGGGTGAGAGGCGAATCAGCAGAGCTAAAGGCGCTGGAAGTTTCGGATTGAGCAGGAGCAGAAGGCAAGTCAGTCGAGCTGGAGGTTCCACCCAGAAGATCCGACACCAAGCCGGGGACCAATCCCGGGACCGGAGTAGAATAAGGGGTCGAGGACGGGGCCACCTCCACTGGAGTCGAGGGGCTTGTCAGGTCGGAGGTGGCATCATCGGGTCTCTGGGATGGCAAAGGCGAGTCCGTGGTCGTGGCAGGTTCGATGATAGGAACCGAGCTAGACACTGGCTTAGAATTGGCCGGGGTCGTTTCACTCGACGAATCGGTTGGAGTAGCAGGAGCCACGGGGACAGAGCTGGATGTTGTTCCCCAGATGCTGCTGACAAAGCTATCCCATGCGTCACTCAACTTGGTTCCAGTGCTCGACGAAGTCGGGACGGCCGGCACGGAAGAGGGGGTCACCGTCACGTCCTGGCCGACGGCAGACGTGGTGTCCTTGTCTGTGGGTTGGGGAACCGGCACAGGAGTAGACTGCTGGGTGCGGTAGGGAGTCGCAGGCAATGGAGACGAGGTATCCTTATCCGTGGGCTGAGGAACCGGCACGGGAGAAGACTCCTGGGTGTGACTGGGAGTCGCAGGCAGAGGAGATGTGGTATCCTTGTCCGTGTGCTGGAGAACCGGCACGGGAGTAGACTCCTGAGTGTGGTAAGGAGTTGCGGGCAAGGGAGATGTGGTATCCTTCTCCGTGGGCTGGGGAACCGGCACGGGGGTAGACTCCTGGGTATAGTTGGGAGTCGCGGGCAAAGGAGATGTGGTATCCTTCTCCGTGGGCTGGGGAACCGGCACGGGGGTAGACTCCTGGGTGTAATTCGGAGTCGCGGGCAGAGGAGACGTGGTGTCCTCCGTGGGTTGGACAACCGGTACGGGAGTAGTCTCCTCGGTGTGCGACGCTGGGGATGCCGCGGGTGTGCTAGCCGGGGGAGGCGGCGCTTGCTCCGTGATAGACGTCGCACTTGTCGATGTCACGGCACCGGGTGTCGCAGCAGGCGGGGTACCTGTAATGGTATGCGTGACCCCATTCAAATCCACCGAAAGGGTAATAGGAATGACCACCACTGGAGGAGCCGGATCGGCCACTGGCGTCGTGGTTACTGGCTCTGCCGTTTCGGTCGGCTGCGGCACAGCGGTATTGGGCTTGGTCACCAACTCGGAGGTCTGGGGGTTTGCCAACGGCGTCGAAGAAGCCTGGTAGTTGATCTGTCTCTTGAATTGTTTCGGGACGAACCGAGGCCTGACTTCTTGCTCGAAGGCTGCATCGTGAGCTGCGACCAGATTCAGGCCACCCAGAGACAAGAAGGCCGTAAGCACGGCTGCCGTAGGCGGGATCATGGTGAAGCGAAAAGAGCGTAGGACCTGGCGAATGAAAGGAACGGCTAAGGATCAAGTCGATATATAGAAAAATGAGCGGACAGCGCGAGGCTCAAGTCGAGAACCACCTGGCCAGACAAGCGAAGAGAAATCCGGGCGTTGAAAAGAAATATCAATTCTCAATCTCGGAATTCATGGGTTCGGTGGCTGGAGCGTGTGGTATGGCAAGTTGATCCGCGGGCTGATTTCCCTGTTTCCTTTGCCGTGGGCGCAAATCACCAGTAGAATCGAATTCCGACGAGGCCAGCAATACAATCGGAATGGTTCGATCAAGGCGTTCTATGCGGACAGGGAATTGAGCGATAGAATCGAACGATAAACAAAAGCGGATCTAAAAGAGCGGCAGGGGGAGGCGTGGATGGCGCAGATAATCCGACGGGAACCCCTTCACGATAGAAGAGATGGACGAAAACACACAAATAACGAGCGTGGGTGCTGTAAGGAGCGAGCGACGAGATCTAAAACAAGGGGAGAAAAAAAATGTCAAAAGAAAGAGCGTGGCGGGGGTGGGATGGGGGAGGTGGTTGTTATGGTGAACCAGCGCGGGAGGGAGATAGCGAGCCAGCGGAAGAGTCGTCGTACCTGAGCGCGACCGTGGGAGGGGGGCGGATGCAAGGAGAGCAATTGGCGAACAGTGAATCTGGTCCCAACGGGTCGCCGACGTAGAATGCGCGTTCAAGGATGGGCTACGTCAACGCCAGCATCGAGATGGCGGAGCATCAGAGGGGGGGAGGGAAGAAGGAGAGAAACAGCAACAAGCAAGAAGCAAAAGGATCAAGCCAAAGGGAACGGAAGGAAAGAAAAGAGAGAAGAAGGAAAAAAGGAATGTAAAAAGTGAAGGGAAAAGGCCGGACGGGCCAGAGGGAAGGGAAGGGAGATTAGTTTGGCTGGTTTACTTTTGGGTTTAGTTGGTCGGGTTTGTTTAGCGTCTTTTAGTTGCTTTAGTGCGTCTCCGTGCGGTTTAGCGGCGAGTGGCAGGGGGCAGCGAAGAGGGGGCGCGGTGGAAATACAGCATGCGGGCAATACGGAGGACGCAGCAGTCCTGGACTGGCAGTGCTGGCAGTGCTGGCAGTGTCCCTATTCCCACGCACCGGCTGAGGTGGATTGCGGCCCTCTAGTGGGCTGGGGCCCACGCCCATTGCGTGGGAGAAGAGATCTTCTTCGCCATGGCCTCATCTGCGATCATGGATCATGTAATTCTGGGTCCTGTTTTTATTACTCATGGATACACTATGGAGTCGGTCCTCCGTGCACGCGTCGCTACCGTGGAGGTGCGAATGGTCCTGCATATCCCGGGGATATATGCATGAGTTTATACGCCTGTTGGATACGTCGGCTCAGACGGTCCAAATCAATTCGGATGCCTATGAACCCCACGAGTTGTGCCATCCTGCCACGCCCGGCAACCTCCCATCCTTTGCGTCAGAACTATTGACAAGAGTAGGGTAGTACCGCAGGTAGTTCCTACTAGTCCCGTCACCCCCGAAGTTACGCGGTGCTCATGCTTCTCTGCACTCTGCAGTAGCGAGCAGGCTAGAGCAGCCGCGGAGCAAATGACCCTGTCGACCATCCGAATGGAATAGGGATCGACAAAAAGAGGGACTCCCGGCAAGATGTCGAGTGGCACGAATTCGGTCGGACGACGTCGACCATGCGGGACAGAGTGCATTATCACCGGAGAAAATCCATGTCGGTCGGTCGCAGGCCATCACGGCCATTGAAGGAAGAACCAGGGGGGACTGACGGAGTCAGTCAGAATCGGGCCTAAAATCTGATGCGATGGGCAATCGACAGGGGCAAGTCATGAACCCAAATAAGCCCATCAATCGCATGCCATGGATATCTTCCTCGAATCCTCGGTAGGCGGACGGAGCAGTCCCTCATCGGTTGCGATATTATGCAGTGCACATCACAATTCCGGGCCATCGTACAGTAACGGGACACCACAATTCTCGCAGATTCCGTCAAGGTTCGGACCATTGCAAGGCCCAGACCGACGGCGTTGGTCTAGTGTGCGTGTTCCTGGCAGTGTGGAGATGGTCGAGGTGCGTGGTGATATCGAGGGCTGCCTTCGCCGCCCCATCAGTCAGCGAGTGGCTGTAACAAAGGATGCGATTCACAAAGCAGTTGGGCTTACTCTATTTTTTCCCTCCTTTTCATGCTTCTTTTCCTTCCAAAGTGTTCCACCCAACATGTAAGATGGTTCGTCTGGCAGACACAAAGGAGCGACCGGTCAGCATCCTGCAGTCAAAAGTCAAGACTCAAGAGCCCAGAGTCCAGAGTCCAGAGTCTGCCGACCGACAAATGTCGACCGTATTCGGCCTAGTCTGCGTCCCCCCGTCGGCCCCTTTTTTAGACGGAGTAACACTGACCATCCTGTCTCACCATCACCGCTTTCTCAAATGTCAGTCATAGGACTGTCGGTCTGCCAGTACTATTCTTGTTCTATCGCCCTGGACGGCCTTCTAGCAGGTCCGTTCCGTCTAGTCATGGCCACTATTGATCTTGTCCCGACCTGATCCCCTCCATTCCCCAAAGCAAAGGCGACCACAGAGCCGGAGATGCTGACCCAAGATAGAAACAGTCATCCTGTTACTCCGGAGTACTCAAGAGGATCATGGCCCGAAAGACACATACGAGGTCTGACTGCAGTGCTCCGTGCTCTTTGTCATTCGCTCAGGTACCTCGTAGCTTAGCTCAGTATCACCTAACCAGACTAAAGAGCTGCTAGCTACTTGCTGGAGCCCTTCGTACGAGCTAGCTCCGTGCAGTCTTCTACCCTGACATAAACTGGAATGCCAGCGCGACCAGAGTCCGAACTGAAACAACGCTCATTCCATCCCTTCGGTCGCAACGGTTAACGCGCCTGATTCTCGGGGAACAAGGGAGGTCAAAACAACATGTCACAGCATTCTTGTTGGAACCCGACCTTCAGGGTGCGTCCTCGGAGCAATTTCGTCTTGGCTCGAGCCAGAAAATTACAGCATGCGAAGGCCGTAAATATCCGGCCAGCTGGATGGACAAGTCACGGCGAGCACTTGCCTCGATCCGACCAATGAAGCACGGACCCGGGCCATTATGATGTCCAATTTTTTAGGACGGCTTTGTGCTATTTTTGTCGGGCTGGGTTTAGCGCGTGCTCCGCCAGTCCAAAGCACCATCTATCATGGTGTCATAACGTGTCGTATCGGGTTCGCTCAAGAACTCGATGCGGGAGACCGTAGATATGGCAAAGTATATCGGGATAGAGTGTGCTCAAAATCAGGGCCGACCCAAAGACGGCGAGTCGGACGAAACATTTTGCAGCACCCCCTTTCTAATAAAAGGTACGGCTAGGAAAGACCGCTGCTTCACGTCTACCACGGACTGGACTTCCATGGATGCCGCTATTCCTGTTCCTGACGGAGGGCCGGGCGAGGCTCCACCGTCGTCCCGTTGGCTGATAACCGAGTCTTGGCGCTCGGCAGCGAAGCAGCCTGAAACCATCGATACTACGGTGTACTACCGAGTAGATACCTATCGGCTCAGGGTTTACGGGCTCACGGAGACACAGAGTGGTCAAGGGGTTTGGGGTTGTTTGGTTGATGGCAAGATGATTAATTGCGCTCTATACTACGGGGTACCGCTGATCGGCTGCAGGACCGATAGCAGGTCGGTAAGAAGATATTCCGTACCTTACTACCTTACTCCGGAGTATACTCCATATAGTTTTGTACGGGGCCATAGTACAGTCTATGATATCAGTGTAGGGCTGTTAACAATTCCTCTTATGTATCTGGTTTTGAATCACCCTTGGAGAATGCTATATATATTAGCCTCAACCGATTTACAGGATGTCCTTTGACTTGGCGGATATATATATCCTAGACGAGCACAGCAGCCGAATCACATATTTTATTGTCCGCGTCTAAACACAGAAAATGTTGACATGAAAGGACAGACAATCGCCTTAGCTAGAGTTCTTGGTCTAGTCGTCTACATCCCAAGAGAAAGTTCTCTTCCTCTGAAGAGCACATCACTACCTCCTTGCCCACACAGCAGTAACCCCTACCGGACAACTCAATCCGACCCTACAACCGAGAAGCGCGATCCGAACGAGTGACCACACCCGAACACTCGATCTCGACGTCCGTCCCAAGAGGCAGCGTCTTAACCGCCACACACGTACGGGCCTAGACAACTTGCTTAGTACAGAGGACAAGGGACAAGCATGTAGCCAATCCAAAAAAAGTCAAGCATACCGGCTTAGGATCGGCAAAGAACGAATTATACACCTCGTTCACCGCATCGAAATCGCCCATATCGGCTAGGAAGATGTTCGCCTTCACCACGTCTTGAATGCTCGATCCACCGGCTTCAAGCACGGCGCTCAGATTCTGAAGGATTTGTCTCTGCAAGTTCAGATAAGCTGGAGTTTCTCTCCATGGGTAGGTGCTAGAAGTGAAACCTACTGTCCGATTCTGAATGGATCCTTCGACCATCTTCCCCGTAGCCGGGTCCACGCCCACTTGACCGGAGCAGTAGACGATGCCACCGACGACAATGCCCTGCGAGAGGAAGGGCGGAGGCAAGGGGGCCTTGTCGGTGCTGATGGCGGTTCGAGCTGCTTGGGACATTTTGTGTTGCTGGTGTCTTTGGGCGTTGCGAGTGAGTATGGAGGAAGTCGGTACTCCGGAAAGCGGAGATGACAGGCGGGCGGACTTCATTTCTCCAGGCGGGGGAAGAGTGTCCGCCCCACTGAATCCTGACTAAGAATGATTCCACATCGCGATGTACATTTTGTTCAGTGCAGCTCAATCAGATGGATTATGGATGAGTAGTCAATGGAGAGCCGAAATTATCAGCCTGACCTCGCACCAGAAAGGGGAAAAAAGAAAAAAGGACACCTCAGGCTATGGATTATCGGACACGGTCAAATGATATGACGTCGTCCCTTCCTTCGTCCATCCACTTTTGATACGTAAAACCCACGCACGCTTGTTTATTGCAGACTGCATCTAACATCTAATTAAAGAAACTCTCCGTCGCAATACCCGGACGGGCCACAACCAGGGTCTAGGAGGTCTTGCGAAGATTGGTCTTGTATCAACCCACTCGCCTTCCATGCACTCAAGTCTGAGCCGCCCTTGGCATTCATCTATGTCTAGAACACCCTATAACTGTAAAGAGACGAAGGAATCAAGTCGATAGGTTCTCAGCCCCGGCTAGGTATAGCCGCGACACCAGTGTCTCTGGATTGGCCAGGCAGTGAATCTAATGTACGGGCTCGCTGCATTGTAACATCACCAACGGCACATAAGCGCCTAGTAGGCGCTCCAGCTCTTACGCTCATTATGCCAAGGTCCAACTCCTTGAGTTTAGTTAATCTAAAGATACACGGCTGACACTATTGTCTCTAGCCTCTTCGTACTTTTTATCAAGTGCTGTTGATGGTGTTATGCGGGTAGATAATGGCAGTGTTTACATATACGGAATTCAATGCAACTGTCATTGACACAAGACACTGGAATCTAAAGTATGGGTAAGAAGGTCCTTATTACGACAGGCCCCCTGTTTTTATATCGTCCAAGTCTCACTCAAAAGTGTGCATGAACAAGACGAAAAAGACACCATCCCAGGCGTGCTCGCCTAGGATACAAGCAATGACTGAATTGACATATCCACTCTTCGTATGTAAATCTATTTAGTAACCAGATATGTGTGTAAATACATCATCGATATCCACTTGTCTAGGAAGAAAATCAATGTATATACCCATCTACCGAGACATGTATGTGCAAAGAAGGTCCAATCACCAAAAAGAAAAAGAGGTATAAAACAGACAGACACACATGTATAAAAGGCAGCAAAAGAAAATCTACAAATGCAAGATATGGAGAGAGGGAAACAGATCTCACATGTTATCCTCACCCCAATGGCTTCTCGCCTTCATCCACGCATCGTGGTCACCCTTCCCTTGCTCGGAGGTCATACCAAGACCCAAGCCCCTCTCGACCCATTCCTTGCTGCCCATCTCGGAGAGACGCGAAAGGGCCCGCGCGAAGGCAAAGCGCTCCTCATCGCCGCTGAAGATGGAGGTGGATTTGAGGGCCTGCATGGAGAGACCCAGGTCGTCCATCATCATGCGCATTGCGTCGGAGAGGTCGCTGCCGTCGTCATCGAGGGAGTCTTTCATTTCGGTTTCAGAGATGAAGATGTTGGTCAGGGGGACGGCTGAGGTGAGGACGAGTTTGGCCTGAGAAGGAAATGTGAATGTCAATAATGATAACTAAGGATAGATAGAGAGGGAAAACCCACCCTGCTCTCGTAGACGGCGTCGATGAAGGTGATGAATCGTCGGGCCAGGTCGCGTTGGGTTAGGTTCATGCCCGGCACGTCGGTGATGATGAAGGCGTCGTAGTTGCGGACTAGCTCCAGGTAGTCGGCCGCTCCGGTAGCGCGACCGATAAGCTGGTTGAAGCTGAACTGCGCGGCTCGGCCACTGGCTAGGGGCACTTCGATCTTGCGGCCCCAGACCTCCTGGGTCGTGGCATGCGGGGGGTCGTTGATGGGATCGCCCAGGAATTCGAACCACTTGTGCGCATGACGCTCCGCGTCCTCGCCAAGCGGATGGTGGTAGACGCCGGATGGAGGGCGGGGGATCTTTCGGTAGTCGGTGGGCGAGTTCAGATTGATCACGTCGAGAGCGGTCTGGAGTAGCTTGATGCAGGGGATGAACGACTCGCGCTGAATTCCATTTTTGTACAGATCATCGGGATGTCGGTTGGACGTCGTCACCAGCGCTACGCCGTGAGACATTAGGGACTCGAGCAGTCTAGACAAGTTAGCCATTTCGCTAGTTCACTTTGTCTTCATTCCGCCTTATGAGGAACACGTACCGTCGCAGAATCATAGCATCAGCCACATCCGTACACTGGAATTCATCGAAACACAACACGCTAGACTTCTCCGCAATATCAGCTGCCACGAGAGGTAACGCGTCGAAGTCGTTGCCAAACCGCATCTTCACCACGTGCACCCGCTTGTGGACATCCTGCATGAAGTTGTGGAAATGGATGCGGGTCTTGGACGCGATGTTTGGCGGCAGAGTGTCATAGAATAGGTCCATAAGCATCGTTTTACCGCACCCAACGTCTCCATACATGTACAGGCCCTTGGGGAGGGATTCGGGGATCGTCAATTCCTCAGCCTTACCCCGTCCGAAGAGGGAGCCGAGAAACGACGTCTTGGGTTTCGGATCTAGCGACTCAACACTCGGATGAACGACCGGAGGAGGATTGTAGTGCTTTAGTCTTTCGTACAGATCTTGGAGTTGCTCGATGATTTCTGCAAGATGCACCTCAGTGTTAGTTTGCCATTTCTCACCACCATCCCGATCCAACATGAGGGGGGGGGGTGTCTGCGAAAGCAGTACATACGTCGCTGGTAAGGGTCATCCCTCAACCGACCCTGCTGCACCCTCAGATCGTATTCCTTCAAAGGACCACCCTGCAGCTCATTTGCAGCGTCCGCGGTCTTGTCCTCATCAACCTTCGTCGCAGCCTCGGTCGCGAACCGCCGTACGTACGGGCTAGGTAGAGGCGCTTGCGCGCTCAACCGACCATTTTGCGGTACTGTCGCCCGGCAAACTCGCAGATGATTTGGAGGCTGGTGCAAATGCCTTCTGGTTTCCTGAGAATACACTCGCTTCGTCCGCCGAGGGGTGGCGCGGAGCAACGATGCGTTGCTCGGCCTCAGCGCGCCCGGCAAGACGTCCGCGCAGAGTTTCACAGACGACCCGCTCACCGACATCTAGATACGAGTGTGTTGAATATATCCCACTAAAATCTCGTGCTAAAGATCAGCGCCTGTAGTTGTTTGGCGGGGGTTTGCGACGGAGTTGTTATGAACAACCGAGGTCGGGATTTTTCAAAGGACAAGACACGCTCTTCTCTCCGGCCGGGAATTATTCGGCAAAAGGTCAAGTGCGGCGGCCACGCGGGCGTTGAAAGGCGGGGAAGAATTGTGGAATGTGCAACCAACTCGGGGTCCAAAGGGTCTAAAAGGCAGTCCGAACCCACCGGCACGAGTAAAGGGGAATAGAAGGGATCTAATTTTGAGGCAAAGAACCCCATCCTGCAGCGAGCGAGAAAAGAATCGCGCGGGGTCATGTGACCGGGGATCCGGCACCGCCAGACGCGAAACCCGCCGGTCGTTCTCGCGCTACAAACAGCAGTACAACCTCGAGTTTTGGTGGTCAAGAAATCGGAAATAATGAAGCCCACAGTGGGTGTATGTGCAAGTGAAGATTTATGTACATGCGATCAACTGTGCATCAAGAAGGGTATGGAAATCACAATCAGCCAGAAACGGCCCGCGGAACAAAACCAAATCAAATGCAGATAGAAAAACACCAAAGAAATACATGACAACATAACATTTCGGACATCTCGTTCTTAATCATCCATCAAATGAAATAAGCAATACCAACCCTTGAGAGGGCTGGGTCGTCCATCAGAGGAAATTAGAGGCCGTAACGCCGATGCACCCGTGAACAGAAAGCCGTGGCGGCAAACCAAAATGATAGGGGAGAGGGAGAAAAAATAAAAGTATAATACTTGTTGCGGGTGACCAACAAATCTATCACGAAAGTGTCGATGGAAATATTGCTTCTATGCAGGGCCTTGTCGTACACACACTCCTTTAAACGAGGCCGACGTAAAGGGTAAGTTTGGAGTTTCGTTGGAGGGCAGTGTCAAGATCGCCGTCGCTGATCAAGTCGACGTATGTGCCGGACGGCTCGTCCTTGTACTGCACGGACATGCCTTCGTGAATCTTCAGACGATCCATAAGCTTCTCCTTCAGCTGCTGTACGCTGATGTCGCTGGGGACTCGGATGGCGATCAGATCGTCCTGGAAAAACACTTTGACTTTCATAGCGCCGCTACTCGAGTTGGTGGACACTTGCGTGATTGAGCTGGGTTGCCGGTTCATCGAGGGCGGACCGCCGTTGCTGGCCGACAACGACGGTTGTCCCCGCTGGTGCGAACCCCGTTCCGCATGCAATTGGGCCTGCGAGGACTGGCGGGAGACGCTGCGCGACGGCTCGTGTACCGACGAGTGGTGGGAGCCACCGGAGAAGCGCGCATCCTCCCCGAAAGCGTTGGGGTCAATCTCGAAATCGCCGGCCCGAGGAGCAAAGAGCTGCCGGACGAGTTGACAGCGGGCAATGTGCGGCGGCATGGATAGGAGTTTCTTAATGTACTCGTCCAAGTTCTGTCGACGACCGTTGGAAATGGCGTCGGTGACGTGCGTGACGGGGCCCGGCATAAAGGGCAGTGTTCGCGCTTTGCCTCGGTTGCCGGCCTCCTCCTCAAACTGGGTCAGAAGGGCGATCTGGAAATCGTAAAAGTCGTGGTAGTAACGAGACAGCTCCCAGCAGCGACCGTCTTCCATTTTCGCCTCGATGATATACCAGTACTTGTCGTTGTCGAAACAGTACCGCGGGATCGATGCGGCCACGGGGGCCATGACGGATTGGTGGTGGTAGTTCTGCGGCGGGGGTTGAGACATGTGTTGCGCGACCGAGCCTTTGCTGGCGTTGCGGTGATGGTATCCCTAATGCCGCTTTGATTAGTACATTTGTCGACCCCCCGGCGATTCCCAAAGCTCCTCGAACGGGCAGGATTGCGACTCACATAGGAATTGCCATTCTGGCTCAGATGGCCCATGCTCTGATGGCCAACGGACATCTTTTCGACGCCCGACGTGACGGACTGCATGGGAGATCCGACCGGTTCGATCTTGCCCAGGGTGATACTGCTGTTCTTGTATTCGGCAGTCATTTTCTTCCACTCCTCCACCTTGGGCACGCCGGCACGCCGGACGGCGTCCAAGGGATCGGTCACAGCCTGGCCGGACTGCATATCCCGCAGCTCGATGAAAGACACGGGGATCAGACCCGGGCCGCCCAGGCGACCGATGGGCTTTGCGACGAACCATTCAGGGTTTGACTGGGCAATGACGATGATGGCCTCGCCGGCCTTTGCGTCGAGCTCGTCGGGGCGCTCGGCCTGGAAGTCGTACTGCACGATGCCATAGACCATGGGGCTGGAGCCCTTTCCGAAAGCCGACATCCTGAGAGGGTTCTGCTGCTTCGGCGGGGAGGCGAAATCAGACGCAGGAAAGGCGGCGGGAGCTCGATCTGAGAAACCGGAGTCGTGAGGCTCTTTCTTCTTATGAAGGTCGATGGACCCGCCACTGTCTCTTTCGTTCTTGCCAATGACCTCAAAGAACGACACTGGCACCAACCCCCTGGCAGTAGGGATGAGGGGATTGCACGCTTCGTACCAATCCAAGTCGTCCTCCCTGCTGATAACGTGAAAGAAATCCCCCTTGCTGAATGCCAACTCCTGGGAGTTCCCGGCTTCTGGTTGGTAGTCGTAAAGAGCTTTGATAACCTACGTGCAGGACAGGGATGGGGTCAATAAATGCGGGTTTAAGACGGGGAAGGATGCAGGCCGACTAGAGCCGGTGGGTTGAAATACACAAAAACACCAAAATTACCGCCGAAGAATGACCGGCAGAAAAACAGAATAATAGAAGGGAGAAAGAATGAAGATAATGATCATAAAAAAAAAAGAGCGACAAAGAGCGGTGGGAAGAAAAATGGAAAGAGAGGAAGAGAAACAAACAAACAGCGCAGTAAGGTTGAAAAAGGTTAAAACATTGAGCAGACGGGAGGGGGGACCAAAAAAAAAAAAAAAAAAAAAAAAAAAAAAGGCGCGCGCCTTACGTACCTTTTTCGGAGGCAGAATGGCAATGGCGGATTTAGGCGTGATGGAGAGATGGTGGTGGTGGTGGGGTTTGGGATCCTTTTCCCCTTTGAGAGAACGTCTGATAGCCTAATGGAATTGTGAAGGTTAGGTAAGGCTTAGGGAGGGTGGAAACGATGCAGCGTTGGCGAAGGAGAAGCTCCCAGCAACAAGCGACAGTCGAGATAAACGAGGGGCGGGAAAGAGAGAAAGAGGGAGAGGGCGAGGGAAGAGAAGGGGAGAGCGCCAGATGAAACGAGGGGCGACGCTGCGAACAAGCACTCACCTTCATTCTTCAGACGACCCAACGTTGGTCCTAGTGGCCGAGGTTTCACTTCGCACGTTTCGTTTGGGTTCCAAGAAAGAGGCAGGAGAATAAAATAAAAAAAAATAAAATAAAAAAAACCCCAAAAATAATACACCATCCAATATAACTTTAATAATATATCCGCCACCTAAATAAGGAAGGAGAACAAACGGCGACGGAGAATTAAGCGATAGTGATATCGGGAGATATAGAGACAGAGACAGATAGGCAGACAGGCAGACAGGCAGACACGCAGGTAGTCAGTCAGGCAGAGAGGAAGAGAGAGAGAGAGAGAGAGAGAGAGAGAGAGCGCGAGTGAGAGACCAGATCCCAAGAAAATGAGTAAGAGAAAGACAGAGGGATAGGTTGAATATGGAAATGGAAGAGGGAGAGAGACGGGGAGGTGGGAAAGGGAAAGAGAGGGAGAAAGAAAAGAAAGAAAGAAAAGCGAGAGCGACGAAATAGGGAGTGAAAGAGAAGGATGGATGGTGGTGATAGTGCAAGTCAAGTAGGAAACGCAGCAGCGTAGCAATCAAGCGCGTCCGGCAGTCAGAATATGATGGAAGTACCAATCAGTGTTGATGATGATGATGGTCTGGTCAAATAATAATGATCATCCAGAATAAAAAAATTCAAAATTAAAAAAAAGAGAAAAAAAGAAAATGACTGGTGCTTCCTGTGCCTCTTCTGGAAATCCGGCTTCCCTGTCACTCTCTTTTTTTTTCATTTAATTCTGCCCTTTTTTCTCTTTTCTTGATTTCTTTTTTGGCCCTCTTTTTTTCCTCTCCCTTTTTCATTTTCTATTTTTTTCTTTTCGCCCTCGTGTTTCAACTCCAACCACGGGTGAATCAGCGTGGTCGATCAGGAATCTTGCGACGACTCAAAAAACAGAGGCCCGCTTTGTGACTCCCCTGAAGTTTAGCCCGGGTTGACAGGTTCCCAGCGTATGTAATCTGTATGCTGGAGGTATGTGTGGTATGTATGCCGGAGTCGAGGCCTGGGATCCAGCAGAACCACTTTTCCGATCGTTCTGTTCTCTGGTCGACCTCGCCTTACGCGGGGCGACAAGTCAGTGAGGGAGGAAGTGGGTGGCTGTGGGTTCAGGATTGGAATTGGAAATGAGAAAGGGAATTGGGGGGACCGTGGGGTTTTCCTGGCCGTGGCGGGTGCACGACGCACTGCCGGTTGGCTGGCCAGAAGGGCAGGGAAGGTGGTGGTAAGGCGGAGGGAATGTCAGCACTTTGTGTGGTCGCGCCCGATCAGCGATGATGGATTCTGAATCTCTCCCGGTCCAGTGCAGCTGGAGTGCTGGAGATAAATTGCAAGTGATCGATCCAGACTGACAGATTGAGATTGATTAAATTGATCGATCTCCCAGGTGCCTGTAGTACTCTATCGACTACGGGGGACTGGGAAGACGCAGCAGGCAGGACGTGTACCGTACAAGGGCTGGGAAACCCACAAAAACCCGGCGAGAAAATGCCTCGAGACCGTTGCGTGCCTAAACTTGGTCCATCGGGTGCTGCTCCCCCCGGCCCCGCGGCCACTTACGTGCCGGCCTGCCAGCCTTAGCGCCATCCCTGCGGTCGGGCAGCACTTCTCGCCTTTCCCCTTTTCCCTCGCCCACTCTCCTGGAGCATTGCTTCTCATACCGGTGGGTTTCCTAGAAGGGCCATGGAAGAAAAGGGGGGGAAAGAAAGAACGATAAGAAGAAGAGAGAGAGAGAGAAAAAAAAAAGACCTCCGTCCCGTGGTCCGTCCGTTGGTTAGCCAAGACATGTCTACGTACGTGAACCACCCGCCGGATTGTAACTGGATCCCCGTCGGAGGGGCTGGAGGTGGATTGCCACTGGGAATTCGAAAAGTCTGGAACCTGAGCCGGTCGGATATGAGAAGAGTGTATACCTCCCGACCAACCTCATCTGCAGCACTGCTGGTCGACAGTCCTCGCCATCCATACGAGCCTGTGCGACGCACTCCGTACCTTGCATGATCGCTTCACCCCGTCCCCTGAATTCCCTCCGGAGACTAGTCTGATTACCGTGATCCGTTTCCCCGGAACGCCTGCTTGAACCTCTCCTCGTCGGCCGGTTGGACATGATAGTTGATCCCCAGCTCCGTCGAATCTGATGACCAAATGTGATACTGGAGTTGGGGGAAGAGCAAATTGACTTTACCCCAAAACGTGGCATCATTCCACCCCGTTAGAGAGAGGGGTTGGAAGACTGATAAGACCACGGATGAACCTAATTATGACGGTTGGAAAGCTTAGGAGCCATCATGGAATGTTCTGCCCTTGCTCTGCCGTCATATTCTGTGGTCCATTTCCCACGGTTCGGCTCAATTAGTCTTATTCTAGAAGACCAAGAAATGGGAGCAGAAACGGGGGACCGGCCAGTCATGAGCTCGGGTTGCTTCGATCGACTGGCCTGTCGCATGTTTTACTTTTGCTTTTGTAATCGTTGGATGCTACGGGGTGTATATCATAGACATGCGGAATATACTCCGTACCACAGTCCGTCCCAGGACGAGAATGAAAGAACCGAAAGAACCTACATCGATGGGCTCTCCACAATGCGCCGCGTGAGACAATTTCTTTGTAGCTGATGAATGAGAAGATAACAATGAAAATGACAAACCCGCGTCTAGAATGTAAGACATTTACGTCCAGCTCGCTTCGATAATACTCCGTACTTTACCCATCGACCCCTCGGATGCATCAATCAGAACGGATCTCGACCCACTACCGTGCGGCGCTAGGACCAAGCCAGACCAGCCAGCATCGCCAGTCAGCTTGAAGAAGTCACCCTCGCTGATCGTCGCCAGATACTTTTGGCTTTCCTGTTGTCATCGCAGAGATCCACCCAGATGAGCAAAGGATCGGCCTGATCATGTCGACGACATCTTCAACGGTCAGTTTCGTCAACTGCAGCTCCGACCTCCTCGTTTCTTCCGTGGTCCATGCAAACGGATGGGCTGCACCCATGGTTCCTATCCTTCGGTTCCATCCAGCGTTGCTTCCTCGTCTAATCCAGAAGCCGCTAGGATCGCCATGTTTTGGAGTACTTGGGGTCTTCTGCAGATCAGCGAAGAAGCTCTGGAAAAAGAAACACAGATGACAATACCTCCTGGTCCAAAAGAAACACGAGTTTGACCGGGATTCCGGTCGATGCACACACGAATCTCACCTAATCCGATGGGCGCCGGCACTGGGCCCTTCCACTACAGCAGAACCTACTCCGATCACCTGTTCCGCAGCCCAGCAAGCCGCCGTCAGATCTGACGCCGGATCTACACCAGGCCATCCTTAAAGGCGTATCCTACCGGGCCTGGGGCAAATGCGCCCTTGGGGGTCGAAACCATCTGGATTCGGCTCTTGGACACGCCCTCAGAACCCCGTCTGTCGGGTCGGGATATACACCCAGCAAATCCTCAGGCGGATTTCCCAGTCTCGCTCAAAAGCACTAAGCCGGTTCTGGCTTCCCCTCGTCCTGTCGAGTCAGCTTGGGGCACGATGCAAGTGCCCCTTGCAGCCATCTTGCTGCAGGTCAGCCAGTAGGAGCTGCAGCCATCAATGCAAGCAAGTTCCTTAGATAGGTAGGCCGGTACCTGCGAGTACGAGTAGCAAACGCCTCTCACGGTGTGGGCGCTCTCAGCTGAACGCGATCTGAGAATATGCCTTCTTTTGTAGTACCAGGTTTAATTAAATCGGTCTTTCCAATGGCGAGATGCTCCTAGTATTGAATGCTAATGAAACACCTCTAAGGATAGAGTTGCCCAGTGGCCTTTCTATTTCTTCCTCCCAGTAACCACTGATACAAGCAATCAATTCATTCTCACCCACTGTCGGTCGTATAGTAATTATTACCGTGCGCTGTATCTTGTAAGAGTTTACCATGAACTACGCAACGCTCTGCTGTGATCATGGTAAACAGTCGGGTATATTCTCGACTTAGCCTAGGTTTCAACGCATGGTCTAGAGCCCAAACCGACTACACTACATCTAAGGACCTTTGCTTATTAATAAAACGTGAAAAGACCAGAAGTTGGATTATAGAACTGAGATCAGATATCACCATACCCAACCTAGGCTCCCAACCCCAATAATACCCATGATCAAATCAGATGACTAAATGTAGAGAGCACTGCCAATACTTTCGGGGTTAAGACGGGTATATAAATCTCGAGCCATAAGCAAAGGACACTGGACGCCGATATCGAAAGAAAAGGATGGACGAAATGAGGAAAAGAAGGAAAAAAAGGCTGGAAATGCATGCATTCAAAAACAATGGACGGAACAATGAGCGCGGAGGCTAACTGTAATAAACTTTTCAATGGAACGAAAATTCAAATTTGTCCCTTGATATCGACAACTTTATGAGCCTTCGACTTAGCGGCCTCAAAAAGCTGGCCGGCTATTCCTCCGGTAAGCAGCTTCACGGCTTCATCTTTCTCCTGAAGCAAACCTTCAGAAGTGTTTTCAAGAATGAAGCGTGCGCTCTGCTCGTCGGACTCGAAGCCAAGCTCTTCAGTAATGAAGCGGATTTTTACGTCGGGTTTGTACCTATTCGCTTCAGCGTCAGTAGATCCTTGGAAACAGTCAGAAGGCGGGAACTTACGCTTTACATATGGCGGCGAGTGCCGAAAGCCGCTCTCGATCCACAAACATGTCCATAAGGTAAGCACCCATATTGGGGGTATCCAGGTAGAGCTGAAAGAAACGGTGATAATTTCCAAGAGCAAGGGCCGACCGGACGTCCAAAGCATGTTTCACAGCAGGATCCCGCTTGTCTGCTGGTGTTAAATCGGCCAAGGCATCGTTCATGGCTGTCCAGTTGCGGGTATGGATGAAATAAAGTATACGATACGCCTTGAATTCCCGAGGATGCCCACCCAGCTGCTGGCTGTACAGCGCCCGCAGCTGGGTCTGGCATTGATTATACTCACCGAGATCTCCCTTTTCAAGAGCAATCCGGGCATGGATTTCATAAACATTGACAGTAAATTCGTTTCTGATATGCTGGACGGTCAGATCCTGCCGCAACGATTTGAACTGGTCACATATATAGCCGTAGTTGTTGTCTCGTTTCCACTTCTTCTTCAGTAGATCCAGGGTCTTGACCAAGACCTCAAGAGGGCGAACCGTATCGGGATTGGGCGCCGAAGTCAATCGGAAGTAGTTCTTCTCTAGATTTTGACATCTTCCAACGACAGGTCCCTGATCCGGACTCGCCGAAGGAGATTCATCGCGAGACGACGATCCGTTTGCGTTCCAAGGGCCCTCAAAACGTTTCCTCCTCAATTCCAGATTAGCTTTGGACTTACTAGGGTTTTTATGATCTATGCGTTGTCGTTTGTCTGTTGGAGAATAAGTGATGCGATCTTCAAAATTATTGTGTTTGTTAGTTTGCCTCCAAGGTGGACAGCTGTCCGTGTCCCCTTGGAAATCGGCCGATTTTCGTTTTCGCGCAATATCATCGGACTTGTGAGAAGTCGCTTTTGAGGCACCCCAGAACGAGACACTCGGACTGGTCAGAATCTTATTGCGCTCATTCTGGACCATGACTTGCGGCAGGGGTAAGGAGACCCAGTCGATCTTATCGAGCATGTTACTCTCCGCTGCGTCGGTGATGACCGACTTTAATTTGGTTTCCATCTCCTCCCTGCTCACTGAGGCGATTGAATTTTCTGGCGTGAAACTTCGCTGTACGTACTGCCGAACGGGTGCTGGCCATTCTACTCGTTTGCGGGGAGCCGAATCCGTGGTTGACGAGGGGGATGATTCGGGCGCTGGGTTGACGGTTTTCGTGGGGGCAAGGCTACGGCGTGCTTGGACCGGAATATAGGCCGGAGTTGCTAGTCCCAGGGTCAGAGAACTGATACTCGCAACATCGCTCGGGAGAAATGGCTTACCATGCCCGGAATATGAAGGAACCGTAGTGGTGGCCGATGCAGTGGCCCGCCATGGCGGAGGACCGGAACTCATCTTCGAGCAGGATCTAAGTCAAGGGGAAAGAAACAAAAGAAAAGAAAAAGAGAGATGGAAAAAAAAAGGACGGGTGGTGATGAAGGCGCGATATGAACTACGGGATGCTTGCTTCGAGGACGAGAGGCCGAGATATTAGTCCTACGCCTAGTAGGGTCCAGCAAAAGATGAGAGAAAAGTGATATCTGTTTCTTGCAGAGCGACACAGGCGGGGGATCACGTTGAGGTATAGAGTCAGCCCTGACGAACGTACAAAGAGAAGCAAGTGAGAGCAAAGAAAGAAGTCGGTCTTGAAAGGAGTTTCGCTTAGGACGCCGCACTTCGTGGCGGAGATTTTGCCTTGGCGCCGAAGGTCTTGACCGCCTGCCGGATCAGCGCACTTACGTCAGCCGCGGGAATGATCCCATGCTTTTGCCATTTGATCTCCCCGCATGTCGCATGGGCCTTCTAGCTCTTTTTCCACAGACCTGCCTGGTGGGGAGATGCTGGTTGATTTTACTAGATGTTTTTCAAGCCTTTGGATCTAACTACTGCGCTCCGCCCCTTACTGTTGCCCGATGAGACGTTACTCTTTGTTCAGGATGCGGTGGGGCTGTACGAAGGGTGAGCCGGTCATTTCTTTATAGCCCATTCATTCCACCATGAATGCTGTTGATGGGCTTGATGCAATGTCCACTGCATCTGATTTATTTTTCAATCATCGCACAATATGTGACATTGAGCTGACACCCAGTATCTTGGTGGCGACAGCAAATACAAGATTCCCAACTATCAGAACGGCCACGCATATCTCACATCCCACCGCGTCTGCTATGTGGCCGTTGACGATCCGCGCAAACACTCGGTTGCCGTTGACCTGAAAGAAATAGACCGAGCAGATTACCAAGTACGACCTAGCCTATGTGTTGTGTCCTGAAACACCGGCTCACTCGTAATAGGCCGGCTTTCTGAAATCATCTGCGAAGATCACAATATACCCGAAACCGCTCAAGAACAATCTTGACAGATCGAGAGGTGCAGGCGCCAGCCCATCGCGGTCTCAGTCGGCTCGATCGCAGTCCCCGCTTCCTCAAGTATCGGGACCCCAAATAAAACCGCCCACGTCTCAGCCTGTGAATGCTACTTGGATCTGTCCCATATGCTCGTTTGCTAATCCCGTGCCCTCCAACTTTGACCCTTCAACTGCGACTACGTCCACCAGCATTCCACCATGTCTAGCATGTGGTATCAAGCCCCCCTTTACCACTATATTGAAGGCTGCCATTGCCGCCGCGGCTAGCCGAGAAGGGCCTGGGATGAACCAGGTTACCCCTCGACTAGGGCACGAGTCTTTGGCCCCGAGCGGCAGCACGAGGAGTACAGTGTCAGCACAACCGGGTACTCCTATCTCATGTCCCAGATGTACTTTTGTAAATCATCCTTCTCTCCTCGAGTGCGAGATTTGCAGTGCTCCGTTAGCTACTGCAGGCGCATTGAGACCTACCGGTGGCGATGACAACCGCTCCGAATCACCGGCACCCTTTTTCGAACAGGGAACCATCAAAAACACAGAGATTACCAGCTGCTTCAAACTGTCCTTCCGAGGGGGTGGTGAAAAGACGTTTCATGAACGGTTGAAAGGTACCTTAATCCAACGAAAGTGGCTCTTGTATGATGCTCCACCTGTACCTCAACAGCCTGCGCGATCCACCCCCTCTCCTAATCTGGCTGTGACGGCCCCCCTGGATGAGATCCTGCCCGTGCAAACCCGGTCACCTGCCGTAGGGATTGCAGGTCTCGAACAACGAGGACTCGAGGCGCGCAGGAACAATGAAATGGTCATTGGGAATGCGTTCGAGGATCTCGAAGCCCTTATGGCATCTGCAAAACAGATTGTCGCACTTGCAGAGACACTTGCGAGAGAGTCGGGGATGGCCAACGACGAAAACTCTTTGGAGGCTAGTACAGTACTTTCGGAGTCAGCTGCGGCGCTGGGCATGATTACAACCAAGGATATGCTGGGTTCTGGCGCTGAGAATCTTTACTTGTCGGAGCTATCCCGGAACCTTGCTGAATATCTGACCGATGACCGTAAGGGGATCTTACAACGAGAAGGTGGTATAATCAGTCTCATTGATCTCTGGGCCATTTTCAATCGATCTAGAAATGGGGTGGAGCTGGTCAGCCCTTCTGACTTCCAGAGAGCGGCAGAACTGTGGGAAAAGTTGAAACTACCCGTCCGCCTGCGGCGGTTCAAGAGCGGCCTTCTTGTGGTTCAAAGGTACGACTGGACGGACGAGAAGATCATCCGACAGCTGCAGGAATGGATGGTAGAACTTCGGCATATTCCTCCTCTAGAACCCGTGGCCTGGGACTGGCGCTTATTTGGACGTGCAGTCACCGCACAGGAGGCCGCTCAACGGTTCAAGTGGAGCGTCGGAGTTGCAGCGGAGGAGCTTGAGATGGCCGAAGATAAAGGCATTCTATGCAGGGAGGAAGGCATTGAAGGGCTGAGGTTCTGGAGCAACTACATCACCTTAGATCCAGCGCCACAGAACCTCGATGACTTCGGAGTGGGTGATCTTATTCTCTAAGACAATAGATATTACAATGTATTCATGAGTGCGTCACAGAGCGAAATCCGGCTATCCGCACTATGGAATGCCTACCTCTTCCTATCAAATCATTTAGATTGTTACTTTGATTATTTTGATTATTTTGGATCACAGCGGTAGCCCTTGGCGTCCTGGATTTCTATAGAGAATGATGAACAGGGGAGAATGACGGGAACAATACAACGAAGAACACCGGTTCTCCAAGCAGACACATCTAGGTTGTAGGAAAAACACCCAAGTGGAAATGAGATTGTTGCCATTTATTCACAGGGAGAGGAGTACATATTATTGAGCACAGATTTTGCCTAGAACCAAAAGTAAAAGTGCAGTCTTCGGCCGAAGGACTAGCCAGTCCAGCCCTTATCCCTCCGGCGTCTCTCAGACTCAAATTCGGTAAATGCGTCAATCCCCAATCCATCTTCGCCTCCGGTACGAAAGTATTCAACAACAACACCAATAGCGTAGCACGTTGCTGCTGTTGCGGCACCACTGAAGAACATTCTTCGAACTGCGCTACCGATCGTAGATTTGCCTTCGGAGGAGTCGGTTTTGCTTCTCCGTGGAAACCTTTCATCCGACGCAGGTGACCTTGACAAATTGGCAGAAACACCATCATTGGCATCATGCGTTTGGTATTGTTCGGAGACAGATCTCGGCCCTCTTAGAGAGTCCTCGTCAAGCAGGGGCTCGTTTCTCAATTGTGCTTTAATTTCCTGTGCCTCGCTTGCCAGTTTCTTAAGAGAAGACCCAGTATACTCTGGTTTCTCGAATGACCTTCTGAACACCAGTATATCTCCACCACCCGACGCAATTTCATAGCCATCAGCATGCATCTCCTCAAAATATGGTAAGAATTTTGCTGGATTGTTTAACCGAGAAAGAACTTCGCTAGGGTGACAAGATTTATTCGTTCGATTCAAAGAGGTACTTGCCTCCGCACGTTTTATTTGCAGAGTAGAGGGATCGTAAGCAAGGACTCGGTATGCTTCTGCATATTGAGAATTGCTTGGACACAATGGCTGTGCGTGATTGAATTTCTCGGAATGCTGGGATTCTGTAGTGTCACTAGAACTTGTTTGACTTGGAGTCTTCGAATTGGACGCGGCCGTGTCCAGATGCTGCTTTTGTTCATGGGCTTCAGGTCGTCTGCGAAAATTTTGAGCATCGATATCGCTGGTCGCATAAGCAGATACATTCGAGACCCCATTCGACTCATTTTGCATTTGATCCTGCATCTCAGAAGCCTTCTCGAATTTCCTAGAAGCATAGCGAGAACGGATATCACTGGCTTGTAGGAGGTCCAGCTCTTCCGATGGTAAATCATGTTGAGAAGCGGCCTTTGAGGAATCAGGACATCTAGGTTCGACGTTCTTGGTTTGGTCTGCATTGGAGGTTATTTCAGATGGGGATCCGTGATCTTCGGTTTCTTTTTCGGATGTCACGGTGGTGTTTCCAAGCCAGTTACCTTCCCGGGGAGGCTCAGGCCGCCCACTGTCTGTTTTACAGGAAGCCACAGAGGTTTGTTCTGATCCAATTTGATTCTCTGGGCTCTTTTCCAGCTTTGGCTCCAGTGGAGAAACACCTGAGTTGACATTATCCACTGACGGAGCTTTGGGTTTGATGACTGTCCGGTTCATGGACGACAGGTAACCTGTGCTTTTCGTATGTTGTCCTGGGTCCTTGGTAGGTTTATTTGGTGAGCCTCCCCCACTAGCAGGTCTTTTTTCTGTAACCACATCAGCCGGTCTGTGTTTCTTGGGTACCATGCGACCGCTAATAGGGTCAAATTCATATCGACTGGTGCTCTTTTGTGAAACGTTCCCAACGCCGCCTTCATTTCCTGATCCTCTTGGCCATGAAGCTTTTGTCTCCGGATTTTCTGCAGAACCATTCTTGAATGGTTTTGAACGTGCCGTTGTGTCCGTTGACCCGGTGCTCTCAGGTTTATCAAGACCAAATAAGGAGCGATAGAGGGATGCACAAGTATCTTCGAATTTGTTAAAGGCACTGAACGGTTCAAGCCTTCGTCCAAACAGTGCTCCATAAGGATCGGTCTCGATTTCCTTCCTGATCTGTGCTATTCTCTTGTGCATTCGAGCTCCCTCCTCACCCCAAGGATGTTTCTGGGAGTATGTTCCTCTTTTCTGTTCGGGCATATCTGGGTTAGGTCGTTCCCACGTTCTCTCCCACTTCCACCACCGAGGATGACGATTATAGATTTGTGCCGGCCATGGGTGAGCAGGCCTCCCCCACAGCGTAAACAAATCAAAGCGTCGATGAATTCTCATTCGTCTCTGTTCACGTTTATGGTAATGATCCTGGCTGGCGCCTCTCCAAATCTTGCGGGTTTGAAGGGATGTCTTTAGGCGCTTGGAGGTAGGATGTAGACCCTTGCGGGCGCTTTTGGATAGCACGAGAGGTAACATTGAGGGTTTAGCGTTCGGCATCATTGTGAAGTTGTTGCTGGCTGTTCCGACAACAGAGATACTCGGTCAGTCTTCTGGATTAGTCAATCGAAGAAGGGAGAGTAACATTGAATTCATTGACCGGTTTCGGGCGGTCTGGTGTTAGGCCGATCACATCGCTGGCCCGAGTAACAAGGCAAAAAGAACCAATTATGAACCGAGCGAGTATCGAGGTACGGACAGTAGATAGGAACAAAAAAATGACAGTGTGTTAACTCGTGGAAGCAGAGGTGAGGTGTGACGAGGGAGATAAGGCATTCCATTCCCAAGGCGGAGAGAGCTCCTACTGGCCATTTGCGGGGTCATCGGAATGTGGGTCGGTTGGCTCACGGGCGGCTAGCCCGAAGGGGTTGGTCCGGCGAGTCTTGGGGAAACGGGCCTCAGGCTAGTTTTTGGATCTCCAACATACAAGGTAGGCGGCAGCGAGCTTCGTATAACCTCAAAACTGCTCGAACAGGAAAGGAAAAGGATTACCACATCGGCTTGGGAGACTTCAGGCTCATAGCCTGCTGAAATAGACAACCAAGACAACTTCTCAGTGAGTTACGATAAAAGAAAATAGTGTAATGTGTATAACTTCGAGAAACGCCTCAATTGATTGATAATCAACTACCTAAGAAAGATAGAGGGTTAAACAGTCTTAGACAATCGAGTGACCCCTATTTCTCATTGCCTACCGTACACTATTTCATGGCTGGTCAGGCATATCGGGAACACTATAAGTCACATCTTGATAATTCTTTTTTGCACACCCTTCACCATTCTCATCCTCCCAGACCCAGTCCCACCAAGATTGATGGATGCCTTCGAAAGCTTGGATTTGGTCATTGGAGGAAAATAGCATCGTGTCTCGAGTTCGGGCTCGTTCTTGATCTTTCTCAAGCTTCTGTTTCTCCATTTCACCCAACTCTTCGTCTTTTTTAACGACAACCACGACATCCTCCTGCTCCTTTGCAAATTTATACTCGCCTTTCGCGCGTGCAGAGTCAGACTTATTAACTTCATCATATGGGAAACGCTGGAAGACATGCTGGAGCACACCGCAACGCGCATTTCCACTCATCAAGTACATTGTCAAGCCAACAATTAATCTCACTGCAGCACGAAACTCAGAGTTTATCCACAAGTTGTACTCTTGGCTTCCCAGGACTCGAAACGCGCGGAAGTTTCGCTCACCGTCCGCTTTTGATAGCTTATGCCATTCGACCTGTTGTACAACTCGTTCTACATTCTGTCTAGAGTAGAAACGCTCATTTGGATTCTGAGTGAATGACCGTTCCGATTCGGTATTGGATGACGGATTGTGTCTACCACTCCAGATCCTGGAAGTTTTATAACCAGGAAATATGGCACGCAAGATATGCAATCGAGACCCGTGCAGGCCGATCAGGAAAACCTCTTGGTCAGGGAATTTGTCGCCAGGTGGATGGAGTCGATGGATATGAAGCAGCAGATGCGTCAAAAGAAGCTTGAACTTCCCTTCCAGGGCAGATTCGAGGGATTGCTTCGGTTTTGTTGTCTACATGACCAGGAAACATCCGTCAGTCATAGAAACCTGATACTATTTGTTGCAGGGGGCCTCTACCGTTGAAATGGGAAGAACCGATTTGTTGGATGAAAATGACGGACGTGAGTCGATGCAGACCATACCAGCTGTAAGCGGTGCATCTTGATGTTTCTGGCGATAGCCGGTCCAGTATTCCATATGACAATTCAACAATCTCGGCCTAGAACTTGTCAGTTTATGTGCAAAAAATATGCTAAAGGAATTATTCACGCGACTTTAATGGCACTCACCTGAGAAAGAAGTATGATCGATGATCATCCATTTCCCGATTGATATCCAGCAGCGTCAAAATCTCGTCAAGAAGAGCGTAGAGCACCTTACCTTGTGCCCTGGCCGCGTCTTCGAAGATGAATTTTCGACCGCAACCTTCGATATTGCGATCTTCGTTTTGGTATAGGCCTTTCTTAAACTGGGGCACCTTTCTGAGCATCTTAAACACTCCACGGTAACGCACGTCCACTTTGGACCACTTGTTCAGGTTTACTTGGCGAGCATCCTCTGCGCCGCGGAAAACCCAAGCAGTACGCTGGACCACGGCTTCAGAACAGTTAGCAATTACATCAATGAGTATTTAACAACTTTGAGGCTCGATTGAGGCTTCCAGAGGGGAAATAGTGAAATAACGCACAAGATTGATCCGCCTTCTGAAGATATTTTGCTGGGATGATGTCTTCCTGTGGGCGATTCAGAAGCACTTTTGCCTTCAAACCATGGACCTCAATGTCAACTGGTGGAGCTTTTGGAAGGGACGCATCTGGGTCTATTCTTAACAGCGTAGAGCAATAAGAGGACCTCTTGGATTGAGAATCCATGTTTCACGGTTGCTAAAGAGGTGTGTAAATCAGAGGTGTGGGCGAGGAAGAGGAAGAGGAAGAGGAATACGGGACGAGGGACAGGGAGTTGAGAGATGAGGGAATGGGAATGAAAATGACTTGGTCAGATAATCGTGGCATTGCGCCTTGCTTCCCTTGCAGAGTGAATGTATGGAAGAAGCCGGGCCGTGATGTAAAAGAGTTTCATCATGTTGGCATTTTCCGGTCTGGTTTCCGTGCGACTCGACTCTACTTATTGACCTCACCTCCGATCAATATTTCTCCAATCCAGCCCTGCTACCGAGTTTAAGCTTAATATTAGTTTCGTAGGTTGTAAATCCCCAAGTGTTCTGTTGAGGTTGACTTTCAACTTGTCTATGTTTTTCGGGATGAAGATTAGGGCTAAGACTGCCCGTTGGGATGCGCTCTTCAACGGGTCTCATAACTTACGGATCTTTTTGATCAAGATTCCGGCCGGGATCTGCTACCATCAAATATATCGGTACAAATTTAGACCAGGTATTCCAACCTCCCAAAGAGACCTTACCTAGTAGTATCTACCTAGACTGCCAGTGGAATGGGGCCTCGGTCATGTGCAACCAATGAGCACGCTCCTTAGTCAAGCCTACTTTACTAGCACCACATCGCCCACCCGTCCGTCTACTGCTTCCTTCATCAATCTTATTGTCCAGAAACATTGATGATGATTCGCTCGCACTGCTGAACGATTAGAGACGGCACAAAAGCCTACACCTGCAGCATGGAAAGCAATCGCCACAAGAGAACTAGGGCTGGAGCCTGTGCCACTTGTCGGTGAGTACTTTCCTTGACCCCTCACCATTGAATGCCCGGAGGAAGCCATAAGAACACTGAAAATTTATCTTTCAAATCTAGAGCTCGAAAGCGACGATGCGTTCCTGCAGATAGGGGATCTACCTGCCAGATGTGCCTGTTACTTTCGATTCCTTGTAGCCTGAATTCGGGCTCTAGGCTACGTATTCAACCACCAAATGGCCTTGTAGGCTCCTCTCAACTCACAGAAAGGTCGCCTAGCGTGGACCGTTTACAGTACAAGATAAATCTGAACGATTCTTGCTTAATGCCTGACGACGGGTCGCTGTCTCTGAGAGTCTTAGGCTCGCGTGAATTATTGTACGAATTAGTTCCGCTTTATTTCCGTTTCATCCACAATATTGCGCATACCATGTTTCATGTGCCCAGTTTTATGCGTCGATTAAACGAAGGCAAAGCATTCATGGTACACATTCACGCAATGTGTGCTCTTGCTGCTAGGTATGTTTTTTGAATAGAACCGAGGTTCTTTAAGAAAATAACCTTTGACGGTCAGGTACTCCAACAATCGAATTTTCGATGGTATTTCTCCTTGCTTGCGTGGAAGAATATTTGCCTCGGAAGCTGTACGGTTATGTCAACAACATATCGCTTCTCCTAGCCTGGAAACCGTTCAGGGGTTCATTTTGATTTCGTATTATTTCGCGGGAGAAGGCGAAGTACAAGCGAAACACGTTTACGCTGGACTTGCCCGATTGCATGCAGAAGCTCTCCCTATGAGCGCAATTCCCAATGACTCGAATGTCGTATACGAGGAAGAATATCGTCGGACTTGGCTATCAGTGCATATTGCCAACCATTGGTCGGCTTCCGATATGTCCATGGAGCCAATGGGTCTAGGAGGCGACTCACGAGTCCCCCCAGCAATAGACGACGTATCCTTCCATATGCCATGTCCGGAACTTGTTGGGGAAGGTCCGAGTATGTCCTCAACCCCCCGTCGCGACATGTGGGCCCAGATGGCAAAAACGCTCGATATATTTACCGAGATAAATAAACTACTAAGGCAACTCAGTCGTGGTCTGATTTCCTTTGATGATTATTGTGTCAATGCTTCCTTTTTGGAAAATCGTCTTGACCAATGGGCGGGAAATTTACCATTGGATTTGGGCTATAATTTGACCAACATTATGCTCTTTGTGGACCAGCAACTTGGCAGAACATTTCTGTCAATGCATATTGGCTATTATCATTTTCAGCAAATGCTTCTTTTTCCATTTTTGGACGCGCGAGCGGCCCAGAACACTGCAGAAAGCACTGTACGACATGGAGCCGCAAAGTGCAAAAGCAGCGCGAATTTAGTTGCTGAGATCTTGCAATATTCTACCAAGATTAAGAATTGTGAGCTTGAGTATTTTATCTACGGACATATCGCCGTTGTCAGCTCTTGTGTTCATCTCCATACCCTGCTATTTAGTGATGTTTCTCTGGAACTTGATATGGCGCGACAACAGTTGGTCTCGAACTTCCAGTATCTTATGAGCCTCAAATCATATTGGCCTGTTGTTCAGTATTCGGTGAGATCCCAATTTCTGCCCTTCTCGGCGATAGCAAATTTTTGACGAGAGAGAGTTGCAGATTACTCGTCTACAAACATTTCAGAATTCATGCAGGGATTCCGCTTCGGATCCTTTTGCTATGGATAACTGGATGGCTCGCTTTTTAACCGAGCATTCCTCTGTCCTTTCAGAGCGGCAGCTAATTGTATCGTCAAATGGTCATGTCCCTGATAATGAGGCTTTTATCCCCACGGCAATTCCATCATGATAAAGTCAATCGATGCCTTTCAAATTGCAACCACAAATCAATGAAGCCCAAACATGCGATGCAGGAAGAGGGCAGTGGGATTTCTTACTTGTTGAAAAGGCAAGTATAAGTCTTACGATGCAATAAGTTTGGTGATCTATCGAAGGGCAAAATATGCCAACAAAAGACAACTACGAAGCGTTCTAGCAAGGCAACCTGGACAGTCATGTTTTCCAAAAAGAATGATCAAATTAACAAACACTACCTTGCTTGTCAATCCTCCTCTTCTTTCTTTTCATTTCAGCTACATCCTTTCGATGCGAGCAGTTCTGACTCCTCAGAAATTAGACAATCCTTTCTACATGAGCAGATCTAGGGTCATTCGTCTCCAAGGTAGCTTGCTTCTCGGAAGGCGCGTCTTTGTCGCACGAGTCATCAACTTGTTTCGAGGGACTCTTTGCGACACCATCCCCGAACAATTCAGCGATTTCTTCCAACGTCTTGCCACTGGTTTCCGGGAGCAAAAAGAAATACACGAAGGCGGCCGCAAAGTTGGTGGCAATGAAAAGCGCGTAATATCTCCAGCTCACATTTTGCAAGGCAGTCGGCGTGATTTGTGATAGAATGATCGCTGATACTGATTTGCAGAACACAGCCAATCCCATTCCCGTCGACCTAAGGAAAAAGGGGAAGAGCTCGGAAGGCACCACCCAAATGGTTGCGTTGAAAAAGACTGCATACCCACAGGAGTATAGGAAAATCATGGCGATTGCCGCACGAGCGCCGGTCAGGCTACCATTGCTTTTGTCTCCATACATAGCGGACAAGGCCATGCAAATAGCAATCATCACACACAAAAAGATTGAGCCAACCCACAGCGTGCGAGTGCGAGGCCATTTATCGGCAGCGAAGCAGAGATAGATGACCTGACCAAGGACACCCATGATACCGTAGATGCCACTGATCAAAAGGGAGGTCTTTCCAGTGAAACCGACTGTTGCATAAAAGTTGTTCTGATAATTTTGGATGACGGTGGATCCGCTAAACTGACCCATGCTTAATATGAAGCAGGCCATCAGGGTACGGTGCATGTAACGAGGCGAGAGTAGACTCGTGATGGCTGAGCTGAAGCTTGTGACATGCTCGGTCTCAGTATGGATTTGTTCTCGAATCTGAGCGAGTTCTCGAAGGACCACGTCTTCGTCATTCTCAGAGACATGCAGCTTTTCTAATACGGCGCGCGCTTCTTCGTAACGCTCCTGCTGGATGACTTTGAGACATGTCAGTATCAGTCCTGGAGATACATAGAAGAGTACTTACGCCATCGTGGCCTATACGGTATAAAGCAACACCCGATCGTCAATGCCACAGGCCCGGGTATTTGCATAGCCAAGGGAATTCGCCACTGTGCATCATCTTTGGCATATGCACCTCCATAGCCAATCCAATTGGCAACGAAGAAACCGATCGAAATCATGAATCCCTGAAGGCCAACAATCATTCCGCGTTGCTTAGGAGGAGATACCTCAGCAATGTAGATTGGCACAACCGCCAAGAGGATGCCACAACCTACCCCCGCGAGAAATCTCCCTGCAATCATCATCCCAGGGTTGACAGCCGCTGTCTGCAGAATAGTACCGATTATTGCTAGATAAATATTCTTGGTGAGGAAGCTTTCAACTCAAACCCCAGGGAATAGTGTACATACCAATGACAGCACTGGCACAGATGGTCCATCTTCTACTGAACCGGTTGGCTGAATAGCCTGCACCAAAGGTGCCGACGGCCTGACCGACATTATACAGCGAAACAATGGCACCTATTGCAAACATGAGTGGACGAATGCATCCGACAAGAGAGTAACACTGTGTGACCCACCCGTCAAAGCAGCGTTCTTTCCACTTGGTCCAAACATATAGTATTTGAACGAGTCGTGACCTAGAGTTGTTGCAATGATGCCTGCGGCATGTCAGCATGGTATGTGAGCGATCAAAGCGGATTAGACGAACCAGAATCAACGCCATATACAAACCCCCCAAGGGCGACCACCAAAGCAATCAACACAACATAACGGGAAACCATTGTGCACTGACTGACAGCGAGTTAGGTTCATTAGCTGGCTCTCGTTCACCTTGAAGGTAGTACTCGATGCTCCCTGGTGTACTGGCGTGCCGGGCATATTTATAGCACCGGAGAGAACTGTGCGACCCGGTCCATCAACAACCCGAATGATAGACGAGCCGAAAGCCTCCCGGGGACTCTTCCGAAGATCACTCGATTAGGGCCAATCCCCGCATACCCCACAAAATCCCACGAAGCCAAGCCGAACCGAGCCGGGCCCTGGCGGCATTTGGCCAATCACGGCCCGAAAACGCCGCCGCGTGGTCTTGGCTCACCCAATCAGGACCTGGACGCAAAACGTGGACACCAACGATGCTGCCTCGAGACAGGAGCCATAGACGATTCGCAGCGATGACCCAATTGACAAGTTCTTCTCGGACCCTCGTGGGAATGTTGCGCGAGCGGGGCAACTCGTTTACGTCCTATATAAGGCAATACTCGCAGGACAAGGGGCAGTCATGAAAATGCCAAAGCCACAAAATCTTTCCTTCTCAAAAACTCCCAACACATCTACCAACACATCATGACCTACGAACCAAAAATCGCACCACCATCAGTCGAGCAACATCCCACTGGCTTTGGCATCGGAACGGGAACCCCGCGCTTGTCTTGGCGATTCCTCAACACAGTCGATGACTGTCCTCGGGAATGGGAACAAACTGCATACGAAGTCCAAGTTCTCCGGCCCCCCTCGTCTGCCGAAGAGACACACTATGTAACGAGTGCCGAATCGGTGCTCGTTCCTTGGCCAAGCGTGCCATTGAAATCGCGAGAAAGAGCCCAGGTTCGGGTTCGAGCCTACGGTCGAACCACGGGCCAGTCCGAACCTAAGCCGACGAGCTGGTCATCCTGGGCAACGATTGAAACTGCGTTGCTTTCCAAGTCCGACTGGAAGTGCCTTCCGATCGCCCGTCCCGTGAAAGACGCAAACGACGGCCCTTTACGCCCAGTGCGCTTCCGCAAATCATTTACACTGTCCGGGAACGGAGACATCGGAAAAGCCCGCTTGTATATCACAAGCCTCGGGATCTATCGAGCGTTCATCAACGGTCATGCGGTGGGAGATCAATGCCTGGCTCCCGGCTGGACAAGCTATCATCATCGTCTCAACTATCAGAGTTTCGACGTTGCACCGCTCTTGAATCCCGACGGCCATAACACTGTCGCAGTGGAAGTCGGCGAAGGTTGGTATGCAACCCGCATGGGATTTCGCGGCGGGCGAAGGCATCTCTATGGAAATCAACTTGCCGTTATTGCCCAGCTTGAGATTGTCTCAAATCAAAACGAGGCAACGTTCTCACTGGCGACGGACCAAACCTGGTCTTGTAGCCCAAGCGCCATTATCAGGAGTGAATTTTACGATGGCGAACTGTACGATGCCCGTGAAGAGGATCATGATTGGACAACCATCTCCCCTGAAAAGACCAGCACCTCTTCCTGGGATTCAGTACAGGAGCTAGCTTTCCCTACGGCAACCTTAGTGGCACCAGATGCGCCCCCTGTCCGAGTGACGGAGAAAATCAAGCCGGTCTCCATCCAGCAGACCCCGTCTGGGAAAGTGGTGGTTGATTTCGGTCAGAATCTCGTTGGTCGACTTCAGGTTCACTCTTTGAAGATACCAGATGGGGCCAAGGTGACATTTACGCATGCCGAAGTATTGGAGAACGGAGAGCTCGGGACTCGACCTCTACGACATGCAAAATGTACAGACGAGGTCATCTCTTCCGGGGAAGAAATTACAAACTGGACCCCGCAATATACCTTTCACGGATTCCGATATGTCCAGGTCGATGGTTGGCCGAAGGACCAAGACTTGCTCACCAATCTCACCGCACTGGTGATGCACACCGACATGACACGGACCGGCTGGTTCTCGTGTTCGCATCCCATGGTCAACCAGCTCCATGCCAATGCGTGGTGGAGCATGCGCGGCAACTTTCTGTCAATTCCCACCGATTGTCCTCAGCGGGACGAGCGTCTCGGATGGACGGGCGATATTCAGATCTTTGGCCCGTCCGCCAACTTTCTCTATAACACCGCAGGCATGCTGGGAGATTGGCTGCAAGACGTGGCAGCGGAGCAGCTGAAAGAACGGGATGGCTGTGTTCCTCCGTTCGTGGTCCCCAATGTTATCAGCGAGGAACTCTGGCCCCATGTACCTCAAGCTATCTGGGACGACGTGGTTGTCTTGTCTCCGTGGGACCTCTATCGTTCTTACGGGGACATCGACATCCTCCGCCGGCAATATGCTAGCATGCTGGCCTGGGTCGACCGAGGTATTCGACGCGGACCTGATGGGCTTTGGGATCCAGAGCTGTGGCAGCTAGGAGACTGGCTAGACCCGACTGCCCCTCCAGTCGAACCAGGCGATGCACGAACAAATGGGACACTGGTCGCTGATGCGTATCTAGTACATGTCACCAATACAATGTCCCAGATCAGTGAGGTCCTCGGAGAGACTGCAGACAGCACCCGGTTCAAAGCAGACTTCCAACAACTGAAAGCTAAATTCCAGGCCAAATACATTGCATCCTCCGGTCTCTTGGTGGGAGATACGCAAACGGCACTGAGCCTGGCAATTATGCTCGACCTGCACCCAACCGCCGAACAAGCTGCGCATGCTGCATCTCGCTTGGTAAACCTGGTCCGGCTCGCAAAATTCAGAGTGGCGACCGGGTTCGCAGGGACCCCGATCATCGCGCATGCTTTGACGAAGACTGGCCACCACCAGATTGCTTATCGCATGCTGCAGGAGAAGAACCGCCCGTCGTGGATGTATCCCATTACCATGGGCGCGACCACTGTATGGGAACGATGGGACAGCATGCTCCCGGACGGATCCATCAACCCAGGGGAGATGACCAGCTTCAACCACTACGCCTTGGGGTCCATCATCAATTGGCTTCATTCCAGCGTAGCGGGTGTGAGCCCCATGTCCCCGGGATGGAAACAAGTCAGAATCAATCCCATTCCCGGCGGCACGATCGACTCCGCGGAAGCAAAGTACGACACCCCCTATGGGCGGCTAGAGTGTCGGTGGTCCGTTCATTCTACCGAGGACCGTTTCGATCTGGAAATACTGGTACCTCCCAATTCCAGTGCCTTGGTCATCTTGCCAAGCGAGGAGACATTGAGTAAGGGAACGAAATATCTTGACGACAACGATGGTACTTGGGTTGGGTCTGGACACCACAAATTCTCGCATCCATGGAAATGGAGTGGTCATCGCAGTGGATGGCCGCCAAAGCCGATCATTCCGATCATGCGAAAGCCGGAGCCAGAGAATATTGCTTGACCCGGTTGCCTGACTCAGAGAATGCGAGGTACGTGGGATGGGACTTTCGGTTCAAGGGAGGTCTCATCAAACGAAGGCGATTAGAGACATAGAATAATTGAAACATGATCAATCTACCGTGATAATTTTCCGCGAGTATCCAATCAACGTCCACGACGATGGTTCTTATTTCCATTCATAAAGAGAAACGGAGCCGCGGTGCATAGTACAAGATCGTCCCACTTGTCTCAGTAGCATAAAACAGCTAATAATTTAAGAAGTGTATATTATTAAGAGACCATTCGAATAATTAATCAAAAAGCTAAGAACTCCCTTGAGGTGCTGTTACGGGTACATGCCCTGGCGATGGGGTGAGTAAGTGACGTCATCTATATAATCCGGGTTCCACGTCGCAACGCAACGTCATTTCCGCGTGCGCTCAGGGAAAAGCTCGAGGAGGCGAAGGGTATTTCCAAGCAAGCCCCTAACTTCCAAGTCGAGACCGATGTGTGCTTACCAATGTCGACATCAGCTTCCACATGATTGGTCCCCAGCCAAGTTCGCGAACTTCTCGAAGAGCTAGTTTTCGTGGAGGCCTCGAGCAACCTGACAAATAGTGGGTCTGGAACCAAGGCTTGATCGACAGACCCAGACAAACCGGTCAGGGTGTTCATTGCCCAGTCTACCTACACTATGATCAGGTGGGTTGAGTGCAAGTGCATCATAGTCCATGGGTCTTGGGAATTGTAGCCATTCGTTACTGGATGATCGTCCCCGGGCGGTTGCATCATTTGTCTTCCTGTCGGAATGTTCGTTCCAAGGATATCCCAGTGCATATTGAGAAAATGCTGGCCTGATATTAGTGGGTTAACTCCCGCAACTCGCTTAACGGTGTTTCCTATACTTCGGTCCCTTGTAGGTTTGGGTATATAAGTTGCATAGCAGTGCCGGAAATACTCATCTTCTGTCCACAAAACAAAATATCCGCTATTAGTATTCATTCTGCCATGGCTACTAAGCAAGCTGATCTTGAGCGGGACACCGTTGAGCCCTCGGGTGTCCAGCATATGACGACAGATTTTGGTGTGAAGATTTCTGATCCTGATCACTGGCTGCGAGTCGGTGATGCGAATCACAATGGCCCGCCATTGTTGGAGGATTCGCTCGCCCGAGAGAAGGTACAGTCATTTTGGGACTGAATTGACACCATGCGTTGCTCATGCTAAGCACATCGATCATTAGATCATGCGTTTCGACCATGAGCGTATTCCCGAACGAGTTGTCCATGCTCGTGGAGTCGGCGCTTTCGGCACTTTCAGAATGAAGAAAAGCATCAGCGACCTCACCACCGCCGGTGTTCTCACTGACACGTCGCGAGAGACGCCTGTCTTTACTCGGTTCTCCACCGTCCAGGGCAGTAAAGGCAGTGCCGATACCGTTCGAGACGTGCGTGGTTTTGCAGTCAAAATGTATACTTCCGAAGGAAATTGGGACATTGTCGGCAACAACATTCCGGTTTTCTTCATTCAGGATGCGATTAAATTCCCGGACGTCATTCACTCGGTCAAGCCAGAACCACATAACGAAATTCCTCAGGGTCAAAGTGCCCATAATAACTTCTGGGACTTCCAGTACATGCACTCGGAGACCACTCATATGCAGCAATGGGTACGCACCTACTTTGTTCGTCGACGACCTTTTCCGATCTAACTTGTATAGATCATGTCTGACCGAGCCATCCCCCGCTCTCTTCGGATGATGCAAGGGTTTGGTGTGAATACCTATTCTCTCGTGAATGCCGAAGGCAAGCGCCATTTTGTCAAGTTCCATTGGACACCCGAATTGGGAGTTCACTCCTTGGTTTGGGATGAGGCGCTTAAGATCGCTGGGCAGGACCCCGATTTCCACAGGAAGGACCTCATGGATGCGATTGATGCTGGCCAGTATCCTAGGTGGAAGTTTGGTATTCAGGTGATTCCCCAAGAGAAAAAGAACGACTTCGAATTCGACATCGAAGACGCCACAAAGATCTGGCCGGAGGAGCTGGTACCTATCCAGTACGTTGGGGAATTGGAATTGAACCGAAATGTGGACGAATACTTCCCACAGACAGAGCAGGTTGCCTTCTGTACCAGCCACATCGTTCCTGGGATTGATTTTTCAAACGATCCCCTCCTTATCGGCCGCAACTTTTCCTACTTTGATACCCAAATCTCGCGCCTGGGTCCCAACTGGCAAGAATTGCCAATCAACCGACCAGTGTGTCCCTATATGAGCTTGGTCAACAGGGATGGCGCGATGAAGCACCGAATCACAAAAGGCAAGGTTAATTATTGGCCAAACCGATACGAAACCAATCCCCCAGCTTCGCCATCCCAGGGTGGTTTCGCCACTTATCCCGAGAAGCAAGAAGGTGTCAAGGCACGCCAGCTTTCGGACAAGTTCAAAGAGCATTACAATCAGGCCCAGCTCTTCTTCAATTCTCTCTCTCCCATTGAGAAAATGCATGTCGCCAAGGCCTTCTCGTTTGAGCTTGATCACTGCGATGAGGAGATCGTCTACAAGCGCTTGTCAGAGCGTCTTGCCGTCATAGATCTCAACCTCGCGCAGACCGTGGCAAAGAATGTGGGCGGCAACACACCGGTCAAGGCTACGAAGGCTAACGATGGCCGGACCTCGAAGGGATTGAGTCAGTTTGACTATCTCGCCAATGGTCCCCAGATTGCTACGCGGCGTGTTGCAATCCTCATCACGGATGGCTTCGACCATGTTGCGTACTCGCAGATGAAAGATACTCTCCAGAAGCACGAAGCATTTGTCTTTACCATTGGCTCGCAGCGTCAGGGTGTCACAGCCGAATCAGGTGAGAAGGTCATCCCCGATCACCACTTCCCCGGCATGCGATCGACGCTCTTCGATGCGGTCTTCATCCCTGGTGGAAAGCACGTGGGTGCGCTGGCGAAGAACGGTATTGCCAAATACTGGATTACCGAGTCCTTTGCTCATCTTAAGCCCGTTGCTGGCATCAATGAGGCAGTTGGATTCATCCAGCGGCAGATCAACTTGGATTCGGTCAAGCACGCTTCCTCTGCCGGTCAGATCGTGGAAAGCTATGGCGTTGTAACGGGGCATGGCAACCCAGCAGATCTTTTGAAGTCATCATCCAACATCGGGGATGACAGTCAAGGATTTGTCGACCAGTTTATTTGGCAGATTTCTCGGCATAGGAACTGGCAAAGAGAGTTGGACGGATTAATTGACGAGGTAGCCGCTTGATCCGCGACCATATTCAAATGTATATAACGTGGTAGCCAGCATCGCAATTGTATATAAGTCATGATCTGAGATTCAATAATTCCTTGAAGCTGTGAAATGAAGCTGCATGTGATGTGCAACCCAACCATGGTTACCTCCGGCCGTTGTGTTCAATCTTGAACGTGAATAACGTTAACGCCTTCACAACGTTCAGAGACGAAACTTTACCGTAAGAAAGCTGCGTTCAATATTGGCCTCGAGGTCACTGCCACTTAATTTCCGCCTCGGCCTTTTGTCGTAAGTAAATTCTGTTTCCCGTCGGCTCCTTGCTTGAAGTATGTTGATCGTTCTCACATTCCAGTTGAGTTCCACCACGCCCGACCGCTCAGGCCTCAACAAACAAAGCTGGAAGGGGTTGGACGAAACTGAAATGGTTTAGTTTTCTTCTGAATTAAGAAGGAAAGAAAAAAAAAGCCCGAGGAATTCGCTGGTAGCTTGGGGTGCCGAAACCACAAGTGACTAGCTTGACTCTTTTCCCCCTTCGTCTTTTGTCAAGCCACATGCGGTGAAAAATGGCATTCAAAATATCACGCTCTCAACGCTTGACTGCCGTTATTGGAATTGCTTCGATCTTCTTCATCGCCGAAATCTCAGGTATGACTGGTTTTGTTCTTCTGTCTCTCCTCAATCACAATCGGCGAGATACTGAACTCTGCCATAGTTGGGTTCTATACACATTCTATAGCCCTGGTCGCCGATGCTTTTCATTATGTAGGTGTAAATCTCCCAGGGAGAAATGCACCTAACAGATATAGCTCAATGACTTGGTCGGATTCATCGTGGCGTTGGTGGCCCTCAAGGTGAGCCGCTCGTCTCAATATTCACACGTCAAAGCGATAGCCCTGACCGCGACAAAATTAATCAACCAGGTATCCGAGACAAACGAGCCCCCTAGATCGCTGTCCTTCGGATGGCAGCGAGCTCAACTATTAGGCGCCTTCTTCAATGGAGTGCTTCTTTTCGCTCTTGGCATCAGTGTTTTCCTCCAATCGATCGAGCGTTTTGTGACTCTCCAGCGTTGGTTCCTCGATGCGTTTCGTGCGCTCCACTGCTAAATGGGTGCTAGGTGTGGAAGATCCCAAACTCATGCTAGTCATGGGATCCGTCGGTCTCGGTCTTAACCTTGTCAGTGCCATATTTCTTCACGGTATAATATGACAAGCGCAATGGAAATGAGGAAATGGAATAACAAAAGTTGGCAGAACACCACCATCACGATCACGGCCACCATCACCACGGAATTTCGGAAGCGCCTGAAGTACAAATGGTAAATGAGGACGGCAACAACCATTACGACTCGAGCTTTTGTGCGGTGAGATATTTGACTCCATGGAAGGTGGTGGTTCTGAACGCAGTTTCTAATTCGTCTTTGGGATGCTCCAGCACCACAGCCACAAACACCAGACACAGACCAATCGGTCAGTGTCCCATGGACACGATCTCGGAATGATGGGCGTATTGCTCCATGTCATCGGGGATGCCATTAATAACATCGGAGTGATGGTGGCCGCCTTGGTCATTTGGTTGACACATTACGAAGGACGATATTATGCGGACCCGGGAACCAGCATGGGCATCGCAATTATGATCATTTTGTCCTCACTTCCACTTGGTATGTGTAGACCGTCCTCCTTTCCGTCGCGGGGGTGCTGATTCGCGGGTCAATTAGTGCGTCGATCGGGGTTTATCTTATTGGAAAGTGTGCCGAATGAGATTAATCCTGCAGATGTCAAGCACGATTTAGAAAAGGTATGGCATGGCTTTCATTCATCTTTGCTGTGATGCTTCTCCGCTGATGATCTGGGTATAGATCCCGGGTGTGCTGTCCATCCACGAGCTACACATTTGGCGCCTCAACCAGCAAAAGACTCTTGCGTCCGTTCATGTTGTGGTGTCCGATCCTTCCGTGTCTCATTTTCTGAAGCTGGCCAAGATAATCAACGAGTGCTTTCACGCGTACGGGATTCACTCGGCAACCCTGCAGCCTGAGATTCCAGGACCGGGAGAAGTCATCATGCTCGGACAAGACGCCGAGAAGATGGAAACGGTGGAGATAGAGACGAAACTACCGGGGAAGTGCCAGGTTGTGTGTGGAGAGCTGTGTGAGGCATTGACATGCTGTGGGTGAGAAGGGAAGAAAGGCGAAGAAAGGAAGAGAGAAGAAAGAGGAAAGAAGACGGAATTGGTTCCGTGGGTGCCTGACCGTGCAGGCATCCTTCTCCGCGTCTCCTCCAGTCGAGGCCACCCCGTAGTATTCTAGAAGACATCCGTCAATGAATCTAAGCCATCAATACCCCATCGAGTGTTTGTGCTGTCATTATCCATCCTCTTCTTTGCGATGCAGATCCAGCAGCATTGTTTCTTCATTCTCACAAGTCTTGCCTTCATGAGGGGAATGCGCTGATCGTCTCCAACGCCGATAAGAGCGTCTCCACTCGGAGGCCAACCAGTTCGCGGGATCTGCACTGCTCCTCATATTGATTGGACTTGTAGTTCCGATTCCGAGATGCAACTAGAGCACTGCAGGATGCTATTACCTGTCGCTATCAGACCCGACGAGGTCCGCGTTGGGGTCGGGGAAACTTTGTGACACATAAGAATAGCATGCCTCATGCGTTCTGTCCTCCCTTGCGTGTCCCTCTCCGTCTTCGAACCATCTACCATTTCGCCCATCTTCAATTGGTCAAACCGCGTATCACCATGTCCACGCAACCATGGCAGTTGCAAGCCCGGAAGGCTCAAGATATCCTCCGACAATCAATCCCTACTCAATGGTTACTCCCCGTTGACCAATTGCCTCCCGCAACCCAGAAAAATGTCGAGGGTTTCCCTACCAAGAGCGGTCTTCTCAACGACCGGGAGCTTGACATCACTAGCATGACCGCGACGGCCCTCGTGGCAGGTATGGAAACCGGAATCCTGGGTGCAGAAGAGGTGGTCATCGCGTTTCTAAAGCGTGCTGTCTTGGGACATCAATTGGTCAGTACTAAACGAGATTTGTGATCTTATATGCCATCAGATGCCTGGAACTCACTACTATCTAGCTCAACTTCGCCACCGAATTCATGGCAGAAAAAGCCATTTCACGAGCCAAAGAGCTTGATGAATACAGGAAGCGCACCGGAAAGATCGTAGGACCGTTGGTATGTCGAGACACCACCTACTACCCCTCGTGAGAGCTCAAAACTAAAGAGAAACAACCCAGCACGGCGTCCCAATTAGTGTGAAAGAGCACATAGGATTCAAAGACCGCACCTGCAATGGCGGCTACGTAGCATGGTCTGTCCTCTCCCCGTGACAACGAAACGTGGATGGATGAATCTGACGAGTCCTACGCATCCAGGGTGGACAACATCGCTCCGCAAGATGCACTGCTTCTACAGAGTCTGGAGAAGGCAGGGGCCGTGTTCCATGTCCGAACGAATCAGCCCCAGTCTCTCATGGTAACACCACTATTCCCCTTTCCCTAGCTCAATCAGTGTCCACGGATCTAACATCTCACAGCATCTCTGTTGCAGCAATAACATCACCGGTACCACGACAAATCCATATAACCGCACCCTTAGTCCTGGCGGCTCGTCTGGCGGCGAGGGGGCCTCGATGGGATTCAAATGCGCGCCCCTTGGGATCGGATCAGACATTGGAGGCTCGATCCGGGCCCCTGCGGCGTTTTGCGGAGCTTATGGGTTCCGACCCACGGCGCGGCGAATCCCAGCTACTGGGGTCTTGCTCCCGGAGCCTGGCCATGAGTCTATCCTTGGAGTCGTTGGTCCCCTGGCAAGTCAGAGTGTCGAAGATCTGGAGCTCTTCCAGCGGGTGGTGATTGATCAGGAGCTCTGGGACATCGAGACGTCCCTGGTCCCAGTCCCATGGAGACGAGTCACGCCGACCAGGGACATGACCATCGCAATCATGTGGGATGACGGGTGCGCGTTCCCCGTCCACTGATTCCCTAAAATCCCCAGCAATGCTGACAGCGCTGACTAGGTGTGTTCGCCCTCACCCACCGGTTACTCGTGCTCTTAGGCACGCCAAAGAACAGCTCCAGGCAGCAGGTATTAGGGTTGTGGAATGGGAGCCCTACAAGCATGCCCATGGCTGGAACATTGTGGTAAGCTTTCTATTCCAATCTGCCTTCGGCACCCCGTGATCGAACGCAAATCACACTAACGATACACACCCCCAATCCAAAAGTCCTCGCTTTACTTCCCCGACGCAGCCGACAGCCAGCGAGCTCTCCTCGCCCAGTCCGGAGAACCGACGCTGCCCCTGACCGAATGGGCCTTCGGCTACAGCAGCGGCAAGACACTCACGGTAGGCGAGAACTGGGCGCTCAATGCCGCGCGAGATCAGTATCGGGACGAATATCACGCTCTCATGAAGTCCCGCGGCGTGGACTTCATTCTGAGCCCGGCGTACGTGGGCACCGCCTCCGTTCTAGGCGAGTCAGAGTACTGGAATTACACGGCCATTTGGAATATCCTGGATCAACCCGCCGTGGCGTTTCCGAGCGGCTTGGTGGTCGATCCGGTGTTGGATAAGGTTGATCCCAGGTATTCGCCAAGAGATGTGGTGGATGCTCGCGAGTGGCGAAAGTACAGCCCGGAAAGGTACGAGGGTGCGCCGGTGGGACTGCAACTGACGGGGAAGCATTTCAAGGATGAAGAGACATTGGCTGCGGCCGGACTGGTCTCGAGGATCCTTCTCGATCAAGGAGACACGCTGTCGAAGCTCTAAGAAAGTGTTGCCAAACGTTGAGAGGCCCTAGCAGAGGACGGTCATTGAGGAGACAGTGCATTTACATTTCCTATCATTATATCCATCCAATCATCAAAGTACATACAAGCATGCCGCGTTCCATATCCCAGATCATTGCGGTATTTCCGGTATTTCCCATCAAGAACACGAACGCCAAGAATCGAAAGTCATATTATGAGAACAAAAAGAAAAGAAAATGGAGAGAAATCGGAAAAGAGAAAAATGGGGGGCCCAAGAGGAGGAGAGATGCAAAGAACTTATTTCTTCCAGAACATAGCTTTACCCATTCCTCGCTTCATGGCCCACCTAGCTTCAGTGAACTTGTCGCGAACATTTCCGCCTCCGCCATAGTTTGTATTGCTGCCCACGGCACTGGAGTTGGCGCTGGCACTGGCGTGGGCAGAAGCGATATTACCGGCTTCAAACTTGGTCTTACCCTCGACAATCTTCTGCACCACGAAAAGGATCGCATAGGTCGTGGATCCAATCACACGGAACAGAGCCAATACGGCGACGGACCAGAGGATGATGGCCAGGTAGACATTGGTGCCGCCAGAATCGACGCCGTAGACCTCCGAGACGGCCATCGCCAAGATGAGGTTCGCGATCATCCAGATGGACACCATGTATGTTCGCACGGCGCGGTAGTAGTCTTCCTGCAGTTGGCTTTCCGGCGTCGGGGGCTCGGGAACTTCGAGGCGATCACGAAGGTTTCGCAATGCAGCATCGTATCCGCTGTCAATGTCGAGCTGCTCCGACGGCATCTCAACCTCGACGATAGAACCGTTGATGATTTTCGCAGTTCCCAGATCCGTGTTTACGACGTTGTCACCCTTTGTACCCCAGGTCACGTCGTGAGTATTACAGAAGGCGTAGATCTGCAGGGTGCACACGTAACTTGGCATGAGAGCGAAATACTGGGCCGAGGAGGTGAACATATGCCATGGATCGAGATAGAGAAAGGAACTAAAGAAGTAGAGACCAATGGTCGAAAGCATTGAAATCACAATGTTCACCATTAGTCCGTCGCTGACTTCTAGATCCACATCTGCTCCGAATTTTGACATGAGCTCCAACACGATCAGGTACAGCGCACAAAATGCGGTATAGATCATGATCACGCAATAGACAATAATGCCGGAGAGATACAGTTTTTTGGCCCTGAAATATCCTCGTTAGTTCTGATTTGTCTGCCAGGGACATGTAAATTGCTTGGGTACTCACCCCTGAGGTCGATTACCCATGGAGATAATGAACTGTAGACACATAACCACGACGCAAGCATATCGAAGGACGATGAATATGTATTTGCCCATGTTGTGGCCAAATGGATCAATCTTCTCATCGGACAGCGATCCGGCAATGAAGTAGAAAGCCAAATAGAAGTTTGCCTGGCCATAAGTGTTAGTTCTTGGAACATCATCTTTTTCCTTGAAGGTTCATGCCCACGTACCAATCCGAAATACGTAAAAAGAAGCTGGAGGAACTGATAAACGGACTCGATTTGAAGCAGGATCTTGCGGGGCAACGAGTGGTCCGTCTTCCACAGCTGCTTTCCGTTGACGATGGAATAGACCGCGGCGAAGAAAGCACCGTTCAGCCAACGTCTCCGCTGAGAAATAAACTCGGGAATAGTGTCTAAAGAAGATATGTGTTTAGCTGTGGCACTCAACCCCCAACTGAAAATAGCTTACCTGGTACATCGGTCTCGCCAACGGCACTCTTCACGAATCTCAGGACCCATCTTTCGTCGCGCTTAGCCACCAGTTCCCAACAGAGAATTCGATCCTCCGCCAGGTACATGTTGGCTGTGAAGACATCTGCATCCTGTCCATGTAGCGTTTCACCCTTGAAGTATTGGTTCAACGGCCCGTTGCCTTCCGCATCGTTCTGCAGCGCGAAGAAACGGTACGCACTGAGGGCTCCGGGAAGCACGGTGATATAACCAAAGACCGACTCCAAAGGCTTATCCAAAATGTTGGACATCTTATACTCGAAGTTCTGACTGGCAACCAGGGGGTTCAAAAGGCCAAGCATGCCTTTACCCTTGCCTGCCTTGATCTCACCAGCCGCTCCGGCAACGTTGGAATCCTGATCGAAGGCTTTCCACAGGTGGTACAATGCAGTGGGATCGGGCTTTGTACCGACGTCGAGAAGAACACAGATATTCGGCTGGAGCGCTCGGCCAACAGCATTGAAGAACCACCGGTGGGAGTTGAGTTTCTTTTTGTTATGTTCCTTCAAGCAGAAGATAACCTGGCACGGCACGATACCCTTTTCTGCACCCTTGAACTTCAGGTCTGCATCCAACGATACCTGAGTGGTGTATTCGTACATGTGAGCATTCACCTGCTTCTGGTTCACAATGTTCTTGGCAATACCTTCTTGGTAGACACCCAGCGCTGCCAAAGCGTTCAAAGTTCTGGGATGCACCTTTTTCCGGCCATCCGCAATCACGCAGACCACGATCTTCTTCCATCCGTCTTTGCCCCAGGTTCGCGATTTGGAACGGGAGCAAAGATGGCTGATGTTCCGCATAATACCATGCATGGTCCGAGTAAAACAGATCTCGTCCTCGTTGTACATGGTGACACAAATCAGCAGCTCCGTTTCACGCGCGGTACTGCCGATCTCCTGGCGCAACTTGTAGCCTTTCTGGGTGAAGTCGTCCGGGTCACAGGTCACTGCAGTGTATCGCATGTGCGTGAACTCTCGGTCGTCTCGCCGGGGCAAAAAGCTGTGCAAGATAGTCGGAATCTTACACTCCAGGATCAGCTCACCATTGATCAGCTGGACTTCCTTCTTGACCATCTGAGCGTCTCGAACACCGCGACGGCTCTGCTTCTCGGGCGCGGGACCATAGTGTAGATTGGGGTCGACCATCTCACTTGCTTCGTCGTCGTCATCCAGGTCAACCTTCGTCATCGCGTCCTTCTCGTCCGTGATCACAGTGGATTCGCTCATGAACGATCGAACACTCGCCGTGTGGTTGTGGTGTGGCTCTACCGTTCTCCCACCACCACCGAAAACATCGTCGGGATCAACACCGTCACCAATATCGATACTCGCATCCTGACCACCTGACACCGATCCCGTTTTAGAAAACAGTGGTGCCGGTGGTAATGGTCGTCGAGGGCTGCCGCCATATCTCGAGCTCGGGGTGCCTGGTCGGGGACTGCCATTGATATCTGCGCGTTCGTAATGAGATCCAGTGACAGACGGCGGTCCAGCAGGTCGAGTCCAGTCCGCGGCGCGGGTTGGGGACCAAGGTCGCATGGGAGAGCCTGGTCGAGACGAGTAGTGAGGGATATCTACCATTGATGCGGCAGGAGGAGGGATGTTTGGAGCATTTCGCATACTCGAAACGGGCCGTGAGGGGGATTCGGGCGGGTCATATTCATGGTATCGAGTAGAATATTGCTCTGCGTATTCTGGTCTGTTGCGAGGGATGCGTGCATTAGCTCGAGGTCTTCGATGGCAGGGCATTGTGGACAACAATCATTTCCACGCGTTGTGAGAACCGCAGCTTCAGGGCACGCAGTTTCCCAACCGCACGAGCAAACAGGTATAGGAGCGCCAACGAAAGAGACAACACGCAGAAATCCCCTCGGCGGAATTGCTAATCCGACACGATGGATCAAAACTAGCAAGGGATGGAACGGGAGCATATGGATGGGGGAGCGTTGCCGGAATTCCAGTGATTCACCACTGGAATCCTGGGTATGCGAGGCCAGAGACATGACAGAAACCGGGTTCACCACAACTTACCGAGCATCATCCTCATAAGTCTGTCCGTACTGGTACGTTGCACCTCCGCCACTATGCAGCGTACTGTCTATATCACCACTCGTCGGAAGCAGTCGCATCGTTGTTCCATTGTGGCGCGGTGACTCGTTGTCTGAAAGGAACGAGGTCGTTTCTCCGTATCCATAGGCCGGCGGTTCGTCTTCGTAGTTGGGCGCCGGAGGATAGATGCGCGACTGGTTGGGATTCATGTCTGCGATTGAGTCTACCGTTGCTCTGATTCCTCACAAGAGTCGCCGAGACAGTCTCAGCCCGAAGGCAGAACGGTCGCTCTCTGTCGAGGTCTAGACAAAACCCTCATGGCGTCGTCAGTTCAGCTGCTCCACAATGGGGGATTCAGGAATGCTGAGGTCCAGCACTTACCCCGAAAATCTCGCTAGCGGGACAGCCAGATAAACAAATCAATCGTATGGTATTCAACCGGAATGTACTGTACGGACCAAATCAATGAGATCAGTCGCAACGCTGTCGGGGTGCACAAGAGAAGGACCGTTGTAAACAATGGAAAGGCACGCGGGTGTCCGGAGTTGGCGTCAACCAACACTCACTTACCGAGCGTTGCCTGTTAAATAAATCAAAAGAAATTACCCCTGCGTTTGGACCGGGAGATTTTCATCCCATTGGAGATTTTAGGGTGATGCCTACGCTTCAACTCGTGGCAGCCATCGAGCCGGCGAATTGGGGCAGCGCGGAGGAGACGCTGGTTGTCGCCGGGGCAACGCCGTTTGTCGGTGGTTGCTTTGCGGCAGCCGGCGGGGCCCGTCCTTGCGTCTATCGATCAATGTTGACCCATGGATGTGTCCACAAGCTGAACGAGCTCTTTTTTTTTTTTTTTTTTTTTTTTTTTTTGTCTTCTGGACTTGAAGCACACCGAGTGAGAACGCGCCGTTCCATTCAACGGCACAACGTTGATTCTCAAATTATTATGTAGACTATAGACAAAACCAAACTTGAACCAGCGCACAACCTACCTCCATGCAATCCGGAAACGAGCGGCAAGGTACATATGAGACAGCTTAACACCGAATAAAAACTCGCTGCTTCGGGGGAGAGAGACACCTTTTAGATAAAACACACATATCACTTCACGTACTACCCTCATTTAAGGTTATGTGGAGTGGGAAAGAGAGGGGGAAAGCAGGTCCACCGAAACCCCGGGCTAGGGAATAGTAGTTACTACTGGTATCTCCTCTCGTTCACCCACAAGATCGATTAATTAATCCGTCACGCGGTCTGGGCCGGTTCATTAAGCAGTGGCTCCCGCTCGCGATCGGTGGGCTCCGCTTGTCCAATCCGACGGAAGAAAATGTCGCGGCCAGTGCTGCGAGTGCTGGTGATGTAGAGGGAGTTCACCAGGAACACGGCGAAGATAACGAAGGCAAAGATCCACTGCAGCGCAATGGTCTTGACGGCGATTTGCTTCAACGCTAGGGCTGTGGGCTCTGGTTAGCGTTGCACAATGTCCACCCACCCGGGCAGAGTGGGAAGGAAAGAGTACATACCAAGAGTCAAAAAGCTCAAGGAATAGCCCAACAGGTCATCCTGCGCAGCCACGATATGACCTGTCCCGATCACGAAGATCACCCATATGAAAACGTTCGCAGTAATCCTGGCCGGCAGAGAGTTGCTCTTCACGGCGACCGCTCCGTTCCAAAAGAGGGCCATGAGTGTCCAGGCAAAGGGGCCAGCCACGGCGGATAGATGCACCAGGCGCGGCAAGTTGCGATGTCGCCAGTAGGCCACATGTTGGTTGATGAAGTGGGCGATCAAGATGATTTCGGAGCCCCAGAAGTGGTTGCGAGTCCACAGAAGAATCCATGCGAAGATAAACAGGTTGTTCAAGATAAAATGGGAGCCAACGTTGGCGGTCGCCGTCACGATGGCCGCATCCCGATGGAAGAGATGATACACGTAGCTGAGTTGGGAGAGAAGGAGTATAATCCTAGGGGACTGGGGGTTAGCGGGCCGTGGCGCCAAAGACGAGGGATCCGGTAATCATTACCAGAAGATGCCCGTGACAATGGTGCTTTGGCTAAACGGCGTAATGTGTCGATCAGCCTGCCTGAAGATGGAATGACCGTGCTTGACATCACCGGGGGCGTTGACGGTATAGTAGAGACCAACGACGACGACCAGCAGCCATGACAAGGGCACCAAGAGGCGATAGGAGCCCAGGGTATAACGGTCATGCGATTCCCGTCGGACAAAAGGGTTGTCTGGGAAAGGCAGTGAGGCAGTCATTAGTTCCATAGAATAGACCCTGGGGACAATAACCACGAAAGGAGCTTACAAGACGTCATCATTAAATGGTTCGATAGAGGCCTAGTGACGGAGAAGGGAGATGGAGAGAGAGGTTTAAAAAAGAATATACAACCAGGACAACGCGACAGAACTTATACGGAGAGCAGGAAGTGAAGGTGGGGGAAGGTAGTACAGTAGGAGGTAAAGGCAGATCCGGCCATCTCGCATGGCATGGCTCTGATGTCATGATCCAATCAGCCACTGAGAACGACCGCCGGTGGTCAGCCGACGCGGGGTGACTTCATCATTTATTGGCTCTTATACCGGTTCCCTTCCCTGGTACTCCTATCATCGAGCGTGTCCATACATCCTGGACTTATAATAGCTATGTTAATCAAAGAAGATGGGGATGGGATGCATCGTCAGCAAGAACTGACCCCATTTACACAACATGTTTCACGGCCTCAACAAGCCGTCCGTGGATAGAGGCCGGCGCTATAATCATTCCGTAACACTCCGCCAGGGTCCTGCCCAGGCTGCAGTCAACCGGGTTGCCTGCCAGGTCGCTGACCGTACATCCAACCTCCTCGGCAATCAGCATCCCTCCGGCGTGGTCCCAGATCTTGGATCGATAGGACGCCTTGCGCGGAATCTTGATCAGGGTGTTGCAGCTTCCAACGGCAATGGCGATATATCGAAGCTGCGCCGCCCAGAGGTCGGTCGTGTGGGGCCAGGGCGCATTCAGGTAAGATGCAAGGCGAGCATGATAGTCGATGTTCGAAGATGTGGAAGCCACGCAATCCACAAAGTCCAACTCCTGGAACTCCGTGATTTGGGGCTTGGGGTCGAGCTTGCGAGCCGGTTGGAGGGCCCCCGTTCCCATCTTGCGTATATAGGCACCTTGGCCGGCGACGGCAAACACCTGAGATCCGTATCCATCCCGGTCCACTGCATCTTCGTGCATACGGCCCGAAGCCAAATTGAGATTAGGGCAGCCCAACACCCCGACGCGTTGACGTCCATCCTGCACCAACGCCAGACAGACCGCATATTGTTGGCCTTGAATAAACGTCGCCGTGCCGTCCACGGGATCCAGGACCCAGGAGCGACCCTTCGGACCGCAGGTGCCCTGGGCTCCCAAGTCGATCAACCCGAGCATTTCCTCTTTCGAACTTGGCGTATAAAGCAAAGCTTCGCTCGCGCCGTCATCAAGGTGGGTAGACGAGACCAGGTCCCAAGCTCGCTCAAGAAGACTGGCATCAGCACGAAGAGCTGCCGAGTCCTCCTCGCCAACGATGTCGTCCTCGGGGAATGCATGGTGAATCGCGCCAATGATCAGCGCTTGGGCGGCAAAGTCGGCAACCGTCACGGGCGTGGAGTCGCTCTTGTCGAGACTCCCTTTGTCGACGGCCTCGAGGACCTTTTTCGTCAACAGCGTGGCCCTCTGGATTGCCAGGCAAGCAACGTGGAGTTCCTGGCTGTATGGGCTGACTGATTCCATGTTGAGATTTATGAACCAATTCCGAATAGCTCAAGGTTACTACTGGCCAGCAGTTGCAGGACGTGGGGGGGATCGATTGCGGTGGCTCCAAATTAAAAATGAAATGATGCCTGGTGTGTTGGGAACAATGGCCCAACTTTTGCGCTGCCTTCTTCCTAGCGGCACAACGAGGCTTTCGGCTATCACTTCAGACTGAAAGTTTGAGACCACAGATATACAAAACCAAAGGAGCTCCAAGTTGAACACATGAGATTTCTGTCGATCTCTCGATCGCACAAGACGCGGCCAATATTAGATCCGATTTTTGAAGGTGGGGTCTAGTGTGGGCGACTGACGTATTAGTCTACTGCTATGGACCCAGGCTAGGCCGCTTGGTAGATCACAGCACTCCGTTCATGCAGTGGGAATGCAGCGAATCTAGCGACAACATGGATGAAGGGAGAATGGAGAAGAGTCGAAGGAATGATCTCACCTGCAGAGATTGCAGGGTGACCCTTCGAGTTTAGTGTCGCCTCGGTTCGGCGTTGCTGCCTGACCAAATAGGCAGACTTTCCGACAACGACGTCACCGACAATTAGGAATGCCTCAACCGGTCGTTCATATTCGAATTCAAAGTCCCAAGGCCTTTACATCGACAGACTCTTCTAGAATATAGACCCCACTCCTCGAACATGACCTTATATCTTCTCGTGTAAATAGTGCCTTCGATCCCGATAAAACCATCACCTGGAAATCCCAAAACGCCGTGAAATTGACATCATACATGCATTACGTTGGGGCGAACGATCAGAACGGCGCAAATGCCAGCTCGTAGGCGAACCCGAGTGTCAACTTGGCATGTTCGAGCATATGGTCAAAACTCAAATATTCAATCCTGTCATCAGTCGTGTGGATTCTCTTGTTGCTGTTTTCCATTTCCGATTCGGTCGCCATGGCTGCCGGATAACCATATTTACTCGCCGACGTGTGGTCGGAACAGGCGTACCCGCATTTGGTGTCAATGAAACCAATATCGCAGTACTAATCCGGTCATCAACAAGCAGGCCCAGGGAGAGACGGATGATTCAGACTTACGGTCGTGACTGCGTCCTTCAGGAATTGCGTGAGATCTCGGTCCACGTAGTCGACCATTATTCCCACGGCCTCTTGGCGACCAGCCTCAAGAGCTCCCCGGGTATAGCCGGTCATGTCCTGCTGGAGCATGGCCTTCACGTCGCGCTTATCCTTCTTATACTGGGAGAAGACAGCTTGAGAACCCAGCATTCCACCTTCTTCCGCCGAGTACCAATGGAACTCAACGGTATTGGGTGCGTCCCCCCGTGCAATGGGTTCCGACCGTAGGAGACCACGCAGGGCCTCGAGTATGGTGACAGTTCCACTGCCATCGTCATCGGCGCCCGGCGCAGCCAGGATTGAAGGAAGGAACAGGTTAATGCTGTCCTGGTGAGCACCCAGCACGACGGTTTTATTTGTTTGGCCAGGGACCCGAGCGATGACACTGAACTGTCCCCATGGATGGGCAAACTGCTCCACAGTGGCGCCATGCTCCGCGGCCCCGGAGCTCTTGATGACATCTTGAACCTGGTTGTAGAGCCATGTGGCCGATTCAATGCCCGTCTGAGACTTGTAGTAGCGAGTATGGAAGGAGGTGAATTTCTCCAGGTTGTGCTGCATATTGGCCTTGTCCAGGTCTTTGATAAGCGTTGTTACTTCGTCGGTATGCTCCATCTTCGACGGATAGTGCACATAGCTCGGTGCGTGCAACGTAGGATAGAACCCGGCATTCCGCTCTGCTGTGACGTCGATGAAATTCACGCCATCCTATTGTTGAGAAGACAGCAAGTAGTTAGAAAAATAAACGGGAAGAATAAGAATGGAATAAAAATGAAGATGACGAGGAAGCGGTCCTGTCGATATTGAAGGCTTACCAATTTCAATGCCCACTTTTCTTCTTCGGTCACCCATCTGGTCTGATAAGGAGCCAATTCAATCAAATACTTCTCTTGGTTGTGATATATATGGGGATTCGTCAATGGCGCCTGGGGAATCACTGCGGCCATAACTCCCGCAGAAGCCGTTGCGCCCAGCGCAAGAGCTATGTCGATCTTCATGGTGATTTACAAAAAAACAAAATGCTATTCAAGATATTCACCGGCCAAAGCGTATCCACAATATAGTGCAAAATCGGTTCAGATAATTGAACTATGGGAGAATAAGAATAGGAGTTGTAAAAATGGGCAACCTGCACAATGATGGGGGATGGAGGACCCGACGACAAAGGCGGGGAGAGAGTTGGAGTTGGAGTTGGAGAAGGGGGAAGAGGGAGAAGAAGGCGGGAAACGCGGGCGGGAACTCACTGGACGGACTTCCAAGTTCCACAGGGGCGTCTTGACCCTGCGCAAAAATGGATGGAATTTATCAGGAGATGAAGGAGAGGTTGTTGAATGTTGCGTCAGAGGTGCGTCGGTGGGCAATTTATCATCAATAATTAATCCGTACGGAATAGTGCCTGGAACTAGCTTGGGCCTAAGGTATCGACCGCGCCAACTAACGAGGAACGAGTCACAAGAATAGAAGCATGATAAACCGATACTACCGCTTACTCCGTAACTACTCCTACTCCGTATGTCTGTCAACGCCTCAACGGCGATTCCATTTCCAAGTCGACGGAAGGGCCGACTTAGCCGCCCTTGTGGAGTCGGTCCTTTTCCCCGTAGCACAGGTCATACTTGACTGCTTGACTCTCTCCATCCTTCACTAACATGACCCACGGGCACCGGATTTCGCTCAGATTTTTCCAAACAAGCGCTAGAACCTCTTCGGAGTCCAGGCGTGGGTTACATTCCTGTTGGCAACGTGAGTTAAGCCTGAATCCGTATGTGGCTGTGTCGGCAAAACATATATCTAGTGCCATCGTCAACTGCTGCCTGCCTCCTCCATACCAATAATTAATTGCCAACATTCAACAGAATGCCAAAGCATCGTTTCTACCAGGCAACCACTTAACCAAGCCACCCAGCAGATTGAAAAGGATTCCGATCCACTCGGTAGCCGGTGCGCAGAGTCCTGCCTTGGCTGATTTCATTGTCAGCCAGGGAGTGGGGCATGTCGGGATCTAATGGCCCTATCCTATCCCCATGTCAAAAGAGGCTGTGTCGTACGGAGTATAGCTTCCTGTCAATGCCTTCTAGGGGAGAATTGTTTGGGGTAGCGGTCAAGCCCGGGGTTATCGCGCAGCCTAGACAATTCCGGCAACCAGCAGACTCGCTCGAGAATCCTGGAGAGTTCTGGGCTCAATAGAATGGCCGACGTTCGACAGAAGTTCTACCTCACTGCAAAGATCTGGGGATCAACGATAGATATCTATATTTTCTCGGATTCCAGGGAGTAGTAGGCCCCTATTCACGAGAGATATCAGTAGGAATGCATTGCAGAAAACAGGGAGCAACTCAAAATCCGACTTGCCGTCGATAAGATGAGAGTTTTCATCCATGGGTCGATGAAACCGCCTCCACCGAGCGGTTTTACAGAATTAGAGAAGATGAATCATGATGGATCACCGATGACTCAGATTCCGGCAGGGACGAAGGACAATACGAGTACAATACGAGTACCAACCGCGTTCCCTCCAGGGCTCAAAGCCTCAAAGGGCAATCAGGGTTAGGGCTGCGGGCGGCGTCCCACCAATTGGGCCGGGCACCAACAGCGCGTGGGCCCACGGGGTGAGTCAACGGCACTCACTGGTTCGCTTTCAATACCGGTAATGGTCGGTGATCGTCGGACGCGACCGGACGCATCGCTATCTCTTATCTGGTCTTCTTTCGCTCATCCCCGCTCGCTCCCTGGACTTGACCTGCCTCACAGGCTAACACTCGGCTCTCCAGAGGACCTCGTCTTCATAGTAGTGCAGTACCGCCGCTTCGCATCTTCGCGTACTCATTCTTCCAGGCTCCCTCCCCCGAATTACTCCCCACTGCATGATTGCGCCATGGCCATCCATCCCAGTCTGCGTCCTCAATCAGACGTCCAGGGCAATCTGTCCCCGCAGCAGACCAGAGCCATTTCAGCCTGGACCGAGCAAGCGACGGCATCTCTAGAGAATCTGACGATTACCGAAACCGTGCCCGCCGCGCAGAATGCCGCCTGCGCGGAGTCAACGCCCGCCGGTGGCGCATTGCGCGGCGCCACCGTGTCGTTGTCAATTCCCCTAGATGATCCAATTCCCACGGCAGATCATCAGTCTACCACAGGGGCCAGATTCCTGGGTCGGCCCTCGAATCAGACACAACAGGTTCCGACCGTCTCCTTTCGGCGCCGCGAGCCACTGCGCCGTGATAGCCTGAAGAGACGCGAGGCATTGCTCAAGGGAAAGGACGGAAGCCGTCGCAGGCAACGCTGGGAAAACGGTACGTCTTGATGAAGCGAATATGTTCACGGCGCAATTCGACGCTCGACGGTGTCGCCTCAAGGGTTGCATCTGCCACTACACCAGACGAGATACTGACCAGGCCTTTTCCACCATGAAGATCGCCTTCTGCATAACCCCTGGGCGGAACCGCCTTCTCCTAAGGACTGGGATATTCGGCCAACGTATACTCGACACGACCCCATGCCTTACTACTTGGCACCCCTTTGGGACGTTCACTATTCGCATATGGATCGTACATCATCCAAACAGACGACCAAGGGGACCAGAAGCGAGATCTACCACATTCCGAAAGAGCTTCGCTCGAAATTGAAACACGCCCGCGCTGCGCGAGGAATGCTTCAAGACCTTGAGGAAGACATCAGACAGTTTATTCAGCGATGGAATGAGAAGCAACGCTTGCTTCGCAAGGAGGGGCTGGCTGATGCGCCTCAAGCGTCCGACGAGGACTCTGAGGACGAGGTGGTCTTCGTAGGGAGAAACGGCCAGATGCATGACTCGCCCGTGCACAAGCAGAAGCTGCAGCAGATGCGTCGGGCCATGAGTTCCCACAACGAGAGGGATGGCGAGAAGATGGTGTTTGAGAGCTCGGCTGATGATCGGGCTGCTGCTTTCGGGTAAGTTCCAAGCCAGTTGCCCCGGGTAGTCTGATACTAAGTTGGATTAGTCGCTGGCTCGTCCATTCGATCGCCTCCTATTATGGGTTACACACATGGTCTGTCACGGTGGGAGAACCTGCTCGCCGTGAGGCATACGTCGGATTCCATCCCCCAACCGGTGGCAGTCGCGCAACCGGGCTTTTTGGAGGCCCCCTTGGCTCTGGAACATGCCACCTTGAAACGAGAAGTCAAACCGAAGATGAGCTTCCCCGACCGCTGTGGGCACAAGTATAAACTATGCGGGCCTCTTAGCGTGTCGAAATCTCTCGCGGAACTAATCGGAGTTTCTTTTTGGGCAATCTCAGCTGTCTGAGACTCGGGCGCAAGGCGGATCTTTTGTTCATCTGTACAATAGACGGAACAGGTTTTAACGGTGATACATTCGAATCATAGAGCATTGGTTTGTTTCCCTCGCTTTTAGTTCATGCGCCGAGTGAGCGTGTCTGCTGTGGTCCTGGCTTTGCTTTGTGTAGCGCATGAATGCCGTTTCACCGAACCCCCCCCCCAGTAAAGAGAGCAGCATGTTTAGAAAGTCCGAAATGAAGCTAAACAAGGCAATCAGCCTCCGCATATAAACATATTGTGTTTCAGGGCCTCTATGACATCAGGTCCTCGTTCCTCGCGTCATTCGTTGGGAATTCATGCGTTCTTAGAGGGCAGGAAAGAGAAAATGTGTGGGGGAAAATAAATCAACAGGCTGGGGGAAAGGGGCCGTGGCGTGAGGACATCAAAGTTGTATAGTTCAGTGCAAGGGACTTGAACGGTGGCGAGGACCCAATCGACCGATCTAGAAGCCGCATGGCTGCCTTGATCTACTTCGAGACTGACGGTCTCAACGGATGGATTACGTCGGGTGAGTTAATGTTGCTCCCAAGGGACCCGCGTGTTCACTGTGAATATACCACTACTCCAGTAGCACAGAACGACGGTTATTGCAAAGATCACCCGTGACTACGAAGCGGTCAAAACGTAAGGGTCATTCATCTCCACCGTCTCCATCGACCGTGGGGGGGGTTCGTGTTGGAAAACCGGGATGCGCTTTATGCCTGAAGATGTCATACCCGAAACCCGATACCGGATGAGACAGAAAGAGAGAAAGAGAGATAGATCACTGGAGCCATGTTATCAACATCCTTGATCGTGCTGGATCACCGTCGTTGCTTTCGTGTAAGAATCTGTTGTTCGTGACCTCGCTTCCTCTGGTTTCGGACCGATCCGAAGAGTCTCCAGTCCGTTCCATGGTTCGGTCGTGAGCAACAGGTGCTTGGGTTGTCAGGCATCGACATCGCCAGTCGATGGCATAGGCGTTGCACATTTCGCATCCAGAACTAGTTATAGGCATCCAGCATGTCTCAGGAGGCTGGTCTATTCCCGGTCTATTTAGCGTCCGGTGAAGGTATGCGTTTGCATGTGGATAGGTGCGATGCTTGCATGCAACCTCCTGCAGGGGAAGCAATAAGTCAAGATTGTCCTAGCAGGTTGCCTTTGGGTTTGATTTGGGGCTTGACTCCGTCGTCCCGGAATGACAGAAGTACCAACCGACACGATAGGCTATGTCCGTATGAGGGGCTCGGAGGATATTGAGCTCCCTCAGTGGTGGCACTGCCGGTCAGCGTGGGAGGGTTCTGGAACGACCGAAGCAGAGAGTCAGGCGCAATTCGTGTTTTGGGTTTGGAAATCGAGGCTGGGCTCGGAGAAGGCATGAAGTAAAGATCACCGTTGGTAAACAAAGCACCGGGGAGGAGGGGGTCGTGACAATTCAGTCATGGATCCATCGACGTGGCACTCTTATTGGGATTGTTATTTCCCTCCTTGTCTTTTAATTTGACTTTCTATTTTTTTATTTTTCCGCAGTATTTCATTTCATTTCTTTTCTTTTTTCCTTCCTCTGATTTGATCCCATCCCAGCACCTTGCGCCACATACCCTGGTCGGTTCCCTTCCGCGTCTTCTTCGTGCCTCTCGCCCGTTAAGCCCTGACCTGGCGTCATCTGCTATGTACACTGGCCACCCCCTTCACATTCCCCTCATTCCGATATTTATGGTTTTCCTGTTTAGTTCCCTCTCCTTCCCTTCCGCCGAGCTCCATCGTATGACCACTCGCGGTTGGCCTCGAAACCACCTCCTCTTGCCTCACCGTCGATATATCCGAGCGACTCATGCTACGTCGCACACGGCATCGGCTCGGAGTCCTAAAAGCGATTCATCCACGAGATGGGGCTATGATCGGATCTCATCGATTGACTGATTGACTCCACTTTGTTTTCTTTTTCTTCTGCCCCCCTCCCCTAGTTACCACCGACTTACGCCCACCCGCCCGTCCACATACTACCGACTACACTACTACAGACACCCCTGGATATCTTCATCACACTACCGCTTTCACCACCCCCCTCGTTCGGAGTAAATTGGCACTATCTCGTGTCCGAGCTAATCCCGCCGCCGACTCCGAAATCTGCGCCCGAGAAGACTGAATAAAGAGCCCCCCCCCCCGTTCTTGCAAGTTCTACCGGGGTCTGCATATCCCACTAAAACCGCTTTTCATATCGCGTTAGCGCCGCCATGGGAGCTTACAGTGCGTCCTCATGTCAGAATGGTTCGAGGACCGGAGGCAGCTCCAGCTCTACCAACAGCGACGTCTCGGATCGTTCGAAGAGCACGGTCCCAACGATCTACAGCGATCGGCCCACTTCGAAGCGGAGAGAGACGGCGGAGCTTGACGCCAAAGACCCCAGAGACTCGGTATCGACCTACGCATCAACCGCACCGTCCGTCGAGAACCTCCCGGAGGAGCCTCGTTACGCGGTGACGGATCGCAGATTGGAGATCTTCCCGACCGACGTGGTCCCCTCCAATCCCTCCACGTTCGCCGACCTGTTCCCGTCGTCGCGACGACTGCTTATCCGCCACGACGATGCGACGCTAGATGGGAACATGAACCTCCGGGTGGACACCGTTGTCCCGCGGCGGGGAGGCTACCAGCAGGAGATTACCCTGTTTCATCTGCGCATGTATGACTTGTTCTCGAGGAAATTCTCCTTCCGGCGCTATTGCCGGGATTCGGGACGCGAGGTGTGCCACTCGGAGAGGAAAGCTCTATCGTCTCGCTCGGACAGACGACCGGTGTTTCGACGCTCTTGGAACAGTGTGCTGGCTAGCTTGCGACCGGGATCCAGTGGCAACGGTTCGCTGCCCAATGCAGAGCACAAGCGCCAGGATTCCGGGTATAGGTCGGTTGGAGACGAGGGGTATTTGGAGGACAAGGATCTAGACGCCAAGGGTGGTGCCGATCGACCCGTCACACTTGCTGACAATACTCTGCTGGAGTTCTCCAACTATGCGCATGTAGAAGTCAAACGACGAGGAGCCGGGGTCTCCAAGCGATACGAGTATGAATACTGGTCCACAAAGTACCAGTGGAGACGGGAATATCGGAAGGAAGGCGATTTGCGCGAGGTGACTTATCACCTCGTCGACACGCGAACGTCGAAGCAAGTCGCCCATATCGTACCGGAGATCTTGACCCCCATGGAGGCCATTGAAGAGGAAAGCAAGGGAGGCTGGATCCCACCTTCTTCCATGTGGATTAGCGATGCCTCGGTGTATGAGAAGATGTCTGACATGGCTGAGTACGTGTTTTCTTGCCCCGTTCCTCTTTTTATTTATTTTTTCCTGCCCCATGGAAGACAGTGGCTGACCGCGCGCGCAGTGTGATTGTTGCGACTGGACTGATTATCCTGGTCGATGACTGTATTCGTCGACGCTGGCATTCGAACAGACATGGTTCCCTTCCACTCCCGACGCGATCTTCGATCACAAAGGGAATCGAGACGATAGGAGCTAAGCGCCTCATTGATGAGGTGTTCCTTCGAAGGGGATCGGCCTAGGAATAGGCGGGGATGATCGAAATTGGAATGTCTTGTTCATCGACGTCGGTCTGACGTGACAACTATTTTGCATGACTCGAATTATGATTTGATTTCCCCTAGTCTCTTTTTCTTTATTGCTTTGGTGTTAGTCTCACGAACATGGTTGGGCGGTGGTTGGAAGGTCAGGCCGGCGTGAAATCCATACTGTGTAACAGGCACAGGGCGGTTCTGATGTTGACATTTTGTACATGCGATTTGGTTGGCTGTTTGAATACGCCTCGTTTTTGTTTTATTTTATTTTATTTCCTGCTATTTTTGGGTGGAATCATTTGGTTCATAATTTATTTTAGTGATTGGCTAAGATTGATTGATTTACTTGGTTTCTTTTTGGAATGTTGGATGTTGACAAGGGCACCCAGCACGGTTACCTGCTCAACGACGAACGAAGACCGGGAGAAGAACAGACTAGAGAAAGAAAAAGAAAAGAAAAAAAGACCAAAAAAGAAAAGAGGCCAAAAACACAGACGCAGACAATGGTTCCTCGTCATGTCAGCCTAACTCGGGCCCCTGTTCTGGACCGGATTCCCACCCTTGAAGCCGTTCCATGCAAAGAATCAATCTGGCTGGATGGGGACCAGACCTGCTGAATTCCGATTCGGACGAAGGCTACGGGGAACAGCACGATTGGGCCAGACGCAGGTCGACAGACCTCGTCCTTCGGTCTGTCTTCTAGCTGTGTCGAAGTGGGCAAAGCACGATTAAGCTTGTCCTGAGGCCGATGCGGGGCAGATCGAGGCTCGTCTCCAAACCACGTCGCGTCGAATCAAGCGCTGCTGCGCCGCTTCGATGGCAGTTCGTGGATGCGTCCCAGCTCTTCCCCGTTGGCGTCATTGTTCCTTTCATGCCTCTTCATGCAGGTGCTGAGTATTGCTATATGGTTCCTTCCGTCCCTCCCCCGGTCGGCCTCTAACGCCCTCCTGCCTTCATTCAATCCCCTTCTCGTGCCGCCGCCGAAGAGGATGAAAATGCACGTATGTATGCCCAACACGATGCCACAGGGAAAGCAACGAATCATGGCCTATGCCTCCCCCGGAAATAGATTGGGTGAGTGAGGACCCAATTTCTCTCTTCGCTGGCAATCTGTATTTTCCTGCAGAAGGCCCTTTCCCACCCCCTCTCTCGGTGGACGCGCTGGCCGTACCAGGCTCCCCTTGAGCTTCTTGATAGTGACATCGCCAGCGAGGCTTCCCTGCGCCGCTTCCTTCCCCCCCCTCCCTCCTGGTCTCTTGGAATCTGCAAAATCCCTTTTCGCCAGCAATTGTTCATGCAGAGCGGCCCGGTTTGTGGCCGTTTGGCTCTAGGGCTAGAAGCCACGGGGAACCTTGAACTATTTCCCGGCCCTCGAATTTATGATTGAATCATTGATGAGCTGGCACCCCCCAGGGGCCCGCTCCCAGCTCTCTGAGTGGCCTTACTGGCTGACGTGAACCGATTCTGGCTTCAATTCGTCGCTTCTGATCCTATGGGCCCCTCTCCGCTTTTGGGCAACTAGACCACCCCTCCACAGTGCATTCCTTCCAGAAGAGATTTCTCGTCCGTTTCTGAAGAGCGTCCATGAGGCAAAAGGCTGGTTCGTACCCGATGGTAAGTATCGCCTGCGAAACCAGGGGGGAGAGCAAGAAAGGTCGAGGGACGACTAGGGCTCTGAGTTGTCTCCATGGGTGAAAAGTCGCATCCCCCCCTGGTACTGCCAATTCGGGCTTGTCTTCGTCGCCTTATTTCCTTGTCGCTCAATGAATCTGGCGTACGTGTGGAGACTAGTGGCCTACTTCCCTGCTCATTTTTGGCGTTTCTTCAAGGGTACATTCTCAGTCGGCGTGCGCCGGGCCGTTCCAGCTTGCAGCCTCATAAAAAATGATCCGCATACTCTCCATGCAACTGGCGCTCCTTGAGTGGAGGATAAGGGAGGGGGTTAATTTTTCTGGCGCTGTGCGATGTCCACCACGACATGCATAAGCCCGTCTGTTAGGTTTGATGGTTAGGTTCCGTGTTTGTCACGCCGAAACTGTCTTGCTTGCACAGTGACACTTTGGGGTTTAAAGCATGGCCCACTGTTTATATGACTGAACTCCCCGCTTCCCCTATCTGTCCATCAAGGCCATTTCGTGTGCGAAGACATCAAGGTCCATACCCAATTCTCAACCAGGAGCGAGCAATTGCAACAGAGAAGAACCATAGTCAGTCGAAACCAATCAATCAGAAAGAGTCAGAGAAAGAAAGAGAGGTCTACCTGTTTTATTTTATTTTATTCTGTCGGACTCTCCTATCAATTGATATTTCCCCTTTCTTCCATACCCTTCCTACGTCAGTGGTCTCGAATCCGTCTTCACCTCGTCGAAGTTTCAAAGACCCAGACCCTTCCTTCATCGGGTGCCTAGAATCACCTTATATTACTCATTCTCCCCCAAGAACATCCCTTCTTTTCAGAATGTCAGCTGCCGCCAGCCCCCAAGGAGGTAGTACCCGGGTCAGTTGGCAGACGCAACTTCACGGTATGCCCCACTTTCCTGCAATTCCTTCAGGAGATATCATCCCATCGTATGCTAACGTTGTCCGAAGAGCACTGCCGTCGTGCGAAGATTTCGCCTCCTGTATTCAACATCGTTTCCGAACGTCGAGGTATGCCATTCCCCCCCCCCCCCCCCCGCAATTTGTCGCTTTGATCCCTTGAACCCTCTTCGCATTGCCTCTGCGGCGAATGTCGAATGATTTTGAAATACCCTTCTTGTTGAACGTTGCTCATTGTGTGTCTCGGCACACTGAGGGGTGGAGTCAACGTACCCTTCACCGACTTTTGGACTGAGAATTTGTGGTGCCTTTCACTAACTGGTTGCTCTTTTCTACAGGAGGTCGCACAGCCTGGTCCAGCTCCGTTTCGATCCAAGGTCAGAATACGATTGCCGCACGATACTGGTACGATGGTCAATATATCAACAATGCAAAGGAAGATGCCGCGGAGGTTGCACTGAAGCATCTCAATCAGACTCCGAGCCAGCCAGCTACCACTTTCCCGGGCCAACTGTTCCCCTATCAGCAAATGACAACCCCGTATACCCGGCGTTAGGACGCTTCTTGTGGGATATTGTATTCTTTACTATGATTTAATATCTTGTCACCTCTTGCCCCCGCCCCGCGTTGCCCCTTCACCGGGGGTTTTTTTTGATGATTTTTTTTTCGCCTTCCATGGACAACAGCTGCTAGGATCGATGTCTTTCTCCCTTCCATCGTTCCCTGTCCTCTTGTTGCAAACGACGTTTCCCGGGTTGAACTCGATTTCACGGGCCTCGCAGACGTGTACAACATCTTCGGCTGTCGACATACAGGTCTCTACTATCAGGAGACTTTTTGTTTCTTTTCCTTTATTTTCTTTTCTTTTTTTTTTCCGGGGCTTTTCTCGGACAAAACAAGCGTCCATGGTCGATCTTGAGCATGTGCTAGAGACAGATTCCAAAGAAGGTTGCTGTCCCTGTGTCTGATCTTGAGATCGAGCGTGGTGCAATTTTGGTTCCTTTTTTTTTTCTTTCTTTTTCTTCTTTTTTTGGAGTCCTCGGATCGGACTTTTTTCGTTTCGACTTCTCAGGTGATGACCCCTTCAACCCAGATGCTGTGTCTTTTCTTTCAGTTTTGTTTCATTTCTGGACTTTCAGCCCACTCCTTTTCTTTCTATACAACAGCCCATATGACGGATCTTATGGCACGATATCTTGACGACAGTGAATTCATGAAGTATGAAATTGAGTCCCGGCAGTTGGATTTATATTTTCTTTTTGCAGTTTGTGTGGTTCTATATGTACCCTGCCCCTCAGTCCCTCCACGTGGGGTTTTTTCAGGGGGGTTTCTCCTGTTCTCCCCCTTTCCCCCCATGATATATAAATAATTGTTGGATCTTGTTGGTCTTCCCGGACAAGTACACACACCGACGGGCGAGCTGTTGATCTCCAGGGCACGTTGGACAAGTGAAAGCCGACGCGGGACAGGCGGTCTGTCGCGGTCAACTGCAGCGCTAGCAAAGTTTTCACTGGAATTTTGCCTTTTTTTTGGGGCTAGAGTTCTTTTGAGGAAATGATTTATTTTTATCGAATGCTTGGTGTAGCTAAGTATTAATAATTATGACTGATTTCTCTTTTTTACTCTTTTTCCGGTTTTTTTTTTTTTTTTTTTTTTTTTGTGGCTTTCCTCCTTGGTTTCTGGGCCCCTCAATTTTGGAGCGACTAGACCCCTTTCTGGATGCAGAGCAATCCCCTATTGCTCTACCTCTCCTCATCCTCAAATCCCCCCCTGAAAGAACTCGCCCTTGGTCGGGGGCATTTGCATGATAGATGGACGGACCCGAGTCTTTGGGTCTGGTCACGGTCATGTTGTGAGCTTAACCTTATTTCCTGCTCACGTGCCCCTCCCCCCCGGTTCCATGGTTCGTCCAGTTCACTAACATCCGATCCTCTCGATCAGGAAGCTTCGTCGTCCACCTTAATTACAACTAGCGCTGTCCCGCCCCCAGTCCCAAAGGCTAATACGCAAACTTCTCTCCGACCACAATGCGCCTGTTCCTCCATCCGTAATAAAGTCGCAACGCCAGACACCCTACGCAAACCCCAAGAAGCAGCGCCGCGTTGGTCCAGTGCCCGGTCGGATACCCTCTTTTGGCCTCGTTGGATTTGTAGATCCACACGCCGACGATCTGGCCGGGCGCCCCGAAGGAAACGTTGAGGGCAATCGCGAGTCCCGTCCCCGCGGTGGACCGGATGTTGGCGGAGAGCCAGCCGAGCAGGGGCGGGATGCAAGCAAATGCGCCGCTGGTCGCCACGATGAGACACCCGTATCGGTGCTGAAAGATGCCATCCATCAGTATTCATGGTTGTGTGGTACTCGGGTCGGCACGGCGGAAAGATCAGCGGGGCCAAATGCTTACCAGGTAGGCGTCTGCCGGGAGCACGGCAGACGCTAGAAAACCCATGGCTCCGATGAACGAGAAGATGGCTGAATGGAGTCCTCGACTGCATTGAAATGCCAGTGTGAGTACAGACTGGACCGTGAAATGCATCTGCGTCCTTGGTGAACGACCTACCTGTTAAAATAATCCGCAGACCAAGCCACCGCGGTGGTGACTACATATGCTACCGCCCAGGGCGGGACGGTCATGAGTTGAGCACGCAGGTTTGCATAGCCAAGACCACTGGTGATGGCCGGGGAGAAGAGGGACAAGCTGGAAAAGGGGGCCGATATGCCGAAATACACCTGACACATATGAGAGTTAGTCGACGGGGTCGGAGAGAGGCGCTGACAACCGCGAGAACTCACTGCGTAATGGGCGTAGAGGCGCCAATCCGTCAATACTCCCTTCGCTTCCTCCCATGCCATGGCCTGTGCCTTCCCCTGGGAACCTTCCACGCGGAGTCGTTGTGCGGCGAGTTCTTTCTCCTCGGGCGTGAGCCACGAGGCCGACTCCGGATAGTCAGGAAGAAGAAACCATACGAGGAAGGCCGATGCGCAGGATGGCGCACCTTCGATGATGAATAACCAGCGCCATGCTGACAGACCATGGACCTGGTTCATGTGTCCCACTCCGTAGGCAATGGCCCCTCCGAAGGCGCCTGCTAAAGTGGCCGATGCCAGGATCAGGGCCACCCGCAAGGAACGCTCCGAGTTCCGATACCAGAAGGTTAAGAAGTAAACAAGGCCCGGGAAGAGTCCCGCTTCCATGACTGTGACCGGATAAGCAGGACGAGTTTGAAATTGCAATGAAACACGCACCTCCAAGTAAGAAGCGAATCCCGGTCACCTGGGCATAGTTATGCGCACCACCCAGGCCCATTGTGCATGCCCCCCATGACAACATGAGGAACGCAATCCACCGCTATCTGCATGTAAGCATCTTGAATTGAATTGTTGGATACGGACCCAGCAAATGCTGCCTTACACTTGGTTTCAACTTCTTCAGAAAATAATTCGAGGGGACCTCGAAGAGAGCGTAGGCGATGAGAAACACCATCAACGCAATGCTAATTTCGATTGATTAGCGAAGGCAGATTTCGCAGAAGAGTGTCTAACTCACGTGTACTCGTAGGAGCTCATCTTCGTCTCGGTGAGAAGGTCATTGCCCGAATCCTCGTTGAGGATCTTCGCATTACCTATCCCTGGCGGTCAGCAAGTGTCTCCGACTCGGGTCCAGCCTCAACCCACCGATATTAGATCGATCCAAGTAGCAGAGAAGGTAGATGCCAGCGCTCAAAGGGAGAATGCGCAAATCTTGCTTCCAAACCAGTGCCCTCTCGCGAGCCTTCAGCTCCTCGTCCACTGCTGACTCCTGGGAGGCATTGTTAGGGCTAGCCATTGCGCAGCCAATTCGCATCGACACTCACATCCAAAGAAGATTCAATGTAATCTGCATTTTCGGCTTTCCTGGGGCTCTTTTCTGCCGCACTCATGTTGAGGGAAGTTCCAGTTGGGGAGTGGTTTTTCTTATCAGGAGAAAACTTTCAATTCTCCTTGCATAAGTCCCTCGAGCTAACGAACGCCGGGGAATCGGCTGACCTCCGAGGGCGCTGCCAATTAGACACCCCGACCCCGGGTTGGCGCCGGCAGTAATGAGGGAGCCGGATGGGCTAGAATCCTCCGTATGATTAATTCGGCTGGGTGATCATTTACCGGATTCAAAGACTGACTCCAGAGCATCGTCGGCACCAGACCTCCGCATTTCCCCCGATTTCCCCCATTTGCGGAGGTGGAGCCGCCGTCCCGTACGGTACCAAACCGTACGGTACCGTACCGTCGACTCACGGGTCTATGTCACGTGACTGTGATGCAAACCAGGCAAACCAGGCAAACCACCCGGGCTATCGATAACGGCTTTTTCTTATCGACCAACACAGCCCCTCCAGCCTTTCTCTGCATGACATGCCTTCGGTTCTTTTATAGACTCTCGACAGCAAGTCGCCTGCAACCGGGGAATCCGATCTCCGTTCCCCCCTTCTGCAGGGTATCCGCCGCAGCAATGTCTACTTCATCGCCAGCTCCTACTCCGCGCAAATCGATGCCCTCCGCCTTGACCTTTGACCTCCACGCTAAATGTTCAGTGAGTAGCGAGCTCGACTGCCCATGAACCGGTCCCCTGGCCCGCACTCTTCTGACATCATTCCACCCGTGTGGTGCTCATAGACGACGGGAGCTCGTGCCAGCACGCTGAAACTTCCCCATGGCTCGGTCCCTCTTCCGATCTTCATGCCCGTCGCGACCCAGGCCTCCCTGAAGGGATTGACATATGACCAACTCAAGGAGACCGGGTGCATGCTGTGTCTGAACAATACGTATCATTTGGGATTGAAGCCCGGCCAGGAGGTGCTGGATGCAGTGGGCGGGGCACATAAGCTGCAGGGGTGGGATCGGAATATTCTGACGGACAGCGGCGGGTGAGTCTGCTCGGGTTCGCGGGGGCCGATGGGATCTGGGCCATTGACTAACGGCGTTTGTACCCAGCTTTCAGATGGTTTCGCTACTTAAACTGGCCCAGGTGACGGAGGAGGGTGTTCGGTTTCTCAGCCCTCACGATGGCTCCCCGATGTATGTGATTTGAATCGACTTGGCTGCGCCGAGCGCCGTTGGAGTGACCGCTGGGGTGACCAGGGCTAATCCGAAAGTCCAGGCTGCTGACCCCCGAACACTCCATATCACTCCAGAACTCGATCGGCTCCGACATCATCATGCAATTGGACGATGTGATTGCGACTACGTCTCCGGACCATGCCAGAATCCATGAGGCCATGGAGAGATCGGTCCGATGGCTGGACCGATGCATTGATGCCCACAAATACCCCGAGAGGCAGAACTTGTTCTGCATTATTCAAGGAGGCCTGGATCTAGAGTTGCGCCGGCAATGCTGTGCCGAAATGGTCGCCCGGGACACGCCCGGAATCGCCATTGGGGGTCTTTCGGGGGGAGAGGCAAAGGAGGAGTTCTGCAAGGTGTATGTGCTGTTTTATACATGCATCATGGGTTCTTACTGATAGTGTCATGACAGGGTCGGAACATGTACGAAGTTGCTTCCCGAGCACAAACCGAGATATGTGATGGGTGTGGTAAGCACCTAGTCTAAAGAATCGTTGATCGAGACATGACACCTGACGATCTCCCAAGGGCTATCCGGAAGATCTCATTGTGGGCGTTGCCCTCGGTGCAGACATGTTTGATTGCGTGTGGCCGACACGGACTGCCGTGAGTTCTTCATCTATCTCGAGCGAGATCAACGAAGCGCTAACCAAGACCACACCACAGCGGTTTGGCAATGCGGTTGTTCCCAGCGGGAGCCTTAATCTTCGACACCAATCCTTTGCAGAAGACTTCAGACCGGTGCAAGAAGGATGCACCTGTACGATTTGTCGGTCGACGGAGCAAGGTGGCCTCGGAATAACACGCGCATATATTCACCATCTGGCCGCTAAGGAGACCGTCGGAGCTCATTTGTGAGATCCCTCTTTACATGCTCTGTTGTATATTGTCCTCAGTTCTAATTTTGCTACAGGCTCACGGTTCACAATGTCCATTATCTACTGTCGTTGATGGGATCCGCCCGCCAATCCATCTTGGAGGACCGGTTCCCGGCATTCCTGCGGCAGTTCTTCCACAATCTTTACGGGGACAAATCCAAGTATCCGGAGTGGGTCGTCGGGGCACTTCGAGGAGTCGGGGTTGATTTGATGCAGGATTAGTTGGAATCACCAGATAAATAAATAGACTTCTATTCCTGGCGGTTATAGATCAATGATTATGTAATCACCCTCAATTCCGATTAGCTCGACCACGTGACAGCGTGCCGCGTCGCGTGCGCGCCGCCGCTTCGGCTTTGCATTCAATTCCACTCTCCTTCCTCGACATCCCCAGAGTACATTTCTGCCCTCCCCTCGACCTCATCCACATTTCACCATATCCGTCATGTCCTCCTCTGCAGCCACCCCCGACCCTCGCACCAGCGACGACTCCACCCCTCAATCCCAGCCGACCCCCACCACGCCCGCCACCCCCGCCCATGAAGAACACCAGTATCTCAACCTCATCCGAACGATCCTCTCCGAGGGCGAGCATCGACCGGATCGGACCGGCACCGGAACCCGCTCGATCTTCGGCCAGCAGCTGCGCTTCTCGCTCTCCAAGCCCGGCGCCACGCCCGGCAGTGACCCGGTCCCCATCCTGCCCCTCCTCACCACCAAGCGCGTGTTCCTGCGCGGCGTGATCGCCGAGCTGCTCTGGTTCATCTCCGGCAGCACCTCGTCCGTGCCCCTCTCCGAGAACGGCATCAAGATCTGGGACGGCAACGGCAGCCGCGAGTTCCTCGACAAGGTCGGCCTCGGGCACCGCGAGGTCGGCGACCTCGGCCCCGTCTACGGCTTCCAGTGGCGGCACTTCGGCGCGCCCTACGTCGACGCCAACACCGACTACTCCGGCCAGGGCGTCGACCAGCTCGCGGACGTCGTGCACAAGCTCAAACACAACCCCTACGACCGCCGCATCATCATGAGCGCCTGGAACCCCGCCGACCTCACGCTCATGGCCCTGCCACCCTGCCACATGTTCGCCCAGTTCTACGTCTCCTTCCCCGACGGCCCCGGCTCCAAGGGCCACCTCTCCTGCCTGATGTACCAGCGCTCCGTCGACACCGCCCTCGGTCTGCCGTTCAACATCGCCTCGTACGCCCTGTTGACGCATATGCTGGCCCACGCCGCCGATCTGCACCCCGGCACTTTTACCCACTCCATGGGCGACACCCACGTCTACCTGGATCATATCGAGCCGCTGCAGGAGCAGCTGGCGCGGGAGCCCACGGACTTCCCGGAGCTGAAGATCAAGCGTGAGGATCGCGGCAGCGGCGTCGTGGACGGCTGGAAGGAGGATGACTTTGAGGTGATCGGTTATAAGCCTCACAAGGCGATCAAGATGAAGATGAGCGTTTAGACGGTCATTCTTGTGGGTTATTTTGTTTGGCATTAGTTATGGGATTATATGATACCAAGAATTAGATTGTACATAGATCATTATATCATCTTATATTGATAGGTATCTATGGAGTTGTAGAGCCTGCGGGGGACACGCATTGGGAGTATCGTAACTATGAAAAAAAGTCCGAAAATATGTAAAAGAACTGACAAAACAAGATAGGCAAACTTGATCTCCATCCTTTCAAAGGATACCAAATACACAAACTTCTATAAATCAAACCGCGCTCGCTGATGCAAAAAAAAAGAAAAAAAAGAAAAAGAAAAGAAAAGAAAAGAAAAAGAAAAAGAAAAAGAAACAACCAATGACTTCCCTACTTCCCCAGCGCCACACCGGCCCCCCGCAACAAGACAATGGTATGTCCGGACTTGACCTTCCCGTCGCCGATTGATTCCGAGAACTCGAGAAACTCGCCGGACTCGACGTGGAAGATGCGCAGACGGGCCTCCTCGCCGGCGCGGTTGTTCACATTCTCGACGTGCAGCCGGCGCGCGGCGTCGTCCAGCACACGGCCGACCTTCCAGCGCGCATCGAAGAAGAAGTCGCCGGCGGGGGCCTCGGCACGCTCCGTCTCCGCCGTGCCCGCCACATGCAGATACACGCGGCGGTCGGCCGGCACCGCGGCGTCGCCCTTGGCGGCGCGCTTCATGGCGTTCAGCTGCTGCATGCGGCCGGCGGCGCTGGTGGGCTTCGGCGTGGGCGCCAGCCCGGCGCTCTTATCCTTGCCCCAGGTGCGCACGCGCGCGAACATCGACTTCAGCGTCTCGTTGGCGTGTTGCGCGCCCGCCGCCGCGCCGCCGCGCGGCGCCGTCGGCTTGGCGCAGTCGTGCTCCTCCCGCAGCCGGTGCTTCAGGCAGTACTGCCGCGTGCAGTTGGGGCAGCGCACGCCCGGGTCCGTCAGCGTGTTGATCAGCGTCTTGCACTGTAGGTGGGCGCACTGGTCGGAGTTGTAGATGGTGGGTTTCTGCGTGGCGGCGGAGGCGGAGGAGGAGGTGCTGGTGCTGGTCTGGCCGTTGCGTCGGCGGGCCCATTCGCCAGCTCGCGCGCAGCGGTGGGCTGTCTCGCTGCGGTGGTCGAGACAGTAGGTGCCGTGGCAGGACTCGCAGCGGAACGGGAGGAAATCGAGCTGGTGGCAGTATTCGAACTGGCAGTGTCGGCCGATCGACTCGAGGTCCTTGTCGGCCATCTGCGTGAAGGAGGACTCGGCGGGATCGGCGCCCGAGGGCTGGGTTTGGCCTTTGCTGACGGAGATCGGGGACATGATGGCAATATGGATGGAACAGAGGGTGAACGAGGCGAGAAGGCGCACGGCAGCCTGGGGATTCTATATGGGAGGGGGAAGAGAAGATGCTGAGCAAAGCTGGAGACGCCGCTGGAAACCGCTGGCACATGCGCCGGGCTGACTCAGCCGCCGTGGCGCCGCGGAGATCGGAGATAAGCGGCGTATGGTATGGATGGTATCGATACGGTACGGCCTTACCGGTTGCGAGTATGCGGGATTCAATCATTCATTCACTAGAAACATGGAGGGGTATATCAAACACAAGAACAAGCAGAAATAACTCCTTCGGCTGGAAGGCCCACAGAAAAGAAAAAAGAAAGACAAAAAACAAAGAAAACCGTAGATGATCGGGCAGTGCCAATGTAAATGAGTGGTGTCCTTCGACTATCGCTCGAATGTCTCATTCTCGCTCTGCCGAGCAGCACTCGACGATGCAAAGGGGATCGGTCCGCTGGACATGAAGACAGGCAATCCGTTCTTGTTGACCCCGGCAGAGGTCGGCGGCGAGAATAAAGTCGAATGGGGCCCGTCGACCTGGGACATGTTCGCCGTCGTTGTGGGTAGAGGCGTCGGGTTGGAGACTTCAACAAGATCGGTCCAGCCATGCGGATCGGCAAGATTCGTCGTCTCTGATCCGCCGGATGCAGACAGCTTCCCCGATTCGGTCGGGTGGGCGACGCTGCTGGGTGCGGTCTGCGGCGCCAAAGCGCGGGCGTCGACTTGAGAGCTAATGGGAGCCGAAGAAGAACGAGAGGCCGGTTTGCTCGTGGAGGCCTGCGATCCTTTGACGCCGAGGGGCCCCCTCCGGGGGGATCTGGGGGTCTTTGCCGGCTTGGTCGATCGCTTTTTGCGTTCCTCGGCGGCCTTTCTTTCGCGAGCGGCGTGCTCTTCTGGAGACGGCACCTTCAGTTTGATGTTCAGTTTGCGCACCCCGGCCGCTAAACTGTCCACCTCATCCTGCGGAGTCGCTCCGGTCCCCTCGGTCGGCAAGACGGACGGCACTGGAGGCACCGGCGATGCCTTGCGCGGACTCGCGGAGTGTCTTGGGGTGGTCGGTCGCGAACCGCTCGTTTTGCGGCCGCCCGCGGCAGTACCGGGGCGAGAATTTGCGCCAGAGGAGGATCTTGGATCGGGGTCGCCTACGGTGTGCCTCTCGGGGGGTTGCCGCGTCGACGCGGAGGTGGACGTGGCACTCTTCCGGCGGACCGCACGCATGGCAGGCGAGGCTTCGTCCTTGCTCGCATCCGGGAGGTCGCTGGCGGGATCGATCGTCGTCCGTCGGTTGTCCTTCGGCGCAGGTCGTTTGGGAGACTCCGTCTTGGGGGTGCTTGGAAGCGACGTCTTGGGCTTTCTCTCCCGGAGCTTCCTGCGGTTTCCCTCGGGGGCCGAGGGCGCAGTCGCACCGCCGGCGCCGTGGGTGCTCGCCACTCGTTCCCGGCGCACGCGCGACGCCTCGGCATTGAGCTCCTCCGGTCGACAGCTTGCGGTCTGCCGATGGCTGGGGATGAGGATCTTCGACAGTTCGTGGGTTGCAGTGGCCCAGCCAACCGGGGGGATTGGCGGCGCCTCGTGGTCCAGACTGATCTGCGAGCCGTTGGACCTGCGATCGCGGGGCGTGGAGACCACCTTGGCGGTGAATGACTGCGTGGGCGCAAAGTAGGTGGGCGCTGCTTTCTCGCGACTCTTGACCGGTGCTGACGGCGGATAAACCAGGGCCTCGAGCTCCTCCAGAGCGGCGGGGGACCACCAGTCGCTGTCATAGGCAGCCGGTGGTGCCGGGGCCGCTGGAGTCGGTTGAGACTCGGCATCGAAGATTCCCAGGCGATCCGACATTTCTGCAGCCAGTCGATTCATCTGCGAATCATCCACGCCGTCGGCAGTCATCCTCGAATCGCTCAAGCCCGACAGGTGACTCAGAACGCCACTCGTCAAAGCGCGGTTGCTGTATCCGCCTTCCAAAACACTGATGACGCGCCCGTCGACTCCCAGTCCCTCCTCGGACGCCATGCGAACCACGTCGGCGGTGAACCGGGCGTAGAAATCAGTGGGGACGTTGACCTTATGTCGCTGCATTCCCGCGCTCTCCCACTCGCTGGCATCAAATCCGGCGGAGATGAAAATGGCCGCTTTCGGCGGAGGCCCTTGGGGCGTGTCGAGAAGACGCTCCGTGTGCCGACGTAAAAAGGCGCGAGCCTTCTCGATCAGCATCGTGTATTTCGCAGCGTAATGCTCCCAGAAGTCCCGCTCCGTCTTCCAAGGCTCCAGGTGAACGTTCCAAATGGACTGGCCGTGCGCATTGTCAATGCAGACGCTGGCGTTGCGTACCTTGTCCGGCTCCCCGCCTTCGCAGGGGTAGGAATTGATGTCGTGAAGGCTGAAGTAACCCGTCATGGCTTTCTTGTAGCTGGCCGCGTTTTTGGGGGCCGTCATCGCTTTCTGGTTCTGGTCCCACGCAATCTCCTGCGAGCCATCGCCATGATGCAGGTCAAAGTCCAGGATTGCAGCGTGGGTCAGACCGTGCGTCATGGCGGCGTAGGAGATGCCGACATGGACATTGTTAATCCAACAGAACCCGGAGGGATGGCCCGACGAGCAGTGGTGGCCCGGGGGGCGGATGCACACGAAGGCGCGTGTCGTGGAGCCGGGACCGAGGACAGCATCCACGCCTTCGCAGACACCCCCCAGAGCCCCCTCGAACGCATTCAAGGACTCCGAGCAGAGGTACAGATCCCCTTCATGAAGCGCGGGCGCATTCGCGGCGGCGCCATCCTTGCCCGCGCTGCGGGGTCGCGTCAATTCCTTCCCATTCAGCGCCAGGCGGGATTCCGCCGCATCGCACATGCTCTTCAGATCGTCCATCCATTTTGTTCCATGCACGTGTGTGACGGCGGGGGATCCGAGGGTCATCGTCCGCTCTGTCCTCCGAATCTGAAATGGCGGCACGGGTAGATGGCTCGGGTTGAGATCTAGATGCGGGAGAAAGCGGCCGCCGGCATACCGATGCGCCAAACGGACATATGCAGCGGACACACCTAGCACACCGGCTTGAATTCGTTCCGGCCTCTCCACGATGGAGTTCAAAGTTGTGCGTGTCGACCTAGGACGCGAAAACCGGTGGCCGTAGCAGGCATCGTGGAGGACAACGACGGTTCGGGATTGAAGGTCTGCGGACTGATGTAGATCCAACTCCTTCTGGAAGTGGTCGGCCGCGATGAGGGCGGCGGTTGGAACGGGTTGCTCCTGCGGAGCATGTAGCGAAGGCCTTTTGGGCGGCATGTTTAGGGCGTGCGCGCTGGTGGGGGATGTCGCGAAAGTAGACGTGGAAGACTGTCGCGACAGCGTGGGACGCGGGGAACCCCCACTCCCACGGTGAATCGATCGCAGCGAGGCAGTCGACGAGCGCTTTTTTAGGCTGGGCGCGGACCCGCGACACTCATCTCGTAAGGAGTTGGAGCTGGTGGTGCGTCGAGGGGTCGAATGCGCCTGGGAGGGATCCGAACGCGGGGGCGCATTCGACGGCGAGAGTCGCGACGAGGACAGAGCGGAAGGAGAAGCTGGCAGAGGAGTCGCACCCGTGGAAGAATTGTTTAGGTGGTCTGACCAGGGCGTAGGATCGATGGTCGGCGGGGGAGGGGGTGAAGGAGAAGAAGCGATGGATGTTTGGGCGAAGGAGGGAGTGAATGATAGAGGGTCATCGCGGTTGGAGGGGTGCATGACGCCGATGAACGTCGCATTGGTCGTTACGGAGGGCAGGAGATGCAGCAACGATAGGAGGCCGTATTATTGAATGGACCCCTGATGGTGCAAGCAAACAGACGGTTAAGAGACACAATGAAAGGGAGAGGGCGAGGGAGAAAGAGAGAATGAGAGAGAGGAAGAGAAGGAGGGGAGAAACATTCCGGCCGGAGATGCGGCAAAAGGGGGCCGTCGATCCTCCATTCTCTCCCTGTCAATCCCCTTCATAGTTACAACCTTACGCTCTGGATTCATTCGTCATGCGAAAAGGAGTCCTGATTCGCTCCGGATTTCATATGCAGAAATGATATCTACCGTGACTTTCCACTTTCACAACTGCTCCAAAAAAAGAACAAAAAAAAAAGAAAACGCCTTCAAATCCCAACTCCGGCCGTCCGTTGAAAGGAGATCCAAACACCGATCCTTTGTCGCTTATCCAAGTTCCAGGCGAAAGAAAAACATGCAATAAAATAAAATCAAAATCAGGGACAAAAGAAAAAATACAGAACGAAAGAAAGGGAGGCACCTATCCCACATTCCACTCAGAATGTCCGGGATCGCACTCCACATAAATGATACCATCTCCTGCGCGGAGCCATTGTCCTCTTCTCGTCACTGTTGATAGAGGACCCCTTCCATGATCGCTTGGATTTCTTTTCCGTTTTGAACCCTCTGGTTGCATGCGTATTGCAGAAACACTGCATATGCACCGTCTCAATCGACGTGCCGGGGCAGCTTTCTTGCCGGCGAGAGGCACAGAGTTGATGACCCGCGTCTTCTTCGCATTGGCACCACTCGTATAAAGTGAAGTATTGTCGACACATGATGCCTTTTCTATGGCTGGTGTCCTTTCGGGGGACTTTCGGTTGATTGATGGCGCCGGTGGGTTGAAGAAGGACCGTGCAGCTCCGCGAGCTTCCGATGGAAGAGGGAAGAAGAAAAAGGAAAAAAAATTCTAAAATTCTCAAAGGATTGATTGGTGTCGAATGCGATTTCTAATGCACGAGGGACTTTATTTTCGAGTCGCTTGGATTATGTCTGTTTCTGCGCGGCACACCGATCCATCCTTCTCTTGGTCGATTGCCCCTCAAATTATGGCAAGATCACGGTGGTCTACCGGATGAACGAGGATAGCGGCGATGGCGACGGTGATGATGACGACGAGGATGACGACGGAGAAAGCAGAGGAGCGAGATAACTGGACAGAAGCCAGCAGAGGGTTTCACAGAAATGAATCTCGAGAGATCGTAGTAGGTAGATAGAGAGTAGAGGAATGACAGCCACGGGGCTCGACAAGGGGAGGGGATGGGATGGCGGCGGAGGTACGGAGTCACAATGACTATAAGACACGGAGAGGGTCTAGAAAGATTCGAGACAAAGTCACAATGGCGCGAGAACGATGATGCGCACACTTAGGGAGACGGGGCCCGGGACATAGTAATAATAATTACTTTGACGTCAGCACGAAATGCGACGGTGGAGAAGCGTCAAAGAAACGCCTACGACGGTGGAGTATCCATTATTCATTTCGTCCAATCCCAGCCCAATGCCATGTCCGTTGAAATCCCACCGGCTGACCTTAGCCGCTGACTCCCTCTCGCTCGTCTCTCGCTGCCCTATCGCTGTCGAGCTCCTCCGGTGCGAATGAGGTTCGTCGGTGCCTGGGCTTGGCTGCTACGCCTCCCTACCGCCGATGTGACCCAGATCTCCTAGGGCGAGGGTTCACCTCCGTAGAGGGCAGGCAGTCTAGAAGGAGAAGGAAATAGCGTGACCTCCTTTCACGCCGAAAAAAGAAAGCGAATCGACAATCAGGCAAGCAACAAAGATCCTCTGGCGCCAACGATCTTAGTCAGAAGACTAATGACAGGCTGTCGGGGGTCCTCGAGATGATCAAGGTGAAATCGGATGGAGCCCAAGGAAATTTCATGGACGACGGAGTGGGTTCGACCCTCGCAGCCGCCGTCACAGTGTCCAACACGGCGTGTCATCGAATGGATTGATCCCCGATCCGTCCTCGACTTACCTGCAGGGTCGCCGGGTCGCCAATAGTCGGAGGAACCGTGGGAATAGCGTGGGCGCACCAGAGGCAATAGTCAAGACGGAAGATCCGTGACGATGATTGATTATTCTTAGAAACCCGGACTTCTGCGGCTGCCCGAAAACGGGGAAGACCGCGCTTTGCCGCTCCGGGTTAGCCCGAGTCACGTGGCGGCTAGGGTCGGGCCTGGCGGACTCAGGCAGCGACGCCGTAGTTCCGCTCTCGAGACTGAAGATCGAGATCGACACCGTCAAGCACACTCCTCGTCCTTTCTTTCTTTCTTTCTTTCTTTCTTTCCTTTGGCCATGACGTCTCCCTCCCCCGTCGTCATGCCCGCCTCCCCCGCCCGTACCGCCACCCTCCTCTCCAACCTCTCCGCCGTCTCCTCGCGCGTCGCCGCCGCCGCCGCGAACAGGACCGTCGTCGAAGCCAAGCCCATCCGCCTCGTCGCCGTCTCCAAACTCAAGCCCGCCGCCGACCTGCTCGCCCTGCATCAGCCCCCGGCGACGCAGCTCCACTTCGGCGAGAATTACCTGCAGGAGCTCCTGGAGAAATCCCGCCTGCTGCCCCCCACCATCCGCTGGCACTTCATCGGCGGGCTGCAGTCGAACAAATGCGCCACGCTGGCGCGGGACGTGCGCGGGCTCTGGGCCGTCGAGAGCGTGGACTCCGAGAAGAAGGCCTCGCTGCTGGATAAGGGCTGGGCGGAGCGGTCGGCCGACCTGCGCGCCACCGACCCCGACGAGCGACTGCGCGTGTTCGTGCAGGTCAACACCTCCGGGGAAGACAACAAATCCGGCGTCGACCCCGCCGAGGGCGCCGTGGCGCTGTGTCGCTTCATTCGTGAAAAGTGCCCGCGCCTGAAGCTGCAGGGCGTCATGACCATCGGGGCCATTGCGCGATCCAAGGCCACGACTCCCGAAACCGAGAATGAGGACTTTGTGTGCCTGCGAGAAACCCGCGATCTCGTGGTCAGTCGGCTGGACCTGCGGGGCGATGATGCCCAGTTGGAGCTGAGCATGGGCATGAGTGAGGATTTCGAAGGTGCCATTGCTTTGGGGAGTGATGAGGTCCGTGTGGGAACGACCATCTTCGGCGAAAGACCACCCAAGGATCAGGCGACGGTTATTTGAGCCGGGGGTTTGTTTTATTCTTGTAGGCCACAGCATCAATGGGCGGTTGGAGGGAAGAGTCTGATGAATTATGATATTGCATTGTTACGACGGCCAGTGACGGCAAAATGATTCTGCATCGCTGTACAAAAGAAAAAAAGACCAGAAAAGCAAACGACGCATACTAGTTTGTTGGCTTCTAAGACAAGACAGTGTTGGCCACTGTTCGAAGGTATTTATATATAGTATTTGATATCAATGAAACTACCTAACCACCTCGCGTCAAGAGGGAGGTTGGGGCAGAGAATTGAAAAGGGCCGGGGGGGGGAGAATACATTATCATATGTATTATGGAAAGAAAAGAAATGGAAGAAAAAGAAAAAGGAACCTCGCTCGCCTCCTGCCAAATTTACAATGGTTCGCTCGTCATGGACTATACATCCGCCAGGTTTCCCTGCGATAATTTCTGTTCCATCTGCTTCGCCAGGGCCTGCGGAACTGCCTCTTGCGTTGCTCGGATGGTGATTCGGTACATCTGTGAGGGCAGAGCGACATTAGCTACAGTGTCGCCCTCGCGCACGTTTGTTCGTAAGGGGAGGAGATTTACCTTCTTGTCGTAGTTGGGCTCCAACCGTAGGAGACAACCCGTCTTGCCGGTCGCAAACTGATAGACAGCGCATCCTACAATGTTTTTGGGATTAGGATCCACCCCGTCCAAAACTCTCCATCCAAATCCTTCCACCGATTTCCGTGTGAATGATTCGCCGATGTCCTTGGCTCTTGCGGCGGCCCCAAACGTATTCTGAGACTCGAGGGGGCCGCCTCCGATTTGCCGCCATCGCTTGAAAAATTCCTCGGCAGATAATGCGGACGGTTCCATGTAGCGGTGCATTAGGACAGGGAGTTGCAGGGTATACGCTTGCAGGGCACCTGCAAGGTATGAGATGCGAATGGTAGGTGCTTCCGTGAATGGCCCGTGGGCGCCAAAGAAGAGCGTCTGTTGGGTTTGGCCTGCCGCTGGAACGGAGGGCTCGGGCAGACTCTTGGTGTCGGCCTTGAGATTTGGCGCCGAGCGATTGTCCACCGTGGTGGTCAACGATCCAATTGCGAAGGATGCCTTGTTCGTGATGTAGATCTTCACCACGCCCATATGGGCCCGGTACTCGGACCGCAGCCCGACCTGGATCTGAGCATCCTCAAAGAGCACTCCTTCATCGGCATAATACAGTCGGTTATACCCAAGGTCCCAATCCGGCGTCAGATGGGCTGCACTCGCCAAGTTTGGAGGTGGTGCAGACGGGGTGCTGAGATCCAATCCCGCGAGGTCGCCCGACGCGCTCGAGGGCGAGGGAGCTGCTGCTGCCGCCGCCGCCGTTCCGTTCGTTCCGGTCTTCGTGCCATTGACAATGGTGGTGAAAGTGCGCTTCAGCCCCGTGTTTTGAGCCATGAGCATCTCTTTTTGGTCGGTGTTGGCATCCTTGCCGCCTACAACCCAGGTCTTCTTGTCGGTCGTGCCCGCCGTTCTCTGATGCAGTCGAGACAGGAGTATAGAGGCCCGATCCGAGAACGGAGGCATCTCATCGCAGACCGTTCGAAGAAGGTCGTCGGATGGAAGAGTCGCCAACGACAGATACTCAAAGGCACGCTGCTGCAGCTCGGAGTCGGGTGAATGGCTGTAGAGCTTGAAGATATGCAATAGTTGCGGTTTGATTTCAGGAAAGAGGTTGACGAATTTCACGAAGGATGACAAGATCATCGCGCGAGTATTGTCGGTGCTGGTGATCATCTTGGCCTGCAATGCCAGGAACTGCTCGATGGGACTCGAACCTTGATTATCGGCAATCAAATGCCCGAATTCTCCTAGAACATAGCATCCTATCTTCACGAGACTCTCGTGGCAGTCGGTCTTCAAATAAGTAAGCAAGGTGTGTGCGGCGTAAGCCTGCAACTCCTCGTTGTTCGTGACAATCTGGATCACACGCTGCCACACCTCGTCGTTGACGTGGTCACCTGCCAGAGAGAGAAGTTTCAGGGTCATGTCGATATACCACTGGGCATCCGTGGCGTATTTTTCCGTGAGAATTGCAACCTTCAACACCATTTCTTCCCGAATAGCATAGTCGGCAGTCTGGAGGTAGCGTAGCAACTCGTTCACAATAGGACCGGCATTGGTGGTGTCGCACATGCTGTAGATGAGATCCAACCCTTTACGCCTAACACTGATATCGCGATCCCGAAGCGACCCAAGGATGATGTTCTGATGCTTTTTGATGGGATCCAACGTCTCGGCCCTAGCCGCAAAATGGGTCATTGCCTCGAGTCCCAGATACCGAACGTTAGTCTCGCGCGACTGAATGTACTTTCCCAGGCGACTGGATATTTGTAGCATGAGGCTGTGTTCGGTGTCGAGATGGATCAAAAGATTAATGGCCTCAAAGAGAACTGCATTTTGCGCATTGTTCTGCTGGACATTCTTCGGCGTGTCCATTGCCGCATGCATGATTTGTTGCAACGAGTCGCGAATAATTTCACGGACATGGCTGTCCTCTGCAGTGGAAGTTAGCTATGGCTGACACGCTCTTTCGGATTCAAGTAAGGGACGAGGGGAATAAAGAGAAATTGAAAAGGACTCGGAGAAAGTGTATTACCAGACGGAGGATAGTATTGCAGCAAGCGCAGCAATTTGACCTGGATCCAAGGGCACGGTACGCGATAATAGAGGTAGTCTGGTGCAATATCATTATCCACCACAATTCTCTTGAGCCGCTGTGCAGCTTTGACGTAGCTTCCCCGGTATTCCTCGGGTTTATCCTGTACCAATGCCATGACCAAGGATGTCACGGACAAGGTCACACCCATGTCTGGGTCGTCCATGATAGAGATGATACGCTCGGCCCACTCGTTTTGCACAATGCCGGGGTATTTACGATACAAGCGGAGGAGAGTGAGAGCCGCCTTCTTCTTCACGAAGGCCTTGGAAGTGCTATGACACGTGAAACTTAGTACCAAGTCCCAATGAAACCCTGAGTTCGAGAAGGGCGGCTTACGGGGAAATCAGCAGGCGATGAACGTCGGTCGAGAGCGCCTCGCCCATCTCTCTGCCACCCACATTGGCAACCGCGTGCAGCGCCAAACAGTTATTCAACTCATTGTGATCCAGCAGATCCTTCCGGATACTATTGACGACCAGATGCAACAGCTCATGCTGCTCATGCAAAAACAGAGTCACGGCAAGGTATCCGATCTGCTTTTCGGAATACTTGGGGGAGGATATCAGATTGACGGCCTCCAGGTGGCCGAAATCGACATCATACCCTTGAATATAGACGTAGAGCAGCTTGCAGACATATTTTTTCTTTTGATACCCGTTGAGGCTGCCAGACTTGAACTTCTGCCGAATATTGGCTAATTCTTTGTTCACTCGCTTTTCCTCCAGCTCGCGCGCTCTTGCGTTGCGCAAATCGGCGATGAATTGGACGAGTCCTCGCATGGACGACATGGCGATCAATCGAGCATAGGGGTCGCAGGCTTACGGCGGATGGAGGAAATGGGGTGATGATCTGAGGTTACTTCGCAACCGAAAAGGGGGAGTCGGGGTCCCGTCGTACTACCTCACGTTCGAATACTTAAGCGCATGGAGATACCACGCCGGCGGGATTCACTTGGTGGGATAAAGTGTCATCCAAACATGTCCCGAATTGCAACCGTCTGGTGAATCCTTTACGGCGAATGGGACATGGTGTGGAAAGGAGGGTGGAGGGGATCGGCTTGACGCGACAGGGGGGGGCGGAGCGGTCGGGTTCGGCGGGGAGACAATTAAAAGGGAGCGTCAAGGTGGGGAGGCCGAAGGACCACGAAGCAGAGACAATCCGAGCAATGGCTGGGAGGGGACGTCCGAAGGCCGGGTAACGACAGATATGTGAAGGTAGCGAACTCCGGAATAAGGTACGGTGCCAACCAGCCGTGGCGGTTTTAGGGAGCGAAGCACCAGCCACTTCCGCGGCCGCACGAGGGTGGCGGTGCACGGAACAACGTGGACGCGCGGTGGCGGTGCCGGGACATCGGAGTATATGGAGTATGATAGATGATAGGTCTACCGCGTCTACGCAGAAGTGCCCTTGGAACAACAGAGTTCGGATGAAGATGCCATAGCTTTGTAATACATGCAACCCATGCAATCCATGCAGCGAATGCTCCCACCAGGGATCTTTGCAGCCCCACTAGTAATACTACCCAAACGCCAGAACGCACACCCGTACCCATGCATAACCAGGTCGTCAGAAAATCAAGGCGCCTCCCTTACCCAGCGCAAAGCCAAAAGCCATCAGGTTCGGGTGGTGAAATCTGTCTCGATGCCCTCGACGGCTGCATCGACAGCACTAGCCTTCTCACAAGTGCACGACGCTAGTAGCAGTACACAATTAGTCCGGCTCGGTCAGATGACAATAATTCAGGGCAAGGCAAGAAAGAACACGTACTGGGGAGTCTCTTTCCACAAGGACAGGCCTCGCCGGTGATCGGGTGGTTCTCAGTCGTTGCCCGTTCGCAAGTACATTGTCCGGCAGGGCGTGCGCCTATTCAACACAAGTCAATTCCAAACTGGTCAAATAAATGGACTCGAGAGGTGGAGAAACATACGGCATGAGCATCGAGCACCAGAAATCGCATTTTCCGTGGTGGCCTTGTTGCAGGTGCAGTGAAGAGCGTTTTCCTTGCCGCACGAGCACTTGGCCTGGGCAGCACAGACACAGCTTCCGTCCCCAGAGGTCTTGCAGCAGGTCGAAGTCGGGTGAACCATCGTGAATGAGGTTTTAGGTCGAGTGTTTGGGCCTTGAATCTCTAGTCGAGGGATTGATCCTTAAGAATCGGATAGATGAGTACTAGGAGAAGTGTGAGTCTGAATAACACGGCGAGGAAGATGTGAATAGAAAGGTCTGGTTCGACCGAAGAAGAAAGGGACTCGGTAGTAAACAAGGAACTTGAAAGTTGTGGGAAATCCTGAAGAACAGAGGATGAATGTATGCTGCATGGCAGGGAGTATTTATACTGTTCAGCATGACTTCATAGGCCGCCGAGGCCTGTCAACTGATTAACAATCCCTGCCCGTTGATTCGCTGGCCGGGACAGTCCCGTGACGGCGACCACCAATCATACGAGGCCGACCGTCAGCTTCCAATAAGAACATCCGAAATGCCAAAGATCTCGGCCAATGATTACTTTTCCTTCACGCCCATTGGCCCATCTCGGATTCCTACGCCAGGTGGGTATAGATCCCATGGGTTTCATCAATCCTAGCGGCTCTACCTTGCGCCGTAGAGCGATAAGATGATCGAATTTCCATGCGTCTTCCTGGGATTTACAACAATTACTCAATAACCAAGTCGAAGTCAACTGCAGCAATACGAAAGAATTATGCACTAATAACAAAGAGAGAGAAAAAAGACAGAGAGAGAAGTGTAAGGAAGTCCACCGAATTAGTAACCATATCAACGCCTTGTAACTTCCCGCTTCCAGTTTGTAACATGTGCCAGATGCAAACGCAATTGTCCCCAATGTAAAGTAATGTCAACAAATATCCCAAAACAAACCCCAAATTAAACCAGAAAGGTCGAGTGTGGTGAGAGAGCTGCGTCAAATGCTGATGTCACATTTGGCACGTGTTCGGTAGATTTTTTATAAGCCAGAAAATGTGTGAAGATTATGTATGTGCTGGTGATTAGACAATATGCAAGAGGGGGAACAACGAAAAGGGTTCCAGGAGCGATAAATGCAATAAGAGAGAGAGAGAGAGAGAGAGAGAGAGAGAGAGAGAGGGTGGAAAGGAGGGGGAGGGACGGAGAGATGGGGATAAAACGGAGCAGATCAAAAGAATGTCCAGAGGAAAAGCAAGAAGCCCGAACTCTCAAGCTGAAGGGCATAATTTTATAGATAATTGGCATAGTCAAATGGCTGCTGCCCAAACTTGGCTCGCAGGGGATCCAAGATCTGCGGGGGGTTGGCCATCCGGTCATCAGATGCACTGCCGACAGTTCCATGGCCCACGTTGCTCGGTTCCGGCGGGAATGACGCAGGAAGACTCATGCTAGAAGCATTGGCCTGAGTGAAGGGAATGGCCGTGTTCATGCCGTAGGGATGGTGTTCGTAAGGGTATGGCCGATAGTCCGAGGAGTCCGAGACGGGTACGGAATGAAGCGAAGGCATGTGTCGTCCATGGGATTGCATCTGTGAGTTTATTTCCATCCCGCCAAATCCCTTGGGCGCAGGCATCGTAAGCGGAGGCTGATAATTGTGTGCTTGCTGGTCTGGTGAGAGAGTTTTGTTAGTCACAACCCATGTCAAATGGCGTTCGAGAGACCTACTATGACTGTCTACATGGTAGGGAACGGAATGTTCCGGGGGGCCGGTTGGCGATACCGAACCCTCCAACGGCCGATGGTGATCGTATCCCACAATCATCCCATTAGCTGACCGGTTCATTCCAAAATCCAACGGGCGCCGCGCATAGGGCATGCTCGGGTGGTTGAGAGGCTCGCCCGGTCTCGAAAAACGGCCCGGGAAGTGCAGTCCGGTATTGAATGAGGATTCTGAAAAACTGCTCGATCGAGGAAAGGGAAAGGGCCCCCGGTTGTTCCTCTGAAGGTCCGGGATGGGCGCCGCCGGGGGACCCCGACCTGCCCCTGGTCCAGATGGCGGATAGCCCTCCAAATGTCTGTCGGCTGCAGCTGAGAAGCCGTTCCCCGTTGTGGAGGTCGAGCTCAGGGGAGAGATCACATAGTCGTCATCGTTCATTCGTTGTAAGCCGTCCGTGAGTAGCATCTGGAAACGGCCGTTAGCATCAAAACATGCACCTGCTGGTGGGCCCGTTGAGAGGGGAGACGCAACCGGTGTTTCGGATGTCTTGCCGTCGAAAGGCGTGCGGAGCACTTGAGTTGTGTCAAAATCATCCGGCAACGCTCTCGACTTAAGCATGCGCTCCCGATCATTGCTTGTAAGCCGCTTGAGTTTTGCACGCCTAGAAAGCACGTTAGCCTACCGGCATGGCGCAGACAGGGCTCATGGAGGGCACACCAACCTGTTCTGGAACCAAACCTGAACTTGGCGAGGCGTCAGTCCCGGAATCTCCCTCGATAATCGTTCTCGGTGAGCAGCGTCGGGATGGGCTTGACGGGTAAATTCGCTCATGAGGAACCGGGTTTGATTATGCGTCAGGCTATCAAGTTGAATCAGCACTCATCTTTGATTAATCGCGGGCCTGCCCGGGCAAGCCACCACAAGCACCCACCGGAATCGTTTCATCTTTTTCTTCTCCGTCTTCGCATCTGATGACGCCCGCTTTTCCGTCGATGATCCTGCTCCTTCATCGGACGAGGCCGCCATGGCATCTCCATGGTCCTTCTCGTAATCCTGCATCTCTTCTTGCTCGTTCTTTCTGAGATCAGGACTCATTTCCCTGTGGGCGCTGGGGCTCATAGCAGCACGTGGCGTGGAAAGAGCGGGTTCGCTGTGATTGAGTTTATCCAATCTCATCCGTGCCAACGAATCTCCCTCCGCTTCTGGTTTTCGGTTTTCTGAATTGCTTAAGGGCATCTCTCCCCCAGAATACCGGACATGAGCGGATGCACCTGGGGAGGTCGCAGCTGGGAAGGCATTTTCAGCCTTGAGCACGACCGGTTGCATGGCGGTAGAAGGCGCCCTGGCCACGTCGGCCGGTTTCTCCCACGATCCGGGTAACCTCGAAGGGACTACCCTTGATCTCGATGGGATCTGCTCACTGTTCCAGAACGGTGCCTGCCAGTGATTCGTAATTGCAGACAGAGGAGATGTAGATGGAGGTGACAACGAGGACAACCAGACACAAGGTCCACTGATTGACATGATAGAAGTCGAGTTCCTACCCCATATAGTCACGGTAGAAACGCCCAACAACGGGTTGATGGACTGTCAGCTTTCGATGTATCCCAGTAAATTATGTTCGGGAATAATCCTAGTCTCAGGATCACAGCCAAAGAACACGAGGTCTGAGCGAGCCTTCGGGGCGCTTCCTGAAGAAGTCCAGGGTTTCTTTGGATCCGCCGATTATTATGTGAGAAAAAGAAAATCGACGTGCGGGGGGAAACAAAGGCAATACAATAAGTATAAAATAAAAATTAAGAGGGGGAGGGGAATAGAATAAAATGAAAGAGAGAAAGAGGAAAGGGAAAAGTCAAGAGAGAAAGAGAGAGAGAGAGAGAGAGAGAAAGAGCAAGGTGATCTCTGGGTCTCGGGACTCTCGAGGTAGAGATGGTATCCGGATGATGGCAGACGAACGACAACGAGTCAAGGAAAAGCAACCAGGTAATCAATGAGCTAAATGTTCTAACGAACCACGACTCCTCTGTCTTCTTCCCCTATCCCTCAAAATGATAAAGGAGAATATCAATATCAGCTAAGACCAACAGCCAGCGGCAAAAATTGAGGGTCGATCCCTCCACTGGGTCCTGGATACGGCCGGGGGCTTGCCGTATGGTGGGTAGAAGGTTATAGAAGAAATTAAACAGTGCTTAGCCAAGCGGGTGAGAAGGGTCAAAAAATTTAATAAGAGGGGGGGTGGGAGAAAAGAAAATAATAATCACGGTAGTGGAAATAACAGCTAGAGAGAAATGGAGATGTTAGATGAAAGGTCCTGATCACGGCCAAAGGCCCACTAGATCTTCCACCTTGGCCACCAAAGGTAATACTCCGTAATGCTAAAGGATGCAACAAATGCCACGAAGACACACTCTCACCTCACAGAAAACAGGGGATGGTTTACTCTTGATCCAGGGAGCCAATCCAAACGATAGGTAGAGACTTAGATGCTAACGCGGAGAACAAACTTAAAAAAATAATGATAATGATGATGAAAAATAAATAAAAGATAAATAATATGATAAGACGAATGTATAATAAAAAAAATAAATAAATAAAAAGAGAGTAGAAAACTGAGAAGAGAATAATGGCTCTTGGGAGAAAAAAAATCTCGAATCAAATCAGATTGAGTACTTCGTACTCCGTATGCGTAAAGAGAGGAGGGGGAAAATAAAATTAAAATGATAATAAAATAATTGAAAAAACCGGGTCAAGAGAATGTGTACGCAGTAAAAAAAAAAAAAAAAAAAAAAAAAAAAAAAAAAAAAGAGAGTAACAACTGAACGGGCCACCGCTTGATAGTTTGGTAAATGGAGATCTTACACCATGCTGTGTTTGTTAACGATGCTCCGTAGCGGGTATTTGGTATAGTAGCCTGCGAATGATCATAGGGGCCACAAGAGAAGGGGGAGGGGGAAAGTAGCGACTTGGCTAAGGAGATTAGGAAATTCTCCCAGGATCGGTTCCAATTCAGCGTAGCGGTACTACTAGCGATGCTGATGGGTGTCATTCATCAAAAGACCGAAAGATGATCACGCAGCCAGGGTTCATCATCTTGACGCGTCGAAACTGACACAATTGTCCCTCGGTACATGCACGCACGAACGAACTGCCTGAATCAGAATAGGGAGAAAGAGGGGGTTAAAAAAATACCCACTCCATTCCATAAACAATAAAATCACAGTACGGAGTACTTTGCATTTTGCACTTTGCTGCGGAAGCGAAGTGGCGAATTGAAGCTCCACGGCGGCCAGGCAGTGTCAGACGGTCTGGGATGGGCCATGGCAGCCCTGTGAAAAGCACTAATAGGGGGTGGGAGGGTTGGTTGTGGTTCACGGCAAAGGAGATGCGGTCACCACCGTTCCGTACAGCTACGGAGTAGATACTCTCAAATTCAACGGATCACCTCTTTACTCCGTAGGGATGTTCTCACATTCCACAGCCATGATTGCACGTAAATTTTCCGACGTGGAGCCGGGGTCTCAAGACCATCGCATCACATCGAGCGGGTCTCTGGAAGTCTGGGATTTCCCTGGTCCAGCACCCACCGGCCATTGTCCTGGCCAGCCAACCGTTGTTTTGAACGGTAAACAGACCCTTGTTGCCTGGCTGGAGCTGGTCCTGACTCATCCGGCGCCAGAGGCCTGTTACTTGAGACCGGTGCACCATGTGGAAGACCTACCGACAGCGCTAGTCGTGCATTGGCTCCATAATCCGCCGGAGACCGGGCATAAGATCAAGGGCAAAGTTCTGCTGGGCCTGAGAGCCACTAAGCGGCCTGCCCGCCACCGTCCCCCTCCCCTCCGAGAGGTAGAGATTGACTTGGGATAATCACTGATGTGCGCGAAGACGATACCTACTACTGTACGTAACGCTGGGGGACCAAATGGGTTCCCCCCCCCCCCCCAGACATCCAAGCAATCAATCGCAGGGAGGGCTAGAAGGGGCAGAGAGCACTGTCCCGACGTTGATTTTCGGCTGGACGGGATGGGCTGGTTACCTGATCGATCGATCGATCAACATTGGGACGGCTGTCAACCGCTCCCAGGTACCTCAACGTCCCATAGATGTGGAGGGGAGTCGGTACCGTTGTATGGACGTACTCCGTATACGTAGGAGTGGTACGTAAAACGTCCCCTTACTATCAAGCAGTAGCAAGGCGAAATGGGGCCTCATCTAAGACCTCTATACCAAAGTCGGCATAGGCCGCTAGATAGCCAGGGTTTGCGGAGAAAATGAAGAATCTTCCGAGTTTCGAGCCTCCTGCGGCCGAGAACGATACCATGGAAAGGCAAGCTCAGGACGGACCAAGGAGCGGACCATGCACCGGGTGACCTGGACGGGCACTGAACCGAGCGTGGCGCTAAAATCGCGTAGTGAGCAACGGTTGAGCGTGGCGGCCTCAGGTGCTCTCCACTCCTGACGGAGGGACTGTTGTGATTGAATACGGACTGGAAAAGACTACGTGCCTGCACTCCACCTCGAGAAGTTGCATGAAACAACCCGAGTGGGATCGGACCAGGATTTAGGGGAAGGGAGGGAACAGGAGTGTTTTGGAAATGAGATTAGATTCAAGGGAAATTGGAATGATTCAAGAGTGAGGCAAGAAATCCCAGAAGAAGCGGCAGGGCAATGGATGTTGATGGGGAAATCGAAATTAAAGGGAAGTCGTAAATGAGCCCGCAACAAATAGATGGATGAGTTTAATGAGCTGGGACGGACGGACTGAAGAGGGGGGAGGAAACAATTGATGATTGATTGATGAACGATGATTGAATGAGAGAAACGGAGGGAGGAAAAGAGAACTGAACAGGAAAAAAGGAAAAGAAAAAGAAAAAGGCCCACCCGCCATTCCGACAGGTGGAAAAGCAGGCGTTTGGTGGGTACAACCCATCCATACCGACCTTACGCAATACTGTACCTTACCTTACCCGGGTTGGTACCTTACCGCTCTGGCCCTCTAGGATCATGGATGAACTATTGAAGAATCAGGATCAGCTCCTGCATTTTTGACGTTCTACTTCCCACTCGTGCTAGATTCGGCATATTCCGTGTGAATAATCTAAGTATCCGTCCCCTGTCCCTACTCCATTGTAGGTGGATAGGACGACAATCACACGATATTTCCGGGAGACCATTGGGTGTCTACCTTACCTAGGTACCTAGAATCAGCAGCATGGTAGATGGTACGTACGGTACGGTATTGATCTCAATTATTACCTGGAGGAAAGTACCGCCTACATGTACAGTACGCATACAAGGTAAGAGGGGCGTTATTTTCCTCCCTTCTTGAAAAGGGAACTCCTGACAAGAGAAGAGAAACAGAAAGAAAGGATTGAGTGCAAAATAATGAAACATACAAGAAAACAGGTGACAAAGGAAACAACAATGGCTTTTTTTTTTTTTGATCTCTCTCTCTCTCTCTCTCTCTTTTTTTTTGTCCCTTCAATTGGAGATGAAAGCGGGAGAAAAGAAAAAAAAAACCCCTGTTCACAACTCGGTCTATCATTGTCGGAAAAATTGCCCAAGAACTGCAGATGGGGCCTGCATGTTACCTACTCCGAGGTACCTCAGGCTTTAGATCCATACACCTGGTACTGCGTATGCATGTCAAAATAATGTGTATACAAATCGTCCTGACTCGGGGCACATGCATACGTAGTATGTCAAAAATTCTTCAGTCCTGTTATATTAATAAAATACTTCTTTAATCGGTTATAGGGCTACCTGCGTGAGCTTCTGTCAGGAACGCATGAATTTATATATATATCAGCCCTGAATTTGATCGTGCTTTAGTACCCCGTACTTGGCGCTAGAAAGATTTTTTGCTGGGGGATCACATATTTCTACCGGTATTCACAATCAGGAAAAGACAGTGCCAGGCATCGGTAAATACTTCCTTGCAGACCCATCAAGCTCCAAGCTACGTGCCTGGTATCTACGGAGAGTGCCCATCCGGAGTACTTGCGCAGTACTACGGAATAGGTACGGCAAGCGGAAAAAAAATTAGAGAAGAAAAAGCAAAAATAAAGAAAAATAAAATATAGATAGACAGATAGATAAAATAAAATAAAAAAAAAAAATAAAATGAAATAACAAAAGATTGGAGGGGGGGGGGATGATGCTCACATGAAGCAATATGCGTACTTCGGAGAACAACAAGGAGGAAGAGGAAAAGATCGACTGAATCATGCCAATACGGAGAATGCAGAACAATCCATACTACGTAGTTCCATACGGATATTAGTCCACGTCCGATGATGTCGCTAACAAGCTACGGATAAACAGGGTCGAAATTGAATTTTATCGAGGAAACAAAACGAACGTTCGTTTGGTCTTGGCTTTCTGGAACCGTGGTACGCCGAGTAGTTGCACCAGATCATTCCTGGATCCCGATGGGGAACGAAACCTCCCTGCGATATGACGGCGATGCTATGAAAAGTGGAATAATATCATTCTCGGGCGGACTAGTGGCTAGTAGTGGCCACGGCTAGCACGGTAGTCACACCTCCTGTTTCGAAACAAATCCCTCGACGGATCACGTCGGAGGCGAAATCTCGGTGTTACTGCTGGGGGTCTCGAGGCTGTTGGCTGTGATTGGTACGGTGACGGTTCTTCCTACCTCAATTCCTTTTTCTTCTTCTTTGTCGCTTCTGTGTTGCTTCGCTCGGTGGGGAATTCGCTGAATCAACGGGGTACCGAGTTCCGGAGTGAATAGCGCTCTGGTCGAGCAGAAGTTCAACCCTATTCCTACTCCGAAGTCCGTACCCCTAGCCTTGGAGGCGTACGGAGTAGTTCGTAACCAACTACGACGCACTATTTCGGATTTCATCTCCTTTACCTCGGAAGTTCCGACGGTGGAGGAGAGTTACCTTATGGACACACGCCCACACCTCCATGTTCTGAGCCGACGGTGGATAGATGAAAGGAAGGGCATGGGGGAAGGGGATGGCATGATCCTCCGTTCAGCTGGGCCGTGAAGAAGCCACGTCGTGGATACTGGATTCAGCGTCGGCTGAGACTCAAGAGAGGCTGAGAGAAACCGAAACCAGCGGGTGGATCGTCGACCGGCTCAGCCAGTCCAACCCCAGCCGATCATAACTGAAAAAAGAGGCCCTCCAACTGTCTGTCCCATCTGGTTCCGTGGCAATCGGCGAGTAGACTGTTGACTGTTCGGGCGGTGCATCTACCACCGAGGAATGTGCGAGAGAGAGAGAGGGAGTGTCGCAACAACGGTGCGGGGGAAGAAGATCCCAGGCAAATCGACGACGATCGAGAGTGAGTGGGCTGGGAGATTAGAGAGGAGCAACTTTAATCTCTCCCAAGGCTTCGCGTGGGCGCCAAGACTGGCCTCGACCCCTTCCAATTTCTCGGGCGGTTGATTTCCTGCAGTGGGGATTGCCGTCCCCGGTCATTACGCAAGCCAGGAACAATCGGATCGGGGTGAGGTCTGACTGACTCTGTCGGGAGAGGAAGCGATTGAGGCGGTGGTGGGTGGTGGGTGGTGGGGAGGACCGATCACTCCTCCGGTGCGGGAGTCTATGTATCCGGACATGTAGGACGTATCGCAGGAACTGGGAGAATGCAGGCCTCACGAATGTCGTGGCGGCGGTCCGTGCGACCAGCGGATGAAGCGATTGTCTGCTTTTTGCTTCCACGGACCACTGCGTTCTGCGCCTTTTCCGCGCCGAGATGCTCCGGACAGGACGGAGTAGGGCTTGAACTACGGGTGAACTTGAAGAGGCCCGGAACTCCCGAGGTTTATCCTTTTTGCCCCATGAAGTGCCGTGTCTCAACTGAGTCAACTCTCATTTCCTGGCTGTACCTACGAGGTACTCCGTACTTTCGTCGGTAGTACAATCTACAGCGTGCTCGTGCTCGTATGTACTACTTGTACCTACGCACGTCGTAAGGGAGAGTTCCCCAAAAAGAGAGAAGAAGAGAGAAGAAAAAAAGGACTACTACTGCTGCTGTTGCTGCTGCTGCTGCTGCTGCTGACACCGTATCTCCGGAGTACCACCAACTAATTACATTTCAATGAACGGTACCGGAAAGACGGGATATCGATCGAATCTCTAGCTCCCTAAACCATCTCGAGGCTAGGCCTCCGGAACCTCGTTCTGCTAGTGAAAAGTCCAAGGTCCAATTGTCCACTCGGCTTTGATTAAGGCGATATTTGGCACATGAACTGAGCTTCGACCGGCGCAGAAGAGGTGAAACATGGCGTATCATTTGGCCGCAATGGCTCTCGGCCCCGACGACGGCACTGCAATCTCGCATGACAGCTAGTAGCTATCAAGGATCCAAAGGAAATGACCCGGCAAACCAATCCCCACTTCCTGTCAAGCTTGATGATTGATACGGGCCTGTTGCCTCTCGCAAAATGATACCGAACTCTGTGGTTATGCAGGAACCACCCCCATGTAATTAAAGTTGCTGATCACCGACAAAGGTTGGACCCTCACCCGTAGCTTATTCGCCTGGGACTTTGGGCGGTCGAGAGGAAGTGGCGCTCTCTCTCTCTCTCTCTCCCCCTTTCTCTGGGTTCTGGTGAGTTCCTCTGGCTCCACGATGATTCGCCTAGCGAACCCAATGTGGCCTCCTGCAGCCGTTCCTGTCTTCTTCTCGGCCCCTCCTCTGAAAGCAGAAAGGCAGAAGGCCGCAGTGGGCAATTCCTATTAACCCGACGACCCTCAATAATTTCCGAAGGGCGGTACGTTCCGACGACAACCTTGTTTTGCGTGCCGGTCATCGCTTTGTTTGTCCTGAATCCCGACCTGTCAGAAACAATGGGATGGACAGAGTACAGGCCACGGCCAGTATTGATTGACAATAAGCGGGGATGCCTCGGTGATCGAGAGGTTTGCCACTTCGCAGGCATGTCCGAAGTAGGGCCACCTCGTGAGCCCAAAGGGAGGGGGGCAAAGGTGGTTTATCAGCCAATACCAATCACAAAGGTCGCCGTCCCCGCCGTAATCTCGCAGCTGCCTCGTGACAGCCAGTGATAATGCCAGATGCCCTGCCCCCCGAAACTAACTTCTGTGCCCATTTCACTCGCGTTCGCTCGCATCCCCGGCCCCTCTCCTCGCCGCCCAGCTGCAGGGCGTTCCCATTATTAGCATTGTGACATCGATGCATACCACTGCAGCAGTCCCATGAATGAGCCGGGCATCTCGTGGGCGGCCAGTAAGCGTAGCCGTCAGCGATGCCTGACCGCTAACGAAGGCCACTCAAGAGTTGGTTGTCTCCGCCAAGTCTAGCAGAGTGGGTTACCTCACGTCTCTTGTTCTTTCTTGCCCGCAGCAATTACGTCCGTCGACTCGGCTGATGTCTGTTCGGTGGCAACGATTGGGTTTTCTTTCTCGGCATTGCCAACGCCGTGGTTGGGCCCCAGTTCAGCGGCCTGGTTCTCGCCGGGAGCCTTTGTTGCCGCCTCTGTTACCTGGGGAGTCCCCTCGAGTGTCTGGGGGGTGTCCTCGGTCGGTGGGTTCGTCTCAAACAGAGCCCTAACGTTTTTGCCATCCTCGAGTTTTGGAAAAGCTGCCAGTTTACTTTTCGCAGAGAGCCGCAAAATCCGCCAGGTCTTGCTCGCTTTTGCACGCATTGCATGCTCCTTATCGGCCTTTGTACTTGCCATATCGATATCCAAGTCATCATCCATGATGCCCATCAGAAATGAATCGGCGGCGGGAACGGTGAATCTGGAGTGACGTCAGCCAACACAGTGCGGGATAAGACATGCATGATACTAGAATATACCTTTCAGACTCGGCTAGTCTCTCGAGACCAGCAGTTGACTCGCCTTCGGAAAGAAAGCTGAGGTTCAGTGATCCCATCGGTGAGGGACGAAGGCGTTTGTTTGCATAAACTTTCGTCGCTTGCTCACGGGCGCCGGCATACTCGGTCACCGACACCGGAGGGTTTTCGATCAAAGGGCAGCCCTCTGCTTTCCAGCGCACCCAATTCTTGTCCCTTGACAATACAGTGTCTACCATGCGATAGTAGAATTTGCCACCGACTCCCTCTTGAAGGTACTCCTCAATGGCTTTTCTGGTTTTCGCGGCCCATCTTGTCTACTCAACTATCAATATTATCCACAAGGATCCAACAGGAAAGAGTCTTACATCTTCATCATTCAACACGAAACCGTAAAGCACGGATTTGTTGGTCATGTCGGCCATCTTTGCTTTCGCTTTAGGCGTAAGAGAAAGCAAGAAGTCCAAGAGAATGAGCGCTTGAACGAGAACGTGCCTTCGAAAAGCGGTGTCATTGATCTAGAACAAAGAATCAGCGATGGGGCCTGAGCGAATTCAAAAGGGCGGTACGAACTTCGAGATCAAACAGGTCTCTACTGGTCAGATATTTGGGATTGAAACTGCTCGCAATCTCTTGTCCGTCCGCAGTCCGTTTCCGTTTGGAGGATTTCCTGGTTTCTTCGGACGTCCTCGCGGCTCCCGAATTCTCCATGTCCATATGCATTGAACGAAATGTCGACAGTGTAGCTTCGAGCCCTGACTTGAATGTAGCGAAGTGGTGGGGATCGAAGGTTTTGGTTGGGGCCGAGAAATAGGCTTGTAGACTCCAGAACATCGGGTAGAGTCTATCTAAATCAATCTTGGTCTCCTCGCCCTTGTCATCACTTTTGGAAACAACTAGTTTCGGTGCTTTCGGCGATTCCTGCGCAGGCGTCTGAGAGACTGTATCAGGCTCCTCCACTCTCGCAGATGCGTCTTGTCCATTGGAGGGCTCCACATCCATTTCATCATCCTTATTGCCTCCACTCGTAACATTCTCGTCGAACGTCGTCACATTTTCGGTATGGTATTCACCCCGGAGATTGACAGCGCTCTTATCTCCCAGAGGAAAGCTTTGGAACAAGAAGATAAAAACGCGGCCACAGAACACGGTATCCTCGGCCCGAGATAATCTTCGCAGTAGCTCGTTGCAAGATCGAAGAATAATCAAGCTTTTCTGTTTGAAGTGTTTCTTCGGTATCGTTAGCTATTTTCAACCTAGAGCATGAGGGTGCAGATTGTTGCATACCTTTGTATTCCGCTCTCTCCGAGACTCCAAGTAATCGAAAACCTTGCGACAGCCCTCTATGGTCTGACTATCGAGCAGCTCCTCGATGAGCCAGAAAATCAAACCGGGTTCGCATTGCTCTACAACATATTAGGAGACCAACCAAATGTTCAAAGGCACTTTGAATACTGACCATTGTCAGAAAATATGGAAATGATATCGAGGAGGTTCCATATTTGAATGAAGCCCGGCTCGTCAATTGTTGTATTGGCCTTCAGAGGATCAACAATCAGCTATAGATTCTCCGACAACCAGAAGCGCGCAAAAGACAAACGGGATCGCGTACGAGAAGATGATAGAACTTTTCCCTAAATGCAATTTCAACAGCAGCAAACTGTGTTTGTTGGCTAAATCGTTTCGCGATCTGCTCATCCTCTCCCTGGATTAGCCAGAAGGAGTCGCCGAGATGCGTCTCCGTCAAGGGGGGTTCAATCTGCTTGTCGGGTTTGACTTGTTCGGCTTGGGTCAGGAGACGCTCAACAAGTCGCCTATAGGCATGAGTCGTTTCAGCATCCACTTCCGCCATTTTCCGTTGAATGCGCAAGGATGGTGGTGGTGAGAACAGCGCAAACGGACGTGCTGTCGTGGAGGACAAAGAGATCTGGGATTAAATAATGCGTTGCGGCTCTGCGGGCTCTAGCCGCCGCAGTGACTTCACTAGACGCGCGCCAGAAGCTTTCCATTTCCGCTGCGACGGACAACCTGCGCAGATAACTCCGCTTCGCGCTCGGATTCGTTCTGAACAATTCCAGCTTCAAGGAATGGGCCTACATACACGTCAGGCAATGGCACACAGCCTTGACACCAGGCCCACCGTGGAAGACTTCCGCGAAGACAGTCCGTGGGTGCAACTGGCAAAGACTCACTGGCCCGAGGCGTCGAAGGCCCGCAAAATCAAGCCGGATACCATCAAGAAAGAGATATGGGATCCTCTAGAGGCCGAGAATTTTAGCCTTCACTCTCTTCTCGCCCTGGAGAACCTGAATATACTAGAAAGGTTCGCTTGCTACCTGATGTCCGATCGAATGTGTGGGGTTAGTCGGCTAACTTTTCGAAGGTTTCTTTGGCCTGCCTACTCAGAAGAAGCTTCGAATTACCACGTGCTGTTATTAACGCACATCGTGAGCGTCAAGCAACGCGAGCATTTGCCGATATGGAGTATGTCTTGCGCAAGTATCAAGGATGGCTTGGCTGGGTGCTAACAGCGTCATTAGGTACCTTTTCCGAGAGACCTGACGATTTTTCGAACTTGTTTCACCGAATCCTCTCCATGAGCATTGATCAATCGATTCCTACATCTTCGCGCCTGTCTATAATGTCGTTCATCATCAGTGCCTTCCAGTCACTCGAAAATGTTCTAATACGAAAAGAATGCGCCCCCCTCGTTTCTATATCAATATGGCACAATCTATCTAGTGATGAAGCTAGGGACCGTGTACTTTCGAAGGGTCCAACGCTGAAGAAGACCTGGAGGGCGGCTGCAAAACGATATGAAGCGGGAGATGAAACATCGAAGGCGAAAGCGCGATTCGAACGATCATGGCTATACACGATGCTTCTCGATTTTCTGCGGAGGCTGACCGGGTCTGAGAAGGACCAATCGGATAACCTCCGCTACTGCGAGCGGTTTCTCGAATTTCTGGTGGACCTGGAAAGTCAACTGCCCACCAGGCGCTACGTGAACACGCTGCTAAAAGATCTCAACTTGCTTTCTGTCATTCGCTTATCACAGTTGTATTGCGCCCCGGAGAACACGCTATTCCGGGATCTTTACGGTCTTCTAGTACATTTTGTCAATTTCGCCATCGATGACCATACGGGGGAGACTTTGTCTCCTCAGGCGGTGTATGAGGTCCATTGCCAGGAGCTGTCACATCTGCAGAGGATTTCAATGAAACTTTTCAAGGATAAACTGATGATTCTTGCTTTATCAAACTATGGCTCCATTGAGCAACGTTCTGAACTGGAGGGGCAACTGGCCTCTTTGGACGAGCCAGAGCTGCAGAATCTTTGTTCACATCTTGGCTTTCGAACCGTTTACCCCAGTCAGTCTCAAGTCTTACCCAACCGGCAGCTGTACCTTGAAATTATCTTGGCTTCCTATGAACGAAAGACGTCTTTCCAAGAAACATCCTCGCATCTTGCTATTCTCCCTACAGAAGAAAACCTCTACGACCCGGCATTGCTTCGAAACGAAACATATGATGGATCGCGGCCAATTGCAATCCCGAAATTGAATCTTCAATATTTAAGTCTTGGTGATTTCCTTTGGCGTTCATTTGTTCTATATCGCTCTGAGGCTTTTTTCCAAGTCCGCAAAGATATGGAAGCAATAGTCAAGCGAATGCAACCACGGGCTAGTCGGGATGGAAAAGGCCCAACCTTTGAAGGGTTTTCTCGCATGGCTATTCCGATTTCCAAGCCTGCAATCATTGAAGTTGCACCCGCTAAGGTTGGTTCGGCAAATCCGGCTTTCGTGAGAGCAGAGATCACTATTGAAGTTGGGAGACTAGCCGACCACATTAGAAAGGATTGGGAGTCTCTCCGCACTGATGATGTGGTTTTCCTGTTGGCTGTGCAATCTGGGGGCCCAGGCACACTGGAGGCTCTTGACTCTACCTCGACTGATAGCCCCCGTATCACCCACGTTCGGACGGCCGAAATTGTGCAGGTGCTTGATGAAAACGGCCGTCCGATACGCGAGCCTGCCTTAAACCAAACAAACGGGTTTAAGTCCAGAGCGCGTGTTAGGAGGTTGTTGGTCAACCTAGATCCGGCTGCTTTCAAGGCCGACAAAGACCACAACATGCAAGGCAAGGCGGATATCTACCCATTGATAAATGTTGTCGCCAGAAGGAAAGGGAGGGAAAATAATTTCAAGTCAATACTTGAGACCATGCAAAAGCTTATTGTTTCAAACATTGCCCTTCCCTCTTGGGTCCAGGATATTTTCCTGGGCTACGGCGACCCGGCGGGGGCTCGATATACGGAATTGTCCAACCGACTCTCGTCTGTCGATTTCCGAGACACTTTCATAAACTGGCAGCATCTAGTGGAAAGTTTTCCAGGCATGGCTATTGAGCCTTCGGGAGAGCAGGGCTCGAGCTTCGGGCCTCCATACGTCCTTGAATACATTGAACCCGCCCAGCCACAAGCCTCTACCACCAACACGTCGAAAAAACGCCGGCGAGATCAGGCCGAAAGACAGCAGACAGCTCCCAAATCGCTTCGTGTATCGACCTATAACCCGCCGAACCGTGGACCTTATCCGATCGATGCCCCCAAGCTCAATTCCATCCCCTTCACCCCGGCCCAGGCAGAAGCTATCGCATCTGGCACCCAACCTGGTCTCACTATCGTCGTTGGCCCCCCGGGAACCGGCAAAACGGATGTTGCAACCCAGATCATCAACAACATCTACCATAACTTCCCAAAAGAGCGTACTCTGCTTATTGCACATAGTAACCAGGCCCTGAACCAACTGTTCCAGAAGATCGTTGCTCTGGACATTGATGAGCGCCATCTCTTGCGTCTTGGTCACGGTGAAGAGGAGTTGGAAACCGAGACGAGTTACAGCAAGTATGGGCGTGTCGAATCGTTCTTCGACAACCGGAATTATTTCCTATCTGAAGTTACACGGCTGGCAGCATCCATTGGGGCACAGGGGGCTCACGGAAGCTCTTGTGAGACCGCCGGATACTTCAACACTGTTTACATCCAACCTGCGTGGGCGAAGTTCTGGGACAATGCCCGCGTCGACAACGCCTCCACAGGAAAGATCATTGCGGACTTCCCATTCCATGCTTTCTTTTCAAATACTCCCCAGCCTGTTTTCGACCCTTCGGCTCCGAAGGACGTGGTTCTGGATGCGGCAGAAGGCTGTCAACGGCACATTTCCAAGATATTCTCCGAGCTCGAAGATATCCGGCCTTTTGAGATTTTGAGACAGCCTAAAGATAAAGCAAACTACCTCCTAGTCAAAGAAGCACGGATTATCGCGATGACATCCACACACGCTGCGATGCGCCGTCAGGAGATTGCCGACCTTGGCTTCCATTATGACAACGTTGTTATGGAAGAAGCAGCGCAAATCACAGAAGTCGAGAGTTTTATTCCCACGGCTTTACAGAACATGAAGGATGGCCAGCTCCCCTTGAAGCGCATAGTTCTTTGTGGTGATCACCTTCAAAATTCTCCGATCGTGCAGAACCATGCCTTCCGGCAATATGCGCATTTCGAACAGAGTCTTTTCCTTCGCCTCGTCCGACTGGGGGTTCCTGTTATCGCACTTGATCAACAGGGACGCGCGCGGAGTAGTATTGCTGAGCTCTTCCGGTGGCGTTATCAGCATCTTGGGGATTTGCCTGTCGTCAAAACAGCCGAGGAATTCAAACAGGCAAATGCTGGCTTTCAGTTCGATTACCAATTCATCAATGTCCCTGATTACCAGGGCTCGGGCGAAAGAGAGCCCACGCCGCATTTCATCCAGAACCTAGGAGAGGCGGAATATGCGGTTGCTATCTACCAATATATGCGACTTCTCGGCTACCCAGCATCGAAGATATCTATCCTTGCCACTTATGCGGGACAAACAGCATTGATCAAGGATGTTTTGGGGCACCGTTGTAGCAAAAATGCTCTCTTCGGTATGCCCAAAATCGTAACTACGGTGGACAAGTATCAGGGTGAACAGAATGATTGTAAGTCCTTTATGTCGTGGAGGCACCCTCTGGTGATAACTGGTCGAGCACAACTCTAACTTGAGATCTGCAGATGTAATTCTTTCCCTCACTCGCACTCGTACAATCGGATACCTTCGTGATGTCCGTCGGCTGACCGTTGCCCTTTCTCGTGCCCGCCTCGGTCTCTATATCCTTGGTCGCCGCGAGGTTTTGGAGTCGTGCTACGAACTTAAACCCGCGTTCGATCTTTTGTTCCGGCGACCGGACAAACTCATGCTCGCCGCAGGAGAAATGTTTCCGACCACACGATCTCTTGATGATGAGGTCCAAGGCACACCCATGGAAGGGGTTGAGCACCTGGGCCAGTACGTCTTCGAAATGACCCAGGCTAAGCTGAAGGCCATGGGCAATCAAGATGTTGTCGTTGAAGACGCAATGCCAGATGGTGCGGATGAACTGATGGATGAAGATGAAGTCATGTTGGGGGCTGGTGAAGAGCCACAAGATGACGATCCATTGCATGAGCATGTATTAGGTGCAAACTAAAAGGAACGGCCGCTTTTTATTCAGAAGGACTCAGTATCGGATATATTTTTGCCTTTGATCTCGAAAACTCCAACCTCATGATATCGTGAGTCTTGTGGGCATCGGGCGGCTCTTGGTGTTTATCTATGTTTCATGATTATGTTCATTTACATCTATGTATTTGGTTGGTGATTGCTGTTGATTATTTGCAACGGGAAAATTAACCTCCTTTGGGGTGTGATTTCGCTGCTTGAAAGGAGAATGCAACCAAGATATTTACATTCGATTATCTAGAGACTAAGACGTGAACCTTCTGTGCCGCAGTAATTTACAACGCACCCGATCCTATGCACTCCGTTTGGTGTAGTAGATGAATGGCCCTGTGCATGCATGCCCTAGAGACCCTATTTCTGATCACTCTCACTTAGCTCCTCAACAATGTTCTGAGGATCTTTCCAGGCGCGTGCCACATATCTACAAGGTTGTCAGTGAAATGGCCATTGTCCATGTGGAATACCACAGCATCAAGGGTGGTCCCTACTTGGTGTGGCTTCCTCTTGCAACGACTTCACCCTTACTGTTCAGAAATTTGATGGAGGTGTACGCAAGTGTTTTGCCAACTGCAACATAGGGGTCAATTGTGTTCAGAATCAATTCGGGGGCATCTACCGCAATGATAGACAGGGCAAATGGCGGAAAGCTACATTTATCACAGTTGACCTCCTGGATCTAAGTTAGCACATGCCTCTGGGCAGTACTTTCTGACCACAGGGGAACTCACGGCTAGGATTTTGTCGCCAACTTTGCCTCCGGAGTTGAGATATGTTACTGGATTCGAGTAGTCGTCAGTACCCATTGGGCATTGCATCAATAGCTCGGACGTTTCAACGCACCATTAAGGTCGGTAGAGACGCCCGTAGCAAACAGCCCACGAGAGGCAACGGCCAGTGATCCACCTAGGTCCACTTCATCACAGTAGTCAGTGGCACGGTTGAAGAGAAGGGGGGTTATTCTACGACGACATACCCATACTAGCAATGGTGCCACCGTGGAGGATACTCAGGCGATTCTAACGGAGTGTCAATCGCTGCTCAACGGCAACAGCAGGAAGGGATGAGCTACCGTATGCTCCTTCTGGATGTCGAGCTCGAAATTGACTACTCCTGGTCTAGCAGCGGTCACGCGAAGCTAGGGCAAGCATCAGTCAGTATGTATGTACATCCCCGATGCTTGGATATGCCATACTTACATTGTTGAGAAGACTGGTAATACGTCGATAGACAGTCCTTTTAGAATTCCATTTATAGATGTTGGGGGGCGTTTATGTTCTCTGAGGAACGTGCAGATGCAACTATATATAGGATACAGTAACTGTCAATGCTACTTACCGAGGTTCCAGGCCCGAAGTAGCCCGAAAGGACTCCCAAACCTAGGGATCATTAGATTGCGAGGAAGACCAGAAGCCAAACAGCGACAGAGGGGGCTCCTACCGATCGTACGAATCGCAACGCAGGCATCCTTTATACAAGCCGGGGGTGGTGGTGGAAGAGAGAGAGGGAGAGAGGGCGACGCGGGAGGAAGTGCGGAAGACCAGGCAAGTCCCGTGAGGTCATCGGCCCGGACTGCGCTTCGTGGCCGCTCGGGTCACCGGAGCGCATGATTTCTCAACCTTCCTTCCCTCTTGCTCTCTCTTTGTCCGTTCCTCCCATCACTTCGAGGCGATCCCACTATGCCGTGGAGCTGAAGTCTCGCTGAATCCTGCAGGCAAGATGGTGGCCGCTCCATCCCGTCCATTTGACTATCTCGAAGGCCTACCTGGGACGGTCTTCTTCAAGCTTTACCAGCAGCCCTCCACAGCGCTCGCTATTTTCAGGCGCATGTTGCCTGACCTTGGTACGTCAAGTGGGTTGGCTGTTGAAGCTCGAATCTAATCTCTGGCCTAGCAAAATGTTTTGTCATGGCTCTTCTTTACCTCAGAGACCCCCTCCCCGCGGCGGATCTGGAGGTTTGGGTCAAATCCGAGAGCTTGAAGTGAGTGGCGCTACAGCTATTCTTTATCCCTCCTTTATTCCTTCTCGATTCCGATCTGCATCCGCGAATTGATTGATTAACAGCGGATGCACCTTTCTTCGTTGGCTTGCAGGGAACGTGACAACGCGCTGTCAATATTGGGACGGTTACATATCCTATCGAACACGGTGACAGCGGACAATGTTCGAGCCTACATGGTCACCAATCCATTCTCCTCCTCTCTCCGACAAGCTCTCACTGGAGCCGAACAGACGCAATCATTCGGTGTTCTTTCACATGCTTCTACCGGGGCGACTGTATCAATTGCCGATTTGGATGACTATGCGCGCCGGCAATGGGAGGGAGTGCTGGGATACATGGTGGGTACAAGTGGGCTGGGGATCCAGCGTGATGTGAATTTAAGCAAGGGTGTGAAGCAGTTGCTGCAGGCCGGACACCTTGTCGAGATCAAGGATCGTCGTGTGGAGATCACGCAAGACGGGTTCGCATTTGTCTTGCAGGATGTGAGCACCCAGGTTTGGCATATTCTCATCCTCTACGTTGAAAGCGCAGAAGCCATCGGGATGGATAGCGTGGAAGTCCTGTCCTTTCTCTTCCTTCTAAGCAGCCTGGAGCTGGGGAAGTCCTATCAAAAAGAGCACCTGACCTCCTTTCAGCTTCGAACATTGACCGATCTGGCCGACTTCGGGATTGTCTATCAAGATTCGCCCGAGGCTAGCTACTTCTACCCCACGCGTCTCGCGACCACTCTTACCTCCGACTCCAGTGCTCTGAGTAATCCTATCTCGGGCTCCCTCTCCGGGCCCACCGGCACCACCGGCAGTAAGGCTGGTTCTGGCTTCATCATCATTGAAACAAACTATCGACTGTATGCGTATACATCGTCACCGCTGCAGATCTCCCTCATCGCCCTCTTCACCACTCTGAAATATCGATTTCCCAACCTGATCACGGGCAAGATCACTCGCCAGTCCGTGCGCCGAGCCATCGAGATGGGGATTACCGCCGATCAGATCATTTCATACTTATCTACGCATGCACATCCACAAATGCGCAAGCACAATGTGTCCCGGTCCACGTCAAACCAGGCCGGTATCCCTGCATCTGTCCTGCCGCCCACCGTGGTGGACCAGATCCGTCTCTGGCAGCTGGAAAGAGACCGTGTCAAAGCTACGCCTGGGTTTCTATTCAAGGATTTCGTCAGCCTGGCTGAGTACGAAGCCCCGTGTCGTTACGCCGAGGAGATCGGGGTTCTGGTGTGGAAGTCGGATCGGAAACGTATGTTCTTCGTCACTCGGCATGAGCAGGTGGCGGCATTTTTGAGGAGTAGGAAATGAGGCCCCGACAGTGGGAGCTGAGATCACACGGGGGCCACAGCAGCAAGGCCATGGAAGTTGTTATTCATATCGGCGCATGATGATTGGGTTCGATCTGGCGTTTACGGGATCCTCGAGGGAATTTGGAGAGAGCGGGCCAGGGCTGGGACTCATGACAAAGTAAATCTAGACGTTGCGGAAATATAATCGATGACAATTGTACAGTAATTTCTCTTTCTATTCCGCTTCCATCCATGACCATCCCAATCGATAGACATGCACATCGAGGGTTGGAGAGACTAGCGCATCCAGCAATCTCCATGAAATCTAACATATTCCTCCCGGAAAGCCCGAAGGCTGGCGCTCGCCTGGTCCGTTGTACAGACGTTTTCGAGAACCATGAACGCGCGCTTGGTGCGATAATCCGAGAGATCGGCATCGGAACGCCCCAGGGGACGAGAATAACTGGACAGCATTCCAAATCCGGTGGCAATGTCCGGTTGATGGAAGGAGTCCTCGTAATGAAACGCATTGGTGAGGGTGACAAGCCGTCCCAGCCAGTACTGTCGGGGCTGGGGCTCGGTGACCTCCAAGACGGGTCCAGCAGGAGCCGATCGCCTGAAGCACGACGCCATTCTGCTTCCCCTGATCGTCTCTTTTGGTCGCGCAAAGGCCTTGAACACCCTCGAGGGCGCGGGTGAACGGCAGTTCTCTGGCATCCGGGGAACTGTAACTGATGCCGGCAAGGCATTCATCACAGGCGGTTGTCTCGCGATGCTAGCCGGCCGTGGGCTTGGAGCCAGGACTTCACAAGGACGCCCGCCCTCACGTTCGGCACGGAATTGGTCAACTGGGATTTCCCCGCTGTCAGACTGACTAGTCCTGTTGACTATCACGATGTAGAATTGGGGCGCTGCCTCTTACCAGGGCGATATTCCTTGCCACTCTTCCTTCTATTCAGGTATCGCTGGCCCAGAGACGAGAGCACACTCCTTCGTCCCTCCTGTCGATAAACCCCATGGGAGTACATGTCTCCCTGGGGGGGCTTGGATGGGGTTGGGATCCGTGAGGCAATGAAGTTGGAGGTGGAACCCAGGGGCTTCTTCCTTCGAGAACCTTTGTCGCCCAGTGTGCTCTTAAGGGACTGCAATGAATTCACAATCGAAGACTGGCGGCCCTGCTTCTCCATCATTGTTGGAGGCGAAGGGCGAGAAGGCCGAGTGGCAGAATGTAAGATGGAGAGGGAGGAAACGGACGAGGACGCTGGGGAGCGAGCTTGGAAAGGTTCATATTTGCCAACGAAGTTTAGTTACACGCATTCGACCCTCTTTCTCTTCTTCTCCTCCTCCTCCTTCCGCCGCGGCGCTCATTCCCCGGGAATCAAGATGGTGCCCTCGCTCACAGGCACCGCTGCTCCTTTCAACTCAAGACTCTCGACCTTCTCAGGGCTAGTTGTGATGTCAATTCCAATCTGGCTGCGTCGGCCCATTTCCACGCCCTGGACAATGTCATACGTGTGCCTCCCGAGTCGTTCATTTGTCAGGGACAGATATGCTACCAGCCCGCTCGCGGCGCTGCCCGTGGCCGCATCTTCTTCGTTTCCCAAGATCATCCTGGTGCGTATTACGCGAGTCCCCAATAGCGCATCCTCGACGTCCCGCACGTAGAAGTATAAAACGCAATGGCCCGACCTCCATCCTTCGTCCAGATACTGACCATGAACAGAGATCACTTCGCCGCCGGCCGAAGTCGTCACGGCGGCCAGTGCGTTCAGAGAAGGCAACTCGACATGCACCTGGCTCATCCCATTGACGATCGAGACCACCGGAAACGACAGCATGTCCTGGGCCGCGGCCGGGAAAAAGGGGGTCAAAGACGCATGAAGCCGGAGTAGCTCACTTAGCGGATACCGCGCGGCGTGGAAACGAACATTATGCGCGATCCTCGCCACTACGCCCGGCTCCTGGAGCGACTGCTGCAGTGAGATTGGAATCTCCCCAGCCTTGGTGACCAGGCACCGAACGCGCTCTCTCTCCTGGGTGATCGGAGAATGGCACAAAAACCACGAAGCAGCGCCGATGGTTGGATGGCCTGCAAAGGGGATTTCGCAGGCGGTGGTGAAGATGTCAATGGTCCGTTTCTCGTCGCCCCCTGCATGCACGAAGATCGTCTCCGAGAGATTGAATTCCCGCGTGATGGATAGCTTCTGGCTCTGGGTCAGAGGAACCGAGGCGGGGTTGTCTGGTTCTGGGAGGAAGACGACCGCCAGAGGATTCCCCGCGTACGGCTGCGAGGTAAAAACATCCAAGGTGATGAACCGGAGTCGCTGACCCATGGTGGAGGGAATTGGCTGGACTGGCTGTAGGTCGCAAGGGAGGAAGGATTATTCAGAATCGCTCTCGATCACAAACCCCGCGCGAATTCGCCGCCGAGCCGGTGGCTGCGTTGGCGCCTCCTCCTCGCCGTTGTTCTGGGCGACCCCACCGTCAGGTTCAAGGCTGTCGGGCTCCAGGCTTTGGCTTGGATCATGAGAAGACACTTGTCCCGGGTTCCGATTGCGACTAAAAGCGAGGTCGTCGTCAAACTGAAGATCGTCCTCCATGGACGGACTAGACGAGACATGGCGTTGCGACCCGGGGGTCTCGACGCTCACGCCATCCATGGGGACACCATCGTCGCCATCATCGGCGTCGCTCAGGCTGATGTTGGTGGCGCGTCGCTGTCGCTTGCCTGGAACCCGGCTGGTGCCTGGCTCCGTTGGTCGTTTCCTACGTCCGCTCATCTCCGGCACAACGCCGGTAAGCAAGGCTTTGCGCACCCGTTCCGCCTGTTCTTTCCTCCTTTTCTCTTCGAGCAAGAAAAATCGTTCGTCCGCGCCCTCGTCCGTGTCCTCGTCGCTGGCGTGCACATACAGATCACTTTTGATCTTTGCTAAGCGGGCTCGTGAGTTCTCAAGGCGTGCTTGGTGACGCGCTGCGAGGGTCTCGTCGTCCGGGGGCGCTTTGTCTTCGCCTTTGTTCTGCTTCTTGCGCTTCTTCTTCAACTCGCCAAGGGCCTGGGCCTTGGTTCGAGGATTGGGTGGGAAAAGTGGCCCGTCCGGAACATCCTCGCCCTCGGACTCCGATCCAAAGTTGACGTCGAGGGTCGCTTGCTTGAAATTGCCGCTGTTTTCATTGGGGTATTTTCGTCGAAGCAGCTCGCGAGGGTCGTTTTCAAGGTCTCCAATCATGGGGCTATCAAGGCATTGATCAATGACAGCCTTGGTGGCCCGAAGATGAGCTGAATTCAAGGACGAGGGGACGATCCACGATGCACCAGGCACGTCTTCCACCCCGAGGCGTTCCAGTTTGACCAAGGCCATCAGGAGACGGAGCTTGGCGTTTGAGAACATGGCTTTTTGACAAGCATCATCCCGTGGTACAATAGCTAGATGGACCGTTAGTTCTGTCGACCAAAGTCAGGCAATAATACGTACCAATCATAGGATTAGGTGCCGTTGGTACCCCAGGGTTCTCATTTGCCTGTGCCTCATCCTGCGCTTCCCACGACGCCCTTTCTTCTGCGGCTGTCTGGAGGACGTCACCAACCCAAGCAACCAGATCACCTTGTTCGTCCAGGATCAAGGCCCCGATCACGATGCCGATTTTCTCCTCGGTAGTTTTCGCATTGCTGGAGCTGACCTCAAGCTCGGCGGGTGGTCTTTTGGTTGTGGGTAACGTTTGCTTCTCATGGCCATACTCCAGATAGGACACGGTTGAATTGATCTTGCTGAAAAGCAGCTCAGTAATCAGAGCCGGACGTTGATCGATCTTCTTCATGAGTCGGCGAAGGATCTGCTGGACTAACTCCTCCCACTCCTTGAAGATCGGCTGGCTAGGGTCCAAGGCGCCTGGGCCTTTGATCATTCTGTAGAAAAGATTGATGATATCCACACGAAATAGCAAGACGGCCATCTCTTGCTTGAAAGCGATTCTGTAGAAATAACGGTGGGCACGCTTCAACTGTTCGGTGTCAAGTTCCTTGTAATATTTGGTGAAAGCAATAAAGGTGTCGACACATTTTTGATTGCAAAATTTAGCGGCAAAGCGGCGGAAATCGAACTTGCGCTCTTTGGAGACCCGTTCAGCCTCGGCATGATCTTCTTCATCCTCAGAGGCGTGGTCTTCATTGTCTTTCTCCTCATCAGCCTCTGCGGCCTGTTTGTTCTTATGCCTGGTGCGTCTTTTAGAGCGCACTTGCATATCCACATTTTCTTTCGAGTATCGCTCCAGCATCCTCAAGAAGACGTGTGAAAGGTTCGTGGCAGCGTCGAGGTAGCCAAACCCTTGATCCTTAAATCCACGGATGATCGTAAGGATGCGGTCATGGGTCGTTTCCTCATAGAAAATTCGATTCTGAATGTTCTCCGCGATTTCCTGGTCCTCCTCAATGGGGGACAGGGCCATTTCTTGGACCGTCAACAAGATTTGTGTAAAGCACCGCATTTCGGCGTTGAGGTCCTCCCAGTCTTTATGGTCAAGACTGTACTGCATTGACCGGTTGAGGAAGACAAAAGTTTCCTGGTTGAGAACACCAGCAACCAGTCCAAAACTGTCCGGCTCTACCTCCTTACTAGGCCTTCCATTCTGTGATTTTCTTTCGCGTTGGCGTGCACGACGTGCCCGTTCCGCCTCTAAAAACCAGGCAACGGCGTAGAAGTATTGGCGGGAATTTATGTCCAGGACACGATCAGCTTCACGCTCGATCGCCTTCCGAACATGCGTGAAAAGAGGATTGAAACCGGAGTCGAGAAATTCCTGTACAAACATGCGCAAATTCTTAGATGCAGCGGAATTGAGGTGCACGGGGCTACTGAAGTCGTTGTTCAATGTGGACGGTTCCTTCCTCTGCCGCTGTTGAGGCTTGTTCCATTTTTTACTTTGGTCCATTTTCTGGAGTGTGGCTTGACTATCCTTGAGGATGTCCTGCCCCGAGACGGTAGAGACTTTGGCATCATCGCGTTTGACCCATATCATCGTCCCGAACCGACCATGTCGCGTCGGTGCATTCTTAGCATACTCTCTCTGCAACGATGACTCCTGCCGTAATACGCTATCCAGCTCATCGGTGCGTTTGGCGCTCCGCTGGGCGTCATCCATAAAAAGCTTTTCCACGTCAACACCCTTGACAATGTGGAACAAGATCTCAAGAAGAGCCACATCTTGCATGTTGAAATCCTCGCCAACATTAGAGCACATAGTAAGGAGGAGAGCAAATGCATCTTGATCTTGGAAGGCGTTCAGGGTCGCAGACCTTGACGTCTCTTCCTCATCTCCTTCTGCTGCAAGACGAGTATGGGTGTTAATCACTGCAAGATTCCGTAACAAATAAAGCATGAGTTTGAGAATCCCTTCATCACGAGCAGTTCGTTCGGATCGGGGGAGAGCCATGCTGGGCAGTCCGACACGGATAATCGTTCGAAGGAAACTGGCACTACCACGGCTGAGAAGGCGCCTTTTATATGAGACCTGTACGTGTTGCAAATAGGGCATATGTCGATGGTGGTTAACAGTCATCTGGTCATGGAATTCCAATGGCCAGGTCAGGGGTACTAGCAATTCCACTGGCGGGCGGAAGGGCGGTTGTCAGAACAAGCAGCTACAGGATGGACAAGGTCATGGGAACAGCAGAAAGGTACTCACAGCATGCCAACGCAATCCTGGACATGTATTTACTGCTCTGTCCGCCATTACTCCAGAGCGAAAGGATTGGCAGGAGGTCACCATTGACCAAATTCGCTTCCCCCAGGCATCGTGCCACATCCATGCGATTCTGCTTCTCATCGTACAGCTTCAACCAGCGCTTGATGTCTCGCAAGCAGGCCAAGGCATCGTCACCGAGCACATATTGATCGGCGTTTTCTCCGTTAAACCCTCCTAGCTGTGATAGGATCAGCAACGGGTGGTCATCGGAAATCGGGTCGAAGGACGGGGGAATGTCCTCAACTCACCGCAGTCACAAGACTGTATACATGGGCGCGGACGTCAGGATCCACGACTTGCACCGTCTGGCCAACAGGTACAGGGTCCTCATCCATTATGGCCAAGTGTGCTGAGGTCGTCCTCCCCTCAGCGCACAGTCGAAGGACTGCCAATGACCACGCGTGCTTGACGCGTCGGCGCGTTCGATCTCGGGATGACGGAAAAGGTATTGCTCCGAACAGCCGAGGATAGCCGATGACGTCGGATCACATGGGCCGCATCCGGTTGTCCTGTTGATCTACTCCGTACGTACTGCCTCCCGACATCCAGTCCTCTCCATTTATTTATCCATTCTTCGCTGTAAGATCCGTTGAGTCTCCCAGATATGTTGCTGTCATCTTCGCTCCCGGCCCTCCGCCACCGGGGCGCCGCAATGGCCTTTCGCACATTCAGCACATCCGCAGCGGCCCATGCTGCCGAGGTTAGCAGGTTGGGGGTTATCGGAGCAGGTCAGATGGTCAGTTAGTCGGGGGTTTTCACGCTTAGCCGAGCCTCTGGATGGCAGTTGACCGAAATCTTAGGGATTGGGTATTGCGCTTGTTGCTGCGAACAGGGCTCAGGTACCCGTGACCCTGATCGATAACTCTCAATCTTCTTTGGACAAGGGACTCAAGTTTGCCGGTCAGTTGGTGCTTCGGATCCTCTGCCTCCCCGACTAGGGCTTTCTCACTAAAAGTGTCTCTCCTACAGACAAGCTCTTGGAAAAGGACATCTCCAAAGAGCGTCTGACTCGGGATGGCGCCGACGCTGTTCGCTCGCGCATCACATCCAGCCTGAAACTGGACGATCTGTCGGCCGTCGATTTCGTGATCGAGGCGGTTCCTGAGCTTCCCGAACTTAAGACGTCCATCTTCTCGAAGATTGCGCAAATTGCCCCCAAGCATGCCGTTCTGGCAACGAACACTTCGTCGATCTCGATCACTAAAATCGCCGCAGCCACGACGACTGATCCCAGGGACCTTCAGGCTCCCTCTCGAGTTATTTCCACCCATTTTATGAACCCCGTGCCTGTTCAGAAGGGGGTGGAAATCATCGCTGGCCTGCAAACTTCCCAGGAAACCATCGAAAATGCCATTGCGTTTGTCCGGCGCATGGGCAAGGTTGCTTCCGTCTCCGCCGATTCGCCGGGGTTCCTCGCCAATCGCATTCTCATGCCATATATCAATGAGGCAATTCTTTGTCTCGAAACCGGGGTTGGTGGCCGCGAGGACATCGATAACATCATGAAGAACGGCACCAATGTTCCCATGGGACCTTTAACGCTGGCAGATTTCATTGGTCTTGACACGTGCCTGGCTATCATGAATGTCTTGCACCAAGAAACTGGAGATAGCAAGTACCGACCCTCGGGGCTGTTGAAGAGGATGGTCGATGCTGGTTGGACAGGCAAGAAAACCGGAAAGGGTTTCTACGACTATTGAAGGCACGGTGGTTACTCGGCAAAATGTATCTTGGCGTCCTTTATCACACATACCTTAACATGTAGCCGCTTACATCTGTGTTTATCTAGACGAATGGTTTTATTGTCATGTAACACGAGTGATGATGAGCTCGTCTTGGATAAGCCCGAGCGTCCTTCCCTACTCTTTTGACATATTGCTGCCCTTTCAAGCTCTTAATCGTCTGTCAGCGCACATAATCGCGGTATGATTACTGCCGCACGTTCGACTTCCTCGTCCCCATTCGGTATGTTGTTGCTCACTGCCACTGGGAGAAAATCAAGGATCTAGTTAGTGGGAGTGACACAGGTACAAGAAACCCATGGGTCATCACACTTCTAGCTTTATGTCGTTAGCATTGGTTCCAACCTCAGGGAGACAGAGACCTTACCATAACTGTGCTTTGCAGTTGCATGTAATGTGATTGCAACCAAGTTCAGTTCCACCTGCACGTCCCAGTTATAACATCTTTGCCATTGCTGGATTCGAGCATCTGCGAGGATTGGCCGTCATTCGCGATTAGAAGGACTGTCTCTCGAGGGATGGGCTATGTAACGACAGGGGAATCAAATGACCACAACTACCTGCCATGATAATGCGTCGAGCGTGTCATTCGACGAGTAAACATTCCATGGATTGACGCATTGAGTGCCGAATGTTCAAATCCATTCTCTCAAGGCCAACTTGCTTCCCGGGGCAAGGTTGAGGTCTTTGCGGCCCTCATCTGACACGACGGTCACCAATCTCTATCCACTCGAATTTATACTGGATCAACGACGAAATCGAGGTGGGAATGCGTGTGCTGGATACCGAGGTTGGTGGGAAAGTGAGACGGTAAACTGCGGGGGCACGGGTCTCACCGCAGCATTTTGCTGATTGCCCGGGGATAATTGCCTAGACACCGTGCGTCCAGATGATAGACCGCCAGATCTTATCCTATATTCTACAGCCCGTGAGAGAATTTCCTCGCCGCCCAGGAAGAACCGTTTTCCTGGTATTCCTGTCGTGTGATCGCTACTTTCTTCAATTCTTCTTTGTTTGTTGCGAAGCGCGATGCCCCCAGCCAGGTCGAACAAATTGGGCTGTTTTGGATGTTGTCAGCAATGCACCACCCTCCTGCATAAACCGCAGCCTTGGAGTGGGGGGAGGAGTAGAAATGGAAAAAGCAGCTTACTCCATGGGGCGTCGGACTCTCACGACGCATTCCGCCGATGCTCCTTGACGCAGCTCGGTTTCTCTGGAAATTGGGTTAGTAAAAGCGGATACACGGAGAAGGCGCGATCACGACTTACAGTCTGTCTATAAATCCTGGCAACAGGGAATTTCCCCCGGTAGCCAGGACGTTTGCCAGAAACGCAGGATGCAGTCCCGGGGGTAACACAGATAAGCTCTGCATGACCATATCCGCTATACCAGCTTGCTTCATACCAATATCACCCGGCGTGAAGAGTATTTCCGGGATGGCAAACCGTTCGTTTCCCAGGACCAAGACATCTTCAGATAGCGTCTCAGCAGTAACGCTGGAAAGGGCGCTTTTTCTTTTCTTCGCATTCAGCAAGGGGTCATGGGGACGCATGAAGCCTCTTTTTCCTGCGTTTGGGTCGGGTAGCACATAGTCGACAGTGACGCCTTCGCCGACTTGGGATGAGCCACGCTTCTGGTTCCCCTTCCATGTCTCTTCCATGTCATGGGAGAAGTTGTTGCTAACAAAGCACACCGCCTCCTTGACTTCGTTCATGACATACGTTTCGTCTACCATGTTATATTGTCTCATCGAAACTATCTCCTTCAAGTAGTTCGTCAGGTGTTTCCCTCCAAGATCGAGTCGACGAATGGCGCGCTGGAGAGGCTGGCCTTTGTAGACCGGTGTTACCGTAGTGTGGGAGTATCCAGAATCGACGACAAGTAAACATTCTGTCGGTGAGGCGGCGGGCATAGTGGACTGTTGTTGCGTAGGGTCGCCAAATAAAGACTGGACTTCATTCCAGGCATTCATTGACGGTCCTTGTGAGCTTCATCAGCTAGGAAAGCCCCTGGGGTGAACTGAAGAACATGGCATTCGAGATAGTTACCTATAGCTCTCAAGTAGCCACCAAATCCCCACTCTTCCATCACAATCTCATCCGCGTTTTTCTGCAACGCTGGCAAGGCATTTGGGGCTTCCGTGAGCAAAAGGGTTGTTTCCTCGGGGTTCCCAATCCGGAGCTCCTTAGCCCGTGCCGTCTTCTCGTCAAAAAACGAATATTCCCAGATCTCCTTCTGCACCTCCCAGTTCACGGTGTACCCTTTTTCGACTGGGCGGCGAAACATCAATTCATTCCAATCGGTTACATGGCTGTTCAGCTGCGCACCAATATAGACATTATTTCCACGGGTTTTGACGAGCGCGTTTGGGATGACACTACAGGCAGGGCTGGGCGTGGTTTCGCTGTCGGAGGGTAGGAAGTCAGGCGCGTAGCCGGCCTTCATTGTATACGCCCCATTGTCGATAATGAAGGTCTTGTCCGGTAAAGGCTGAGCTTTGGCAATGGATGCCCTCGGGGGCGGACGGGGTTTCGTAGCTCCCATATTAGCGAAAAGAATAAATCAGGGCGGGGATGGGGGAGAAAGAAAGAGAGAGAAGCCGGAGAGGAAAGGAGCTTGAGGCCGACATGAGCTGCCTGTCTTACGTAAGGGAGTGGAGAGAGCGCATCCCGAGTAGAGTAGGCGGTCGAGCGCATCCCACCAATCAGGATATTTAGGGCCTAGGCTTAGGGCAAGGCCTGGGAACAACGCAGCAGCTACCTTGAAGTTACAACTCGAAGTACACTCCAGGTGTCGGAGTCTATATTCTTGGGGGGGGCAATTATTCACCACGGGGCTCTAGATAACCAGCGGCTATCAGAAGACATCCCTTTTTATTTCCAAGACAAGTCACCCGGGCCTTCGTTGACCGATGGCTCTGTAGCCTACGGCATATATGTATATATATACAGCATACTGAAGCTTGCTCCAAATTTGTTGACTAAACTCGAAGATATAAAACCTACTTCGTACTAATCCCCATGCCCAAAATGAAATACAGAAGTAGAAAGCATCCAAAAAACTGACACCTAAAAAAGTGAAGGGGGAAAAAGCAAAAACACATCTGGAGTTCATATACCTTCAGGTGACCCCGCAGAGCCCTAGTCAGCAGCCCCGCCAAACCCGAGATTTACGATCATTCCGATTCAGAACTCCGGATTCTGGCCACAACAAACCTTGGGATCGCGCCGTGCCCGTCCGCTTCATTACCACAATGTCGCAAAAATTTAGGATAACTTTGGACACCACCATAACGCTTGTGCAGCAATTCCAGCTAGCACTCGCCACACCTGTTGCGCAAGGGTCCGGGCAAGTCTCCGGGAAAGAAGCCCTCCCCCTCCTCTCGGCCTCATCGACGGCACTTAAATCCCAAGTCACCAAACTCTCGCTCCTAACGATCACCTCGCCGTTCACACATTCGGCCGTCACTAGCGTTCTTTCGGAGATCAACGAATCAGTGCTTCCCTCCCTAGTGACTGCGGCTCTTCTGGTCACTCCAATCGATCACACCCAAGCCTTCCAGACCGAAGTTTTGGTCCTGACAAAATCCACCGTGAGGGAGTTGGCATCACTGCTTAAAGAAGTTCAATCCGTTGCAGATCGGAAGGATGAAACAACGGACTCCCCCAAACGGACGCAGGAACTGTCTCAGCAGGAAAAGGACGTGGTTACTGTGGCTGCAGGGCGCGTGTGGGAAGCTTGTGACGTGTTGGTCGACTTTGCCGCAAAAGGAGTCATTGGATTCGTGATCAGGCGTGTCGAGGAATGGAGGGACCTGGTACGAGACGCGGTGGAGGAGATCGAAGAATGGGACCCAGACGAGGAAGGGGATGACTTTTTCGATGACCTTTTAAGCGATGGCGGGCAGAGCAGCACCGGAAAGAATGGGGATGAGGACGATGAGGGAGATGACGATGGAGAGAGTAGTGCTGTCCTCCATGAGAACAAAAAGAACGCCATTCGAATCCTCAAGCCCGTCGCGCAGATTTATCCCGCCATCGTCACAAACCGCCTGAAAACCGCTCCTGAACTATCACCGCCTCTTGTCAGCCAACTGGAGAACTTGATGCTGAACCTGCGTTCCATCCCAGAGAATGTCGACGAAGTCGCTGGAGCCCTATACGAAGCCAATTTCACGAAATCTAATCACTATCTCGGGGCAATTAAAGAACATGCCGTCAAGGCCATAAAGACCGTGGCTTTACCGTGGACGTCTCCTGAGTCTCCTAGTCCCGCACAGGAGTCGGAAGACAAATTTGCGACTTGGTCGAAGACGTGGTTGAAAGTGGTGGGCGAGGTCAGCAAGACTATTGTCAGCGAGGATGCTAAGGGTGGGAACTGAAATGGAGATGTACGCAGTCCACATATACGATTAGAAAAAAAAAAAAAGCGCATTAAACCTTTGGACGGTTATCAAAAACTGGGCTCATTTTCCCGAAATTCTGGTTCATATGGTATATGTGTAGGTAAGTAACAGGACGGTGGCCGCAACGGCAGGCGCCTTTCCCAGTAATATTTACGTGAGGAGCGTTGCTTCATGCGGCAGCATTCGGTAGGGGGACCCCCTAAATCCAGGCAGGATTATGAAGTTGCCTCGTCACCCGATTCCCACTCGCAAAGGTCAATGGCAGGTATTCGGTCCTTCAACCATTCAAGGATCGTATCTGTCCCTTTGGCGACGATTTGCCATCGAGGTACTCGAAAGCTGTTACCCGCAATTTCGAACCTCCTCAGAGCCGATCCGCCACCCCAATTCTTGCTAGATCCCTCGGCTCTTAGCAGACCGATTTTTGGCGGAAGGGATCCGATGTTGTTGTTCCCCACGTCTAATACCTGGAGGCCTTGTACAGCATCAAAATCTATACCGTCAAGACGGTTATCGGCGGCAAGCAATGTCATCAAGTTTGGATAGCTTAGTCGCGCGGGAGGAAGCGGCCCGGAAAGACGATTATAAGAAACGTCAAGGAATGTAAGTGATGGAGCTTTTAGGTAGGCGAAGACTGGAGTTAACGTGGTCAAAGTTGTTGCGCTCAAGTTGAGATGCTGGAGACTGGGAAGCATGAGAGAGGAGCTCAGCAAGGAATTGCTATCGAGAGGGTTGTTTGAGAGGTCAAGGTCAGTGAGATTGGCTGCAAGCATGCTGAGGGCCGGAGCTGGGAAGGAGCGTAACCCGTTGTGCTGCAGACATAGGCATCTGATTTCTTCGAAGTTGATTTCGTCGAGTCTTTCAACCTCTAGCTCTCGCATGTCGGTGTATGATCTATCGAGGGTCCCCCCCGGTTTGATCTGCCAAGCTGACGTTTGCGCGGGTGTTTCTGGCGCAAGCGTGAATTGAGTGGCGACCGATCCCTCTTCATCGTCGGTATCTTGGACTTCTGGCTCGCATCGGTTCCGTAGGTCCCTCTTGAGGTCTTCCGTACTCATGCCGAGGAACCTCCGCTCCCTAAGGGGATTATTGGCAATCCGGAATGTCGAAAGACTTTCAATCAACCCGATTCGCTCATCCAGTTTTGAGATATCATTCCCCGTGAAGTCGACATTTTTAATGCTCTTCAATTCAACAAAGCCATGCGGGATCTCGCATATTTTGTTGTCCTCCGCGGATAGAGTTAGAAGCTCCCGCCAACGAGAGATGCTGGGCAACTTTTGGATCCGATTCATGCTGATGGCTAATGTTTGTAAGCTGGGAAGCTCAATATCCCCTTGGCCTGAAAGTTGCACTAATGCGTTGCTCGAAACGTCGAGGTTCTGAAGAGTCTCCAGTTTTGTTACATTGGCAGGTATCAAAGTTCCACTCAGCTTGTTCCTCTGAGCATTGAGATCTTTCAACGGAAGCTGGCTCAAAGCTTCGAAAGGCAGAGAGGCTAGCTGGTTATTGCCGACATTCAAGAATCGAAGGCATTTGAGCGACCTGAGCTCTTCAGGGAGATCTGTGATGGAATTGTTGTGCAGGTCGAGAGTTTCCAGATTTTTGAGATGTCCGATATCCGAAGTCAGTTTGCCCTGCAATTGGTTCTTTGCTAATCTGAGGTCCCGGAGAGACTCCATCTCCACGATTACATGCATTCCATGCATGGTCAAACTGTTGTTAGAAAGATTCAGGGTATGTAATCGCTGCAGTCTTCTCAAGCCCATTGGTAGAGAGCGTAGCAAATTTCCGTGTAAATCTAGAAGCTCGAGCCCCCCAAACTGATTTCCCTTCTCGTCAGCATCGGATTCCAAGTCTTGCACATCCCTATCAGGGAAGGCAGCATCTGGGAGCTCGGTGAATTCGTTGTCTGCTGCGATAAACTTCACGAGATCCACACTTTCATACCACTCTGTGGATGACTCCGGGTCAAAGTCATACATCGCCATTACCTCCTTTGGAAGTTCTGTCAAGGACATGGCGGCAATGTTCAGATGCCCAGACGTACGCCCCGTCTCGATGCGTTTCCGAATAAGTCCGTTTTGAGGATCCTTGGGCCGCTGGTTAAACGGGTCCTCGACGTCAAAGTTATCCCATGTGCTGGCAGGGGACGTATTGACGGTCTGCGCCGCAGCCTTTCTTGCCGCTTTCGCCCTTGCAATACTTTCCCGTAGCGCGCTCGACGAGTTCGAGACCTTTCTTGTCTCCAGCTCAGATTGTTGACTTGGGGTCAACTCAGATGCTGCTTGTTTCGTCGATAACTGTCTCGAGGTTACTGAAGTCGGCTTGGTGCCTGCAGAGGAGTTCACCGGCGTTTTCCGAGTTTTCTTGACTTGGATCGAAGGCCCAGCGTCCGAACTGACACGAGTGGTAGAAGGTTGGCTGAAGAGCGCACGTGGTTTTGGCTTGGTCGGTGTCGTTTCGTCGTGGACGGCGGCTCTAATGGAAGGCTGCTTGAGCTTGGACGGGCTCTCCATAGCCATCGGAGTGGTTACATCGGCAGATGAACCGTTCGTAGACGTCGACGGGCGGGATCTAGATGGAAGCCTCATAGCGGACGAGGGACGGGAAAGATAGTCATTTCCGCTAGGCTGGCGGGACGACGACGACCTAGACGGCGATCGAGAGTAGTTTGTCATTGACGACGGTGGACGAGACGGAGAGCGCATTGGGCTGGTCGCATTGAAAAAACTAGATTGTCTTCTTAAAGGTGCAGGCGAGGGTGGAATTTGCGACAGGGTTTCGATGGTTCGCTCTGAGAGGGAGGGGCGCGTTCGGCCTCGATTGTCTGCATCGTGCATCGGAATTGCGCATTCATCGTTGTCGGCCTTGATGGATGTTGCTCTTGCGGGCTCGGCTTGTTCGCTCGGGATTGTTCCAATCTGGAGGACCTCTCTCTTTTGCTGCTGGCCGTTTGAGGGCTTATCTGGGGATTTGTATTTGGGAAGGGGCTTCTTGAACACGGGCTCCTCCGAAGGGCGTCGCAGCCTGCCAGAATACAGACCAGGATCGGTTTGCAGTTTCTCACGAGACGGAGAGGCGCGGATGGATCTAGACGCGGTAGCAGTCGGCAATGGTAATTTTGAAGCCAGGCGGGGAATCCCGCTGGGCTTGATCAGGGGTTTCTGCTGCCGATCCATTTCAACACCAATCTGACAGCAACGGCTTCTCGCTCGATGGTGGTAGCTGAAGCGTCAAAGAGCTCTCGGGATGGGATGCGGTCGGGGCGTCAAAGGCGAGCAGGGCCCATGGTGCTTGGGAGGGAGAATGTGGTGATTGTCGAAGAAGGAAATCTCAAAATAGATGTGCCTGACGAGAGTTGTAAGAGCTGCGGTTCAATGCGATTGCCGTGGTCGACATAATAGTCGTTAGTTGGTCAGATCGTCTATTGCTTTCTTAATTAATTGTGGTTGTTTACGCCACTCTCTGTGCCTGAGGCTGCCATGCCACTTGGCTTAGTAAAGCAGCCGTCATGCCAGCAGCCAGAGACTAAGGCTCTCAGCACTTCACTTACAACGTTGCAGATTTACTGCGGTCCACTTGGAAAATCAGATTCCGGAGTACTAGACAGAAACAGCCAACCATGAGAAATCAAGGAATATATCAGTGGATGGGCAATATCAGAGTAGGGCTCCCCGATATAGGGTGCCAGCCGTATGAGTAACTAGACTCTGAATGCCTGTGCCAGGTAGCTCGCTACCTACTCCGGAGTAAGTGGGCCCCTATCTCAGGTGCTCCGTGGGATGTACTGCGTACAGCGTAACCACCAGCGCCAGATCGATCACCAGCCCGGACGGAGTGCTCGGTCAGATTCAGGAACCGTTGCCTGAGTTACAGCTTCCCCGACCCATGGGGTTCAGCTTCTGTTTACCTGGACGCTAGCCCAACCCGGCATGGCGGCATTCTGGCGCGCGGCTGGGCTCACGTGGGCCCCGGTGGCTGGACGTGGTTGGTCGAGGCGAAGGGATCGCAAGCGACTTCCCAGCCTCCCGATGTGCGAAACTCCCGCCGGTTGCAACATCCTTAAGGCATCAAATCAGCCTCTCCTTGCTTTCACATCATATCCATCTTTCATTCCGATTCCTCCTGCCCTTACTTCCATCCCCCTTTCCCCTTACTCCTCCCGGATTTTCCACGAACCTTCCATACTACTCTACTCGGTCGTCTGCCGGTTTGTTTCGGATCGTCTTCTTATCAACTGCTGTCAACGTGCCCTATCAGTGATAAGCCGTCCGACCTAGCTGTTGTCGCAAACCGAAACACAGACCCCGTTCCGATTGCCTGATCGTCGCATTTAACTCACCAGGCCCCGACTGGATATCGGACGCCATCGCAAAGAGAGTGAGATTGATTACCGGCCTCCGGTATGCGCTTGACCGCCCTGGGACTGCTATCTCGTGCGATTCATTGATGCCGATGTTGCTAACTACCTCTCAGTGCGACAATCCCCAGCGTCGGACTTGATTCCTTCGCTACCCCAAACACCACTCTTTAGTTCAATAGACCATGTCACAAGACAGCGAGACCCGGCTGTCGCAGACGTCTCTAGCTCCCCCGGCAGAGATATCTGCTCCTGCTACCCCTGTTCACCGTTCGAACCTTTCCGCTTCTCCGGAGCCGAACGCAAGGGCGGAGAGCCTTGCTTCACGCTCCGAGAAAAGTAAATTTCTTTCGCCGCCAGCGCTGTCTTCATCGGATATGACCCCACCACCCTCCTCCCAAGTTCCACCGGCTCCCTCCCGAAGGTCAGGGTCCCGATCTGGCTCGTATCTTGCATCTCCACCAGATCTCGAGAAGACCCTCTGCGTCGCCTACGGGGCTTCCGAGAACCTCCCAACTGCCGAGGAAATCGGTGCTGCAGACGAACCCGGACTGCGTACAATTGCTAAGGAATTGCTGGGCGTAGCCCAGGAGGCCCGGATGTCAGCACTGCATTTCAAGCTGCAGAATAGCCTTTTGTCTTTTACGAGCAATGAAGCCATAAAACGTGCTGAGGTCGAACATCAGTTAGCCCGAAGAGAGGTCGAGATCCTCCAGAGCTCGGAGTATCGCAGTCGGCACTCTGAAACCAAACCGCTCCAGCCCATAGCCAACGTGGAATTGGAAATTGCCCTCAAACGTATCCAAGACCTCGAGGGAGCCAATGCTACATTGGACCGAAGACTTCGCCGGTCCAAGAAACTTATCGAACAGGAAAGAGAAAAGTCGGATCGGTTGGTGGAGGAAAACTGTTTGCTGAAGAAGCGCATCAGGGATAACCGTGAACACTTTTCGTTGATGATTGAGAATGGCTCATTGTCCCCCAGTCCGCAAACAGAAATCCAGACCCCTCATAGAAGACTCATGCCGCACTTCACGGATGACAGCCAGCACCTTATGAGCCGAGGAGACAGCAGCAACCCGTTTGCCGCTCTTCTGGCCGCCGATCGGGTTCTCAATCGAGAATCATCCAACATCACTTCTACCCCAAATCGGTTCCGCGTCCCGAAACACGATGCAAGTGGACATTTTCGTGGATCTCATTCGCTGTCGTCTCTTCCCATGACGCCCGCCCGCTCTCGAAACAATCGCCAGGAAATTCAATACCAGACCCCGGGAGGGGATTCATCTGAAAGGAACCGCGACAGGGACAGCACGATCTCCGCATCCGATATTGAGGAGGCTGAAACCGAGGAAGATATTCCCGTTTCTCACGCTGGTGCTTTGGCGACCCGCATGTTTTATCGCAACAATCTCCCGACAAATCGCCAGGATGGTCGAAGCGTGGGAAATGCACCTAAGTCCAGCACTCTTCTTCAGACGAAATTGTTTGGTCAGGTCAAGAAATCCGGCGTTGAGCGTTCGCCGAACAATCTTAAGCGTAAGGCAAGTTTTGACGGTGCGGGTTCAAAGAAAGCGAAAGCTGAGGAAAGAGTGGGTCTCGGTATTGGCACTTGGAACAGTAACGATACGAGTTAGTGCATGAGTTCTTGTGCCTTTCTAATTCTGCCGCTATTTGCGATGGAGACCTGGAGTTTTAGGACAGGATTGGACGATTCAGGCCTAGTTTCTTTGGCGTCTGGTCCATGTATATCTGATCCTGTGTTTTGTTTGGATTCAACAATCAGTTACGAATGATGACATGTAAAGATGATGAATGCAACGGAGTTTGGTTTTTTTTTTGCTTTTGCTTTTTATTTTTTCTTGTTATTGTCCTCTTCCCTAGGTGATGATCTTCTACCTGGTATAAATTGGATTGGCAGTTTGCACCCACCAGGACGTTCCTGCTTACTAAGCGTTGAGTCAACTCGCGCAAAAGAGCACGACGGGAACCCCCTTGAGCAGGTCACCACCACAAAGACCATATGATAAGGGTGGGAAAAATCGGTAGAAAAAAAAAACAAGAAGGAAAAAGAAACAGCCTGTAGTGATAAGTAGTATTATAGTCCTGGCCTCGAGCCATTACTACTGAGACTCGCGGTACTCCGAAGCGCCACACGTAGCAGCGAAAAGCTGGCCGGCCATTCCGCATTGGGCAACCAGGGTAGGGCTCGCTAAGCGAGGCGGTGCGGCTCTGCGCGGCCACACCAAAAAAGTTCCACCCCAATATTGAAACGAGGAGTTTTGAGATCCGACCAGCAACCACCCACGACGACGACGACAATCTCCCGGCTTTGATCCCCATCCGTCACAATGGTGCGTTTAGGAACCCCCTCGATTTGATATTTGTATCGGCCTGTCGAAAATTGAATATTGGACAAATTGGATGGTCTAGTTGGAAAATGCTAACGAACCCTCTTCGGTGGCGTATAGGCGATCAAGCACAACAACCAGATTCTCAACCAGCGTGAGTACACAAGCATAACCCATTTTTTACCTTGATAATCGAAGACTCTGTTCGGAACTTGGGACTGACAAATTGCTCTATAGATTTCCGCAAGGACTGGCAGCAACGTGTGCGCGTGCACTTCGACCAGGTACGAATTCGAAGCACATCTTCCCACCCAAATCGCATCGCAAACGACTCGTTGCAACAAGACTTTCGACGGCAACGCTGGCAATGGAATTTTCGCATTATGGGAGACTGACTGATTGGGATATTATAGCCTGGCCGCAAGCACCGCCGTCGTGAGGCCCGTCTCGCGAAGGCCGCCGCCGTCGCTCCCCGCCCGGTTGACAAGCTGCGTCCCGTTGTGCGGTGCCCTACCGTCAAGTACAACCGCCGGGTTCGTGCTGGCCGTGGTTTCACCCTGGCCGAGCTGAAGGTAAAATTCGCCCCGCGTTTTCCCGGATATAGTCAGAGTTGGAATATACAATATGGCAATCCGTCTCGGAACAGAAGCTCACAGGTTGTTCTTGTCTTTTCGCTCAATATAGGAAGCTGGTATCCCCAAGAAGCTCGCCCCTACCGTTGGTATCGCCGTCGACCACCGCCGTGTCAACTACTCTAAGGAGTCTCTGGCCGCCAATGTCGCTCGTCTCCAGGACTACAAGGCCCGCCTGATCCTCTTCCCCCGCAAGAGCGGTCAGTTCAAGAAGCTTGACTCGTCTGCCGACGAGGTCAACGCTGCCAAGGCTGCTTTCGCTGCTGAGGGCAAGACCGAGGGTTACGCCACGAGCGTCGGTGCTACCTTCCCCGTCAAGAACCTCTCTCCTGAGGAGGCTGTCACCGACGTCAAGCGTGACGACCTTCCCAAGGGCGAGGAGGCCGCTTTCCGCCGGTTGCGTGAGGCTCGCAGCGAGGCTCGCCACAAGGGTATCCGGGAGAAGCGTGCTAAGGCTAAGGCCGAGGAGGATGCTGCTGCCAAGAAATAAATGTGATTTCCAGATAATGATGAATGGGGTCTGTTTTCACGCCGGGAACTAGTGTACTGTGGCATGGCGTAGCGCCGCTTTTCTCTTATTACCTTTGTCCTTAACCCAAAAAGCTCCGGTCCTCTCGAAATGCAAATGTCCCACTTTTACGTTACACTATGGGGGTTTAATGGCAACGTACGCCTGACTTTCGGTGTTTTGAAGATGCATCCAACTGCGTCTTGGGCATGGGGGTTTTCGAGAACGAGCCTACGGGAATGTAGATTGGTCTTGGATTTTTGTCGAATCGATGGATGAGTATTTGGTAGACGCTCAAATAATCTTGGTTAGCGAAGAAATGAAATAATATGAATATTCGCAGCTGAGCGTTGTTCGTCAATATCCCAATTTCTGGGGCTTCGATCCTCTTCAATACGGTAATCAAACGGCTCAGATTGGACCAAAAGACGTTGGCCGGGGCGATCACCAATTTTGCGCCCAATCCCACGCACGACTAGATAGATCTTAGCTAAATGTTTCCACGTAGGCACGATGTCGTGAAGGCGCAAATTTCCTAGCGGCCTGGGCCATCTATGAAGTAGGTAGACATGTTTTATTCATGTGCGGAGACAGCATCATCGCAATTCATCCTTGGAGGGCAGACTTGCACCAACACCAAACAAAGCGCCAAGAACATGGTTAGCGGCCTCGATAATCGCATTGGCATCAACATCACCTGCTGATTCTGCCGGACCAACGGTATTCTCATGAATGACGGCATTGAAAAGATTCTTAGCCTCCTGTTCTGTTTTGCCCCATACAGAATCGTTGGCAATTGAAGCACCCGAGATAGTAAGACCTGGGGTCAATTGGGGTTCGCATGCCCATTCATCAACGCTGATTTCGCATGAAAGAATGACTTTTATCGTTCTTTCCTCTGATCCAAAAAGCATAGATGTACGCTGAAGATGGGGTAGGATTCGGCGCAAATTTGCCACCGTGAGATTCCCCATCATGCCTCGCAAAGGTATATCTTGACTGTCGCTGGGTTCTTCCGTAGTAGTTCCTTCATTCATGCCTGATTTGCCGCGAAGCAAGGCTGTATGGCGATCTTCAAGCCGTAACCATACGTAGGCGCGCGACAAAACCGCTTCCCAGTACCGGTTGATGCCCCAGCAGAGGCCCGACACGTCCAATTTCAGCAAAGGATTCTCTAATCGGGAATTGACCCAACGTTGTAAGTATTGGGGCACCGTGCCGTTGACGGTCTCCGGTGCTGCTACCGAAACCACAGCCTGGGTTTCGAAGTTGGTCTCGTAGATCAAGGATACACTGTAGAGCTCGGGCGGGAAAGGGGGTGGCACGGAAAACGTCAAGCTATGTCTCTCCACAAAGGCGGACTTCGGAACAGTTACAACATCCGAGTTTGTCTTAAGAGATAACGGGGCAAAAACCGTGAGGTGCGGTTTTCCGTGAGCAGCTGCACTGAGGGCAAAGGGATTTGGTGGAGAAGTCGGTGCGGGGGTCGGTAAAGAAACAGTTGAAGAAAATGGAAGCAATGTCGAGATAAGTGAGGATAAGGGTATATCGGGGGGACACATGGCAGCATCTGTGATGGTAGGAAATTCGGATGCCAGTAAGGAGGTCCTGGATTATCAGCGAGCCACGTTAGACAAACCGAACATGGGTGAATAACACTTACATTATTTTGCTCACATCAAGCTCTGGAAGGCCATCATGCTGGCTGAGATCCACTGACCAACACTCGAGGTCTGCAATGTGTTCTTTGAGCTGTTTCGCCTCTGCAGTAAGCTCCTCTCTCAATCTTCGCTTTTTTGAAACAGGCTCCGGAAACCGTACTCGGGGGACCGCCGAGGCCGACTCGACTGCTTCTGCGCCATCATCGACATTTCTTAGCTTTGACGGACTTTGGCCTAGGAGATCGGCTGTTTGCCGCCTTCCCAATCGTTGCGTCGTAGGACTGCTGCTTAGAAGCCCTCTGGATCGCCCCGCAAGCTTCTCCAGTCCCAGCTGAGTAGGAGTTGGAGGCAGATCGGGTTCTTCAAACTCCTCGTCCAGGGCCGGCGGATTCCAGTTTCTACTCCGATCATTTCCACCGGTGGCGCTGCCCAACTCAAGCGCCAATTGATCCTCGGGGGTATTCATGACCCCCGCATCCGGCTCGTCTTTTTTTACTCCTGCTGGAGACGGGAATGCTAAATCCGATGGACCGATCCTTCTTGAAACTCGTCTTGGCGGCGCAGCAAATGCCTGCAGGCCGATGGACCTTCGGCTCGAACGCGATACAGGCGATGGGTTGTCATGGTTGGGGCTTTCCATTGGACTCGCAGTTGACGGCAATGAGGGCCGCAGAGCCTTTCGGTCGCGCAAGCCCAGCATTTTCGATCTGGATTGGATTTGCCGGTCGTTCGAATTATGTCTACTGGGCGATCTTCGCGAGGTCGAGGGCGGGGCCCTCTTACTGAGACTCTGGTCGGAACCTTCAATGGGAGATTTCGCGAAGCTTGCCTTGGTCGGCGCGTGGTATGGGACACGGTCAAGAGAACGCCCTTGGGGCGGCGGCGGAAGCGGAGGGTTCATTCGCAACGCATCGACGGGAGGGGTGGCGCTCGTCCTGCTGGGATATGCAGATGGGCAGAGCGACGCCGGAGGAAGTCCAGGAGGGCGCGTTTGTTGACGTCCGGCGAGCCCGGTTTGCTTCGTTTGCTTCGTTTGCACGGCGACTTGAGCCATGACATAATCGGCCCTCGGAATCACCGCCGCCCGCCGATTCTTTCCCAACCCCTCGGCCAACAACCACGATGGACTCTCGCTTGGTCCTGTCAGGCCCGTCGCTGGCCAGCAGAGCTGTGCCCTTGGTGGAGCCAAGACCTCGACGTTTGCCCTTCCCTCGACCTGCGTTCGTCGGTCAGCGACATGTCTCCACCCCGTCGCTCCGTCGCATGGCCAGCCACGCAAAGGCCACGCCCCAAGGCACCGCGCCGGGCCTGAATGACTCCGCATCATCATCCCAAGCATTCCCCCTGTCCGGCTACTACTATGACATTCTCTCGAGCAGCTCTCCATATCGAGGGCAAGCGTCTTCCTCACGGCCCGTTCCTGGGCAATCTACCGCAAAAGCATCCCCCGCGGCTACCGTCGAGCCTCAATCCCCACAGGACAAAATGTCCATTGTATTCGGTACGCGACTGGCTGGTCCCGGTCGTTCTTCGCGCTACGATCCCGGGAACACGGCGCCGGAGTCCACCTGGAAAACCGTGAACGGCGTGGCGATTCCTCCGCGACCCGAGGAGCCTGATAATTGCTGCATGAGTGGCTGCGTTCATTGCGTATGGGATGATTTCCGCGACGACATGGAGCAATGGGCCGCACGAGTCGAGCAGGCCAAGGCCAAAGACACCCCGCAAGGACCGGCGACGGAAATGCGCCATAGGCCCAGGACGGAGGTCAATACGGCCAGTACGAGCATGGATGACGATGGCGGTGGCAGCGACACGAATTGGCCCGTTCCTGATCAGACGGAGGATGTCTTCGCCAACATTCCAGTAGGGATCCGGGAGTTCATGAAGACGGAGAAGAAGTTGAAACAGAAGCATCGGCAAGAAAGCGCCTCGTCCTGACTCATTCCATCCCCAAGCATGGTCAGGGTACGATTACCTGGGGAGTTTGGTTGGATAGAGCCATAGATTATTTAGTATATTAGATGCATGTATATACCATTGCCAATTCAATGATGCAACGAACAAGATAGGATACTCAATCCACCGAGATCTCGCAGTAGGTGGTGGATCGGTCGTGATTTGTTCCGCGAAACTCGGTCCTGCAGCGCCAAGACCGCCTAGCCTGCCCATTTCTCCTCCTCTGCGGAGTCCCTTTGGTATCAACTCTACGGAGTTATTCCCATCGTCTATCCTGGAGGGGGCCCTGTCAGAAAGTTGACAATGTCCTTCGACTCCATATTGCTGAAATGCGAACCTACCCGGTAATTAGTTACTCACCAATCCTTCTTATTCTTGCACTATCAGCTTCTCTCCGGAGAACCAGTTGCCGCTGTAACTAACCTTGACTTTTTTTTTTTTTTTTGGCTTAGAATCCCAGGAGTATCACCCGGTCTTCTCAGCATCGCGTCTCACTGAGCCTCGCCCAAGCGCGCTCTACATGGTCCCTCGTTGGTGCCCATTTCCAAAGAAGATGCAGATCCACAATATTTCTCGGTATCGGCGGGACGTTGGGTACTACACCATGGCAATCACCATCATGCAAATGGAGATCCACCCCAGATCCAACAAAAACTGTTCGAGGGGCTTCCACCCAAGCCCAGATACAAGCCCCCGGAAATGTGGCGGACCTAGAGAACAACGCCGAGGTTTCCATAGTTGGAGGATCGCCGAAACAAGGCTCGCGGAGGCGTAGAGAGCCGAGGCGTTGGGGAAATTTGCCCTTTGAGAGCTACGAATATAACGGACTAGGGGACTTATTTTTGATCAGCCCGAAGCAAAGTCTGGAGGCGAATTTTGTGGATCTAGGCCTCGTAAGCCTCAATGTGACCCATTCCACACCCCATAAGGGCCTTCATCGTTGTTTTATCACGTGCAAGATAACGCACACCAAGGAGGAGCTTACGCACAATGAACTGGGTCAGAACAAAGTATGGACGGTTATTTATCCAAAATATTTCCCTCGAAACTCGGACTGACTGACGTGCATCAGGAAATCGCAGAACATCGGACCGCATATTCTCTGGTAGCAAGACTTCACCGTTGCGGCACACTAAGGGAGCTCGTAACCCTCAGGGACAGCCTAGTTGGGGAGAAGCCGGATGAGGATCCGCGACTCAAGAATAGGCGGCAATTTTTGAAGCTACTGCTTGATGATGATGTTCTCACTGCCATGCATAGATCCTTACGAGATTTGAGGAAGTGTTTGCCCATTGGCAGCAGTGAATGCAAAACGCAACCCTATCAAGATCAAAAATTATACTTAAGCTCGAAGGATCCCAAGGAGGAACGAGAAATGCACCGGCAGCTGAGACCAGTCCCACTTGCACGTCGAAGGCCGGGATACCAATTACCAGTCGGCCAAAGGTACAAGGAGGTTTCTGACATCATTGAGAACAACACATACTCTCTCATCGCAGCAGATGCAGGCTCGGGCAAGTCAACTCAAATACCACAGATATTGCTTGACAACGCCATATCCACGGGGTCAGGATCTAAATGCAGAATTATCTGTGTCCAACCCCGCCGAATCGCCGCCGTTTCGCTTGCCCATCGAGTTGCCGAAGAACGAGGTCAGCAAGTCGGTCATGATGTGGGATATCGTGTTCGCTTCCAATCCCGATACTCCTCCCGAGGCAGAACGATCAAATATTGTACCACAGAACACTTTCTCAATCTACTGCACAATCAACCGACTTTTCTGGATTCAGCCACCCATATAATACTTGACGAGGTCCACGAGCGAGATGTTGCGCTTGACTTGCTTATGCTTACGGTGAAAAAGATGATCAAACAGCGTCAAGCAACTGGAGCGCCTGTGCCGAAGGTGACCGCGATGAGTGCAACTTTAGATGCCGGCCTGTTTTCTTCATACTTCCAAAATCAGTCAGACAACGGCACTCTTTCACCAGCTCCATGCCTCAGGATTCCAGGTCGCACTTTCCCGGTCGATAAACATTATCTTGATGAGATCTTCGAGCCTCTGTCGCAGACCTATTCGGCCGAAACATTATGGTCGTTGTATGGCGAACCCTCGACAAGACGTTTCTTGGCCCAGCATGACTTCCACCTGGAAGCAAGTACGGAGGAATACACGCAGGCGACTGTCAAGATGCCCTCTTCACCTGAGGTCACATCTCGCGATTGGGATGACACGGTTCCCATTGGCTTGATATGTGCTGTTGTCGGCCATATACTTTCCACCACGAGCGGAGGCTCCATTCTGGTCTTTCTGCCTGGTCTTCGTCATATCACGGGCGTAGAAAAAGCTCTCAGGATGTATGGGGAGCTTCTTGGCCGCGACTTCACCGATACTCGTCGGTATCGCATTCTGCCACTGCATTCCAGTCTCCCCAAGAGCCAAGACCAGGCATTCGAAATGGGCCCGCCCGGTTGCCGCCGAATCATCCTGTCTACAGATATTGCCGAAACCTCTGTCACCTTGCCGGATGTGAGGTTCGTGGTTGACACCGGAAAAGTAAATATGAGTATCTACGAGCCGCGGGAAAGGTCTAGCCATCTTACCTGCTGCTGGGCCAGTCAGTCCAGCGTTGCCCAACGCGCAGGAAGGGCGGGAAGAGTACAAAGCGGGGAGTACTTTGCCCTGTTCACCAAGGAAATGTACGATACGTTTCGAATCACCCGCCTTCCTGAAATAAGGCGAGCCGATTTGCGGCGGGCGTGCCTGCAAGTGAAGAAGGCAGGCTTCGGCACTTCTATCCAGGACACGCTGCAGGAGGGCATTGAACCGCCGGATAAGCGTCATGTCGATGGCGCAATCCAGGATCTCAAGTTGCTGGACGCTTTGGGTGAACGGGAGGAGCTCACCGTTCTGGGGAACGCCATCGCCTCGCTGCCCATAGGCCCAACCCAGGCGAAATTGGTTCTACTAGGCATCATTTTCCGCTGCCTCGAACCTCTCTTGATCATGGCAGTACTTCCCGGAAACGGTTCTTTATTCTATTCAACGGAAGACGTCGAGAAGCAACAGCAGATACGGCAGGCTCGTGAGGACTTTTCGCAGAACACGTGGAGCGATCACTTGAGTGCCGTGAACGCCTATATCGCGGTGCGGGATGAGCTACATCAATCGGGTCGCTCCGAAGCTTTCAAATTTGCCTTGTCAAAGGGCATATGCTTCGATCGATTCAGCGAAATGAATTCTGCAGCCCACCAGGTGCTTCGTCGGCTAGTTTCCGAAGGACTCATTCCGCAGTCTTCGATGCGCTACTTGCGGTTTGGGGGCCGTGCTTTGAACGTGAATTCACACCGCGTTCCTCTTATCAAGGCCCTGTTGTTTCATACGCTCCACACCAATATCGCTGCTCCGCACCTGGACTTGTCCGGGCGCTATCGAACGAAAACAACCGGGCGAGTTCTTGTGGCCTCGAGCAGTGTCAATGGCCGCACGCGTCCAACAAGTCTGCTGGTCTTCGATGCAAGTTCTGTTCCCTCCAGTGGCGGATCGATTTCGTTTCTTTGCAACACCTCGCACATAACTCCACTCATCGCCTGTCTGTTGGGCGGGCGACTTCAAGGCACGGACGAGACAGTGTATCTAGATTCATGGCTGGCCTTGGAAGTAGAAAACAGCGGAGGATTAATGGGCAATCACGCGGTCAAACTCTTAATCGAGCTTCGCAAGGCCCTCGAAGTGGTACTCTCCCCCTCTTTCGGTTTCAGTTTGACTCTTGGGCGAAACTAACATTCCGTCGCAGGCAATTACCACCGCTCTGGATGCCTTAGTTCGACGCGAGCGTTGGTCCCATGCAGTGTCGCCTAAGGCAGGTGGCCATATCTTCCGAACAGTCTCGAAGGCTCTCGTTGATGTCCTGGACCTAGATTCCGACCTCGTCTATGATCAGCGGCAGAAGGACGCCTCCAGATAGGCGTGGAGGATGACAGGAACTCTGGGTGCTCGACCATAGAATTGTAGAATAGCTCAAGTCGGTCCTTTGCATCGTTCACTCTGCCGTAGTCTTACATAAGCCGTCTCGAGTGGGCTCGTTCTGCCGTCATCCGCCGCCCTGGCGCTTCTGGACCGAAAGATCCCAAGGAGCACTCAAGCAACAACCCACAAGACCGGCCGAAGCATCATGTCGATGTCCAGGAGTGAAACGGATATCATCCTCAATAAAGCTAATGTTGCCTTGGCCCGCAGTCAACGACTCGTTGCCTCGTGGCTTCCTCCGCAGACGTCAGAGGAACTCGCCAATCTAAAATCCGAAGAAGAGCTGCAACGGGAGGAAGATGAGATTTTTACCGCGGTGCCGGAAACGTACGTTGGTGCTCCGTATGTGCCCATGTTCGCAATGCCGACTGACGCGTGTCCATGCTACAGACTAGGAATCGGTGCTCCCTTGCCGACCAAGGCGGCCGATGGCAGTTGGAATCGCACCGAACTGGACTCCAATGACAAGCTACGGAAACAGCTTCTCGGCAAGAACTACAAAAGAGTCGTCGCTGCTAGCGCAGGCGCCTCCGCTACCGTAACCCCCGGCAAACCAGGCACTCGCGCAAATCCCGGTCCCAGCGCGAAGGAGCTGGATGATGAGGATGGGCACGATGAGGACGAAGGGCGGACAACATCAGTTGGAACGAGCCAACGGCGATTGAAAAAACGGAAAGCGGCTCTTGAGGGCAGTCACAACCACCATGAGGTGGCTACCAGCGCGGGCGAAGGTCAAGAAAATATCACTTCACCCCAGGAGGGGGCCTCACCGCGACAACCCCCAAGGTCCAAGTCAAACAAGAAGGCCACAAGCTTTCTGGATGAGATCCTTGCAGACCGATCGAAGCGGAGAAAGAAAAAATGAACCCGGGTGTTGGTTCCTTGATTCGATTCTGTTATCATTATACCCAGTAAGTTGTTGACAAGCTCATGGAGGACGATAGACAAATCAAAAATTGCACGTATACATATGTCCATGTATATATAAATATATAGAAAGAAGTGAAGCCAATCCCTTTCCCCTTGTCAACTAATCGATAAGGATTCGGCACACCAAAAGTCTAAGTGGGCACCGCTTTGCTGTACCCCAGAGATGACTATAATTTGACAGGACATGTACGCCGTAGCAAATCAAGTTCTTGAAATGCCATGCCTTGCACTTGCCATCATGCAAGATTGTCGGAGGACCTCAACGTTCGGACTGGCCAAAAATGGTGATCAGTGTGGGCCCAAAATGTGCAAAAGGATTTCCAATGGTCGTGAGAAACCAAACCGCCAAAATAGACTGTACAAGAGATATCCCATCCAGAGAAATAGAACGAATACAACAGGACGGTCAGTTTGCATCCTGATGCAATATATCACACGACAAGATACAAAAATCGAAAGAATAGAGAGCGAGAAAGGGGGGATTTGGGAAGGGGAAGAGGGATAAAAAGAAGATGAAAATCGATCGTCTGTTTTTCTTCCCACTGTTGCGCCATGACTGGAAGTTAGCCACATCCTCAGCATCACGGATATCTTTTATCCGCTTCGAATTAATAGTAACGAGCTGTTTTCGCAAGGGAGGAACAAAAAGAAGAATTGGTAGGTGATTGAACGGGAGAACAAGAAAAAAAAGTTGAGAACTCCTTATTCCAGTCGCTTCCGTTTCCTGTCATCCGCCATCGCGTGTTGATCTTCGTCTGGCCTTTCCGCGGTATCGGCCGGGTTTAATAGCGAGTGTACATTGCTAGCCATACTGGAACGTCGGGTCGCTGGCAGGGACGATTCATGCCGAGGGAACCTGGGACCTCCCAATGGCCAGCCGTGGTCGGCGTTGGGGGTGGAGACTATGTGGTCTGGGTGTAAAGGCGGCGTGGCATGGCGCGATGTCTCCTGGAAACGACGGGGTGCACCCATTTCATACTGTGCTAAAACTTCCCGGACCTGCTGCTCAGTGGATGTCGGAGTCCGGTGCGGCGACGGGGACCACGGTGCCGCAGCCGACCCTGCTGGCTGGTGACCCGACGCGAATGGAGACACGCCCGGCGGTGGCCAACCGTGTTGCCGAATATCTGCAGAGGTATGCCGACGAGCCAAGTTGGGCCCCGGTGGAGAGGACACGGAGGAAAGAGGATGAGGCATCGGCTGCTGGGGAGGGATGGCAGGCGGGACGGGAGGTCTGTTGTAGCTCGGCGAAGAATTTCCAGCACCAATCGAGCCATAACGACGGGGAGAAACAGCCAAGTGTGGGGGTACTGGCGGACGGATGATGTTAGGCCTGCTAGCATCCAGCATCGAAGGCCGGCGGGAATCTTCCTGGGGCATTTGGCGCGGAGACAGCGGCGGACCTGGGTCGACTGATACGGTAGGAATATAAGGCGGGCGGACGGCAAGATACGGGTCGGGGGGCTGTTCGAGGGCTCGTACAGCCTCTAGGTGTTTCTCCAACTCTGCTTGCATGCTTGACACATCCCGATACAACAGCCCTTCACGGTCAGGTATCATTCCCTGTAGGAACCGTGAGATCGAATGGGTCCAATGATAGCATCGCACCAGGCTCTCCGCCATGGATTGATACCGGGCGTTAAGTGCCACATTTCCTTCCTCCGCCCGGGTCAGGCGATTATGCATGTCATATAAAGAATGCTCTAGGTTCATCAGTCGCGCCTCGGTGGCATCGGGAACAGGCTCGGCCGGGGTGCCAGGCTGAGAAACGGCTGGCTTATGGCCAGGGAACGAATCGCGGTGGATTAATGCGTGTCGAGATGCCCGTCTTTTGATTTCTCGCAGTCCATTTAGATCACCGCGTTTGAAATTGCCGTTCCCATGTTTAAATTCCCACAGGGCTGAATCTGGGGACCCGGTATGAAAAACATCGCTCACTGGAAGATCACTACATCAGCAACGGCCCCTCTGGTCTCCGTCCTACTCGGTGCTGTATGCACATACCTTTATGGAATCCATACATGTTCAGTTGCCTGACGAAGGACGAAATATTGGTGTGTTTGAAATATTGTCTGGCCAGCCAGTGTTAGCGAGTCGGTCATTGCTGACGAGGAGTACAGCGTAGGCCGGAGGGAAAACGCACGCAAGAACTTTTGAGAATTCGGATGTAGGAGACATGACAAAGCTGTCGTTGGTATTGGACCACGAAATCAGGTGCTGGATACTAGGGTCCTCTAGCATACTGTCAAGTATCGTTAGCAAGCCTTTTCCTCGACAATTCCTTCCATTGGAATTCAGTCGGACACGAATCGATGGACGTACTTGTAAAGCTTGTGGATAAAAGCGGTTTGCACAACCTTGGGTTGCTGGGCAGCAGCGGCAGCCCCAATAGCCTGATTCGGGGCTGCATGGTTATTCACGTTGCCAGCTTCAGAAGAGCCATTGGAGGCAGCGACAGCGTTTGCGCCTGCTCGATCACTATCGGGGCTGCTGTGGATCGGGGGACCAGCGCCTGTCGCCGCCGAGGCATGTGGAGTGAGTTCCATCGGGTCGCCCGTGGACGGAGCGGACGAAGGAGGAACGGAGGAAGAAAGAACAGGAAGCTTTCGTGTCTTGCCGGGCGCATCTGTAGCACCAGAAATCCCAGTGTTTCTTGACGGGGGATCGGCGAGGCCGCTCATCTCGCGCGGCGGAACAGGGGGGAAAAAAAGGGTAACGGCCGGGGGGCCGCAGGAGTGGAGGGAGAGGCCGGGTTGCGTTCCCTTTTTTTTCTCTCTCCTTTTTTTTTTATTTTTTTTTTCTCTCTGGAGACACTGGAGGGCCTTCCTCTCTGCAGGAAGCGGCACAGAGAGTCGATGAACGACACGAAGGGCAAAAGGGAACGAGGGCAACGCGATCAAAGAGCACTCGTGGAAGCCAGGCGAACGTGGGAAGATGGAAGATTATCACGGAGTCTGGGCCAAGAGGGCGCTGATCAACACCTAAGAAGAGTCTCCGCTTCCCGAATCATTGCGAGTCCGTCGTCCAATTTAGCAGACTTATTCTTCGGATTCTGTTGGCGCCCACTGCGGTAATCGAAATTGAGGATTGATCGTTTGATTTCTTTCTCCTTCTGTGTTGTTTCTCTGTCTCTGAATTTAATTTTCTCTCTCGCTCAATCCGAGACCGGAAAGGCGGTCGTTCTCCGACAGAAGACTCAATCTGTTCAGCCGCACCGGAATTGCGAGACAATCGCCCTCGCAACCGCAGTCGTAACAATCAGGATAACGGGATAATTGGTCGAGAGCAAATAGGTAGGGAACTGGGGATCGTAGACCTGGTCCTTCCATGGGCCAAATCTCCGTATCGTATCCAGCGATTTGTAAGAACGTAGGTAGAGATAGAATACAATCCAAGAAGTGGGGGAAGACAACGATGGAGGGCGAAATGGCCAGGGAAGGGGAAGGGGAAAAAGAGAGAGGAAGCCAGAGAAGGAAGAAAGAAGTCGAAGAGCGGCATGGATCACGAGGCCGGTCTGGAACCTGCGTCGAACCGCCCTCTCTCTCTCTCTTCTTTTCCTCCGCTTCCTCCTTCTCTTTCTTCTCGCTTCCTGTCCGTCGATGATGTCCGCCCTTTCAATCTACTAGAACAATGGACTCGGATGTTCGAGAGATTCTCGATCGATTCGAGAACCTTGACGCCCCTGCTCGACGACTCGTGTAAGCGCTTGATCATCGCTCTCGGACATTGTGTTATTGCTAGCCAGTCCTGATCCTTTCCCAGCTATCGCCATGTTCTGATGCAACTGCGCCTTCACGAATGGCGCGATGTGCGTGACCATGTGGATCGCATCTCCTTCCACAAGGATATTCTGGGTGCACTGCCTCCAGAGCTGGCCATGCAAATTACCAGATATTTAGGTCTGTCCGAATTACATGTTCTCCAAAGAGTATCTTCATTCAGCTGTCACCCGCCCGGCCAATTCGTCTTCAAACTGATTCCAAGTCCAAACAGGTCTCTAAAGGTTGGTATTCGCTGCTGTCTTCTGATCTGGTTCGCGACGCCGCGTTTCGCCGCTATACCGGACGCAAGACCGACTCCGCCGCCGCCGGGGCGCTGGACAAATTCTCCGCGTATGCACGACACCGGACTCGCTTGGAGCGCGGACAGCCCGTCTGGAAAGCTCACTTTCCAAACTACCAGCCGTTGCCGAAAACGTCGGAAGTGTCGACCCTGGATTACTGCAATGGACGCGTTGCATGGATCGACGAAGGTGCCACCCTTGTCGTCCACAATCTGCGCACCCGTGCGACTCATTACTTTTGCACAGAGAACCGAGATTTCTTCGTTGGCGTGCGACTTTCGGACCGCATCATCGGAGCAACTAGTCCACGTGGGTAAGGGCCAATACATTCCCCTGGTGCATCACCTCGTGGTCAACTTGACTGACATGGTTCTGGTAGAAACTGTCACATCTGGGATCTTCACTCCGAGGAGTCGGCATGGTTTCGCCTGCCCTCATTACAGTATAGATTCTTCGTAGCCAGCGGAACAAGCGTAGCATTTTCCTTCTCTGATGGTTTGCCCAACGGGGGTTACGTCCTCCATTGGGAATTTATGTCCCACGCTGCTCGAGCGATCGATATAGCGCCAAATTTGGGCTACATGGCATTGAACGCCGCCGCGAAAACCCTTACTACAGTCCACCTCGAGGCTTCTTACGGCCAGCTGCGAGTTGAAAAGCACTTGCTTGATGAACCTACCCTCCAGGAACGAGAACAATTGCCATCTTATACCCTTGATCTACCACTCACCGAGGATGACAACCGATGTGTGGAAATAGGCTCTCCGGACGAAGGCTCGAGTTTCAGTGACCGCATGGGGATCTTCTCTATCATGACAACTGAAGGGCAATCTCTGGCGACGTGCTCTGTCGTTGTCGTCTCTTATGATCCACGCACAGACCAAATAGACTTGCATGTCTTACATCCTAAACTCGCACCCTTTTATCCATTATGCATGACCGCAGTCGACCAGAACATTCTGTACTATTTAAGGAACGATGACGGCAAACCTCAGATCTCCATCTCCAATCCTACCGCCACGGTTCCCCACCGGCTTTCCAAATACATGAACCTCCAGCTGCCGCGCGAGGCAACCAGTAGGGTTTACTCCCATATCACTTGCTTTGCTCTCCGGGGAGATCGTGAATGCACCCTGATGATCGATGAGAATGGGCTGAAAGTGTGGTCTTTTAACGAAGCCTGTCCGAGTGGCATGTAACTGATAGATGGAGAGATTCTCTTCTTGTGTTCTTGTTGGTGAGCTCGGCTTCGCTTGATCATTTGCTACTATCAATGGCCGTTGGTATCAACATCGGGTCTCCAAGGGGATCCAAGAATAAAGAGAAAAGAATACATTTAACACACACATACACACACAAAGAAAAGCAATGAACCTAGAAATGGACAATATACAGAACCATCAATGCTCTCTATGACAGTGCCTCCAGCTTTACCCCAACGTTCCATCTAATTCAAGCCAATTCCATTATTATCCAGATCCCACCCTTCCCGTAACCTCATTCGCTGCAAACCAATTTCTAGGCACCAGAGCACGCTGGACACCCCGGTTGAAACAAGAGAAGAGACAATGTAATCGGGACTGGCGGGAATGATGGGGTTTGAAAAGTCGCCATAATTCCCATTGTCTCGAATCAGATGCTTCCTCGCCTGCTTTAATATCATCTCCTTAATCCATCCTGAATTCACTGGGGGAGAATAAAGAAAAGGCCCTAGATGCCGAGAGTGAACTCAACACCGACGTCGATTTCGCGGGCCATCTTGACGACCTTCGAGAATTGAACAGACTTCTCGGCGGCGTTCTGGAGGTCTTCGATGGAGAAGATCTTCAGACCAGACTCGTTGATCTGCGCGAAGAGTATCAGCATGCCTGCTTCTTTCAGACAAAAAGAGTGCTTGATTCCCTACCAGCTTATGTGCGTGCTCCATGTTGGTGCCCTGCAGTCGAGCGACGATGGGGGTGCGAAGACCCATCTCCTGCACCACGTTGATCAAGCCTTGGGCAATGGCGTCACAACGGACGATACCACCGAAGATGTTGACAAAGATCGCCGACACCTTGGGATCGCTCGTGATTAGCTCAAAAGCAGACTTGATGGCAGCCGGAGTAGCACCACCGCCAACATCGAGGAAGTTAGCAGGGCTACCACCGTTGAGCTTGATGATGTCCATGGTGGCCATGGCAAGACCGGCACCGTTGACTGCGGATTTAGTCAGTATTAATTCAGAGACTGTAAAGAGTCTAGGTCAATTCTTACCCAAGCATCCAATGTCACCGTCGAGCTTGATGAAGTTCAATCCGTGCCTAACCTAATCATCAGCTGCTGCATATCTCGGGAATTGGGTTCAAGAATAGAATGAAGTAAAGCATACTCGGCAGCCTTGACCTCGTCGGCATCTTCTTGGGTAGTATCCCTCCACGAGAAGACTTCTTTCTGTCTGAAGTCCGCGTTGTCATCGAAGCCCAATTTGGCATCCATAGCCATGACCTGATGGTCGGAAGTCTCCGACAAAGGGTTGATCTCAATCTGGGTAGCATCCTTCTCCATGAAAACCTTGTACAGTTTCTGAATAGTATCCTTGGCCTCGGGGATGCACTGCTCAGAGAAGCCCAGCTCGGTAGCAATCTTTAGGGCAATGTCGTCGGTCACGCCAACATTGATATCAATTGGGGTGGTGAGAATAGCCTCGGGGCTCTCCTTGGCAACAGCCTCGATGTCCATGCCACCCTGCGACGATGCAACAATAACAGGGGCCTGAGATTGACGGTCCATAAGAACAGCAAGGTAGAATTCACGACGAGCGAACTTGCGCTCGCAAATGTACACGGAGTTACAAAGACGACCGGCGGCACCAGTCTGCTTCGTGATCAGTTTGTGTCCAATCATCTGGCCGGCGAACATCTTGGCTTCGGTGGAGCTGTGAGGAATTTACGCGAGTTAGAGAAAGGCTTTGCGGAATTCGAGGCAGCCAATACTCACGAATAGATGACGCGCACACCACCTTTGAGACCGTTGTCAAAAGAACCCTTACCACGACCACCGGCAAGGACCTGTGCTTTGATGACCATGTCATCATTACCTGGTATATCACGTCTCAGTACATCATAACCTTCCATACGTTTTGACGGATGGAGTTATACCGAGAGACTTGGCAACGGACTCGGCCTCCTCTGCAGAGCGAGCAACCTCGCCCTTGGGCATTCCAATACCGTACTATGTCACCGTATCAGCGAACGCCGCGCCACAAAAAAAAAAATAGCGATATGCCTATGTCATTCATACCGACTTGAGGAGATTCGCCGACAGATATTCATGAATCGAAAGGTTTCTCTGTTGCTGACCGAAACGGGCCGGGACGGAAGTCTCCTAGAGGGGAAGGACATCGTGTCAGCAGCAGGCTCTTTGAGACCATGGCCATCCCTGGGATCGGATTGCAAAGCTTTACCGTCGCAGCTCTCAAAGCTGCCGCAATGGGTCTGCCGCGGGCGAGCTTGAACATGGCGAACAAGGTTTTGACTGGGCAAAGAAAAAGAGTGGAGATGCTTCAAAGAGTATTGCTCTTTGACAGACGATATAGGCCGAACGGGGGAGAGCGTGGAGGGGGCGTTGACGTGTTGCCAAGGGGGATAGGATTGGGGGAACAGCTTTCTTTTTGCGCCTCCCGAGATGATATTGTCTTTTTGCCTTGGGATTCCGGCACGTCCAGGGTCACCTGATGAGCCAACCAGCGTGACGCTCGGGATGACTAAACCGGGCTCGGGTCCCGACGGCGCGAATATCACGGAACGACGGTTGGCAACGGGTGGTCGACCACGGAAATTACTTTATACGAAATCATTCTATTCAGCACGGCCGCAAATCCTTTCGCGAGGCGTTGGGCGAGTGCTGCGGTCAACCCTCATACAATGCAAAATCAAGATCCTCAAGATGCTAGTACCCAGCGGGGGACGTGTGTTTTTCCTCGTTAAGACTCTTCAGCACCGAAGATATCATCTATCTACTCCGCAATTGGGTTCAACAAACAAGAGCGATGGAGACGGTGTGGCCGGGTGTGGGATTGGGGGATTCTGTCTTCTCTCCCTTTGATGGTCCCAAGCAAGAACGTTCCGCGTTGCTCATTTTCCAACGGCTTGACTCAATTTATGCAGTTTGAACATTTTCGTCATGGCGTAATGGAATAAGCCAGTCCAAGCCCAGCCCCCAGTAAGAAACCAGACTAGCCAGCTTTTATTTCCTTCCCAAATCCAGCTTTTCCGCCCTTTGGCCCAAGGCCAAAACCACCGCCATGGCGCGGACCCATACAGGACTTGATCAACAACGCTCCGAGCATATGTCGCATGCGGCATAGCGCCGTCCTGACTATGGACCACGCGGCGATGATACTCGTCCTCAATTGAGGCGTACAGCTAATTGGGCGCTAGGGTACGTTGAACGCGAGCAATGCGGGACTGCACGCCGCCGGTGATGACGGTAGTGACATGTACTCTGGCAGGCTCGGTATCAACATTTCATAGGTTCAAGACTGGGAGGGGACGTACCCAAACGGTGCCAGTTCGACACGCAGAGAGTCGCTGAATGAATGCAAAGCAGCTTTCGAGGCATTGTATACCGAGCCAAATACGTAAGGAATGACCTAGTTGGCGTAACATCAGCATTGTTGAATGGGGCGCATCTCATAGTACTAACTCCGGCAACAGATCCAATTTGCACAATGGTGCCCTTGGCCTTTATCAGAAGGGGAAGGAACGTTTTACACATGCAGATGACTGCGATAAAATTGGTTTCAAAGGTTGCTCGGGCTTCCGAAAGGTCTGCCTCCATCGCCGGGACGGTATAATCTGTAGTACATCAGAGCTTTGTCGGGGAGGGGAGGAAAGATTCGCATATGAACTGACTTTGTCCCCTGGATGACACATATATATACCGGAAGAGTAAGTAGACGCTTTCCTTATCCTTCCTCCACAGGGGTAGAATAAATCGCCGTGGTCGATCACTTACGCGTTGTTAACCAGATAATCCAATCCATTGTCCGCAAGTCTCCTTTCTACTTCGGCATGGCATGTTCTGACGCTATTCTCATCGTCTACAGTGAGGCTTAAAGTCTCTATGCCGAGAGCTGCCAGATCCTCAAGTGATTTTGCATCGCGGGCTGTTGCGAAGACGCGCAGCCCATTACGATGGAACTCTCGCGCCAGCGAGTTTCCAATACCTCCTGGTGAGCAGCTAGATAGTTGACAGATAAATATCAGCAGTATTCCAACATTATTGTTTGCTGTGGTCCAAAGCGCTGGATGTTGCAAGCCTGCCGAGAGCTTTCGGATTTGAGAAACCCACCGACCTAATACCTAGGTGCCTTTACTGCACGAACTTACCCGGTAATCAACACCGACTTTCTTTGCTCCTCTGTGGATGTCATGGTAGACGAATGTGTTGGATTAGACCGTCACTCGAGAAGTTGAACGACGCCAGGGCAATGATAGGAAGCCAGGCCCATAGATGCCTCGGTAGCAGCTCCCGTAACTGCGGGTTCTCCAAGATACATGATTACAGTATTTATGTATGGTAAGGTATTACTCACTAAGCGTAATCAGTAATGTAACTGTACCCTTGGACACTTTCAGGTCCTCGCCGCTTGCCATTCTACCTACCTCTACCTACCTTGGTTATATCAACTATGTGGGATGGTCATTTAAGGACCACATACATGTTATATCCTTTTCATAGGTTCTTGTGCTTTGGTTTTGGTCCCTAGTCCTCCAATATTTTATCACCATCCGCATGATTAGAATCGGCCCGCGTTCTGCCTACTTCACTCCCCCACCTTGTCCCCCCGTCCGACGTTCCGCCGCACCCGCAGGCACATGGCACATGTAGACTGATATGGACTCTTTTGAGAATGCGATGGATATCCAGCATTCACGTCCCAGGCATCTGAGAAGCCCCGGAGACGATGGGTATCGGACACCCACCATTGAAGATACAGAAAAAGATCTTGCGCTGCAAGATAACGCGTTGTCTCTGCTCTCTGGGAAAAGGACCCGAGAGGCACATTCTTCAGCCTTGGAAGCATTGCACCGCTCTTGGACCCGCAAGTCCCAGGAGCGAGGAGGAGCAAGAGAGGAGGAGGAAGAGGCCACGCGGAGGCCTAGTTTCTCATTCCGCCCAAGCGATCGATCAGCTATCAACCTCGGCTGGAGAAAGAGGATTCGCCACCTGACATGGGCCTTTTTTACTCTCACAATGGCTACCGGAGGGATTGCCAATGTTCTATATACCAGTAAAGCCGATCATCCTCTGGGTTTTTCTGCTAGTTGTGCTCATTCATAGGTGAATAGTACCGTACAGGTTCCGAGGGCTTGACACCATCGGAGTCATATTCTTCTTGGTGAATATCGTGTTCTATACGGTCATCTGGTGCCTATTGATCGCGCGCTTTTATTTTTATCCCTATACCTTCAAGGCGTCGTTTTTACACCCGACCGAGTCCTTGTTTGTTCCCGCCTCAGTGGTCTCGTTTGGAACCATCCTGATCAACATATCCCAGTACGGGCCAGACAACACAGGGCCTTGGCTTACGCATGCTGTTGGCATATTGTTTTGGATTGATGCGGCACTCGCCGTAATATTCGCAGCTGGCATATATCTCTTGTTGTAGGCTTTTCGGCACCTTCATTGGCTCTCACAACAATCCCCGAGGCGCTAATCGGTTCCAGGTGGTCCACGCAGACTTTCACAATTGCCCAAATGACACCAATTTGGATATTTCCGGCTTATCCTCTCCTGATAATAGGTCCTCACGCCGGGGTTCTAAGCTCCAAACTTGAGCCCTCCCGCTCATTGCCCATTATCATCGGAGGTACGACCATCCAAGGGGTGGGGTTTTTGGTCTCGTTGATGGTATATTCGGCCTTTATATATCGGTTGATGTCTCAAAAGCTACCGAGAGAAAACGTTCGGCCGGGCATGTTTGTATCGGTTGGTCCCAGTGCTTTCACGGTTTCGGGCATCGTGAACATGGCTGCCCAGGCGCACAGATGCTTTCCAAATGAGTTTATGGGCAACGGACCTTTGGCTGCGGATATTGTCAAGGTGGTTGTCAATTTCGGGTCCCTGTGGCTATGGGGGTAAGTAAGCCTGTTCCGGCCAAGCAATGTCAGATCAAGACTAACGTTATAATATTGCTTATCAGCCTAGCGATCTTTTTCTTCTTCATAGCCAGTTTCGCTCATTGGTCGGCCATCGGCCCGGGCCGGATGGAATTCTCCATGGCCTGGTTCTCGTTCGTGTTTCCCAACACTGCATTGATCACGGCGACTTTTGCGATCGGAAATGCATTTGCATGCAAGCCCATTCTAATCATTGGATGTGCCATGGTTATCCCTCTTATACTGATGTATGTCTTCGTGTTTGGCATGATGGTCCGTGCCATCGTGCTGCGTCAAATCATCTGGCCGCAGAAAGGCGAGGATAAGGATGAGGGTGGATTTGAGATCAATCGAATCAAACCTGAGTCAGCGGGCGAACCCGAGTCTGTCTGAGGGCAAGATCTGCCTTGTGTGTGTTTAGATGGAAGAGAAAATGAGATTCTCCGTAGCTATCAGCACCCCGGCGCCCTAATACCTGGGATTCCCGTTTTGTCCAAGTATGGTTACTAGGTAGAAAGGTGGCCGGGCCTTTAGGTACATACCATTTATTATTAATCGCCTATCTGTGGCTATGAGCACTCGACTTCTAATCTATGCTACCTACTAGGTAGGTACATACATAGTAGTTACCTAGGTACCTACGGTACCCTCCGGAGGCGGGTATCTTACAAGCATACCTGTAATCCCTTCCAGTTTGTTTTCAGGCAGTTGCCCCTATCTCCAGGCTACGTAGGTAACAATCTGTAAATTACACCGCATCCTGTATTCACACACCTAAGGCACCTAATCCCCGAGGTACTCCGTATGTACCTAGCCGAGCGCTCAGAGCGGAAGTAAATTTACAAATTTACTGTAGTAAAATAGCCAAGCTATACCCATCGTAGTATAGAATAAAAGCACCGTCTCATTTGATAGGTTCGTCCCTTCTAGTTCTAGGCCTTATGCAGTTAGATCGGAGTATTCCCACACGACAGTACGGAGTAGGTAAGGTGCCCGGTAGGTAGCACTATGTATCTTATCATATGCTGTGTGGCACTGGTGGGCTACAACCTTAACTTGTGTGGCAGGATTTTTTTTTTCTCTTCGAAATTTCCACTTTCTACTACCCCTCGTGTGCCAATTTATCCGTCAAGTCGAACATTTGATCGTCCTCTGAACACCCACAACCTACTAGAGTTGGAAGATCTTCTTGGACCTACTCCTCTTCTGCAATTAAAAACGGAAATCGCGACATATCCTCTCTCTTTCTCTTCCTTTGGTTTAAGCCCGTGCTTCATATCACTGTGAACAGCCAACATGCCGCAGAAGTTTTATGTCACCTACAATCAGGTTTGTTCACCTGTCTGAAAATCCTGTTTATTCTAAAGCAAACTGTCTTGCACAAATGCAAATGATCGTTCCTGCATGTACTACACATATGCTGCATGCAGGCATTCTCGAATGCCACTAATTCCTAGGGTGCAGTGGTACTCAGTTGTGAATCGATCCGCTAATATTCTTGAAATAATAGGTACACAAATTGTGCCAAACATCTGCTGACCAGATTCTGAATGCCTTCCACCCTAACCTCATGATCGCTATCGGCGGCGGTGGCTACGTCCCGGCTCGAATTCTGCGGTATGCTGCTCGCCCGCCTTCTTTCGCCCTCTTGTTTTCCCCCTTCTTACTCTTTGTTCTCAACTAGTTCCTTCCTCAAACGCTCTGGCGAGCCCAATATCCCAATTCAGGCCATCGGTTTATCGCTCTATGAGGACCTCGGTCGCGGTGACCCAGAAGAGGTTCCTGGTACTAAGGTCACTCGGACTCAATGGCTGGATCTAAGCTCCCTGGAAATGGCAAACCTCATTGGCAAGAACATTCTCATCGTTGATGAAGTTGATGACACCCGGACGACACTGGAGTATGCCGTTCGCGAGCTTGAAAAAGACGTGGAACTGGCCCAGAAGCAGCTTGGGAGAGAGGGCGAGAAGACGAATTTCTTTGTATTCGTTCTTCACGTATGTTATCTTCCAGCCCTTTTGCTTCCTGCCAACTCGCCACTGATATCTTTACCCAGAACAAAAACAAGTCAAAGAAGGGTGTGCTGCCTGCTGATATGATGGAATCGCATCGGTATCATGCTGCAGTTACAACTGAAGATGTTTGGATTTGTTATCCATGGGAGGCCAAGTATGTGATGAATCTTCCAACTGAATCTCCACTATGAATTGGCTAATTGACTTCTATAGGGATATTGATGAACACGATCAATTGGCCGAGAAAAACCCAATCATCTGAAGCGCCAGGGACCCATGACTAAATTAACCCATTTCGCTCTTCGTCGCCCTTCTAAAACCATGGGTTTTGGGGACCCCAACTACGCTCGCCCACATTTCTTCTAATTGCTTTGCACATATATTATTTCCATTTTCTTTTCATGTTCTTTTTGTTTTAAACTTGACAGGGCTATACTGGACATGCCGCTTTACGAACGAATGGTGTTTTTTTCTCTCTCTCTTTGTATTCGGTGATAAATTATAGATAAAGAAATGACTTGGTTCTATTTAGAACAGACTCACGAGTTATGTTTCAATAGAAGATGACATCATCCTTGATTTCTGTCAAGGATCTTTTATCACCTCACGTTCTTGCTCATTATATTCATCTCCCGAATCTCCCATTTTTTTTTTTTTTTCAAGACCTCCGCTGCAGACGTACAACGATAATATGGGCCGGTAAGCGTGTAGAATGGGCGATATAAGGCGGAATAAACATATGCGCAACGATCCCTGGACCTAAATGGATAATTGCTTATCTAGGTATAAAATGATTGTTCCATATCCCGGATTGTATATGCGACTGGATTGGACAGCAACACCTGTTGATGCGATAATGGGTTCAATGAGTGGTGATCAGAGATAGATCACACTCCGTATGAGTCAAACGTATATCGTACAATAGCAAGGGCAACCTAGTCAACATCGACATTTTGCGTACGCAGTTCCGCTTTGGCTTGCTCGATCTCCTTTTGCAGCTCATCATGGGCCTCTGGGACATCATTGAAGGTCAGAATTGCTAGTCCCAATCGACCCAACAAATAGCAGCCAAAACATATCAGGGCATAGAAAGGAAGCTAGAACAAAGACATCAGCGGGAAAGAGGCGAGATGAGCGTTTATTGGCAAACATACGACAGGAATGACTTCCTTCTGGACAGTTTCGTTCAGGGGGACAAGGCCGACGTATAGTACCAGATAGAGCTATCGCGAAGAGAGATATCAAAGTTAGCTAACGCTTGAGACGGACTCTGACCACCACCTAAACTCACGGAAGAAACAAGCAGGAGCACCGAGAGGGTCTGCTGGGCGCGCGTCATGATGAATAGCCAGTTGGCGAATTTCGGAGCAATTGTCAGCTGGGGTAGGAAGCGATATTGAGAACAGCCAGAATGAAGGGAGGGTAAGGAGTGAGTCGCGTGAGCCTGGCGGGGTGGGGAAAGGTCAAGGCAAGGAGGGACGAGCGGCTCTAGAAAGTCGAGTAAAGAAAGAGTGCTGGTTGGTATTGAGGCCAGGTTGAACGGGCGTGTGTACATTGGATGCCTGAATTCCTGGGTAACCCGCGGCCCTCCTGACCGCCCGGGCTGACCGCCTGTTTAGTCCAGGCGCTCCTGATTTTGCCGCCCCAACTCCTCCAAAGTCCCACGTCCAAACAATCAATCATCTCAGCTTCTTTGGCTATCAGTACTCCGTGCTCCTGTATAGCTTGGTGGTCGAGGTATGTACTCTGCATCCAGACCTATTCGCAAGGACTCTCGAGGACCCGCTGATTGTCTTCAAAGGTGCTCTTGTTACCAGTGCTACTAAGTTCAATCTTTCAGCGCGGGGTGAACCTCTGTACTTTGGGTGATATATATCCACACTCACAGCTCAAGGTGGATTGGACAATAACCAACGCCACAAGAGGATCTCCTATCATCACCGCAGTGTTGAACTATTTTGATTTCATATCCCACCCGTCGGTAAAGCTGTACTGGGAGGAATGACTTCAACCGCCGAAGGTTTCTTAAACTGGCATGACAGTGATACAAGCCAGTTAAACCTATTAGCCCGGCAATGCCAGGAGCTGGAGTGTCCGCCTTTGAATGAAATCGTTCCCGGGCTGTACCCGTCGGCACCTGCAGATTCTTCTCCAAAAATCGTGTCGCTATCATCCGAAGAGCAGGAGGCTTTGTTTAGGTCTCTTCAGAGAATTCTCGACTCGGCCGCCGCGAGTACCACGGAAGATGAGGCACACGACGAGGCAAACGGCGTCGAAATCCAGCCCTCCTTCCAACGAGTTGGTACTCCTTTCGGAGAAGTGAATGACATTTTACACAAGTTGTCAAACTGCAGATCGCATTATATGGAACAAGCTGCTGAGGTGTTGGCGAATGGCAGTAGGAACCGTATGTCAAACTGCACTTGAAATTCACCGTGCATATCTAACTCCAGAGCAGCACTGTGGCGACTCCCTTTCGGACAGACTGGGATCTTGGACTTTTTCCTTGAACGTGTTGCTTCGAAGGAAAACGCAGAATCTGCTCTTTTGTTGCATTCCTTACGCTTGATTGGAAATTGCTGTGCAGATACTGGTACGCTTCTCCCCGATTCCTCCCAGCACTCCCTCCATGAATATCTTAGAATAGGAGCAAAAAGGGACGAGGGGAGGGTATTAAGGATATTGACAATGGCTAGATGAAAATAGAACGATCGTTGTGAAAGGCAATTATACTGCCGCGATTCTCCAGCACCTACTTAATCCGGAGCTCATCAAAGTTGTTCTACCTGTTGTATATAACTTATGCATGGATTTCGGTAATGCCTACCCTCCCAATTGCAGCATTTCGACTAATTTGATCCAGAGCCTGCCCAATCCCAGTTAGCTGCGAATAAGATCGTTTACATAATCATACGACTCGTTAGGGATGAGGCGCTCAAGGATAACCCTTCTCTGCTTGATTTTGCCTACGAACTCATAGAGCTAACTGCCGAGCAAGGTAAGATTTATTTCGTGTGTAATTTTGGTACATATAGACTGACTTGTACCTAGAGAAAGGGATAGAAGTATGCCCTGATGGAACAATTTTGCTCATGATGGAGCTTCTACTCAGAAAAGAGTTTACTTCTACCGTCGCCCAATTTTCCTGCATCACCAATTGCCTTATGAGTATGCTGGATAACAAGCGATTTCAGGATATTTGCATTTCAAGACGCATGGTGTCAAATATATTGTCTGTGCTCACCCGAGCGGTAGCCTTGGGAAAACACGCTTCTGCGGATGACACTCAAATGCTAGCCCAGTTACAGCTGAAGATCAATCAGACATTGTCAGAGGTATCTGCGTCATCACTATTCGCAGAGACTTATCCTCTTGACTCTGATTTGACACTGCTTTTGAAATCCTGGCTGTCAACTACAGATGATCAGCTTCAAATATGCTCTTGTGTCATGTTGGGCAATTTAGCGCGCTCAGATGAAGTCTGTCAGCTCATGGTTGAGGAGATTAAGATACATGAAGAGCTAATATCGATTCTGAAAGGAGAAGCTAGAGGAGCCGTTCTTCACTCGACGCTAGGGTTCTTGAAAAACCTGGCAATAGCAGGTAACAATAGGCTGCATTTGGGGACTGCTGGAATCATACCTGTGATTTCTCGCCTCTGGAACTACGAGACCGTTCCTCAGGTTCAATTCGCTGCAACGAGTATTGCGAGACAATTGGTTATATCATCGGTCGAGAATATAACCCTTTTGTTGGAGACATTCTCGGAGAATCACCACAATCCTCCCCAACAGGTGACATACCTATCTCTACTCCTTTCACTGTTTAAAAAAACAGACTCCGTTCCTATAAAGACAGAAATTGGGCGCCTCATTGCTTCAGTATGCCGAACAATTGTTCCCAAAGCTCGCGCACAAGATCAACTAGCAAAGTCAGTTCTCGAGCGGCTCTTCACGATGCATGAAGATGTGGCGCTCCCTGTTGGGGGTATGATTGTTCAGTCGCAGTGGCCCGTCGTCAGAAGCGAAGGTTGGTTTGCGCTGGCATTGATGGCATCTAACAAGCAGGGCTCCATTGCTGCCATAGATTGCCTGCAAAAGATGGACCTATTTCCACCACTGGAGGAATTGCTGGGCAAGGACTCGAGCGACGAAGCCGAAGAACTGCAATTGAGTAATGATCGAGACAATGCAGTGGTCCTTGTAAAAGAATTGCTGCAACATGATGTAAGTCACTACGCGTACCCAACCTGGTGGATTTCGTGCTAAGTTGTATGTTCAAAGCCCAACATACTCCCTATGTCCGTGAAATCCAAAATAGATGATCTGATGAATAGGCATGCCTTACATCAACCTAACCACGCTTAAGCGAATTAAGAGCATGTCCGGCTCTGTTTCATATTGGCTCAATCGTTGGTAACTATGCATTGATATCTGTTTACCCTAGTCTTCTGTTATGATATGTCCTTTTCATTATTTCCAAGAGCTATAGAAGACCGCCTTGTCCGAACGCAGAATAGAGGGGGAAACCAATGACAATTCAAATCCCACAATCAGCAATGATACAAGCTATATGAATCTAAATCAAGCAGTGTTCAAGCAAACTTTCTCCTGAGCATATGCGCGGTAGCGATGGAGAATGTCAGTCGTTTCAAGCCCCTCGGAGGTCGTGCCCATGGTATAATGGACTACCAGGCCTTTACCATCGATTATGATTTTTCGATTCGGGTCACGAGTCTCTCGTGTCATTTTCGATGGTGGGCCCTTTGCGTGCTCATGTTGAACGAAGGGGCGGAAAAGATCATATTCCTCGCCACGGAAGCATAGGAAGCTCTGGCTGATGGCTTCATTTGGATTTTTCCATATGGGAAACTTGTAACGGTAAAGATCGCCCGCTTCAAGGTGATGCAGGAAGGAATAATGCTGTTGGGCATGGACAGTCCAATGGTCCAACCCGGGCCCTTGGTCTGTGTACACGGAGGTACCAATGGGTGTTCGGTCAGCGCCGTTATCACTTGAGAGGAGCCAACGGTGGTTCTCAGAGGGTGGAGAGAAGCCTTTCAAGACACTGAAGTTTGCGGGACCATCCCACTGGGGGAGTTTCGAAGTACGCCAGTCTTGAGGCAACGTAGGTCGGGATGGCATTTTTGACGCCTCGGGCAACAGCTCCGGAAGGTAAGGCAGAGCGAGACCGGGGTGACTGTGAAGCGCCTGTAGAGCTGCCGCATTTATGACATTTGCAGAGACTACGATTGAATCCGGATGGTCCAGTTTGGTTTTGACAACAGTAGGGATGGTATGGTCTTCTAAGAAAACCATGTCACCATCAATCCAAATATATAGAACTTCTTTGCCCTGCTGTGACGACGCCAAGCTATCGCCAGACTTCCAAGTCGCGTATAATGGGGTCCCGTCGACTGTAGAGGCGAGCCATTCTAGGCTGTCGGTATGGTTGGTCCGAGGAATGAAGATTACTTGGTCGAGAAACCCATGGTTGTAGGCCAAATTCCTCTTGAGTAGCTACGGATTAGCATATAACTCCGCCTCCGCGAGGAACAGACAGCGGGCCTCACCTGCAAGTAGCATTCTAAAACAGCCGTACGCTCATGGTGATGAAAAGGGACCAGAGCAATGATGTCCAGGCCCTTGGGTTTTTGGAACCGTTCCGAACCCCGCGAAAACGCAAAGAATGGCGATAGGGGACCCCCCCGGACCAAGACAGGGAGGAGTCCCAGTTCAAGCCAAGAGGGCTTGGAAAAGCAGGCTGCGACAAAAAGCGTGATCATGCAGAGGTAGCCAATTGCGCACCAGACCAGCACGGACACCCAGGAGCGATATGCCGAGTTCTCTTCATCCTGCGATTCGACGTGATGGCAGCGCTCGAGGTGTCCCATGATTGATGATTTACATGTTCAGATTCGGCCGCCTGACAGGGGTGACCGACTTCATATGTCCGGTTATTATAGAGCAGGTGAGCAAATCCGCTTCGGCTTTCCCATCCGCTTTCGTGACCGACGGCCAGGCTAGATGTACTTGGGAGCACAGGATGTTTAGGAATTGACCGAATCCGGCGATGCTTTCTGGTTGGGGCGGCTCTGGAATGCGAATCGAGGGATTGAACCCCAGGGGAGGCTGAGATCGACATTGGGGGAGGAGGGGGGGGTTGATTCGAAATAAGAAAAGAGAAGACAGGCAAGAAAACAGGAAAGCAGGAAAGCAGGAAAGAAAGAAAGAAAGAAAGAAAAAGAGATTCCGCGGGCAATGACGTCGTCAACACGTGCGCCGCTCCAGACCTCCTCCGACTTCTCCGGCTCGCGACATTAACATTGTCAACCGTGGCTTATCACTACTCCCATGGCCGCCTCGCAATCACATCCTGCTTCGGATGATTTTTTTGGGCTGCGCGACAAGCCGATACCTCTTTTGTAACATGAGGACGGCTGTCTTGTTCGGCCGATTCTGCTTGAGCCGTGGCGGACTTCCACAGTCACTGTCCCGAGTCGCGCCGTCGTGTCGATGGCGCCCCAATCATTCGCGGCCATGGCCGCCAGGTCTTTGCAAACGACCTTCGAGGAGGAGTCCAGCACTAGGCGTGGCTCTATTTGCCTCCCTAACACCTGGCGCGTTTTTAAAACTTGTGGAAGAGGAAGGGGACGGTGGCGGGAAGACGAGTGAAATGCAGATGCTGGAGATCTCAAGACAGGAGATGCAACAGTGCGTCACGGAGAAGGTCCAGGGTCTTCCCCGTTTTTTCCAATCCCTTTTCATCTTCTGGAACTACTACATCTATGATACGGTGGCCACTGGCTGTCGATTCGTTCATTTGGTTGCGGTCTTCCTGCCTGTCATCCTCGCGGCACCGGCCGTGTGGTTTGGGAGGCGGATCGAAGGGCGCAAGGGTAGTCGGACGGGAACTCTATGGTGGTATAACTATCTCGTCAAGTCGATGGAACGTGCGGGGCCAACCTTCATCAAGGTAGGTCGTCTTCTCCTGCCCTCTGCTTGGTTTCAAACAATGGTTCAGCAGACTTACCGAGGCAACGCCCCCCCCCGAGTAGCTTGGACAATGGGCAGCGTCGCGAACCGATATATTCCCCCCGGAGCTGTGCGATTATATGTCCTCGCTACACTCGAATGCCCCGGCCCACTCCTTGCAAGATACCAAGGAGACTATCGTCAAAGCCTTCGATGGGCTGCAGTTCGATGATATATTCGAGGAATTCTACGAAGAGCCGCTTGGGGTAGGAGCTATTGCTCAGGTCTACAAGGCAAAGCTGAAACCGGATCTGGCGGCTACCCATGACCAGGATCTTATACCCCAGCCCCAGAGTTTGCGAGGCAAAGTTCGAAAAAATGTCGATGTGTTGGTGAAAAGCACGCCTCAACGGGTCCCGTCGTCCTATGTGGCTGTCAAAGTGCTTCATCCCAGGGTCGAACGAGTGATCCGCAGAGACTTGAAAATCATGTCTTTCTTTGCTTCGATGATAAATGCTATCCCGACCTTGCACTGGCTGTCCTTGCCGGATGAAGTCCATCAGTTTGGAGCGATGATGAAGCTGCAATTGGATCTCCGAATCGAGGCGAGTAACCTGGTCATCTTCCGGGAGAAATTCGCGCAGCGGACCACTGCTTGGTTTCCGTATCCCTATCTGGACTACAGCACTCGAGAAGTCCTTGTTGAAGAGTTTGCGCAAGGGATTCCTCTGTCGAAATTCTTAGATGTCGGGGGAGGGGTCTATCAGCAGGAAATCGCCAACGAAGGTCTGGACGCATTCCTCCACATGTTACTGATTGATAATTTTGTCCATGCGGATCTACACCCGGGTAATATTATGGTGCGGTTCTATAAGCCAAGCGAATTAGATATCTCTCTCCGCAAACATACCCGGGCATCGGATGCGCCCACTACGGCGGAGGTGGATGTGACGGAGAATGTCCTTGCACGTCTGAGACCACATGCCCGCAATCAGGAAGACTGGGCGAAGGCACTGGGTCAGCTGAATGTGGAGGGCTATCGCCCTCAACTCATCTTCATCGACACCGGCCTAGTCACGCAGCTCAATGACACAAACCGAAGGAATTTCCTTGATCTTTTCCGCGCGGTGGCTGAGTTTGATGGCTTCCGAGCGGGACAACTCATGGTTGAACGATGTCGTCAGCCCGAAGAGGTCATCGATAGCGATGTATTCGCAATGAAGGTGGACCGTCTCGTGCAGAGCGTTAAATCGCGAACCTTCGCATTGGGAAATATCAAGATCGGGGATGTCCTGAGCGAGATACTCTCAATGGTCCGAGGCCATCACGTTCGACTGGAAGGAGACTTTGTCAATGTTGTTATATCGATCCTCCTACTCGAGGGCATTGGAAGAAACCTTGACCCCAATCTGGACCTTTTCAAGAGGTAGTTAAACAGCTTGCACATACCCTCGGCATTCCATACAGATGACTGACAATATTGCAGTGCACTCCCCATATTGCGGACCCTCGGATCTAACACCACCTTTTTGAAATCCGTTCGATCGGGTGATACTTCGATGCTACGGGTGTGGGTTGGGCTTGAAGCGCGCGGATTGCTTCAAGCCAGCATTGAAAGTGTGGAACAATGCGTCAAATACGATCAACTCTCCCCTAATATCTAAAAAGGCGAATTGGGTCTTTTGGGGGGCCCAATTCGCCCCGTCCATTTCTTTGGAAACAAACGGAAATGGCAGATGGAATACTGCCATTTTCCAAAAGATGGTGAATGGTGGACATATCAAACATTGTTCTCTGGGTCCTAGGGGCACATATGTCCTAATGTGCCGAACAGACCAAGGTGGTGGTATCCTGTGTACATATGAATCATATTTGGATAGACAAGGGAGAGGCATTCAGTTAACTGAACATATTCCCCTGAGTGGTCAAAGAGGATAAATAGAGAACGGCCTGAAAAAGGGGGCGAGGACAGCTTGCGGGGATTTTCAATTAACCAAGAATCGTAGGTATCATGGTGCTTTCATTATGCAGTTTTCCATAGAGACTCTAAGTAAATAAGACCATCAGACGCCCGCGCCTCTATAATGCATGTGCTTTCTTTTTCTTTTTCCTTTCTTGTTGCGAGTTATATAGAGAGGAGAATTAGTATTTTGGGGGCGCAACTCTAATGATTATGCTGCGCCATTACCCCTTCAATTCCTGCTATTTTCACGAACAGTACCACCACTTGCTCGCCACCAAACATCCCCTCCCCATCTCATCAGCCGTTCTACGGCAGCCGTTGGCGTGTCTAAGGCTGGTCTGATATCCAAGTAAAATACAGGCTCGCCCGTTGGCTCGGGAGGCCCTGAATAGTAGTCGATTACATACCGCACTTCTTTTGGGCCGGAAGGTGTTTGTCGCATAACGAACCAGTCATGTCGATCAAAAGGTGGGTTGCTCCTGTCAAAGATGTTATAAGCGGCAAAGACATAAAAGTAGAGAGGAAGAAAGGGGGGGACAAGGAATTGCCAGGGAGTCACTAACTCGAACTTCGCCGGATACAGCCATCCCAGAGCCTGTAAAACCGTTGCCTTCGGTGAAAGCTCTTGCGGACGACCCTGAAATCTAACGAGACTTGGTGGGTTGTCATTGGCAGTACCCATCAACTCTGCTTTGGCGGTATCTAGGGCAATGTTTTCCTCGCCGCGGCGACACTTCTCCCATCCTCCCATGAGACCTCCTGCGAATATGCGCTCCCATCCAACAATTTCATCCCAGGCGCCCTCGTTCAAGAAGTTATGAACAGCAACCATGGCCTCGACGGCATCTTGTGGGGTGTCGGTATGGCCTTTTCGCAGCATTGCATTATACATTTGTTGGGGGGATGGGTATTCCCAGTTTCCGGTTGCATCGCCCCTGGGGATGGAAGAGACTTCACGGTCTACCGCAAGATCAACGGTCTGGTTCGGCGCCCGGTCCTGGGAGATTGACGAAAACATGTAGTTCAAAGGGTTAAGTTTTGATAAGGTCGATTGGTGGGTATCGGAAGTAGAAGGCGCTGGGACGTCGGAGGACTTAGATTTGGGAGGGACATAAAACGGGGAGTCTGTAGAGCGGACAGGACAAGCGCCGGAGGGTTCAGGGAGCGAAGGCGCGGCCGCCGACGAAGGGGCGGGATTTGACACATGCATTGGACATCCCGGCTATAATCAACCGTCAGAAATCCAAGTCAATCTAGCCAAGTTCAACTCTACTAACAGGAGAGGCCTCCAAAGAAGGAGGGTTGGGAACAACGGGCGCCGGTTGGTGTGGCTTAGGATCTGCCCAAAACCAACCCATAGTGAGCACAGGGTGACTTTAACTAAATGCAAAGAGAGAAGATAGTGAGTAAGTAAGGCCGTAGAACCGGATTGGCTTAATGTGACAAGGAGAAGGGAGCAAATGAAGAGAGAGAGAGAGCAAAGGGAAAAAAGAAAAAAGAAAAGAAAGGCAAATGATTCGGGCCGATGACATAAGATGGCGAGTCGGGGGCCAATCAAACCCGCGGAGTTGCGGAGGTTGTACGGAGAAAGTACCTGCTACCGAAGAGCCGCCCAAGGGGAGTAGGAGCGGAGATGTACCCAGTACTCGGGAAGTACGGAGTACCTACGAAGTGATTTGAGGTGCTTAAGGTTCAGAACCTGGATTCCAGCGCATTCCCCTGTTTATGCATGTGTATGTACAGTGGAAAGTAATGTGTCGGGGCACCGAGAGGCAAGAATGAATTTCCGCCCGAAATCAATAATCGTTAAACCCGATGGAGTGTCTTGAGATTTTGTTTTTAAGGAAAAAAGAAAAGAAAGAAAAGAAAAAACGCCGTTCCCATCTCTGGACGCCTGAAGGTCTCTCCAGACCTACACTACCTGAGCCACGTTGTGAAACAAAATGAAGAAGTGGTAAAAGAGACAAGAGCGAAACATTAAAAGAAAAAAAAAAAAAAAAAAAGAAAGAAAAAAGAAAAAGAAAACATGAGTAGAAGAGGACGAGAGTTGGGGTGCGTAGAGAGGATATGGCGCTGTTCTCAAAGCTTCCGAGACAAGATATCAACCGATTAATCGTGGCAGCCAGCCAACTCAGCCCTGGACATCATTCACCAGCCGTGAGACAAGAGCATAGCCAAACAAGATCGCGAGTCCGATCCAGACTTTGTTCCGCCGAGCCCAGCTCTGGCCTGCCTCTCGTGCTACATGGCCACCCTCCATTACGGCGCCCAGTCGGGGCGCACTTCCGTTAGGGCGTCTGCGAAGAGCACTGGTTTCTGGCGAGCATTTTGTAGCGGCGGCGCCTGGTTCAGGGATCAGCTGGCCGGTGTTGGTGTCAATGCGATTGTCCTTCATCCACTTCCAGTTATCTTGGTCCAACTCGGGCCATTCCGAGCGGAATTTGAGGCCCCCGTCACCGGCTTTGACGTTGTTGAGACCCTTGGCGCTAGGGGTTACCCCCGGCGTAGAATTGACATGAGAGCCCCCGCCAGTGGAATTCCACCACCTGGATCGCGCCGCCAATACTCTCCGTTCCGCCTCCGAGGCACTGACACTGCCGGTCGTCATTTCTTCGCTAGTCATGAAGGAAAGTAATCCGATGAGAATCGTCGAAACCTCCCAGGCCGGATTGAACGACTTTGGATGGAAGTCGCTGATGCTAAGACATAGCCGAGACGACGGTTGGAACCGGCCGCTTGGGGTGTGCATACGAATCGCCGGCGGGGCAAAGGGATATTCGGGGGGGAACATCAGGGTCCCCCAATACTGGCCATTTTCGTAGGGGGTGCCGGGAGGACCGGTAAGAATGTAATGCCATCTGAAGCGCTGGTTAATCGTGAACGGAGAGCGTTCAGCATGGCAGACAGTGATGTCTCGTGTGTGCCACTTACTCGAGGATGTTCGACTCCGACGGATGCGCCACGATAAAAGGCGGGGGGTTCTTTTCGATGTTCTGGTACTCACGGGTGAGCTGTGCTTGGTTAGCCCCAGCGGTCAAGTACTATGTTTCATGTGGACTTGGGTATGCGCTGACCCTTTTGAAAGCGGCCTTTGTCGCCATGTTCCTGGATGTCTAGAACTTCCGAGGGCTAGAGTCGAAGGTGGAGCCGATTTCCGCGGGATCAGGCAGAGGACTCAGATTTCCATGAAACGGATCCAGTCAGGTCGTAAGTCGCACGGAGGAAGTAGCACGGAGTAAGGACGGAGCAGTAGATGCATCGTTGCGGGACCACGCCAGCCGCGGGCCACGTGACCGACGTCGTCCTCGCATTTGCCGCGCCGAGCGCCAATCGAGGCTCCCCCGAGATTTCCGCTGTTCGATTCTCTCGAGGTCACCCTGGCCATTGCCGCCGCCCGCAATGTCCTCTACAATCCCCGCCGAGGACGACGATGTAGGCCTCCTCCCTGCAGGCCCTGCTTTCATCCTGCTAACCCCCACGCTTTGTCCGGTGGTCCTAGATATTCGAGCGTCTCCAGCAACGCGCCGATCCGAAGGTACTAGAGGAACGGCAGGACGCCATCAATGAACGGGTCCATGCAATTTATCAGAAAGCCCAGACCCGGCTGGGAGAATTGGTGAGCCTGCATTTGGCTTTGAGCCTCTGGAAAGGATCCTTTCCAGGGAGCATCCGGTCTTATGGTGGAAAGTCCCAAGGCTGACCCGTGACATCCAGATTGACCAAAATTCCACCTTGCCATGCGCCATCTCCTCAATTCAGGTCCTTAACGCTCATCACACGCGCAGGGGCTTCCTGGAGCGTATATTTGACCCATTGCTGAGTACTCACCAAAAAAGGCCCTACACGCTCTCCGAGGCCTTACGGGAAGTCTCGGCACGCGCGGACAAACTCGGCAGATTCGGTTGGTGACCTGAAGCATCCGACGACCACCGTATCGTTTCTTAGATCTAACTTGCGCGCAGACCTCTTCCAGCAGCCCATTTCAGTGTACCTGGACCAATCACCAGAAGCCGACGCCCGGACAGGACTGTCGAGTCTCAATGTTTATGTCTCGGTGAAGGAGAAGTCGCGCGTTCTGCTCAAGACCGGAACAGACCTTGGGAACACGGAAGGCTCTGCCTACGGTAATCTGCTTTGGCGCAATGTGTTTGGTGGCGCTGAAAACCTGAATTTAAATGCGTCCCTGGGCACTAGAACAAGATCCGCTTATCAAGCCACATTTGAGACCCCCATTCTCAGCGACCCTGACTTCCGGTTTGAGATTGGTGGACTTGCCAGCTCCACCCAAAAGTCGTGGGCTAGCCATGAAGAGGTATTAAAAGGTGGTTGGGGCAAACTCCGATGGATGAGTCAGTCCGGACACCGCCACGAAGCTGGGTACAATGGCTTCTGGAGACAGGTGACAAGCCTGGCTGAAAATGCCTCCCCCACGATTCGGGCAGATGGCGGGGACAGTGTAAAGAGCAGTCTCTTCCACAGTTGGGCCAAGGACGGAAGAGATAACCCCCTTCTCCCGTCCCGCGGGTATTATGCCAAAACGTTCAACGAGCTGGCCGGACTGGGGCCATTGAAGGGCGATGTTTCTTTCTGGAAATCCGAAATTGAAACACAGGGCGCAGTCCCAATCCCGATCCCCGGCGTCAAAGGCGACAGCGGCATCTCCCTGACTGCAGGGTTCCGCGCCGGACTTCTTTACCCCCTTGGATTTGATTCCGATTCAAGGCCCCTACTGTCTCGCACCAACGATCGTTTCCTGCTTGGAGGGCCGACGGATGTTCGCGGTTTCCGTCTATGCGGTCTTGGGCCTCATGACGGGGCCGATGCTGTCGGGGGCGATGTCTATGCCGCAGGAAGTGCCAACTTACTCCTTCCGCTCCCTCGCGTTGGCGCCGAAAAGCCCCTGCGCCTGCAGGCATTCGTGAACGGTGGCCGGTTGTTGCCTCTACGCACTGCTCAGAAGACCACGCCCAGCACGGATGCAGAGGTGGCCAACGCCATGACGTCGACAATCTCCGAGCTGGGGAATGGCCTTCCCAGCATCGCCGCGGGAGTTGGACTTGTGTACGCCCATTCGGTTGCCAGGTTTGAGCTGAACTTCTCCCTGCCCTTGGTTTTACGGAAAGGCGAAGAAGGAAGGAAGGGGTTGCAGCTGGGGATTGGCATTAGTTTCCTGTAGATGGTCCTCCGGTCGTAGGAATAGTTGAACTAATAGATGCCTTGTTTTTGTGGTTGACGACGATGACTCAGCCTGCGTATCCGTCGGAATACAGTCCACGTACGGGAAGTAAGGTACATTACATATATTACACATGTACAATACAGCGGCGGATACCGTACGGGAACGCCACGGGACGGGATCTCACCGCCGTCAGGTCGCCCATCGCGAACTTCCCATGTTGCCAGTTCAACAACTTCCCCTGTTCGGCCCTTTCGCCTCCTCATTTTTTTTTTCGCTGTATACACGTCGATCGTCCCGGCCGCCATGGCCCAATACTATCCGCAGCAGCAGCCCTACGGCGCCCAGGCCTCCGCGCAAAACCTCCAGTTCTACCCTTCCTCCTACTCTTCGGTTTCGGGCCATACCACACCATCACAGGCATCCTATGGCGGCTTTGGTGCCGCCCCGAATCCAGGTGCGCCGGCATACCCCATGGGAGGAGTCGGCAGTGGGTATGGTGGCTTTGCGTCTCCGGCTGCTGGGGTCAGTGGGAGGATGGGCGAACAGAGTGGGCTGCGAACTGGCTGGTTGGCTGCGTTTGGGACGGAGGGATATGACGGCGAGCCACCGTTGCTAGAAGAGCTGGGGGTGAATTTCGAACACATTAGAACCAAGGTTAGCTCTCGGCCGCGCCGGTGGGTGAAAGACAAGCCAGCTGACTTGATAATTGCGCCTCAGACCTTGACCGTGCTTAATCCTTTTGCCCGCATCGATCAGCACCTCATGGACGACAGCGATCTCTATGGCGCGCTGCTCTATATCGTCCTCTACGGAACGTTCCTTCTTCTCTCCGGCAAGGTATTCTACGGCTATATCTACGGCGTGGCCGTCTTCGGGACCGTTGCCTTGCATCTAATCCTTAGCCTGATGTCACCGGCCCTCGACACCGTGCACACTCCCAATGCCGCCCACCCTACCAACTACGACCCTCATCATAAGCCCACCCTGTCCGACGCCTCGGCTGCCGGTCACTTCTCCGCCACCCTTACTTTCCCTCGCTCGGCCAGTGTGCTGGGCTACTGCTTCCTGCCGCTGGTTCTGACCAGCTTGGTCGGAATCCTCATCCCTATGGACACCATGTTTGGGTACCTGTTAACGACGGCAGCCGTGGGCTGGTGTACCTTCAGCTCCTCGGGAATGTTTTGCGCCGTCGCACGCATGCGGGGGATGAGGGGTCTCGTTGCATATCCGCTGGCGCTCTTCTATGTTGTTTTTGGTATTATGGGCATCTTTTCTTCACGAGGGAGTGGAACTCTGGCCGCCAAGACAGGTGCTGCTTGATGAATTCCACGCGTCGTTGACACTTCCAACAACACATGACTAGGCGGCCTAGTCGGCCCACTCCATACCGTCGCGCTCTGCCAGGCTCAGTACGAGAATTTATCATGAACGAGGCCCCAAGTGGCTAGAAAATGTATGGCCAGCGGTTTAAAGTCTAGATCTAAAAGCTCGCCACGACGAGTCCAAGTGACGGGCCAGGCGTGGGACAATCATAATCAAGTCCATCCATTTCCAATGTCTATTCAGCTCGTTGTCATTAAGAACATCCTTGCTTAGATTCTGTCCTGATTTGGCCGGGGTCACATCGCAGAGCAATTAGCTACCGGTTGACTGCTCACGTCAGAGCGCCAGATCCCTCACCCTGAGCAGGAGCCCAGTTCTCTAACCACTCCGGCGCCTTGTCCGTATTGCCCGCTGTGGCTTCGACCGCGGCAATGCACCATGCCAAATCGTACGTTTTCCCGCCATTCACCGTGCATTCCGTGGCCAGCATTTCCGCCTGCACGCGCCGCTGTTGGCCGACTTGGTCGGTGCAAAAATAGAAAGGCACGATATTCGGTCTGCCCTTCTGCAAACCAATGGCTTCAACTAAGGGTCGTACCGTGGCCAAGACAGTTGCCGCGGAAGGAGCATGGGGTTGAGGGTCATTGCTACGATCAGACGCGGAAGATTGCTTAGCCTGCCTCCCATTCTTGCAATACTCATTCCGACACCAAGATTTCCCGCACCCTGACATCATCTGAGAAAGATATCGACGTTCAATCCGGCGCTGTAGCGCCTTCCCCTCGGGGTCGTACATGTCCACGTAGAGGGGCCCAAAACAGATGCTGCAGAGGCCCAAGGTGTCGGTTCCCGAGGTAGCTGCAGCCTGCGCACTGCGACGGTCAACGGTCCGCCCACAATTCTGGTTCATACAGATGCAAGGGGGTGGCCGGGATACCCGCTCCAAGTCATGATGACGCAGGTGCGTCCTCATGTCTCGCAGACGAACGATCTTATTGCAAAGGTGGCATTCGGTCGTCCGCCCGCCATCTATCAGCTCGTGGGGGGTGAGCCCAGAAACCAAGACTTCCGGATCATGCATCTCCGGGTCTGAGTCGCCTTTTTGGGGGACCACGAGGTGACAGAACCGGCATAGAATCGGTTTCCCTGGGCAGTCCGTGGTGCGATGCTGAGCAAGCCGTGGCAGCCCGTCCTCCTCGAGCCCACAAGCACGGCAGCTCCAGTTGGTGTGAAAGATAGCTTCATGTCTTTGCTTGCTCGGCAAATCATTGCCATGAAACTCATCGCGATCGCAATGCCAGTGGTTTTGCCAGTCTAGTGACCTTCTCTGGAATACACTGTGGCAGCGAGAGCAAAATACGTTGTTCCGAAGACAGAAGTTCTCGTGCAGTATCAAAGACCGTTGGGGCACCCACTGGTGACAATTCTTGCATTGCACGTCCTCTAGATCATGCGACGCTGGGGCGTCTTCTGGACGTGTCTCATCATCGGCCGGAGAACTACCTGCCACGCGCAGACTAAAACGCAACGGCACGGATTGCTCGGTCGCCTTCTCATGCGATGTTGCCGGATGGGTAGTGAAGGCTAATACCGATATGTACAAAGCCTCTGCTCCCTCAAGCGCTGTGTTTGTCGGCTGGATTCTGATTCGCTTTGACGGTCTACCTGAAAAATCACTAAAGACGTGCTCGTCTCCCCTTGGACGATTCCGCTGCCGAGGGGAAAACGGACTGATCAACGGATAGGCATCTGCATGGTCTACACTCTCCACATCGAGTTCGACCTCTATGGGACAGTCCCGGCTCCAGCTGTGGAGTTCATAGTCCACGTATTCACCTGGGATTACTTTTCCAGCGACAGACTCTCCGGGTGCAAGTGCTCCGCCGATCGAAGAACCTGCTTGAGTCCCAGGCGCACGGGAAGCTTTCTCCAGTCGTTGTCGCAACGTTTCCTTGGCCTGGTCTTCGGACAGAGCCACAATATCGACTTCAAGGTCCGTGTCGACAACGCATATTCCGTCGCCATCGGGTTCCACCTTGTCGACCAAGAACCTGAAAGAGTCATCGCGACCGCCCGACACCATCAGAAGCTCGCCGGTCGTTAAGGTAGTGTAATTATCGCGCAGGTGACGCTCGAGCAGGGCCTTCCAATCCTCTGGATCATAGCCTGCTTCTAGGGGCCGCAAGCGGACGTAGGTGCCTTTGGGCAGCTGTTTCGCGTGGACTGTGACCATAGAGCGGGGCGGTTCAGTCGCCGGGCTGCTCGCAACGGGTGAGGACGAGGACCCTGGTACATGGTGATCGCTACTTTGCATCGAGGATTCGTTCTCGATTTCAAGAGCAGCACGGAGGAAAGCGCTCAGGCCAATTTCATTTTCTTCGGCAGAGAACTCCCGGATTCCGGCATACATCGCACGGCCATTTTGCGGGTTAACGACGCGAAACGTAAGCGGTTGGGGTAGTCGATGCTGGCGGCCCACCGCTTGCTCGCGCACTCTAGACTCAGCAGCGAAGGTATGAGGGTTGAGCGGATCGAAGGCAGTGGTGTACGAACGAGGAGGGCCCTGAGAGCTCACCTCCTGGAGTGGAGCAGCAGCCAGGAGCTGTTCCAGGGCAGATTGGGGCAGGATGATCTTATCTCCGGGCAGCTTGGGCGTGCGTTGGGGCGGGGTGACGTTGAATTTCGACGACCAGCGCAAAGGCTCTGGTGTCACAGCCATGATCTTCTCTCCTCTGGTGAGAATGACGCCAGCGAAGTTGGGTAAAGGAAGATCATGTGGAAGCGCATCTCCCTTCGAATAAATAATGAAAAGACTGGCGATGTCTGTGGAGAGATCGAGTGGAGGAAGCACGACGGCCGTTCTGGAAGCTACGGACGGGCGATTTGTCATCCAGCGGCAGGTCACGGGGACGAGGAAAGATTCCGGCGACCGAAGTAGAGAATTATATAGTAGTGTATAAATATAATACAGACGATTCAATGAATCGGGCCCTTCCCCTTTCAACAGATCTCTCTCATTCGATGGCGTGTACTTGTGTTGCACCAGTCACACTAGACAGACGAGCCCGTTAACTTTGGACCGGGGGTTCGGCAGACAGCGCTCATATGCTTACCATGGTTGCAGAACATCCCTCATTGTGTTCAATACAATAGTCGCCTCGGCAGTTCTGGCACATCCGTTGGCAGTCCACCTTGCACGCCGCGCACTGGAGGATTTATCAGTCTAAGATTGGCCGCTATCTCCGTGTGCTGCTACTTACGGTCGGTCCACACTCCCAGCAATCCTTGCTCACGCCGGGCCCGATCCTCTGCAAGATCAAGATTAAGGTCAGTATCACCCAGAGTCTGAGGGAGTGGTAGGCACATAGTGGTACATACTCTTGGTTCCTGGGACGAGTCGGCGCCGCGATTGTTGTCTCGGCCGCGCACTGCCGTTTGATGCGGAGACAAGTTACTCCTCACACGTTCAGGATGCGGTAGACAGCTGGTGCAGAACCACTTGTTGCAGCGATGACACCATCGATCATTCAAACAGCCCGCACAGCGGACAATCATAGCGGGGTGTTCATGCGGGAACAGCGCAGGGCGCTTTGCCACCGCAATCGAGGATGAATGAAGCGGAGGAGGGGTGAGCAGAGGGAATTGCTCGGGCGGGGATCGTCCCCAGATTGATGGGCCTTCGGGCGATGTATGGCAGCCGTCGCATCCATCGGGGCCTAGGGCAACGGTGGCAATTGCCGGTCCCAGGACGAGTCGATTGTCTCTCTGAGGTTCACCTTGGGACCCGGTCGACGGCGTGGAGAGCTCGACATCGTGCCGAGGTCCTCGACACAGCACCGCATCAAAAGCGATAACTCCCTCGCATCTCTGAATCGTCTGAGCCCAGCCATCCTCGATGCTTCGCTGGAACAGTCTTCCGGACGGACGGTACCACGCATTCTGGCAACACTGCGGACCCCCCGGTTGCTGGTCGTGGGGCGAGACGGGGTTTTTTGCAGCCGTTGCGCCACAAGGCGCTTGGCCAGCGCATCGTGAGCCCCACCAATCACGATACCTGCTCCGCACCATGGCCCGAGCATGATTCATGGGGGTGAAATGGTAGATGCCCTTAATGCGCGGGGCTCCCCGGGGCCGAGAGGGTCTGACGGCGTATTGAAGCACTTGCATTAACTTGCGCTCGTTTAGGTGGCGACAGTCTCTTATGGACAGAATGCGGACGTGGAAGCGCTCGTTCAGGATAATCTCGGCCACCAAATCGGCAGGGACCGCGAGACCATCCAGAACCAAGGTGCGCACATCTTGCAAAATCGACCGGCGCTCCAGGTTTGCAAAAACATGCCTCAAAGAAGCCGAGTAAAAGTCATCCTCGGTCAAGCCATCGTCCGCGTGCCCACTTCTGTGAAATTCCGAGTCAATTGCGTCTTTGGCAGGAGGGTGGGCGCCGCGGGAATGGGACAGGTTGAGGTGGCGGAACACGTAGGGCGTCTCGAGGATAGTGGCTTGAAGGAAACGTGAAGTCGATGCCAGAGCGAACAGGGACGAGGCCGAAAGGTAGGGTGCCATATGATCGAGAATCAGACTGTTGGACAAAACATCGACTAGCGAAGTTCGTCTGCGGGGGGCTACAGATATGGTGTTGAACCCTTGGGCGCAGGGCTCCTGACTTGCAGCATCATCCTCATCTGGCGACACTTCTCGAACGACCGGAACCAATCCGACTTCCTTCGGTGACAATCGACGAGAGCCGTAGAAGAACTCGGGGGGCCGACCGATGAGATTCTGACGATAGGCCGCCACGGCGCCTACGGCGATTTCATCTCCTTGCACCAATACGGGGGTGGGATTTGGCTGGATGTCCTTTAGGGCGGCCCTTGCCTTGGCCAGCTCGGTCTCTAGGAGATTAATGGTGGACTGTAGAACCACGGGCATAGCTTTGATGTCACCGGAGTCAATGGTGGTTGCCACAGAAGACCACAGCTCACCCCCGGATGTGGGCATAGTAGGCTATCCTCAGAGACAGAAGGGGAGGGGGGTGTAGTGAATAGAACAAGAAGGGAAACACGGTAGCTCTGGAGGAGTACAAGCAGCTCGATGATGGGAGGGAAAGAAAGTATTGGACTGGAGGAAGCAGAGAGAGATCGAGTCTGCCTTATATAATAACCAGGGGAGGGAGGATTGAAGGAAGCTACTCCGTAATAATCAGGAAGGAAGGCCAGCCGACAAGACTAAGGAGGGCATGCATATGTAGGACGTACGGGGGTACTACTGAAGTACTAGGCTGGGACGGTTAAAAGGAACAAAGAGATACTACTCCGTGATCGTCCCAAGTGGGACCCGCGGGAACGACCAAAAGAGCAAGTCCGGGGGGGGGTTCTAGAAAGTCGGTGGAAGATGTCTGGCACGGAGGACGGCGTATATTATCTCCTGATGCCTCCTGCGTAACTGCCAGTTCATCCGCGCAAGGATCGCAGGTCATCGGATCTGGCGGCCCCACCGGAGCCGAGACGCCGGAAAAGATCCGCGGGTCACGCGCCCCGTCAAACTTCGTGCCACGACGCGGGAGATCCTTCCCTTTTCTGCGTTCTTTCCTCCTTCCCCGATTGGACGGACTCGGCCGGTGTTATCTACTCCGTAACGACTGACTCATCTTCCCTGTTGGATCATGTGGTCCCCAATGGGGAGCGTTGGGTCTACAACTACTACTACTACTACTACTACTACTACTACTACTACTACTACTACTACTTCCTCCGTACGCGACGCAGAAATTCCTGGATGCGGGACTTTCCCGGTGGTATTCACCCAGAGCCAACCATTGGTATTGATTGCACGCTGCTTCTTCGTTCGCAATCGACATTCCTCAAATGCCTATCTACTTGAAAAGTTTGGAAACCGCCACCTCCTTGTCATCATGCTTGTTGAGAATCTTGGCGGTTGCCAGGTCGAAATCCTCTTGCGTAACATGCACGCGTCGTTCCCGGAGAGCATACATGCCCGCCTCGGTGCAAACGCCCTTCAATTCCGCTCCAGAGCATCCGTTCATTTTTTCCGCAATCTTCGTGAGATTTATACCCCGTGTCAGGTTCATCGATCGGGAGTGGATCCGTAGGATATCCGCACGAGCTTCCACCCTGTTTTGCCACGAACGAGAGTCAGCAACCTGCAGCGACGGATTGAGCAAAGGTTGGGGGGGTGGGGTGGACGTACGACGGAGGGGGGAACTCAATCTTCCGGTCAATCCGTCCCGGACGTAGCAAGGCCGGGTCAAGAATATCAAGTCGATTGGTAGCCATGACGATCTTGATGTTTTTCGTAGGCTCGAATCCATCCAGCTGGTTGAGAAGCTCCAGCATGGTACGTTGCACCTCTGAATCACCGGATCCTGCCGAGTCTATGCGGCTGGAGCCGATACTATCAATTTCATCCATGAAGATGATACTAGGGGCATGCTCCCGAGCCATCACGAACAACTCTCGCACCATACGGCTACCTTCACCAATGTACTTCTGTACAAGCTCTGATCCACTCACTCGAATGAATCGGCAATCCGTATGATGGGCGACGGCCCGGGCAAGCAGCGTTTTACCAGTTCCTGGCGGTCCGTATAGAAGAACACCTTTGGGCTGAGCAATGCCAAGGGACTCGAATAACTCGGGGTGCTTAAGACCAAGCTCGATGACCTCCTTGATTTCCTTGATTTGCTGGTCCAAACCACCGATCATATCATAGGTGCTGTCGGGGACCTTCTCGACCATCATGAGTGACACCAGCGGGTCGACGGATGAAGGTAGCATTTTCTCTAGCTTATAAGAATCAGACAGCAGGGCGACGCGCTTGCCGACGGTCAGCTTCCCGATATCGACACCATCGGCAATATCCACGACTAGCATCGAGCGGAAGGAGTCAGCAACGATGGGGTGTTTGTGGGGTTCAAATCGGCTGGGACACTATAAGAACGAACCGTATTTTCCTTCCGGGTGAACCTTGACCAGGACTTTCTTGGTGCTCATCACCTTCACCACCTCACCCACGTATGAACCAGGCTGTTGAAGCAGGCCCAGCTCCTCACGGAGTAGGCGCACCCTAGAGTTATAGTCATTGCGTTGCGCTTCCAGTCTTCGCAAAACAGCTTGTCCTTGAATAATCTCGAGCTTCATGCCCTCAATTTTATTGCGGTAATAGTTGTCGAGCGCCATGATGGACAGCTGACGGTGAGGCTCCTGGGAACTCCACCAGGGGTTATCCAGAACTTTGGAAGTGACTGGACCCTAGAGCGAATTGATGGTATGAGCCGCGTACAAATTATAGGGGCGGATGGGGGGGGGGGGGGGGGGGGGGCGCAGGATATTGTTGAGGCTGATGTGAAGGTTAGAGGGTGAGGAACTGAGGTCGTGTCAAGGTAGAAAGAACCAACTACGTAGGGTCGGAGAGCTGACCAGAAAGCAACCGACATCAGCCACTTCTGCACCGCCTCCTAGTTTCTAAGGCATCCGTATTATACCTTACGGTACCTAGGTATGGAGGAGGTACCTCGGGTGGCAGGAAGTTACCGTCAGACTCCAGTTTACGGTACGTACCTAGGTACTGTATGTATGTATGTACTAGGTATTTAATACCTAAGGTAGGTCCCTAAGGTGAGGTATCCACCTAAGCACCCGGACGTAACATTCGCTGCCTGGGTAACTTACCTATCTACCTCCCGCAGGTACATACATACACAGTAGCTATCTGACGGAAAGTTACTTGCTTACCTCCTTCCTCTTCCTTTCTTGACTCCTACAACTACTAAGGTACTTCCTCCCGATTTTCTCAACCTCGGATTTCAGTGACACTGGCATATGAGACATCTGTGTCTAGTCCATATTCAATCCTGTCCTTATCATAGATGATTTCACAGTAATTATTTCTTTTTCTCATCGCTCCAATATTCCACGAGGTCTGAGACCTCAGCTGACTGCGGGGACCGAGACCCAGGTATCTCATGATCTAATTACTACTACCACTAGCTACATATATAGATCTTGCGAATTTTGTCCCCCTCTTTCCTACTCGATCGACAATTCTCTTCGCTTCGTTTTCGTCATATTGAAGAAGGTTGTCCAAATCCTTGAACATCTGGAAGGTCCATTACAACATGTAATTGGGACCTGCGTCAACCAAAACCCATCTCTGTTTCGAGTGCAGGCCACTTTTTCTTTTTCCCCCTCTCTTTTCTAAGGGAGGAGAAGAGAAATAGAAACCGAAAACCGAACCCAAAAAAGAACAAAAAAATTTTATTAAAAAAAGGGGGGGGAGAAAAGACAAGTTCCGTCCATCAATATCTTAGACCTTCTTAATTTTTTCCAGCCTCCTCTCTCCGGAAATACACGTCCGGCGACCGAACAGGAACAGAAAGCATTGACCGAAGGAGAAACCGGAGTCTAGTCAGATTCAATGGACAGTAGACAGGGAGACCGTGGGCTGTCGCGTCCCTCGCAAAGCGAAAACCGATCATATCTCGTCTCGAGCGCCGAGGGCGATGACATGTCATCGGGGACTGTTCGTCAGTCCAGAATGACTGCACAAACTAGAAGAAGCTATGGTGTGACCCCATGTCCTACTGAGAATGACGCGAAGGGATGACTTACGAGGTTTGCTTTGTGCAGGTACTATAGATCCCACTAATAGAACGGGTTCTGGATCGCGCCCAGACGAAACCCTCCCAGAGTCCTCAAGTCGCGCTCCTACGTCTCAATCACCATCCGCCGGAACTTTTCACGCCGACAAACCAAGGAAGCCACCCGTCACCCGCCGCATGTCTTCGAAGCGCCAGGTCCCTCATAAAGGACAAGAGTTCTCTACGGAGGATGATGTTCAAGAAGTTGAAGAAGACATAGCCATGCAACAAGCAACCCACCCTCAACCTTCGCCGAGAGCTCGTCCTTTAAGAAAGCAAAATTCGACCATCCGACGGAGGGCCAATCCTCGAGTCACCCCGTTGACACGAGCAGAAGCAGATTCTGACAACGATAGAGACGACCAGCTAGGTTTGCCGGGATCGAGTCTCGAGCAAAGTGGTACGGATAATTTCTCTCGGCAGCCAGACCTCGACTTTCAAATCAGTGGTGGTAGTGGTGGTGATGATGGTGGTGGTGGCGGTGATGATGATGATGGTGACGACCACAACGACAACGACGACCACAACGATGGCGACGACGACGATGTCAGCAACAGCGAAGAGACTGGCAAAGACAACGGCGAAGACGATGACGCCGAGGCGACCAGTGATGCTGAAAGCTTTACGCTAAAGGATCGTCAACAGGCTATCAACGAAACCCATCCTTTTGGAATCCGGATTTGGAAACCCGCCTTGTACAAAAAAAGCCGCTCAGTTGAAAAGACCGCAGAAGGCGATATCCACTCGTCTCCGGGCGGTCGTGTAGGAAACTTGCTTCTCCTAACCAACTTGTTATGGACTGTGTTCTTTGGGTGGTGGCTCGCCCTGGCAGCTCTTACAGGTGCTGTCGCATGCTTTATCTTCGCTTATTCCTCCAGTGCCGTGGAATACGGGCGAGTCTTTTCGGGGCTTTCTTGGTATCTTCTATATCCGTTCGGTTCCTTTGTACGGCTAGATACCGATGAGAACTACGCGGAGGAAGATGAAGGTGAAGGCCGCAGCATCAGTGAGTATGAGCAATGGCAGAATGGTGACTTGGAGCATGGCAGGTTATTTTTTGGTCCTCGCCGCAACCAATCTTTGGTGGGGAGGAGAAGAAACAGCGTCGATTCCTCCAGCGAACAAGATAGCCTTCTGGGACGAGCTCGTCGGGGCAGTTCTCAAGACAGCCCCCTAGGCCATTCTAAGCGACGTTTATTTGGCCGAGGAGAGTGGACTTTGGGACGCGTTGTCTTCTTCGTCTTCTTTTATTTTCTCGTGGGACCGCTGATGCTCCTGGTGTCGCTCCTATGCTGGCTCCTTGTCTTCTGGATTCCCATGGGACGTGTAACCATCATCTTGTTTGACCACCTTCGCCGCCATCCGCTAGCCCTGTCGTACCATTCTGATTCATCGTCTACGAGACACGGCCCCGGATCCGCTTCGTCCGTCTTGTTATGCACCTACCGCGCTGCTGGTTTGAGATATTGGAAATACACCGTGGGCGGCACTAACATCTTTTTGATCAACCTTCTTGGTGTCGTCTTATTTGTCATTGTTGATTACTTTCTTCTCTTCAAAACCCTGGGTTTCCAAGGTTTGTTAACGCATCCTGGCCTGATCTTTGCCCTTGCCCTTGTTTCCATCATCCCTTTGGCCTACTTTATCGGCCAAGCTGTTGCCTCCATATCGGCACAGTCATCCATGGGCATGGGTGCGGCCGTCAACGCATTTTTCTCCACCGTGGTTGAGGTTTACCTTTATTGCGTAGCCTTGACCGAGGGAAAGGGCCAGCTTGTCGAGGGCAGCATCATCGGCAGTATCTTTGCGGGTGTCCTCTTTCTTCCCGGGCTGTCCATGTGCTTCGGTGCGATCAAGCGCAAAACCCAACGCTTCAATGTCAAGTCGGCTGGAGTAACTTCCACCATGCTAATGTTTGCTGTGATTGCTGCATTTGGACCCACGCTTTTCTACCAGATATATGGCAGTGTAAGTGTCAACATACCTACCTTGACTGCGCTGGATGCTAATGATCTATTAGCATGAACTCAATTGTCGTCCGTGCCTTGTCGGTGCGGAATCTGGCAGCAGTGATTGCCGCCGTTGCTACTTTTCCCAAATTCCGGCCGTCAATGATAGTTTTTTCCGAAAGGCGGTGCAGCCTTATTCGTGGTTTGCAGCGCTGTTTCTGTTTCTATCATATATCATTGGCCTGTGGTTTACATTGAGGACCCATGCGGCTCTTATTTGGGCTACAGAGGCCGAGGAAAAGAAGGCCGTGGCGCTCGCTCAAGAGCAGACGCCTTATGGACCAAGACATCTTCTCTTTCACAACGGGTCATCGGGGCTTCCCAGTGGGAGCACCGGGCCGAAAGGCTCTGTGCGCGACTCTCAGCTTTACAAGCGGATCTTAGGACAGTCCCTAAGACATGTCGGCCTGTCAGATGTTGCAGCCGAATCTGCGACAGAACACTCCGAGCCTAGCGTGAGGCGTAACAAGGGAACCCCCCATCTCGTTCCGCCTCGTTCGCAGGATGATGAAGATTATGACTCGGGGTTCAAGAACTTCGGAGTATTATCTAGCAAGGACAACGAGCATTTAGTGCGCCAAGTAACAGAGGTAGCAGCAACTGCGGCTGCTGTTGCTGCGCGAGATGTCGCTCGAACTCGGAAACCGTCCGTCCAGCATCCACCGCCTCGTCAAGGCAGCAAAGGCTCTGCAGACCCTGTAAAGGCCGTGCTAGAGGAACACGACGATATCGGACTCGAACATGGCCACACCAGTGGCGGACATGACGCGCCTAACTGGAGCAGGGCCAGAAGCTCCATAATTCTTCTGGTAGCCACAATTCTCTACGCAGTAATTGCAGAAATTCTTGTCAACACCGTTGATGTGGTGCTTGAGAGTGTCGATATTGACGAGAAGTTCCTTGGCATCACTCTCTTTGCTCTGGTGCCCAACACTACCGAATTCTTGGTATGTTTACCCTTCGCCTGATGTAGCTGTACATGACTCATACGATGTGGCAGAATGCTATTTCCTTCGCCATGCACGGAAACATCGCGTTGTCCATGGAGATTGGCTCTGCGTATGTGCTGCAGGTTTGCCTTTTGCAAATCCCTGCCCTCGTGCTCTTCAGCGCCATTTATGCTCAATTAATAGAGCCCGCAGAACTACTTTCACGGTCTTTCAAGTGAGTGAAATTTCGTAGTTCTTGGTTCCCCTCTAGCCCCAGCCAAGAAACCCCGACTCCTTGGTTGGTGAGATGAATTGGAAGAAGCTAACATCTTTGTAGCCTCATATTCCCTCAGTGGGATATGATCTCGGTCATTCTTTGTGTTTTCCTTCTATCATACGTACATGGAGAAGGGAAGAGCAACTACTTCAAAGGTTCTATTCTTGTCTTGACGTATCTGGTCGTCGTGATCGGCTTCTATCTTTCTGGGTACAGCAACATGGACACCATGGGTATTGATCGCTTCGATACCTTGGCGCTTGGGTCTGAAAACTCCGAAAAATTCTACACTATCGGCAGGTCAAGAAGCGGCCCCGCTTATTAGTCAACTGATGTTAAGAGTACGCTACGAAACCATGGTAGGGCGAGGGAGGGCAGAGCGGTACTTGGGGGAATATCCAACCCCATCGGGCTCTTGGTATATTCGCCTCCATCGCGCTTCGTTCGGGTTTAAAAAAATTTTTGAGCCGATGGATGTGTCATTTGGGAAGATCTTTAGCTTACTGTTGGAAATAATCAATTTGTCTGATTACCACGAGAGACTTGTCTCACCAAATAGAGAATCGAATGCTCATAGTGGTGATACCAGTTAGATAGCCCCAAAGACATTGCTAAAAATTGCACATTCCATTCATATATTGATGAGTATCCAACGAGATATCCGCTGATAAAGTGGAAAAAAACAACCTCCACCATGAAAAGTATTCTTCTGGGTCCGAGACTTACGCTTGCTTCCAGGTATTTACAACTTGATCGACCTGAGCACGGTATTCTTGCTGTTTGTAGCACTGCTCAAGGAATACTTTGTACTTGACATCGAGCAAGCGTCTTTCGTTCATATCATCCGTGGGAACAATCTTTTTTCCGGGCTTGCTCATACGGTCCATGATTTCCCACAGATCCTCCGTGTGACCGTCGGCGTCGGCGCTGGCAGCCTTGGCACCAAGCATTGCTGCGCCATGGCAAACGGCAGCGTGGATATATCGGGGAATAAGAACGGGCATGCCACACGCGGACGCAATAAGCCTCACTAGTATGTCATTTTGGCATTGAGATCCCGACATAAAGATGGAGGTTATGCCGTGACCAGCCTGGTTCATGGTCTCAACGATCTGGCGAGTCTGCAGGGCAATGAACTCAAGAGTACCGTAGTAATAAACTGCCAGACCATCCACTGATTTATCGCTTGAAAGGCCGACCACAGAGCCTGTCATCCCAGAGTCTGCAATGGGCGATCGGTTGCCCCAAAGGTCACCATAGAAGAAGAAGTGACGGCCCAAATAGGAGACACTAAGAGCTTTTTGCTCATGGGCCATCTCTTTCAGGTGCTCGTTCAGATATTCATAAATATTCGCATTGTACGACTCTGCAATTGAAACCGCCTGGTTGAATGCAGGGTGCGTCTCAATAACATGCTTGAGCAATTCGCCCGTGGCTGACTGGCCCCCTTCAGCCATCCAGTAGCCCGGTTGAATCGTGTCTCGATAGGGACCCCACACGCCCGGCACAAAAACAGGATTTGGCGACATTGCTAGATGACAAGTGGAAGTCCCGGCAACTGCAGCCAGGCGAGAGAAGGCCTGCGTTTTGTCGTTATTGGCGACACCGGAGCTCAGCTGGTCTGACTCTAGGTTGACTTTAGCTCCAACCGTGCCAATCCAACCCGCATAGGCATCAATGACGCCGCTTCCGATGGCAATTCCTGCGGGGAGGCCAAGTTCGCCAGCTGCTTTGTCGCATAGCGTCCCGACCAGTTCGCCGGCACTAAGATAATCTCCGTTCTAGGCTCCGGTCAGTTGTCAGCCATTTCAGGACGGAGAAGATGCCAGCGCATTTTGAAAGGACCCGGGGGAAATAAGAAAAGGGGCTCACCACCCCATCAACGCCTCCCATTCGTTTGAAATCATCTTTGGCCAGGTCTTCAAGACCGATATCGGCCAGAAAATCTTCTTGCCATCCTTTGACACTTCCATCAACACCAACAGGAACGTAGCCCTGTTTGCAGACAACACTGCAGAAGCTCCTCTTCTCATTTCCGGTGGCGATATGAGTTAGTGCGTCGGCCAAATCATAAAATTTGCACTGATCAAAAAGCTCCTTGGGCATGTTGTTTTTCAACCACAGAACCTTGGGGACCTCCATTTCGATGGACATCCTCCCACCCACGTAGCGGAGCAGGTTGTGATTCGTGGCATTCACCTTCTCGGTCTCATCGACGGGGCGATGATCCAACCAGAGGATCACATTGCGATCCGAGTCGAAATTGGGTCCCGTCACAGATACGGGCTCATCGGTTTCATTGGAAAACACCGACAAGGAGCAGGTTGCATCGAAACCGATGCCCCTTACGGTATCTGGATCAATGTTATGTTGACTTATGGCACGCTGGACGGCAACACAGATGCAGCGCCAAATGTCATCGGTAGATTGTTCCTGGACAATGCGTTTAAGTCAACGCTCCTGGTGGTGATTAGAGACGAAAGCACCCACATAGTATCCTTGCTGGGGCTGCCAAAGCCCGATGTTTTCGGATGCTAGGCCCACAATGTCGCCCTTGCTATCGATGATACACGCACGAGCACTTCCCGTTCCAACGTCGATGCCAATATAGTGGTCGATATGAACCTGGATATCGTCACGGGTGTCCCTGGCCGCTTGCCTAGAGCCCTGTCGAGATGGACGCCTATATGGCAGTTGGGTCGAGGAAGACATGACGGGAATTCAAAGGAGCAGGGTGGACTTTGCTATAGTTGACTTCAATGTTGACAAAGTGACCACGAGACTGGACCCGGTATACAGTATCTATAGATGGGACGGTACTTGTTTGCTCTTTGTGGATCCAGGAAGCTCGACGATGATGAGAAAAGAGAAAGAACCAGCAGACTAGCCAGCACGTCGGCGGCAGAAAGAAATTGAAGAGGAGACCAAGGCAGCCCGATTGATACCTTAATATATAAATACCCAATCCAATCGCCGGGCTACTAAGCATGACAGCATTCTTCTTGGTACGACCGGCCTTCACCGCCTCTAGAGGTACCCATTCTGTACGTACCGTATTTGATAAATTACGGTATATAAATTACGACATGTATCGACACCTTAGGTAACCTACCCATGTACTGTACATACCTGCATACATACTATACCACAATTCCAACTTTCAATACATACCTAAGGTAATTATCTTCCTGCGGTACCTACTCCGTAGTATGTACTACTCCGTATAGCTAAAGGCCCCGTCCCGATGTTGCAATTCATCAGCATCTTGCCGGCCCCTTCACCCTCTCCTCGCTCATTCATGATGCGCTCTTCGACCATCCTTCTTTCCGTCATATTGGTCATATGCTCTGGCTGTCTTGCCAGTCATTCCCTTGTCACCGCCGACGTCTTCTACTGGCCTGTGTCGTCTCTCGAACCGTCAATTCTCGCTCGCATCTCCTATGATCCCGCCACCACCTCCACGCCTGACCTAGTCTCTTACACTCCCCCGAGCCCTACGAACGATGCTGAGGTTCAGGACCTGGTCCGTGTCGGCCTATTCAAATCGACATTGACACATTCAAACCAATGGATTGGTACACTCACCTCACTCTCCGTTCTCTCGAAGGCCCGAAATCCTCAAGCCGTCATCCGGCTTCACTTGGACTCCTCCAATGAAATTTACCACGTCTCTTTAACCCCGAAATCGACATCGACATCAACGGCCTCCTCATCTTCGTCGGGGCCCATCATCGAGCTGGTCACCAGCGACGCAGGGCCACGTCCGCACCTAAACCGACCGATTATCGTTAGTCCGGACGGTGGAAACCCCGAGGATGCTGTGGAAAAAACACTCTTTCAGAAGTATGTTCTCTGTCCCGATGCTCGGGTGCCCGAATGTTTCATCTTGCATTTATGATCTAACATCTTCTAGATATTGGTGGGTCTTTCTCATCATAACTTTCTTAGCTATGTCTGGAGGCGGGGAAGGGCAATAAGCATACGCACATCTGCGTGTCTTCTTTCGTCGTGATCTTTCCTTCTCTCTCCCGATCTGTCTGCTCTCGATCACAAGACGATCTGCCTATGGTTGCTCAATACCAATGAAAGGGGCGCCGCACCTCGCACCGGAGCCGACAGAATCCGCCAAATGATGTCTGGTCTCATTATTGCGACGTCCATGATACCTAGTCTTTTTTGTTTTCTCTTTTATGCTACGTATCTCAGGCACTATAGTGTAGCTGTTCGCATGTCGGTGTTAGAAAGTAGCACGCCGCGTTTTGGCCCAATCGGTGGCATGTCAACCTAAAAACGCCAGGCTAGCAAGAACTCACGATAGATGCCAGTCCCGCTTATTCCATGTTCGTTGCATAGGGAAGTTCGTGGACAACCCTAATAGTTATGACTCGGGCTTTAGTCTTCATGACCTGGATACCGTATTCAATTCGTTCTACCCGATTAACGGTATGTTGACTGGATTGATGCTTCGCAGACTGTTGACTAGTGATTTCATGCACGAGGGAGCTGCGATCTACGGCACAGTGTTTGACTACAATGATAGCGTAGCCCATATATCGATCTGTCCACTGTTCACATCATACCCTGAGTCAGAGAATACATTGATTGTGCTTGCTGTCAAACCCCTCGGACATGGCGCTATTTTCATCAATCTGTTTTAATGTCCAGCCGTTCAGTTATTCTCAGACCTCGCCCGGACGGATGGAAATTCCAGTGCATCACTCCCCGATCCGTAAAGGCTATTAGCTCGTCTTCGTTGTGCATAAATTGCAATTTGAAGCAGACCGCGTCCAGCGGAAGCACCACAGGCCGTATTTCGATTGTTTTACTGCTTCCGGATTGTGCAGAAAGCGGATAGAATTCATTCCCATTCTGGTCGATAAGCGCCCCGGGCTCTAGGGCCCAGACATAGAGGACCTTCCAGTTAGCCACAGCAACCCGAGTGCCGCCTTTTGAGGCGGCGACAATACAACCAAGGGAGTTGGTTGAGTTTTGAAAGCCCCAGAGCCGTGCGACCACAGTCCACTCAGGAAATCGTCGACCTCGCTCTAAATTCATAACATGTCCACAATTCCGAGACTGGCAGACAGACTCGGACTTCAGCAAACAAGCGACAGTCCAGTCTTCTGCACGATGTGTAGCTATGCCAAAAGCAAGGTACTTCCATTGACAGAGCGAGCGACCATTCTCAGTATGCGTGGAATGTGTCCCAAAAAAAGGGATTGCAATGGAGAACAGGAGACTCAGAGAATCCGAAAACCTTACCAGACAGGAATTGTCGTACAACGTCGGTTGAACAGGAAAAGACGACATGTTAATTCTTTGAAATGACCCATATAGAGTCTGTGCACGATAGTAGTAAAGCAATTGGCTTGATCTGTCATTGAACGCCAGATCTATTACTGGGCCCCTTTCGTGAGGCAAATGACTTCTGGGCACTCTTGCCTGGAGATAGTCGGGATTAAGTCGCTGTCTAGATCCGTCGACTAGAACACAGGAATTGTAGTTGAGCTCTGGGTAAGGCTTGTTAGACGGCCATGACAGCAAGACCCGCAAAGAAGAAAGCGAGGTGAGTGGACAACCCCAACAAAAAGTAAAGAAAAGAAACCAGGAAAAAGGGACGGGAGAGGGAAGGGGAGGAGGCTAGAAAAGAAGGGGTTGATGGGCCCAACTACAGTCAGACAGAAAGAAACAAAAAAAAAAAAAAGAACGAACCGATTGTTCCCGACCCATCATCGCTTCTTGATTCAGCCAACGCGTTGTAAAGAATGACTTCATAATCATCATGCTCGCGAACATGCTGCCAAGATATGGCAAACGTATCTCTGTGGGCAGCTGAGAGAGCCAGAGGGCGATAGTCTGACTGGTCTGGGAATGCACACACTCGAACGGGATCATGGGGGGACCGAAACGAATGGCGGGCAAGGTAGATCTGACCGCCACCAGCGCTTGACTGCAGGGCTTGCCTGACAAATGGATGCTCCGCTTCCAAGTCATCTTCACCCACAGCAGGAGTGAAGCTCTGAAGGACATAAACACCATCGTCGCCGTCGAAGGCCGTTCTGAGTACTTGAGTTTTGCCTGGCTGGTCTAGAGACAATTTCAATTGAGCTTTGTGTCGCAGACCTCCACTTTCGGCCTCGAAGATATGGATACCTTCCTGGCCTCTAAGAACAAGAGCAAGGATTTGGTCATCAGGAGCGAAGGAGGAGGCCTTGGCATCGAGTGTAATTTCATCGGCCTGAAATTTGGTGCAATGTGCACGAAATTGGGCGCCGTATAACTGTCGGTATGCACGGCCCACAAGAACCCGAAACAACTGCTTTGACTGAAGTGATTGTGTGTCAAGTTGCGAACCTGGAGTGTGGCGGAGATGATGCACGATAAGCTCCCGGCAGCTGGACGCAACCTCATATAGAGTGCGACAAGAAAACGCGGCTTCTAGGAAGGTGGGCGTGTTGGAATGGTGGAGAACAAGTTCAAGTAATTCTGTGGGGAGATCTAAAAGCATGGCATCAATCTTGGCCCTCGATATGAGGAAAACCCTCGTAGGCGTAGCAGGAAGATTTCGCGGGTCGAGGTTCTATACAGCCGGAAGGCAGATCACGGAGAGAATCAGGTTCAGGTGTTTCTAGCAGGACTCGAGGAGGAATTAAATACATCGTGATCTGCCATTTGGTGGGGAAGGCAAGCGTTGCGGCCTGCAGGCATCCACCCCCGTCGTTGCCTGGCAATACCGACTCTCTCTACTTTACCCACGTACCTTACCTGCCTATGTACCGGTACCTACCTTTAGGTACCTCGCCTTGAGAGGCTACGATGGTTACTGCCTTCCATTTCCCCCTTGGATTGTATTCGAATATTTCTTGGTGCGCTTTTATCTCCTATGCCACCAAAGACCATGCTGTCTTTCCTCTGGCGATTTTTTGTGTACCAACCGGAGTAGGTGGCCTGTCTGTGATGACAAGGAACGTAAGAACGTATTATTTCCATCTAGCTAACACCAGAAAATGCGTGTACTTGGATCATGCCCTAGAAGAACAAGAAAACAAAAAGGGGCCTGATATTTCCTGACATGTGCGAGAGTGTTCAAGTTGATGCTCTGTCATCACGAGCCAAATGCGAAGCAGTCCATTCCAGAACACTTTCGTAGCACAAGACGAACTGGCTCAAGTTCTGCACCATGCTGGGTCTTTGCATACGAAAATCAGCAACGGCCTTCGCTATGAGATCTAAGTTTCCATTGTGGATCCCCCTTTCATGGGCGGAGGCTTCGGTTGGGCCCATCTTTCGACATGTGGCACCCTCCAGGGGATCTTGTTTCAGCATGCCCAAGACACTATCGACGGTGCAGAAGGAACCAGTGCGGCCACACCCGGCACTGCAATGCACCAATGTGGGCCGTGGTTGCTTGGGATCCACCGAGTGGTTGGGGTGATTGTACGTTGTGTTGGCTGTGGCATTCCGGAGTTTGTCACACTGTGCGATCAATTTCAGGAGATGTGTTGGCTGCGAGGTAGTGCCGAAATCAGGCCAGTATGGGTATTGTAGTTGGGTGACCTCACGAAGCGGCTGGAATGGGAACGCAGAATGTGATAGGCTGAAATACCTCACAATAATGCAAGAGTTTTCGGAGTCCTCATTCGAGTCCGAGGACTTCTTCGGTCCGTGGTCAACTTGCTCCAAGCCGGGAGAATCCATGTAAATATATTTCTGAGCAAAATTATGGATCTGAAAAGGTCCATATGACCCAGATTTCCAGTAGGGATGACACTTGACCTGGCCTCTTTCTATCTCTGCAGTTAGAGAAACGATAAGTCTCACGTCCTGCTCCCAGATCACACGCCAGAAATCCTGTGGTGCCATTCAGTTAGTTTATGTGAGAAGTCCCTTCCTTTCTTCCTTTCATCTATCTCACTCCAATGAGGTGGCTCAAAACGTACATTAAATGTATCCGGCACAGGAGCCTGGGTGGCAATATAGAATTTGTCACTATACTCCGCCTTCATGTAATTCGCATTCACATAGTCACAACCATCACGAGGAACATCCTGTAGTTTGACTCTGGTATGGTCAAAAGGGTATACGTCGTTGTATCTGTTCTTGGTGCCCTTTTCGATTCCCGCAACCCGGAACTTGCTTGATGATGCGTCGACCGATGGGGATTCGGCAGATCTACTGTATGATAAGGCTTGCTCCATGCGCTCTAGCTCTCTTTTCTCGAGGTCCAAGAACTTTTCGGAGACGTTCAATCCTTTATCCGCCGGATCGGCGACTTTGCGAAGCCAGGCTGGGAGCATTTTCCTTTTGGCTTCGGTAAGCCCCTTTGGAAGCTGAAGGGGTATTTGACCGACACCACCAAGTAGATCCATGTGTTGGCGAATGTTACCAAAGAACGGGATGGCCGGGCGAGAGGCGTCCGGTAGGGCACACCCACCGGAGATCGGGGCACCTGATGGAAGATTGAGATGCATCGAAGATGGCTTGGACGAATTCTCGGGCACTGGCGATTGCTTTTGGATGAACCCAGGAAAGCGGTCGGAGAAAGTATTGAAGCCACCAAGCAATACCAGCCCCTCGCCATCCCAGCCTTCGACAGTGAACTTTTTGAGTACATTCACTAGCGGTAAGGCATCCTTGATATCAGATGTGGCTGCATCATACACGGCGATGTATCGGCACTGTCTCCATTTTGCAAAATTCCGCCGGTCAGATTCATCCGTGAAAGTGTTTTCCAGTTTCTGCGTATTAAACGAAGGACGCTTTAGTAGAGTCGTTGGAATACAAAGATTCAAAGAACCTTTGATGTTTCTTTTGGCAAAATGTGCATATGGCCGCACGTCTAACAGCATGACATCATGCTGACATGAACCAAGCAGCTCCGCACAGTGTTCAGCTGAGACGGCATGGCAATTTCCGAATTTCGGCTCCAACGGGGAGGTGCCAGACCGAGCTGAAACAGGCGCGCTTTTGTTCATATCACGGTTCAACGACAATTTAAGAATCGAGGATTCTTTGCATTCTTCAGGTTCAAACATAGTCTTCCGAGGACTCACGTTACCATCAGGCATTTTTTTCTGGTGCACGGACTGCGACGTCGAACCGGGGGCAGCTTGAGAGAAGGATGGCGCGTCCCGACTTCTGGTGTTGGCAGAATTGTCCACGCTGAACGAGAAATAGCCAGAACCAGGGCAATCGGCGCTTGCATATTGGGGATACGTGCCAGGACTGCGCGGAGATGCATGAGAGTCGCGTAGAGGGAAAAGAGGCGCTGTAGTTGAATGACCTGCAAGCTGCAGGTTGGAAGACTCCGGAGGCCAGGGAGAGGAGGGCGATCTTGGACCTGTCATAGCAGACATAACTTGTTTCCAAAGGCAAGATATTCTGCGCTAGTTTCTGATATGCCGGATACCAGAATCAAACCTATAGGTTCCTTGCCATCTCGAGATGATCGCAACGAACGAACGTCTGGCTAAGAGTTCACTCAGACTTCGGCATAGATAGCAATCCCCAAATTTAGTTCCGTCAAGGCGTTTCTGTAGCCGACTCTCGTAGTTTAGGGGGCCAAAGAGAAGGCAGGGAATCAAGTGTGCCGAATGGAATATGTGGCGAGTGAAAGGAGATCTTGACCTTGGAGGGCCTGCCAAGTCTCGTGGGCAATGCTGGAGGCGGCGCTCAACCCGCCACAGACAAGTACCGGGCTGGTAGCGAAATCTCCTAGGGAAGAACTGTGTACACTGGAAGAGGAAGGAAAAGACTGAAAGAGACGTGTAAGTGCACAATCTTGCTGCTGCGATGACGAGGAAATAAATTTATATACGGGAAGACCCAAGTGGTTGCGAAGATAGCCAGAACGGAACAAAGCCAAAAGGTTGGACTCTGTACGTAGTTCTCTGACTGAAACGACGGTTGTGGCTCACACAAGTCTCGCACTTTTAGGGGGGCCGAAAATGATGGCAGAATGGCCTCTCGAGCAAAGTGCCTGGACCAATGGAGGGCTCAAGAGAGGGAAAGTGGGGATAGGAGGGGCCTGGCTGATATCACTGATCCACCGCCATCTTGGGGCACGAAGGAAATCGGGTCAATGATAGATAAGCGAGAGTATTTTTCTTGGAAGGACGAATGGAGGTGAGGGAAGATGGGAGAACAAAGTAGTAGCAGTTTCTGGATATGACGTTATGGGGTGGGTGGCCGGCTAGACGGCGGCGAAAGCCAAAAAGGGAGGGAGGGAGAGAGAGAGAGAGCGCGCGCCTGACGGTCTGGATCTAGAATGGCCACTACCTTACGGAGTTGGGACTTGGGAGCTAGTACCGTAGGTAGGTGGTATGTATCTATGACGTCATTAGAGTACATCCCTACATAAGGTATGTACCTCCCTGCCCACGGCGCAAGGTAGGCAGGCATGGAGTGGGTAGGTACCAGCAAGTTACCTACCATACCTAAGGTACCTACCTAGGCATGTAATGGGTATTTAGACTGGTATCTGTATCAGGACCGCCCGTGTATCAAGTACTGTACATACAGTACAGTACCTACTAGTATTTAAGGTATATTGATTATTTATGTATGTACCAGGTATGTACACGTATGTATGTATTGTGGATCTTGCAAGGCCGGGCAGACCTCCTCCCTGGCTCCATAGGCCTGGACTCCGTGATGCTATTTTGCCGGGCGATAGAGACCGTGCTGAGAAAATATCGGGATCTCGGATTAAGGCCCAAAAAGTAGATTGCATGCCTTTGCTTGTTTTCTTTTTTTTTTTTTTTTTTTTTAAAATTCCTCCATAGACTCATAGTTTGCCATCCGGCTCGCCCTTGAATCTTTGAACTCGTTTCTGCTCCCAATCATCTAGGTCCTTGGCCATGAGCCTCTAATCAAGAAGTGTTAGAAATCAACAAAACCCCCTCAGAAATTAAGCAAGCGTCAGAACCAACATAGTATTCTTCTCTTTCATCTCCTATGACTCTTCTGCGGGGATTTCTCTTGATGCCCTCCTCCCCATCGGGACCCTTCAAGCCAAGGTCCATTGCCTCCTCTTGGCTTAGTTGCTTTACTTTGCGATCGTATCGTTCGTATCTCAAGGCTGCGGCTGGGGTTAAGGCGAACGAGCCAGCGACTATAATCATCACGAAGGGGAGGCCGAAGAGAAGGAAGGGGTGCCGGGGAAGACTGGTTCTGTACGCCGCGCCAATTCGCTCGCCGAGCGAAGATGACGCGGTTGTTGCTCGCCGGAACGTTTTGGCCTGAAAGACAGGCATCGTGGAGTAGAGAACTCTTGCGAATCCGCAGATGCAAATAACGAGTTGACCGGTTGGGAGAAATTCGTCACGGCCGTCGCAATCTGATTCCGGCGGAAGGGCCACCGGCGAAATATAAATCCGACATAGCTAGATTTGGTAGCACCCCCAGGAAACCCGATTTTCGTAAACATTGAGCGCCAGCGCAAGAAGGTGAATTTTCCGGAATCCAGGCCACTACGGGCCAAGTACCTCGCATCAACGCCGGATTGTGAGCGAATCTTCGATTGTCTCTCATCCTTCTCAACGCTGAATTCCCAGACTCCAACCATCGTTGGACGACAGGACAGGAATTCTCTGCCAATATCCGTTCCTTCCTCTCACCTGAGTGAGGGCTCAACAGGGCCTGCTCGATGGCTTCGGCGAATTCAAACCCTCTATTCGGGGGCGGCTTAGGAGCTTCCACGCCATCGTCAGCTCCTTTCCCCCCGAACAACCCGGCAAGTGTTTTTGGGAATCCTTCTGCCACTCAGGCCCCCGCCAACGGTTCTCTATTTCAATCGCAACCCCAGCAGCCGCCCGCTCAGTCTTCGACATTTGGACAGAGCCAGATCCAAAATAATGCGGCGCCATCTTCACAACTTTCTAGCCAGACAACGCAACCTGCGTTCTTTAATAGCCTATTGGAACGTGGTAAAAAAAGGCCACTGTCGGCCCTCGGGCAAACAAGTAATTTTGAGCAGCTCCCCAGCCTTCAATTGGGACTTGATGATATCCGAAGAAAAGCTCGAGAGCTCGGGACCGGGGGTTCAAAAGATTCCCAGCTGCAAGCATCAAGCAGTAAAGCGTGAGCTCCCAGACCGCAGTGCCCAATGGCGCTCGCATCCTTCTGTGACATTTCTGACTCGAAATTATCCCAGCCATTATCTACTCGCCGCGTCAGGTATTTCTCCGGGGCATGCATTGCGGGATCTCAAAGCCTTAGAGCCTCAAGGCTCGGTAGGAACTCAGCCAAGGGAACAAGAAGCGATATTCGATCCGGATAACCAGAAATTTCTCCGAAACATACAACAGCGCGGCCGCCAAGTCATGATCGCTGAGAGTCTCGCCCGGACACACAAGGATTTCGACCTCTTTTTGGAGGGGAAAGTGGATTTGGATTGGGAGGAGCAGCGCCGGAATATTTTTCAGCATTTTGGCCTGGGTCAAAGAAGTGAAGTTATTGGCGATACGAGAGGATCGTTTGGCCGGTCTGTGAGACAATCAAAACTCGGCCCTACTTCAACTCCCAGCGCCCCGTCTTTGTCTCGTAGAAGTGTCTTTGGACGTTCAGCCTTGGAAAAGTCTGTAATCGGGACACCAGGGGCCGGGTCAGCCAACCATCAGCTCTTCGAGGACCCCACTGAACGAACGGAAGGTTCATCCGTTCCTTCAGACATGCGATTCTACCGGGAAAAAATGGGAAATTACGCGACCAAAGTTCAGTTGTTGAATTCTGCAAGACTCCAGGCGCACACCTTCCCGGTTCTCCACGAATTCTCGGGCGTTGAAATAGATGCTGGTGGCGATGTAGGTCACGATCCCTTCGAATTATTTCCGAATTAAACTAAGCATGTTAGGTTCCTCGCCAACTCTTCGATGCTTACCGAGCGTTGATGAGCATTACTGGAGAATCACCGCAGATCACGAGCATATCAGACCCCGGAGCAGCAAAAGAGCGACGATTTGCTGAAGATTACCTGGATGAAGCTCCAAATTCTCGCCGAGCAATGAATTTAAGAAAGCGCATCATTGAAGGTTCTAGACTATTCCTTGAGAACACATTTTACAGTGAGGTCGAAAACGTGATCTCAAAAAATCCTCGTGAGGCACAGCTTGGAGGCATCCCGACGGTGATCAATAAAGTCCGCGCCTACATCAGGCTCAGAGCAGCGAGAAAGGACCTTGCCCCTGATGGAACCGAGTTACAAATGGTTTGTCAAGATTATTGCTGGATTCTCATTTTCTACCTTCTCAGATGCGGGTTTGTCACCGAGGCAGCCGAATATGTTAGTCAGGATCCTGGATTCCGGTCACTGGATCACAAGTTCGTGACATACATGACAACCTATGCACAAAATAGGCGACTGCCCAGGGACATGCAGCAAAAGATAAACGGGGAATACCAGCAGCGCTCCCGTAATGCCCCTGACAACACAGTTGATCCATATCGAATGGCTTGTTACAAAATCATTGGGCGCTGTGAACTTAGTCGCAGGCGCCTGGAGGGTGTGAACCAAACCGTTGAAGATTGGATGTGGCTGCAGTTCAGTTTGGCCAGGGAAGACGATCGTGCCGAGGAAGTAGCGGGTGATGTTTTCGGGCTTGAGGACATTCAGACCGATATAACCGAGATTGGGCAGCGAGTCTTCGGTAAAGGTCAGGAAGGGCCTGGGGGCTATGGCACTTTCTTCCTTTTACAAATACTGGGAGGAATGTTCGAACAAGCGGTCTCGTATCTTGGAGTTTATGCCCCAGTAAGCGCTGTGCACTTTGCGATTGCTTTGGCTTATTATGGGCTTTTACGTGTGTCCGATTTCTACACCTCTGGCGAGGAACCTTGTGAGTGTCTTCGCTGTACTTGCTTCCATTCTCTGGACTCGCTAACCGTCGCAGTGTCCTTTACTGTTAAACAGTATCCGCAGATTAACTTTGGTCATCTCATCACCCAGTACACCAGGGAATTTCGGACAGGTTTTGTGGAAGCGGCCATTGATTACTTTTCTTTACTCTGCCTCAATGCCGACCTTCCGGGCTCGTTGGGCAAGTCCCAGGCTTCTGTGTGTCACGAAGCTCTACGGGAATTCATTCTGGAGACTCGTGACTTCGCTAAACTGCTAGGTGACATACGATCTGATGGCACAAGGATCAAAGGTTTAATAGAGGAACGCATCAGTTTGATCAAGTTGGTCGATCAAGACGAATTCTTGAAGGCTATAACCATGCAGGCCGCTGCTGTTGCCGAAGACAAGGGGCTGATAGCAGACGCGGTGCTTTTGTACCATCTGGCCGAGGACTATGACCGCGTGATTGACATCATCAATGGCGCCCTGTCCGATTCCGTGGCCGTGGAGTTGGGTGACCCTGCGTTAAGACTGCAGCCTTTGCGGCCAAGATCCCACCCAGCGGGAAACAACCCTGGAGCCCCTCCTGTAGAGCCAGGCAGCAGTCTCAGTCTGACGGCAGTGGAAGATCCAGTGGTCCTGGCAAAGAACATGATCGGTCTTTACAACGTGAATGCTATGTATTACCAGCGAATTCGCCAGGTGAACCGGGACACGTGTGGTCTGTTACTTCGCATGATGGAGGCAAAAGCAGAGGTCCAGGCCGGCAAATGGACTTTGGCGCTCGATGTAAGCTCCTCAACTGTTCCGGGAAGACGCTCACTTCTTACTGATCCACCTTGTCATAGGCCATTAATGCGCTCAGCATTCTCCCGCTCCGCGCGAAGGGCTCCGTTCCACATATTCGCAGCGCAGCGCAAGCTTTCTCGTCGTTTCCCCCGATTATCTCCCGAAATGTCGGCCATGTGATAATGTGGAGCATTGCATGCATCGGGCACGAAAGGCAACGGTTGGACTCCGGGGCCTATGAAAATGAGATGAGACAGGGACTGGCGGAAGAATTGCTGGTGATGGCCAAGGATCTCATGATTTTCTCTGGTATGGTCAAGTACAAACTGCCCCCCCGAGTGTATGAGACTCTTGCGCGGGCCGGTGCAGACATTGGCGCCTATTAGCACGGTAGCCTGACTGCCGGACCGGATCCCTTGACATAGCCGAATACATGAGCAAACACATGTGTCAATTATCGTGTTGTCCTTGCGGCTCTTGGATAATCGCAGAATGCGGCCGAATTCCGCACACTGCCAAACCGGAGCGCATCCCGTACGTAGCGGTGTAGTGGCTGTGTTGTGCTGCGTGTCATGCTGTACGAGGTAGACGTAGATGGGGTTATCCACCGTGAAGCACAGCATCCGCCTCATCTCATCGTGCGATCCTTAATCGTAGTCGTAGTCGCAGTGGCACGGTGCCTCGGATGCGGGGAATTCCGTTCCCGCGCTGGCACGTGCATCTGCAACTTGCCTTGCGTCCCCGCGGACATCACTCCAATAGCCCGCATAATTAGGACGCCCGCACTCGAGATGGACCATGACCCTTCCAGCGTGTCGGACACAAACTTGAGTCTAGGTTCTCCCAATGATCATGTCGATCTTTCTCTGAAGGAACCCTCAGCTCCACCGCACGATAGCGAAATGGAAACAGGCAACAACGACATCAACGACATCAACGACATCGACGACGCCGACGACAGCAACAATAACATAATTAACTTTCCCAGCCACGATACTCCATCTCAGAACCTTGGGATCAATGGCTTACAGTCACCGGGGAACAGAGAACATGCCAATGACGTGTCCGCTGGACCCAGGAATGAAACAGTATCGATCAACGGGGCTCATGGCAGTTCGACTACCAAGAGAAGCACATGTATAACCACGGCAAATGAAGAAGATAGTATACCTAACGGTATTATCCACAACCCGCCCAATCTTGCCAGGATACGGCAGGTAATGTTTGAATGCAAGGACCCGATAGAGATCAACCTCGGGGAATTTGAGACGTACTGGCCGTTTATCGATAATGTCTGGGTGAAACAAAGGTCCAACTCCAGCAAAGAGGGCCACTGCACGACAGATTATTATATGTGCCGCCTACGACGTCCAACCCACCGCACATCAGAAACACGTCCCCTACCCGAGGGCAAACGACCTCGGAAAAAAAGGGTGCGCGAAGGCGGTATGTGTAATTTTCAGATCAAGGTGGTGAGGTTTGAGGGTGCATACTCGACGGTGACCATTGCAAGAACACCCGGGAGCAGCCACATACACTCACACAACCTTGATTACATTGACAAAGTGAAGCGAAATTCTGGTCTTATGGAGTTTGCGCGGAAGGAGGCGGTTAAAGGGTATCTACCGTCATCTATCTACACGAAGTTTCGGGAAGAGTCCGAGAAACTCGTCGAAGCGGGAGGCAAGTTCTGCACCGTTACGGATGTTCGCAATGTCTCTGCAAAATGGAGAATACAAAATCCCGAAGTCAAGCTCATGCCACACGATGGTTATGAATATCAAAAAGGGCATGGCATCGTGAGGACCGCCTCTGAAAGCAATTCCAACGACCCCGGAATCCCGGCGCAGTCTCAGGCGAACGCAATTGCACCCTTACCACCCGATACACTGCCATTCCCTCAATTTGCTTTGGATTTCCTTAGCACCTATCTTCCTAATCAGGATGAAAGGCGCCAGCTTCCACATGTCACATTGTCCTATGCATCTTCTTTGGATTCTAAGATATCACTCCAACCCGGAATGCAGACGGTATTATCGGGCCCAGAGGCCAAATTGATGACCCACTATCTGAGGTCACGCCATGACGCGATACTGATTGGGGTCGGCACCGTTCTTGCCGACAACCCCGGGTTAAACTGTAGACTGGAGGGTGCAGGCGGCTTTGGGGGACTTGGGAGAATGTGGCAACCGCGACCAGTAGTGATAGACCCCACAGGGCGATGGCCCATTAACACCGAATGCAGGATGCTTCGAACAGCAGTGGAAGGCAAAGGCAAGGCGCCATGGGTGATCGTGTCACCAGGTGCGCATATCCATCCTGAGAAGTTGATGATGTTGAAAGGATACGGGGGTGATTTTCTTCGCATTGTGGAATATAACCAACATTGGCGCTTGCGCTGGGAGGCAATTCTGCGCGCACTGGCATCCGAAGGGGTGAAGAGTATCATGATAGAAGGAGGTGGAACCGTCTTGCGCGAGTTGCTCAACCCGGAATACACCGAGTTTATTGACTCGATAATCGTGACCGTCGCTCCGACGTATCTAGGTAGTGGGGGGGTAGGGGTGAGTCCAGACTCCAAGAGCGATGAACAGGGAAAACCAAATGCCGCTCTCAACCCAAGGGATGTGAAATGGACGCCATTGGGCCAAAATGTCATCATGTGTGGTAAGATCCGAGCTGTGTCCTCAGCCATACCCGATGGCCCGATGGAATCATAGCGTTGCAGAAACTTGATGATTATAGCGCGAAGTGGAAGTGTGGACGGAGTAATCATAGTATCTAGGGTTACAACGGAGGAAGAGGAAGGTCCCTCTGGTCCCCTGATAGGTACTGACATCTTAATGCTCGATATCAACAAGCAGGTCCGGGAGGACACTTCTCAAGTGATCAGTGAAGCAACCTGTCTCGATTGAAGTCGCCTTATTTCTCGCCTTCATGGTGCTCATGTTCAGGTAGTAGGTACAAACATACTATGCACTCCGGGGAAGATCTACATTAGTTAACTAGGCCCGGAGTTATGAATTAACTGATGTAGGTTGAATGACTCATCAATATATTTACCTATATGCTCTCCGAGGGTACCTACTACCTACGGTACCGTAGGTATGTAGGTAATGTGTAATACACCTAGGTACCCCCTATGTAAGGTATGTATGTACGGTATGTCGAGTGTGTACCTTACCTACCTAGGCAGGTACTTAAGTAGGTAGGTACCTATGTACAGTACTTGTACCTCAGACAGCAGTGGGTAATGTAAAAACAATACCAACATGTAGGTGGGTGGTAATCAATGGTCGCGTCACCTTCATTCTTTCTCTCCGGCCCCCCAAATTTTCCTCAAGGTTTCTTCCCATCCCCCGAACGTTCCCTGCTTACAGAAGTGGTGCCAGCTTTTTTTTTTGTTTTTATTCTTTGTTTTTGTTCTTATTTCTCCCCCCCCACCGCTTCACTTTCAATCATCCTCACTGCTCAATTGCCTTGACCACGGCTTTCCTTCTTTACCCATACTTCTCTGACTAGCCTTAAGAAAAAAAAAAAAAAAAAGAAAAAAAAAAACAATAATAATATAACCATGCCCCCGAAGAAAAGCGTGTCCAAGGTTCCTGCAAAAGCTTCGAGTACATCAAAAAGTACTACAAATAGCTCCACGGCAAAAACTACCGCGTCTAAAGCTACGACCAAGGGTCGCTCTTCAAAAAACAACACAGCTACTGAGAAATCTGCTGCGACCGCTAAACATGAAGCTACCGGTTCGTCGAAAAGATCAGCCAACTCTACATCCGCCGCAACAATGAAAAAGCGGAAAGTCGACGAGGTCGACGAAGAACCAGCTCCCGAAGCCAAAGAAGCCAAAAAACCCCGTGTTGCGAAACCTCGTGTCACGAAAGAGAAACCCAAATTGGTCATCAACAAGGCTCCCACCACTCGCCTTAACGTCTACGTCTGCGGCGAAGGAAGCTCTGGTGAACTTGGTCTCGGGCCGGAAAAGAATGCAGTTGACGTCAAACGGCCACGTCTCAACCCTCACCTACCGGCGGACCGTGTAGGTGTTGTGCAAGTTGCTGTCGGTGGCATGCATTGCGTTGCTCTTACGTATGACAACAAGATACTTACATGGGGTGTTAACGACCAAGGCGCTCTTGGAAGAGATACCGCGTGGGAGGGGGGCTATAAGGATATCGAGGACAACAAAAGCGATGCAGACTCGGACTCGGACGATGAACCTGCCCTAAACCCACGCGAGTCTACACCCACTGCTATTCCATCGAACGCGTTCCCTGAAGGCACTGTTATCGTAGAGGTTACTGCTGGCGATAGTTCCAGTTTTGCCCTCACCGACGATGGCCAGGTTTATGGATGGGGAACCTTTAGGGTACGAAGTCCTCCTTATCTGTAGTAGTTGATTTCACTAACAGCGCCTAGAGCAATGACGGCATCTTAGGCTTTGATGCTGGTCACGAGGTCCAGTCTACTCCGGCTCTGATTCCGTCCTTGAAGAAGATCAAACACTTAACCTGTGGGGACAACCATGTCCTTGCTTTGAACGAGAAGGGTGCTGTATTTTCGTGGGGATCCGGTCAGCAAAATCAATTGGGTCGCCGCATTATCGAACGCAACAGACTGAACGGTCTACAGCCGCGGGAATTCGGCCTCCCCAAGAACATCGTTCACATTGCCTGTGGCGCGTTTCACTCTTTTGCTGTTCATCAATCCGGCAAAGTCTATGCTTGGGGCTTGAACAGTTTTGGCGAAACAGGCGTTCGGAATGGTGCCGGTGACGACGAGGCTGCTATAGTTCACCCTACTGTGGTTGACTCCCTGTCTGGGAAAAACATCACTCAGCTCTGTGGCGGCGCACATCATTCACTTGCTGCCTCAGATGATGGCCAATGTCTTGTGTGGGGTCGCTTGGACGGGTACCAAACAGGTTTAAAAATCGACTCTCTGCCTGACGAAGCTGTTATCAAAGACGAACGCGGACGACCTCGCATCTTGATTGAGCCCACGCCTGTGCCTGGGATCAAAGCCAATGTTGTTGCAGCTGGATCCGATCATTCAATCGCCATCGATGCTGATGGTCGTCCATGGTCATGGGGCTTCTCTGCTACCTATCAAACCGGTCAAGGCACACAGGATGACATCGAGGTAGCGACCATCGTGGAGAATACCGCCGTGCGTGGCAAGATCCTCAACTGGGCTGGAGCCGGTGGCCAGTTTTCTGTATTCACAGAGCCAGTGAAACCGTGAAAGAAGCCTCTGGTCTGTTAAATCATTGTGTTATCTCGCATGCTAGAGGGGTTTTGGCTACACTTGGACTACTACTGCGGCGGTAGCGAATCCGTCAGTCTTGTGTCTTGGCGCCATTTTTGGATGGTTATGTCGAGTTTGGCTAAGACTTGGGCTATCCTTAGGGTGACGTGTAGCTGCCCTTTTTGTACCACTGTATCTATTTCGAGCTGCAAGGTGTTGGTTTTTAAATTCAATATTAAGTATAGGTTCATTGAATAACAACAACTTGAAAGAATGAGCGTCTCTCAATGTTTGCTCAACTCGAATGAGAGCTTTCTACTGGTGAATTAAACAGAAGTATTGCTTGGCTTGCGTCTGCTGGATGCTTAGCCCACTTTCGGGGCATCTTTGACTCGATGGATTCGTGTGTAAAAGCAAAAGCTCGTCTCAATGACGCTTCCTTTGCTCCCTGCCTTCTCTGGGGAATGGGAGCTAGCGCCTTCCATTACCAGCCAAAGCTTCGATCGCCAGCTCGTACTAGACCGGGGTCGATAGTCCCTGGATACGAATCAAATCTCCTGTTCATTCAAGAGAGCTTCTAGCTCATCATCAGGCGCGTCTTGGTCGGGAGCATGTGGGACATTGTTGCTGGAGGACACGAATAGTTCGTGATCGAAATCGATTCTTGGCCAGGGAAGTTGTGCATTTGTGCAATTTTCTGATCCTTGTTGTGGTTCATGAGGTGCCGGGTGATTGCTGAATCCAGGCTGCGCATCATCTCCGCGCAAATGAGGCTGGATGCTTTTAGATGACCCAGGCATCGTTATGGTCTGTTCATTTTGCGCGTCATCTGCCTGCAGCTGCGGCTTTTCCTCTTCTATCCATTCTCTTCGCATGTTCTGAAGACGCTTAGAGTGACCGAGTTTCTCGATGATAGCTAGGCCATCAACAAATTTGGCCCGGGGAAATAGATCATCAAGCCAGAGCTGATAAAAGTTCAGCAGGCGTGCTGCATCAGAGAACTATTTGAAGACATGCATGTGAGTTTTTCAACAATGACAAGAGTTGAAAGAGAAGTACTCACCTCATGGCCCTTCCCCTTAAACTTCAACTTTTGCTTCGCTGTGCGACGTAACTTCGGGATTCCAGCTTGTGACAAAAGGCTACAAGGGCGTAAGTTCTAGGATGGCGTTCTGGAAACCCATAATAACGAACTCACCGATTGTCGTCTAGTTTAGCCACAGGTTGCCTTTTCCTAGTTACTTTCACCTCCTCATCAAGCCCTAATTTCAACCCTGAAGCCTCCGGTGTAAACGATGGCTTTGGCGCGTTAGTATTTGAGCTTGGCGGGGGCTCTTGTAATACTAGCTCGTCCAGGCCAACATCGTAGTCGAAGAGGTCATTGATATCGCCAGGTTGATGATCTTCCGGGGCTTCGGGGAAGTCTCTGCGCTCCATTTTCAATGAGTTAGATCCCGCATTGGTACCGGTGTGCCTTCAACCGGTGTCAACATTCGGACCTTTCAGGTGGTAGGTAGTATCTTCTGGCGGGCCATCAAAGTCGCGCATGTCGCGTAAATGGGAGATGGCGCGACTCGCGTTGGCCCCCATGGGCGGCTGAGTAAGCGGTCATGCGTGCGGAGGGCCGCCTCCCGAGCCACACCTAGCCACGTCCAGTGGCTAGTTAGTCGTCGTCTGTGTGCTTAGTAAGACCGTGCAGGCGTCCTGCTTGGCACAACTCAAGTTCAACTTCACTCGGACAGCACCAGTGCCGGGATTGCGTCTCAACTGCAACTCTTGTCATAAACAATGGCCGCGGATCCGAAGCCTGCGATTGTTCCCCCCAAGCGGGCGAACACCGACTATCCCGTAAGATAAGCTTTCTTTCTTTTTGCAATCCGGGCGGGTGGCTAACTACTGTGAAGCTGATTGACTCTGACCCGTACGGTATCCCTTAGGCGTGTGGCTTGAGTAGTCGAGCTACTGAAGAAATGCTCACATTCTCAGGCATCTGCGGCGGGTTTTCGGATATGCGAGACCATCTGACTATGCAGTCTCTGGTGGAGCTGCGGCGGCCTCTCCTCTTGCCTTTTGGGCCATGGAGAGAGTGAGTCCTTCGCATGTGGGCAGAGGAGGCTTTGCTCCCGTCATGCGGCTTGCAACAGCAATTGGTCTTATTGGAGGCTTGCATATACTTTACCAACGATCATGTAGTATGTGGTCCTCGAAACTCCCCTGTGGATTGACATGCCTTACGACTGACACCAACGAAGATCGTTTCTACGGCTTTACGGAAAACTCAAGGGAGGTTGACATGGATATGAAGGAGATGGTGGATAAAGTCAAGAGAGGAGAACCACTCTACGGGTCCTCGCAAGTGTCTCCTTATTTGCAAGGGGTTGCGGCCAGGAACTCTCGGTTCTCGGAACTATTTATCCACGTCCTTCCGTGGTTTAACATTGTCAACCACGACCAGGTACGTCTTTGTCCCGATCTGAGTCGGTATTTTTCCTTTTTGTCCCTTTCATTATCTTTTTTGCTTCTGCGGCCTCCCCAATTCTTGTGTTCTTCCACTATTCTTCCTGGATCAAATTCATTAATTGAGTCTGGCACACTAATATCCATACAGCATGGCATCGACACGGCCAAATACTACCAACAGGCTGAACGAGAGTTGGAGGCCGATCGTTTGGCAGGGACCGGGTCTACCTGAACATCCGACCAGCACGAAATCTTATCAGGCAACTGACCGATCTGAAAGACTGGGAAACCCTTTTGAGGAACTTTATTATTTTTCACAGGCGCAGTTACGGCATACCTTCAAGAATCTCGCGCTCCAAGAACACTGTTTACAAGCCAAGTTTTATTCATATTTAGAAATTGACAAGTTTCTCCGTTTCATATCCCATTGGGATTCATGAACCAGCATGGCCGACGCTTTCAACACCGGTCGCAAAGTCTGTTTTGAGTTCTCGGTGCTTTTTGGGGCGGGGGTTGGGTGCTAATTATTTGTTAGTGGGCGGTTCTTGGGCTGCATGGGAAAGATTAGACATCTCTACCTTTTTCATTTTCTTGTATATAAAACCGCCGAAGCAGCATGATGGCGTCTTTGTAGAACAATCCCCCTTGCACAGGGTAGGGAGGATCTGTTGTAACGCTGATCAGGGTTAGAGATAGACGTGTATGAGCAAATGGGAGCGCTCGGTGACGAACTCAGCATGTAAGGATAAGATGCTCCCCGTGCCGCCAAACCGCTCATTGCCGCAGCCAAAATAGACCGTTCTTATCTGGTACTGCCTTAAAGCAGAGGCACACATGACACACGGCTCGACCGTGACGTAGAGATCTGTGGCCCGTAGTGTGGACCGGGGATAACTCCGAAGCATTTCACTAATGGCAATAAATTCGGCATGCCTTGTACCCTGGCGGGAAGGAAGAACGTGTGTTAGTAGGGACATGGGAGTAGTCTCAAGCAGTCTCTTGTGCAGTAACATGCGAACATCATGACATTGAATACTGGGGCTAGGCCATTTGTGTCTCTTCTTACAGCCACCAGTTTCTTGCCTCCCCGATCGTTTGCCGTCGTCGTGGATGCGAGGCCACCTACATTCATTGACCTATTGGTATCATTCATCCCAACCCCAACTATTCTGTTGTCATATACTAGGACACATCCCACTGGCGTTTCACCCGTTTGGAGGGCCCTTTCTCCCTGGGATAGTTATAAGTACCAAGGTCTGCAGGAATACTCGTAATGGAGATTTTTACCATGAGAAGGGCTTGCTTCATGAAATAGGCATGTCTTGAATCTTGTTCAGAAACAAGTCTGCGCTCATTGGTTTCTGCATCGGACATTGCGAGAATACTATGCTCGGTGACTGCTTGGTAAGAGCACAGTCGGGTGGGCAGTTTCAAATTCCTCGAGCAATTGGTAGGGGTGTCAACAGCGGGTCAGCGCCGCTTGTTAGCTACCTTTGAAAGAGATAAAGCTGATCTGGAGTAAGGATGGCTGGCATTATAAAAGAAGAGAGAAAAAAAGAGGTTCCCAGTACTGAGTCTTCCGTATCAGTACCAGTACGGGTTCGTGGCTCAAATTACCTACCCATTTACAGATACGTAATGTACAGTATCACCTTGTCTTACCGTACCCCGGTATATACTGTAAGGTAGGTATGTAAGGTATGTACCCACCTAGGTAGACCTGGTATTGTATCGTATACCTGCTGCCCAGACAAGGACCGGACTACTTCTAGGGAACTGCTCACCGCTTTCCACCCACGCGCTCATTGCATCTTGCAAGGATCCAAACGGAAAACTGGCAATCGAGTCAAACCACACTCTCAAAGAATCCAGAACTATGGGTCGGCTATCTACTACTCATGGCAGCCGATGACTCCAAAGTGTATCCCACTGCAGGGCACTGCGGCCGGGGCTCTGCAGAGCCGGTATCCTCTACCCTAGCCGCGCAACTGGCACCGCGTCTCTCATCTCAGGGCACCCAGTCCCATAATTTGGGCAGGGAAACTTTTTCGCAGCTCCGACAAGAGCTTGTTGGGGGTGAATACAACCAGCTACGCCTTGATGATAGCATCACCGATGTCAGCAAATTAATTTGCATTGTCTTGAAAGCAGGTCTGGTGCCGTCTACGCAGAATGAGGATCCTCAGGGCCAAATTCTGGACTGCTTGGACATCATTCAGACCATAGTTGAAAAAGCTCCCCAGATGTTGACGGTCAATCCTGACTTCATCTTCTTGGGGGAAAGGACGCTTGCGCCCTTGTATTCATGGCTGGTGGTACGGCTACTTCACTTGCTTTGTGACTGGGGGAATGAGAGCATAAGCCAACGTGTCGGCACCATATTCTCAACGCTTGGTTTCGCTCAATACAGACATACTAGGGTACTGCTATCTCACTCGGTTTTGGGGCTTCTGCGAGCTTGCACGACCGGTGAGTCTTCGAAAGAAGTGGACTGATCATATTCGTTCCACTAATTCAATCTAGAAATACTTTTCTGTCTTGAAAGTTTGGATCATTATGAGCTGCGAAGTCATTCCGCCATCGGATTAGCCGTGCCTGTCGCTGGCGGGCGGCTCTTTGTAGATTTAAACAACCTTGGTCTCCCTCACGCTATTTTCGATAGAAAGCTCAAACTTGGGTCAGCCTCAAATACCATAAACATTGTCGTCCACTTGCTTGGCTGCTTGATACCGGATCATTCCAAGTCCTCGCCATGCAATCCCAAGATTGTCGCGGGCTTTGTTCGACACAATATGGCCTGGGTTCTGAACGGATATCAGCGGTTGTGGAGCCTCAGCTTTCGTTGGCTCCAAAGCGCCGATCCAGGTGGTTTTGAGGGCCATGCGCGCGACTGTTTGAAAGTTCTGGAACACATCGGAAGTCTCAGTGACCAGTGTATATTCTCATTGCTCGAAACACAATTGACATCCGGGCTACTCCAGATAGTGGGTGAAGTGTTGGTTTCAGAACACTTGAGTCGATTTCGAACATTGCATCCCGGGATCAGTCGGCTCATTGTTAAACTTTCTTACTGCATAGGAGATTCACAGTTGCTTGGGAGAATGGCGAAACAGACAGTTCTACCGAGAATTCGTGAAATTAAGAGAGCACCTTCGCTCTTAGAGCGTTTGGACCCACAACTCCAGGTATTTTACACAAGCTAAAGCCAAATTGATGCATATCAAACTTATCAGATGCCAGGCGGCCATTGAAACTTTTATTGAAAAGCTCACTGGGGCCAATGTTCTGCACGACCATTCTAATACTTTTTCGGTCCCTTGCAACGCAGATACGTCTGACTTGACCAGGCTTACCCAAAGCGCCGGTATCTCGACCAGCAAAGCCCAATCGCCTAATATAAACAATGCATCAAAACACTTCTTCGAGCCACAGCCTTCTGAAGAATTCAGCTGTGAGGACCTGGCTCGTAGGCTAATCCAGAATTGTTTATCACTGCTGAAATTTGGAAAACCTGGCTGTCTGGAAGAGCTTCGCCAAATTTTACTGTATGCTCGTCTGAAATTTCCTTCTATATTCCGCGATGCTGATTTACAATGGAAAATACACAGCGTTCAATTCACGGAAGTCTCGGAACAGCTCCAGTGTGAATTGCTTTCTTTACTCGGCAATATATCATGTGCTATGGCTGGGGGCTTATCAGAGACACGTCGCCTTGGGTCAGAAGACATCTATGTCTGTTGTGTGTGTGATTGTGATACTCATGAGCTTGATCTCAAATCAAATTGGAGATGTTCCGACACCGATGAATTATACAAAATCCTGGCGCATATCGTACCCAAACTTACGCGTGCTCCCCGTCCGAGGATAGCCTCAATGGTTGCACTACGGAGAATCCTCACACATTCACCGGGCTTTCTAGATCTGCGACTCTCGTCATCTTTCTTTGGCGAGTTCTGTTTGCACTCACTTCGGAGCTCCATAAGAGAACTACGAGTTGCCACGGGGTACATTCAGTTTCCCCCCTCTACGCCTCCACCCTCCACCTTTTTTTTAATGAGAAAACCAAAGAAAGGTGGAAATTTGTGGGATCTGATATGCTGACATGTGTCTAGGCATTGTGTCATTGCAGTCACTCATAAAAGGGTAGAACGCGAAAGTCGCAGAGACAATTTTATAATTGTTCTTGAGTGGCTAAGAAGCCTTTCCGAAAAACAGGAGATATCACTGCATGAAACCTGCATTTTGACATTATGCCAGCTTGCAAAGTGAGCCCTTTTCTTCTTCTTTTTCTTCTTTTTCTTCTTTTTCTTCTTCTTCTTCTTCTTCTTCTTCTTCACACATCTTCTAACTCTGTTGGCCGTTGCAGGCTTTCTGGCGACGAAGAAATGAACATCATATTACTTCGTCTTTTAGAATATCTAGGACACCCGAACCTATTCATCTGCGCAATTGCATATACTGAAGTATGTGAATTTAAATTCTATTCCCTTCTAGCCCTATATCCGAGCTTATGCTCCTTGTGATACAAGACGCTTACTTGATTCAGCTTTCGAAACTTGCTCAACAACTGTCTCTTACCCCTGCTGGCCTATTCCGACCATTCTGGGGAACACTTTCTGTCGCGGTCGTAAAGAACTTCCAATCTCGCCCTTATATGGCAGAGCAGCTCTGCAGTCTATTAGGGATGAAAGTAGACGACTTTCTCAGATTGACAGAAGCTTACGTATTGCCCTATTTGGTGCTTACACGAAAACGAGATTTCATCGCCAGGATCGGAGCGACTTACCAGGACGTTAAAACCCCCTTCGACATTTGCTCCGAGAAAGGCAATCTGGCCGCAATACTTGCCTTCTTATTGAGCCAACCTTCGTCGGATCCTGAGCACATGATCATGTCTACTCTTTCCGAGATAGACAATGCTTTTGAATGTCGTACTCTGGCCGAGCTAGTAAGAATTGAGCCGATTTTAATTGCTTGCGATTTGTTGAAAGGACTCGGTGACTCCGGTGACGATAATGGCTCCAGGGTATGCTTGATTTTTTGGCACAATGCTTCTAGTGCTAACGTTGTGAAAGTTCCATCGAGCTCTCCATCTTCTAGCAGCGCTTGTTCCACGAAAGTCTACTCATGGACCCAAAAAGGTGGATCTAATAGGCCACTTTATCGAGGAGCACGTGCTTGGAATAATAACCCAATTCGCTCATGTTATCAATGATTTCCAGATCCGACAGCCCTTGGTTGAAAAGAAAAGGAACATCATGGCTATAGGAGCGATGGTAAAAGTGGCCGGGGGGCATGTGGGCAGTGCGTTGCCGCAGGTTTGTACAGATACAGCGCTCGTTGGATCGAATTGGAGTAGCTAACGGTGCGAAGATATGTGCTTGCCTGCGATCTGCTCTCGAAATCGAAGAGTTGTGCAATCATGCCGTCACCGTTTGGGGTGTATTGATCAATTCCTTGAACGAAGAAGAGGTCGAGCCTTTGATTGACCAAACCCTGTCGATTGTGATAAGGTACTGGAACACTTTTACGGAATCAACCCGAGAGTGTGCCTATAACCTTGTCAAGTTTATTTTGAGACACCACAGCAAATTGGTGCAGGATATCTACCACACCATGCCCTCGCTGGCGTCAATTCCGATGATGTCTGACTTCGAAAGAGAGATGAATGATTTGAAGGGACGGATGGATACTCGCAGTCAGCTTTTAGCATTCATTCGTCGTTGCCAAAGTGAGAATGCCACAGTGGTCGAACAGGCATTGGTAGAGTTGGTGCCCTACCTCTCGAAACATGATGAGTTTCTCCATCGAACTGTTCTCAGCGAACAACCCGATCCGGTTGTTGCACAGTTAACACGAGTCTTGCTTGACTGTTGTGTCAAATTCAACATGAACTCGGACATTATCACACTCATGTCAGCCCGATGTCTGGGTCTTGTTGGTTGTTTAGATGCTAACCGAGTGGATTCTATCAAAGAAAAGAGAGATATCCTTGTCCTGTCCAATTTCGAGAATATGGAGGAGACTTTTGACTTTATCCTTTTTTTCCTTCAACATGTGTTGGTCGAAACGTTCCTGTCGGCCTCCAACACTCGGGCTCAAGGCTTTCTTGCGTATGCTATGCAAGGCTTGCTTAGATTCTGCAACCTCGACTCAGCCGTCACGCAGCGCTCTCGTGATGTTCAAGCAGATGAGAAGTATGGGCGGTGGCTGAGGCTCCCTGAGACGGTTCGCAACACTCTCACTCCTTTTCTCACCTCGAAATATACTGTGACCGTTGGCGCCGTCGGGTCAAATTGCAAGTACCCGTTGTTCTCAACCAACATGACGCATGGAGATTGGCTGCGAACTTTTGTGCAAGATCTTTTACAAAAAGGAAGCGGTGATAATGCACGGCTCATATTTAGCGTATGCAGCCGTGTTGTAAAGGGCCAGGATATTTCTATAGCCTCCTTTCTTCTACCATTTGCCGTTTTGAATCGCGTGGTGGGCGGCACTCCGCGAGAGCAGCAAGATCTGCTGAATGAGCTCATAAATGTGCTATCCCACTCTCTTCCAGAAGCAAACAACCTTGTTTCTGAAGCCGTGTTGTTATGCAGCCAGGTAAGCTTTGCAGAATTGGCTGGGATTCAATGGTCGCTAATCCGGGCTAACTTGTTTGTTTACTCAACAAAGAGTGTTTTTGAGGTACTTGATTATCTATCGAGGTGGCTGCAGGGGAAGAAAAAGCAAATCAATGGCTTCAAAAACCATAACCATCATGCCGGCCGCTTTCACAAGGATACTTCCCGTGGTTTTCTTCTGGACACTTACTCGTCTCAACTCAAATCCGTAGAATCCCTGCTGGCTTCGATACCTCCCGAAGTGATCTCTAAAAGGGCTGTTGAATGCAAATCATTCTCGAGAGCACTCTTCCATTGGGAACAATACATCCGCCAGTGCAAAGCCTATCCAAATAAGAGCCTTGGAATCAACGAGGAGCCCTTATATCAGCGGCTCCAGGAGATCTACAGTCAGATTGACGAGCCAGATGGTATCGAGGGTATTTCTACTCATTTGCATGTACTTAACATTGACCAGCAGGTCCTCGAACACCGCAAAGCGGGGAGGTGGGCTACAGCCCAAAACTGGTACGAGTTACAGCTTGAAGAGGAGCCCGATAATAGTGACGCCCAGTGGAATCTTCTCACATGTCTTAAAGAGTCTGGACAACAAGGTATCGCTTCTCCTGCCCGCCCCCCACCTGCTTGGACCAGCCTACTAAAAGGAGCTAGACGCAATTCTCACGAGGTTTGAAATCCTGAAGTCAACACCCTCGGTTACCAAGCTACTTCCATTTGCTGTGGAAGCGGCCTGGATTACTGGAAAATGGGACAAATTACACGATTATCTTCGAATCTGCTCATCGCAGGGGACCGGAGAGTTCAACATCGGGATTGGCTCGGCATTCAATGCTTTTCGCCATGGACGCAGAGGGGAGTTCGAAACAATTATTAACAACTTACGTCTCCATGTTGCCAAGTCTTTAACTGCCAATTCTGTGGCATCATTGCAGTCATGCCACGATAGCATTCTCAAGCTACATGCTTTGGCTGAAGTAGAATCAATAGCGGATCCCCAGGTCGAACAGAGCGTTGTGCGCTCGGAGTTGTGCAACGCTTTAGATCGCCGCCTGAACGCTTTAGGAGGACACATTGCCGACAAACAGTACCTCCTTGGTTTGAGGAGGGCTGCAATGGCGTTGACGTACGTTTTTGCGCGGAAAGGCCAGCGCCTGTGCTAATATGTATCCTAGTGGCAAATTCTCCGATTTTAACATAGCTGATGCTTGGCTTGCCAGCACGCGCCTGTTACGGAAGGGCAATTTCACCAATCAGGCCTATCAGTCCATGCTTCACGCAGCGCGTCTGGGGGATAAAACAGCCACCATAGAACATGCTCGACTTCTTTGGAAAGATGGCCATCACCGAAAAGCAATACAGACTCTGGAGAGCGCAATAACTGCCAATGAGTTTGCCCTTGGCACGTGTTGCCCGGCGGATGTTGGTGCGGCTCGGATGGCCTCGGATCGGGAGAAAAGCCATGATTTAATCACAGCCAGAGTATGTCTCCCACGATTGTCATTTGGGGGTGGATGGTGATAGCGACATATGTAGCATGGCTAATTCGACTAGGCCCACCTTCTGTTAGCTAAATGGACGGACAGGGCTGGGCAGACGCAATCGGACATTATAGTTCAGAGATACCGCGAGGCCATTAAGCTCCATCCAAGGTATTTGAGAAACGATATTGTGTATCGAGTCACCCCGGACACACGCTAATTGATCATAGGTGGGAAAAGGCTCATTATTATCTAGGGAAACATTACAACAAGATTCTGGAGTCTGAAAAAGCAAAGCCTCTTGGGAAAGAGGCGCAGATATAGTAGGGCTTGTTCTCAGATTTGGACTCAGTCTAGTGCCTAATGTCATAACAGTCTAAGTGGTGAAGCCTCGAAGCTCGTCATTGATAATTATCTGCGCTCTTTGGCTCACGGGAACAAATACGTCTTCCAATCGCTTCCCAGGATCCTGACACTTTGGCTGGAGCATGCGTCCACCGCAGACCAGCCATTTGACCCCAAAAGAGGAAATAACGAGTACGTCCACATCCGCTCTATTGCTATCACTTGCTCATACACGAAAACAATAGAGAATTCCAGATACACACCCTGAATCAACGCAAAAAGAGCCTCGATGATATGCATTCGCAGCTGAAGAAGTACGTCAATCGGATGCCTGCTGCATTGGTGCGTACACTAGGCTCCAGTATCCCACAGCTATATATATTCTAATGATGTAGCTCTTCACCATCCTTCCTCAAGTGGTTGCTCGAATCTGTCATCCAAATGCTACAGTCTACGACTTGTTGACAAAAATCGTTGCCAAAGCAGTGAACTTTTTCCCGCATCAAGGACTCTGGACAGTACTCGCTGTCGTAAAGTCCTCTTCCAAAGATCGCGCCTCGAAAGGCATCAAATGTCTACAGAAAATCACGGTAAGGTCAAAGCACAGGGGACGTTTACTAGGGTACTAAAAGACGACAGGAGGTGAATAAGAAGCTCAGGGTAGACTCACCCTCTGACATGCGTGGAATGATAAACCAAGGGCAGAAGTTCTCGGAAGAGATGCTTAGGCTATGCATTGTGCGGATTGAGGATAAATCTTCCAAAATTAACCTGGCAAGGAATTTGGGCTTCAACCACAAAGTCGCTCCCTGTCGATTGGTCGTACCATTCCAAGCCATGCTGACACCGACTTTACCTGCGAGTCACGATTCCGAGTATCTGAAGGGGTTTAGAGCTTTTCCTAGAGACCCGACCACTATCGAGAGTATGTTGGTCTCCATCATATAGGAACATTTACACTGTGGTTGACATCATCTAGCTGTCCTCAGCGATGCGCAAGTCTTGAACTCCCTCCAAAAACCTCGAAAGATCAGCATTCGCGGGTCCGACGGAAAGATCTACAACATCCTATGTAAACCGAAAGACGATCTCCGCAAAGATCAGCGCCTCATGGAATTCAATAACATGATTAATAGGTTTTTGAAAAGAGATGTTGAGTCGAGCAAGCGGCGCATGTGTAAGTACATACCTGGCGTGCCGTACTTTCATGGTGTACCTACTGATACGATACTAGATATCAAAACCTACGCCGTGACACCTTTGAACGAAGAATGTGGACTCATCGAATGGGTGGACAATCTCAGAACCTTGAGGGATCTTGTCCTTAAACTGCTAAGAGAACGAGGTATCGCACCGAACGTATGTATATACACCCAGCACCGACCGGGCCACCTACACGTGAGATTAACCCTAGACAGTACAACGAAATCAGACATCATTTGAACGAAGCGTGCTCCGATAGCTCGAAGCTTTCCCTCTTCGAAACGGAGGTTCTGTCGAAGTAGGCTTCTGCAAGCTCCTCTTACATCGAGCAGCCATAGCTGACATGAACCTAGGTTTCCACCGGTCTTGCACGAGTGGTTTGTAGAGATGTTTCCGGAATCAGTAGCATGGTTTGCAGCGAGGCTTCGCTATACTCGATCTTGTGCTATTATGTCTATGGTTGGATACGTTTTAGGGTAAGCAGCCTAGTGCTGACTGCAATCATGAAACCTCTTTCTGACATCCACGCCGCTACAGACTCGGAGACCGACATGGTGAAAATATTTTGTTTGAAGAAGGAACAGGCGGTGTTATCCATGTTGATTTTAATTGCCTTTTTGACAAGGTAAAGGGCAACCAGGCTCCTTCCTACTAGGATCCTTTGGGTGATTAACTCTGACAGGGCTTGACCTTTGACAAACCGGAGTTGGTTCCATTCCGTTTGACCCAAAATATGATTGACGCGTTTGGAGCTTACGGCTATAATGGTATTAATCCCCCTATATCCCGATTCAGAACCTTCAACTTAAGATCCATGTCACCAGGGCCGTTTCGAAAGACTTGCGAAATAAGCCTCGGGCTCTTGCGACAAAACGAGGACGCGCTCATGACAGTGCTTGAGACCTTTTTACACGACCCAACAGCTGATTTTATCGGCAAAAAGGTAAATCCCATAAAAAAATAGATTTACCCATACTAATCTACGTGTTGCATCCAGCGTCGCACACATGTAAACGTTCCCGACTCTCCTGCAGGTGTTCTTGAAAATGTTCGGAACAAGCTGCGTGGTCTACTCCCCGGTGAATCCGTTCCATTGTCGGTAGATGGCCACGTCGATGAGCTTATTACGGAGGCCACAGACAAGAAAAACCTCGCCGCAATGTATATTGGGTGGTGCGCATTCTTCTAACAGTTACTTCTCTATTCCGGTCCCAAGCATATATGTCAAATTAATCGCTATGAGAAGTGAAACCAGTATATAGAATGCCAAACACACAAATGTACTTCTACTGCGAGCAATACTGATGCACTGGGTATTTAATCTTTTTTGTTTTTGTTTGTTCAATGTGAGTCGTTACATGTTCATTCTCACTTCAGTGCTGAAAGACTGCCCAAGCCCGCAGGCGTAGCAAAACCCGACAAGTATTAATTCTAAGCAACCACTTACTCCAATTAAGCACTAAACCCCTGCCGAACTATCTTCTTCGCGAGACATAGCGATCACCTCTCTTTCTGCTTGAGCTACGGCTTCTATCACTCTGACTGCTATAGTCGTAGCTGCTGTAGCTAGGGCTGCGGCGACGGCGGCGCGGCGGACTATCCATGCGCGAATGCGATTTCCTTCTGGGGGGTGGCGATGGTGGACCCGAGGACAATGACCGAGAACGACGGGGTGATCTGGATCGAGAAAGGGACCGCGGGCGATAAATATCGTGCTTTTCTGTAGCCTTGGTACGGCCATACCTCCGCTGAGGGGGTGAAGAACGGCGAGAGTACGGGGAAACGCGAGCGCGACTATCGAAAGGCTGGCTACGCCCACTCGTGTGACGACTGAAGGCTCTCACACTTTCCGGGGGCGGTGAGTGAGAAAAAGCTCTTCTGGGGAGGACAATGGACACATTTAGCACAGCACCATCAAGTTGGGCTTCATGCATGTGGGCAATCGCCGCTTCTGCGTCTGCGGGATCATGATAGAGTATATATGCGGTGCCCCTGTTCGTCATAACTTTAAAGAGCACATACGTTAGCCAGCGCGCTCCGCGTTAGTAGAAGCTTTTGCCTACAAGCTTTATTCATTGGAAGATCAAGACTTCGGATATCTCCAAATCCTCCGAAGATCTCTCTGAGATGAGACTCTGTGATATTTTTGGTTAATTTTTCAACTACGATCTTTAATCCAGGTAAGCTTCGCAGACTCTCGCAAATCGGTGGTGGGCATAAAGACGTGATACGTAAAGGGGCAACTAACCTTTGAGCTCCTTGGGGAACTGTCGGGAGAGCTAAAGGTCCGGCCATTGTCGCGATTGCCGTGAGATCGGGAGTCTCGACTCCAATTTCGATCACGACTTGGAGTTCGGCTTAGGCTTCGAGATGTTGGCCGTGATGGCGACAAAGAGCGGGAGAAACTCCTTGGGCGATGACGGCCGTTGCGGCGATCAGAAGGTCGCTCATAAGATGGGCTTCGGCTTCCGGTGTGTCGGGATTCTGAACGAGGGGATAATGACCGTTTGGCAGGGGTGCCTCGAGTATAGTTTACGGCGTGAGGTGAGCGAGTTGGCGAGCGCCCTCGGGAGGACGTTGCAGGCATGGTGCACCCAAGGATATGTATAGTTGAGGAGGTTGAAATATGGTAGAGCTCTCGAGATAGAAACTAGAAAGATTGTCGTCAGGTAACTAGTTGAGCTAGCTCCAAGTTGGGTTAGCGCGTGCGGAGTCGCAATACGGTAATACCCGTCAATGCTGTATTGTATTATATTGTACTGTATCGTGTGTACGGAGTATTCGGGGTGTGTATGTATACATGTATGTGGCATACTGTGCGATATGTGTTTTGTTTGTAGTGTATGTATCTGTGTATTTATGGATGTACATGGTCATATGTATAGATAGTACTTGTTGGCGTTCCTAGACTTCGGCACATTGCCCCCATTGCTCGTACTCCTCAAGGACAGCATCGGTAATCTGCCTCTTGACCTGCTTCAGGGCGATCTCAAAGTGTTTCCACCGAACGTCCTGCTCTTGACCGGTTTCCTCTTCCTCATCCAATGCAGCATCTCCCGCTGTCTCACAGATGCTCATGATCTCAGCCCCCGAGTAACCCTCGGTTTTCTCAGCGAGGGTATCCAGTCCCACTTCGGGGTGGACCATTGATTTGCGACACCATATATTCAGAATCTCCTTCCTTGCTTCCAAATCCGGAGGCCCTATGTAAAGTAGATTATCCAGTCGGCCTGGACGCATCAGAGCTGGATCAATCACATCAGGCTTGTTGGTAGCGGCGACGACCAGGACACTTCGCAACTCTTCGATACCATCCATTTCATTGAGCAAAGTCGTCAATACATTAACCCCTCCTTGGGTTGTTTTGCTTCGTTTCGCAGCAATTGCATCAATCTCGTCGAAGAAGATGATGCTAGGTCTCGCCGATCGCGCTTTTTGGAATATGTCTCTTAACGTTCGCTCCGACTCGCCGACAAACATGCTCAAAATCTCAGCACCCTTAACGGCCAAAAAGTTTAGCCCGGCCTCTGTAGCAAGTGCCTTGACTGTCAAGGTCTTTGAGCAACCCGGGGGACCGTAAAGCAGCACTCCTTTCTTGCTATTTACATTAAGCCTCCTCATTCGTTCCGGGTGCTGTGTTCATCAGCTCTCGTGTCCGCGTCTTTTGAGGGTGGGGGAGGATTTCTTACTTTCAGAGGCCTTTCCACAGCCTTTTGGAGGCGTTTTTTGATTTCATGCTGTCCACCGATATCGGTCCATCTCACCTTTGGTGTCTCTAAGAATACTTCTCGCATGGCCGTAGGACGTGTTTCTTGCAGAGCCGATAAGATATCGACGTCCTGTATACCTAACGAGTAGGTCTTGCTTGGATTGGGACCACTTTGTGGCGAGTCGTTATCAGAAGCTCTCATGGAGTGGGAGTGATTTCCTCTCACGCCATTCTCGGAGGTCTTTCTTAGCCGTGCCTTACGGCATACCAGTTGAAGCAAGGCGAATAAATCAGCTCCAACATAACCGTGGGTTTTTTCTGCCATCATTTCTATAAGTCTATCGCTCAGGTCCAAGGAAGGGTATCCACATAACGCGCGCAAAATTTCGACACGGTTCCGCGCTGAGGGGACTTGTAACTCAAGCTCTAGTGATAATCGATGGGGCGTTCTCAAGGCGTCATCAACGTCATTTGGGTGACGAGTCGCAGCCACAATCATAACATAGGCACCTTTTATAGCTTCTATACATTCACATAGCACCAGCGCTAAAGATGACGATTCTATGGACGTTCGCTTAGGGGCAACGAACTCCAGCTGATCGATAATCACAACACTTGGTTGGCAGCGAATTGCGTCCTTGAATGCATTTCGGAGTTTAGCCTCAGCGTCCGCGATGTTCCTGGTGAATATAGAAGAGCTGATATTAAAAGATTTTCTCCAGCCAGCTTCCTGGATCTGGGCCAAGAGCTTGGTTTTGCCGGTTCCTTTCGGGCCGTACAGAAGGATCCCTTGGACGTGCTCATAGAAAGACGGCATAGCTAGCTTTTCTGGGCCTGAATTGAAGTCTGCAAGTGCCTCATTGATGCTCCCAATCTGATGAGCCATTCCACCAAGACCGGATGGCCGTACTTGCAGATTCCAGATTCGATCTGTCTTCGCCTCTTTCTCTTCACCAACTAGGATAGCAGTGTCTTTGGTGAACTTGAACAACGTGCTATGCGTGAGCCTGTTAGGAGCCTGTATATCTGACACCCGAAAGCTTCGTCGCTGGCCTTTGAGTTCTAGTTCGAAGGTTAGGCCGACCGCAAGAGCATCACATCTTGATAGAGGAAATTCCAATGCCCAAGCCCAATAGCATCTCTCTGAATTGGCAAGGGGGCCATAATTCGAGGTTTTGTCCGCATCCGAGCATTCGGCGAAATAAATAGACTCAATTTCCTCCAGGGCGTTGTCGCTCTTGCTAATTGAGACCTTCTCTCCAAGCTTAATGTCATAGCAATCTTGAAGTGTTCTCGAAGTTTGGACCACCGTATTCTGGATATTTTCGGTTGCATTCCAGGCTATAGCTGTTTTGGAATTCCCCCCAGGTGGCCCCAATGTGCAGATATCCCCGGCTCGGAGCTTTAGGGAAGCTAGTGACGATGACGAAAGATAGACACGGAATGCGTCTCGGTGGTCATTTCTAGATTGTTTGGACAACGGCCGAGCTGTAAAGAGACGCAATTCCGCCATATCATTGAATCAAAGAGAGAAAGAAGGAAAGAAGCTGTTAACAGATCAGATCAGTGACGGGCGACCAAGTGGGGGAGGGGCTTTGAAGAAAATTAATTTCACCATAAACCGTAAGATAAGATAAAAAAAAATGGTGGAGCTAAAGCCGCGCTGACCACTGCAGCCTTACTCTTGGCACTGATTATGATAGAAATCCAGCAAGTTGTTCCGATTTTTCGATAATCAATGCGGCCACCTGGGCCGAACCTGAAGAGAAAATAGATCGCTTGGTAGTACACCTGATAAGAGTACCCCAGTACCCCCAATCCATGTATGTCGAGATGACTCCCAGGCTTGCTTCCCCAACCGATTCAAACTGTGATTTCCCCAGCGGCCTGGGTCTTGAGGACGCTGCCAATACTAATTTCAAAATTCTCGGGCGCGGATTGAATGCCTGGCGTGGCCAGCTAGTTTCTATTGGCATGTTATTAATCCGTGGCAGCATCAGAGTTCTCAAAGACATCAACTCTAGTCCCTTCTTCACTCGGCTCAGGTCGAAGAGCGTGTTTGCCACCACCGATCGGATCGGTCCCTTTCTTGAAATTGCCAATACAAGAGCCTGATGTATAAGTTGAAGCTTCTCGTGCGATTTTCCCGATGGGTCATTAGATACGCCTTATAAGCCTTAATTGAGCGAGGGGATAGAGTTGCATTACCAACACATTTACATGTGAGACTATATCTAACAAGAAAAGGATGTTTATATGTGTTGTACTTGAAAGAAGAAAAAAGAAGAGGAAAAGAAAACAAGGAGGGAACAAAATCATATCCAGTAACATAGGCACCATGATGGAAACGAAAGAGAATAATCAGCAACGCCACCTAACGAGAATAAAGGTAAATTAGAGACGAGCAAGTTCAACTGGTAAGGTTTGATAAAAGGGCGGTTCAAGTACACAAACCAGCCTTCAAACCACCATCGAAAATACCAAAGGCCCGGTTTGTTCAACCCATATCAGGAAGGGATGAGGCGGATGTGCAATGAATCGCGCTGCTGGACAAAGTAGAGCACGTGCAATACACGGAAGTCTTCAGCAGCATTTACCCCCGGTGTTGCCATTCAGCCCGGAACCTTGTTGGTCTATATTGACACCCTGCGGGCCAGCCTGCTCCGCCTTTGATGTGTCCATGCCTTTCTTTATTTCTGAAGCGAGATCGTAGAAAGCTTTCTCGATGTTAATGTTGTTCTTGGCCGAGACCTCGAGGAAGGGGATCCCAAGCTCATCGGCAAGCTGCTGTCCTTGTTCGGTTGACACTGCTCGTTTTTCTTCCCAGTCGCATTTGTTGCCGATGAGGATCTTATGCACGCCTTCACTGGCATGTTGCTCAACGTTTGAGAACCACGTACGGATATCTAAAGAGATTGCCCAAGCGTTAGAGATGCGATGTTTCGGCACGAGACACGAGATGACCTTACTTTGGAATGATCGTTCGTCTGTGACATCATAGACAAGAAGAATCCCCATTGCTCCTCTGTAATATGCAGTTGTGATTGTTCTAAAGCGTTCTTGTCCAGCGGTGTCCCATATCTGAAGCTTAACGCGCTTGCCATCCAGCTCAATCGTACGGATCTTAAAGTCAATCCCGATAGTAGTGATGAAGGATGGCGTGAAAGAGTCCTCGCTGAATCGCAAAAGGCAGCATGACTTTCCAACGCCGGAGTCCCCAATCAGGAGCAATTTGATCTAGAATACCAACCCTGAGTTAATGTTTCCGCAGACTGATATATTGGGGTGGTGGCCGGTACTTACCAAGAAATCATAATTCCTTGTACCGGCCATTATGAAATAGTTTCAGCGTCTAGGTGCAAGTAACGTAGCAGAATGGCTGTTCAATGGATAAAAATATTGTTTTGGAGGGCGCAAGAGGGAAATGCCCTAGCGACAATAATAAATAAACCGGCGGATGTAGATAAAGGAGGATTTGTAGTTGGATGATGTCGAAGTCTCTTCGTCGCCCGTGCAGTGTATGTATCCTGGTCTCTCCCTGAACTCACTCCTTTTTTTTGGTGGCGGTTGGAAAGATACCTCTTCGCTTCAAAGGTCAGGTACACTTCTGACCCTTTGTGCTGTACCGGTTTCTTCTTTTCGCCAACTCTGCCTGCAGAAGACCTGCTGCCACCTGAAGGTGGCAAATATGCTGTTCGCCTGAAGAAACCTCAACAGGTGGCTTGAAGTCAGGGGAACACCAAGCACCCGGTGTGCCGAATGATACTAAAGTATGGATGTGCGAAACGTAAGGTAAACTATAGTTTGGGTTCAAAGGGTCGAGTTTTCGATGAGGCAACCGGTTGTAAGAGGAAGTTGGTGGTGGCAGCGCTGAATGGGGAGTTGATGACAGACAGTTAGTGGTAACTAAGCTAGGGATGCAACAATAATATGTCCCGTCCGGAGAGGGTACTCGCGGTCTAGCGCCTACCCAGTATTAAAGCCGCTGGGGGTCACCCCACATCCTCCCATTTACGAGTGTCGCTGTCAATAATGAACTCTTCACAATAACCAATTATTACCGGCATGATGAGCCCGGACTTGAATAATCTCTCGCCGAAAACCCTGTAACTTCATTACTTTATCAGACGAACGGTTATCATCCGAAACCGGGGTTATGGGACCCCGCAATTAACCATTGTTTACGTTGCGATGTGGGCTTGATACTTGTTGAGTCTTACACCAAAGGAATCAGCCTGGAAATCCGCCATTCCTGGTGAAATTGACACTATAACGTGGGAAGTCATAGGATAGAGCCGGTCATTGAAACCACTTCGAATACACCCACCCCATCCGTGCAATAACGTCAGTTGGCTTGCCAGACCTATTCTGGTCGACGAGATCGCCAACATCTTCTTGAAAGGCACGGAGATCTGGCCCTTTTAGGATCATCTTAGCTTTCTGGAGCAAAATGTCTGTGTCGCAGATTAGAAGGCCATGGTCTTTATATGCCGAGAAGCCGACAGCTGTCATAGACGAGGTTACAGTCCGGTGGACGTTCCTATCCTCGAGTTAGCATTGAAATCCCGCGAAGGACTTGTCGCCTACCTCATGGCGTGTCTGAATTCGTCCTGTCTACCGACTTTCAACCCCTGCCTGGTGCTGAAAACCCCACAAATCCATCGCAGGCATGCATACGATACCATGATGCCCGGTGTCAGTCCAACAAATCTAATACTCGTCAGTTTCCAGTATTAATATTTGGAGGGTAATACGAACCCGAAAACAAGCTCCTGGCTTTTCAGGAGCGAATCAATACCGCCTATTGCGATTTCGACATCGACTTTTGTTTTCTGGATCTGAATCAGAAGAGCGCGCACAAGATCACCCTTTACTGTTCCAATGAAAGGGTTTCGCAAGTCCCGTTCATATGCCCTCAGGACTGGAGTCAAATCCCCCTCTCTGACTTTTTCTGTGACTGCATGTGTGTTCATGCTGGGATCTCCATTTCGAGATTCTATCTGATCATTGGTGAAATCAATAACCATTCTCTCGAGGCTCGCTCGGTCAGCTTCTAAGCTATTCCTGCTCATTAATGCAATATCGCTGTTCTCATCGTGTCTGATGGTTCTGATCAGTCTTTGGACTGGGTGCACAACCCAGTTGCTCCAGAATTGCACAGTAGTTGACCCGATATCTACAATCCATCCGATGATTTCATCATGTCGATTTGCTAGAAACTTGAACAAAGTACTCGTTGAGAAAAGTGCCACAGAAACGGGCAGCCAGTAGCGCACCACGCGGGATGGTCGCCCGAAAGTGTTAATGGAACGTGCGGAGAGTGTAATATGCTTTGGAAGGAGATCATCAAGTATGTGCCTGAGCTGTTCGATAACAACTGCAGGTGGTTGGCATGTATGTCGAGCCACGTGGTGGAACTGAGAAGAGGCTTCTGATTCATCAATTGTCGTAACCAGCTCCTCGAGAAGCTGTGGGTCATTTTTATCTTGGGGCTTTTTAAGAAGAGCAACCATAAGTGCAACACTCCTGGATATCTCATCACGCCAAAGACCATCAAAGGGCTCGCAAAATGTTTGGTCGTTGTGTTCACGCATGACATACTGCGAAATACATTTCTTCATTAGAATTCCAACACTGCAAGCATTCAAGTCTTTCATTTCCCTCAACAAATCTCGCTTTCGATATATTTCCGACCTGGATGCGAGAAGCGGCGAAAGGATTCTGGGCCTCAGTGAATACCACCAGAGTGGACTAAGACACCCACGAGTCAAATTGTAGAACTGCATCCAATCTACTGCGATAGATGCAGGGGGGGTTGTGGTATCTCCGTTAGGCCTGTTCGTAAAGGCGTGTGAGGCTCTTTGCCAAACCTTCACGGGTAATGTCTGGAGTGTATAGATCCCAGTATTGAAGCGGGAACAAATGACATCTTCCCAATAGCCAATTTCATCATTTAAGTCGACGATTTGCTTCAGAAGGACCTTCAGTACCGCCCCCGAAGTCTGCACTGCGGCCTTTGCGGCTAGGAGCCACAAAAGGTCTGTCGTATGTGCGTTGAGTGGATTCGAGGGATCATTCTGTTCAAGGGCGGCACGTGGGATTGCTGAGATCAGAGCTGCGATTTGATCGGCTTGCAGCACTGGATGGGACATCGAGGTGACGGAAAGAGAATCGATAGCTCTACCGAGTGTGTTTATTTGCGACGCATGCATGCTATTCTGGCCGGTCTGCTCGGCCAAGCCTCTGGTGTCATAATGCACATCTTCAACATATTGCTTGAGCCTATCGAGGTTTGTGTCCACATCGCAGATGTTGCTAATTACATGGCTTTAGGGAAAGCTCTCGAAATGTCAATGGTCCGGTTACTCACTTATGTATCACTGACATGATACCTAGCCTTCTTACTGCCCAGAGAGTCAACTCCAAGATAACATCCAATTGCCGGGGGAAGCGCCAACAGCCGTCCGCAGTAAGGTAATCGGTGCCCAGTTAACTAGGTGGTTCGTAACTTGAGGAGTTAATAATACCGACTCAGGTGCTCCGGAGGAGGTCGGGGTGCTTGATTCTCTGTACCAAGCTTAGGTGGTGGATCGAGGAACCACAAATGAGAACAGGTTATTGGTGAATCGATCCTTGCTGTTTGCATGTGTTGCAAACCCACCGCGCGCCGATCCCTATCCCCTTTGCATGGCTGGGATCTTCAGGAGCAGATGCAGTTACTCCATGGAACTACTACTCCGTCGGTTGGTACTGTATGCAGGAGTAGACTTGGTTTTGGTTCTCATTTCTGCATACTACCCCGGAGTATGTATGCTGTGGAAATGGATCTATCTGGGGGTCGAAGTGTAGTAAGCATCGAAAAGCTCGGTATTACTCCGTATTATCCTCATTGTCGGTGTTATTATTATTATTATTATTATTATTATTATTATTATTATTATTAGCAGAAGTAGCTCCGTATGTGCATACGCAATCAATACCTTCTGTCTGGAGTATGGAAGTAAGCAAGGTACAGTACCTAAGGATGGTCCTATGCCGGCCTAACTCGAAACGAATCTACCTCAAATCCGAAGCGGTCGTCTGGAATCTTCCATTTAGTGAATGGATAACCCCTTACGAGATCCTCTTGCCACTAACCACATGGGCATGTTTAGGTAGTTGTCCACCGAATGGAGAGTACCGAACATACCTACTGACCGGTTTGGCCGTGCGGCAATCTGGCCCTTGGGAGAAGCAGTAATAATAACCCGGTTATCAGTGGACAAAACCAAAGGGCAGTGGGACCCCCCGGTGGAGCCACAATATCGGCCCCGATCGGCTAGGCAGTGGTGCCAGAAAGTGTGAGGACAGGGGGGCAGAGAAGTCTCGCCACCTCGGGAGCGGATGTCCTGATCGCGCGGCGTTTGCTCCGGTCTAGTCCATCCCTGAAATATCACCCGCGCACCAAATCTTTGTCCTTTCCAGATCTCTTCAAACAATTCCCCTCACTTAACCCCGTTCCCTCGCATGACCTTTTGGCGAGAGACACAACCTATCTTTACTCACCGAAATCTGAAGCGCTGTGTCATTGGAGCTTTGGCAAAACCCTCTCAAACAAAATGTGAGTTTATTCCGACCACGATTTCTGTCTCTCTTCCCCCGTGTGTTTATTCCTTCCTTTTCTCTTGTCTCTTATTTTCCTCGCTTTGCTTCTGCCTGGTATCTACGTTGATTCTAACCCGGCCAGGAACTCGACATTATTGTCGCCCCCGCCCGTCACCTATTGGGGCCAATTTGAAGAGATATCCAAGTACAACACTCACCTGAATTTTGTCGAGAGATTGTGGACAACATGGTATGCTTGGATGCAGAACGATGTCCTAGCAACAGGTATCATGTCGTTCGTGATGCACGAGCTTGTTTACTTTGGTCGTTCCCTTCCCTGGATCTTTATAGACAGTCTTGGAATACTGAAAAATTATAAAATCCAAAGTGTGAGTCAAGGATTCGCGTGGGGAAATCATTGTATTAATCGTTCGCAGAACAAGATACCGTCATTGCGAGAGCAGTGGGATTGTGCGAAATTCGTTCTACTCAGTCACTTCACTGTTGAACTGCCCCAGATTTGGTAAGCGCACTCGTTGCGCATGTTGGCTGTACTTTTAACTGACAACGGATCATCAGGCTGTTTCACCCCATGGCTCAGTTTTTTGGTCTCTCGACATCGGTTCCCTTTCCTTCCATCTGGACAATGGCCTACCAAATCGCCGTTTTTTTCGTCCTCGAGGATACATGGCATTATTTCTCTCACCGTGCACTTCATTGGGGCCCTCTCTACAAGGCTATTCATAAAATACATCACCAGTACTCGGCGCCTTTCGGCATGGCCGCCGAATATGCATCTCCGATTGAGGTTATGATTCTGGGTTTCGGAACTGTTGGCTGTCCAATCCTATGGTGCGCAGTAACTGGGGACCTGCACATATTCACTATGTATGTCTGGATTGTGCTTCGGCTTTTCCAGGCTATCGACGCACACAGTGGTTATGAATTTCCCTGGAGTCTTCATCACTTCCTTCCGTTCTGGGCTGGCGCTGATCATCATGATCTACATCATGAAAAGTTTGTGGGCAACTACTCCAGCAGCTTCCGGTGGTGGGACTATTTGCTCGATACCGAATACACACCGGAGGCAATCAAGCGGCGCAGGGAGAACAAGGCTTCGAAGGGAGCTAAGAAGAACCTTTGATATGTGAGATGAGCAGGGCAATAATAATCATCTTTCGATTATGTTTGCTTTTTTTTTTTCTTTCTAAGGGAGACTCATTGTACAATATGAGCTTCTAATAAGACGTGAGCGTTCTTTGTGTGTGCGTGCGTGTGTCTGCGCGCGCCTTGTGTGTATGCCTTGATTACAGCCACGCCGCACTGTATTAGTTAGATTTTAGAGTATGTTTAATGATATTAAGTAATTTATAAAGTCTAGCACATGCGACTAACGGTCGAGACATTTTCCAGAAAATGGCCCCTGTTAGCAATGACATTTATCTTGGCTGCTTGGTAGATGGAATTTCACTAGATCCAAGGATCGATTATTCTGCCTGTGATATGAGCGGCAAAGACCGCGCAGTGGAAAAACTGACAGGGATTCTGGGTCTAATCTCTGTATTTGTTGAGAGTGCGATTATAACACAGCCACGTAATAACATAAATGCATATGAACGGGCACTGGATAATGCATTGGTCTACCTAAATCCGCGAAAAGAAATACAGATAGGCATACTTCTTCATTTCCTGGATGTCGTCGACCTTCACCACCTTTTCATCATTAAACATTACCCAGGAAAGATCATCTTGCCCTGGTAAGGCTTTCCGAATGAACGCAACATAGTGCCTGGCATGTGTTAGCACGAAATGCTATTATCAAAGGAGGTTATCTTACCCAGCATGCACAGAGGAGCCCTTGTGACAGATAATTGAACGAAGCTGATATCTAGCTGGAATAGAGTCGAACCCAGAGACCTTGGGCTGACCACTAGATGCAGCCTCGAATTGTTGGGTTTCGTCCTCAATCAGCACGTCTGGATGACTGAAGACCCAGTCGATTGCTCTGACAACATCACCTCCTGTAGCTGCCAGTGCCTTTATGGCTCGAGGTTCTTCTATCCCCATTTCACCGAGCTGCGCTATTTTAGCGACATCACGTGGGAGATCAGATGATGCCCCAGGATTTATACCTCCAAGTGGTTCATCAATATCGTCGTCCTCCATATGAGCAAACATCCAATTCATTGCAGCCTCGGCGTCTGTGTTACCAGTCATGTAGAGTGATTTTTCACACCTAGCCCTTGGAAAGCCCATACTACAAAGCTGATCCAGGGCGTTTTGGTTCGGTGTAAAAGAATCCTCTGTATCAAGGTCAGGGAGGAGCTCTTCGTCCGCCCGCTGGCCCGTGGAGAGATAACGGCTAAAATCCAGTGCCTGATCACTGACTTCTACCGGAATATCTAGCTTTGTAGGGACCCAATTCACGAGTTCAAAGCGTCGAGCATTGACAACCAGCTGCTGCGGCAATGTTCGAAAAGACGAGCGTTTTGTGAAGCCATCCTTACTTGTACAAGAAGGACAATCGAGCTGCACTCTCTCTTCCAAAGTGAAGGCGTCTAGGCAGTCATATAAAGTCACAGGCGCGAAAGGGCCAGTAGATTGTGCGTCATCTGGCGTAAGACGATGGGCAGGTACCGGGATAGAGATATTGTCTTGACCATCAACCTTATAACGGACTTTTTTGCAAGACAAACACTGGAGGCGCTGCTCCACAGAGAAATCGAAAGCTTTAACAGGGTTATCCCCGGAATCCGAGGGTTTGGCCATGTTGATAGTCTTGAAAACATGGAGTAGGAATTCGAAAGCATCCTGTTGCCTCATTGTGGAGAACTCTTCATGGCCACGGCCGATAAGATGTTTGAACATTGCCGGTGCCAAGCCTTTTTGATGTGGTATTTCTGGTAAATCAGAAGTGGCGTTCATATTGTGGTCTGCCTGGGAGTAACGTCCAGAGAGAATACCATCCGCAATTTTCCTCATTTGCGTTTCCAGGTCTTCGGCCGGAAGTTGTGTAAGTGGCGGTTCATCGCGTTCACGGTAGTATCTGTGCTGGAATTCTGGGAGGTCGAAAATACACTGCAAGACACTTGAGAGGTAGCAGCTATTGCCCAAATTTCTGAGACCTGTAAATCCCGGACCAAAGACTGGGGTGAGTTCATGGCCATCTTCAGTTGTCATTGAAAAGTCCCATTTCAGGTTATGCTCAACTTGCATCTCCATCAAGCTCTTCTCCGTTTTCTCGCGGCCCATAAGATTGATCCCCCAGTGAGCAAGGTGGGGACCAAGATTAGGATCTATTCTCTCCTCATTGCACGAATAGCAGTAGATATCGGCAGAGCCTTCTGCAGTTATTGATCCGAGTTTAACTGCTACCGCATGAGATGTCGAATCCGAATGCGCAAGAGCATGTGAGTTCCCTCCTATGCCACCAAATTGGCTCCGACCACAACCAAGGTTACCGCACTCTAGACAGAGCCATAGGTTCTCCTTTAGGTCACACATGGAACACTGACTGAGGTCTGCACTCGTTAGAAAATGAACGCTATAAGAAGACGAGGAAAGCTGTTTGGTTGTGTACCTTGGGTTCCAATTTTTGAAGGCTGATGTTGATTCAAGCACAGAGTATGTTCACAAGGCACGAATTCTTGTTCCCAGGCTTTGACCTCCTCCCTTTTCGAAAAGGTCATTGCTTTCATGACGCCCTCTATCACAGCCGGTAGGTTGCTACTGGATTTGTCCACGTTGTCATTGAGGCAGGCGTAACATATAACGCGCGTAGAAGTGTCATAGCGGTCTTCCTCTTTCTCTTCGATAATCGCAAGCTTCGAAATTTTCTGCGGAGGCTCGTCTCGCTACCCTCGTCAGTTCTCCATAACAGGGATAAGGTTTAGGACAAAGGCGCTTTGATTACCTGGAGTTTCTTTGGAAACCTTCTTATATTAAGCGCCAGAGGGTGACCGGAACGCCTGAAATGAAGATGGCCATGGTTTCTTTCACCAGCGCAGCCGCCGTTGAAACAGGTCAGGCAGACATTGAGGCCGGTTTCATCGTTCTGGTTCTCGATTAGGTCGTTATCCAGTAAGAGGGGTATGGAACCAACAATAGAGTCAAAGCATTGGGTGCAATCTTCGCGATAGACAGCTTGTGAGTCAGACGGTTTTTTCAGCTCTGTTGAATGGCGATATTAATACACGAGAAATATTAATGGTGTTTCCTAGGCCACCCACCTTCAGAGTCGATATGAACACATAGATCCATCATAGAAAGCCTCACACTTAGTGGGGACGACGGTTATTGTGTTGGCACTTGGTCCGAGGCTGCTAGAGAAACTGGCAATAATACAGTAGTAGAAGGTGGCTTGACTTCCAAGGTTGGTTGTTCGGGGTAGTTGACTTACACCTTAGTGGTACCTACTCCGTATAAAGTCTAGGTGGGGCAATCATGACGGTACAGCCTAAATTTCGTGGGCATACTGCCTCGATACCTCTACGTAGACATAGGAGGCGGTAGGTAGGGCACTAAAGCGGGAAGTCACGTGTGGGGGTGTGGAGTGCCATGAGCAGCCGGTGTACTCGGTACGTAGATTGCTCATGGACTAGATGCAAGCTAGAATGTATGGTAGCAAGGCGATAGATTAACTGCTAAGACAGCACGGAAATAAAACAGTACCCCTGGTAGCTGTCTGGTTTAGCAGGGCAGGGGTACTGTGTATACATGAAGTGGGTTGCAGCGAGGGAAGAGGGGGGGGTATACGGAGTACGCAGAATGACACGAATACGAACGAGGTATGTTGCAGATAGTATCATAGCACAGGGTAGGTTCTAGGTAGGCTCCCTAATTATATCTATGTAGGATTGTCCAGGTCCTGCATGTTGCCGTACGTCCCTGAGCACGACTAGAGCAGCTAATATTAATTTATTGCATTAGTATAGCTCTGTGCGAGGATCAACATCCAGCCTCTGTGTATCTGACACAGAGTAAAGCTGGCACACGAAGAAAAGCAGAGATGTGTCGTCTCGGTTATTGCACTATATATAGTACTAGCGGAATATTCAGGAACAACACATATCAAATGTCTCGGTGGCGCAATTGGTTAGCGCGTACGACTGTTAATCGTGAGGTTGAGAGTTCAATCCTCTCCCGGGACGCTTATATTTTTTATAAGCATTACATTCTGTGTGGATAGTCTGTATGGATTAATATAGCAATTAGCAACAGACATTTCATATATGAATACTTGTAAATCTTGCTTTCTTAATAAGCTGATTATGGGATCATAATCCTGCCACTTTAAGGGTATAAAGTTGGCGTGGTATATGAAATTTCTCGCGCGGTGTAAGAATTAATTAAGACACATTGTTTTATTTAGTATATAAATACTAAGAAAGCCTTCTTATACTAGCTTAATTTAATTATATAATCTTATACTAGATCAGCTTAAATTTTCTTATACTAGCTTAACTTTTTTAATACCAGATAAGTTTCTTTTATACTAGATTAGGTTTTTTTTATATTAGCTTAGCTTAATTATATAATCTTATAAATCCTTCTTCTTTAATCTTTAAAATATAGCTTAAACTGTAAATATATAAAGTTTTAACTAAGTTTAAACATAATATATTATATATAAGCTTTATTTTAATGCTATAACTAATTAAAAAATTACTTAAAAAATTATTTAATTTATAAATAATATTTTGTTGCATTGTTCTTTACTGTCTGTTCTATTCTGCGGCTATAGTCTCAATAGCCTCCTATATTCCTGGACTACAGGTGTTAACAGTGTTCTATAGCTCCCGCCTCCATAAGACAGAGGACTTAGTTATTTTAAATAAATAATCTTATTATCTTTATTAATCTAATAGTAGGCTATTATATAATAGTATATCTAGTTTTATCTGAATTTTTTCTTATTCTGTGTTAATAATAATTATCTGTTTAATATTATCTGCTTAATATTATTATTTTTTATTTTTAATAATATATTTTTTGTTATTTAATAGCTTTATTCCCAGAGTTTATAGTATTTAAAGACTTATCTTTTAATTAGCTCAGGTGTACTATATTATTATTTATTATTTTTAGTTTTATTAATTTTCTTTATTTAATTTTTTTTATTTAGTTTTATTATTTTTAATATTAAGATAGCTTACTAAGCTTGTTTATTAAATTAATATATATTATTATATTTTATTATTTTATTTTATTAATAATATTAATATTTATATTATTTAATATATTTAATTTATTATTATAATTTTTTTATTTTTATCAGAATATTAATTTATATATTTTTTTAATTAGGATATTAATTATCTTTTTATAAGGTATGCTATTAAGGAATTTATTAAAATCTTAATATTTTTATTTATTAATTAAGTATTTTAGAACTCACAGGACAGTTATTTTATTAATTAATTATTTTTAAAGAGATCTTTTATTATATTTATATTATAAGCTATATTTATGACTTTATTATCAGACTTTATTAATATAATTAGTTATTTATTATATATTATTTCCTGTACTTAAAAAAAAGTTATAATTAAAATAAAAAAGATAGTTATAATAAGGATAATAAGCCTAAGACCTTTATAATTCCTGGGAGTTTTAATATAGTTATCTTATTAGTTATTATTAAGCTAATATATAAGGTAAAAATAAAAAATATTAATAAATATTTTAATACTACCAGATATTATTTATTTAATTTATTTAATTTAGTTTTTAATTTTAATACAGCTATTTTTTCTATGGAAAAATCATTAATTTTTAATATTAAATACAAGTTTAATTAATAAATATTTAATTTTATATATAATACTATATTAGATCTTATTATATTATTTATTATATTTTAGACTCCTGGTCTAATTACTAAATTAATAAAAATAAAAAATATATTTATATAAATTTTTTAAGGATAGAAAGTTATATAAGCTAAATATAATATTATATAAAATAATTTTATAGAATTTTATTACTTACTTACTAAATAATATAATAAATTAATATTTTTAAAAAACTATCTAATATCTAAAAGGGATAAGGGAGATAAAAATAATTAAAATAATAAAAAAAGACTATAAGGATAATAGTAATATATAAAATAATTATTAAAAAATAAATAAAGTTAGCCTGTTTTAATCTAATTTTTAAGATAGTAGACTTTTTTAATTTTTTTATAATATAATTATTTATAATAATATAAATATCTTTTATAATTAAATTATTAATATCTTAATTTATAAAGATAAAGTAATTATTAAAATAAATATATAATTATATATATAAAATATAGTTTTGATCTAGTTTATCTTTAAGTTATCTAAAATTAAAAAGAATTAATTATATATTTAAATAATTTATAATAACTGGCTTATATTCTTATATTATTATTTTAAAATAAACCTTTTAAAAGCTTAGCTTAAACTTCAAGCTCTATATTATATATTTATAAATATTATTAAGGGTAAAATATCTTATATATTTACTAAAAAAGTTTTTTAACATATTTATAATACTAATCTTTTAGACCCTTTTAATTAGTTTATTATAATTTAAAATATATTAGACCTATCCTTTTAATATAATATTTATTAATTATATCTTAATATATTTTATACTAATTTCTTTTAAAAATTACAGGAGCAGTATTTCTTTTAATAAAATCTTATAACTAAATAAAATTATTATACTAATAATTCCTAAAATAATTCAAAGACCTAAATATTATTAAAAATCTAGAATTATAATTAATAGCTAAATTAATAATTAAATAAAGCTAATTATTAAAATTACCCTAGATATTAATATTAACTAATATTATACTAATTTTGCTATCTATAATTCACAAATAATCAGATAGCTTTATATAATCCTAATATATATAAATATTATTAATAATAATTAAATAATCGTCTTTAGCAAAATCAAAGCCCGTAAAATAATTAAACCTAATAAAATTAGTAAAGTCATTAAGCCGGACACAGTTAAAACTAAAATTTCTAATAAATTTAAGCTTTATCTTAAAAACTATAGTTAGTAATTAATAATAAATTATTTAATATAAATTATAATTAATAAAATTATTATTATAAATATCAAAAGATTAATTATAATAATTAATATTAATTATAAAATTAGAACCCTCGCCCGCTATATAGCTGTATGTATAAAGCTAAAAATATAAATAATAAATCTAATAAAGCTATATTTAATAAGCCTTCTGATGATTTTCCTCCTAATTATTTTTTAAATATACTATCTAATATATATATAGTTTAAAATAACACTCCCGGAGATAATAGTTTTAATAATTTTAATAATTATAACTATAATAACTATAATAATACTTATTTAATTAATAATTAAGATTATAATTATAATCAGGAGCTTATTATTACTTATTATAATTATAATAAAATATTCTCCTTTAATAACAAGCTTTATAAATACTTAGTTAATTATATCCCGCTTAATAAAGTATTTAATCTTAATATATTACTAAGCTTACTTAATAATTCTAATATAATCACTTCCTCTATTAAATATAATAGTACTATCTTAACAGACCTTATAATTCTAATCTAAATTTAATATATAACTATTATTAAGGTTAATTTAAATTAGATTATTAACCTATTAGAAATTTATTTTAACACTAGCTATTTATATATAATTATAAATATTTTATTTATTAAATTTATATTAGATATTATCCTTTATAAAAATCAGCCTATAATTATAATTATTAGAATTAATTTTTACTATAAGATAATTATTATAGCTAAATTTTCAATCTACTTTTCCTGTATTAAGAACAGCCCTATATTTACTTAAATTAATATATATACTTATATAATACCTAATATTCGAGCTAAAATCCTATTTAAAACTAATATAATTATACCTGAAAATATTATCTTAGACTTTAGTAAATAAAAAAATATTATATAAGTTTATAAAGACTTTATCTTTATATTTATCTATTAAATATATAAAAAATAAATTACTAATTATTTTATTTATATAATTACACATCAAGTTATTCAGCTATAAACTATTATTATAATATAAATTACTACAAAATTCTTATTTAAGGCAAATAAGGATTATAACTTTAAAATAAATAAAAATACTTTAATTAACTATAAGGATTATTTAGTTAATATATTATTTACTTTTTTAAAAATAAATAATACTACAAATTACTTAATTATTATTCCTTAATATTATTATCTTAGTATTATTTTAGATATCTCTAACTTAATCTCAAACTATTAAATTAATACTAGTTTTTAAGTTAATAACTCTGCAGGCCCCTAGAAAAAAAAACTATATTATATTATATTATTAATATAATATATATCACGTTAAAATAAATATTTTATTTAATAAATTAACCCTTTAAATAAGTCAAGTTATTTATACCTATATTATTAGTATATTAAACGCTCTTTCACT